CTGGCAATCCACTCTAAGTGTGTGTTCAAGGTCTTAGATGACGCTATAATTATTATTGGCCTCCTAAAAAGGACGAAAGGCTTTAGTTTCTATACTCGACCGATTTAATTTGGGCCAGCCCGAACTTCGAAAACGGTGATAGATATCAGCTCAGCAAGTTTAATTACCAGTTGATTCTATGTTGTACTGTAGTAAAATAGTTCTTCTGTCCTGAGGCACATTTTCTTTTTATTTTAGCTGTCGGAAAAATTTCGACCATGACAAGAAAAATTTACATTTCTTTATCACTAGATGGGATGAAGCCGTGATAATTTTCAAAACTAATCACGGTGCTTTGCGGATTCTAATGATACACTACAGTTTGAGATTCACGCGGTGCTTAAAGCCCTGAGGGTATTTTTTTTTAAAACCACCAAACTTTTTGGATTTTCTCGTAATTTTTTTTTTCGCTAAGATGAAGAACTTCAATTTTTTAGTGCCTCAGGGCAGAGGAAATATTTTGGTACAGTACAACATAAAATGAACTGGCGATCAAACTTGTCGAAGACGTGAAGTTGATATCCATTCACCGTTTTCGAATTTCGGACTGCCCCAAATTAAATCGGCCGAGTATTATAGTTATAACACAAATTAAGAATTAAATTCCAATTTCCAATGATAACTGAACACGCAAAGTCAGATGAGTCTAACACGAGATACGGCCTCAAGATGTTCATTTGAGGCATCTTCGAGGAGTTTGGAACGACATAAATAATAAAAAGAGGAGAATGAAATCATCGTATCTTCCAAGAAATCTGATAAAAAGTCAGGCGTCATCTAATTCAAATTTAAACGACCCTGTTTACTAAAGTAAATTTGAAATGGCATGGTCAATAATTTGGTGTACAGGACTGGAGAGCTGAACCTGGAGGGGTTATCTTGCTAAAAACTTGGGAAATAACGGATCAAAACTTTTAAAAAATACATTTTTTGGATCTGCATACATTTCTTGCCTATCAAATTTTCGTCGTAGTATTGTGTGGGTCTTTTTCGAAATCAATATTTGCGTATTTTCTAAATCGCGCATATTTTTAAAACTGCCATTTTTCTTGATTTATGATAAAGAAAAAATGATTTACATGATTTGTTAGATCCATTTCTAAAAGCGTTTTTGTGAACGGAACATACAACATACATGCAAAAGAGTTGTAAGGTATTGTATAACAAAACCTAATTTTCCGAAGTTATCAGCGAAGTAGTGCTTGCAAGTACATATTTCTGTTCACATTTGCAAGAACCGGGTTATATTCTTACTTATATATTGCTCTTAACTGATGACATTGCTAGCTTAGTATCATTATATTCATATGTCTTAGTCCGAGTCCCTAAGTAAACTACGGTAATCTAACTCAAACATAATCCCTTGAGCTGTCTGATGTAAGAAGTACCTCTGATCCCGATGATTAACATCTTATAGCCCACTTCTTCCTCTCCGACCACCCAACAAGACTCAGAAAAAGTAACAAAAAATCAGGTATAAGAGGTATATAATTGGACCAGCAATGGCATCATTCTGATCCCAAAATACCCTCAGCTCTCCCGAATCTAATTCTAAATTTATCCCCATTTCCTGGCCATTCCTCCCCCATTAGGGAACATAAATCAAATCAGATACCCGCCCTTAATAAGGATTGGAAATGACATCCCATTCCTTTTATGGAGAAACATTTTATGGCCAGATTTCCTTGGCCTTACGGAAAACCGGTGCAAAAATGGAACTGGTACAAAAAGAGGGGAAATAAAGGAAAGCAAAGGTGAGCAACGGAGGACTCGAAAATATTTACGGATATGATCATTAAGCCGCATTATGTGTCGTTATGTCCTTGTTATTTATTTGATATTACATCCGTTTATTTACCAGTAAAGCGAGCCGATGAGTAACTAATTGACCCATCCGAGGGTAGTAAAAACCGTAATAAAGCCCCAATTCAACCCCAGATGGCACCGTCTCACCGCCTTCATCTGCTGAGGTCATCTTTCAACTACTCCAGATGGCTGCCGAAGACAGAATTTGGAAAAGAAACATTTTTTCTCCAAACATTTCCCTTAATTTCACGCCCTCAGGGTTTGAAAATGTTTGTTGAAATGCCAATAAAATAAAATCAGGGCATTCAAAGTGATTATAAGTCATTAATGACGACGATTTGGGGGCCTTAAACCTTCCGGAAGACCTCCAATGATGGATAATATTGGAAAAAAGTTGAGAAAAATGTGAAAGGAACGTGAAGAACGTGGTAAGAAGTAATCTGTTTGAATAGAAATAGGGATAAATAGCCGGTAAATACTTCCGGAGGGTTCAAATATATATGTCTAGTAGAAGGAGCCCTGTTTCGGACATACGAAAATGATGGTTAATGTCCAAAAAGGACACAACAAGTGCCTTGATGAATGCAATTGTAAATCCAAGTGTAAGTGTAACTACTCACCATAACCCACTTTGCAGAGACTATTACAACTGTCAGGTGGTCCAAAAAAATTTAGAAAAAGTTTGCAAGCTTCTTGAGGAAATTAATAATATAATAATTGTATACAATCTGGCAAATTTCTACTTTCGGGCGACTACATTCCTTGCAAATTACCGAGTAAAATAATTGTATTCAATTACGGTAAGCCTTCGAAATGTAATCTTTTTCACTCAGGTGTCTAAAATAATATTATGCAATGGAACCCCGTTTCGCGGAACAAAGTAATTGAACCTGGCTTGTAACCGAATCCCTGGGCCCTCAAATTATGGCCACAAAGTGCAGATTCGGGGAACTAATCGGTCCCAATCTTTAATCCCAAACTTTTATTAAAAGATGTTTTTGCAACGCGTGGGAATTTAATGAAAGATCCCACGTCTGAAGGGGAATTACAAACAAAAGAACGTCGCCTCAGGGCATGTTCCGAGAGTCTTGATTGCACTCATCACAGGATGTTCGTGTTACGTCTGTTTTCAGCCATTTCTCTAAGCTTAAGACCAAGTGTAATGTAAAAGGAGGTCCTTTTAAGGTGAAAAATGACAACGAAGGTGTCTACGTGCAATACCGGCATTAGAAACAACCCTTAAAAGCTGTAATCATTAATGCTTCAGTAAGCGATCGTGTTGTCTGACTAAAATATTAATTGAACTCTTTATAAATAACAGTCCAGCCTCAAAGTTCAAGGTTCCAAGTAGCAGCTAAATAAAGGAAGACTACTTGAGCAGCCTCAAGATGATGTTCTCGCCAAAACCAAAAATGGGAAGAACGAGGGGCAAGTGTAATATAAATTGAGTGGGGTTTGCAACGAAAAAAGGAAAAATTTACATTTACACAGCAAACAATTGAGATTTAATGTTTAAGGGAGAGTCAAAAGTAAATTTTGTTTTATTATTTTCCAAGTATACCATAGTATTTCCATTTCCAGGCATTCTCCATAATTACAACCTTGTATTGTCGCATCTTGGGAGTATTTCACATGATATATACATACTATCAAACATTACGTAGTTGATGGGAAAACATGCCACAGCTACACGCACCCTGTTCCTGGAACTCAAGCAAGAATCATCAATGATCAGCGATGTTAAAAATACCATGTAATAAACAAAACAAGTTATTACAGTAACCCTGACAATGTGAAAAGTGTTTTGAAGCAAAAAAAATGATGAAAAGTAAAATTCTTCGCTAAAATAATGTCATCAATAGGCCAAGACAGTCCAAAAAAAAGATCAGAGAAGAGATCACGGGTCCCTCATTCCTAAAAATAAATTTTCGTTAAGCGGTTACCCAAAAAACTTTTTTTGGCCTCGGGCACACGGGAAATGAGATGAAACCAAAAAGGGAATTTGAAGTGAGAAAAGGGGCCACGAAAGACAAGAATTTAAAAGATTCTGAGGGGCGCATACAAAAAATAAATTTAAATAAGTTAATTCCATGGATTCTGGCATCATTTGACAGACAATATAATTGAAAAAGCATACTAATTGGGGATGGAAAAGGAATGGAAATTGGGGAAAGTGAGAAGACAGTCACATTCGGAGCCATATCTGGGAAAATTTTACATTTCGGATTAATGTGTTACCATCTAGTCGGATCAAAAAGTAGTAAAAAATATATAGTGACCTACGGAGTGGGCTGTCCCGACCGGGTCGATTTATTTTGCTGATAATTCGAGAAATAATACATCAAAATTTACTAAAATTGGATTATTGGAATCGCAGACAATGTTCAAGACCGATTATTAGAGCCCTCTGGCAAGCTCTTTTCAAAACTGCCCAAAAAAGTCCGCCAAAAAAAGGGGGATAGTTGACCATCCGGAATTCGAAAATGATTTTTTTCTGATCGTTACTTGTTTTTCTTAAGCAGTAGTGTTAAATAGTAATTTTTGAGTAAGAAGTGGATTTAGGGGTAATCGACCATCCTGATTTCGTAAATGACATTCAATTTTCCTGATTGTAGTTGTGTTAAGGGGCGATTTGAAGGTTTTTGTTGTTATTCCGGCCCTTCCTTCTCTGCGGATTCAGTCATGCGCGAGCTGGAATGCTGGCAATCGGATAAGAAATCAATGCTAAATTTTATAGAAACCTGAGCGCCGCACTTACTTCCCTTGTTAAAAAAATAATATTTAACACTACTATTGAACTTAAGAAAAACAAGTAACGATCCTGAAGAAAATAATTTTCGAAATCAGGATGGTCAACTATCCTCTTTTTAGCCCAAAAAAAGTATTAAAAAACTCTTGCTGAGCGCTTCAAGCAAAGTATTATACACCGTTTATTAAACAAAAGACTGAATAAATACATAAACTCGGCACCATTATTCTCCAACAGTGGACCAAATCAAGTCGTCTTCTTGATTGTTGAAGCTGAAGAGAGAGGTTCACTACTCAAATCTATACAAAAAAAGGCGTGTTAATTGAAAAGAGAAGAGGAGAGGGTAATATTATCAACAATAGATTAATAACCAATCACATTATCCATCCGTACCATCGTATTCTTGTTAGACCATGTATTTGGAGATGTTCGAACTGGCCGTTCTACTCCAGGGGAGCCTAAAACTGTTGTTATGAGCGGGGAAAGGGGTTACGAAGTCGTCTCTTACTAGCTCAGAATTCTTTTTTAGAAGTTAAAGTACTTATAAAGTAACATTTTACATTGCTTCAGGTCTTTTGGTAATGTGACTGGCTTTTATACAGTAATCTCCGCACAGGATAGAGGAAGACAGGTTATTTACTATGATATTTAGATAGCAATCGCCGTATTCTCTTCGTTTCTAGGCTCTGGGTAACCTGAAACCACATCAATTTACTATTTTCCCCTTACTTTTTAGACATTTTACAATCGGACAGCTCGATTTGATAAAAAAAGAATCAAGTTTATTGGAACATAACTTCACAATCACCAGTTAATTCACTAAGAAGTGGTCGAAAGATTCAAATTAGTAGAAATCACCCGTTTTTTATGTAAGTAAGTAAAATTAAATGTACACGTTACGAAAAAGCTGATACTGATAAAAAAATTTAAAGGAAAACGATAGGGAAATACATTAAATACTACAGATACTATCCAAACATTTAGGGGGAACTCTCGGGATTACTGTAAAAAAGCCAGAATTCACACAAAAGAACAGGGAAACGGAACAAACCCGGGTTAAATCGGCCTAAACCATCAAAAATAAAGTAAAAATCACAATTTGTAGTCGTGGTAATAGAACGTCTTCCAGAATTTGCTCCTGTTCTGGCGATATTTGATATAAGCCAGACACATCAAAGCGACGATCGCGAACCAAATCAAGTAGAAGGTCGTTCGGTCGGCTGTAGCAGCTAAATTTATATTAATTTAGGTACAAATTTTATAAATTAATATACAAGGTTCAATAAAAAATGTAAAAATGAGTTTACCCTGTGGCAGTTCATTGAGTTCGGTGTTTAATCTCCTTTCCGATTCTTCCAGACGATCTACCTTCCCAGCCATTCCAGCAAATTTGGGATTGAGATGTTTGTTGGCGACCTTCTCCAACTTCCCCTTGTTAAATTCTGACACTTTGTATCCTGGTTCCGGCTAAAATAACGCAAAAATAACTTTTCATCGTATCAAAATCTCAGAAACCACTCTGATTGAAGCCGATTCTCACCCTGACTCCATCAACCTTGATGTCCGAGTAATATTGAACCATAAACTTGAGGACTTCGGCTTCATCGAAGGTTCCGTCAGGTCGATGACAAGCCAAACAAAGCGCCTTATTTGGGAATTGTTGTTTCTTGAAGATGGGATCTTCTGATGCATCTCCTGACAATCTTTTATTGGCCCGATTATGTGCATTCCACAACCAAAGAACTACATCTTCCGGGTTCTTCGTATCCAAAACTCCATTCTCCCCTCTGGCCATCTTATCAAAGTTCTTGGCACATTCCACACAACTCAAATAGTTGTAAATGAACTGATGGATGGGTTCGAGGACATCATATCCAGGTTTGAAGTTGACGTCTAAATTTGTAATTTCATCCATCACTCTAAAAAACATACCATGTTTGTTTTGTTTGTATGCTTCGACTGTAATTGTATGGAAGAGAGTCCAAAGTCCACAAGTATATCCTCTGAGGAAAGGTTTAGAGCCCCGACAGGCTTTGTAGTCGGTCTTGGAGGGGATAGGATTGCCAAGTTCCTCCTAAAACATCACCAATTATTCAAATATCCTCATGAAACCAATTTCAAATCTTTTATTTCTTACTTGCAACTCCTTGACCTTGGCCAACCAGTCAGTTGCTGTGAGTTTAGTGGTAATTGGTTGAACAAACTCATCCAATCTCAACAAAAATCTTCGGATTGGAGCCGATAACGGAACATATTTCCGCATGACATGAACAAAGTCCTTGAGGGCCTTTAGATGTTCCTTCTCGATGACTTCTCTCCTTGGAATCTCTTGAGTAATCATATAATGAAGAGCAGAGGCCAGATCCAGATATTGGACTTCGAATTGTTTCCAATCCACACTAGGAATGAGAGTTGGATGAGCAGCTTGAGCTTCTAGCACTGGGGCCTAAACACACGATAAAAATGAATAAAATTATCACCTTTTGTTGAGCTCCACTTTCCTCCAGAATCCTATCAATTTCAGTGGAAATTTTGGCAAAGTTAAATGCTTCATTAGATGAATAAACCGGAGAATGAGGCTGAGATCTCTTGAAAACTTGAACTGATGGAACCGCGACTCCTCCAAATTGTTTGGCCAGGGGATGATTTGAAGATAAGACAGCGACATGGACCTGCTCATTGTTATGATAGTTCACTATCGTTGCAAAACCATCACCATGAGGGGCGTTGTCAATGACCAAAGCCAGCAATCCAGCTTCAGTACCAGCTTCAGCCCAGAGCGAATCTAGGGTCGCGGATTCTGGAGCCAATTCCAATTTAGGCCAATTGGCTGGTTTCTCGGAATCATAATCGGCCTTTAGATGAGATACCAGATCCTTTGTCATTTCAGACAGATTGTATTTGTCTCCTTCGAAAAGTTTGCCATCATCTTTATTAGAACTGTTGATTTTGAAGTACTAAAAATTGAATAACATCACGTACAATATAAATAAAAAACTCACTTTAACTGTAGGGAACGCCGCAATGGCATGTTCTCTGCACAAGGGACTGTTCTTCTCATCAGCACAGTTGACAACAGTCACTTGCAACGTCCTTGACCAATGCCTCAACTGAGTTGCAAACTGAACCCAGGTCGGCTTGTAATGGATACAATGACCACACCAAGACGCGTAGAATTCGACAAAGAACGCCCGTGGCTGATGATAAACTGAGGAATTAAAGTTGGTAATATCTAATTCAAGAACATGGTCTTTATCAGTGTATAAAGATTGAACTCCCGAAGAAGAGACAATTGAAGTGGTGGATAGCAAGGTTAATATTAATAATTTCATGTTTTCTAAAAGTCGAGTAATTAATTAACGAAAACAGTAGCTAACTTACCCTAAATGACGGCTGTGAAAGTCGACGGACCCGTTTCCAACGTTGTTATCATACAAAAAGCATCAAAAAACCGTCGATTCCCAATCCTTCAAATATAATAAGAACTTCATAGATAAAAGAGCATCGCGAATAATTTATGCAATTGTTTGAAACGTTTATGATGAAGGCGTGAAATAAAAAATGCACGTAAAATTCACGTGCTGCGGAATGCCAGAATTTTGGCATTAAATATTTTCATTGCGGAAACCAAAAACGGTAGCAAAATGACGTGGAAATTATGTAAAAATGACAAAAACATATGCAACAAAATGGAATGGGCCTTTTCAATGCCAAGAGATTAAAAAGTGGGAGTGTTCTAGATAAAAGAATTAGCATGGCAAAATAAAAATTCTTTTTATTACACTTGTAAAAATGTATAGTTAGTTGTGTATACTTAGTTTAAAATAATGAGTCGAACGATACGGAAGGATTAGAAATGTCAACAAACTGATCCCCTGGAAACCGGTCGAATGCCGGATGATCCTTTTTAAGAAAAGTCAGCGCGGAAAGAAGGAGCGACGAAAAGAAAAGAGATCTTTAAAGTAAGTGATTTGACTTATTACATCGAGATCTGGGTTCGCGGAAGAAAATGGGGGAAGGGAATAAAAATGTTCACGGTAAATTTTGGGGCGTCATTTGAGAAATCCGAAAATTAAATGATTAAAAAATGTTAACCATGTAAAAATGAAGGAGTTTTGGTGTTTCGAATATGAATAATATTGTAAACGGGTTTCTAGTTGTTTCTGCTGACTCAGCAAGGCATCTGAGTATATTAAACGCAGTCCTTGGACCATCTTCTACCCAAGAATCAACATCTAAAACAATGTCCAGATCTCGCTTTCGTCCTTTCTTCTCTCCTTCCGTTCCCTTTTCAACTTCCCACTCAAAAATCGCAAAGTGACCATTGGAGAATCTTCATTTCGATTACTCTGCCCTGAAGCAACGTCTATTTTTTGTCTTGGAGGAAACAAAAACCAGTTTCCGCGCGATATTTTTATTTGAAAAGGACACGAATTTCAAGGAAACTGGGATGAACGAAAAAAACGTGCAAATCTAGCCTCGGGCGGCTGGTTTCCTCAGGGCTAATGAGGAGGAAAAAGCCGGTAAAATACGACCAAAAAGACATTTTTTAGTCATCTTCCAACCAATGATGACTAAATAAAATTTATTTTCCTACAAAATTTTAAGAGAATATAACGAATTCGAATACTTTTTTCTCTCGAACACTTTAGAATACCACGAAATGAATGAAGATGACCCAAAATACGGACAAACAAAGTTTTCTCGGTCAAGGAAAAAGCGATAATTGAGAGGCGACGTGCGCGCATTTATTCAAAAAACACAAAAAAGTTATTAAAATTGGGGAACAGCGAGCCATGAATCAATTCTTTTCCCCCCAAACTACTTCTGTTTGACTTACAAATTGGCTTTAAATAGTAAAAAGAACTGTTTGTTCAATCGAAATGGCCGAATTCCCTCTAAATTAGATCCAGCAGACCAAATTATTTCAAATAATAACGAAAATAAGATACGAATACGTTGATGTACACACAAAGATGCCCTTTTCGAATTTTATTATAAAAATGAAAGGCCTTCCTAGGAAAAGAGAGAGTAATTCGACTACTTTCATCCCTTTTTTCTTCCAATTTACTCCAAGCAATCGAAGAAAGGTGCTTTTATTTACAAAAAGTGTCTACAATTGGTCCAATTAGTTGTTTACATCATCAGAAGAGGAGCCGGATAACGGAGATATCTGATATTTGGATACGGCGGATCTTCGGACGATTTTATCAATTGTTTTCCGGTATTCATGACTACAATAGTACGGGATTATACATAAAAAAAAATTAAAATTTGATTACCTGTAGAGATACAATGGTAAGACACTTAGAGAAGCAGCCACATTAACCAAAACCCCGAAATACGCGGATACGATGCAATTGTAATCATCATCCACCAAATGGGGCACCACTAAACTCATCATGGACGCATTCACAAACCATCCAACAGCTACTAATAAGATGATTACAAACAGTGATTTAAAAACTTTAAAGTCCGCATTTGAGGTGCTGATTGATAAAGAAGACTTTCTTAATCTCAGCCAAACTCCAGAATAAATGATGAGATCAGCAACTGTGAGGGCGAAAGAGAAGTGGAAGAAATCTGTGTACGCACGGCCTCCCAAACTCTGGATGATAATGCAAAGAACTCGACTGGAAATAAACATATATAAACACATAGATTCCCAGGAATCTGCATGTTGTAGTAATGGTTGTAACGGAACTTAACGTACTAGAAAAAACGAAGACTTACCGTTGCCCTCCAGATTCCCGTAAATCATTCAAAGAAATGGCTGTAAAATACGAAGAACAGATTAAAGAAACAAGAACACAGCCAGTTAACAACTGTGCTTTAGAAGTTGTATTGTACGAAATGGGAAAAGTTACTGCGTAAAGACGATCCAATCCCACGAACAATGTGAAAACAACACCAGAAATCAAGAAGAACTGGGGGATCAGATTAAATTTAAGACACTCGGAATAAGGGATAAAGTTGTCGGCAGAGATGGTGACAATGTAAAAGTAATACCAATGCGAAGTCATATGGATGGAATCGGCGATGACTGTCATCACAAGAAGGATGTTACAAGACCCTTGGAGTTTGCTATACCCGATGACGATGTTATTTCATTTGAATTCTTACGGATTGATTACAGACGCGGCGACAATCAATCCATTCCCAAAATATCCAATTATTGTGGCTATTAAAATAATTAGTGATGGTAACCATAACTGAATATGTCTTTGGCCGTCATCGTATTCAACGGGAAACTAGGAAAACGGGATTTTAATCGTAAATCAATGGCAAAATGACTCACTTTATACCTAACATTGTAATCAGCCACGCTTCTATTTAAGATTGCATAGGAAGAATTACTTTCATGCTCCAGAAGTTTGAAAATGTCCCGCAAACTATTCATTGGGCAAAAACGTATGACTTAAGGTGCCAAAGCACCTCCATAAACAAGAAAATGTTCTTTTGAGGGAGCGTATTTTATTGAATTAGGTCCATTAGGACTAATACACTCCGAAATGTAGTCTTGTAGACCAATTGGAAGTAGACTCTCAGAGATTGCAGGCAATCTTGGGGAGAAATATTATCTAAATTGGGGACAATAAACGATATGGAGAAGCTAAAAATAGGTGTTTACTATGACAAAATATGACAAATAAATACGGATAAAGATCGCTTAAACACTCTTTGAAGACATAGCTGACGCTGTAAACACAGGGGCATTCTTTTTGGTCTGTTCTTTTAGACGGAGGATCCGGCGAAATGTCGTCCGATACTCTTGGCTGAAGTAGTGTAAGTAAAATCACAGAACGAAGCACTGTTTTAAGCAAAAAGTAAGCCAACTTACCTGAATAAATATAAAGTCACGAATCCCGCAGCACTTGCCAGATTCACAGGAATCCCCCAGTAACACATGACGTCATACTGTAGACTGACAGGTACAAATAAAGGGACCATTACAGCTTGGACAAAGGCATTAGCCAACCATCCAAAGGCGACTGTTAACATGATCACAAACAGGGATCGGAAAACTTTTTTACTTTCATCTGACATCCCTGCTTTGAATCTGAGGAAGAGCCAGACGATGGTGTAGATGATAAGGTCGAGGATATTGATCACGACGCAGAAATAAAACCATTGAAGGGCGACGGCACCGCCGAAACTGTTTACAATCACACATAGAACTGGGCTGAAGAATTATATCATTTTAAGTCGCAGTAATTGTCAGATGCTTTGAAGAGACGCTTAACTCACGTATCTCCTTCATCCGACAACGCATAAAGCACTGACATGACGTAAAAATAACTGGCCAATAAGAGCGCAGCCCCCACTCCCCCAGCCACAACAAATCTCTTATCAGTTGCACCATAAGGAATGGGCATGCTGACAGAAAAGAAACGGTCGATTCCCACGCATAAGGTCATGATTATACTGACGGTCAGACAGTACTGAGGAACTGTTTGGAACCATAAACAGGTAGAGTAGGGGATGAAATTCTGCCCGGAGATTGCGGTCGTATAGAGGTAAATCCAATGGGCAGAGGCGTGGAAAATATCAGAGAAGCAGCCAAAGGCCAGAAAGAAGTTACAAGAGCCGTGCAGATTTCTAAAAATAGGGATGAATTTATGCCATACAAATAATATAAATGACTTAGCTTACTTATTCTTTATGGTAGCCAGAATTACCAAACTGTTGCCAAAGTACCCCAGCAGCATTATGGAGAATAAAATGACACTGGGGAGATACAATCGAAGCTTTACGCCAGCTCCATTATATGTCATGTACAACTGAAATTCGCAACAATTTATCGACAGCACCTAATATAATCTTACGTATTCAGGCATAGTCAATGCCGCTGCGGTCGTAGAAACATTCATATCGTCGATCAAAGTGGTAAAATTTATGACATTCCTCACTTTAGCCATACCAAACAACACTAAAGGCTCTTGATGGGTCGTTCATAGCTGAATGCCCCCGTTCTTGTATTTTATATTGATGTTTGTTGTGCCCGGAGGGTCTCCGGTGGGAGGATCTCATAGAGGGATGGGACACGTTTTTGCCATACCCAGGCATGGGAAAACCCGGTTACAATTAGTTTGCAACTACATTCACAGCATACCTTTCCCAATTGCGTGTTTCTGCTTCCTCCTTACTGAGTCCAAATGTGCATGTATATGTATTATACACATCAATTTTTGCCAAAAAAATTTTTTTCTTATTGAAAACTAATTTATTATATGTATGTAGTATGTTTGTAGTAATCTTAAAGATAACACTGACTCGTTTATTTCTTCCTCTTATAATTTTGGATTTTATGAATGGTGGCTACTGTAGTCTTGCATTCATTGATGATAAAAGTTTTCATAAATTGATAAGCCCTCCAGGCAAGAGATACGAAGTAGATCTGCAGAAGAGCATCGATCACAGCAAACGCACAGAAGATGGCCGTGAGAAGAGTGGGGTCCAGATTGAACCATAAGAGGTCCACCCAAGCAAAGTCTTTCTTCTTGATCAGTTTGAAGAACAACAACAATTTGAGAACGGCCAGGAGAACACCAAAGACTTGAGTGGCTGTCTGAAATTTAAATTATTTATTTCCGAATATTAAAAGAAGAAATCGATATTCGTCTTACATGTAAAACAATTAATGGGAGATATAGCCAAGGTTTATGCAGCATACGAGCCAAGAGTACCAGGAAATATGTGACCAGGGAGACCACACTCAAAATGACCTCGGACCAATTCTCTGTCATCACAGCCACGATGATACTGGCCACACTGATTACAATCCCCACGAAGGAGACGACAAACATTGCATTCTACGGGAGCATAAGCATCATTAGGACCATCAACTTACATGAACAGTGATCCCACAGAAACACGTCCATTCCGGATCATTTTTCTTCATAAATTTGAACACTTATGTCTCGACAAAGGCAGACAAACACAATCAAACTGGGCAGTTTCATTTATTTCGACCATTCCACCTGTGACAACCATAGTAACAGAAGCCGTATCAAAGTCAAGACCCTGTCTTTGGATTTTAAAAACGTGTCCCCAGGGTTCAAAGTTTTTCTATTTATTCAAACAGGAAATGGGGAAATACGAGGTAAAATCAGATAAGGCCGAATGTTTTAAAGAATTTTAAAAAGTAGTAAAATCCAAATCGGGTGTATGATCAACAATTCATTTGCTGCTGAACAATGCATTCATTCATCTGCTGTTGCTGGTTAATGCCCTCAGGCTTGATGATGATATCATTGGATCCACTGTCGGGATGGGCGTAGATTATATTATTGCTCTGATGATCGAAATGCTGGGCATTATCGGGCGGGGGCTGATGCTGATAATGGTCCAAGGTGGAAGAAGGGAGTGGATTGACTTGAGGCTGAGCTGGAGGTTGAGGATTGAGTTGCTGAAGTTGAGGGGGAGGTTGGGGAGTGGGTTGATTGGATGCTATTGGAGTGTGGGGGTTTGTGTGAACATAATGGGAGGTGTTGGAGGGGGTTGAACTTTGCGGAATCGTCTGAAAATATTTTGTCCCAAAAATTGTAACAACAGAAATGTCTATCACAAAATAATGTGGACGCGTCGCGACTTGGAATCGCCCGTCATCGCTTCGCAACGGCTGGGGATTTGGTGCGCGACAGCGATGGGGTGAGACATTCTCGTGTGACGAGCCCACATTATTTTCCCGACAGATTGATGTGTAGTACAATATACATTATAATAAAAATATTAAAGACTCACGATTTCGAACTGATTAATGGACGGGCTATTCTGCATCCCCGTGGTCGATGTGATCGGAGAATAATGATTACTGAATCCCTGATGATCTTCATAGACCTGTCTCGCTCCACTGTTTGTGGGGATCTTCTTTTCTACACTCGAATTACTATTTAGCGGTGCTTGTTGACAGAAAACAGACATCCTGACCAGTTCAGCATCTTGTAGATACTCCATAATCTCTTCTTCTGATTGGGTTTTCTCATAAATGGCATCCAATAACTTAGATGATCGTAATCCCATTGATGGTTGTCTTCCATAAAGCACTTCAAATGGAGAGAATCCACTTCTGTGTTTGGATGAATTCAACTCGAATTGTAATACTCTCAGCATCTTGGCCCAATTGTTATGGCCATGTCTTTTCATGAGTTCATTTAACTGCCCCAGGATGACATCCGATCCCTCGGCTGAATGTCTCATTTCCCCATCCAAAAGACGACATTGTGGCATGATTTTGTTGATCTCTTTGACTACATTCTTCACCGTCTGTCTTCCATTTAATGATTGTAGCACAACTGGTGCTCCTTGATCACAGAAAATATCGACCAAAGAGTCGGCGATCTTGTCCACAGTGTCCATAATCAATGGGCGGAGACGGACTTCATTGGTTTGGAGATTCACATATCGAAGAAAGGCGTGGAAGGCACCATCCGGATGATCATGCATGTTGTATATCTCGAACTAGAAATGTTTTGCTTACGTTAGAAGATTCAAAATAAAACCATTTTTCTAATCAAACAACCTTACCTGTCCTCGAGAAAAGGTCTCCGAATCTTTTTTCTGGAACCCAATATTCAGCGGAGTCGTGGAGACGACACTTGCATTGGCTCCAGCACTAGTTGAGGGCATTCCCATGTCCTTATCGTCCTCCATGTCCTCCAAATCATCATCTTCATCACCAGAAGTGAAGCCTTGAAGTGTCATCAATTGTTTCTTGGTCACGCCATTCATCCTTCTTTGCCTGGGGCAATTCTCGCAAGTGGTGAGGAACATCATTATACAATCTTTGGAGACATTACAGTACCGAGTTCGCACATATCTTTGCATGCAGTTCCGACCGGCATGATTAAGTTGTTCATGGATTCTAAACAAAACTTTGACCATCTCATTGATTAGCGGGCACTACTTGAAAAATAACTTACCCATGCAGAACATCATACATGTCTTCCATGGGAACATATGCCAACGTTGTATTGGCCTTGCATAATTTTGGATTGGAGGGATCAGTGGGATCCGTATACAGACAACAATTCTTCAGTAATCTCTGATCTTGCGGTAACTTTGCATCCCCATTTGCTATAGCCATTAGTCGTTGAACTCTCTGGACATATTCGTATTTGTTGATGACACAAGTATTATTCGGTTTCCGGGCATAAACCGAAGTCGCTTTGGCCAAAAATTTCTGTCGAGCATCGGCCATAGTTGCTGAAATAAGTTTGTCGAATTCTGATCGCAAGATCTCTCTAAAATCGCGCAAAAAAAGAGAATTTCGAACAAAATAAACGTCAAGACTACCGTAATCCAAGAGTAAGTGATTAAAGACAAAGTAAAGGAAAGCCATCGATGGAAGGGTCGTATCATTGGGTTCCCCAAATCTACCGAAAAAGAGAGAAACGGACTCGGAAAGCCTTCTCCCGAGTCCGGTCCAACATCTTTAAGGGGGGTCGGACCAGAGCCGCGACTCCCATTTCCATTCTCTCAGAGAGCCCAGAGAAACGAAACGGACCGGGCGCCTTCCCGCCTCGTTCAGGGGCTTTCGAGGCAGGGGGGAATCAAAATGGGGAGCGGGGAAAGCGTTGGGGACCGAAGTGGGGCCAGGGGTTGCGAAAGAAGAGCGAGGAGAACAGAAGATGGAGGTCACAACAAAGGGAGTGGGGACATTGCATAACTGGGGAACTTCACATTACAGATAGATGTTTGCAAGGTTGTTGCATTGATTCAAAAACATGACATCATGTTTAAAGTAGACATACGCAATCTGATTATCCTCCCTGATGCCTTCCAATCCACCTCCATTTTTTGGAGTGACGAATTTCAGTCGGAATCAGAAATCCCATAAAATGCGTGTTCTGGAGGTGCTCGGCCGTAAGCCGGGCCGACATTTAAAGGGATTCCGGGTCATGCTTTCTCGGTTGGTGGGCCAAGGAGAATGGAATACGACTCCCACAAGCAACTTCCATACAAAGTATAAATCCAGCTAATTTCGAAGCTTTCTTCAATAAATCACCGCTTCATTCGTTCTGTTTAACTTAATCAACAATAATAAATATATTAACAAATATACATTCACTTCGGACCTTGTTCTAGCTGAGGTATCGCTATTAGAAGACCTTCAAATCCGACTTTCTTTAGAATCTGAACAGTTGAGACTATATTATAATTAGTGTGCAGATCCTGGGAGGCCGCTCTTTTCTCAAGTAAACATGCAAAATTGGCGCCAAGATCTTGAAAATCACAAGCGATGGCGAATTCAGACATGTGACGGAGATCCTGAAATTAAATCAACGTTGTCCAAGCTATGGAATTAAGAAGAAAAGACCTAAAAAAGAGTAAAATTTAATGCTAATTAACCTCATAGAATGCCTTGGGAGTAGGGTCTCTTTTAAGTCTTCTGCACAGCTTATTCGCGTCTTGCTGAATCTCCGACGCTTCTGACCAGTAGAATCTGTCGGTCGCTTTATAAGAAAGACTTGGGAGTTTCGAGATTTCGATGTTTCCAGGAGTTCCGAACGGTTTATATTGAACAAATTGACGTGGATAGAACTGGATAACGAGGGCGTATCCGTCTGTTGGGGAATGTCTAAAAAGAATTTGCATCATTGTAAGTATAACCTTACTTTACTGCCCTCAAAAAACACTCTTCTCCCGACGAATGTATCAGGATTCCAGTATAATTATCAACTCGAGTCATCGCTTTTACCAAACAATTCAACGCATCCCTCTTCTCATTAACTACAGGCATCACCGAATGGATCAAAGGAGTTTGCGGAACACGAGTCAGAGAAGATGACATCACAAATCCAGCCAACTTGAAAGTGGGGACTTGTACTGGATTGAATATAGTGCTTGTCATCTCACTGTAGAAGATTACAAGATGTTTGGGGATTCCAGGGGTTACTTTAGCCTAAATCGGAATAAAATAATATTAAATATCGCCTACCTTGACTGTTAATGAAGGGGAAATAACAATATCCACAATTCTCTTCGTTCTTTCTTCGAGGGCATATTGTTTGGCGACCTCTGCAACACAATCGTCCTCAAATAAGAATGTTGGAAAGTACTTCAAGGTATCCAATTCCGCTGGAGATCTTCCCAACCCATAAAATACGGCCATTTCCAAAGAAAAACATTCCAAAGCCGCGATTAATTTCTCGGAAATCCCATCGCCTTCGAAACTGGACAGAAGAATAAATCGCCAAAATGCTGAAAGACGGTAATCTCGAGGGAATTCGAATTCATCCACCATATCCGAGAGCACCAACAATTCGACCGGTCGACTTGCCCGATGATCAGAGATCACTTTTTTGAGAGCCCAGAAGTCAGTGAGTCCATATTCGATATCCGTTCGAGCCAGAAATCTAAAAACACTCAGATAATCCCTTGTTTTTATTTTATAGTATCTATTTCTAGATATTCAACCTACTTTTGAAACAACGTTCGAACCAATCCACCACTCGTTATCCTGCTCTTGGCCAAAACAGGTGTGCCAGCAATAAAAATCAAAAAAATAATTCACTAATAGAATGCAACTTACCAAATGCACATTTACTTCGGATTTTTCAACTTTCTCAATAAAAGTTTCGGCAAAACTGAGGGCTCTATGAACTTTATCAGAGCACCCAACATCTACGTTCTGAGTAATTGTAACGCTCAGATCAAGAACCAAATAAATATCTACGCTCATCGCAACAAAAAGTGTTAAAACGGTAAAAGAATGCCTAAAATATAGCTAAATTCTTTGAATAAAAAATATTTTAAATCATATTACGGAATGCCAAGATCAATGGAAGAAAAATTTTGTCTTGTCGCGAAAACAGAATGACTTCAAAGTTGGATGTATTACAGCCATCCGCGCCGTTTTATGAATTCCGATAGTGCTCTACTCACTGGCAAAGCATTCGTTAGCAACTTTTCAAACGGCGACAATTAAAACTTATGGTGAACTGCGCTGAATCCGGGTTTATAATAATCTTTAGTTTATTGGTATGGAAATTAGGGCTAGCTACACAAGATACTTTAAAAACGGTAATATAAAAAAATGAAAGAAATAAAAACTTGGAACATGTTTAACATAAACGAATAGTAAGAGCATATATCTAATACCTAAGACACGCATTCCTCCTTAAAATCCGCTTTCGGACGGTTGTTGTTCAAATCGTTGACTTTCTTCTGTCCGGCAATATTGTTATTCTAAAATCAGAACACTCAAAATAAATTGTACACCTACGAATTCATCCGATTGCAGATGGCCTCCAAAGTCAACGTTGTTCAAGATCAGCCCAAAAGACATCATCGCCAGAGGGAATGCAAGGTCGGTGTACACAATCAAGCCCAGGATCATGATCACAGTAGCAATCGGAGACTAAAAATAATGTTTTTTTCATTATTTTAGGTAACATTAATTTTGAAATTAGAAGACCAAGTAAATTGCAACATACTTTGATGAAAAAAATACTCCAAGCGATGGGATCATAATCTCCCGGCAGAATAGACAACAAATAGTGTTGATAGTAGGCTGAAATTGACAGGAAAATCAACAGGTGTCTACGTAAGACAATATAATTTTACCCAGAAAATGGAAGGCTGGAATCAAGAGAAGGCAGACGATTCCAATCATCATGATAATGGTCCAAATCAACACCATCTTCCTCACCGGCATCGTATTTTCGTGTGATTTCAGCATCGTTTTCCAGTTGACTATAAAAAACAACAACAATGCCAAGAAAAAATCGAGGAATTTCGTTTCTTCGCAACATCGATTTGTAAGTTGGAATTATTGATTGTTGCTTCAACGGGAAGATGAAACACAAAGTTACAGTGTATTGAGCATGTCCAATTGTTTTTTTGTTCTCAAAATATTTATGACACATTCTTCTGGATGTCTAATGGTATGTGAAGTGTGCGAAAACGGTCATTACCATATGTCGTTTATTCCACATCACTCAAAAGCTTTAAGAACAATTTACATACTTCTTGAATTTGACTTTTTTCCAATTATGTTATCCATAGGAATAACGGAATAACTGATGACTTGATGAAATTTTAATTTACCGATCGAAACTAATTCTACTCCATGACTTTTGGCAATATTTTTGAGCTCTCATTGCCTTCCATACAGTTCTTCGTACTAAAATCTCTCTACTCTTCACCGTTCGGCTAATTTTTTTATCTCTTAACTCAACATTTGAGTGCCAGTGTAACCCTAGAAGTTCCCACGTTTGGTGGAAGGAACCGCACAAATTGCAAAAACAATGACACGATTGCGTTTTCAGGGAAGTGTCTATAAATAGATTACCTACCCACACCTACTTCCGTTCATGTTGCGGTCTGTTTCTGATGCAATCTCTGAGTTTAATTTCTGTGTAAATAAGTAGTAAATCTTACTGTATGTGGCTAGAGATCGTTCGAACTTTTTGATGTGACCACCCAAGTTAAGAGAATGCCCATTGTCTGCAGGAAAACACGCAATAATATTTTTCTGGATATCAATCTTCAGTGGATACTATACTAGATTATGTATGCCCTATAATTATTTTTTACCTCATTTGTTAATATGAGGGATTTGAGGGTGAATGAGTATGTGGGACTGTCCTTAACATGGTCTTATTGAATACAAGAGTTTGCGGAGGTGTTGTTCATCTTATTTTCCTCTCCTTTCTTCACGTTTTCCGTCAGGCTTCCTTAAGACTTCCTTGAAATCCAAAATTGTGTAACAAATGGCTAGTATAGTAGAATAGATGATATAATTGGTCTGTGGATGGCAGTTATGACCAGAATTTCTGCTCAGCTCACTTTCTGTTCATTTCGTTTAGTGAAGTAGTAATCTCTCCCCATTCCCCTGAGGTCGCAAACTTTCCACGAATTAATAAAACGTCAAGTTTCTCATTTGAACGGCAGTGAAGCTTAGGCCGTTCCCATTTTTATGGCATTCTTGAGTTATTCTCTATTTGTAATTCTTGGTGGATTTTTAAGTCAAAGCATACTGTATATCACCTGGCGTCCTTGTATATTTATTTGCACAACACTCCCATGACATTGCAACACCATTTTGTTTTTTGTAATGGAAGATGTTCTTCTTTTGTTATCCGTTTTCCATGATATCCATTTCCGGCACAGACATCACTTGTCTCCTCAGGGCTTGACTTGTTTTTATTGCAAAAAAATATTTTTAAAAATTCCAATTTTAGATGGAATTAAGTCAATTTGTGATATGAATAGATCGTGTTCATATATTTGAAAGCAGCTAATATGACTTAGTCCCGTGTTGTTACCTAATGACGTGTATTTACTGGGTTATTTAATGGAATATATGCAATCATTTCGGAGTTTAGCGAATGGGGGAAACTTGTCTTCTGTTATGTATAGAACAGAGTTTGAGAACGCTTCAGAACATGCACGATCCGTTTTGTTACCGTAATCTGGCCATATTAATCATCCCACGCAGTCCACGTGTAATGTTGCCTTTTAAAGCTCCGAGGGCAAGACGTAATCCGAGAAAAAACTTTTACTTTTTACTTACTTGTCCTGGTTTACAATTTCGTTTATCGTAATTTAAGCCCAAATGTAAACTCGGAAAAGCCCGCCCTTTTCCTGCGTATATAAGTGTAGATGTAAAAAGGATGCCAACTAGCCTTGTTGAGGGAACCCAACGTTTTGGATAACCGGGTTACGTGAGTTACGTGACGTCGGGTTGTGCGTATTTATTTAAGTTCCTTTTTTACTGTTGTTTTTTAGAGTGGCCGGAGCGATGTCATCCAATCAGTTTGTCAGACTTTTCTTTGTCCTTTTCTTGTCGTTTTTCGTGAATTTCGCGGTGGCTCAGTGGGATTTTGATGATTCAAATGGAGCGGAAGTGTAAGTTTAATATTATTGATGTCCCATTGTAAGTTGAACAAGGCATCATTATTATAAATTTATTTTAGTGGCCAATTCTGGCGTCCTGCGCGATCTCAGATGGCTCGATATGGAATGCCCTGGTCCCATCGAGTCCGTCCAAATGTAAGCTCAAAGTAATCATCGTTTTGTTACAGTAATCTTCTCCATTTTAGGGCAACAACATTCCCCAATGTCTGTTTTGTTGATCCCTGCTGTTACCCATGTTAATTTTGTGCTCTTATTTTGTGAATAAATGTACATTCCCCGACACAAATTGTGTGATCCATTTTATAAGGCATATATCTACATTTACGGTAGACAAAGAGGATATCGCCTTATGCAAAATAGGCGTAGATACTAAGAAGATGAAAGTGTTTTCAGGCTCCTAATGGCCCAATCAAAATAAGCACGGAGAAACCAAAAGAAGAGAAGATGGAAGGAGATGTGGTCATGGCATTGAGCGACAAAGTCTGGCATCCTCGTATGAGATCTAGAATGTTCTATTAATCGGAGAGTCCTCCATCCAGAGAATAAAGTTATATATTGCCTATAATAATATGTACAATTTAATGACTGTTATAGGCGGCATAGTTAGTTTAAATTTTAATGTTCCAAAACTTTGTAAATTGCCTTAAAATTTACAACAGCCCATCATTTTTGTCGTCCTGAGAAAAGCGTTTTGAGCAGTGCTTTGGAAGGTAAACGAGTCTACCTTTATTGTTTTTATCAGTTGACTCCGTCGATGGAAACTCGTTTTCCCCGATGTTGAAAGCCTTGAGGAGTAAAAGTGAGACCGCTACTTTGTTTTAAGCGCCCGCCGCCCCCTTCTTCAGCGTCGCTATTTAAGGCCGGTCGGAATCCCAAAGCCTCGTATCAGTCTCTGGTTTCTATAATCATGGACGTGGAAAACCGTTTAAAGGCTTATCGTTTTGTGGCCTATTCGGCCGTCACTTTCTCCGTGGTCGCCGTTCTCTCGGTCTGCGTGACCTTGCCCATGGTCTACAACTATGTGCACCAAGTCCGCAGACAAATGCACAACGAGATCACCTACTGCAAGGTAAGTATTTTTATTATTTGCTATTTTGACCTGGCGACTCTTACTAATTTTCTCGGTTCCAGGGATCAGCCAAGGACATCTGGGCTGAGGTCCATCAACTCCGCAGTCAGCCATTCGCCCCAGGAAACCGTACCGCCCGTCAGGCCGGCTACGGAGACTCTGGCGTTGGAGGTGGTAGCGCTGCCGCCGGTGGCGGAAGCTGCGACGGCTGCTGCTTGCCCGGTCCCCCAGGACCAGCCGGTACTCCCGGTAAGCCAGGTCGCCCTGGTAAGCCCGGAGCTCCCGGTCTCCCTGGAAACCCAGGAAAGCCGCCAGTCCAGCCTTGCGAGCCCGTCACCCCACCCCCATGCAAGCCATGCCCACAAGGACCACCCGGCCCTCCAGGTCCACCAGGACCCCCAGGAGATGCTGGAGCCCCAGGTCAGCCCGGAAACCCAGGACAAGATGCCGCCCCAGGAGAGCCCGGACCAAAGGGACCACCCGGTCCACCAGGACAGCCCGGTCAACCCGGAGCCCCAGGAGAACCAGGAGCCCCAGCCGTCTCCGAGCCAATCGTCCCCGGCCCACCAGGACCTCCCGGAGACCAGGGACCACCAGGCCCACCAGGACCACCAGGACAGCCAGGAGCCGATGCCGGACCAGGACCAGCTGGACCCAAGGGACCACCTGGCCCACCAGGACCACCCGGAAACGACGGACAGCCAGGACAGCCCGGTCAAGCTGGACCTCCAGGCCAACCCGGAGAGAAGGGAATCTGCCCCAAATACTGTGCCATCGATGGCGGAGTCTTCTTCGAGGATGGAACCAGACGTCGTTAAGCACTCTACTTTGGGTCGACGGGACTGGAATTGGGAGATTTGGGCCCGCTTTAAGGTTCTCGGACTGGAGAGCGTTGGCTTTGGTTTTCTGGTTCTTCTCCAGTCGAAGGCCAATTAAAATTATTTAAGATAAGGAAATAAACATCTCCTTAGCATTTGTTGGAATATTTCTATTATACTTATGTTATCCGGTATTCAAATGTTTTCCAAAAGGTTTTCTCATAACCTGGTAAACAACGCTCTCGGAATAGATCGCAGACCTGAACGCGGGGGCTTGTAAACATTGTTTCTAGTTTTGTAATCAATTAATCGGAGTCAAAACCCCGCTAAGAGCTCCTTGAGTTATTTGCATTGTGTCTTCGAGTATTAACCATAATGGTATAAAATGAAGAGCTGATTGTTTTAGTCATCATTCCGAGGTCTGACCTTTTTTCTTGTTTCTAGAAAGTAATACCTGCCCTGTTTATAGTCATCATGCCATCAGTTAGCCCAGTCGTCCTCTTCTGCGTCGTTATTTTGGCTTTAAACTTGATCGTTGAATATGCAAACGCCCAATATTTGACGTTCGGACCGGCTCCTGTTTTGGGTGGCCGTGGACTTGGATTGTTTGGGAAGAGAGATGCTGGATTCAACGACGGAAACTCGACTTTTTAAATGATTTTTATGATTTTATATGGCTGTAAATACCAAAGACTTTAAAATAAAAGTGCTTTATAAGCAAATAATTACTGTAACTTTCTGATGTATATATACGTGTACATCTAATCTCGGCCTGACTGCAAACAAGTGTACTCCTTGTACTAGTAAGTGCGAGGCGGTAATCTAGTGAGTTCCTTGTCCCCATAAAGCGGTGGCCTACTTCCTTCCGGCCATTCTTCCGTTTAATTCAAATTATTCGATAAGTGGTTTCGTATTTTCGGGTAAAATCCAAAAAAACTCCTCGGAAAAAGGGGATTGGCACAAGCCCGGAGGGCATCGGTATTCGAGTAATCATCTCTTCCTAACAAGAGTGACCACTTGTGCTTGTAAATAGAGGATTTGCAACGGTCAGTTGGATGTCTCGACATCAACATACCAGTGAGCAGGCGGAGGAAAAGGTAGGCCCGAACCCGAATACTCGTCAACAACTTATTCCGAGGAGTTGAACACTTTGGTTTACAGGGTTCTCGAATATTTTTCGAGAATTTCGTGGTCAAGGATTACTGTAGTTTTTATTTAAAAAATATTTAGGGAAAAATTACAGTAATCCAAAATACTTTAGGACCAAAAAAAGTCTGTGGCATTTGTTGTCGACTTCAATTCGAGCCCCACGACATCATCCCCTCCGGAAAAGATGAGCGAAACTCCAACCCAGAAGAAGAAACAAGTCCCTCCATTGCCCAAGAAAGGCGGCAAGGCCCTGAAACCTGTACAAAACGATGAATTAGATAGAGTCGCATTGACTGGAATCGAAGATGTAAGTAGTTCCTGTGACAATAGATACTGTAAATTATAGCTGGACTCGGACCTGTTCGACAACATCAGTTATCTCGATTTGATGACTAAGAAACATGACCGGGACGAGAGAAAACGTCGAGAACATATGGACAATCTCCGAAAACTTCGTGAAAAGTGGGTTTGAATGTAATTTGGAATAACAGAAATTGTATGGAGAGTCGGGTTTAACCTTTCTCAAAAGATTTTATAAATATGGACCGGAAAAAACAGAACGAGTTGAGGCAGAAAAAAGAGATTACTATCTACTTTCAACACTCGTTTACTTCACAGAACATTTATTTTCTGACCAATGAGGGAAAAAGGAGTAAACGTAATGGAAAGCAGTCAGTTTTGGGGGAAGATGAGACCGTTCTGGAGGATGTTTCAAACATTTTATGAGTGTAGAGAGCTATAATGCGTTTTTAAAAAAATTTTCGTGTAGATGACCACACACCACTGTCAAAAACTCCCGCAAATTTTTGTCAATTTGATCTGCAAAATTCTTTGAGGTCAAAATTTATCCGACAGCTCTTGTAACAGTCCTTTTTTCATATGCATTTCCGACCTTTTACTCTCCTTTTCTCAATCATTTCTTATGTCCATCGCCATTTCCTAACTATTTATGGCCTTTTGTGATGACAATCCCTTTTCTCCCTATTCCTTTCACTCTTTCCTACTACTCCTTGTTGATGTTTATTTATTGTAATTACTCTCAATTCATACTTATTACTTTCTATACAACTTTACACATTCCATGGCCGTTTATATAGATTTGTTGTACACTTGTTGTGTGTGTGTTGGATCTCAAGCTGAGAAGTCCTCTTTTTGACTCAAAGACGAACAAAAAAGGAGACAAGTCTGCATCGGAGGTGATGGCGGAGGATGGGGATTCCAGTTGGGAGGATGGTCATGAATGCAAACCAGCTGTTTTCTTGCAATTTACTGTAAGAAGAAGGGATTTGCCATGTATTTGTGCGGATTGTATGAGAGATAAGTATTTGTATGAAGACAGAATAGAGGAATCGGGAGAAAAGATGGTCACGGTGAGGAGGAATGACGATGGAGATGCCTGTTGGGAATGTAAGTCACCAAATGTTGTCTTATGCTTTTATTTGTGCACTTATATCTACTTCAACACTATGCCTTTTATACATATAATAATTTGTCTGCTACAATCGTATAATAACTTCTCTGCTACAGTATCTTTTTTATATTTTTTTTGCTCCGTGATCTTTAATTAATCCTCTTTGTTCCTCTAACTCCATCCTATAGATCCCTCTTCGACTAATCGAAATCGACCCTCCTCTCCCTCCCCTCCTATCCAACGTCGGTCCACATCTACATCGTCTAAAATTAATCCGGACGATCGGCCAATCCGCCCCGCAACCAATCAAACGATGCCATGGGATCGGCCACGAAGTTCTCGGAGATATTTTGACATTTATGATGAGGAAGATAGCGATGAGGATCTCCGAGATTACAGATATCGACGACGACCAGCCTCAAACAGGGTAACCAACTCTTCCCCTTCGTTTTTGCGAAGACAAACACCACTAACATCATCAATTAGAAGACGGAAAAGTTCATCGGAAGGGCGGAGACCAAGGACTGTCAGGTATTTGGACGATTATGCACTGTACATCCCACCAGCAGACGACACGGAGACCGACGAACCTTATATAACTGTCCGGACCCCGAAGAGATAGTGAGTTGAATCGAATTTGGAGCGAAGGTGTATCGCATGTATTAGTCCTCGTCTATGTCAAGTCTTAACTTTACATCCCAAGAAGCAGTTTTTTTTGTTTACCGACTGAGTTCGTAATGCAAATCTTTCCATCACTTATTCTTCGGAACGCCCGATTACACACAATTGGGCCTCAACGGAAAGTAGGTGGCCATAATATGGACCAAGAAAATAAATACTGCAAAGTGAAGGGACCGACGGAAATGGATGTCTGGAATGGTTTTTGGAGTAGTCGTTTTTATATTCCACATTAAGGGGCAGAGGTCGGCTAAGATTATGGGCCGCGGGTTTCTCGCGGGGTATCTGGCTGATTTGTAATCGTACAATAGATGCAGTTGGGTGTGTCACAAAAATACATCAGCTGGTTAGGACTTTAATTGTACTAATAGGGCACGCACTCAAATTGCGACGCATTTTTAAATATTTCTAAGAAGTTTATGCGGCATTTTTAGCTCGCGTTTTGCAGAAACTACACGAACCGCTTCCGCGTTTCACGTACTCTGTCGGCGGCAAATATCGGTGAATATCTTGGCTGTGACTGCAAATCGCAAACTAAGACTTTTAGGATTTATTTAATATGTGGCCCTGTATGCAAAGTTTAATGAAAATCTTAGCGTCGCACTTGGAAGCCCTCACTTGCAAATTAAAAATTGGGGAGACTGTTTGGAATAATTTAATTAATATTGTAATATTAACTTTATTTTAGCGCTGAAAAGATCTCAGCTCGAGGTCAGCCACCAGCCAACGAGCTCTCCAACTTTGCCAACTCCACGGATCAAGTCACATCGGACGCGACACAGATTTCGGACGAAAGTACCGACTTTGCTTCTGATCCTGACGGTGCTGATAATAAGATACAGCCAGCCACTCCAACGTCAATGAATGTCGATCCAGCTATCCGGCACATCTGGAATGAGGCCATCGACTTGAGTGAAGTCCGGAATGTGGATGACCAGGCCGAGTTCAGATCATTGCTAGCTCAACTGGGAATTGATGTAAGTTTCAACTTTCAAAATAATCGAATAATGTAGCAAACCTTAAAGTAATGATTCTTTATTAGCAAATCTCGGCGGCCACTTTGTCCAGATACAACGTTCGTGGCCACATGGATCACTACGATCATCCTGCTCTCTGTTATCCAAGATATCGAGGGCCGGCTACCCGGAACAAAGTCCCCTCAGGTCTCAAGATTATCCGGTATCTTGGAGATAAATTGGAAAAAGAGAATCTACCAGAAGATGAATTAAAGTAATAGAACAATAACAATTTCCCAACCTAATTTTGTGATTTATAGACCAGGAAAGTTCTCCGGAATCTTTGGCTACCATATGATTACTCCAGCCGACAATCGAGTCGTCCTCACCACCAATGAACGCGATGCTTTGGCTGTTTATGACTCCACCAATGGCATACCAGCATTGTCGTTACCCTTGGGGGAAAGATTGGATCAAAATGTGATGTCATATCTCGAGGATTTCGATCTGATTTATCTTTGGTTTCCCTTAATTCACGAGAAGCATGCTAAAGATTACGCGTCGTATTTAAATTCAGCCAGATGTTATATAATTACGAAACCGGAAAGACCAGTGGAATTGTTGAGAGATGACCGATCTGGAGAGATTTTGAAAGGGATTCTGGAGGCCGTAAGAGTCAGATTCCGGGGGTTTCGATCACTGATTGACATCAGAGAAGAGGTCAAGAATGAGCTGGTTCAAAGCAACTCAAGAACGGTTGGATTCGCACAAGTAAGGCGCTAAAATAACCAAAAATCATAGTCAATAATAAAAATTTGAAACTATTCTAAATTATGATTCTAAATTTTAGTGGAAGCGTCTGGAAGCTCTGAATCGATATCTGAAGGGCTTCCGGCCGGGAGAATTGACAGTCTTGACTGGAGGAACGGGCTATGGAAAGACAACTTTCCTGTGCGAATATTCAATGGATTTGTTTAGCCAGGGTGTAAGTATCTTGAAATAAGTACTTGTAATCGTTTCCATGATGACGTTTTAGGTCCGAACCATGTTCTGTAGCTTCGAAATGCCGGATGAAAAGATTCTTAAATGGATGCTGGTCCAATTTGCCGCGTAAGTCTCGAAACGAGCATCTTACGTCAATCCCGCCTCAGCTATTTCCTGACCCAGGTTTAATCGATGTGGCGTTTCGTCACGATTTTTTTCCATTGACTGTTTTATCTTGGCTAGCCTGGGCAAAACCTTGTTCTTTGTTAGAACCGAATGTATTAATTTTTTCTTGATTTTTTGATACCAATTTTGCCCACCAAAAATTCCTACAAAAGAACTTTGATATCAAAAATCTTTTCCTCAATCAATTGTGTGTGGACGAAACGTCAAAACGGGGCAGGAAATGCGCTGGATTGACGTGCATCCTCTTATATGTATAAAACATCGCTTAACTGTTATTTTATATTTACAAATATCGCCCAAAAAATATAAAAATCTGTTCCCAGGCCCGCCCATATTCGGTCTCTGGCACGGTCGCGGACATACCACAACGGTCTCAAGTACGGTAGTTTCTGTATGTGGCGTTTGATTTGAGAGTGTTTGCAGTTGCTGTCTTGTTGGGTGAGGCATTCCTGGGGCTTGTTCTTTCTTGGTCCAGGAATGTGAAAAGCTTTAAATTGAATGGGCGGTCGATTCTCTTCTGTTGAAAAAAAAGACAAAACTGCAAGCAATCTTTCAATCGAACGCAACAGCAGAGAAACGATCGCACTGTGTCTAATATGCCTTGTTGTGATAACAATAGTCATCAAAATTGCAGTAACTGCATGTATTAACAACCTCGTCGTGACACACGGTCTTCAATTTTGTAATGACCACTATTCCCACATAATCAAAATACTTTGCAATTTAATTCCAGACTCCCCCTACATCGGGTTGATCATCATCAAACCGTTGAGGCCTGGCTGGATAAATTCGAACGTTCTCATGGAGAGATGATCATCATGAAGACAAATGAATTCCGAAACAAAACTGTCTCTCAGATGGCTGATGTAAGTAAATCGATCCCTCCATGATGACGTCATCTTTCCAGGAGATCCAAGCTCAAGTGGTTGCAGCTGGAATTCAGCACGTTGTGATTGACAATCTTCAGTTTTTGGTGGGGATGGCCACTCTTTCCAACGAAGCTTCAACCGCTCAAGACAAGTATAATACTCAGGTAAAGAGTGCAATCTATTCGTAAGACTTTGCAGGATCGTTTCATCGGACGTCTTCGTCGAATGGCCAATGATTTGGGAATTCACATCACAGTCGTTGTGCATAGCCGCAAAATCTCTGATGTAAGTTTCTGTTGGTCAACAGAATGCATAATGTAATCCAATTCTAGGCCGAAGATCTTGAACTACAACACATTGGGGGATCAGCCCGGATCACCCAGGAGGCAGATAATGTGCTGGCAATCCAAAGACGTCGAGATCCCTCTGATCGCAGCAGGGAACGGAAATTCTTATATGTAAGCAGAAACTCAGGTAGTATTTAAAACCCCTTCAGATCCTAAAGAACCGCTACGGAGGTCGCCGAGTTGAGAGCGATCGCCTGGAGATGATCTTCCAGCAGGCCACCTATACCTACACTTTGGTCGATCACTCCCAACCCAAGTAATTTCAATCTAATCCTTATCCCTTCGTCTTTCATATAAGGATGGTGACATACAAATCAAATCGGTTTTCGTGGCCAGAACCCGTGATTTCTTGTCTGTTAGGGTTCTAGACAAGAAATGCGTAATTCTTGTCTGAAATTGCGTAACATTTCGCAATCTTGCGCAATATTGCCGTGGAGATTTTTTTCTTTTTTTCTCTGCTCAGACAAGAATTGCGCATTTCTTGTCTAGAAGCCTAACAGACAAGAAATGGCGATTTCTGGCCACGAAACCCGATTTGATTTGTATGTCACCATCCTTATATATAAAACTCCTCCAAGTTGAGTCTTTCATTCCACATGATTGCAGTACTCCTATTTGTTAGAAACGTCTAATTTTAGCCTCTAATAAGTACTGTTAGTCCCGTCAGGATTCATTTCAGATACAGTCCCTTAAATATTTGAATACATAGTCGCTACCAGTATAAAGTTTGTAACCGAATCTTACATAAAGTTCATTTATTTTTTGAATAAATATTTGGAGACGGCGAAATAATAGGACCTCAAGGACGGTAAGTTCCGTTGATGATGGCGAGTTGAAGGAGTTGCTGACGTTTATATTCATCATATTGGGGAGTCAAAAGACGACGGACAGATTCGACGGCCTCTTCCAGACGATCGTGACAGCGTTGACGATCGGGGTCAGAAGAAATCACGAGGACGTGGAGCTTCTCATTCAGATGCTGCCAACCGTCCTTGTTGCGCAACTGCACCTCTTTGCGACTGTCCTTAAAATTTTGTGCTAAATTTACTTCATCGCATAACATCGCCAAAATAATTTCTTCAACAATAAATCAAAACTATTGCCTGAAAAAAGCTTACCTTCACAGATCCACGGCCCCTGATCAGAATCTTGCAGGCAGTCTCGCTTTCCAATCGGCGCACTGAGATGCCCCGAGGTCCAATGATACGACCAATAAAATTGTACCCCTCAACTTTCGGAATGAACAACTTGGCACACTGAAAAAGGAAAATGAATCAAAAATCTAAAAAATGACATGACTTATATTCTTACTTGAGATTGGGCAATTGGGATCCCGACTTTCTTCAAATAATGCAGATCCTCCGGCATATGATCCAAGAACTGAGTCTTCAGTTCCGGGATCTCAGCAGCTTCAAGAATGGGACTGAACTTTCCCTTCGGAGATGCATTACTTCCTGTACCTCCAGATCCAGAAGATTGGGGAGTCGAGCGATAGGATTGAGTATCTCCAGCCGGAGTGCCCTGACCAAAGTTGCGGAACTTGTTAACAGGAGTCGATGGGCGGTAAACAAAGTCTTGCGAAGCCTAAAACATGTTAAGAACACAATATGTCTACAACCTTACCACAAGTTCGTATTCACCCTCTGTAGGCTCAATCGCCGTATCTGCGTCAACTGAAGTAACCTCTGAGTCACTGTCGAAGGCAGAGCCGGTGACACTCCTCTTTTCATCATGTTCAGTAATTGGATCTTCCAATTCGAATTCAGAACGACCTTCACTACGTCGAGCACGGTGAAGAACGGCGGGAGGGACTCTGAGAGGAGGCTGTCCAATGGTTCCCAACACCGAGGAAGAACCAACCCGTTCACGGTTGGGACGGTACAAGGAATTGGGGTCATCGTTGCTCAGATATCCCTCAACTCTCAGCAATTCCTGGTTCAGGAGGCGACGAGCGTGAGTGGGAGTGAAATCAATGCTGCCCCAGCGAACCAATTGATCCAAACTATTGATCTCGGCATTCAGTTCTCGACAATAACTGGAATTCCTAACACATTATTAAATTCAACATTTACAATAAGAATAAAAAAACCATACTTTTGAAGGGACCTTTTCTGATTGAATCCAGGGCTAGTCTGAGATCTGCTGGATCTCAGCTGGGAGGACTTGTTCTGATGATGGGAGATCGGTTTGTCGCGGCTACTTCCTCCAGTCGAAGGAGTGTTCCGATTGTTTTGGCGAGGCCGAGCAACCGGAGTCTTCGGATTAAAAGAGTTGAGGCTGGCTGGAAGACCGGCGTTAAATCCATAAGCGGTTGGGTTGAAGCCGGCATGGAGACAGAAGGGGTTAGCAGCAGACTTGGACGAGTTCTTCTTTCGGATACTGGTCTGGGCTGCAGGCAAATTAGAACTATCCGTAGAAACACGACGACGTTCGGCCGCGATCAATGAGCAACGTTGAAGAGCAGCGAGAACATCCTCGGCATTGGGGCTCGAAGGTTGAGTTGGAGAGGATGGCTGGAATTAAAGACTTAAATCAGAGGACAAGGTTTTCTTACCCTTTCATTGGAGGAGAACCCGTCGGAGACCGAAGGAGCTGTGGCCGGAGTTAAACTCTGCCCAGACTTGATGTCACCATGAGCATGACGAGGGGTCTTGTCCAGGTCATTCGGCTGGGCGGAGGACGATTTCACGGGAGTGGTTGGGAGTTTGGAGGAACGGGCTGGAAAGAATCACCGTGGTCGACAACAAACAGAATCAAAGTTAAAATCCAATCAGAAAAGTTACCATTTTCCTGCTCGACGCCCTCGAATCCGTTTCTGGCCATGGATTCTATGGCTCAATCTGGATTCGATTTTTTGACTTTGAAGCAGCTTTCCCAATCGAGAAACAGCGAGTCAAATAAACGGCCGCAATTCTCAAACACGGCGATCGCAATGAATGACCGATTCGGCCCGTCCAAAACATAATTTCAGTAAGTTCAAAATACTTTTTATGCAAAACAATTTCTTGGAATTTTATGCAAATTTCATCGCCTTATGTGTCTTAAACAAAGCGTGATCAAGCAAGTGCTCAAACTCGGAAGTCCAAGGGTTTTATTACAACTTCCATTAGAATAAGTTTCAGTGATAAAATTTTTAAAAAAATTTGAGTCTCGAAGCCGTAGTCTTTCCAAATTTCTCGAGGAATATGGTGAGGGACGAAGAACAAGGACTTATTTGACAATGGAAGCAGATTGTGTGACGACAACGACGACAAACCTGGAAATAAAACCGATTAAACATGTTCGGACCTCGTCAAAATTACGGAACTGGGACGATTGGGGAAACCGAAAACTATTACTTTTCTTCGGTTTCGAATTGAAAGAAGCACCACCAAAAACCCCCTAATGTATTCATGAAAAACATTCAAAAGATTACTACTTTACAGGACTACTTAAGAAAAAAAAACTATCAAAAAAAATTAATGTCATTTTTGAAATCAACGCCCTCGATTACCCTAATTTCACACTTGCATCAAAGAAAAATAATACTTTTCGGTTTCCGTAAAGGTACTTTTCCCATTCGCCCAACTCCGCAAAATTGCATTTGAAAAAAATATTCTACCTTTAAATTGGACGAATATTGATCTCCCGGATCCTCGGTTCGGCACAATCTGCATGGAACTTTAAGCCGGGCTTCATCCAAGAACTCATCATGGCTTAACTCACCTCTTTTGAAGCTAAAAAAGTAATAATACTTGAGAAATTACAGTAATATTACCTGGCCACGGCCTCCTTTATCAGATCAGCGATGATTGGATCCACAGATTTCTCATAATAAGTGGCAAAATGAGTTTTATCTTGTTCTTCAGCAACCATTATTATCAGAACTCCTTGGAGAAGACGAAGTTTGGATCTGAGATTGAGACTATATTGGCATGATATGTCCAACATATGAGCCAGTTGGAGAGCAGTGACCTCTTTGAACAAAAATGGAAGTCTCGCAACGAATAATTCACAAGCTGAACGAAGTTTGGGGACTTCAAAGTGTTTAGAAAGACGAGCTAGGACGGAGAAGGTATGGGCTAAAAGAGTCAAATATATGTAGGTATAAGAGTTTATTAAAATACAGTAAGACTTACCAGTGACTGGAGAGGGGAACATCCCAAGTTCGGTTGGACAGAGCGTCTTCACAGCCTCCAGAATCTCCTCAAAACAAAGATCTTCCAGCTGAGGTTCAATGGAAGTTCTCCCATGATGAGTGAACTCTCGAAGAAGGAAGGCCGACACCTGAGGCGATACATCCTGTATATGTTTAGGGTCCACAAACAAACTCTGATTGGCCACTCGAACTTCCAGATGACGATTTGAATCAGGGATTCGGTAATCCACCTAAAATAATACGATTATATAAACATTTGCTCAAACAAAACCTCGACGGTCTGAGAGTACAACACCTCCCTCTTCAATGCTATTGTTGATGCCATTTCCAAGACTGTTGAAAACCCGATGAAGATCTCGTTGACTACCAATGCGACTATGATGACTACCATTATTGCTATTTGCATGACGATGGGATAGATCGAAGCGAACAGGATGACGTTGTTGCCTGTGGGGATGAAGATGGAGACCACCGTACTGGAACTCTTCTCCTGAACGATGTCGATGACGGGAAGGAGAAAAGCATCTGGAAGGATGGTGGCGAGAAGGAGAAGTGCATCTAGAGGCGTGCTTGATGGTTGGGACTCTGTAATGACCATGATAATAATGGGCAACTACTCAACGCTTTACTCGAAACGAAAGTCATGGTAAATATATGGCTCGGGACTTCTAAATCTCTCCGCAAGAGTCCATCCGAACCCTGCAAATTTAGTACAAAGTTAAAAGTTGCGCAATCTGACATAACATTGCGCAATTTCTCTCTTTGTAAGAATTTCTGCCTTTCTCTGTCGTCTCCTCCTTTTTTGTCAACTTTTAACTTTGGACTAAATTTCCAGGGTTCGGATGGACTCTTGCGGAGAGATTTAGAAGTCCCGAGCCATATATTAGTCTAAAAAAATTACACGAACTTCAAAGACTCGCTGAAAGCACCGAAATCAGAGATTGTGGAGTTCGGAGTGGATGATAAAAGGCTCCTTGTAGACAGACTGGGCCTGAGTTTGAGATTTGGTGGTCGATTCAGCCTTCCTCCTTCTTTCTCCATCTCGCTAAACATCAAATAATGAGGCAAAAACAACATTTGCAAGAATTATATTACGAATGATATCAAACCTCGAAAAAGCCGCGTATAATCGTTACGAATGGATAACAAGAGCTAATCAGCAAATCGCAACGCATATATTCCACATGAGATCCACACCAAAAAAGTTTCGTTCGAGCCGAGTCAAAAGAAGACCGAAAACAGCTACCTTTTATAGCAGCTGATAAGTCGTGATGTTTGTTTTACAGAGTCCCTGTATTAATACTCAAATGAACTATAAATGAACTAGGAAAAGTAAATGTCTGTTCGGGAAGAGGAAACCGACGATGAACCTTGAAGAAGCGGTAAATAAATCGCAAAGGTCGTCTGAAATGTGAAGGTATTTGGAAACAGCCAAATGATAAGATACAGAACAGAAGCCAACGCAAAACAATATTCATCTCAAATTTGCAAGCCAGGCGGCGTCAGTAAATCTTTATTTCGCGAATTCAAGACGTCTTGACCCGAGGTTCTGCAGCAAAATTTCGAATAAATCTTGGTTAGAATGTGACACTTCGTCGATTTTAAATTGTAGTTTTTTAGATTGTGGAAGATAAGGTTATTTTTGCTGCTTTCTGCAAAACGGAAGAAACAAATTTCTCGATTACTTTTATTCGACTTTACAATCACAAACGAGCGTCCACACCGCCCGTAACAAGAACAGTTTCTCCGGTGATATAGGAGGCGTCTTGAGAGGCCAAGAAGGCGACTAAAGAAGCGACCTCTGGCGGAGCTCCGAGACGACCAGCATAATTGTTGAGCTCGGCTTTGGCTTGGTCAGCAACTGGACTGTTCGGGTCCCAGAGCTAGAGATATATTTAGTCTCACATTTTATGGTTACGGTACTTACAGCTTGACTAAGTTTGGTTTTGATGACTCCTGGGGCTACACAATTTACTCTGATGTTATGCGGGGCCAATGATAGAGCATATGCTTTAGTGAGGGCAAGCAAAGCGGTCTTTGTTACTCCGTAAGCAGCGATTCCTGCTGAGGTTTTGTAAGCAGCATATGAAGCGTTGAAGATTACAGATCCACCACTAAAAATTTCAAGGTTTAATGACGATTTTGACGAAAATTACTCACCCATGTTTAGCAATAACAGGAGCAAATGCTTGAGTAAGTAAGTGAGCTGCCTTCACATTGATCTCGAATAATTTATCCCACTCTTTCTCTCCAATAAGGGCAATATCCCCAAAAGTGGGGTTAATCCCGGCATTGTTAACCAAGATGTGGACGGCGCCAAAAGTCTTGAGGGAAAAGTCTAATAGCCGTTGTCTATGTTCAGCTTCTCCAACATGGCAGACAATTCCGGCGACATTATCCTTGGGAGCTCCATCTCGGATGAGTTTTTGGATGGCCTCATCTACGTGAGATTGTTTTCTAGAGCTGATTACAACCTTAGCCCCTTCATGGAGAAAACGTTCAGCGATCGCGTAGCCAATACTAAAAATGAGAGTAAAAAAGAGTTATTTCTATCATAATCGAAGTGGAACCTGTGTAAAATAACTTTGCTTACCCGGTACTTGCAGCTGTAATGACAGCTATTTTCCCTTCCAATCTGAAGCATCCGTTGAATTTGTTGGACTTAGCCATCTTGCTTCAATGCTTTCCGTATCTGCTCAAGTGGAGTGTCTTATATTCTCCATTGATTGCCCTCCAATTTTTGTAGTCTGGCATCCAAAACACGGCAAGTTCTTTTTATACTCAAACTCCAATATTTGATCACCTTCAGATACGTTACGTAATTGCTTCGAGAAACTATGCATATATGTGTAATAATGCGCAAGTTCTGCTTTTTCTAATTTAGCTAACCATGCTCTTGAATATGTATTTAAACTGCTAAACACAATTAATAGGTCAGGAAAAAGTAAAACGCTAAAAGAAGATCAGAAAACAAAGATTTACATAATAAAGTTGCTTTTAAATGGTCTAACTGGGTTTTGATGTTACTCGTATTAAGGGTAGTACTACTTCCCACGATTTATGATTATAGATTTGGTCTACTTTATTCGAATTGACTATAAAATCGCCCCCGGTCTCGCATAATAGTGTTCAAGATTATCAAACAATGATAGTAATACTTGTTGTTTTTATGTTATTCCCTTTTATTCAAGGTCAAAATAATCGGAGTAATTTGTCAGAAGATGGCGGTTTTATAAACAATTTGATTGAAAATACAACTAGGACTGCTAGAAGGACGACAGATACAATTCTCTACGAAACTGACGGATTAGTTCTGAGTACTCAAAGTCCATCCAGTAGAGAGGATGATTATGATGACGTCAGCGAGGAATGGATCAGAGATCGGACATTTTCATTGATGAGACTTCTCGGAAAGGCCAGTGGTGTTGTTCTGGTAAGCTTATCGCTTGCGTAGTAATTATTTTAGCAAGAATTGTCTGATCCATACGACAGGTCCGAGGAATTAACTTTGATCAGAACAGCAGCTTTTGCTGCTGCCTTTCATGGCCAGATTCGCCCATCAGATGACCCATACCTCACTCATTTAGAGGCCACAGTTCAAGCAGATGTAATGAAAGTAACGGTAATTGGTGCAGCCATGAAATCACATCGACTTTACTATCTTCATCTTGCCCAAACTCTGACAAAACTAAATGAAGATGGAATCAAATTAAATTTTGAAGATTTGAGGAGAAAAGAAGAAGAATTAAGGGGCCTGAAGACTAGTGGGTTTATATTTAAATACTGCCAAGTGTTCCACAAAACTTCCCTTAAGGCTGAATGCAGATGATTTTTTGAGATTTCTATAATTTTTAGTCATCAAAAATTTTTTTTAATTGTTGAATAAAATAAATGAATAATAAGTTTACCTCGCCAAGGCTGTAACTTCTTTGTCTAGCGGTCAAAAGTTGCAAAAACCTGGCCTGCTCTTGACTCGGACGGCTCTTGTCTCGAGCAACAAACTCCACCTCAAAAGACGTTCGCAAAAAAAAGACTGTTTGACCGGTTCACACCCGCCCAGGAGGGAGTCGGATTTGTTTGTGATTTCGAGAAAACCCCCACTTTAATGGATTTTCTTAAACGATTTTTGAGGGAAAAAAGCTTTTGGGAAAAACTTTTTAATGGGCAGTGAAAGCCGAAGGGGAAAGAGATTGAAAAGAGGAAAGTATTTAAATATAACTGAGTCAGATCATGTCGAAACCGAGTTCCCGAGGGCTTCGAGGCTGCCCGCAGTTGAGGTTCGACAAGGGTTTTGATTAAAATAAAAAAGTTTGTTATAATCAAATTCCAATTTCCATCATTCAGAATAAATTTTGACATAATTCTTATCAGAGCATTGAATGTTTTTTGCGTAAAATAAAACTCATCCGGGAGGCGAAGCAAAGAAGAAGCCGTTTTTTGTTCAGAAAATGCAAAATCATTTTTTGATTCAATCTCCCGTAAAGTTCAATCTTTTGCGGGTTTTTTCCAAATAGTTTTTGCTTTAAGCTTTATTTTAAACATCGATATGACATTTTATAAGAGTTTGTTTGTAACTACTAAGGCCATTCCACCCTCTTTTATAAATCTGGCGAGCGCAATGTCGCTGCGCCGATCGCGTCGCTGAGGTGTTTTTTATTTTGCCGCGACGTAATTTATTTTCTCGTCGGCGATGTGATTTTCGATGCGACAGAGTGTTCATTATTTTCCCGGCAGTCAGTTACGTTTCATTATTGATACTTGCACTTTTAAATAAAATTGGTGAAACCCAAAAATAAGACTTCGAAAGTACAAGCCATTCCTCCCTGAGTCACCTTTTCCCTTCTCAATTTACAATTCCAAGAGATAAAAGTAACATACAATACTTTCACTTTTAATTGCTTGGATTACTGGGATTATATAACAGTCTGTCGCTGTTTCAGATCTCTTGTTTTTAAGTGTGGGAAGAACCGGAAATAATGGAGAGTAAGCGATTTGAAGAGTTCGCCGTGTTTAAGAGCGGGAATAGTTCAGGGAAATACGGAAATGAATTGTAGATGACCAGACTTTTATTGCATTTTCAATCCCTTTCAAGGTTTTTCCAGACATTTAAAAGATATTTTAAACCTCGAGTTTGATCTTGATGTCTGGCCAAGAGATATTTTTCGGCCTCTTTCCTCGAAATCTGTTCTCAGATTGATATAAAAAAAATATTTTCCGGCCATTTGCGGCTACTTTTTGATGAGATCTCGGGGGGAAATCTTACTTTTCTTTAATAAAATTCTTTTTCTACCAGTAATTTATACGTATAATTTGAAAAGAAAAAATTGTTTTTGTAGGACAATGATAAGCCAATGAAAGCATTGAATTGCATTTCGCAATAATTTTTCGTACCTTTTCATCAACCTTTATTTCCTCAGGAGCATATGATCTCACCTTTTTTTATATTTGTCATTCAAATTGTTTTCGACGTTAAAAAATATTTTAAAAAACATAGACGTGACTTTTAATTTTAAATAATATTACTTTTACGTGGATAGGCAGATTTGTCTTTTAATTTTAATACATTTCTGAGCCCTTCCCAGGGATCCCCAAACCGAGTACAACTGTTTGTTTCAGGCGTCGAAAAAAGTGCAAATCTCTCTTAAATGTGATAAATGAAAGGAAAATGCCGCAACTGTTTTTGGCCCTGAGGGCTTCCACTGATAAACATGACTACTTACCGTCCCCCTTTTCCATTTGCTTCAACTTTTTGAATTAGAAAACGTCTTCTACGATATTATTTTTGAATAATTTCAAATTCCTTTGTTATCAAAGTTTGAATATTTCCTCTGTGCACTCGCTACTTTTTAACTACTTTTTAACCACTTTGACTACTAATCTCGCGCACGGAAAGAGAACATGTGATTTGTTTAAACCTTTAGGGCCTCTTCTTTTTGATTTCTTCAAATTAAGTCGAGTTAATTTCCATTCTCCCGACAAATTAACGACATTTTACTGGAAGGGAAAGGGGGAGAAAAGTCGGAATACTGTTTAGAATTATAGGAACTTTCATTTCACCATCAAATTCTTTAATTTTAGCATTTTTTGTGTCCGATTTGGTATTTTTGTACTTTATATTCTAATTGATATTGCCAACACCGAATTGTCGCGGATTTATAGCCTCTGGGATTGACGGTTTTATTTCCTGCAAAGTGTTACAAGGTGAGACGAAAAGAAATGGAATCCAATCGGAGAGTCATTAAGTAGTTGATGAGTGGATTTAATGAGAAAAAGAATATTTTATATTAATTTATGCAATGCAAGGGTGGGAACAGGCTTCGTAACACGGTTTCCGAATTCATTCTGCATCGGGATGGCTATTGGGAACGAAGAAGGGTCAGTAGAGCGATTTGTCTCCGTAATTAATATCATAATTGGGGTTTGAGGGATCAATTTTTAGTTTTTTTGGTAAAATTGCATCCTGTTTTCTATTATTTTATATTGCAATACACAGCTGACCCAATTGTAATCATTCACGGCACATTTCCTTTTTCATATTTTTTGGAAGAATTCGCTGAAATTATTGTAAAGAAAAAATAATTTGAATTTGTTTCCGCTTGGTCTGTTACAAAAATCATAGAATTAACTGAATCCCCGGATTCTGTGGGCGGATTCTGGCGTCTTACAAATAGAGAATTAATTGTAAAAAGTGATTTGAATTCACTTTTTGTGGCTGTTCTCTTTATCATTTGCAGTTTTCTCCCCTTTCTCTGGACGTCTCTTTATTTTAATAATCCTTTTTAATATTTTTTAAAAGGTATTAGTAGTTATGATCGACTTTTCAAATCATAACCAAGGTCGATTAAAGAGCAGGTTACTGTTTACAAATGCGAGTAAACAGTAGCTGGAGATGGAAGTTATTCTCGGATTACCAGCAATTCCTTTTACGGTAAATATTGGAGACTTGAGACTTCTGTTTGCCCAAGGGCTAGATGAGTAATAACAAGGTTCTGGTGGGTAGAACTCGTGTTCAGAGAGAGCAGAGAACTTTATTTCCTAAGAATTAGTGTTATTTTTCGGTATTTTTATTATCCATCCCTATATTACACTTAAATTAAGGGTAATGTTTAGTGCCAGGTGTCCTTGAAGGTGTGTCAATTAATCATATCTGAGTGTGTTGTGATTGCCGTTTCTTTTCGATCGTTAATTGGATGCACTTCTCCGTTTCCTTAACCCTTTCCATCGATCACTTTATTCGGCCTTCAAATCTCTCCGAATTCATTAATTTAATCGATGGAGACCCAATTCCAGCCCCCATTTTTGATCGTATTCCAATTCTTTTGTCCTCCGGGGTTTGGCCAGCTTTATTGCCGGAGGGGAAATCGACTGAAACCCGGCTTCTGATCAAATATTTTAATTGAATATAAACAGAAATGACGTCATCCGAACAGAGAGAGGCCCTGCGGCCATATGGAAAGGCGTTTCCTTCATTGATAATATTTGTTTATCGGCCTCAAAACGCGAGTATAATAAGGTCTGATGGGCAGGATTATGGGAGGTTACTGTGGTTTCGATCGATCAAAATTCTTGCGTGAGATCCACGTATGTAATTAGCGATGACTGCAGCCGGCCCCACACATTTGAATTGATCAAAGTAATGGAAAGGGCGCTTATCGATAATCCCCTGAGGCATTGTTATTGACGTTTCGAATATTTAAACTCTGTTTTAATTAATTCTTCTAATATTTACAAACGGAATTGTTTATAAAAAGGGGGGAATGAATGACTGATATGGGGCCGGGCAGGGGAGGGAGGTCCGATCATTCCCATTTTCTGTCGTGTCAGCGCTTTTATGTATTTCGTATTATATTTGAAAGTTGAATGCTCTTCAGAGCATCTCCAAATTACAGTAATCTTAGTAGTTCTGAGTAGTGTAAATGATCCGAACGATACGAAGGTTGGTTTCTTGTCGTAATTGGAGTGATTTCCTGTAATTCCGAATGATTAATCGAATTCCCCACCCATTTTTGGATAGTTTAATAACTGAATGCGCGGTTCCTTCTGTTGTAATCTCTGTCAACTCGTGCCAATCGTTTGAGAAAAGTCACCGTCGCATTTGCCAAAAGGCCAAGAAATTAAATTTTATCAAGGGTTACCATCTTCCCCACTCATATAAAAAATTCATCTGCTAGAATTTAGATCAGTGATAGTTTGCAGCATATTTACAACAGATGAATTGCACTTACTGTGCTTCCTGGAAACGGTAATCTTTACTTTATTATTGTACTTTCACAGAGTCCATGTAAACAGACAATAAGATTATCCGTCATCATAAAAACTCCTTTTCTAAAATTATCACCGTATTTTAGCCAATTCCGAGGAATGCTGCTGTGATTACTGTACTTCTGATCTCTGACGTATCCGGTGTCTTTATTACTTTATATAATTAGTCAGAGAAACGGCGTCATCAGCCCTTCTCTCAGTGATTACTCTTGATTCCTCTTCCTGATTTCTCTTATCAGCTCTCCATTTCTGTTTTTTTTTTATTTTCTGGGGCGCGGTAGGAGCCTGAGGGGAAAGTCCGGAGGGCACCATTCATTATTTCTCAGCGCACATCTTTTTTAAATGTGTTCTGAGGTATTTTATATCTATTACAACTAGTTGAACACAATTTTATTTTTATTAGTTCTCGAACTTTTCCCCACTTTTTTGGCGGAAATCAATCAAAAAGAATTTGATTTTGTGGGTTCCGAAAACAATAATTCAGAATCCGTGGAATTTGGGGGACGGAGAGCGATTATCAGTATTCTCTCTGAACGTTTTGTTTTGATTGAGAAAACGCCCGATCTCTCGGAAACCGGGATCTGAGCAGGGCAAGGAGAAGACGGGGAAGATACGATAGATAGTGCCTCGATCGTATCACAACTGTTTTTATCCTGTCCCGTGCCAACACCGGCGCTTGCCATTACTCTTTTCGCCGTTGGAATGCAAAGTTTTTTTTTTGCATAACCGATTTATCTCCGCCGACCTTATTTCCGTATTTTTTTTTTCTTATTTTCGCTTCCAAATTTCCCTCAATGGACTCCTAAAAACGAAAAAAATCTGCCGCAAAGGTTTCCACCGACAAGATCTTACCTCAGAGTCGTATCTCTGCGCCAAATCACTCGCGATCTTGTTCCATACAAATCGGCGCCATTTAAAAGAAAATCTGTCAATCAATGAGGGCAGGGAAAGAAAGGCGTTTTCTTTGTTTTCGGACTCTTGAGATGGACAATTTACTCTTTATTACATGAGACACAGCCCCAGGGGATCGTAAAAGAATTGGGCTTTTGATCGATTGCCCGAGGGCCTGATGGAGAGGGGTGATTACTAAGCTCACTTCCTTCTTAGTCACCCATAGGTGTAGTCTACCATGAGACAATTAATGGAGTCTTGTTCATTGCCAGTAAACCCTCGTCCCGTAACATTGTCAGTACAGCAAAAACCGATCTTATTCATGGGTTTACGATCTCCCATAAACACTTTAACGACCATCTCAATTAACATTCCACATCCATCGGACTCGTAAATATCTGCAGGGAACGTCGCAACATTTAGAACGAGATAAAATCGGTTTAATGGATCTCATAAATACTTGTAATGGATTCGGGGTTCGGGTTATGTACTCTTTTCTACATTTCCTTTCCATTTTTTGCTTATTTTACGTGTATTTCAACATTTGGTTGTAAAAACCCCATTTTAAGTGTATTTTTTCAAATTATTAATGGATGGAATGTCCTTCAAACCGCCGTTTGACGGTCTCAAATGTCTTCAAATGTCCTCTAAGTTAGACTCCGCCCCTTTTTTGGTATGAATATGATTAAAGCTGGGGATTACGATCGATGTGCGGGACGGCGATGGTGGGATTAACATAATTTACGTTGTTATTTTGTTTTTATGAGAGTAGTTGGGAGGTGTCAGAGGGGAGTAAACATTCGCAGCATACAAAGTAATCCGTTTTAGGAGTTTACAATCATATCAGCAATGATTTCAACGTGTTCGGATAGGTTTAGTTTGGGATTTCAAATTGATTTGTAGGACTTCCTGTTCCATTTCATGCCCTCAGGGATTTTTTGAGATTTCTCGGAGAATCGAATTGAATTAGGAACATCAAATTGATTTCCTTTGCCACTTAATTAATGGTTCTGTTTACGGTGCAAACAATTCTTGATAGAGGAAGCGGAGAGAAAAGCGGAAAGAACTGATTTTAGGTGTATTTTTTGTGTGATTTCCATGATTTTGGGAGTTGTTGTCAAGCGAAAATATGGCGTGAAACAATCCGCGATCACGGTTTTTGTAATACTCATGTTTCACAACTGCTTTTACAGAGCGCGATGTAACTGCCCCATTGCCTAAAGCTTGATGGAGTTGGGGCTGCGAGTGATTTTACAATCGACACTGCACCTGAGAGGACAAGAAATGCATTGAGAGATGATGAAATTGGATGTGCTAACAATTCATCTACAATATCATGGACTTGACTCGATCCAACTACACCAACTGATCGAAAGATGGCCTCACTTCCCATCCCTATTTTGTATCTTCTCCTGGAACAAGATCCAGCCCCAACTCCATCTCCCAGCCCTCTCCTCTCTCCACTCCATCACAACTGCTCAGACTCTCTAGAGATTTCACCGACAATATAGATTTATGGACATAGATAATATAAGTTAATTCGTCTCGAACATCTCAGCCCCTGTTTTCTCTCTTTTTCTCTGCTCCCTCTCTCTTTCGCATGCTCTTTCTCCGTCCAAACAAAGAGTTCAGAAATTATCTCTGTCTTCCACCAATGATTTCAACAACGGATTCGGAAAACTTCTCAGCCCATTTCTCTTCTCATTATTTGAATTTTGTCACTTTAGAAGTTAAGATATGTAACTAGTAGTCTTTGACCGTATATGGAAGTAATTTCAGATGTTGTGATTACAATATTTGAAAATGTGCTAGTCTATGCTCAAAAATTGGGTTAACCAGTGATTGTGGCCTTCTGGAAAGTTCCGCGATCTCTCTCAACAATTCCCGGATATCCTCCGGAAATTGGCCTCAGGCATTGTCCGTTCTCATTAATTTAATTTGCAAGGCTTGAGGCGCCAAGGATATTCGAGAAGGCCCATTCATGCTTGACCAATCTTCATTATAAATAGTCATCTTTTTGTACAGCACCACAGAAATCAGATCTTTAATTCGCGGGACATTTGAGGGTAAAATTCTCAGTGGACTGTCGGATCTGGAGATTTTGATATTCCCAAATAGTAGTCTTGTTTTGGCAGTAAAGCTTTGTCAATTCCTTGGAAATTATTTTTATTTTCTCGTCGTTTTTTAGGTTTCATGACATTCCTGAAAAATGTGGTCAGTTCGCAACAAAAACATGGAATGTAAAAGTTATTCCTAGGAATTACATTGTAGTGTCGTCAATCTGTAGGCTACTCCAGTCTAGTTCAATTGAAATTCAGCTCAATTTCAGTCATTTTCTCAGCCTAAATGTGATAATTGTTGTATTCGTGATTTTTTGTCCGGGATTGATGCAGCCTTACATCAGAAATCCTTTTCCAAAGTACTCTCCATACGAGGTTACATCTATCCCGGCCATTTTTGCATGGAAATGGGAAATTTTACATTTCGACCAGTCGACTCTCATTATCGATTCTCTTTTTCCTCGAATTGTTAAACTTTCTCGTTTTGTCAAATGTTTCTCTCAGTCCGAATGAGGACAAACCGCTTGGGATCTTTTATAAAGTACGATGATTTCCGTTTTCTTCGATCAGCTTTTTAGTCAGTTTATGCAAATTTTTGTGGCTTGGAATGGTAATAAATAATTATTTAATCGATTATTGTCAATAAATCAAAACATCAACAAATTTTGGAATCCTGTCTCTCCAACAACTGCCTTCTCCGCACAGTGCAGATCCCAATCTCCCCGCAGTCATGTATGCACTGCAAAACTAGCATGAAATAGTCATCTGTAAAATTTTGTTGAGGCTCTGCTAGTTAATAGTCGTTCCAAGATCCCACATAACACTTGGGGAGAGTTACGTTTATTGAATTATTATGTTGCATTATTAAAGTGATAACTGAAACTGGTAATGCTGAAAGCATCCATGACATGTTTACAATGAATAATTAGCTATACAATGCTATGTTTATAATTTATATTTCCATTTCCTAACAATGTAAGTTGTAAAAACACGTTTCAATGACGAGAATACTGTAAGATTACGATTGATGTACGGGTATCTGATGGAGATTACAATAATATAACTCTGAAGTTATTTTCGGGGCAATTTTCCGTTGGATATCGTGGTACGACGGCGGCCGGACATTTGAGCATCGGCCAAGGGATCATTTATCCAGAGGCCCTGCAAACTCAGCAATTAATAAAAATAATTATCACATGTATTATAAAAGAGGGACTTACACTAATTTTGTCACGACGCCATCGCAGAATCGCCTCTTCGTCTCCATAATTTCCAGCACCGGTAATTACAGTAGGCTCTCCATTATATCTAAAAATGAGTGTTTATATATCTTTTCAAACTAAAACGACTCACCGTGTGAGGGTAATACATTTCAGAGGTTTGTCAGACACCTTCAGTTTCATCTGAAGTTGCATTTTAATTGAATATCTAACGGGTTTCTCCGCCAAAGGCTCTTCATGGCCATTTTCTTGATATATGGCCGAGCATTTCCTTGACAAAATCTTGGGTGCCTTAGGGCGGGAATCACTGTCAGAAACAGCTGAGGTAGAGGGTTCAGTTGGAAGTATCGACGTCGTGAAGGTGAGAGCTGTCGATGGGTCAACTCTTTCCCTCTCTTTGAGTGCGACCAACATCGCAGCATTGGCTGAAACGAAGATTGATTGTCAGGTATAATACCATGATACAATTGGGATTACTTCAAACTCGAGTACCTACTTGGAATGTCCAGATCTCTCCTTCTCAACTTCAGCTTCTGTTTGGACAATCTTTCACTGAGAACTCTCTGTAGAACTCGATTTCTGGCGCCAGATTCGGCCGATGAAAGGGAGCGCTGACTAACAGAATCGCTGGACTGACTAGCATTATCCGTATCACTTCTCGACTCGTCAATCGTCAAACTTTTGTATTTTCCAAACACTTTCGAACTCATTTTTCTGACTGGGATTTGAATTGATTTATGAATTGATGGAGAATTCTGAGCGAGAGATTCCTCCAATAGTCCAATCTGATTTCGAAGAGCATCTAAAACAAAAGTTAGACGTATGAGAAAAATATTTCAATTAGGAATATTGATGATGACTAACCGTCCACTTCTGAATACAAATCAAACGTGTCATCATACTCCATGGATCCCTCGCCCGTCCAACAACTCAAATACTCGGCATTTGGATTCCTCCTTTGCCTCAGGGTCTTCCGCTTGTTTGTCGCCGAAGGCGAGCCATTGGATTGTTGAGATTTGAGCTGACTTGTGTCCGAAGTTTCAGGGATCACTTCACAAGCCGTCTGATACCTACTTCCATCCACAGACTTCAGGGAAACGGCCGAATCGGCGCTATATCCTTTGCAGAGCTTTGCCTTGAGTCTACAGATTATAGTATTAATGTTTGTATTTACTTTGTACTTATTGGACTTACTTTGGCTGAGACTTATCGCTGACATTCAAAGAGTCAGCGCCTGGTGATAAAGACGAGGAAGCGACGCTCTTTGGAGACAACGAATTCATGTTTGAAGACGTCTCTGAATGGGATTCTGCACTGATCTGGCGTATATCCTCCACATTTACTAAAATACCAAATAAGGCAGAAGTCGTATTATGAAATACAGTATAATTGTAATTATATTACCCTTGTACTGTTTTGTGGACGGATCGATGATAACAGATATCTTTCTAGTCTGTCTCTCGCTCTCTGGATATTCTTTGGCACTGGCAATCTCCTCCAGAAGTCTCTCTTTATCGGTCGGAATATAATACATGGTCTGTCGCATAAATGGACTCTCGGCCACATTACTTTGGACTGGTGACAATCTCTTTCCTGGCGGATATCTTTCATGTAATTTGGCTGCCCTCTTTCCCACAGATCCTTTTCTTTCCCAAGAATCTTCAACTTGACTGACAGTGTACAACATCAGATATCCATCAACAGTTCCAATCCAAAGTTCATTCTCATGGTACATAATGGAGTAGACTTCGACCGTCTGCAGTTGATCATGCTCGTCAAAACTTGGCCTTCTGGAGCTAAAAAATCGTAGTGCTAGACCCTAGAATCCCTTGCAACTCGTCTATCGATTCAGTAATACAACATGCCATCATTTAAATACCTCGACTTACCTCTGACTATGGTCATAAGTTATATCGAACAAAATCTGGCATTCCGATTCCAGCCATAACTGAACCAACGAGGAATGAGCGGTAATCAACCAGATCCCATAAGGCGAATCGGCAAAGGCCCTGATCTTTTCAAACATCGGGACATGACTTCCACAGGCAGAAGAAGCCACATACATATTGCTGATGGTTGAGAGAGTCCTAAAAGATCTAAAAACGAAGATAAATCACTTACTCTTTGTTCAAGATGACTACCTTGCAAGCCACAGCCAAATAAAGGCATTCCTCGTCCATAATGGCGTCTGTGATTGGAGCAGCGGCAATGGGAATGTGGTAAAGATCCAGGCAAGTGGGTCGTTTGACAAAAACATTCTAAACACATTTGAAGTAAGGATTTTCTTCGTATCTTACCTCCAAAACGGTCAGTGTTCCATTGGCCAGAGCTGCGTAAAGTCGTTCTTCATGATACAACAGTTTCAAGGCGACATCATTCAACTTTAATTCCCATAGAATCTCTCTAAAAACATGTGATTAAAACTCGGCGCAATCTTACTCTTTCCTTTCCACCACACTTAAGGCTACAATATAGCCAGAAAGTAGCGAAACAAAGGCCATTTCCTCCTTCAGAATGACCATTGACACCGGCCGACAATCAAATTCAATGTCTAACGTGGACATTGTAGCGATACATTCGCCAATCGAGACTCTGGCAATCTTCCCGCGTTTCTGATTCCCCGCACATACGAAGCCGACGCCGGGTTTGTGATCGTTGAATACGATTTGTTCGACTGGAAGATCACAAATCTTTTCTGAGGTCTCGCTTGAAATGTTCTGAAACGTAAACAATTAGAAATATCTGAAGGTTAAAATCTGAGTTTTGACAAAGCAAATGTATTTACAATTGACTTACTGTAACATCAAGGCAATTCCTCAGGACCATCCGTTGATTCAGCCTGACCTTCAGAAGTTCCAGATATCCAGAATGTTTGTTCTTGAGAGTAGTCCGACTGGGGAATGGTTGGAGATCATCAAAGGCGAACTAGAAATTCATAAAATACAGTAAACCCTCTGTACAATCAACTTCAAGGAAAATAAAAATTATATTGTACATGCTCTACGGAGGTTCAGCCTGGCCTAAAACTGACTCTTGGGACTTTGATATTCTTTGTCATACAAAAGTTTCGTTATACGGAGGTTCGTTCTACAGATTTGTACCACTGTATTACCTTGATCAGCCCATCCACATCATAAGTAAGTCTCACCGCCGCCTTGAGGACTTTCATTACAGCGATGGTATCAGTTCGATCCAATATTTCATCTTGATATTGGCCAAGCAAAGCAACAGTAAAACGAAATAAGACCTTGGCTCCTTCAAGAAGAAAACAATCCCATATGCGAAGCATCGTTTGGAAGGGAACGGCATCAAAGAATAAGGCCAGGAACCAGTTTAATGTCACCGTCGTCAAGTCGATGTCACATTCTTCCAAATGCTTTGATAACTTGGGGAACTTCAATTCAACCAGTTCTTTCAAGACTTCCTAAAACAATATTATATAAATCAAAGGAGGCACAGAAATTACCTGATCCGCCTGGGCTCCACTCAAGTTCTGGTCGAAATACGAGGAGTCAAAGTATCTCTCGGTTACAGCGATCAAGAACCAGAAGGCATCTTCTGGGCTCACAAAAAGCAACGCAGTAGCAGCAAGGAAGTTCATTCCCTGACAATAACCCAACGAAGGATTGTGGAGACAAAAACTGCGAAGCACTGCTTGCAGATGGTTAACTCCCTTGCAGCTTGCACTCATAAAATGAACATTTGAGGGCATTGTGCGGAGAAGATCGAGGTTAATTTGCTTTTGATGACTGGTGCAATACTAAAAGCCCCGAAAATTATACATACGATAAAATTTGAAAAAAAAAATTGCATACAATCTTCTCTGAAGGAGTTCCTTGACTACTACAAAGATTTCTGTAATAGTATTCTCCATATTTTTCCTTAAGATCAGCAACTTCTTGGTTGATCAACACCCTCCAGACGGCTGATCTCATTGATCTCGGGATCCCTGAACGACATAATTGCCGGTTCCCCTTCTGAAAACAAAGGGATTATCTTTTAGCCCAAGTCTTAATACTTACATTGTTTTCGATTTTCTGAGGATTCGAGTCCAAAAGAGTTCTCCATCGTGATTTCAGACGAGCGTAATCATCGGACTGGGCGTAATAATGGGAATTTAATTGGGTGCAAATGTAATGCAAGGCCAAAGGAGTCTCTTCGAAGCTGTGACGGAATCCATAGTCATCTACGTGATAGTTTCCGGGAGTTGTGACACTAAAAATATTAGAAATTTTGGCAATTCGGCTACCCTTCATTTGGGGAGGATCGGGTATCGAGCCAATAAACAACAATTTTGTAGTATAGCCAATACTGCAAAATTGTTTGACCAGCTAGCCAAAGTTGGCATAACAGCCACAAAAAATTCGCCTGGCTAGCCAAAAACCCGAATCATCCTGCAAATACGTCAGAATGGCTGTCAAAAGTGCTTTCTACCGTTGCTATTACAATATCTGTGAAGGAATTGTAACAGTTTGGCTATTCAATTGAACTTTTTGGCTAGCCATTGATGGGCTTTGACCAGCCAATCCAACACAGCTGGCCAAGTCGTGCCAACTCATTCTAGCTAGTCAAATAATTTTACAACATTGGCTATAAATACTGGGTCGATCCAACCCAAATGAACAAATGCATATTTGTCGCGCAACTTTAAATAAATTACCTCTCAACAGTCGGCAGTTTGGGATCTTCTTGTCTGGCCTCTGCCAATAGCTGTTTTACTCTGTTCTCATGCTGGAATTAAAAAATAACGTGATCTTCAAACATACCAAGCAATAAAAAAATTTAAACTTACCACTGCTCCTCCAAACAACTTGACTTGAATGGCATCACACGTTGAATGTTCATGTAACGGGATTCTGACGCAACTTTGGAGAAGATAAACGTACTCCCTCTTAAAGTTTTCCATCATATTCTCAAGGACTTCTACTTTACTAAACCAAATGCAATTATTTCATCCTTGATTCGCCCTTACGTTCTCCATATTTCCATTTCTTTTTCCATAATTCTACATTTGTCATTCAATTTGATAAGTTCTGTATTCAACAGCCGATTCTGCTCGAGCAAAGCTGATTCATCCATATCCTTGGCACTCCCACTAAATCATTTTTAAATTACAATTAAAAAATATTAATTCAATTTGGCCTAAATAGCTATAACAAGTCTCCAAAGCAAATTACGCACACATTTCTCCAAACAGATAGACCTCCTCGGATCGACGTCATCGGCCTGAATGTAGAGAAAAGTGTGCTCAGAGTTAAGAATCGTGTTTACGCCAACCGAAAGTACTCGGTATGATATATGTATATTATAATAAACAATCTTAAGCCGATTAAATTTGCATATTCTGGTGATCATGTGTGTTTGGAATTTTTAACGTCTCTTAATTTCTTTATTGTTCGTATATTTACTATGGTTATTATGTAAAATACTTACTTGATAAATTGCTTCGCCCTCAACTTCTCCAATTGCATTGTTAACGAATGTATTCGTGCCTTTTGTTGATTATCCACCTCTCTTAACATAATCAGCTCATCGTAAACTTCGGGGAAACTGGCCCCGCTACTATTCAGCGAACTCCGGTCAGTCTCCAAACAGAAATCACTGCAACTCTCCGCCTTTGGATGCAAATCTCCGTTCTCGTAATTCAATTGGCAGGTTGTGGCTGTAGATGAAGCCATGATATCATGATGTTCATCGCCCAAATGAGAGTCAGGTCCCGAAGTAACAGAAGACGATGACTTTGTAGATATCTTGGCCTCACTGACCTTACTCAGTTGCTTGGAGAGATCGGGGATCTCTGAATGTCTCCTTGTGATCTTCCTGGCCACAAATCCGCCATCCATCTGTTCGTTGAGCCATTTCTCGACCCATTCTTCCAACCAAGTTGGGGGTTTAGATTCAGTCATTCGGTGGATATGGGAGGATAATTGTTGCGGCTGTAAAAAACAAGGGTTAAGTCAATGATGACTAAAACTATAACTTTCAAATAAAATCAGGGTAGCAACTTACTTGTAAAGTATTTCTTCTGGTAGTATCAGAGCTCATAGGCACAGCGAGTGACTCTTTGCGCATCGTCTGATTCATGGAAATGCACCGTGAGAGGCGGGATTCCACTAAATTTGAGCAGTTGCTGTTGGCCGGCGGGCTATGCAAAGGACAGGGTGCTTGCAACGATCGCTGGCGGTTACTCTCCACTGAAATCGGATTACTATACGATTGGAAGGCCCAGGGGTTTCGTAATATCCCCGGAGGGCAAAGCCAAATAGTCGATTAGTAATCGAGGATTTGTTTTGATTAGACCCAGCACATGGACATGATTAATATAAAACTGATATGAATAGTTAGTAAGCGCTGCTTTTCAACAAAAATACTCGAGAATTTTAAGCAGAGTAATGCAATCTTACATTTAATAACCTTACGTCTTGTTGGTGGTTGTTTTGGTCTTCTTTTAGGTGTGGAACTCGCAGTGTCACTCTAAAAAATATATTATTTTACAACGATAAGGTTACCAATGAATGAACAGATCGACTTCTGCTTCTGGTTCTTCGAATTGAGTTGAATACGATGCAAGGGAGTTCCCAATTTATATTTTCCTTGAGATCTCGGCGTCTCTGCAAGGCGTTTATCCAACACTGCGTCGCCTTACTTGTTTCTCCTTCAATCTCGTACTTTTTATAATCAATACTGCAAAAAATATTTCAATTATTTTTGAAAAATAATCAAAACTAAAATTGTAATGTTAAATCTTACTGTAGCGTAAACATTTTCGGTGTAGGGGCGGGTACACAGATCGCTCCATTCAAGGGGATGGAGCCCAAACAATTAAGTCTTTTGTCAAAATCACTCTTGTCCTTGAAGTAAAGCAGACTGTCAGTCCCTTCGTCCAGTCCAAAGTAATATCTTTTTCTAGATTGGAAGTACGAAAGCGCTGAAATTGAATGTCATAAAAAGAAACAAGAGGAAGAATAGTTACCTGAGCTCAGATACTTCATCTGGAGATATCCTTCCATAGAAAACCACTTGTCTTTTACATTCTCCTCCATTTTTTGTGTTTGATATAAGTGCGATTGCCTATTACAACAATAAAAACTATACAAAATACCCGATAAGCTGAAAAAATAGTGATTATAAACATCTCATTCAAATAATGGCAATGACAAACGGAGAAAAAAGAAAATTTGAATTTTTGATTACATAACACGTGAAAAACGTGAAACCAAATTGATCAGCAAAGTAAAATAAAGCGCATTACAATACGAGAAGAGCACGTTACAGGATCTAAAACCAAAGTCATTTGCAGGGAACCCCTCCTTCTTTGTAAAACCAAACGTCTATACAATTTGGAACTCATAATTTATGCAAATTCTTTCATATTTTTGTACGGAACGGAGAAAACAGCGACTTGTGATATGCATATAATCTCTGTCTGAAAGTAAAATTGACGGTTGTTCAATAACAAGAGCATTAAAGCAGACAGTAAGCGATCAGTCTTGGCTTTCTGATATCAATAAGGGAGTTTTAGACAAGTACTCAATATTAGTTGTAATTTCTTATAAGCAATAATGCAAAACATGATAGCAGATGATCTCATTCCTGTTCCTGTGTTCCCATGCAACCCTCAGAAGATTCCCTCGTAAAATAAAATAATTGAACAGACATATAATACAAATCATCATAATATTATAATAGGAATCGCAAGCACCGACCTTCTAAGGCCAAACGACCGCTCTCAGCGGAAACCGAAACTACTAATCAGAGCCCATTACAACAGTCCTGGGGGTATTTAAAACCACGTATATTTACGTAAAACCCGAGGCAGTGATTTCAAATATCCGGTCCATTGTCCCGGATAATTCGAATTGTCCATTTGAAACAAAGGAATTTCAATATTTGACCACTCTGGTATTACGGATGCCAGTCAATGTTTGACCACTCCGATATTGCGGATACCGATCGATACTTTGAAGAGTCGAAATTGTCAAGGAAAATCTAAAAATACAAAAAAAAACTTTGCCTTCGGGAGAACACAGATGCTCAAACAAGGTGGACAAATAAAAGTTCTCACTGCTTAAAGGCACCAAACGAAAAGCTAAAAAATAATTGGGACAAGGTTGCAGTATTAAGCCATGAAAAACTTTGCAGTTTGGAGACGATGACTAACATGACAAAGTAATCCTCTAAGATAGAGTGCAAAACGAAATAATCGACTAAAAAGTGTCATATGAAAGCTGAGATCTCACAGACAAACAAGCCCGAACCCACTTCTACAAAACAAGTACAAAATATTGGAGTTGCAGCAGATTCACATGTCGGTTTTCCCGGTAAATGATATTGGATTAGCGGTCTCCTTCTCTGATCGTATGTAACAGGCTGGTCGCCAATAAAAGATCAAATAAATCACAAAATAGAAGGGACGAAAACCGTCTTCTTTAAGGTATTATCAATGACATCATGTCAATTACTGTCTACGAGTATTTTAAAAGCAAACAATTTAATCGCACAAAATTACTTTATGCTTTGTTTATAATTACAAGGATTCCATTTTTTGAGCATGAAGTAACAACCACAATATTTCTTGATTGCAATTTTTTAACACTTTATATAGCATCAATACTATTATTATGCTATCGATAGCATGCTATCAATTCCGATAATTTCCATCTAAAAGTTTAAAATTGAAATCTTTTCAAAAGAGAAAAGAGAGATCTATCGAGCGTTCCGTCGGCCGTTCCCTCAGCCCGTATTATTCATGATTCCAATAAACCGCGGTCCGTGAGCCTCCCCCACATTCCCCTACAACTTCTGTAGATTTAAATATGTATATATTTTCATGACTGACAACGTTTTGGGGGGCCGAGAGACGTCAGAAAAAATCGTTCCGAGATCACGAACTCTTCTGATCCTCCACTAAATACTCTTTTATCCTTTATCCCTTTTGATGACCGGTCCTTGATTGTCTTTTGAATAAATTGTCTGAACAATTTTTTTGGTCATCTCATTAAAACCATTTGTTCTTCGGCCCCATTTATGGAAATGAGGACGGTCACAATTATGGGGCCATTAATTTACGTAGTTCACGTGACATTTTCTTCCTGATTAAGAAGCGATGAAGACATATGATTGGAAAATCGCCCGCGAATTGAATCATTGCCAAAGGGTAAAGACTAACACAGAAAGATTCAAATAAAATTTATAACAAAAAACGTTAGGGATAACAATAAAATTCAACAATTATTAAGCTCTCGACACGGCACGGCCCCAAAATGACTAAAACCGGCCAACTTCGAATTTCAAAACCAATGTAAACTTCCCGGATAGCTGCAAAGATACTCGCAAAAACTATGAAATATTTCTTAAAACACCCTGCATAAAAATAATTGGAAGGAGCTAGCGAAGAGCTGTTTTATAATTCGTTGTGCTAGTAGACTTAATTTTCCGAGCCATTCCGACATTCTGGGACCATGCCGTGCCGAGAACTAGATCTACTAGCGGTCTAACCGGGCCCGCCCGGACCGCGAAAATCAATACGACGAAGGGAGACTGAATATGAACTGTATACTTTACGAAAAAGTCCGCAGCTCGAAAATTATCGACCTAATATGACGTCCCAGAGGCATATGATAAAAAAAGTAAAGAAAGGTAGACGATATATGAAAATATGTGAGTATAAGTGAATAATAATGAAGTAAATCCTCTTCAGAACTAATCTTTGGTTAGAATTTGTAGCACGGCGTTTCTCCAGAAAGCTTCTATGCCATATAGAGCAATTCTCTCTATAGTCACCATCTAAGTGAAGTACATTGTATTAGCCAAATCTTCATGAACTGTCACGCTCTTATTTATATTCTCGTTCTCATCTTCTCCCGATGTATTCTGCTCTTCGCATCTAAAAGAGTTTAGTTGCTATGACTAAACCAACCCCTCGTTTGGTTGCAGATGCAATCTAGCTCTGGAGGCCACAAGGTGAGCGTAGTATGCAGGAGCCGGGATAGAGATGCTTCTGGTGCAACGGGCATAGGTATGGCACAAATGATAGATTAATGTTTGAAGATCATTGCAAGAAATTTTGTTGTCATCCCAGAGAACATGGTAATGAGCCGGTCTGGAAGTGCCCTAAAGGAAGATTAGTGGCTGGTGGTCAGGAGTTTTCGGGCCTCCCTCTTTCGGGTGGCGCCTTTTCGGGCTCTCCAGAAAGAGGGGGACCCGCTGGGAGACTGGTAGGGGAATTCCCCCAAATATTGGACCAATTGATTCAACTTTTATTACTTAAAGCTCGCGTCGCCAATGCTCACAGCATACGCAGCTTATTATGTCGAACCTGACAAAATGCAGCTATAAAACGTTTTTGTTCTTACTTGAATGCCAGCATGAGAACATAAATAGAAGTCATACTCATCCTGCTGCGTGATGGTCGTATCCACGACTGTGCCCGGGGGTACATTTGAAGCTCTTCCAATTCGATCATTCGGATTTACAGCGAACAATCTGGTATGATGCGTCCTTTCCACCGAGATGTACGTGATTCCAGGATTGTAGTCCTTTTCCAGCATTAACAAAGCCTTCCTGAGAGCAATTATCTCTTGCCTCAGGACGTTGAGTGTCTGGGATTGTGATATTCCATCTCGAAACATAACAATTCTCACTGGTTTGAACCCGGTGTTCTTGTAGAAGCTAACCAGAAGTTCTCGAACCTACAAATTGCATAATCAATAGACAAACCCAAACCATGTGAGCCATATCGACGATGAATTCTTCTCGCTGTTGTGTCCTCACAGTCGCTGCGTATTTGCAAGGATGCCCGTCGATGGATCCAACAACAGCGGCAATCGACGGCCTTTTCTTAAAGTCATCATGTCCGGAATGAATCACTCTGGCTCCCATAAAAACTACTGGTTCATTGAAAAGTGAGGGTCTCAGGCTAGGCGCAACAATCGAATTTATTCCTCCAAGTTTCGAATTCACTTTAAGGCAAATATTTGATATGGTTTGGGCGGAGATCTTGAGGACATTTGGCAGTTTGACGCATTGGGTGGGAATGCCGAAGACCGTATCTCCGACACGCTTCAACTCCGCGTAAATTGGACTTTTTCCGGGGAGAATCGCACAGAGCAATTGAAGATCTGAAATAATACGAATATTACAATAACAACTTACTTGGATATCTTCTCTTCAAATATTGGAATATCTGTTCAACTTGTTCAACCCCAGAAGCGTATTTGCAGAAAACCGGCCGGGGATTTACATACATCCCGGATGTATTCGCCAAAGTGTGGAACGAGCGGATGAACTCTTGTACACACTCTTCTCTACAGAGATTATTTCCCACGAAGATGACCATCGCCCAACTGGATACACAGACTCCTTGCACAAAGTTCTTTCCTCTCATATCCCAAACTCCCTTATATGGAAGAGAATGGCGATACTCCGTGATTGAGACATTCAATGGAGTTCGATAAAGAAGCTGCGGTGGAGAGAGAACCCGGCCTTCAAATTGAACCATCTCGGAAGATACGTTGACACCAAATTCATCGGTAAATTCATTGTTTCTGTCAGATTTGGCAACTAAAAAGCCATTAATTACGATATAAACCCATCATACCCAATTGCTCGATCTTCCTTTCTCTTTCCACCGCCGTCATAGACGTCGCTTTAATCATCCGTGAAGTTTGATTATCATTTAACCTCTTCGAAGATCGCTGACCTTTCATTACGTCACATACTTCAAGCGGAAGATAGACGTGTTTATTCTCATTTCCAACTTGTAAGCATGGTAAATGAGGGGCATTCAGCTTCTGATATTTGTTATGAAAGTATTCAGCCACCGTGATTTCCATAGTTTCATCTTCAGCGATATCCAAGGGAAATTTTACATTACTTGCCGATCTCTTGGTGACATTGAGGACGCGATAACGACGACGAATATTCCCAAGATGGCTTACTTCGACCTAATCGAATAATATTGCAAGCCTCGTTAGTTGCTACCTTTAATCCTTTGATTTCCTTAGCAAATTTGCATCGATGGAACTCTGACAATGGCTTTCTTTCTTCAATCAGCGCTCTCACTGACACCTCCAGGATCTCTGCGAGCAATTGAATAACAGGCTGAGCGCAATGAAAGGTTGTTGCAGACACTATATAAAAATATTACGTCAATCTCTTTTACCTACAGTCAATGTTGACGGAAAAACATCTTTCTATTGGTACCGCCAATTGGAAGAATCCGTACCAAAGTTCTCTCCCGCATCCTAATAAGGCATTAATCTCTGCTTTCTTTTCGAAAAACATGGCACCAACACTTGTGAAATCCAAGGTTGCTTTCGCTCTGATTATTTCGTCAACAACCGTCTGAATATTCTTTGGGATCGCAGTTCTGATCATTGAGCACCTCCCCTTGAATGCCGAAAGTAGAGTCTTCAAAGACAACCTTTCTTCAAATTTTACGTTGACTTCAAAGATTTCCGTTCGATTAAAAAGAGTGAAAACTCCAGTTGATAATGTCCTTGATTCTTCGATATCCAAATCCAACAGAGTTTTGGTATAAATTGACTCAATTCCATCAAAAACCGTCTGATATTTGGAGAAAAACGAAGGATTGTTTTCAACGATTTTGTTGAACACAGTTCTAAAAATAAGGCACCAAATCAGACTCGCTTACCTTTTGATGTGCTTCGGCAATCCTCGAATTAAGAATGTCGCCGAGTACTTGTAGACCTCAGATGAAGGTAATTTGACCGGAAAATGATTCGATTTGAGGTCAATCTTCGTGCCAAGAGTTCCAGCACGAGGCCTTAACGGTGTCTTGCCCGTTAGATCCGGTAAATTGAGAGCTGGGTGACTGAAAATGAAAATTAAACATTTTCAGGGCGTTTACTACCTGTTCAAATCTTTTTCCGATTCCAAATCTATGGAAACATCCCAATGATTCAATGAGTCGCCATAAGCCTCCTAAAAGCGGAAATATTACATCACATTTTATTCTCACATCTTCCTCGATGATACTTTGAAACGATCTGAAGTCGTCATTCAATGAAAGATCGTGAATCTCGTCATTAGTGAATAACGAAGTGTGTGATTGGAATGATGTCCTTTCTTCAGACTGACTAGATGACCAGATATCAGACAAAGAGTGTAATATTGAGGGCATGTTGACAAATTTGTTGCAAACACATGTGTTGTGCACAACAAATTTGTAATTCAACATCTTTCAAAAAGCATCACTTGACACATGGGGAGAGACTTGACGCATCGGAGAAAATTAGCTCGAAAAATATTTTCGAAATATTTTTTGCAAAAAGTTGAGAGAATTTTTCGATTTCTGGAATAATTCTAGATCAGAATATTATTACTTTGCAGTGATATGTAAGATGTCCGAGCAAAACAAGAAATTATATGCTGTTTATGCACCAGATGAGCCTGGACGACATGTATTCGAAGAGTGGAGCGAGGCGAAGAAACTGTGTTCTTCACCTTCATGTAGGTTCAATATCCTGCGTTCTCTCTTATTTTTAGCGAGATTCAAAATCTGCACATCTGATTCTGACGTTAATGAATTTTATGAAATGATCGAGAACATCCAACCGAGTGGAGATAGTGATGCGAACACCGCAGTTGAACCCAAAGCTCCCTACTCTGAACCTAAAGGTGTATTTCTGAGTCGATTCAGGGTTTTGATTGAGAAGAAGGACAATGAAAAATTTGATGAATTTGTCGAAGAAAATCCCCGTTACCTCGTGAATACGAGTGGAGAGAAACCAACTATTTTACACAACGGAATTCGGTTTGCTTATTTCTATTGTCGTTGATTATTCGGATTTAGACACAATTCTCTTCATGTTGCATGCCATCATGGTAATCTTTACGTTGTTAAAAGAGTTCTTTCCCTCATTTGTTCTCCGGAGTTTATGGCGAAAGCATACGGTTCAGACGTTGAGATCGGGATGAAATGCGCTCATTTCCTTGATTTATATTTGAACCTGCCAGATAAAAACGCCAATAACACCCCGTTACATCTCGCTGCTAAAGCTGGTCATGTGGATATCGTGAAGGAACTGTTGGAATACAAACAATTGGTAAAGGAACCGTTGAATAAGTGAGTCTTCTTCAAGAAGGGTTGATCTTACGTATTTCGGTATGACGAGAAACCTTCTGATGTTGCTGCTACTGGAATGAGAGGAGTTACAGAACTCGAAAAGAGAAGAACGGCTGAGACAATTGTTAATCTGCTAAAATCACAGCTGTTTTACATCGCTTTCTATCGATTAGTAGGAGAAACTGGCCGACCTCAGCATGTTATCTTCAATGAGAAACCAGCAATTGATCTTTATGAAATTGCAGAAGATCACTTAAAAAGCTGTTTGAGATCAGAGCCGGTGAATATCGAGGGATGCAACAAAGGACCCGTCAAATATTTTGACAGCATTGGGGCTTCGGGCGATTTCATCGGCTCAGCTTTGGATCTGTCCATGGACTCTTCGCTGAGTTCAAGTGGAAGTCCGGTTTCAATCAATGGATCGAGTTTAGCGAGGAGACGGGCATTTAGAGAATATAAAATGACTTGTTATTTGGGACCTTTCTTGGAGGAAGATGAATGTCAGAAATGCTGTCTGGTAAGTATTATAAGAATCTGTTTGATTTATTAAACTTTGTATTTGAATTTCTGTAGAAATGGATAAGGACCAACAAAGACGTGTGCCTTACAAAGCCTTTGAATGGATATGAGAAAGTTGGGAAAGAGTTGGCTGAAGAGTTCAATGTTGAATTTGTGGACCTGTCTGCGCAGGAAGAAGATGAAGAATTTTTTGATGCGATGTCGTATAATGACGATAACATTAACGCAGATGTAGATGAAGACGAGTTCTTTGATGCTCCACAGGAATTCACAAATGATATCACTGAATTGAGCGATTTGTTCACCCAAAAATGCTTGGTGAAGAGTCCATTGAGGACTGGGAGGAGATGATTTCAAGGAGTTGATCACTTATTTTCTAACTTTGTTAAATTTCATTCTACCATATCTGATGTACAAAATCGTTGAATAAATACTGGTAATAATAAGAACTTTGACATTGCAACATTACAATGCATTGTACAGTATGTTTCCTATAGTGTACACTGGTGCAAACGGACAAAGCCGATTTTTTCGATTTCCGCGTCTCCAAATATCAGACCCGGCCCGTGCAGGCCCTGTTAGGGCGTAAACTATAATATTTGCCAGGCGCGGCTTCGACGCGCCCGTAGGCCAACCCTGATACTATCGTCGTATAATTGAAATTTAGCAGTACTCAACTGTATCGGGCGCAGTTCGCGATCGAAAATAAATGTAACCTCAGAAAAGTGGCGAGAGAAGATTTACGCGGAACTTCGTTGATTTGTGTAAAACAGATAACATTTTTTTTTTAGAGTCGACCAACTTTCACCATTCTTGCGCGTCGTTTTCTTATAAATCTCAGGTCGGTTCGCCTTTTCGGGTGTTCTGCGTCTGTTCAGTACAAGGTTCCCAGTCCGCGGGTTACTTACAAGTCCAAGAATTACAGTCTGAGGCCGTTTTCTTCGACGATGAGTAAGTTTGAGTGAAATTTGTTCGTTTGAGCTGGATTTATTTTATCTATGATTCACATAGGATTTTTGCATAACCTTCAGAGTTTTTTAAATAAGGTTTTGTTATTAATGCGTTTATTTTTATCTAGGCCTCAAAAAATTATTTAGTCTGTTTTTCGAGGGTCAACAAAACTGGCTGTTTCTACAACCGAGGTTTTGATTTTAGGTATGAACACGATGATCGACAACAGTCAGTCAAATGAAGCTGTGAACAAGTTCCCCTCACAAAATCTTATTCCCAAAGCACTAACTCAACAAGTAAGTTGTGAAGTCTTTCGAAATATCTTGAGTTCAGACCCAATTTCTAAAAAAATACCCGCAATATGATGGACGAAATGTTATTATTGCCATCATGGACACTGGAGTGGATCCGGCTCTTCCAGGAATGCAGGTAAGATGAAAAAGAATATAAGTAGCCTAAAGATCTGCAATAATTGGGTGGATTATAATGAAGCTTTCAGTTTACCACCACTGGAGAGAGAAAGGTGATAGATTGCTATGACACGAGTGGATCGGGAGATGTAGATACATCTACTATAAAAAAAGTCGAGGTTGACGGGACACTCGTCGGTTTAAGTGGACGCAGATTAAAGGTACCTTTATTTAATCGATCATTGTAATGTTGGCTTTAGATACCTGAGAAATGGCAGAATCCTTCCGGAAAGTATCATCTTGGAATTAAACCTCTGTTCGAATTATACCCCTCGAATCTGGCTTCCCGTATAACAGTAAGGTGCCGAAACATTACAATTTCGATTTTAGAAAGAAAAGAAAGAAGAGCATCTCGATTCGGAACAGAATCTGGCTGTGGCCGATGTTCTGAGAAGAATTCAAGAACACGAGAAAGAAGTGGGCGGAACCTCGGAACATCTGAAAGACAAACTGGAAAGGGAGAATCTGAATTATCAGCTGGAATATCTAAGATCATTCGAGAAACAGACCGACGTTGGGCCGATCGCCGATTGCTTGGTCTGGCATGATGGAAACAAGTGGAATGCCTGCGTGGACACCTCGTTCCGAGGGAGATTAAATCTCTGTACTGTCCTCACTACCTACAAAGACTCCCTTCAATACGCTTTCTTCACTGAGAAAGGTAAGAAAAAAGCAGATTTGATTTTTTTTCAAGTGACATCCTAATTCTTATCTTGTAGACAAATTCACGTATACTGTGAACATCCACAACAACGGGAAGCTCTTGGAAATTGTCACTTGTGCTGGTGCTCACGGATCCCATGTTGCTCACATTGCTGCAGCGCATTATCCCGAAGAGCCAGACAAGAACGGATTGGCCCCTGGAGCAAAGATCATATCGTTTTGTATAGGCGATGGAAGACTGGGATCAATGGAAACTGGACAAGCCCTCACCCGAGCTGTAAGAACTATTTTTGCGATCAAAAAAGGTATTCTTTAAAATCTGCAGCTCAAAAAATGTGCCGAACTTGGTGTTGATGTTGTTAATTATTCTTATGGCGAAGCTGCTCGGTTCCCCAATACTGGCGCGATAGTCGATGTTCTAAGGAAGATGGTATTCAAGGACGGAATCACTTTTATTTCATCTGCTGGAAACAACGGTCCGGCTCTTTCGACTGGTGGATCTCCGGGATCTTCAAGTGAAGCCGCGATCGGAGTTGGTGCTTATATTCCCCCCGAGGGCGTCGACGTCTTATATGGAGCCCGAACTAAGCACGAAGCCAACTTGTATCCATGGAGCAGCAGAGGACCAGTGTATGTGAAGCTTACTTTTTATTTTTAATGTTCGGACTTTATTACTCATTTCCTTGTTTTAGTCCGGATGGATCGCGAGGTGTCAGTATATCGGCCCCCGGAGTCGCTATTGCCGGAGTCCCCAAATACCAACTCCATGGAGTCGAATTGATGAACGGGACATCGATGAGTTCACCAAATGCCACAGGCAATGTGGCTTGTCTGATGTCTGCGCTGAAGGCAAACCAGATTCCCATTTCTCCTTATCGGATCAGAATTGGACTGGAGAACTCGGCTTTGTTCCCTGAGACCTCAGATATCACTCCTTTGGATGTTGGCAGTGGATTGGTTCAGCTGGAAGATGCTTTCGATTGGTTTAAAACCGCAGATTCTATTCCGGAAAGTCTTTCTACGGTTGAGGTTTCGGTCTCTGATGTGTCTTCTACTGTCAGTGAACATGGTAAGTCGTATTCTGTTATTCTGTACAGTAATTTTATTATAGGCAAACGCGGGATTTACCTTCGTGAATCATATCAGACAGAGAAGGTCTCCGACTTTATTGTGTCAATATCTCCTAAATTCAAATTACTATCTTCCCATGATGAGAAAATTGATTTTGCAAGGAATATCAAACTATCTTCGACGGTCGATTACCTTGATCATCCGAAAGTCATGGTCCTCACGAATCAATCGAGTAACTTCCAATTACGGGTCGACCCAACAAAACTTCCTATCGGGGTAAAGCAGTGAAACAATAGATTGAGATGTTTTTAGTGTCATTACGCTGAAATTCACGGGGTTGACACGGATAACCCTCAGTCTGGTCCTCTCTTCAAAGTGCCAATTACAATTATTAAGCCGGTTATATTGACCAATGAAGATAATTATCAGTTGAAGCAATCATTCGGTCTCGAACCAGCCAAACCTTTTCGATTATTCGTCAGGAATCCAGATGGAGCTCAGTATTTGAAACTGAAATTGAAAACGGCGAACCCAGAAACAGTCTCCAAACTGTATCTTCATGTGATTGATCAGACTCCCGCCTATTCATACAGAGAAAGAGAAATGAGCAAGGTCGGTCGAAAAAAGAAAAATCGAATTGTTAGTTAAATTTTTAACTTGTAGTCGTATCTCGATATTACGATGACAAAATTATTTTAGTTCTGCGCTCTGGAGCCAGGAAATGAGTCGGTCTATTACAAACGGGTTGCAGAAGGAAGAACACTTGATATTACGATGGTTTTGCAATGGAATAACGTTGAAAAAAAGGAGATTGTGGACTTCGAATTGAGCTATCAAGGACCCAAGTCAGAGGTTCCATTATGGGTAGGGAGGGGGTCGAATATTGGAATATTTTGTTTAGTATACCAACCAAGCCGCTCATCCGTTGAAGGTATCGAATAGTCTAAGATATGAGGTCTTGGCACCCTCGGTCTCCCTCACTCACTGTCGTCATAACCTTCGTCCAACCGAAGCGAAAGTTGTTCCCCTCGGCCCAAGGGATCTCTCCCATGATGGAATTCAAATGTTCGGACTTCATTTGACCTACAAATTTAATGGTAGGATATAGAGATTATGTTAGATAAACGACTTTAGTATCGAAGCCTGCTGAATATTCGTTCTGGCTTCCTGAGATCACGGATTATCTCTACGAGAACCCATTTGAATGTATTCTGGTCCATATTTATGAAGGAAGAAGATTTGTCCATGCGAGTTCATCGTTCCCGCAAAGAGTAAGTGATGGTAAGCAGCTCATGTTTATACTTTAGTATTACAAACGTCTCTCCAAAGGAGATCATCGGGTCAAAATCCAGATCCGGCATCAGAATGATCAACTTTTGGAGAAGTTTAAGGACGCCGTGTTAGAACTCAGATGGAAACTTTCCGCTGCATTGACCATCGATTGTTATCGTACTCACGCTGAAGCCCTAAAAGGAGATGGGAAGAAAGTGACAAGTTTGCCAATGAGACCTGGTCAACAAGCCATGCTCTATTTCGCACCTCTTCCTGAAGACAAATTGCCTAAAGGCATTCATTCGGGGGATGTTTTGAGTGGATATTATACCCTGGCGTCTGATGAAACTGCTAAGAAAAGCATCCAATACCTGGCTTTGTTGAATGTTAGTGAGAATAATGCGAAAAAGATTGGAAAAGCTCTGAGTACGGTGGCTGTGGAAGCCGGAAAAACTCCAGAAAAAAGTGCCGCGGAGAAATATGAAGGTAAGGTTTTGTAATGAAGTCTGATGGTTTCAGAGAGCCTCCGAGATCATAAAATCAAGCAGCTTTCCGGATTAAAAGATGCCGAACTGGCCGAACAAATCTACAAAGAACTTCTCGAAAAATATCCAGAACATCTGCCTTTGCTGACTGCGCAGTTGCAAAGACTTCATGGAGAAAAGAAAAAGGATATCGGGAAGGTAAATGAAGTAGCGGAAAAGATCTTGGAGATTGCCAAACCAGCCGAAGTCTTGCAATTCTTCGGTGGGAAGATCGAAGAACATGAGGAAGATCTGAAAAAGAAAAAGTAAGGCTAATGGTGATTAATAATTCAAATCTTCTATAGAGAGCTAACCAACAGAAAACAAGCCATTATCAAGACTCTTCAATTGAAGACTGAGGTCTTGTTGGATGCTCATTTGGCAGCTACCAAGCTTAAGATTCCACCAACATTTAGAAACCTACAAGGCAAAGCATCGTCTGATTCAGAATCCAAGGAAAATACACCTTCGCCAGAAGAAAAGAGTGCGGAGAAAGAGGATTCGGATAATGAAAAGGCCGCCGTGACGGCTTGTGAAGCCCCAGATGACAACAACAACCCCGATCCCCCTCTCTCAGATCCACCACAAGAAAATGTAGAAAACACTCCGACCGAGGATCTTCCAGTCATCCCTTTGGCTGACATTGACGCTGTTTACAACGAATTAATGCGGTTTGCTGACCATAATGACCCCGCAATCCTGTTACTAACCGCCAAGAGAGCTGTTGCCCATGAGTATTACGGCATCGCCCTGAGATGTGTGAATAAGATTATCAACGAAGGAAAGGCCACTCAAGACCTACAGAAAGCCCTGTTCGAGTTGGCGGACAGCCTCGGGTTCACTCATGTCGCTCAACAACTCAAAAACGAATATATCGTCAAGTATTGTATCAACGACCGCCTCTTTTAACGCCCTTGAATGTGAATGATTTCATAACATGTCGTTTTAACTTATCAAGTTGTAAAACTAACATATGTAGGAGAATAAATCTTGTCATAGATATCATGGTTTATTCAGATGTGTTCTAGGCGTTTTGTTTCTGAGATTTCTTGGTGACGACGCCACCTCTTTCGTCTTTTCTCATCTTCTCTTTCTTGATGTCAGACGCCAAATCGACGAATTTCTCACCGTCTTCCTCATCGACAAGTCTGATTTCCAATTTGATTCGGTCTTCTCTTCGGCCTTTCAAGTATTCTCTGACAACTTTTGTCACCATTTGACCCAAAAGATCGGCTTTGTCCAAAACTGGAGGAGCAGTCTCTGGAAAGAAGTATATTGATATCCACGGATGTAAAAGGAAGCAATACCTTTTTGTTTCTTTACATTGGTTTTCTTTTTTGGTGTGGAACTTGGCTCGATAACATTGGTCTGGCTGGCTTGGAAGACAGAAATCTTTTTCTGAAAAAATTAATTTCAATTTTGGACGTTTAAGTGGGTACCCCAATTCGCCCCTGGCGCAAGGCGGTTCGTCCGGAACTAAATAGCACCACCAAACTTAGTCAAAGCACAATAACCCCTTACCTCACGGTTGTTCTGGTTGATCATTTCTGGTTTCGCAGCGACTTCAGCCTTCTCCCATTCGCCAGCATCTATCCCAGCCAACATTTCACCAGCCTCGATGTTCTTGGAAGCAATCGCATGTTCGAAAGAAATATGAGGGTTAGTTACAGCACTACTTTCACCATGAGTCCTTCTATATTCAGCCAGAGCTTTAGCCTCACGCTCCGACATTGGAGGGCTCAGTTCGTGAGGACTGGAAAGATGCTGCCGAGGTGGAGACTTCTCGTGATTATGCGCCAAGGTGTCCTTATCGCTTGGCTTCACTGACTTGTGCTTCTTTTCTGTCCGCGCAATTTTCTCGTCACCCATTTCTCGACTTCTGGAAAAGTAAAAAGAGGTTGCTATCCCTACAGTACTACCTGTACATAAGAATCGCAATTTCTTACCGTATTTTGGTCGACAGTGTGTCTCAATGAAAACCTGACCGTTCTCTGGAATATCGACTAGACGGAATGTTGATTTCAGGAAAAGATTTTCCGAAATAATCAAATTTCTTATGCGCTGTCCGGTAGAGCTTAAAAAAGATCATGCACAATGCACAGCGTTTTGAATGCACTGCCCAGTGGCAAGCCTTGCACAACGTAATTTCAAACCGCTGTCGCTCTGTTTGCAACTCTCCATTGCCATTTGCAATGTGCAAACCTCTTTGTCAAGTCGGTAACGGTTTTTGAACAGTGCAGTCAGACACTCACTCTTGAGCAGGTGTTCAGATTGAAGCTGGCACAACGAATTTGACAGGTTCTGCCTGTTTCGGCGATTCCGCAAACATCGCAAAATCATTACCACGCCAAAAAGAAATCTGTCGCATTTTCTTTCATCGCAAGTGTCATGAGACGTCGCCGCAACCGAAGATCAGCGATTTTCTGTCTAGCGGCGATGCAATTTGAGAGTCGCGTCAAATTTTCAATCGAGAAACTTGGTCCCGAATTCAACGCTTCGGAACTCTTGTCTTTTGCACTGTGCAAACTCAGGGAACAAGCCGCAAGAAAAGATTTGTGGATGCGCTCTGTGCGCGCATTAACCGTGCTGGCAAATTCGTTTTGCTCGCTTCTTCCTGAAAAAAAAATCGATAAAAACTTTATTTGATGATTTTAACTTTCTCTTGCGTGACAAAGAAAAGCGTGGGAAATCCCTGCAGTTTATACAATTCGGCTCAGCAAATAAAGCCTTTGGGAAAGCAGACCAGAATGAGTCATCGTTAGCCTGATTCTATGTCATCTTTGGGCAGAAATATTCAAAATGAAGAGTGCTTATGTGCATTACAATCTGCGCCAAGATATGTCAATCAGACGCGACATGGTGGATGTCGATGGTATGTTGAACCTGCATAAATTTTTTTTAGCCTATTACATAGTACTTTCTGTATAAAACACTACATTAAGACTTTAGCGACGACAACACAAAGGATGTTATCCTATCGCTGAAGACATCGCGCATGCCACGATTTGTATTTTACATTTTGTTTTTTGCTATCCAACTCAGTGAGTGATAAAAAACGTAAGATATAATCAAATTACAGTATTCTTTTGATCATCACGGCGATTAGAAACGATGAAAAATGGATTCTGACCTTCCCAATCGCCGCGCTGTTGTCTTATGTGATCTCGTTGGTCGGATTCTGGAGACGAATCAAGTTGCTGCTCATCCCCAACATTGTTTTAGATGTAAGGTCACAAATTTTGATTACATTTCACCCATGAATACATTTTTTGCATATTTTACTCGTATTTTAGCCAGTGGTAGTCATCTTTTATTTATATCTGACCCGTACTTTGCTCAAACAAGCGGATCCAAGGAATGGTGCCCTGGATCTGATAGATGATCGAATATTCGATGGATTGGACAGATGGCGGGTCAGCGAACTCTGCATCGCCATGTCTTTGTCTTCCCCATCGCAATTACTATTCGAATTCTGTTTGATACGGGGCCTGATGGGCATCGATTTGTTGTATTGGACGAGGTCCAAATAAATTTTTTAAAATTTTTATTACCCTTCTATTAATTTGAATATCTTCTCCCTGTCACATCAGATACCTTTGTTTTCCAATCAGGTTGCGTCATCCCGAACGCATCGAATATAATTTCTGTGCCTTGATTGTAGTAAGATAGTTCCCTTTTCCCCTTCCCTTATCACAAAAAGAAACAACAATTTCCCAATGGATGGACCCAAAGCAAGAAAATGGGAGAAAAACAAAAAATAAATTCGCCGCTGGGAACGAAGGGTTTTTTGCTCGGATTTTTGTGTTTTTTGCACGTTCCGAGCGATTCAAAACAAATATTTTGATGGATCTGTGGGGATCGACCTCCCCTTAGGGCTTTATTAGTTTTTTGTTTCGAATTTGTAATGTAAATAAACGAATTTTTACACTTTTTGTACATAAAAAAAAAGTGACGTTTTTTCAGCGCTATTTTGATGGAACTGGGATAACATCGCAGTTGGATGGTCATCCTAGAATAAATTTTCATTGGCTATCTGCGCTTTTATTAATGATTAAAAGAAATTTGTACCCAGAATATTCGATTTCAGATATGTCGCGGGATTATTCAACCGAGATCGAGAGGTTTGCCCGAGTAGCCCAGCCCTATTTACCTTATGCTTTGTTTCCCCTGGGACTTTATGGAGCAGCCAAACTATTGTCTTACCTTATCCCTGGAGCTCATCGACAGAGAAAAATGAATCTAAAGGACCGAACAGTTTTGATAACTGGAGCTTCCACTGGTCTTGGACGGGCGATGGCTTTTGTTTTCTATGAAAAGGTATGGTTTTATACGAGGAAAACATTTTTTAGAATGCCTGAGACCTAAGTAATATAATTTAGGGAGCAAAAGTCATCCTAACCGCAAGATCCATTGAACAGCTTCAAGCACTGTGCGAAGAACTTCAGAAAACAGGACAAGAAAAAGGATGGAACAATCCGCATAAGCCTGAATTCAAATATCTCGACTTGGTGGATCTCGTTGATGATGCTGTCGCCACAAAACAGTTGAATGAGATCAAATTGTTGGCCTTAAATGACGGCCGAATTGACGTTCTCATCAATAATGCTGGGCTCTCAAATAGGTAAGCTCTGTTATCTGAAACTACTCCTTTTGTCATGCTAGAGGCTCTTGTGTGGACACGGACGTCAGCGTTCAGCGAAAGATCTTCGACGTGAATTATTTCGGTGCTGTCGCTGTTACTAAGGCTGTATATGATGCTATCCCAGATGACGGAGCTATTGTGACCATCGGAAGTATCCAATCCAAGGTCGCTTTGCCTTACAGGTCCGCTTATTCAGCCAGTAAACACGCCATAACAGTAAGTATGTCTAGAATATAATTATGAATTGTCTAGGCATTTATGGACTCACTAAGAGCGGAAGATCGACCAGCTCTGCAGGTATTGAATGTATATGCCGGGTATATGAACACTGGGTTTGGGTCAAGAGCGCTGACTGCGGATGGGAAAACACATGGAATCCAGGATAAGAATCAGCTGAAGGGATACACCCCTGAGTATTCTGCCAGAACAATCATCCTCGCACTGTGCAATCGAAAGAGTGAACTGATCTTGGCTCCCATCACAAGCTCCTTGGCCATCTGGCTTCGTCTTCTCACGCCCAATTTTCTCAATTGGATTCTCCATCGTCGCGCGACAAAGGAGATCGCTGAATACAAACAACAAAAAAATGAGTAGCTAACCATGTATAATATAAATAGAATGTTAAAATTTTATATCGGGTTCAATAAGATTAACAACGATATCCGAGCACGCCCAAATTTAGGAACTCGTTTGAATTTCAGAAGAAGTCATCGTCCGAACTTTCATCTCCGCCAGTAGCCGCCTTCAACGCGGCCTTTTGTTTGTTGGTCATCATCTTCTTCTCATCGAATACCCGTTCATAACTCTTTGATTCTTTCTCCTTTTGTAGCCTTTCCCTTTCCTCTAATTCCGCTTTTTGACGGATCCTGGCTGCTTCTCTCTAAACACAGATCAAAAGTAAAAGTATTTCCTTACTTCCTTTAGTCTTTCTTTCCGATCTCTTTCTTCCCTCTCGGCTTGATAATCATAATTATCATCCACAACTTGAGTTTTGTTTAGTCGATTCACAATCAAGTTGACTTTAGTATCGATTCGTATCTAACATCATATTATATACATCTATTACTGTATTTACGTACCTTCTTCACAGCTTTATCACTGTGGAATCCAATCTGTCCTACAGCCATGTCTCCCGTCTTCTTGAGGTTAGACCACAAAGTATAAACAATGTCAATGTTGTTCAGCTTGCATCCCTAAACTCAAAAAGGAATTAAAATTACGAAGAGAAACTAACTTCAATTGAGTTTGCCTTTACAAGTTGGCAGCAATCAGTAATTAAGGCTTCTGGAATAGTTTCAAACGACATTCCAGGAGGCATCCTGAGATATACGTGAGCCGATGAATATTTGTCCACGTGAAACCATACATCTTCAGGCCATCCCCACCTTAAATATAAAAATTCGATGAATACGCTTATTATACCTGATCAATTTCTCGTTTTCATGTTTATCTCGTCCCATGTAAAGCAAGGCCGGAGGATCAACAACATTCGAAGTAAATTTAAGAACCATTTTGATACAAATCAGAGGGAGAAACTCTCAAGAATACCAAAATTGCAATTCCCAAATTGGAAAAAAAAATTCTAGAATATTATGAGACAGACTTGACTCAAGAGGAAATGTTGACCCAGACCATGTTACGCAACGGCAAAGGTTGTTCGTTGATTGTGCACGATTTGGGAAGATTGCTTTGAGTTGACAGCAATTTACATTAATTTCTATAACATACAGGATTCAGAATTGTAAATGGTGCAGAAGTAGATTTTATTTGTCTTATCTTTCTAGAGCAGCTCATCAGATAAAGAATTACATTACTTACGGAATAATTTTTGGTCCTAAAATCCTCTTTCAATACTAAAACAAATGGAAACAAGTTACTTTTTATTTCTTAAACAAAATCTACATATTTTCTTTCCATTGTGCTTGATGTTTACTGACTAGTGAGGTGCACGGTGATTACCTCAACATTGGTCTCAAGTGGATTATCTGCTGTTCCAATGACAATATTATATTCAAAAACGTCAGAGAATCCTTCAAAAAAGTATTGAGGAGATTAGTTTGATGGCGTATATTGGCAAAAGAGTACGGGAAAAGATGAGGCCTTGAGGGTAATTTTAATCAAGATTTCCAATAATTCCGATAAGACAACAGACCCGCCCAAAGAGATGTGCATATAAATGGAGGGGGTTGCCTCTATTTACACCTTCTGATATTACTACTTCTGCAATTACATTACTAGTCTGACAATGGCCAAAGTTTATGGAACCAAATCAATTGAAGAAGCCCTCAGGCATTTGGCAAAAGTGACTGATTCGAACCCGAACGATCCCTTTGCTTGGCAGGCTATCGGCCTTCAATTCCATTCCGTCCGATGTTATCAAGATGCCTTGACTTATTTTTTGAAAGCTGAACATATTAAGGTAAGTACTCTTAAAATCCGAAGGGAGACTGGATATACTTTTCATATTCAGTCCTTCATATTCAGTCAGTTTATACTCAGTCAGGCACCCCTTAAAATCACTATTTCAACGACTGAAGTTTGTACTTTAAATTTGTGAATTACATGATGTTTTAGGCAAATATCTCAGCGTCCAACTTATTTTACATCGGCGATTGTCTTCGTCGGATGGGAGCCATAGAGGATGCCAAAACTTATTACAAAAAAGCCCTGAAGGTTCCAATTAGAAATCGGATTGACCAGAAAGGATATATGGAAGCCAGAAAATACCTGATTGACCAAGGATATTCAGAGTCAGAACTCAATGTTTTATCGACCAGTAGGCTCTGTGCTGCCTAACGACTTTTATTTTCGTCACAACGTGATGTACATTTTTGTAAATAAAATCTTTTTTGAAATGTGAAGAATTATATTTACTGTTAGCAGAAACATTACATTCAATTAATTTATTAGACCGACGACAATTCCACTGGTTTTACAGAGTAAAAATAATAATTACAAAAAAAGATTACTGTACTTTTAAACATGACACGACCAAAGCAACTTTTTTTTGTAGAATTACGCAAGAAATAACTGTTAATTGATTGTTGAATATGTTACATGCACTATGGCCGTGTCGTGCTTAACATTTACTTTCCAATATCGGATATCACTGAGCCCACAGACTTGCCGTTCAAAGCACCATCCAGGAAAACCTTTTCGATTAATTTGGGGACTGAGGCTGTTCTCAGTGGAGGTAATAAGAGCAATAACTTGCCGAATCTGTGCGCATTCGGGTCTTTATTGCAACTATGTTGCTGTAACATGGCCTGTGCTTGATCTTGCAACCTCTCGATTTGACTGGACGATCGGAGGCCGCGAGTATCTGAAATATTTTTTAAAATAAAATATTATAAATATTTATTAAAAAATTCTGACGAAACAACCGTCGGCAAACGACTGTCAGAAACAGATTTATGTTTCGATTCCGTCATCTCCGTTCTCTTACCTGACCGAAAAAGAACCAATGCCTTAAGGCAAGCGAGTTCTGCCGGGTCGGGAGATCTGGCTTTAAAGAGTTCGAATAGGTTAATCAAAGGCTTGATCAGCGCTGACTGAGACGTTCCTTCGAATAACGGGCACTTATCCATCTCCATAGACCACTGAAAGGCGCTCAGAAGAAAGAGCTCAGGCCATGCATTGTCCAAAAGAGTCGCCTGAAAAAAATTCAAAAAGTAGAACTGGTTTTGACGAAATTTGGCACGAATTTTGATTATTTTCTTCAACCATATATGCGAGACTCCTGACTCGCGTTTTGCAGAAAGAACCAGGACTTTTAGATTGAAAGCCGGGCAAAAATGTGCACATGTGACACTTCTTGCGGAAAGTTTCATGCCTATTTCTACCGCAGAGGGTTTTGTTACCACAAAAAAAAATATTTTTTTTCCGCAGGAACGTGCAAAGCGCGAGCTAAGACTTTCAGTAATTAATATGTGGCTGCCTGACGTGTTAAAGGAAAATCTGAGCGTCGCACTTGTAAGTCTTCCCGCGCAATTTACAAAAATTTCCTTTCGTCCCAAAAATCTCTTACCTGATCTTGACTCTGTAATTGAGCGAAACTTGGGAGAGCCTTGGCCCATTTGACGGCCATAAAAAGCAGTCTCGAGGACACTTCAGGATTTGTGTTTGCACTCAATTCTTTTAGCTCTGTCTCCAATGATCCCCTGCGACACTTCGCATTCAAATCAAAGTTTACATTATTCAAATCTACAGTAGTCGACAAGACGTTTGGACACTCTTGGAGGAAATTTGAATTATAAAAGTCTGCTTCCACTGGATTCTGGATGGTTGCCGTATTCCGGGGTTGACGCTCATTCTGGACGGCTGGAAGGGAGACAACTGAGTTCCGATGGGCGGCTAGCCGTTCACTTACCGTCCTTGTTCATCCCTTTGGCCAGACACTTCTTCAGCCGGCAGGCCTGGCATTGATTTCGATGCGCTTTATCCACCACACATTGGCCTGTTCCGGCTTGACATCTGTAAATTAAACGCCGACGGACACTTCTTTTGAAAAACCCCGAGCATCCATTGCAGGCTAAGATACCATAATGTTTGCCACTGGAGACGTCGCCGCAAACTGCACAAGACAGTTGGGCTCCGGATGAACTTATCGGGGTCGGGGATCGAGATCGAGGGGAGCTGGCGTTGAAAGAGTTTACGGAAATCGTTGTACCGTCGTTGATACTGAAACAAACATTTTATATGTATAAATGATGGTGTAAGTGGGCCTATCTAATTCATATTACAAAGCTCAAAGCCCCGCATCATACGGCAACCTTTGGCACGCATATGATACGTACATGCGAAGGGGAAGGTCTCAGATATTTGAGGAGATCACACTTGCGTAAAAATATGTTTTCGGCAAAAATCTACAGCGTTTTGAGGGCTAAATCGCTGATCATTTATAGTCATCTTACAATTAGAAAATTAAAATAACTCTTCCTTACCATCCATTCTTCTGATTGTATGCGTTGACAGCGGCTGACATGGCTGCAATACTTTGCATGTACGATGCTGAAAAAATATCTTTTTGCGAAGCTCATATATAAATAGATTTTGTTATTGTTGTCTTTGGCTTTACCTTGATTAAAGAACGGAACAGATCCACCAAAGAGCTGGTTGTAATTGGATGGGGGCATTCTTAGGCCATTATTGAGGAATGGAGACGTTGAACTGAACATCGCACTTAGGGCAGCAGAGATCTGAGGATCCGGACTGCCTTCTGGAGACGACGATTGACGATCGCCTCCAGATTCACGACTCGGAGAAGCAGATTCAATCTTGGGAGAGCCCGAGGGATCTTCCGCAAAGCCCATACCGACTGGACTGACCGGATCCTGGCCAGACGGACTTGTTTTGTCTTGAAAGAGAAGCAAATTAGAGGGTAATCTTTTGCTCAAGAAATGAGAAATTTAGGGATTAACGCCGCTAATGATTCGGGTACTCTGAAGGTTCGTGTTCTAAGGCCTCGAGGCTATAGATTTACATAAGAGACGACAATTATGGGATTGGGATGACGTTGCACACCTCTTAAGACATACGGCGATGAATCTTGACTTTTTCGAAGAATAAAGCTGTATGTGTTAAAAATTTAAGGAGAAAGGATCCTGGAGAAGAACAGTCAATACTAGGCCGGCCAAAAAGTCTTGACATGTTTTCGCACTATGCGGACGCATGCATTCGGTGTTGCGGTGAGATGTCGCGCAATAAAAATTGGTTGAGGTGCGAAAAAAGAGCGCACTGTGATTTTGATCGAATTTTTCAAAACATTTTTTTGCACTGTGCGGGGGAGGGTCGCGCACCGTAAATTTTACCTGTCGCCGCGCCACAAGTTGTACGCACGACGGCGCACTGTGCAGACGTGATGACTTTTTGCCATCACGTCTGTACGGAAGAAGAGGATTTATGATAGAATTTGTGTCTAAAAAGATGGTTAACCCTCTAAGGTTTTGATGCTTACCCGGCTCGGTGAGATGTCGTAACGAGAAGTTGAGGGGCTTCTCCTGATCCTCAGCCATAAACTACAGTATGCCGCGGATCTTCTCGAAAAGGCGCCACAAAAATTGAAAGCCAAAAGAAAAGCCGGGAAGACGGCTTCACCCACTCCAGAAGGCTCTAAAATTCAAAAACTGGATCCACAAAAACAAGAAGCGCCTCAGGGGTGGTAGTGTTTGGTTCGTGGACGCAAATTGTTAGGGGTATCCGTTCGGCCCTTTTTCGTGGCAAAGGCCAAAACACAAAAAACCTCCCCTCTGAATTGGCATTTGCCGCGCTCTCATTGGCTCAGCCGGACCGGAAATGGCCACGCCCCATGCGGCCGTTTCGGCCGCTGGGTGAGCCTGGAGAAAGAGGTGGCGGGGATAAGGCTCGCCACGACTTTTGACCGTAATCCGCAAGATATTCATGCCGGAATTGTGTGCATACAGCGTTTAATTATTACAATATACGAATATAAAGAAGTAAAAATAATATTAAGGCGAATTCGGATACATATACGTGAAGAAATAAGACCGATTTTGCGTTTTTTGTCACTTTTTGTATACAAAAATTTTGCGAAAAATGTTGTCAAACCGTATGGATGATGTCTTTGTCATCTTATGGCATATACTATTATATAACCAGAAATCCTCTTAAAAATTATTTTGCCGTTAACATTACAGTAACCCGCAAGGTAAAAGGAATTGATTACTGCCCGATTATATTCATCAATTGGTAGAGCATGTTTCAAAATCTGTAACGTTTGGAGTTGCTCCAAATATTTTTTCCAGACATCTTGAGATGTTTTGGATCACAAGATTTCCTCGGGCAAGTAGTCTCCTTATCTATACTGTAATCTTATTTTTGCAAATATCTGGAACAGCATTTTCAACAGATCATCCTCGATTGAGGGAAAGTTTTAGCCATATATTTTTTATTTTTAGGAGATTGATTTTAAAAGTTCACAGCAAAGGCACTAGAATTCTTTAGAAATATTAAATTAAGTCCGGCACATGCCGCTATACAGCTACAGTAAGCTCCTTTTGTAAGTCACGTTTTTATTTCCATTTACAATGTTAAAGTTCGCAGCAAAAACAACTTTTATTTTCCGATTACTTTATTCCATTTCCTCCAACGTAATTGGTGACGCTAAGGGGGAATGAGATCACGGAAAGTAATGCCCAGAACAGTTAATACTTGTTTATAAGGCCGTTTTTTCATTTAATTTTTCAACTCATAGTCAGCGGCACGCAACTCGCAAACGACATTTGCTACGTCAATTTGTGGGAATTGTCGCTGAATCACGCACGAAATGGCCATGACTTGACTTTCGCCTTACGCCTTTAGTCGGCGGATGTAATTAATTGGACTTTAGAGACGAAAAGTCAACTTAAAACGCGAAGATATACAGGATGGTGCATTACACACAAAAGTGTATCCCTTCCAAATTAATCTACGCAATGTAACCAGGAATCCGCGGATTCAGGGAACTTATGTCCACAAAATTAGTTTAAAGTTGGTCATGTCTATGCAACAATTGTGAGAAGAAGGGGAATCTCATGGCATGAATAACCTGATGATTTTGGCAGAAAACGATGTCATTTTAGCTGCAGGCTCTTCTAACTGTCATCACGGTCTGCGTTCAATGGAGAGTGAAATTTAGCCGAATGTTTGTCAAAGTTAAGGCAGCCAGAATATGCCGGAAGGAAGAGTCATACCTCGATCCCTTTGCCTTACTCCCCTCGATCCTCTCTTCTCTCCTCATACCTCAATCTTTTATTTCCCTTTCCTTTACATCTGACATCTGATATGAGTGCCGGAAACGGAGTTCATCCCACAGCCTGACCCCCTCTCCATTCCCGTTTTGTGTTGGGGTTTGCAATAAAACGTTAATCGGATTTGGACGGCGGCACCAAAGAAAGGGGGGGAATAACCTCTTCTTCTTTCAATTTGGCCATGCTCAGATGGGTGCGCGGAGGGCCGAGTGCCGGCCTCTAAAAAGCCCGCAGGGCCTAACGAGGTTACCTCGCAGCATTCCGTCGAAAATTGAATCCCGCGAATCCCGTGCGCCACTCAGCGTCGGCGCCTTTCCATCTCGTTGGCCGGCTACGGTGGGTCAAACCAGCATTGCCGGCGTCTCGAGGGAGTCGTTTGGAAGAAGATATGGAGGAATATCGAAAGGCGATGACGAAGAAAGGGACGTAGTTAACGACGACGATGATTTGAGGGAAATAAGCTTTAGAGAAGGCGTGAAAGGTAAAGGAAGATCACTGAAGATCTACATCCCCTCAGGGCATCATCTTATACGAAGTCAATTACTATTCTTCCCTTTTGGTAACGACCGTGTTTTGCCCTGTCCCCTAAGACGCTAATAGTGTAAATGACATCTGAGAAAGCGAAAACAAATTATTTTATTTTTGTCTGGATTCTGGCTTCTAATCTCCGCTCTCGATTACGGTCGACCTCCCACCGCTGTCCTCAAGGACTCGTCGATTAGAGATCGATGGCTGTAAAGTCATTACTTCCGATCATCACAAGTGCCGCGAAACCCAAAAAAGCGAGAGCCTTTTGTATTCAATTACAGGCGAACAGTTGGCCCTCGAAGGGAAACGAAACATTTTCATTAGTTTATGATCCAATGGGCTTAATCCGCCTTAAGTGCCGCGCCGATCCGGCCCCATTGGGAATCGCCGGTCATTTTAGGTTATAAAGTTTGAGGAAGAGAAGAGTTATGTCATCAAATGAGTTAATCCCATCGAAAATGGAAACACTAATCTAATTTTTGGTTCAAAGGCATGTATTCGAAAGGGGCGAATCGAATGTCCGGCAGAGGAGAAATTTACAGGGTTTAACTACAAATATATATGTATAAATAATTGCTTTATTAATATATACATACATCATGATGACAATTACAATAAGAAGGATGAAAATACTGCCGATCTCCGGACCAAACCCGCAATAAAGAAATCACTCTCTCTGTATTGTAATCCTTACTTTATTTTGTTAATTGCCAGTTAGGACGTCCCTATAAAAGGCAAGCCCTGACGTCAATAAATTAGTCTAACAAGGAATGTGGAAAAATGTGTAAATCGATTTTGGCTTGGGACATGGTTAGATCGAAAGGTCTAAAATTAGACCTTTGGTAGTCGATTATTCACTTGGGGGAAATCTCTGCGCGGGGCTTGAAAACCGAGAAAATCGGCTTCAAAGTTTGGACGAAAAAAAGTAGCAACAGATAGGGATCCCGGAAATAGCGATAAAAAGAGCGAAGCGGTGGCCGAGTGGTCAGTGCGCTCGGTTTTTGCACAAAAGGTCTCAAGTTCGAATCTCCTTTTATTCATAACTTTTTTAAGTCTCTGAGCGCAGGACACCCACCGAGATGATATCTCGGCTTGATGTTGGGTGATCTATAGAAACAGCTTATTGTTAGGCGACTTCAACAACGTTAAAGTGGCGACTAACATGGAATTCTAACTCCCGCGGACAAATCTCCGAAACCTCTATGTAGCATAAATGTACAGGGTGTACCAATTTGGTGGCCCGATTTGAATTGGCTATAACTTTTTTAATTTTGGGCCAAATTTTAAAATTCTTTTTTTTCCCTGAATCCCCAGACATCCCCATTGTGTTTAATACCAAATATGTGGCAAGAGTACAGAAATCTCGCCGTCTTCGTCGTGAAGAACAAAAGATCTCAAAAAATGCCGAAAATCAGTCGTATCTTTTGAACGGCATAGATAGTTGTGGTAAACCTAGGTTCATAAGGTTTAAAATTTTGTGTAGAATACATAGTTTGGAATCAAAAAACAAAAGCAAATCCGCTCCTAAGAAGTGAAACCCGGAGGGCACAGATATGAAAATTTTGAAAATCCGCAAAGTTGGGGAAAAGGTTTGGCCCTAAACAAAGATGAAATTCAATCTAAGTTTTGTAGTATAAGTTTTTTGGTCCAACATGTTGCAACATAACATTCCATTTTTAGGGCCGACAATTTTAACAACCGAAAACAGTGAAAGAAAGTATTAGTTTTTCGTTGTTTGTTGCTTTTTACTGTAGTTTACAAAAAATGTATGTTATATTTGGTATTAACCAAAATGGGGATGTCTGAGGATTCTAGGAAAAAGAATTTAAAAATTTGGCCCGAAATTAAAGAAGTTATAGCCAATTCAAATCGGGCCACCAAATTGGCGTAAGTCAGTCAAGAACTCAAAATGCCCCGCGGTAGCTTTTGTAAACAGGCACTACCGGTAGTTGTGGAAAAGCGCACCCAGCGCATCCCAACCAAAAAAAGAAGCTCCAGAAGTTGGTCTGGGCATTGGCCCAGACGCAACTCCAAACCAGCCCAATGCCGTTTCTCAGCCTGTGCCAATCCACAACCGGGCCCTTCCAAGCCACCCGAGACGAAAAAGAATTATGGGATGATCTAGCACCCATGGATCACATACATATGTAAATATTACATTTTGTCTTCTACCTTTCATCATCTCTCATTCTCACGTTTTATTTTTTTCTACAAATATTTTTGTGGAACAATGATTAAATAACGGAGAGAAATTTCGGGTTTTATGTAACCTTCTTCTTGCTTGCATGTTTTACCTGGTATCTTCGAATTCGTATTGTATTCAAAAGCAATTCAATTGATTGAATACTTACAAAAGTATTATCATTAATAAATTTAAATAAATTCAAATTATCAAACTCAAGTAAAGAGAGATGTGTTAATCCAAAGCAAAAGTTGACAACATGGATAAACTACATTTCGATGCTCATTAAAGGCCTCATCAAGAAGGAGATGTCCGTGCACTTGTTGTTGTTATAGGGAGAGTCCGCTAGCATTTCGAATTTGCATATGAGACAGGTGAAAAGGGAGAAAGACCGGAGGGAAAACCGGGCATCTTCGCATTAATTAACCTTGCCCTGTATTTCTCTGGTTTAGTCTTTACTTTTTCGAAGATTTGAGACAATGAACCAGTCATCTGGCAACGAAGATGTTAGTGGCATTTTGTGATTCGATGTTGGGGACAAATAATTTTGGCAACTCCTTAGAAATCAGTTTATTTATGTTAAAAATGATGACTTGAAAAAAACTCAAGTAAATCACGTTAAGATTTGGCATGCGATTAAACATATTAAACTTTTATTTGTTGCATCGTATATCAGTGTTTTTCCAATGGAAAAAAAGGTTCAGATTCGCGAATTTTTCAAAAACCCTATTTTTTTAAACTTTGATGTCGGCGCGGCCCCAAAGAAACTTTGTGATCTAAACTCCTGCTGTTACTCAGACAATCTTGACTGTACGTAATGGCCTACGTTGTCAAACACGGTCCATTTGAATCTAAATGAGTAATCGGGATCCCTATCTCCAACATCCCAAACTTACATAATTTTTCTATCCAATTTATTCACCCTTGACGTATCTCGGACGGAAGTTTCGCATAACTGTTTACCCCATCTCAACTGTTGCCGCGATTACCAAATTGTACAAAATATTATTTGTTTTGAATTAGCCCTTGGCTTACAACGTTTTCTATATCGACTACAATTTCAGAACCGTTTTTCATTTTATTATTTCTCTCTTGACATCGCCGTATCTACAGCCACCTGACAATACCTCCGAATACAGTATGCTTGTGTGCGGAGAGAGTGTGGAGATGGAGGAGGGGTCAGACAAAGGGAGGCTCTTCACATTATTCCCCCAAACCTTTCATTCCTCCTCCCAAGTGTAGTTGTAAAGGCTCTGGCAGAGAGATAACCGGCTCAGTAATTGCTGCCAAGAATCAAAGTAATTGTTGTTTGTGTACAATTACCGTCGTACTTGGGTTGCATAAACAAAACGACGGCGATTCACAGATTTTGTGACTTTTGCCGTCACTCAATTTCGGTCGTTCTGAGTGACCGATGACTATTTTTTTTACTTTTCTTAGAACTCACTAAGCTTCCCCTCCTTGTTCTTGTGGTCGTACAATATTTTCAACGTTATGTCTCTATCCCAAACCCTTGTTTACCTGAATTTTTATTGTCATAATATAAGATCACGCATTTGTCTCGGGCTGCGGTTTGTTTTCACTTGACCAATTAGCTTATTTCCGCGGTTTTATTTCGAGTATTATCCGTATATCTAACTTCAATTACAATAAAAAATAATATTTAGGTTAAGCATGAACGGTCATGAGTTCACCGAGTTCTGGCCCCAAAACCATGCCTCTTCCTTATTCTACCACAACAATAACAACTTGAACATGCCGTTCGGTGACTCCCAGCAAGGAAGTCAGATTAGGTCTAACGGAGAAGGTAAGAATCTTAAATTTGATACATAAATACCCTCAGGCGAAATGCCCTCAATGGATAACAGCCATGGTCATACTCAAAACAATTCATTCTTGTCACCAGAAACTATTTTTAATGGTCATAATGATCAACAACAGAATCATTTTAATTCTTTTCAAATGATGGGAATGGATGCTGCTTCTTCAGCCGCACAGCTCTTGGCTGGGATTCAGCATCATAATTTAAGCCATTTCCAACATTCAGGTGAGTTTCTCTTCCGTTTTAAGACTTTGTTTCCTCAAAGGGATCTTCTTTTCGTCTCTAAAGTAATGCCTAAGAAATGTAGGATACTCAATTACCGTAATCCACAACATTTCCGACTTTCCGCGGGGCTTTTTCGGAAGGTCAAAAACAAGATGACATGTCTGTAGACAACTCTTCCGTGATTTCGTAACGAACTAATTCGTAGTCTATCTCAGATGTCTTAAAAATATTTACATATTTGAGTCTATTGTATCTGCTACAATATACTTTCAGCCCTTCCCCCGTCCTTCATGCAGCTGAATCTGCATGCGGCTGCAGCTGCATGTGCAAAAGAGTACAATGAGCCGGATCAACATCGACAGTCGCCGGTGGCAATGTTTGATCTGGATCATCAAGCAAATACATCGGGACGGAATCAGGTCCGACAAGATCTGGATCGGCTTCTAAATCAGTCCAGAGAAACGGCTAATCTCCCCGAAATCAGCGAAATGACTCATATGCAGACAGCAGTGGAACATCAGAATATTCAAGGAATTCAGAATAATATATCTGCTGGAATTCAACAGAATCTTCAACCTCCAGCATCTGAATCGACAACATCAGCTGCTGATAATCTTCTGAGCCCTCTCTTTCCATTAAATCCATTCGAATCAAGACCCCCGTTGGTCAATCAGATCGATCTCATGCTCAATAATATGTCACAACCTCAACATCAAGGGGCAATTCATGAACTTGATCATGGCTTCGGACCAAAGGATGTGATGAATGACAAGGAAATGATGAGAAATCATGAGAAAATGTTTATGGAGAGGAAGAAAATCAAAGAAGAGAACCTTCAAAGAGAAAAGCTGTAAGAAACTATGAAAAAAACATAAAAAATATTGTTCTAGGATGACAAAAGACTCAAGGAATAACAGTCCGCCTGTGTGTCAAGTCTGCCTCTCAGGCCCATCCAATGGCCTTCATTTCGGCGCTCCCAGGACATGTGCTGCCTGTGCGGCCTTCTTTAGGTAAAATTATTTCACATAGAATCAATCACATTATCCATGAGTGTAAGCAATTACATAATATTGCCATTTTAGGAGGACAATCAGCGATCAAAAGAAGTATATCTGCAAAAGACCCCAGCGGTGCACAATGAAGTTCTCCGAATGTAAGTTCCTTTGAAGCCAGGATCACGAATGTCAGCAGTATTAGAATAAAAAGCACGGGGCGACAATGGGGAATTTAACAATTGGGGAAAACGACAATTGGTGAAAGTGAAAATATTATTTTTCTTGCATGTAGTTTCGAACTCAGAATAATCGATGGCGCTTATTTCAAAAATTACATTCGCTTTTTTCTGATTGTCTTTTTTCCTGAAGTAGTACTGTAAAATCGTAATTTTCCGAATTTTGTCACAAATACTCGATTTGGAGGTCTTCGATAGTGTTGATTCCGAAAATCTGATTATTTTTTCTGATTTGAAAACAGACCATCGAAAACCACTAAATCGAGTATTTTTGAAGAAAGTTCACGAAATTGCTAATTTACAGTACTGCTTAAGAAACAAGTAACGACTAGAAAAAATTAATACGATTTTCGAAAATAGCATTTTTCGAAAACCCCCAAGTCGAGTATTTGTGAAAAAAAATCTAAGAATTACTACTTTACAGTACTACTTACTGTCAAGAAAAACGTAACGATCAGAAAAAACATGATTTTTCAAATCGACGCCACAGATTATCCTAACTTCGACCGTTATATGCAAGAAAAATAATATTTTTCGGTTTTCACGATTGTCTTTTTCCTCCAACTGACGACGTTCCCAAAAGCATACCCTCTTTGTGAAAGATTACTTCGTTTTTTCGTTTTAGCCGCCGGTTACCGAAAGATTTGCCGGAACTGCAGAATGAAGCGATGTTTGGAAATAGGAATGCTTCCAGACAGTAAGTGACCTTATTTTTATAATACTTCACTAACGTTTCTTGATTGAAATCCAATAATTGGTGCTTTTTAGAAGTGCAGCACAAAAGGAATCGCCGAGATTTTATGTCATTTCGATCCAAAATGGATTCCAAACCCTCCAACGAAATGTTATCGATATCCCAAGGCTTCCCTCAAATGCACCACGAACATAATGGTCATCTCGAGAGTGTCTCCAGTCTATTACCACCAAATCCTTGGCCTTCCATCAACCAGGTCGGATTCTCTGGTTTGTAATTTGGGCCTTAGAAGATGGCCCCCAATATTTCGTGATCTCAATGTCTTCTCTGTTATCACAAACTCTCAACTGATCTCCTCTCCTCGTATCAAGTACAATGATTTCGTGTAATTCGCGTAAATTTTATTATTTATACACATCTAAATAAAAGACACCAAGTGATAAAGTCAACGGGATAAGTTAGAATGCGTAGTTCCGCGATACGCCGACAACATCCAAGGCAATAAATACAGGGATCTAGAAGTGAAGTCATCTGGTACCTCGGGCAAATAAGAAAAGTTGAGTCCAAATAATTCTTGTATAATCAAATTGACCGGTTTATGACAACAGACGAAAGCAGCGAGCCTTTTAAAAGTCATTATTAGAGAAATCGATATATTACACGAAATGACACTAAGGATTTTCCAAAATTTTATTTTTCTTTGTGTTTTTCACATTTCGGCGATCGAAGTCTCCGAATCTTTGCGCACTGGAGCTGCACCCATAATAGAATTATTGTGGAAGAGTTTGTACCAGCTCTTCACTGGCTGTTGCATCAGGTTCAAGTCGTCCAACCGGATGAGAACGCATCCCATATTGGCCTTTCTTTCCATTCGGCCGTAGTCACCGAGGACCGTAACCTAAAATAACAAGTTTATTTCCAATATTGCTGATGTAGAATGTGGATTAATGTGAATGTCCAAAACTTTTGCACTTCTCACATTCAAGTATAATATGCTGCATAATAATTTATTATTACCTGAAGCATTTTGTGTTTGAAACTCTCGGCAAATGAGAGTTGTTGGTTGAACAACGGTGCCGTTGTTTTCCTGGCTGTTTGTGTTTTGGCTTTGGCCATGCAATGTTTTCCTTGCATCAGATATACTTTCACATAAGGCGCTATAAGCATGGTTCGTTAGATGGGCCCCTTGAAGTCCAATAATTACCTGGATTTAGTTTTGATCCTGGTCGAATGACCAAATTTTTGGCCCTTATAACATCTACAATCAGACACCCACCGCTGATTCCAAGGCCGATTTCTATTTCTCCCAGAACTGGACTTGCCAGAACTTGACGGCCAACTACTTGACCGGGCCCTAGATCCTCCATAAAATGACCAAGCATAGCGTCGGGCATAAGAGGTTGCCAACTAAAGGAGAATATAGCAGTTTATGCGTGACTTACTTATCAGATGAGTCGGTGGAATCTTTACTTGACTGTTTTGTGAAGGGAACACCAGTAATATCACCGTTTGGGTTGTTTAAAGACCCTGGGATTCCCACCTCTTCCGATCGAGCAAAACCAGTTCGTTTAGCATCTGGAAATATGTATCATTTCACAGGAGAAGTACCCGAGGTGCGACGCCCGGATTTCGATAAACCTTGGTACACATTTTAAAAAATTTTTTCGCGAAATTCGGCACAAAATGTTTCATACATACTCGTAACTTAGAGGGTAACGTTTACAGAAAAAAATTCTTAGAGCGAAACTAGCAAAGTTACGGCCAAAAAGTGTCTTTCTCTCTGACCGCTCTCCACGTTTTGCGTAGTCGTAAGCGTCGCACTTTCCTTGCTTATTTTTCGCAGTTATAATTGAAGGTATTAGTTTAGTTATTTGCTTACCATTGGGAGCGTTTCTTCCAGGAATCAGTCTTGTCATCAAACTCTTTTTCCTCTCTTTCATGGCCAAATTATTGTTGGCTTGCGCTTGAAGATTTACTCCTCCATTACTCCTTACTCTCTCCTCAGCTCCATTAATATCACCATTTTCATCTACATCATTCAGACCCCTCATATCCATCCTTACAGTTCTTCCGTTGGCTCCTCTTGGCGGATTGTAAGCGGCATGATTATCGTAGAAATGATGCCTTGGGGAATAAGATGGGATCTCCTGTGTATCATAATTATTTTGTTGTTCTCTCGATTGCTCTTCCCGTTTCTTTTGCATACTTTGAGCAGAGTTTGCACTCAATGTTTCTGATCCATCCGATCCGTAGCCAGCGGCACTCTGTTCCATCACCGTCTCGCACTGTCGATTCTTGTACTGTTGTTCAGATCCCTCTTGATACTTTTGGTAATTCTGATGTCGCGGAATTGGGGGCTGTTCTGGAGGTTCTGGTGGTAGATCTGCATCTGGATATTGGGAATAAGGACCTTCTTCATGGATGGGCTGACTTCGATAAGCATTCCTAGCTTCGTATTCGTGCACTAAATGTCATAAAGGTAATAATAGGGAGATGAGCTCACCATGTCTGAATCCTGTCGCAGATTTGGGTCTTCGGCTGTGTGCCGGAGGTACCCTTGAGTATTGACCATAATCAGAAGCATATCCGTTGTTAAATTCTGGATAGTCTCGGCGATCTTTCCTTCTTCGTCCTTCAATTTGTTCATCCACAAATTCTCGAGGATGAGCATACTGAGCACCTGTCATTTGAAGGTAATCGTAGTCTCCCCTTCTTCGACTGACGTCATCATGGTTGGCTGAGTGAGAGCGATACCTCCCCTGGGGGTAACCTGCGACTTTCGATCTTCGTATCCGCTAAAATCGAAGATTTTGAATAGCACCCTCTTAAGGTATTTATTGTTTACTTACCATTTTAATTGGATTTTCATCATCCATATCGACAAGTGGATATGAGAAATGTTGATTATCTAGCAGGATATCACTTAGATCGATGACCGTCTCGCCCAAAAAGTCGTGTCCATTATATTGATCAAAGTCCCAGACTGTCAACTCCAGACATCGCATCGAGAGTTCTGGAGCCGAGAGTCCATAATAATAGAAACATTCATTCCACGAAGGATTGAGGCTCTCATAAATGACCTTAGATTGTCGTCTACTCTCCTCGCTTCTGTCTGGGAGAAGGAATAGCTTCACAAATGGATTTCTGGGAGCTCCCGATGGTCGAGGAGGAAGGTCAATAGCATGATATACAGTGACCACCAGTTCTTGTTCATGGTTGAGGTAAAGAAGGGAGACTTCAATCTTGCCGAACAATTGACCCGCAGGAACAGGCTTGTCATAAGGGACCCGGGCTCGTAAAGGCGTTTGCATCTCTGCGAATGATATAGAGAGAATATTATGATGTCATAGGTGACTTACCAGGATCATATTCTATGGGATAAATGGGATTGTGAGTTAACATGGACTTGGAATGAGGTATGCGATAATAATCGGGAATGTTAGGACATGGAGATCCACCTTAAAGAATCAGTTGATTACAATTGTAAATCAATTACTTACTTGGAGGCCCATAATCAGAGAACGCGACAGGAGATGCATGGGGAATGGTGGGAAGAACCTTTCTACTAACATTGAGGAAGTCATCGTTACCAGGATAAACTGGTCGGGACACGATGAGTTCGACTTTGGGACTGTGTTTTGAACTGTTGATAATGTGGTAAACACCTTCGTGAGTTAGATTCTGAAGCGTTTCTCCATTCCATTCTAAAACTTCATCCCCTGGCCTGAGTTGTCCAACGTAATCAGCAACAGAATTTTGTTTAACTGCAGTTATGAAAGCGCCTAGCCGACCTGTCGATGAGTGTCTTCCTCCGATTACTTTTAATCCCAAATCGCCAGAATCCTCGTCTGGTCGATGTAGCACGATATGGCCAATGAGTCGGCGTTGGTCCGCGGACGGTTGCCAGGACACTGGTTGTTGCAAGAAATACCTTATCCTGGTAGCCAAAGAGTTAACCGCCTCGCTATTCATTCCTGCTGTGAACTGGTTTAGAGCTGGCGTTGATGTCGACTGGATCTCATAAAGACCCAATCGGGAACCGGGAAGGGATGTCGTGTTTAAGGCTGAATGAGTTGTCGTCATTTATTTTGAAAAAATACCTTACCTTGAGGGTTGTTTTTATTGAATCTTGTTTTCCCGTAGATGTATTTCAACAGTTCTGAAAATAGAAAATGAGTAAAAAAATAATGTCATTCCTAATTACTCTAATAACTTTTGACTTACCCTTCTCTGAAAAGTCTGGCTCGATTACTGAATGACGTCTTGTGGTAGATGAAACTCCTTCGTCGTCCTCACTTGATGACAAAGACCTGATTTGCCTAAAGAACGTAATTAAAGAGAGTAAAACAAATCAATGGGCTTTCCGATGAGTTATTCCACCTGTATGCCCTTTAATTCCTTTATGCCGGCCAGGAGCATTGGCTTTAAGAAACCAACCTGGACAATTTATTGCGTCGAACTCGGGAACCGCCATGCAAAACAGTGGGGCCAAGCGGTTTCTGCGGCCTCGTCTCCGTTCCCAAAGGTACTGGAGGGACTTGCGGAACGTTCGGAACGGTCGTCGGCGGCTCTGGAAATGAAAAAACCCCGTAGAAAGGGACGTGGAATAAATGGTGTTAACAGAGAACGTTCCCCCCAAACGTATGCGTATAAATACGTCAATGGGATGGTAAAAAATAGAGTAGGTAATTGACTTCAAAGAGCGGAAGATTTGTTTTTGTGCCCCCAAAATGAAGGCGAAGGAGGGCGTTAAATTAGGAACCCTGGCCTGGCCGAGAGCATTTGAGACTAATTGTTCTATGCTCTTGTGGGAGCATCACTAGCACTCTAGTACAACAATTGAAATTAATTTTTTACCTGTTCTCTCCATTCTAGATCCCTTTTTTTGAGCTCCAGGTCCTGTTACAGTGCTGTGTTTCTGATCTCCCGCCGTTTGAACTCTGGTGTCGACGGTCGACGTGGGATCGCCACGGAGACGCGAACTCGGCCCGACGTTTGAAGGCGCGGAAGTGTTCCGATTCTCAGCCGAAGGCCGACGTTGTTGAGAAGAGGGTTGCGTGCTGCAAACGGATGGATTTGAGTTAAAGAGGAAAGTGAGAAACCCGGAGGAAGGGTAAGATCTCTCCTTCCAGAATTCTTAAACGCCCTCGGGCAGAGAAATGTTCATGAATAAGATAAAATTAAAAGATAGGAATTGAATTAAAGCGTAGACTGTCGGTTTTAATTTGCCTTTGTGAGTTCATTGATCATAATATTACGCTTTTTAGAGGCACCTAGTTTATACGATCATACGACGACCTAAGGCATAAATTGGTCACGTCTTTAGTCACTATGGATATTGTGGAGGCCCATTTATTTTAGAAGAGACTAGTTCCACAATTCATGGACTTGTCTGACTCATACTTATTGTCTTTCAATAAAACGGGGGTTGTTGGTGCAGTTCCTTATGAAAGATGCGTAATACATATTTAACTCAACCAAAATGACGGGGAACTGAAAAATACTTTTTTTCCTGCTTATCAGTGTCGAAATTAAGGTAATCGATGGCGTAGATTTCAAAAATCATGTTAATTTTTTCTGACTTTCACTTTTTTTAAGTAGTACTGTAGAGTAGTAATTTTCTGATTTCCCTACAAATTCTCGATTTACGAGCTTTCGATGGCGCTGATTTTGAAGATGACATCCTTTTTTCTGATTTTTACATTTTTTCTTAAGTAGAAATTTTATGAATTTTTTGGCGAATTTTTTATAAAAATGTAATTTTTTTACATTACCCTGTCATTAAAAATGTAAATACCAAAAAAAACCCATGTCGTGTATTTTTTTAATACTAAAAAATTATTACATCACAGTAAACGCAAAAAAAGAAAAAAATCAGGAAAAAGTAGCATGATTTTGGAAATCTATGCCATCGATTACCCTAAAAGCTTATACATACGCAGGAAAAATAATCCAATCGTAATCCATACCCCGCTCAACCACGTCTATAACCGGCAAGAAAAGCAAAAAGACAAAACTTGTTGGATTTGGCGGTCAGAAAAAAGGGCCAACGATTAATCTGATTAATACTGTAAACCATTTAAATGAAAAACTTACAGTCGTGGTTGTGGCTGAGGCGCCGAGGGTTGTCGGACTGGCGGATGATGAGGTTGTTGCTGGCCTGAGAGCTTCCGAGATTGGCTAGCCGAAGAGGCCGGACTGGGCATGGGTTGGGGCCTCATCTGGGCTGAAGTTGAGGGCTGGCTGACGATGGGCTGAGCCTGTTTATTGGCCACATTTGCGGGTCCCTGGGGAGCGATCGACACCGGGCTGGGCGCTTTCTGTAATCGAATAAGAGAAGTGTTATCCGCAAGCGTTTATGAGCCGGTCGACGGGAAAACGACCCTTTTGAGGCGCCCACTCAAAACAAGGCAAAAAGATGGCCCTTAAAACCCAATGAGATTAGACAAGATGCCGGTCCAGAAAGGGCCCAGGGAAACCGGAAGGGGAGGGAACGCTCCACGGGAACGGAGTTTTGTTTTTTTTGTTTTTCTAATTTGATTATGGCCCAAAATGGGGATCGCAAAGGAATTGGGGCAAAATGACCAATGACCCGTGACTTCCACAAATCTACTAAAAACAGAGTAAATCTGGTCCTTACATGTAATGCGGTATCTCTTTCAACATTGGGGTTTATGTTTCTGACAAACATCAAGAAGAATAGGATTACATTACAATTGCCCGTTAAAGCATCAAATATTTACTTACTTCTGTCGATGGCTGTCGTGGTAGGTCACCATTGCCTTCTGGCTGAGTGCCGTTTAATTTGGAACCATCTCCATTAATAGTTTGAGACATTCCACCAGTCGGATCATCGTAACTTTGACTATCAGATATGTCTTCACCTTGCCCCTCACTAAAGTCATATTGGCTGATTAGGCATCAAAACAGTGATAATTATTTAGTAATCGCTAATTAAAATCTTACGGTTGATTTGATTGGAACCATTTCCCTGTCTTGGCCAAGATCTGCTGCCTTTTTTGGCAAGTCGAGCATGCCCAAATACTCTAAAATCATATTCAATTTATATTTATTTGAGAGCTCAATAGAAAGGGGACGGCTCATCTCTACTGACCTTATTTTTACTCGTAGTTTTGCCCCCACATCTCGCACACGATCGTAGTTGACAATAGAAGCATTTGTGGCCAATTCCATCAGCGAATTTGGTCTTCTGACAGATCTGGCAGATGGCATCGCTCTGAGTTCCGACCAGTTTTTGAGCATTCTCTTTCCTCTCATTAATCAGCCTCTCGATGTCCTCGAGTTCTTTATCGGCTTTCCTGAAGAAAACAATTGTTTTTTACAGTAATTTTACTGTTTACGACTATTTTACTGAGGAATGTCTAGCCGTAAACAGTGGTTGTAGTCACTTACTGCGCAATTTCTTGCTCCTTTTCCTCTTCGGCGCGCTGTCGTTGAAAGACTTCCTCGATTATGGCCCTTTCTTCGGCGCTGAGATGAGTTAAATCCGGCATCATAGCTGCCGCATCCGGTATCATTCTTCTCCATTCAGATGGCGGTTGATATCAAGCTGGCTTCCAATTTAATTACAATAAAACAGGGAACAATAACAAGAAAGAACCCTGCAAAAACAAGACGTTGAATTCTAATTCAATCCAAAACTAAGTAGAAGAAACCCGAAAAACGTGTTTATCCAGGAAAGGAGGTGTCAGGCACTCGATGTTGACAGAACGTATGGATTACAGAGTTTATAGAGGAGGCATGGTTGACGTCCATTCATACGAGAAACGGGATCAAGAACCAACCAAACTTCAAATTGCACAATCCTCGGCCTCGTTTCCGTTATAGAAACATCCGTTTCTGGATATCCTTCCCTCTCCAACACAACAATGACATATCCACCGGCGCCCCGTAAAACAATGGCCTTGTTTTCGCAGGGCAGAGCCGGAGGCGCAAACCCTCTTGAGGGAGATACTACATAATCTCAGGGAGTTTCGGAGGCGATGAAGCGGGAGGGCAAAGAAAAAGTGCAAATGAACTGGGAGGGGATCTGTATATTATAATACCGGGCCTGTGCTCCCAGCTCTAATATTCATGAAGAAGTTGGCACAAAGATATCGGTCCAGCTACTTAATTATTCAATTTGTGCCGGAAAAACGACTCGTGGCTAAAAGATTGCTTCTAAGAAGTTGGGATGGAAGGCGTTGATAGATTAATCAACCGTTCAATTTGGGATAAGACTACGAACAAAAAACTATTCAAAAAGTTGTAAATGCTGCAAAACAAAATCTCGGAGACCATTAAAATTATTTCCAAAAACAATGAAGACATAAATTGAGGAGCTTTATTGTCAGAATTATGAAAAATACTGCGTCAAGAGGTCCGCATTACTACAACAAACCCTATAAATCCTCGGCGAAAGCCGAGAGCGCGGAATATTCTCGAGACGAACACATCCGCGAAAGTAAATGTATAATATAAGGAAAGAAAGAAGTTGTATTAACAGCTCTCGACTTGTCGATGACAGCCCCATATTGGGTAATGGCTATGGCCAAAGGCCAAGGCCCCTCCCGACTGGCAGGTCATCACGTCACAGCTAAATGGCGTTTTCAAAGAGACTCGACCTCAGGGCTACGTGAGAGGGATGGCTGCGAAGGAGACGCTCTTCTTGACTCTCCTCCTCGGCACTAGGAATTAAATTGCCTCCAGAAAAGCCCAAGACAAAACTCGTCGTGCAAAAATGTTCAAAAGATTTGAAACAAATCCCTTCTGGGCAGGGAAATGGCCAAAAATACGTCAATTTGAATATTTTAATAAAATATGACCTGTGTAGACGATAACCAACCCACCCATCAAATTTTAATACGGCTAAAGAGAGTGAAGTAATCCCAGGACAAAGGCTAACTTTATTTTGTTTAGCCTTTCCAAGAACCGTCTAATCAACAAAAATATTTTGAATAGAAAATACGGTGACAAAGCCAGATATTTTAAATTCCAGGCGCGTTCAAAGATTCTAGACAATTTTATAGTGCTCCTCTTACATTATTTAAGAAACAAGCAATATTTTGCCACGTGAATAATACCTTTAAAAGTTACGCAAAAAAGATGCCTAAAGGTCACTCAGAACTTTAAGGGATCCGCGCAAGTTAATTATTATTGAAATAAGGGGAACTTGAAAAGATACAAACATAGAGATTAGACGGTATGTTTACATCCACAAATACAAAAACTTGTATAAAATATATATGTAGTGGCCTCTCCCACAAATGCAATTACAATATTAACGTGACCTTTTATTTCTGACGCGTCAAAAGACTACGATGGTCGTGATTAGCGTGGTTCGTAAATCCATAAAGTATGTGTCAGATATTGCAGTAAGCGCGAGCCAGAAGCCGTTACCCCCAATCCACCTTTCCGAATCCCATAAATTTTTATCACAGACCCGCTGGGCCCTAATGAAACTCGGCCAAACAAATTGTGGCCCTAAATTAAGGCCCAAACAATGGCCATAAATGTCCGGACATTCCGTTTAATGTAAGTGCAAATAATTCCCTGAAATTGAATCCGGAATCATAAAACCCATAAATTTTGAATTAGATTTCAAGGATTCGAGAGGTCAAAAACAACTGTAAAATATAGTCCAAGGCATTCTGCCCTTTATTTTATGCCCGGAGGACACAAAACGCGGAGAGAAAGGATTTAAAGAAAAAAATAATTAGAATAGCCAAGAACAATATAGACCAGGGGGCAAGGCGAGGCACAAGAATATCAGCTGGTCCAGAAAACGTTAAGGAATTAGTGAACAAAAGTAGTCCGAATACCAGAAACTGGAGGGAATGTCAATAAACAAGAACTCCGCATCAAAACAAGTCCGAAAAAGTCATCTTGTTTTGTCATCGGCAAGGAGATGTGAAAAAAGTTACTTCTTCGGACTCATAATTAAATTACATTACTACGCATTCGTGACAAGAGTACCCGCTCAAGGGTTTCTCCACAGATTTTGCAGGTTAGAAAAAAAGTAATCAAAATGCGAATAAAGATAATCCGGCAGAAAAAAGCCGGGTAAACATATCTCAGCCTGATCCTGAGTGTAAGTTACATCAACAAGATAAGTCCAGACGTATGTAAAAACTATGCAGGATTAATACGAACCGAAATACTCCCTTCAGTGGAACCAACTCTCCGAACCCGACCTTTTCTTGACCTCCCCTTCCTTGTTTTCGTCCAATCCCCCCTGAATATTCTCTATAACACCGCTAGTCTACGTTTAAAACCTTTTCCCAAAAGCCAATAACAAGTTTCCCGTGGCCTCAGGGGGATCGGTGCGCGGCTCCGGGAAAAGGTTTATGACAAAATGAGCGCCGAATTCCCACGCAGCCGAAAGAGCGTGCGGAAAGAGGCTAGGGTCCCGGGATGCCGTCCTCGAATGGCCTCTCTCTTTTTCGGAAATCTGCTTTCGGCCGCTCGGCCGGCCGTGCATTCGCGCTCTCTGTGCATGCCGCCAAACATGGAGACGACGAAAGAGGGCCGCAGAGAGTATGGCATCCCTTGAGGGCCGATGAGTGCGTGCGTTGGACCTAAAGCCCTGAGGCGGCTTTCCTCACTGCGTCCGTCGTATCGATCCGCCGTCTTCCCGGGCGAATTCCGCCGACTCCTGTCCTCAGGGCTTTCCGTCTCTGTAAAAAAGCAAAGCGGATAAGAGAGTTCCCGGCTTCAGAATTCCTTCCGGTCTTCCAGAATCGCCTCTCAATTACCTTCGAAATGTTTTGATCACATATTTTATCATTTCAGCGAGATAAGTGGGAGCAAAATTAGGATTATTAGAATTAAAGACGTCAATTATGCTAATTTAATTCACGCTAAAATTAATTGATTTAATTATTTTTCGTATTCAGTTTTATTCTTTTAGAAAATAAAATAAAAATCAAGTATTCAGCTATAGTTTTCAGAGTAAATAAAATATAGTAGTATTGTTGACATTGTATACTTTAGAGAAAATGACATCATTTTTCCTAAGTAGATGTATTTGAATTTGCAAATAAGTGAGGTGATATCTATTTTTTATTTTCCTTTAAAAAACCTGCCTAATTTTAAAAATGAGCTCATTCCTGAGACGCTCAGATTTTCTTTCACTTTTTCACACATTTTAGGCATAGGCCAATTTCAATTTCTGAAAATGTTAGCTCGCGCTTTGCAGGCGCAGTCGATATATTCAACCGTCTTTGCGGCCGACAGAACACGTGAAACGCGGAGAGCGGTCACAGATAAAAACACTTTTTGCCCATATATGGCTCGGGACTAGTTTTATACAACTTTTGACTTAAAAAATGAAAAAAAAAGTCTAATGTAAGTTTGTGCGAAGTTTCTATGAGCATCACACTTGGAGTGCCTCTCCTGTTAGTGCAAATTTTGTTTTAGAAATGAGCAGCTTTTTGCATATTCTAACCACTCTACTGTATTTTTAAAACTGAGCAAGTTTTCTTCGAAAGAAAAAAATAGCAATCCGCAATTAAACGCAAGAGGAATATGCACAAAAAACCGGATTAACTCATTGGCAATAATGTAGAGCTTTCTATAACATCTGCGGAATTGTAAAGCAAAATTAAAGGCTCTTTCAGCAGTATTTACAATTAGAAGTGTAATGTCGGGTACGAGATTGTCTGCCCTCTGTTGCAATCTGATATATGTTAATTTAGTCTGATGTAATAAGATGTCATCTTTTTGAAGGTGTAGACTGTTAAACCCATCTCTAAAATTAATGCAACTTCCATTATACCCAACGTAATGGCCGAAGAAATGATATCCTTGATTGGTTCCGACATTATCGCAATCGCCAGAGTAATCGTTGTATATCCAAGAAGAATAAATGTCAACAATAACTGAAAAGAATGCAACAAAAAACAGCTCGACTCACATTACTGACAAGAAAGAGAAAAGAGAAAACTTTGTAAGGGTATTGCCCATATAACAACACTACTGACCAGGTTACAATTCCAATTATAAAAGGTACCGAGTAGAAGGAGAAGGTGTTCGAAGACATGGCGATTAAGGTCAAAACCACTGCGTGGATAACCAAATGCACAAAAGTTGTTAACAACACCTAAAACTTTTTAAACAATTACTTTTTAAAGATTTACCTGGTTTCCATTACAAATGCAGAAGGACGAGGAATGGGTGGAATATGTCATCTTATTATGGGCGATTCATAAATATAAAGTTAGAAATTAGATTTGATTAGAATCCGAATCGGGGAACTCTCTTCGAATTGAGCGTTTTCACTTCGGAAATTATTCATTCCAAAGCAAACAATTCTCTTTTATTGGAGGCTAGCAGAAAGCGAGTATTATTTAGTAGTGAGACAAAACTCTGCCCATCACCAAATTGTTGTAATATTTTGGGTAAGAATTTTTTACAAAAAAATCAAAACTACATATACGGAAGTTTTACAACTCACATTTTTCAAAACTTTGTTCAAATTCTCCAAAAAATTCTTTCTCCCTAGTCCCGAAGCGAAAACATTTCAAAAATTTTTCAAATTCACCAAAAAATTTTTTTTTGCCAGTCCCGAAGCGAAAATACAGGGTGACAAAGAAAAAATGCAACTCATATTTATGGCCATATTTTGTCTAAAAGACCAAACTTAACCAAAGTAACGGTGAATATCAGTAACATAGAGCATTGTTAATAGTATGTCGGCCAGTTTTAAGGTGGCTGTTCTTGGCCCCGAGATAGAGCTCAAAACGTGACTTTAAATTTTGGGCGATTCGCCAAAGCTGTTTTTGGGAAAATCGGTTCCGTTCTTACCGCAGCGATCAATTAGCGGCTCCCAACTTTTTTGGCGTGAACTAGAGGTCCTGGCTTTTTACTAAACAAAAAACATAGTCCACCGGATTCAGATCCAGCGAGTAGACGGCCATTTCGCAGACCACATAAAATCGGGAAAACAGGTCCTTTCCTGGCCTTGCGTCTTTTTTGCTTTATGGATGATGGCGGAATCCTGATACGGTGTCTTTTTTGAACCGCCAAAGTGCTACTGAGCCCACGGAATCACGATGGTGTACAAAATGTCGCTGGTAGACTTATCGGTTTGGTTCTGACCCCTTTATCCAAGAAAACCAAGGAAAACCAAGGATATCACGCCGTTGGCGCAAGACTTGGCCCCAGGCCATGAGAGGTCGGATTTTTACTGGGTTCAAAAATGGCGGATGGTTTTTGACTCTCAACAGTCCAACTCCTGCAATTCTGGTGGTTGTAGGCCTGCTCGATGTTGAAATATTTTTCATCCGCGAACAGGACCTTCTCTCATCGCTGAGCTGCGGCGCGACGGTTGAGTTTTCGACATTTTTTGAGCCATACTTGCTTGTAGTGTTTCGTGAGGCGCTAAGCTTTTTGGAGCTTGTAAGACTCGCTCTACGGTACATTGATCACCATTCGTCGATCCGTTGTTCCCTTGATGCCGGTCTCCCGGGCAATTTTCTTCATGGACACCATCAGATTTTGCTTCACTCGCTTTCTGATGATCTCAAGGTTGGCAGAAGTCTTCAAGGTGCGCTTCCTTCTAATTCCTGGGCACTTACCACCATGGCCAAGCTCGTTGAGTCGTTTGATGGCTTTTCGTATGGCAGGTTTTTCTACACCGACCAATTTAGCAATCTTTTACTGTCCTTTTTCTTTCCGTGACAGGTTTAAAATCGGGGTCCCTCTGTTTGAGACTCGAAACAAACATGTTAATCAACCGATATGGGTATGAAAATTGAGAGACTAGGACAAAAAAACACGGAGAATTTAATGGTATGAACAATATTTTCCTAAACCTAAAAGTTTTCGCGGCAGGACCCATGAAAAAAAGTTGCATTTTTTATTTGTCACCCTGTATTAAACGGTATCGTTGACCCGAAATGTCGTTGACCCGACCGGTAAACCATAGATGTACACGATTCCCCGCTACAACTACAGGGTGTTCCAAGAATTATGGAAAAAACTATTCTTTAATAACTTTGTGCTCGGTGGTCCAATCCGAATTTTTTTTTGCATTTTACAGGAAAACCTTTGAGTTTTTAGAATCAAAAAATTTTTTTTTTCTTTTATCGACGGAGACTTCGGTAATCCTCCTTGAATTCGGCGGAGTGTTTTTTTTTTCACAAATGAGGCTGTAAATTGTTGTATGTACACAGCATTCCGAACTTTTTTCGTCGCCGATCGGTGTCCAAAAAAATGAAAAATTAAAAAGTGCACATTACATTTTCATGTGTGTAAGGGTAGCCAGAAGAGATACCGGCAAAAACAAAAACTCTTTATGTAGAGTAATCAATTTCCTTTCAGAGTACGTAAGTTTTGTCTTCAGGTTGTCCGCTACCTTTGAGAAAATCGTCACTAAAAAAATGGAAATTTCGATTTTGAATGCCAAAAAAATGTACTTTCTTGGGGCCGCCAAAAAAGATGTTGGAGTCTATCGTAAAGAGAATTTCAAGGGCTACAACATATTAAAATTTCAAGATTTTTGTGGGGGTTTAAGCCAAGTTAGAGTGAAAAAACCCCTGATTTTGCACTTTTTCTCGATTTGTTTGCACTCTTAGTGCAAAAATAAAAAACCATCCGTGGGCGATGGAATCTGTGTGTCATGTCGGATATTCATGCCAAATTTGAAGCTTCGCCGACGCTCCGGAGTCGCTGAATATCCGTTTAAATACGAAACCTTAGAGTACTATTTCTGTCGTTTGAAATCGCTTTATGTGCTCCAAGATCCCTTTTGATCAAAAATATATTGCCTGTATACAGTGTATAACAACTGCATAACGACTTAATTGCAAAAGTCTAACTCAGCTTGGCGGTTAATTTAAAACACGATTTCTGAGTCAGTGAAGCAGCCGCCAGTTAGGCCGTGACATAGAAAAATTCGATCTCGGGTATTTTGCTTCAATGTAACCGTACCCGTCCTAAAAAGCTTGTGGCAAAACATTTTTGCCCATTTCGGCCGTTGACACAGTTATTTTTACAATTTATTAGTTATACAGTAATCCCCCATAAATCTGTAACGAACTCACAGAAATTCATGGAATTGTGAGTACTTATGTTTTCGCACTCGTAGATTTCAAAAAAAGTGGTTTTGACTCATTCGGATTACTGTAACATACCAAACTGCTGGTTCGGCCGCATAAAATCGGCCATAAAAAGTTTGTTTCTGAAAACCCGCAGCTGAATTTTACATATGTTAATCAGCATAAAATTCTGATATATAAACGTTAAAAAAAAGTGCAAAAAGTGGTGCGGCATTTTTCATGGTGTAGTGGTTTTTGGGCAGAACTAGTAATCTGACGTCCCGGGTTCGAATCCGCCTGGATGCAAATACCACAAATTAGACGCAAATTACCTTTAATGTAGTCTTGAGGTCTGTATGAGGGAGACTGAGTAATTTTAGACCTACATGATATCTCTATTTAAGGTAAAAATGGATTTTATATAATTTTAGAAGATGAATACGTGAAAAATAAAACGTCTTCAAAACGTTTGAAATTAACAACACAGATTCTAGGAATAATTATAAGAAACTTTTCTGTTAGATTTTTTTGATAGGTTACTGTATCGTGGATTACTGTAACATAAAACTTTTTTTTCTTAACTGTTGTTTTCTTCTAAATTCTTCTATGAAATTTTGATTTTTTTTGGTTAGCTTCTTTGAACGGTTGAAATCATGGATGAAACATATTTAAAATAAAATTCCATCTCTTTTCCAGTGTGTATTCGTATCATCGTCGATTGGTGAAATTGCCAGATCTTTCTCAGGTCTTTCGAATCCTACGGCCATGAAAAAATTTTAGTGTGCCAACCAACTCGTTCTCAACCATTCCTATGATAAAAGTGCTAGTCCGATGCCTCTGCGCTCTGTGGTATATGAAAAATTAAATTGGGATTTTATGTTACAGTAATCCATGACACAGTAACCTATCAAAAAAAGCCAACAGAAAAGTTCCTTATAATTATCCCTAGAATATCTGTTATCAATTTCAAACGATTTGAAGACGTTTTATTTTTCACGTGTTCATCTTCCAAAAATTATATAAAATCCATTTTTACCTTAAATAGAGATATCATGTAGGTCTAAAATTACTCAGTCTCCCTCATACAGACCTCAAGACTACATTAAAGGTAATTTGCGTCTAATTTGTGGTATTTGCATCCAGGCGGATTCGAACCCGGGACGTCAGATTACTAGTTCTGACCAAAAACCACTACACCATGAAAAATGCCGCACCACTTTTTGCACTTTTTTTAACGTTTATATATCAGAATTTTATGCTGATTAACATATGTAAAATTCAGCTGCGGGTTTTCAGAAACAAACTTTTTATGGCCGATTTTATGCGGCCGAACCAGCAGTTTGGTATGTTACAGTAATCCGAATGAGTCAAAACCACTTTTTTTGAAATCTACGAGTGCGAAAACATAAGTACTCACAATTCCATGAATTTCTGTGAGTTCGTTACAGATTTATGGGGGATTACTGTATAACTAATAAATTGTAAAAATAACTGTGTTAACGGCCGAAATGGGCAAAAATGTTTCGCCACAAGCTTTTTAGGACGGGTACGGTTACATTGAAGCTAAAAACCCGAGATCGAATTTTTCTATGTCAAGGGCTGCTACACTCACTCAGAAATCGTGTTTTAATTGGTTGTTGCAACAAAAAATTGGCTCTGTGAAGGATTATCTGCCAAATTAAATTTTCGAAATGAAAAAAATATATCGTGAGTAAATGATAAGAAGTTGTTATACACTGTATATAGACAGTACACTTTTGAACGAAAGGTATCTTGGAGCACATAAAGCGATTTCAAACGACAGAAATAGTACTCTAAGGTTTCGTATTTAAACGGATATTCAGCGACTCCGGAGCGTCGGCGAAGCTTCAAATTTGGCATGCATATCCGACATGACACACAGATTCCATCGCCCACGGATGGTTTTTTATTTTTGCACTGAAAGTGCAAACAAAACAAGAAAAAGTGCAAAATCAGGGGTTTTTTCACTCTAACTTGACTCAAACCCCCACAAAAATCTTGAAAGTTTAATATGTTGTAGCCCTTGAAATTCTCTTTACGATAGACTCCAACATCTTTTTTGGCGGCCCCAAGAAAGTACATTTTTTTGGCATTCAAAATCGAAATTTCCATTTTTTTAGTGACGATTTTCTCAAAGGTAGCGGACAACCTGAAGACAAAACTTACGTACTCTGAAAGGAAATTGATTACTCTACATAAAGAGTTTTTGTTTTTGCCGGTATCTCTTCTGGCTACCCTTACACACATGAAAATGTAATGTGCACTTTTTAATTTTTCATTTTTTTGGACACCGATCGGCGACGAAAAAAGTTCGGAATGCTGTGTATGTGTGAAGAAAATGGGCGGGAAAAGATTCAGAAGATACAATATGACATTTATTTCAAATTTTTGTCATTCGGCGGAGACATCAAAAAAGTGAACCAAGTTTTAGCCTGGTTTGTGAAAAACGCACTCTACCGAATTCAAGGCGGATTACGGAAGTCTCCGCCGATAAAACAAGAAAAATTTTTTTGATTTTAAAAACTCCAAGGCTTTTCTGCAAAATGCTAGAAAAATTTTTCGGATTGTACCACCGAGCACAAAGTTATTAACGAATAGTTTTTTTTTTTAATTCTTGGAACACCCTGTAGTTGCAACCCAATGTGCTTGTTGTCCAAAAAAACCAAAAAAAATCGCTAGACAACATGGATTGCTCTTAGTAGATTGGTGTGCCAATGAACTTTGATGGTTTCGATGAAGTATGGAGGGCTTCAGGTGGAATTCATTTTTATGTTCTCTTCCAAGATCATCTTCTTCACGACAAAATTCAACAAATTGGGACAAGGATCAGTTTGGCATCGGGTTCGTCGGCTCTAACAAGTAAGGACTGTGCATCGGGAAAAAAAGTGGATTTGCACATTCAATTTTTGTTTGTTTTTTTATTTATTGGTACTATTATAGTATTGGGCACAAGCATTGCAGTTAGACATGGCTCCGGGGCTCGGCCGGGCCGAAAATCACGGCCCACTAGCCATGTATAATTTCAGTTGAACAACGCGGGAAGATCTTTGGTATACATAGAAGGCAGAGAATAGAAAAGGTCCGAGGACGCTCTCGTGAGGCTCGGTGGCATGATCAGCAAAAGAGAAGGAGTTGATCAAAGCATGGGTCCTTCTTTAAAGCACGATCTCTGAGTCAGTGAATTTAGGCCGTGACATAGACTAATTATTTTTACAATTTATTTCTGCTACAGTAATCCTCCGTCAAACAGTAATGGACACAGACATTCATGAAATGGTGAATACTAATGTTTTCAAACTCGTAGAATTCGAAATAACTGGTTGTGGCTATTTCGGATTTGTAACATAGCAAACTAACAGTTCGGCTGCTTAAAAAATCGGCTGTAAAAAGTGTTTCTGAAAAACCGCAGATGTTTTCACATATGTTTTAGCGCTAAAATAGAATTTTTCATCCTCAATGCCACATTTGGCAAAAAAGTTCAAAATGAGGGGAGTGTTCGAAAAGGGGAGTTTTCGGCAACAACCCTCAATGTGACGTCGAATCCAGAAACTCCGTCAACCAGGGGTGGTCAGCGGACCCTGTTTTTCCGATTTTCGGCCCGCGGCCCGGCCCGTCTAGTCTTTTTCCAGGCCCGGCCCGTGACGGGCCCGGCCCGTTTGTAATTTTCCATTTTTGAGCCCGGCCGGCCCACTGACCACCCCTGCCCAGGGGTGGTCAGCGGACCCTATTTTTCCGATTTTCGGCCCGCGGCCCGGCCCGTCTAATTACCGGCCCGGCCCGGCCCGTCTAGTCTTTTTCCAGGCCCGGCCCGGCCCGTGCAGGCCCGTTTATAGAGGGTTCTGCGAACTGCGCCCAAGCTTGGGATCTAAACTTAGGCAAAAAAGGCGTTAATATAGCTAGTAAAGGGTCAATGTGATAGTTTTGTGGTTTTATAATGGAACTATAGACTTGTAAACGTTTTAGAACTTGAGAAACAGCAACTATAACAACATCAATTAATTTTCCCGGCGCGAAAACAATGAATGCCAACGCTTTGGCATTGTAATTTAGACGGGCCGGGCCGGGCCGGAAAAACCCCAGGCCCGCGGCCCGGCCCGGCCCGGCCCGTGACGGGCCCGGCCCGTTTGTAATTTTCCATTTTTGAGCCCGGCCGGCCCACTGACCACCCCTGCCGTCAACATAGTCAATTTTAGGTCAAGTGTTTCCCTATATTTGTGTCAAGTGTTTCTCTTATTTATTTTTTGTCGAGATTTTCTGCGGAAATATTTGGTCTTTCAGAAGAATTTTCCTCATCATTCTTTTGTTTCTCTTGCATTTCGGTAACTATGCATAAGTTCACGGTAGTCATTGTCATCGCCCTTACCGTTTTTTCGATCGTCGAGATCTCTTCTACTCACCAAGAATCGGATAAACCGCATGAAAATGAGGAAGACGACGATTTTTCTTCATTTAGTGTTAAAGAAGAGGTAGAACCTGATGCTCAAGAGGAATTGGAGATCAGAGATGGAGATGCTGGTCCATTGAAAGGACATTCGTACACCTTGCCGATTGATATGCCGCCAATAAACTTTGCCTTCTGGTAAGTAGTATTGTGTTATTTATTATCCGATTTTAGTGTTTCATGTGGCTACCGAAATGCGTTTGAGCAATACTCTCAGCTTTTGAAAGAAAAATATCCTGGAGTTCAGATCGAAGGAGGAAACTATCCGCCGAGTTATCCAAAGGCTCTTGGAGCTCAGGTAGGATCATCTATTTCGAAATATTTGTTTTCCAGTTCCGCCTTTATTGTAATTGCGGGGTTCTTGCAGATTATCGGTCTTGGAAAGATTGTGGTGATTGTCTGCATTATTTTGGGCAAGGATCCGTTTCCAGCGTTAGGAATGCAGACTCCCGGATTCTTCAATTGGATGCTCGGAAATAAACTTTCTGCGTGTATGATGCTTTTCATCTTCTCAAACAGTATTGAGAACATGCTGATGTCTACGGGAGCCTTCGAGATCTATGTTGGAAAGGAATTAGTTTGGTCGAAACTGGAAAGCGGAAGAGTTCCATCTCCTGCTGAGCTAGTCCAAAGCATAAATGGGTACATCTCCATGCACGGCGGGAAGGCGGTTAATCAAGAATTCGGATTTCAGGAAAATTGAAGCGGTATTTTACTCTTAACTTAATTTAGTTGTAATATTGTTATGCTGATCAAATCGATGCCAAGTTATTTCTTGGTAAATGTTGTTTTCTGCTCTTGTCAATTCCACAACTCGCTATTTTTATGGGTAATATTTTACTTTTTATCTAATAATTTGTAATAAATCACGACAACAAATTTGTACTTTTGTAAAAAATCGGATTTCCAGTTTTGTTGTATTTTTACAAGGCACAAACTATATGGGAGGTGATTTATAAATTTTGTTTCTCAATCCATCCGATAGTCTCAAATTCAGTCGAAAGTCAGGTTTGGACTAAACTCGTATCTTGTCCACATTTTGGACTAAATTTGGCATTTTTTGGGTGCGGTTGTATGCATAATTTGGACAAGATCCGCGGAAATTTTGTCTAAAGTTTACTTTGGACTGAATCTTCCGCTTTTGACTGGATTGAAAAAAAAATTATAAAGTATTTACCTCTCATATATCCATAGAGAAAGTTAAGATGCTGGGATGGAAAATGTTACGACGATTAAATGTTCCAAGTAATGCTCGCTTTATCCATCTCTCCAGTACATTATCATCTCCATTGTTGGTTCCATTCTCATCAATACCACAAGAAAATCTCGGGCATCCAATTTTATATCGAAAATCTAGATGTGGAGAGACCACGTCAACTGACACACTAGAATTTGGGATCAAATGTGCTAAGGTAATGTTTTCTGATGTAAAATGTAATCTTTATTTAGTTGTGTTCGCTAGGGAGCTCTGCCGCAGGCCTTATAATGATCCCCGTTCTTTCGTCACAGATAGTTCAAGGAGCGGCAGAGAAGCCCGCTCTAATGACATTTCTGGTCATCTCGAATGCTTTCTTGGCCCTTCTGACTTTCACTCCTCTTCTCCTGCACGCTCTCGCCAAGAGATTCGTCTGCGATGTCTACTACAATCCAAAAACGGAGACATTTACAACTGTTCACTACAACTTTTTACTCAGAAAGAGGGCTCTTCAATTCAAAGCATCTGATGTTGTAGTTGCGGAGAAGGCGGAGGCCATGCAAAAAATGTGGATTCCCTTGGCCACCTGTTTTGTTGGGGATTATCCCATGATCTTATTGCTGGATCCACTCCAATATAGCGATCAAGAAGCGTACCAACGGCTCACCTATAACATCCCACCGCCAGAAGAGACTAAGTCAACATGATCTCTAGGCTTTGAATAGGAATTTGTTTTATTTTTGGTGGTATTCGAACATTACGGTCATGTAGTTTTAAGTTGTTTTTACCAATGTGGGAGGTCACACTTAAAAAGCCGTTTCGGATTGAAAATAATTTTCAAAAACCGCTTGACCCGCCCTCCCAGCCTTAGGATCTTTTGTTAATTCCTCGCCGGAATTATAATTTTTTTTTTTATTTTCCTCCCGTGGATGATATTCCTGATTCTTCCTGTTGAGTTTGTATTGTTTGACGAATAAATATTGGAAAACTCTAGAGCATTACACCTTCGCCGGTTATCATCCCTGTATATAAATTTCATTCGTTTTCGATACGCAAAATCTTTCTTTTGGTCTGCCCTGTCTGCCACTCTCCTCGTTCCGCACTCTTTCTCGCCACTTTAAGCATTCTCCCGGATCGCTGCAGGACGCTCCACATATCGGAAGTCGGCGACCATCGCTCGGAGCCCATCGGTTCTTCGGGCCAACAGCCCATAAAAGTTGTCACATACTTCTAAACCATGCTCAAAGTAAGTTGATATCGAAACAATGTTGTACGGAGTGAGTCAAGGCCGTTTACGTAATTGGCCATGGTTTGGAAGCGCAAATACGCACGAAAACGAAGTCTTTTGATAAGATATGCATTCCAAATTTGGTTTCCGCCCTTTTTTGCCTAAAGTTCCTATTGACGATAAAAGTACCAGTGCTCAAATCAATAGTAGATTATGAATACTTTTCTGATGTATTGTCGCATGTCCCGACCGGCCGGTTGTTGTCTGCGGAAGTTATTTTAGATATCGTCGGCGACTTCGTTTTTATTTGCGTCTTCAGCTTTGTCTTCACTACTTTTTTTCAGATGCCTTTATTCGGGAAGTCACACAAATCTCCTCCGGATATTATCAAAAATCTGCGAGAGGCCTTGTTGATCATCGAAAAGGGCGACAAGAAGTCGGAGAAGGCTGTGGAGGAGGTCAATCGATATCTTCAGGCGGTAAAACTGATTATTTATGGTCAGGACAATCAAGAACCTCACACAGAACAGGTAATTATTCTTTTTGACTTTGTCTACAGATTTTAGGTATCGATTGATGTAAATAATGATACAGAAGTAATTTTTGAATTTTTTCAGGTAGCTCAACTGGCACAAGAGACTTACAATGCAAATGTTTTGCCTCTACTAATAAAAAATCTCTCCAAATTGGAATTTGAATCGAAGAAAGATGTCTCCTTGATCTTCAACAACCTTCTGAGACGCCAGATTGGAACGAGATCACCAACTGTCGAATATTTATGTGCTCGACCAGAGATTCTGTTTACTCTGGTCAAAGGGTAGGATTATTTTTGATTTGTTTTCTCTTTTTAGGTAGTTATTTGAAGAAAGAAGGGTAATTTATGTCTAATTTTTTTAGATACGAATGCCCAGACATTGCTTTGACTTGTGGAACCATGCTGAAGGAGTGTATCCGTCATGAGCATCTGGCCAAGGTGATTCTTTATTCAGAACATCTCTACGATTTCTTCAAATACGTGGAAGTCCCTTCTTTCGACTTGGCTTCGGATGCCTTCTCAACGTTTAAGGATCTGATAACTAAACACAAAACTTTATCTGCAGAGTTTTTGGAGAAGAACTACGATCGTTTCTTCGGATGTTATCAGAATCTTCTCCATTCTGAGAATTATGTTGTTAGAAGACAGAGTTTGAAGTTGTTGGGAGAGTTGTTATTGGATAGACACAACTTTAATGTCATGACGAGGTACATCAGCAATCCGGATAACTTAAAATTAATGATGAACATGCTACGGGAAAAGAGTAGAAACATACAATTCGAAGCCTTCCACGTTTTCAAGGTAAGATTTGTATCATTCATGATGATGATGAGGCCTTCGAAGGTAATCCCGTATTTTTTCGGTTGAAATGTCATTTTTCGCTTAAAATAATCGTTAGCACATCCTGGTTTTTTCTGTTTTCTACACCATTTGAAAAACCGTAGAAAACTGGATCGCCTTTATTAGCTCCGATTTTTGCTCTCTGGGAGAGGACGGGGGCCTGGCGGGCTGGGGTGTGTCTGACAAAAGCTACCCCCTGCTGGCTGGCCGGGGCGTAGCTGACCAAAGCTACGGCTGGCCTGCCCTTCTTCACGTCTTTTGTAATACCCTATAATATTTTAGGTTTTTGTCGCAAACCCGAACAAGCCCCGGCCCATCGCAGAGATCCTCCTTCGAAACCGTGAACGGCTGGTCGAATTCTTGACCAATTTCCACACTGATCGGACCGAGGACGAACAGTTCAACGACGAGAAGGCTTACTTAATCAAGCAAATCCAGGAAATGAGAGCGTAATCTACTGACTCAATATGGCAACGAATAATTTCTGCGGGTCCATCTCTTTAAAAGTATCATAAATATTACTTTACACCGAATTTGAGTCGAAGATAAACGTCGATTAGATATCGAAAAAGATTATAGGCAACACTCTATTTAAACATCATAAAAGTTTATAGTGATTTCACTGTTAAATAACTAAATATTACGAAAGTTAGTATGTACAATCATTTGGGAGCCCTTTCTCACTCCCTGCTCTTGTGATCATGATGATCATCTTCTTTGCTCGGACTGAATATAGATTCCTTGAAAAAACGCGGTAAAACCGTTGACTGTGCACTGGATCCATGGTCTAGGTCTACGTTCCGTTGTCGCCGTTCATGAAGATAGAACCAAGAAACGCCGACCAAAAGGCAGATTATCAAGCAGACCGCCAGTACCGATGTAAGGATGATCGTGCATGTCTGGAGGGTGATGAACAAGTCGCCGGCTCTCTGAAAGCAGAAGGGTTTATATGAATAGCAATAGTTCGTGTGGAATATTTATTCGAAAGGATGATTTCAGGCAATAATTTAGGTATAAGACTTCCTTAAGTCCCTTAGAAAAGTGTAATCTAATCTGAGATGCGTTCCTCAAAGTAAACGATCAACTCAAAAGAAGCAACTTACCCTCGCAGCCCACTGGATGTCGTCCATGCCGCAAGTCTTGAAACAAGTGCTCTGTCCGCCGAAAAGTCCGGCCAATGGAGATCCCGAGCTGACCTTCTCACGCCCTGACGTCGCGTTGATGGTGGAAGCCATGGCCTCAACTCTCAACGGCTGACCGTCTCCATTGAACATGTTTCTGACCTTATCCACCGTCCTGGAGACATCCGAAAAGATCTGCCCGATGTTCAATTCCTTCTCTTCATTCATGCCTGCTCTTAGTTGGATCGGGGCTCTTGACCGCGCATAAACATACGACCACGTTGACCTCAAAGCATAAACTTGTTTTTTGGAACCAACTTTTCGGATTCGAGGAAACCCCGAAAAAATGTGAGAATTGGGACAAAAAGATTGGAACGAAAGGATTGCGCAATAAAACAATCTGAGCATTCGAGTGATTTGGCTAGGGAGTAAGGAGGTCAGCAAACAAGTTCAAGAGAGGAAGGGGGACTAATGACTCTAATGACCGTTACTTGAATTATAAAGTCTTGTTCATGCATCATCTATGAGGTGGGTCGTGAAATATCAGACATCTTACATAATATTAAGTAAACGGTAAATGTTTAAAATAGTCGGCATCCATGGGAATTCATCCGTAAATGAAACGAGGCTTTTGAGTTTACTGTTTATAACCCCGAAAAATATAGTGATGATCACACAAAAATTACAAATCCTTTTTTTTTGAAGTAATGATGACTAGTAAAATTTTTGCCCAACCAAAAAATAAAAAGTAAACTGGATCTCATTACGTCTGAATCTGAATGAATTAGATCTGTACGCTCACGCTTTTTTACAAAATAAACGGGACCCCCGGTCAGGGCCCATTCTAATGGCTAACTCAAATTACAAAGCCCTCCCTTTGCTCTGTATAGGTAATATATTGGAGTAGAGATCTCTACTTTAATTTATTATACTGTACAGCGTGATATTATGCCATACTAACTAGCAGATTAACCTATGTTCCTGTCCATTTCCACATCTGAAAAACAATTTTGGAGGTTAAATTTAAAAGGTTCATTCCATGGTGACCGTTCGGATCTTCCAGAGATGACCTTGTTCTTGGCGAAGCGAGAGCGACGGATGGGTGGAGAGATGAGAGAGCGCATCTCCTCACTTCAATCCACTTAAAAAACAAACTTGAGAACAAGATCCATCAATATAATGTAACCGTCCAACAATGCTTTTCTCAATAATTTATAATATTTATTTCACAGCGCCTCGATGAAGAGATCGCGAATTTCGATAAGGTCGTTGAATTTGATTGCGATAAATGTTTCCGGGTGGTGTTCTGTAGCGCCGTCTCGGTCGTGATTGACCTCGAGGAAGATAGCTTACAGGGATTGGCTCGTAGTAATTGTAGTTGTAAAGAGGAGGGGGTCTGAACACAGGGATACGGTAGTGAACAGGGACATATCTGATGCTCCTCTCGGGAAGTCGACTGTAGAATTGGCCGCCATGGAAGAAGATTGCCTCTGGCGGTACTGGACGGAATTCGCTAAAAATTTGGATGGTTGATTGTGTCAGAGGACAGATAAAATAATTTTTAGCCAACTTACGTTGGCCTTGACGGAGGTGGAGCGGCCTTGGGTCTTCTTGTCGGGAATTGGCCAGACATCTTTTTTCTCACAGTTTCCGTTGTACCAGTGGACGGCTGAGGAGTTATTACAATCGGTGGCTCTATTGTTGTAGTATCTTCCAGATTTTGAATCTCTTGAAGATTTAAAGATCTTGGGGTGAATGTTGGCTTAGGGATAAAGACTTGAGGAGGAGGCCTTTGCCTTTCATCTCGATTTCCATAGGGTTTAATCCTTGTTATGACAGGTCTGGCTACATGAATGGAAGGCTCTGGTGGTCGGCCTTGAGGTCGGGATGGAGATGATGGAGTAAATTGTTTAATGGGCGGAGGAATTAATCTGGGCGTGGGTCGTGTGGGGGCCACGTTTAATGGGTCATCGGTGATTACCACAAACACTGAGGGGATCTTGTAATCATCATCATCTAAGAATTCCCAATTAATACATATGTTTTGCTTGGTGACCTACTTTTGTCAATCGCTTCAATATCGTTGGTATCAACTACAATATCACTTGGAATTACGATGGGTGGAGATGTTGTGGTCAGCAGATTCACCGGGTCAGTCTTCCCTACGATCAGATTCCCCCCTCCCGAGAACTCTTCATCTGGATCAATAGGGGGTAAGGGAGGGGTTGTGGGTGTGGTAGGGGGAGACAATCGGGTCACATCTGATTTTATGACCTTCGTCGTCCTCCCTTGAACATCTGGATTCCAGCTCGGGGCTGCTCGGGCGATTCTGAAAATATTCCAATCATCTTTTTATTGCACTCACCCCATGTCAAACTCGCTCCTGGCGCAGAAGATCTCCACAGGCCACAGCATTAATGCCAGTAATAATCTCCGCATTTCATTGGGCCTCTTCTAGAACACAAGCCTGGAAGAACGAACAATAAATCGAAGTCAGACGGCGATAATAAATTAGGAACCACTAATTTATTCGAATTTCGTGAATTTACAAATATTGGAAAGTCAGGCGGGTATAACTGGTCTTTTGTTGGGTTCAAGCGAGGTCATTTACTGGAGTACTTGAGTCGGGTTTAGGGTCTCTAAACGTGTTATAATTACTCCGACTTCAGGAACAATATGGAGGCGCAACAAATGTGAAAACAGAGGGTAGGAGATCGAAATTAAACCAGAAAACGGTCAATTACCGTATTCCGTCTGCTAAAGTTATAGCTTATCTATAGGCCAGTCCACCATACTAGGAATATCTTTATGTATAATAATATAATACTCAATGAGATTGATAGAAATACTTGTCCGGGAAACAATATAAGTTGAGATTCAGATGCCAACTTCCATTCGAGGTATTAGTCTCCTGTGTACCACGTCCCTTTTCTCGGGCTGACTGTTAAATTCATCGCCATATTCCAGAGAACTCACTTTCTAAAACACCATAAATCTTTTTTTAAGCTGCTTACCTTCAAGATCTCATGTAATTTTTCGGCAGCAGTAAAGTCATCGTTCATCTGACCTTCCACTTTAGGCCCTGAGGTCATAAGAATTCGCTGAGCGACTTGTTGTAGTTGTTCTTTGATGGGGGCAATCATAGATTGCATCACCTGGAGGATTACATTACACACTAATTAGTCCTTACCTCCTGTCCAAGGTCCGAAAGTGCTGTGGCAGCTGCGGCAATTGTTGTAATCGAGTTATTCGGATTCCTGAGAGCGTCCGAAAGCACCTTTACAATTCGAATACGAACATTTGTGGCAGTATATTGCCTAAACCATAGGTTCCATGATTATCAAAACAAGCAATTGTCACCTACTTGTAAATCGTGGCCAATAACTTGGAACTGAAACTCCTCAGCACCCAATGATTATCTCTTTCCGTGGGACACAGAGTTTTGCTCAGAATACAGGTGAGAATGGAAGGCAAGATCTCATGTAACTAAGTTTACAGTAGTCTTCAAGTACAAAACCTACCACTCCTTCTAGATTGACAGTCTTGTTGTTCGCCAGAGATTGTAACACCCGCATATGATAGATCAAGAAGGCCAGATTCCTCATGGCCACATTACATCGGACACCTTCGGCAATGGCCAATGAGAACCTTGGTAACAAAAGCTGTATTCCGCAGTCGGTTTGTATCACACTGAGGGCCTCTTTCCTCTTGTTGTCATCTGTTCCCATCGCTGCTTCCATCACTTCCTTAAAGAAGATCTGTTGTTCTAAGGAGATTGGATGTGTGGATGTCGTCTTTATTTGTACTTGAGTTATTTTTCTGACATCTTTTCCCAGTTGTTTTAGTAAGGGGGGACCATCTTCTACCGACGTCGACGGAAGATTCTGTACCGGCATTAGTTTGGGTTTCTCCGGCTGAGGATTCTCTGGTATGGCTGGCTGTTCACCGTCAATTACTAACCAATGCGCTAAAAATGACTTCAATAAATATTTAACTTAATGCTACATTTCATTACCTAAAATCAACAGAAATCTGATGACTAATTAATTACCTTTCAAAGATGGAGCAAGAGGTAGCCGGGGGAGAGGAGCCTGAATAAAGCTCTGGAGATCTACTTCATGATCCTCTTTGACGAACATGTCACGGACAAGATTACCTGCATACTTGAAGCTGGGTTGGGTGCCAGTCTCGAATCCAAAAGGCGGCTAAAGACCAATAAAAAAGTATTTCCAGACCTACCGTTATCCCCTTTAACCGAATTGCACAGTCGAGGTCTTCTGGGGTTAATTGTTTTCGCCTGCCCAACCGTTGAAACCGCGATGCAACGACCAGGACTTCCCTCAAAGCATCATTTACAGTTTTGGCCACACGTGCGGCTTTTGGTCCGTGAAAATCTTTTGAATTGACGGTGTCTGCAACCACCTGAACAAAGCTGGCATCGATACCCACCGCATTCGACCTGGCGGGGTTCATTAAACCTTCAAATTTTTTTTTTTAATTTTGTTCATCGCCTAAGGTTCACTATAAAGAAAAACGCCCCTCCCCAAAGATAAAAAAAGATCTACAACTTATACTGGAACGCCAACAACATCCAAATAAACTTTATTACATAAAATAACCCAAATAAATTAGTCATTGATAAGTTAATCCTTCTTAGACAGCTTCTCGTACAACTGTTTGACTTCTTTTTTCAAGACAGGCACCAAAATTTCTCCATTCTCGGTCAAATATTGAGAGATAGACTTTGTAACTTCAGCAGAACCAGAAAGGTTTCCCTGGTGGAAGGTAACGGTGAGCGTGTACTTGTCATCGTATCTGTGCATCTCGCTGGCAAAACACCAAGTTCTGTTACCAGCTTTCTGCTTCTCAACACCTTGATAAAAAATGTTCTTCTCGATATACATAATGTATATTTGAAGAATCGAAATCATAACAAAATAGGCGATGGAACAGAAAGCACATACCTAAAAATAGTACGTTATGAAAAATCCGACGTGTTCAATTCTATTTGAATATTACACCTACATGAGCAGACGCTGGATAAGGAAACTTGTAATCAAAAAGCAAGCCGGCACCAGCGAAGGAAACAGCGATGAAAGAGATCAAGAGTCGGATGTCCATCAAGGTATGTTTCTCTTTCCAAACATATTCCTGATTGATGACCTTCCTGATGGAGTCATCAATTGTATACTTTACAGTATTCCCATCCCATTTGTTGATTATGGCCGGAACTTCTGCCTAAACACACGTGTATCAAACGAAAGTAACTTACATTTCCCTCCTTTGCTTGGTTGTCAGCCATTGATTTCGACAAAGATCCTAAATTAAGAAGGTAAAAGCAAAGTAACCTAATACTGTATGCTCGTTTTTAAAAACAATAATGTCTTCTTGTGATGTGTACTAAAATAAAATAATATTATGGCTGACCAAAAAATTTCTTTTCTCGAGAAAATATTTTCCACACAAAGCTGCTCTTTTTGGTCCCGACACGCAAACATTTTTATGCAGATAAAATGGCAGCGTTGAAAACCCACTCTTTTCGCTCGTTCATTCGTTCAGTTTCGCTCGGGCTGGTCGCGTATCGATTTGTTCGTAGTGGTTGGTAATTTTTCGATGTGATGGATAGTATGGTTTCGAATGTGTCCCTTCAAAAGCGTTTTTGGTTGATTCACAGTGGTTGCACCTAGATGACTAGTGGAAGGCCTCAATGGCCAGGAATTTAGTTTCTTTGCAGGTTTATCCACAGTTTCGTTTTCCGTTTACTGGACCGAATTTTGATGTGGATGGATAAAGTAATGGTCGAGTGCCCTGTTTGAGGAGTCTACCATAGTATAACCATGTCCCTGAACCTGAAAGATGTCGATGCTTTATTTATTTAGCGGGGTCGATCGTCGAATAGGCGAGAGGATGCTTCAGGTCTTCCCAAGCATAAACTCATCAACTGATGTTGTGTTTTTCCTCACAATCGCCGTGTGACATTTGTCATTGAGACGAGGAGCTATCACATCGGAGCATTACACTTTTGTCTCCCCGTGAGCATTATACCCCGTCTTCCGACGATTCGAGTAGATCAGCCTTATCGAGCGTGCAACTTGTCGTGTGTTTAACATCAGCGAAGAACATATGTCAAGAGGCTCGTTGTAATATACAACCTACTTTTAGGCGATCATGGCTGCTAACAAAGTCGAAATGTCTTTGGGTAAGGATTTGGTAATTCAATCATCTTTTATTACCACCTAAATTAATGAGATTTGTTTTTAGACGACATTATCAAGGGCACTCGTAAGGACAAGAAGGGGAATGGCCCCGTCAAAAGATCAGGAGGACCGAGAAAAGGACCAATCAAGAAGGTTAGTTTTAAGTGATCTTTTGTGTAATATAATTTTCTTTGCAGAAAAGTTTCAAGCCAAAAGGAAACAACGCAGCTGCCAAAGTGACACCTGCTACAAAGAAATTGGTGAATGCACTTGTAAAGGTATGCTTTTATTACGTCGTTTCGAATTTACATTTGAGTTCAAGACTAATTGGAGTTTATTATAGAAAGCTTTGGCGAAGCGGGGACTCAGAAATGTCGACCAGAGCCCCAGGAAGACTTTTGTTCGCAAAGTGAATCCCAGATCCAGAGTAATCAAGAAGAGAACTGGAGGAGGTCAAACTGAGACCGTTGTTATCAGAAAGATTCAACGCCCAGTTCAGAAACCCCGAGTAATCAGAGAAGTTATCGTTGAGGAGCCTAGGAGACGTTTTGTTCGACCCGCCCAGCGAGTGATTGAACAACGACCCCGTCAGAAAGTCGTCTATGTACAGCAACAACAGCCTCAGCGACGTCGATTCAACAACTCAAGACGAAGAACCGATCCCTTCTATGAGCCTGCCAATTATCTCCAACGGATCTGATTGTTTTCATAAATGTTGTCTCTTCACCTTTTGTTCATAAAGTATAAATACGTCATCATTAAAGATTTATAATCGCAGGATATTGGTTTGCTCCTATACGTTTTTTGGGAAATAGGTAGGATTTTCGATTCAGAGGAATGATATATGTTTAGTCGCAGAATGGACGAAAGTTATGATGAGGTTCAGCAGTACTTCAGTCGGTTGTTACAAGATTCGATTGATGGGAGGCAGAAATCGACTGGGTTAGCTGCAATTGAAACCTTGATGATGCGTTTGGGGAAGTCCAAAGGTACCTTACTGTTTTAATATTTGAGTTTCTGCTTTAGTGGGGTAACAGAAAATCCATAAACGAAAGGGCAACTGAAATAATAACGCATGTGTCTTTAGCGACGACGGTAAGAGGACTTACGGAGGACCTTGACAATGCGGTTAATGCAATGTTGGACACGGATTACAGTGCGGCGTCAATCCAAAGTGCTTCGGAATTGTTCTTGAGGTTTATTTCTCTAATAAGTGTGGAGCAACTGGATGATCCTAACTTTGCCAAACTGATGAAGACGTACAAGGAAAGGGGGACTCTCTTCATCAAACGCATCTCCATGTCCCGTCAGATGATTGCCGAGTTTTCTGTCAGATTCATCCAGCATAATGTGGTAAGTGTTCTTTTACTATTGCAGATCTTAAATTTAGAAAGTACTGGTTCATTCGTTCAGTCAAGTCGTTCTCGGGGCTTTATTAGCCGCCAAAAGAAGTGGCAATGATTTCCAAGTATTTGTTACGGAAAGTCAACCAGACGCATCTGGAAAGAAGATGATTGAGGAACTGAATAAGGCAGCCATTGATGCCACATTGGTGCTGGACAGTGCCACAGGATATCTGATGGAGAGGATTGACCTGGTTTTACTGGGAGCCGAGGGAGTCATGGAGACTGGGGGTATCATTAATAAGGCAGGTTCTTAGCTTCAATGCTTGATTATAAATATATTTATAGATTGGATCCCTAGGAATTTCTATCTGTGCGAATACCATGAATAAACCAGTGTATGTTCTGGCTGAGAGTATCAAGTTTGTAAAGGAATACCCTCTCAATCAGAGTGATATCCCCAACAAATTCAAGTACCGATCCTCGACCCTCAAGAACAGTCCTCAACAACTTAAACACGAACATCCCCTGACCGATTACACCCCTCCCGAGTATATTCATCTCTTGGTTACTGATCTCGGAATATTCACACCTGCTGCAGTCGGTGATGAATTGATCAAGTTGTACACGTAAATGAATGGATGTTTTATTGTCGTTGTTTATTTATAAATTGTTAAAATTGGCTTACCCACTTTGTTTTTTGGATTGGTTTAGTACCACAATGTACTTTTTAAAACGATTAAAAGTTTTTGTCTTCTATACATTGCTTGTGATTTTAGTGTTGCACCTGAAAATCCCAATAAAGATTCATGGTAAGTAGAATTCTAAATGTTTTATAATTGCCATGTTTAGGATGCTTACAACGAAGACTCAAACTTTACAAATGATAATTCGGTAACGGAGACATCCGAAGATTTAAATGAAGACACTGAAGAAAGTAATCAGAGTTCTGTGGAACCGAGACAACTCAGAATTCGCAGAAATCGAGATGAAAGTGTGGAACCCAAGAAAAGAAAGATTGAAAGACCAGGGATGGTAAGAATACGCGGACTTTCGTCTGTGAGGAATGGTCGCTTTTTGTAGTCATCATTTTTTTAGAATCATGGAGAAAGTACTTCCAATGACTCTCGCGAAGGGTCGTGCGAGCAATCAGTGTGTTCACTGGATGCAGAATGCAGTGTCCAACTGTCGCCAAATTGTACAAATATCATCCCATCTGATGACAAAGTCTCTGTCACTTATTTTCATCTCAACAGTACTGAACACATTTGTTATCAATGCTATGAGGAAATGGCCAGAACAGGAAGGAAAGATAACCTAAAATACATTGAATGGAAGAACATGTGGCTGACTGAGAGTAGATGTTCTCCCTCATTAAGACTTTTTGCCATGGATTGCCTTCTAAAATACTGGCTGCAATGCAAGAAATGTGGAAAGTTTAGAAGAGTTAAACATGACGTAACCGACTGGGAAGTTGCGAAGATCGAGGCCTTTGAGTGTAACCAAGTAGATGATATCAGAGGAAAGGCAGATCCATGCAAAGTGCCGGAGAGCGAGGTACAGTTTATTTTATTTTTATGTAGTTTTGGCTTAGAAAGTAAACGCGGCCAAAGAATTGGAGTGGATTCAATCAGCTAGTGCCCCCACCTTCCTCCACAATTCCCCGGCTCTTCAATATCTCCGAGAAGAGTATTATTGCGATGAAGTGGGGATGAGTCCGTCCCGAGCCAGGGATGCCAAGCCTCCCAAGCCTCAGGCATCTTTTATGTTCCCCTTCAACATCCCCAATGCTGGTTCTGTCGCCTTTTGTGTACGTCCAGATGGCATGGAATTTGATGAATTGGAAAGATTCCCCGAGTTCTCAATTGAATGTATGCCATACCTGGCGCTACGCAATTTGGTGGTATCTTTGTGGGCTTTAAATCCATTTGTAAGTTTTGTTTATAATAATTGTCAACTTGTAGGAGTTGTTGACCTACGAGAAGTGTTTGAATCATCTTGTTTGTCGAGGACTGGCCCGAGTTTGGTATTCAGTACAGTTAAAGAAAGTTTTCAACTATCTGTGCATCAAGAACATGATCAATTATGGTATCCTTACCTTCCCAAAGCATAAAATTCTTGGCGATTACGTAACTCGGCCCCTCAATGTCATCGTAATTGGTGCAGGCATCAGTGGATTGACAACGGCCCGACAATTAACTCGAAATGGAGCCAATGTTACAGTACTCGAAGCCATGGATAGAATAGGAGGAAGGATGTATGATGACTATTCTTTGGGAGTAGCTGTTGGATGTGGAGCTCAATTAATCACCGGGATCACAAACAGTCCGATTGTGTTGTTATGTGAGCAAAGTGGCGTCAAGTATAAGTAAGTGCACTGACGAGTTTTGTCATCTCGAATTTAGATCATTGACAGATGATTGCCCATTGGTTGATGCCGGAACAGGCAGCACGGTGAATCCAAGTGCCGACCGAATTGTGGATGAGCACTTTAATTGTATTCTAGATGCCGTTGGAGAATGGAGGAAGGTGACGAGAAAGGCAGACACCAGTCTGGCCGATCGTGTCGACACCTTCCATCAGAAATTCCTTTCGGCTCTCCCCTTTGAATGGTCCTCTGAATACGATCGTCTTTTACAATGGCAGATTGGAAATGTGGAATTCTCTTGCGGAGCCGCTTTATCCAAGGTCTCCGCTAGAAATTGGGATCAAAATGAGGCTGTGGGGCAATTTGCCGGGGACCACGCCCTTTTGAACGAAGGATCCAAGAAGTTCATCGCTGAATTGGCCGACTGTCTTGATGTGAGACTTGGCCATAAGGTCGTAAAAATCGACCACAGTAAACGGCAAGTTGCAGTGATGTTAGAGGATGGGGAGGAACTGAGAGCAGATAAGGTGGTGGTCTGCTTGCCTCTGGCTGTTTATCAGCAAAACTCTGTCAAATTCCAACCAGCCATGCCTCAGGAAAAATTGGGGTGTCTTAAAAAATTGGGTGCTGGTCTGATAGAGAAGGTGGCCGTCAGATTCCCTACCAGGTTCTGGAACGGACTTCTGAAGAAGGATGGGACTCTCGATTATTTCGGAAATGTCCCTAAAGGCATCAAGTACAGGGGAATGTTCAACATGTTCTACGACTTTTCATCGAAGGTGAGAGTTAAGATTACGGTAGTATAGAAAACTTACCATGAAATTTAATTCGAAGAGCCTTGTTTCAGGTGGGAAATGAAGACTGTTATGTACTGATGTCTTATGTTTGCGGAGATTCCGTGGACATTGTAAACAGACATTCAGACGAAGAAGTTGTGGCCATCTTCGTGGACGCGTTACAATCATTATTCCCAAATGAAGTAAGCACTCATTTTAACTTTATATAAGTTGCCATTTTTAGGATATTCCAAAACCAATGGGGCATGTTGTAACTCATTGGGGTAAGGATCCAAACATCGGGATGTCTTATAGCTATGTGAAAGTAAACGGATCAGGAGAAGATTATGACCTCATGGCTGCTCCAATCGGCAAGAAACTTTACTTTGCGGGCGAATGCACTAATCGATTCTTCCCCCAGACGATGACTGGTGCTTATGTTTCCGGCCTTCGCGAGGCCAGCCGAATCCTGGAGCACTGGATCTCCGAGAATTCCAGATCTCATTAATTTATTTATTGTACATAATTTTTTATCTTTTTATTTTGTGTTTTGCTAACTCCTGTCTGACAGTTATTGTAAATAAGGGTTTTGTGTCCGAATAATTTGTTTCTAATCAATTCCTATCATTCAAGACGTGATTTCCCACACGATCTCGACTAGGCTATTTGATGGGCAACTTTATTTTGCGAATGAAAGCGATTATGACCCGCAAGTTATTTCATATGGTACGTCATAATCGCAGTTGTTCGTATTTTGCCCTCATCTCTTCTCAGGACTCATAATTTCTCAGTAAATAAACCTTTTACAAGACTTCGATTTGAGTTCGATTGAATCTGTTGAGCTCAACATACTTTCATATTCTGAATCAGCGCAGCATTCTATGTCGGTATATTGAAGATGTTCAAGTTGAAGTGTAAGGCCCAGAAATATCAATGGGGAAAGCCTGGTCGCGAAAGTGAAGTCGCGAAATTTGTGAATGGTAGTGTTGATCCCAATGAACATTATGCTGAATTGTGGATGGGAACTCATCAAAACGGCCCCAGTGAATTGGAAGACGGCACTTCTTTAGCTGAGTATTTGACAAGGAATCCCAAGGCACTGGGAAATCATGAGAAAGGAGAGCTTCAGTTCTTATTCAAAGTCCTGTCTGTTAATACCGCTCTCTCTGTTCAGAGTCATCCGACTAATGTAAGGCGAAACAATTTAATTCTTGAGCCATCATTCACAATTTATTAATTTTGACTCATGATTTAGGAGCAGGCGCAGATCCTCCACAAAAATGACCCCAAGAATTATCCGGATCCCCGCCATAAACCCGAAATGGCCATTGCTCTTGGCGACTTTGAACTTTTATGTGGATTCAGAGAGAACGAAGATCTCCTGGCTCATATAAAAAAATACATTGAAGTTGTGTCCCTCTTTGATGAACGTCTTCTGAGTGATTTTACTCACGAAAGTAAGGAAAAACAAAAGGAAACTCTCCAACAAATTTTTACTGCTATTTGGAAGAGCCCTAAGGAAGAGATCACTCAAGTTGTAGGGGAGATTGTGAACAGGGTCAAAGGACGTATGTAATCATTTCTGTTTCTTCATGAACTTTATTGTTTTTTAGACCACCAGAAGACTGAATTGGACGATCTGTTGATCAGGTTGGACAATCAATATCCAGGTGGTGATGTGGGGGTTCTGGCCCCAATTTTTTTAAATTATTTCACTTTAAAGGAAGGCGAATCCACTTTCCTGGGACCTAATGAACCACATGCTTATTTGTCTGGAAGTAAGTTTTATTCTGAATTTTGGTTAAGATTACTGTAATTAATATTTTTCAGATTGTATTGAGTGTATGGCATGCTCAGATAACACAATTCGAGCTGGTCTCACCCCCAAATTCAAAGATGTGGAGACTTTGACCAAGTCCCTGACTTACAAGATGACTCCTCCTCCTTATTTCCATGCCAAGGAGGCTGCTGCTGGTGTCCTTGAATATGCCCCACCTGTGCCGGAGTTTGCAGTGCAAAAGATTGTTGTATGTTTAGGTGACATATTATGCATTTCTTTATTCAGAGCTCCGCTAAAGTCATCCCTCATATCGATGGATCCAGCATCATTGTAGTTGTAAGGGGCGGGACAACACTCACTTCCGGTGACAAGTCTCTCTCTCTAAAGGCGGGCCAAGTTGGATTCCTCACAGCCGAACTTAAGGATGTTACTTTATCCTCAACCAGTGATCTGTTGGCATTTAGAGCATTCACACCGCTTCCAAATTAGATTTAGAGCTTTAGAATTTAAAACACGATTTTTGAGTCAGGGCACCAGCGGTGGTCTTAGGAAAAAATCGATTTTGAAATTTTTGGCTTAAAACAGTCGGTAGCACTTGTGGAAGAAAAGCGAAAAATATTTTTGCCCAATTTTGCCCGGAAGGCATATTTTTTTACAAAATACGTTTTTACACTTCAAAGCCTCTGGAGGCCGATGTGATCCGACCACAGAGATTAAACCGGGCATACAGGGGTTTTTGACACCCAGGAATCTGAACATCGTAGCATTTTTACCGTCAGATTACTGTAACATGGTCATACTGTAATCCGGTCGATAAGAATTGACGATAACTTCTTTAGATCAAAAATGCCACAGGATTTTATTGCAGATTCGGAATCAGCATAAAATTCTGCTTCGGATACATGTAAAATATGTTCAAAATTCCGTGGCCCAACCTCTGTAGTATAGTGGTTGTGCGCCAGGATTATCAATCTGGCGACCCAGGTTCGATTCCCGGTGGCTGCAAATGGCCGAAAATGGACTATAAAAGGGCGGAAACTTGGAAAAAAGGGAAAATAAATTACAGAAAATTAATTTTATGCTACTTAAGAGCAGTTTAAAGGTTTTTGCAAGAATTCCTCATAAATTACGGTTTTTATGGAAAACGCCTTATAGCTTGCCGGAACGAGGAGCAATCTGGTTAAAATTTACAGAAGAGGTTACAGAGGCTTCCTACTACGAAAATAAGTCCATTTCTGCTTATTTGGTAAAATTTTTGGGATAGCCTGGGGTTTCTTTCAAATTCGGGTTTTTAAGAAGGCGAGCTGCGGCCGAGGTTTATCGAACGGAACAATATTTGACCAAAAAGTCATATAGGATTCACAAAAAGTCATATAAGATTCCCTAACAGCACCGGGATCACACAGCGTGTAAAACTTAGGCCGTCTTGCGTATCCCACAAAAAACGGAGCGCGTGGACGCTCTAATGATAAATCTACATGGAGACTCAGTTGGTAAGGAACAGAGGCTAAACTACGGGGCTGTAACATGCGTGCTTCCATCTGAAAATTAAATAACTGTTTTATTTTGTTTTATATTGCATTTCTCGGCGGATATGATGAACAGTGGATAGCAAGCGTTATGTAGATTCACCACAACTCTTTAGTTGCCATTTGGGGCGATCTTACGAATGCTGTGAGGCGTTTTCCATAAAAATCGTAATTTATGCGGAATTCTTGCAAAAACTTTTAAACTGGTCCTAAGTAGCATAAAATTAATTTTCTGTAATTTATTTTCCCTTTTTTTCCCAGTTTCCGCCCTTTTATAGTCCATTTTCTGCCATTTGCAGCCACCGGGAATCGAACCTGGGTCGCCAGATTGATAATCCTGGCGCACAACCACTATACTACAGAGGTTGGGCCACGGAATTTTGAACATATTTTACATGTATCCGAAGCAAAATTTTATGCTGATTCCGAATCTGCAATAAAATCCTGTGGCATTTTTGATCTAAAGAAGTTATCGTCGATTCTTATCGACCGGATTACAGTATGACCATGTTACAGTAATCTGACGGTAAAAATGCTACGATTTTCAGATTCCTGGGTGTCAAAAACCCCTGTATGCCCGGTTTAATCTCTGTGGTCGGATCACATCGGCCTCCAGAGGCTTTGAAGTGTAAAAACGTATTTTGTAAAAAATATGCCTTCCGGGCAAAATTGGGCGAAAATATTTTTCGCTTTTCTTCCACAAGTGCTACCGACTATTTTAAGCCAAAAATCTCAAAATCGATTTTTTCCTAAGACCGGGCCCCACTACTGGCTGACGCAGTGACTCAAAAATCGTGTTTTAACAGGGCATCAATATGATGTCCCTCTAGATGATCAATTTTAAGATAAGCAATGCTTTGTATCAGATGAACCCGAATAAACATGTAGTGACTGGTGTTATCAATGGAACTTCTCTTATCTTCTCCTCAATTTTCGGCCTTTTCATTTCGTAATTTCCGAGACATCGTGGTTTCTTACAAGGGAAGTCGTTCAGATCGCAAATGAGTTGAGCTATGGGACCGGTATATTCTGATTCTCCATATTTCAAAACGGTAAGAGCTAAAACAGTTTTTGCGTCTGGGCCCTAGTTTTCGAGAAAATCGACCGTAAAGTTTGATCGGAAACCCCGCTAAATAGTCTTCGCTCCGAAAGACCTTTGGATCAAGAGCCAAATGGCGGAGGGCGAGTGAAAACGCTCTCAAAATTCTTTTGTCCGGGATGCCGAGGAAGGTTCGAGTCCCGCTAGGCTCAAACCCATGTTCAAAGAGCTTTGATATTAAAAATGATAAAAAATAAAAAAATTTTAGTTTTTTGTGGTGAAGTGTACCCCAATAATTTCAGATCAAATAGTTTTTTTAGGAATAAACACTTCATTTTTGAGTTCAGCGCAGAAATATGCCTATTTGGCATGCATTTCAAGATTTTCTCCAAAGTATGTAAAAGGAAAAATTTTTTTTTGCTTTGCAACCACTATGAATTTATACATCAGGGTTTGCTCCTAGCGGGACTCGAACCTTCCCCGGCATCCCGGACAAAAGAATTTCGAGAGCGTTTTCACTCGCCCTCCGCCATTTGGCTCTTGATCCAAAGGTCTTTCGGAGCGAAGACTATTTAGCGGGGTTTCCGATCAAACTTTACGGTCGATTTTCTCGAAAACTAGGGCCCAGACGCAAAAACTGTTTTAGCTCTTACCGTTTTGAAATATGGAGAATCAGAATATACCGGTCCCATAGCTCAACTCATTTGCGATCTGAACGACTTCCCTTGTTAGAGAAGATGAGAATTCTAATATTGTTGGGATTTATTTTTGCTGTAAATGCTATCCATCAAGTCAAGATACAAAGGAAATCTTCCCTTCGTCATCGATTAATGGCTTCAGGGAAATGGAAAGACTACAGGAAACTGAGACAACAGATGGACATGGATCCCCCAGATCCATTTATCCAACCGGTCGCCGACTTGGATGACATGATATATTTGGCAAAGGTAGATGGTTGTAAAAGGGGTGAACTATATTGCTTAGATCAGCATCGGGACTCCTCCGCAGGAATTTGAGGTTGTTTTGGACACGGGGAGTGCGAATCTTTGGGTTCCCGACAGTTCTTGCCATCCACCAGAGTCTCCAAAAATGGATAAGAGCGTCTTTGGAACATCTCTAGATTGCCCAGATTACTGCAAAGAGCTCCCGAAAGAAGCCTGTCCATTGGTTTGTGGAGAATCTTGCTGCGATGAGATTAGAAGTCAACAAATTAACCTGGAAATGGCACAAATTTTAAGAGATCATGGCGCGGCACCGTAAGTTGGACTGCAATTTAAAAAAAAATTGGATTGCAGAGTTGATCCCTGCTCCAAGAAACATCGCTTTGCCAGTGGGGATTCAAATACTTATGTCAAGAATGGGTCTGATTGGAAGATTTCGTATGGGACTGGAAGTGCCCAGGGATTTTTTGGAGCTGATAAAGTCTGCGTAAGCATACTGTAACTTTAAAAATATGTTCAGTTTGCCCCTACCAGTCTCTGCATCACCGCCCAAACGTTCGGCCAAGCCTCTTCTTTAGCCCCATTTTTTGCGGATCAGCCGATTGATGGGATCCTTGGCCTGGCCTTTCCTTCCATTGCCGTGGGCCATGTAACTCCTCCATTCATCAGTGCGGTGGAACAAAGTTTGGTAGATATTTCTTTGATTTTTTATTTTTACCGTACTTATAGTTGTTAGTTCCTTTTCTTCAGGTGGAACATCCCGTTTTTACCGTGATCATGGATCATTCTGGACCTGCGGAAAAGGATGACGGTGGATGGTTTACTTACGGCGGCTTCGATGAAGAGCACTGTCAGGAAGATGTGTTCTGGATGCCTTTGACTCAGCCTGCCACTTTCTGGCAATTCGAAATTCAAGGGTATCCGGTTTTGGTTTTCAACATTCCTATACAATCTTTTCGAATTTCAAAAATTATTTTTCAGTGCAAGAGTTGATGATCTGGACATACTAGAAGCGTCCCACGCCATTTCCGATACAGGCACCAGCTTGATCTCGGGTCCACCAGAAATTGTCAGCAAAATAGCGGATAAGGTCGGGGCTTGGTATGAAGAAGAAGAAGGCAGTTACTTCATCGATTGTAAGGCAAGGCCTCCTCCAGTCGCGTTGAAAGTGGGCGGTAATGAACTCTTTATCCACTCCAGAGATTACATTCTCCCTGTCGCTGAAAAAAGATGTCAGTTTGGGTTCTTTGTTTTCAACACCGGTCCATCGGGACCACAGTGGATTCTGGGAGATCCATTCTTGAGGTCTTACTGTAACATCCATGACGTAAAAAATGAGAGGATCGGATTTGCAAAACCAAAATTCACATAATTTTGACGAAAAGAATTTTAAATTATTTACATTTGCGATTGAAAAAAATAAAAGTTTTGAAAAAAGCAAACTTCGTTTGTTTCGATCAGTTTGAAATTGCTTGACTTGAAGTTCGGTCGGGTTGCTTCTCTAAATATGGCCGGAGAAGCGTCAACGACCTTCGACTCCAAGACCAGCAGCGAGCCCGCTAGGGCCTCTTGCCAAAAAGAAATCGAAGCCGAATCCGTCAATGATTTCATCCAGACCATGACCTCGGGCGGAAGAGCTCAAGTTGTTGCCGAGCATGACAAAATCAAGAAGAAGGAACGCCATGTTTTCAACTTCATGAACAATCTTGATGTAGGCGATCAGTCCTTTACAACACTTTTCAGAAAAACCGTTTCTCGAACATCCTCCTGTTCAACGAAGGCGCTGTTAAATTGAAGTCCCAATCGGCCAATGAGACCGATTATATCCACGCCACCATCATCAGATCCCATTACGGTAACTATATCTTGGCCCAAGCTCCTCGCTCTGATACGATCAATGAATGGTACCGGATGATCTGGCAATATCGAGTTCAAGTAATCGTATGTCTGTTACCGCTGACTGATCCCGAAGAGTGCTACAAGTACTTTGAATTAAAGGCCGGCAAGAAAGTCAAGGTCTGTTTGGAGTCATCTTGTAATCATAAAAATTGTGATTCGTTTCAGAAGGGTAGATTTACTGCCAAAACTTTTGCAGTCCGTCAAGAAGGCCAATGTTTCATCTACGAAATCCGCTTTTCGAATAACAGTCCAGGCCGAGGAGAAGAGAAAGAACGTGTTTTGTATGTGGTCCATTTCCCCAAATGGACGGTGAGACGACAAATCATGTAATAATTGCCTCCAAAATTTTATTCTAGGTCTCGAAGCCTCCAGACTCCAAGACTGTCATCCAGATCCTTCGAACCACTTGGGCCCTGGAACAATCGCAAAGATTAGGTCGGGACCAGGAGGGGATTATCCTTGTTCACGGATGCAGTGGCGTTAGAAGGACTGGGACTTTGGTTATCTCGGCCATGTTATGTCGGCAAATCAGAGAGAAGAAGAACATTGCCCTTCTGGCTATTTGCGCCAAGGTTCGGAGACTGAGATATGGGGTTCTGCGAAATAAAGTCATGTTCGCCTTGATTCTGGAGACAGCTCTAACGTTTGGCGCTGATCAAGGACTCTTGGATAAAAGATCTCAAAATTATTCTGGAGCGGTTCAAGTAAGGAACTGGTTGAACGATTCTGAGGTTTTTTTAGAAGATTAGAGCGTCCGTAAAAGATGGAAAGAAAGAAGGGGATGAGAATCAGAATACAGGCGAAACTCCCGGCGCCAACTGAGCTGATACTAGCGCCCCTGCTCAGCCTTAGAGCCCAATTATTCTATGCTTACAAGAAGTCCTATCTCTATTGTCACAAATAAAAAGCGTTTTCAAGTTTTCTATCTGTACGATTGATTGTATTGCTGTGGTATCCTTCACAGCATCCAAGACAAATTTCCAAAGCTCGCGAATTTGAATAAGTCAGCATGAATGGCCTCCTTATAAGGGCGACAGAGGTATAAGAGATCGTCAAGGCCATCGGCGAGGGGAGACGCGCACTTCATAGGGGCAGAAAACCAAAACAGCGAGCCCTGCTCGGGGGAACAGGTAACCAGAAAACCCCTCCCGGGTTCCCGTTCCCTGATCTCCTCATGCGTTTTTTAAACCCGCGTTCTTCCACTGACCTCGTGAACTCAAATTCCAATTACAATTTGGACTTGTGACATTTATTGCGTTAATTGACCTATCGGCTTTTTCAGGTGGTCTAAAGGGATTTATGACTCAGAAATAAGTCGATTTTGAATTCCCACGCTTACACTTGTGTCCATACATGATCGAGTTAAGGCCCCTTCAGATAACGGCATTAGTCTTTGCAGTGCTTGCCTTCTTCCTGACCTTTTCAGCAATTTTAACTCCGGCGTGGCAGGTCGTTTATGCCCGAGAAATCCAGCAATGGATTCAGAGCGGGCTATGGTTGAATTGCCAGACCAGGTATGCGACCTTTTTGTAGCCCCGACTTCTCAAAATTTAGGCCTTCAGGAATGTACACATGCACGTACAGCTTCTCGGAACATGACTTTGATTTCTACACAAATGCGGAGACCATCAATTTGAGGACCCCTCCCTTTTATTGTACGTATAGTTGAGTTGAAATCATTTTTATACGAACTGTTATGTAATATGACGTTATTTTTCAGCATGGCAGCGAAGTCTATTGGCCGTTTATTTGATCGCGCAGTTCATCACTTTCCTCTCATTTTCCTCGTTTTTCTGCTCTCTCAATCTCCAAACTCGCCAACTTAGTGCCATTTCATTTGCCGTTCTCATCTCAATTACTTGTAAGCTTTGTACTTGAAAATCATCCACAACTTCACCAAATTAATTTCCAGTTCTAATCCATTCGGGTACCACCTTAGCCTTCGCCGTGTTCACTCAGATGGTTGAATATCGTTTTTACCATGTCAGTGTGAGTGGAATATACGAAGTAAGTCTTTTCCCAAACGCATTACAATTTTCAGAAACATTGGGGTTACTCTTTTTACATCGAGCTCTTCGTTTTGCTTTTCCTCTTCCTTTCGATGTGTTTCGCCATCGCTTTTTTGATTCAAGAGAGGATGAATAAGACCAACAACAACAACTACAGACTGGCTACGGCCAACACCGCCGACTTCTACGGTCTCGACCCTTATGAGACCAGGCTGGCCATGCGCGAATTGCCAAATGTTCCGAAATACCGGTAAAGAATGACATTGAACATTTAAATAATCCCATCAGCCTTGTAATAGATTTTATACAAATACTATATGTATATAAACGGGAATAATATCGGATAACGAAAAAATAAATAAGACCCAATCAGACCTACAGATTTAGAAGGAGCCATCCAGAACATTCTGTTGTTCCAAAATTTCCTCCGTGATTCCAATAGCGGCCAATTCACGACGAACACGGTCCAGATAAGTGGGATCAGGGTAACCAAAGCTGAAGTAAATTGAATAACAAATAACCACGAAAATTTAACAAAACGATTACATCCACCTACTTTGTTGGTCCTCCAGATCTGCTGGTCTTGTGATGAACTCCATTCCAGGTAACAATATTCCTCTGTCCAGTTGTAACCGAATCTCCAACAGTAAATACAAGACGTCGATCGAAAGCCAATTGAAGAAGTTCGGCAATTTCATGGCCCTCGTCTGTGTTTGGGAGGTAACAAGTCCGACTAATACCATGATACGGTACTCCGGGACGGGGATGGACGTTCTAAGATAAAATGCGTTGTTTCAACAATGTTGAGATCAATTTTTTTGAAATTTTTGAATGCAAAGACAATTGTCTTGTATTGGGGTAAGAATTGAACCCAAGTCCTCTGGATTTTATGGCGAACTTACACTTTGCACTCCATCCGGGAAGTAATACTTGATCCGAATGTATCCTCTCACATTGCTCATCCCCTCCAAACGTCCTCTGCTGATCGTTTCGACTGTCATTCGACCATCGGCTGGCTGATTCCCATGCGTTAACATATACCATGTATTACAAGCAGGACATTGAGGTTTAGTGGAGAACCATTGCTAAAAAAATTCTCTAAAAAATTGGTTCCCTAACGTACAATAATGCAATTCCTGTGGAAATAATGAGGACATCTATTCAATTTCACAACTCCATTTGGTCTTCCGACATTCGAAGGATCTCCATCACACATATCCAATAAACAAATAGGGCATCCTTCAATTATATCCTCGTTTTGGGAGTTGGGAGACTCATTAATCTCGGCCAATCTCTTCTCTCTCATCTCACTTAGTTGTTCTTGAGTTTGATAAGTGTAAAACATCGAAAATGGAGAAGTCATATCAATTTGTGAGCTAGCGGTCGCATTTGAAGTTTGATTTGAGGACTGGGTAATCGAATTTGAGGAAGAAGGAGAAGCAACAGGAATATCAACATCAACTTCTTCGCTTTGGCTAAGCAACTCCTCCACAGCCATTTGAACAAGACCATTGCGAATATGATCGATTAGATGAAGGGATCTGTCCACTATTACAATATTCTAAACACAAGATAATAAGAACAATACAAAAAACTTACATTAAGTGCTCCAAAGTCATGAATCCCTTCCAAAGCCTTCCTCAATGCGGACGCACACTCAGAAATCGGCAATCTAAACCCTCCAGTGCCGATAGGAGGCATTACAAGACTGCTAGCTTGTAGGGAAATTGCACGAAGAATAATCTTGGAAAAAACCTGATCCATTTTTGATTTGAAATGCCTCCTTAACGATGCAAGTATGACATAATTACAATATAATTGAGCAGGAGCAGGGACGGATATAACGGTTGGGTCGGTTACGGGTCCATGATTTGACGCTTCCGAGTCTACCAACGCCTAAATCAAACAAAAATAAGTTCAATCTAAGCTAATCATCTAAAAAAACAAAGAAAAAATCTAAAGATACCTTAAATGGAGCGCCGCATGTCCTGTAAAGCACTTGTCCAACACCCCCACTCAATGAAAAGGTGGAATCACATGCAACAACATAAACTTCTTCTCTTCTGGTTAGCAGATTATCTTGTTCGAAGCCAAAAGTAACTCCTCGAAATTGCACATTAGGGAGCTGATTCATCGCCTTCAATTCTGCAAAAAAAATCAAACATTAACACCAATTACGTTACATCGACATTAATAACATAAAAAAGGCGGAAAATGTTTATATATACTTTTTCCAAAAACAAAAAGCGATCTCGCGCGAGGAAAAACGTTTTTTCGGTTATATCGGAATGCCAATCGGTTTTTGGCATTCGGCACAAAACAAACAAAAACGCGTTTTCAAAACCAAATTTGAATTCGCTTCTGAATTCAGTAACATTTTGGAGAAAGCTTGTTATACCTGCTGTAAAATAGCGGGGGTGCACATAATTTATGGCCATAAACGATAATCCGATTTTGTAATTACTCTAATTGTAAGTAAATTTATGACGATATGACAAACAGCAACAAAAACATGTAACAAAATTCAAACAATTATTAATTCCGCGTATTTCATTGGAAAGCAAAGTTGGAAGGAACGTCAGCGGAGTTGTTGAAGTTGTATCCACCCGAGGAATTGAGCTGGCGTGACCTGAGGGCCTCCTTCTCTTGATGACATAGCTGAATTAGATCTTTCAATTGAGTTTTCTTTTCTTCTGGGATAGCCAGGAGTTGATTGTAAAGCGGAGAATCCGTCGATTCGAGGTCTGAAAACAAATAAATTAATAAAAAATAGGAAGGCGCGCAACACGTTTACCCAAAGACTGATAAACAGCTTGTCCATAAAAAGATTGGAGACTCAGAAAGCATCCGAAAACATTACTCACCATTCATGACATCCATAAATAGAGTATGAACATTAATGGCAGGGTTCTCTCCGTCAAATGGAGTCTCAAACTCTTCCAATTCAGTAGCCTCTACGAAAGAATGTCTCTCTTCACTACATTCCGAGTCAGACACATCAGCAGCCATCTTCTTCTCCAAGGATAACATATATTCTTGTTCATTCTCGTTGATATCATCATCTGAGTCTTGAAGATCAGCATCTCTTTCTTCGTTCTCATCATCGTCCGAGTCATCATCATCAGAATCGTCGTCATCAGCTTCATGAATCAGTTTCTTGCATTTTTGAATATCCTCAAATAATTTGATAATAACTTCCATCAACTTCTGAGGCTGTGTGTTAACAATGGATGGCCGAATCGCCTTGTCCATCTTGAAGGCCAGGAAGAGAGCATAGAGAAGAACAGATCGATCGTGGATTCCATTGAAGTTGGCAAAATGAGTGTAAACATATTCAAAGAACCAGTTGAAATTGTTGGCATGATGCGGTTCGTATTGGGAAATTAATTGAATAAACAACTGCTGATTGTAATTTAAGGCCTCGATTAGAGTCTGCAAGAATACAACCCCTGACAACTTAAAGACGAATATGAAAAATACTTATTTAACACTTCCCATACGAGTCGGCAGTTAAGTTAAGAATACGGCAAAAAAAATCATAAAAAGTACCCTAACTTCACCAAGTGCGAGATCGGGTTACTTGTGACACCAAGTCCACTCTTCGGCGGCAAAAACTTTAGTTAGTGTGAACTTCCAAAATTTTAATTTTGTACTAATTAAATTGTTTTAATGATACTCATCATCCAAATAAAACAGAGATAACCAAGAAAGGCCTTTTAAATCTCAGAAGATTTAAAATTATACATAAACCCAATTAGGTTATCATGGCTAGAAAATGTACTTACAACACAACATTGAGCATGAATGTCTTCGAATTCAGTCTGTTCGGCCAATAACTTCTTCATGACTAGAGCAATAATTTGGGGATAAACTTGATCAAGATGGCCTTTGTAGTGACTCAACAATATTTCCAACATTTTCACAGCGTACATGTGAATATCATCGCCGCATTCCTCATCATTGAGTACTCTTTCTATCAACACTAACATTCGAAGTAATCTCTGAGGATCCGCCATGAATGCCGCTGGATCTTTGGTGACAAACTTGGCGAAGGCTGGCATTGAATCTAAACGCACGTAAGAAATTACTTGTTCAAAACAGCGTACCTGTAAAGAAAAGACTTCCTTCTGCTTCGAAGGCATCCAAAAGCTTGTCGTAGACGACCCACATTTGAGGTGAAATCCGATGGGTCAACAGACAGTCGATTAAAGAAGCCGCCTCTTCGAAAAAATCAGCGGCGAATGCATCCAAAATCTCCGCTACAGTATTAGCCACAATCGGTTCAATCTTGTCCAATGCCTCCTGGCTATCATGCACTAACTGAAGAATAGTTTCTAATGTGGCCAGCACTCCCATTATGGTCATGCTGTTCTCATTTAGCGCAGACCCGTCGTCAGCTTTGGCCAATTGATTGAAAACTTGCACCTAAACATAAAACATGATCACAACAAAAAGTTCTCACCAACTCATAGACAACAATCTCAGCGACGGGAATGACATCATCGGAATATGCTTCGATAAGAGTTTCAATGACAGCAGGCAAATCTTCGAGATTATGTTGAGCCAGTAACCTCAATATTTCTCTAAGAAGATCTCCAATTCGAGGTTTAACAAAGGCGGCCACGTTGTCTGGCTGATTACTAACAAGGGATTGTATGGCAATCGCGGCTTCAAACTTGACTGGAAGTTCCTCATTGGGGTCCTTTAGTCGCTGAGTGATAGTCTCTACCAAATCGGCCAAGAACATTCGATCTTTGAAAGGTGCTTCCGCGGCTTCCTTTATAACTGTTAAAGCACGAGCCCTAACAAACTTGGCAGGATGAGTGATTCGTGGTTTGACATTCTGGATGATTAGTTTCTCAACATCCTTCTTGTACCTTCTGTCTTCACAAAGAGTTGGGGCTAATGCAGCAATCACATGAAGGGATCCATCAAGATCGTGGGGTCCACATTCTTCATTTTGGAGTTTGGTAATGACCTGGGTAAGAATGGGAAGGAGGATTCCTTGGCGCTTCGCCGCGGCATTCAAGAAACGGATGGCTGCAGAAGCCGGGGACCGAACCTCTTCGAAGCAATCTTGTTTCTCTCGGAGGTAAGACTCGGGGTCCTCCTCCCACAATTCTTGGTCAACATCCGTAAATTGCATCAAGGGGAAAAGAATGTCGCAGAAGATAACCTAAAAATAAAAGATAGAGAAAAATTAACACTTACATCCAAATGGGGCTTCACCAATTTCCAAATAGACCCATGGCTTAATGCCTCCGCCACATGGCAAATACTCAAATACATGACTCGGTTGGTGACATATTCTTTTCGGATATACCTCTCCAACACCTTTAAGACACTCGTAACAACGGGAGCCAAATAATTTTTCGTGTAATATTCAGCGAATTCTTTGTAAGAAGCTTCTACGTGGCCTTTAGAGCCATATCTTTCGAAAACCCGCTCGATAATCTTCAAAGCCCACTTCTTGCATTTCCACCAAATGGTCTCGTCACGGTCTTCATAATCGATTTGCTCGACTTCAGTAGGGATATCTCGTTCAACAATTTTAACAAAAAGAGCCAACCAGTGGCCAAACGACTCCGGGGTTAAGGCATCCGTACTCAGGGAAAACTAAAGCGAAAAAATTACTTCAACAAAATGAACCATACCTGGATAAAACAATAAAAGATCTTGAGCATTAACTTCTGCAACACATTTGCCTCCTGACTTTGATCATCAATTATAGCAGCAAATCGTGCATAAAAAACAGGTAACAATCGGGCCATCGTTTCCAAAAAAGGTTTCTTATCAACTTGTCTCTTGTACTCGAAGATCTTGGCTAGCCGATGGGTAATAAGCAGTCCGGTATACCAGGCGGCGCCTTCGTTAGAACTGAACAGCCTCAGTAGCTCATCGACAATTCCTGGCCAAACTTCAGGGAAATCATGACGAAGAATAAACTGCATGCAAACGCAGAGTTGAACCCTAAACAAAAGAAATAATTTTTTCATAAAAAAACTTACTTTAAAGCCTCAGGGGCACTAATTATTTTCGCTACAATAACCTGTCGAATAGCCACCTTGTCTTGCTCGGCAATTGGTAACTTCTTGCCAACCTCATCAGCATCCAAAACCCACAACTCCCGTATATGATTTTTGAGGAATATCCCTGAAGCCTGACGGACGGCCAGCTCAACAGTCTCATCACTAACAATATCCAACAGTAGGCTAGTAAATCCAATCATAGAACTATTCTGAAACAGTCATTTACTCTCATTTGACTTGTTAACCTAAAGTAAAAAATTATAAAACGAAAATAGTACCTGATTTAAAAATTCCGTTGCTTCTTTTTGTCCATTTGCGCTAGTGGTAGCCTTAAAAGCCTCAATAATAAGTTGTCGCTCCATTTTAAAGAGCCTTATAACCTAAAACAATCAAAATTAGGCCAAAAAAACACCCGTTTGACGCGTAAAAAGTATTGAAATTGGAGTTGAAAAGATCTCCCTTTGTTGTTAGAGACTGTTGCTCGGTGTGATAGCAACCGGCCTAAGCTCCTCTATAGGCGCCCCTAGGCTTACAGAAAAAAAGAATTTCACAGTGGTTTCAAGAAAGGAAAAAAAGTTTCCTTCGTTTTGTCTTCTTTTGAAGCCTGGCGGCAGCTCGCGGAGCGCTGAATGGTAACTTTACGAGATTTCTTTGTAACAATGGATTGAACACCGACCAGAGACTAAGAAAGAGCATTACTATACTGATATAATGGCGTAAAGATTTACAAAATTGGTCGGATTTAGAAATATGTTGTCTGTGGCCGAAAACAACCCGTATTTTAAAACTCGTGCAACAAGTTGTCAAATACGGGAATACGGTGATTTTAAAAAAAAATTGATGGCGTAGTTATAGAGTTCAGCTTTTGATGAAACCAACACCGCAAATTAGGGTTGTTGAGCGGGACTGCGGTAACTTTTTATATCATACTTCTGCTGATAAGGTACGATTCCTTCCTAAACAGGTTCTATCGTATAACTTGGTCCCGCAAATTGCGCGCGAATCATTCTTTTTATCCGAAAATTTTCTCAAAAGTGCATTTGAAACCGCTGTGATTTGCTGATTTTTTTGACTTGTTTTCGTTCTGGGACCGTCTCAATACCTTCATGTAACAACATGTTCAAAATATGTAATCGTGACACTAATAAGTACTATATAAACAAATAGACAATTTGTTTTCGTGTTTTTTTAAAGTTATGCAAGTTCCCTTCCATTTTTTAGTCTTTGAGACATCTATTTTCAAGCCTATCTCCAAAATGTAGAATTGTTGCACCATTCTTTTTTTCTTCATTTGTCTAATAGCAAGGCATAGCCTCAGCACCTTTATCGTTCGAAAATTATACTAAACATCATAGAATTTCAATCAGAGTTTAGCATCCTCCTGATGGATTCTTCCCGTTTCTTCCTTCGGTCGATTTGCCTATGCATCTCCTTAATGTGAGATCCTCTTGGTTTCTTCTCTACGAGTTTCACGGCAGCAGGATCAAGACTTTTGAAGTGGGTGACTTTCGAGGGAAGTTTTTCAACTCCCAATCCTTTTCTATCCCTTTTCAATATAGTCCTTATCGGATATTGTCTTCCTTCTCCTTCTTTTCCAAGCCCCGATTCCTCAGTCCAACCTTTCTTTTTGAGTAATCCATATCCAAAATTACTCATGGGAATATCGTAAGCAAATCCCTTATTCGGGCGTCGTTTCATGTTGACAATGTGAACAATCGACGTCTCATGCGCATCCTCAGAATAGGTGATCTCACAAAGTTCGCAATAATACTTCTCGTTTGACGATGAAGGCCCGGGATCTTGTTCTTTAGGGTTTCTGAAAAAAAATAGTCATCACGTGAGTATCACATATTTGTTTTATGTCATCAGTTCTCCAAAAGTAAAAACTTTTCAAATGGCTCCTTCGAAGTGCATCGATTTCCAAAGGCCATAAAGGGTCAGACCACCTTCAATTCTAATAATACGACTGATAAGAACATGTTCTTAAAGATCGATGGTGTCATCTATATTGAATCACCCGGTTTCCCTTACCTGTAACTGTCTATCATGTCTGCTATTTCCGGTTTCCGCTTCGTCCTGGCCAAGGATATCGAATCAAATTTCCCGCATTTATGACCAGCATTAGCCCCATTCTCCAATAACATCTCCACCATCTCTGCATGACCCTCGGCCGCAGCTATCATCAGCGCTGACCAGTTGTGGCAATCTTTACTGTTTGGATCAATTCCTTTGGCCAGATATTCGCTCACTTTTTGAATTTCATTGTCGTTTACAGCCTTCAGGAAGAGACGAATATCTCTATCAGAAAAGTTTAATTTTTCCTTATCAGTCGGCTTCTTCGTCACGTGTGTTCTTCGATGAATGCTTGTTTGATTTGAAGATTTACAGATTAGCGCTTGTTCAGGAGGCCTATCTAAAAATATTATAACGCACTCACATCACCTTATACCACACAAAGAGTAATTATAACCCCTCGATAAAATCCAAACCAGAAAAAGAAACCTACTTGAAGATGTCTCTTGAATTACACTCTCATAAAATGCCCGCACTTCGGTTCCATCCAAATTGGATTCATTCTTGTCCTCAATCGACTTCAGTTCTTCCTCATTAGCCTTCACAAAACTAATTCTTTTATGATTAGACTGTAAATGGGCGAACATTCCATCTATCCTTTTGGCTAGCCAGCCGGCTGGAAAAACTTTTTATTTCGATCGAGAAAAGATTTTGTGAAATATTTAATATGGTCCCGAAACGAATATTAGCATTATGGCATTCCGTTCAGGCTGTCAATAATTCTTCGAGAATTTCCAAATACTTGTCTGGCTATGGCCAAGTGAAAATTTTTTGACTTATTCACATATACTTCCTCCAGGGTTTCCCGGCCATATAATAGGCCATAGATGGATCCAGGAAGAAGTGCCATAGACAATATAGTAGATGGATTCAAAGATACCAAGGACTTTCAGCGATACGTAGTCAAACAATTAGCCGAACAGAAGGATCTCCTCAGTCGTAGTGTTCTTCAGGTGAGTCTTTTATGTCATTGACTTTATTCTGTTTTTAGGATAATGGTCGAAAAGAATCATTTGGAGGTCTTCGATTTGCTTTGGATAGTCAAAAAGGTAGTGGTAAGCGTTATGGATTTTGTTTGGGAAAATAGGGAAAGGGAATGAAGGATTAGGCAATGCAGAAGATGAGACATGTTTCTCTTTACTCAAAATCGGCAGATATATACAAATAAAGATTTTAGGTATAAAAAGTGGGGAGATTTAGGTCATTCTAATCGTAAAGGAACTTGGGGATCTATTTGCATCGTTATTTCGCGATCTTTTACTAGGGTTCATTAAATTCCTGAGTACATTACACTATAATTCGAGAACATTGAAAGTTGTAATTTTTAAAGACCACTAGCGACCATTTTCTGTTTTTTCCACTCCGAACTGTAATGGAATTTGGGAAATTTCACATTTTGAATGGTTCTTTGATCTGCGCGAGGCCGAATTAGGAGATGGACTAAATGATCCGCTCAAGTTCTCACAACTGACTTGGTGCTACAGTAATAGATAAGATAAGGTTCTTACTGCTCATGTGAAATGCGCCGCGACCGTTACACTCAAATGTTCCGACCGTGTTTTGGGGCGCCGCCCCTCCGAAGATAGTGTGCTCGCGAGAATGTTTTTTTTGTCGCTGTTTTTGACGACCGAGTATAAAAGTGGGCTTGAGGGACGTTTGGGAAACGTTGAAGACAGACTCTTTCCAGCCAACACCAAGATGACCTTACTGGATCTGGGTGTCAAGGTTCAGGATATTCTATCCCAACATGGGGTCGTGGCGAAGGATGGCCATAAATTAACCAAAGAATTGATGGATCTGGTTGAATATTGGAATGCTGGCAACAAGATGACTACTTTCTCTATTGATTGCAGTAAGTTTTGTTTTGGTTTCCTGTTCTTTATGAATATTATTTCTCCATTACGTAGGAGGTAGTTTGTTTTCTAATTATTTGTGTAGTTTTTCTGGTATTGTGATCATTTGTGACCGTGTTTATTACTCAATGTATTACTGTGATAGCGCAGAATTTTACTTATTACTGCTTTAAAGGTCTATTAATTAGAATTGAACTTTTATTGCAGGTTCAGAGGACTCGCGTGACTCCTTAGATGAACCAGATTATGTGGACGCGGGAACGCAGACCGAAGAACCAGAACCTCAACCTACAGTTTCTCCCGCGGACGAAGATGAAAAGTCTTCGGAAGTGTTGAAGAAACTCTTAAATGGAACGGAAAAACACAGAAATCTCGAGAAATTGGTCTCTCCTTCTAAAGCAGTCGAACTCAGAAGAAAATACGTCGAACATGCCAGTAATGTTAACCTAGATAACCTTCCACACGGCAATTACAATTACGATCAGGTAAGATTTGGGGCATCAAATTCTTGGAGTGTTTTTCAGGACGCTTTTGTAATTTAATTGCTGTGGTTTATCATTAAGTTTCCAGGTCTTAAATGCTTGTTGCGAAAATGTAATTGGCTTTATGCCAATTCCTTGCGGAGCTGTGGGTCCCCTTCTATTGAATGGAGAACATATTTACGTCCCGATGGCCACAACAGAAGGTGCTCTTCTGGCCAGTACCAACCGAGGATGTAGTGCGTTGGCATCTGGAGTGACTGCGTTCGTCGAAAAAGACAGCATGACAAGGGCTCCCGTCATCCAATTCGAGAGAGTCGAGCAGGCCTTGTAAGTTTTAAAATTCTTGATGCGTGGTATCTCTTGACTTCCTCAAAACAATCAGCACTTTTTCAGCAAGTTCAAGGAATGGATTCTCGCCCCCCAGAATTATCAGATGATCAAGGAAGCCTTCCAATCGACCAGTCGGTTTGCTCGTTTGACTGAATTAAGTGTGGATCTACAAGGAAATTATGTTCATCTCCGATTTGCTGCTCAAACTGGTGATGCCATGGGAATGAACATGATCAGTAAAGCTGTGGAAGCGGCCATGAATACGATCGACAGAAATGTCCACAAGTTTAAATACATTTCCATTTCTGGAAATCAATGCGCCGACAAGAAAGCGGCTGCAATTAATTGGATAAAGGGAAGAGGGAAAACCGTGCATGCTGAGGCTAAACTCACAGCCAAAACAGTGAAAGATGTTTTGAAGACATCAGTGGATGAGATGGTTGACCTGGCCAAGGCAAAGCTATTGGTCGGAAGTTCGTCTGGAATTACTATTGGCGGATGGAATGCCCATGCTGCCAATGTTGTCGCCGCAATCTTTTTGGCCACCGGGCAAGACGCGGCGCAAGTTGTGAGCTCCTCAATGTGTATCACCATGATGGAGAAGACTTCTGAAGGTGATCTTCATATCTCGTGCTCAATGAAATGTGTGGAGGTTGGCACTGTGGGAGGAGGAACGATCCTTGAAGCCCAAAGGAATGCGTTAAGCGTAAGTTTTGTAAATATCTTTTTTGATTTTTGATGATATAGTTGTAATCATTAATGTTTTAGATGTTGAAATGTGCGGGGGCTCACCCAACCAAACCAGGAGCCAATGCCCAACGACTAGCCAAGATTATTTGTGCCACTGTCTTAGCTGGCGAGCTGTCTCTGTTGGCCAGTCAATGCTCCAAAGATCTGGTCAAGACCCATCTCAAATTCAACCGATCAACTGCCAGTCTTCCTCGCATCGTGGAGGAAAATCAGATCACGAGGATACCTGATGTGAAACCCCTTGAACGGGCATATAAGTCGATCGCCCCGGTTAATTGCTCGAGCACATTCTGAGCTGCTCTCTTGACCACTTTGGGCGAGTTTAGCAATCCTTTCTAGTCTATCAATAGCTTATTTTAACTATTCTGTCTTTTGTAATTACTGTCCTTTCTTGTTATTTCGAGTACTGTATTATCTACTATCAGGTTTTACTGGTGCTGCAATTTCCATTTCAGATGTCGGGTGTCTTGAGTATGCCCGGTTTCTGTTTTTCTGTTAATAGGGTTCTATCATTTCATTTCTCTGCCATTTATTATAGGTCTATCGTATCTTTCGCGGTCCGGATTCCAGTACCGGTTACTGTTTTCCAACCTAATCCAAGTGCCTTTTGATTCGTTCCATATCTGAGATCGATCATTATCTCTTCAAATAAGTCCCTTTTCTTACAAAATCGTCGCTCACATGGCATTTCGGGAATTGTAAGCGTTTGTGTTTCGTCTCGAGTTTCTCTTTGAACCCAGCCAACCAAAAACGTATGTTCAGACATAATTACTTTTGTTAATTATCTATGATGGTTTGTTATCAATAAAGTAAAAAAATCTTTTATCGCACAGTTTTTGTTTAATGCGTACGTAGTGGAGAGCAGGTGCGTAATGATAACGATTGAAAAGTTGAATTGGGATGTAGTTGTCTGTAGAGGAGAGGGATACTGTGTGCAGAAAAGTTTGATGTTTGATTACAGTCCTTTTAAGGGATTCCTGGAACTCCCGCTTTGAACCTTAATTAGTACTCATCCAGTAAAAAGTAGGGAGTTTTGAGGGGTCAGAACGAAAGGAAAATGTTTCATTCCATCAAATGAAACATCGGGGAAATACCACGAATCAAAAAACGAAGTTCATTTACGACGCACTGATCGACTTTTGTGTGTTGTGACATGACCTCTATCCAGAATCAACGGGCGACTCCTTATTTTCTATTCTTTGGCGGTATAAAAGCCGAGCTGTATGAATGAAACATTTTGAACCCTTCCTGACATCATAACCGTGTGATTTTTCCGGGGCTATCTTCATTTTTTGCATTCCTCCGACACTTAAATACAGTAACAGTCTTTATCAGATGAACGCCACTTCCAATTAGTCTCGCGCCCTACTCATTGGATCACCCAAAGAGTATCTTTCTGTTTTGTAAAGTCTAAAGAACCGAATTGACTGTAAGACTGGCAACAAAATGCATTATTAAAATATTTATTATGAAAGCATCAAAAAACATTTCAACGTGACCTCGGAGCGGAGTGACGTCATAATACGGTAGGGATGCTCTGAGACTCACTGATATTGCCATTTACCCCATCAATAAAAAAATTGTAGGCGTCGATTAAGAATAGTTAAGGACGATAAGTGTGCCTGAGGGGAGGGAGTTTCCTCGAGGGCACAGAGACCTCTTCATTGACGGGAGTCACTTCTTCTTCGCTGATTGCGTTGAGGTTGGGGTTGTATTCGGGAGGTTTGGCTTCTCGATTTACAATTGCATTCTCCAGTTGGGCCCTATCCGATAAGGAGATTGTTGGCGGGCCAAAAGTTCGAGTTATCGTAACACTGTATCCACTTTCCGCTGACTTTTTCAAGAATTCAATGCATCGAATTTGGACTGCCTAAACATGTATTAGCTAAATTAAAATTATCTTAATTTACTCACAATCAAAGCTGTAACCCAAAAAAGGCCCAGGACCGTAACCATCATCAGAAATCCATTCAGCGATGAATCATCTTCGTAAGAAACGACGGAAACAATCAGTAAAGTCAACAAAAACACTAATAACAATGTGCACATTAACCTGGAACGAGCCACTCTTGAAGTACAAATTCCGTTTTTCTAGACATTACAAAACATTCCTCACCGAAAAATAAGATGAGGTAAAACGAATTTCCATTTGATATTTTTGCATCCATAAAAGGCAAGATTAATGGAAATGAGCTGAAGCAAGGCCCAGGCAAACCACAACCCGTTAATCTTGCATCCAATCACCTGCAGCGCTTCCATATCGCTGAAAAATCAGAGTACATTAACAAGATCGTTTTGTGTCCAAACAGCAATGCTATCATAAATATACCGTATCAATCCCGATTACGTAATCAATCAGTCCTTTAGACAACAAACTGCACGGAAAGCACTTACAAGAGACTGTTGATAGTAATGTTATCGATTGTGAAGTTGATGGTGTAATTGTCCATCATTTTTCCCAAGGCCTCTTCGGTCCCTAAATTACATGCTCGAGAGCTGAGGTCGGGTAATATGGCGATGAGCATGAAGCAGATGAAGAAGATCTCGATGATACAGAAGGTAATGGTGAAGGTCTTCACTCGACAACAACATAATCGATACCGGGGGGCATTCGGATTGAAGGAATGACGCTGGGACGAGGACCGCGGATTGGAGGTTTGAGTTGGGGTCGCCTGCAAATACGATGGCTTTTAAAATTCAAGGTTTAAATTATGTCATCATACATATAAACTAAAACAAGGCGAATTAAAAAAACAGCTGTTTTTAGAGACTTTTAATCCAATTCTACAATTTACAATTACAATATAATTTTTTGCAATGATAACTCAAACCAATTCGGTAAACAGAAACATTTGACGGAATCTGGCCTCTCATGATGTAACATTATTCAAAAACAAGGGTCAATGCAACACTTTTTTGATGTTGTTGTTTAAGAAAAGCCAGTTCCTCTGATCTACTATTTCCACGATTATGCCGTTTTATAGAGTATGATCTCATTAACTCTGGACAATTTTAAAACGCATTCGCATAACAAAAAGACCAACTTTTTTTCTAAACGGCACGTTTTGCACTTCAAAGTAATTTGTATCTTACAGAAGTGTGCCAATATTACACCAAGAAAGTAAAAAATTTGAGAAAAAAGTCTGTCAAGTTCCCAATACAATATAAAAAAATAACGGATTAAAGGTCAAATTACAGTACGATGAATGACGACTTACCACGATGTCAGCAGTTGATTAAACACTTTTAAAAAGTAGAGGAACTTGTGAAAATTACGGTAAGACAACAAAATCAAGCCAGATTGATGATAAATGATGAAAAATACGGGTAGCAATGTGACCAAAAATACAGTAAATAATCCCACACAAGAATAAAAAGTATTTACCAGAGATGTAAGACGAAGCCAATGTTGTCGTAGTTGGCTTTCATAATACCAGTCCTTTTTTGAAAACTTACTTGTTAGGTAGTCAAGGAAACGGCCGCCGCTCACACCAATTAATTATATGGCCCTTCTTGTCCTAATCAGTCTCCAATTAGTCCGTTTTACCGGGTTTTCGAGATTGCGCTCTAGATTTTGAGGTAATCATGAGCTCATGTAATCAAAAGCAATCATTTACAGCTACCGCCTTCTCGTACTTTTCTGTGTAAAAAATCCTTTGGAATACACACCAGAAATTACAAAAATATTTTGTAGCAAGTTGAAAAGTGGATCTAATTTTTTTTTTGCTTTTCTACAATTTTGCGTCTGCCGCAGAAATTGATGACTTTTTTGTTCGAAGAGCTTAAGACGTCGTGAATTGGGGCAGATAAACTGATTAGAGTACTCGTAGCGACATCTTGAATTTCAGTCAGTCGAAATACCATACACTTTCCACATGTTCCTGACGGCATAATAATTTTTTATAACACATGCGTTCTTGTCAATTTTTGATCTGAAAAAGGATCACCAGAGATGACCTAATGACCCCACAAATAATCACGTTTACCTTAACATTAAAGCGTGATATTTGCGACAATAAAGAAGTTCTCATTAACAAATGGATTGGCCTTTCAATCCGCTTTGTCGACCATTTCTGAATTAGGATTGCCTCCATTGTAATTAAACCCTCTCAGATAATCTGTATTTTTACGATAACTTCCTTCCGGGGCTATGAATTTAATTAAAATAAAGTAAATTCGATATGATTTTGAGGTGGAACAGGAATACGATAATATTGGATACGGTACAGAACCTGCCTGTTGTTGAGTGCATATCATCCCCGGGGGAGTTTTCCCGGCCGAAGCACGTATATTCATGTAAACAGATAGATAAGCGCGAGAAGAACATGCTCTCTCCAGAACAACACGGTACTTCTTATGTTCGGATTATCTTTTCGTTTATTTGGTGTGGCCGATGAACAGCCGAACGTGTTCAAGGCGGGCTAATCTTTTCTCTCTGTGCGCACTCTTCATTGTGCCTTTTTCGGAGCGGATTAACACGTTTCAAATCAACATCATGGACGTCAGCACTACCTAGTATATGAATAATATTTGATGTCAAGGGATCTCTAAACCCAAGCGGCTTATCTGCAACAGGACCGCCCTCGGGACAAATCGGATAAAAGGAGATTTGAGGAGACTGGGATTCATTATTGGGATCGAGACGAACGAGACGAAGGGTCCGCGATATTACTATACCTTGGAGATTGTCATCATCCGACATATTTGCTCTCAATACTAAGTAATTATACTGCTCAAAATGGCAAAAGTATACGGTACGAAGTCGGTGGAAGAAGCGCTGAAACACTTGGCCAAGGTGGCCGAATCCAATCCTAATGATCCTTTTGCCTGGCAAGCGATCGGCCTACAGTTCCATGCAATCAGATGCTATCAAGATGCCCTTACTTACTTCCTAAAGGCAGAGCAAATCAAGGTGAGCAAATTTCGTATATAATTCTGCGAATACCACCTACAATCCTAGCATTTCTGCTTCTTTATTATGTTTAACATTGATGGTAAAGCTCATAATCCCTTTATTAATCACTTTACAATTAACCCCGTTTCTTTGCAGGCTAATATCTCGGCATCTAATTTGTACTATATCGGGGACTGTCTCCGTCGGATTGGCGCTGTGGATGAAGCCCATATCTACTTCAAAAGAGCCTTAACAATCCCTGTGAGAAATCGAGTAGATCAGAAAGGATATGCCGCGGCAAAGAAATATCTACTCAGTCATGGCCACAACGAATCTGATATCCTTGTCAGACCGAGAAGAAAAACGTCTTCGGCCATTTAAATGTGTATTAAACAATCGGCGGGTCCCTCACTATGTACATTACCATTCAATACCTATGCGTGGTACTACAAACATATGAATCTTGTAAATATCTTTCTTTATTTAGCATTCAATTAATAAAGAACAGGCTGAGAATCGTAGGATACCAACAGAAAAAAAGAAACAATCAACGTAAGACTCGAATTAAGTCTTGATCTGTTTGGTCTTGAGTTCAGTGATGGTCTTCCTGACTTCCTCCATCTGTTTCTGACTTCTCTTGATATTATCTTCAACTGTTTCACTGCAAAAATTCCTAATCATAACTGGGAAAACAGACAATGTTCGTTAGTTTTAACAAATTAACCCACATTCCCTTCTTTATGTGTGTAATACGATGGTCGACATTCTGTTTGACTTCGTCAGAATCCTGTTTTAACAACGTTGGTCCTACTAGTTTGAAGACAGTCTCACCTTCCTTCAACAATTTTAACTCCTAAAGAAGAACAATGACAATCGAAGATCACTTACGTCTTCAACCATTTTGTTCTCAGTTAACTGAGTCTCAAGAACTGTCCTCTGCTTGTGCAATGCCCCTAGTTCTTTCTCCAGTTGCGCACTCTTGGCTGCTGCAGCAGCCAACTCTTTTTCAATCTTCGGTAAAGCAGCCATACCTAAAACTACATTAACCGCAAAAAAGTTCCGAAGGTATATTAACGTCAACAACGTAAAGCGTTCAATTCGAAAGTGAGAAACTGAGGTTTACTGACATTGAGATCGACAGAACACATTTTTTACTAAGTACATGATATGAAATCAAATTGCCACAATGTTTTACTTCCTTCTTTTCTCAGCACCAGGATTAATTGGAGATTTCTTAGGTGAGCGTTCGCGTAACTCAAGATCCCAATATCTCGGAGGGGTTTTTGGATAATGAAACACCGCTCGATGTTTTCCAACTTGTTGAATTCTCTTCAGGGTCTCTTTCTCGGATAATCCAAGAGAATCAAAGTAAGGACGACAACAAGAACAGTCATCTTTGGCATGCATTCGACATCTGTTATCCCTGTCCCTGGCTTTTGGATCAATCACAGGATTCAACATCTTCGTCGTCGTCTCCTTCACTTTATTTGTAAAACTGGGTGATCTTAATCTCGCTTGAATTTCTTCCCAAGAAAGGGCCTTTGTCTTTGATGGTCGCGGTGGAGTACGTAGAATTGGAGATTCTGTCTTCAACCTCTTTGCCTAGAATTTGGAGAACCAATCAAACAATAACTTACCACAATCTCTTTCACGTCTTCGTTCTCCTTCTCTTCGATCTTTTCATAGCGCTTCGTTGGGACCGTTTCTGCCATAATTAAATAATAGAAAAAAGCTTCACAACCAAATAAATACTAACTACTCTACAAACATCGGCCAAAATAGTCCGACAGAAAAATGTAAAAACTTTTCTTTCCCAAAATTAGGGTCATCTGTCTCGCGAAACACTTGACGCATTTTTCTTTAGTGGACAAATACTTCTCACCAGCGCTTGAAAGTCGGCTTTCATGGACTTAGAGTAAAAATAGTTTACAACGAACAAAAAATTAGCTACACAATTTGTTTTGGGGCTTAGCTGCGACCCGTTTTAAAAAGGGTCATATGGGGCCGAAGCACCGATTTGCTACGTTACAGTAACCTCGGCGGCTGGGAATCGTCCCGATTGATTTCCTAGTACCCAAAAATGTTTTATGATTTTGTCAATTCTCGGTTCAGATTTAGTAAAACTGAGTTAATGGGTAAACGGAGTCCCATTAACTCAGTTTTAAGCTTTAGGAATACACTTATGTAAATGATGGTTGTGGTCATCCACAAACGAAATCTCAAAATCGTTCTTTCATAATTATGACATGGATTTCAAAAGAAAGATGGTGTCAAAATATTTGTTGATCCTTTGTTAGAGTCTCATCCGTGAAGGTCTGAGGAACGGAGTCCAAATGAACACGAATATCGTTTTTATGGTATTTAAGATCGGCATAATGAGATCAGCGATTTTTTGAAAGTATTTAGTTGTCCTTTATGAAAACTTTAAAATAATATTACAATGACCTTGAAACAATGGTTTTGATCAACTGCAAATGCTAATTACTGTGTGTTTTCGCATATAAAACCAAAAAGGCGATGACTTAGCAGCGCTTAACGTCGAGGAAAGAGGTTCATTGTTTAGGATGTTAATACTTCTGCTTTTTTGTGGACTTGGCAGTGTTCTTTCCAATTATACAGTAGGATGAAAGGATTACTTTAACGGTTGTCAAATCTTTTGCAGCCGGATTGGAAATCCTTGGATTCCCGACCATTACCATCTTGGTATGACGATTCCAAGCTAGGGATATTTGTTCATTGGGGAGTCTTCTCGGTCCCAGCTTTCAAGAGTGAATGGATTTGGTGGTTTTGGAAGCAGGGCTACAGTGATGTGGTCAATTTTATGAACAAAAACTTCCCTGGCCAAAGCTACGCTGATTTGGGATCAAAAGTGGGACAAAATGGATCTTATTTGACTATTTTGTTTAGTTTACAGCCGCTGATTTCAACGCAGATTCGTTTCTGAGCATCGTCAAATCGTCAGGAGCCAAGTAAACTGAAATTCCAGATGAAAAACCTTTTAGGTACATCGTGGTGACCACCAAACATCACGAGGGATATACTCTCTGGCCATCAGAAACCTCCTTTAATTGGAATTCTGTGGATCTTGGGCCCCACCGTGATCTGGTTCGGGAATTTAGGGATTCCACTCTGAAACAAGGTCTTCATTTTGGCACTTACTTCTCGCAATTCGACTGGTTCCACCCATTATATTTAAAGGACAATGCCAACAAAACAAGGGAATACCCAGAGAAAGTGTCTTTAGTCCAGATGAGAGAGCTGATCAATAATTATAAACCTGAGGTCCTCTGGAGTGATGGCGATTGGGAAAAAAGTGATGATTACTGGGGCGCTAAGGAATTTCTGGCATGGGTGTTTAATGATAGGTCGGTTGATCAGAAAGAAAGTTCCAGCGGAAGAGTCCGTATAACGAACTTTTATACAGCAAAACCTCTGTATAGCGAACAACTTCAAAGTTCACAATCATTGCCAAAACAGTACAACGAAACCCTTCTATAACGAGGAATTGTTTGGTTCCTTGCGAGTCGTTGTACAGAGCTCTGGCTTTGTGTTTACAAGGTCATACAAATGGGATATTTTATAAAATTTGGCCCAAATGATGTAATTTTAGTCCAGTCAAAGAGAGTATTGTCGTAAACGATCGATGGGGAAAGGGGATTCCCTACAATCACGGAAGTTTTATTACTGGGAACGATGGTTACATGCCGGGGAAACTGCTGACAAAAAAATGGGAATGCTGCAGTTCTCTAATTCGGGGAAGTTTTGGATACCGGAGGAATCTGAGGGTAAGGTCTGATGTATATATATATATATATGACGCAAGCGTTGCAGAGTGGTGATGTCGAAACATCAAAAGAAACGATTGATAAATTTGTAAAGATCTTGGCCTGGGGAGGGAATCTTCTTCTGAATATTGGCCCTGATCAGTATGGGAATATCCCGGCAATCCTGGAAGAGCGACTGCAGGAGGTCGGAGCCTTTGTAAATGCCAACAGCGAGGCCATCTACGGATCTAAGCCATGGATTTATCAGAATGACACTGAAAAGATTTGGTATCGGTCGCTTTAATTTTCAATTTTATTAATTCCAGGTACACTAGTAAACTTACGACTAAAGTTAAAGGGTTTGATCATTTCAACCCTCAGATTGAAGGAAATACAATCATATATGCATTTTTATTGGATTGGGATAAAGAGGTTCAATTGAAATCTGTGAAATCTGCACAAAATGTAAGCACAAGTTTGATGATAAAAGATTTAATAGATAAAAGTGACCTTACTTGGAACTGGCATCGCTCTCAATAGCACTGTAAAAGAAGGAGTTCTTACGGTGACTTTACCGCCAGAAAAGAAGTTTCCACATCGAGATGCCATTGTCCTGAAGATTGAAAATGCTGCCAATGATGCGGTAATTGCAAAAAAAATTATTTTTATTTCACTTTCAGTTCCATCCTCAACTAATGGACTAATTGAAATTTGGAATGAAATTAATATCGAGATCAATACGTTTAAACGCCAATGTTTTTTAAAATCGGTATTAAAGTACGCACTTCTGGAAGCCTAGCAATACACTTGGCCACCTGCAAATTAATTCCCGTCGGGACCCAAAAAGGGATTTGAATTTATTTGTATACGGTAGAAAAAATATTTTTTTTGCGGCTGGAGCCGAGAATTTTATTTGTTCGTTCATGGAATCAACGGTTTTGGAGCCTTGGCGTGGTTTTGAGTACGTTTTATGTATAATAGATAAATCATTTGTGGTGCGTGTATATTTAGCTGTATTTTAGATTTTTTTTCAATGAAAACGGGTGTTTTAGGTATGAATTTTTGGAGAGAAACGTGAAGACGAGGTCATCTACGGGTCCACGTGCGTTGATGAGTACGATTTCCAGCAACTCAAGGAGTTCGATATAAAGTAAATGCTCTTCGTCGCCCGCGGAAGTCTTGAACTCCATGAATTCGAATAGGAAAAGAAGAAAATCAAGATTCATGGAGATAATCATGAGAAGGATAAGACTTTTGCTGACTCGTTAAACAGGGATAGATACATGGCTTCCAAGAAGAGTTTGGAGATCAACCCTGACCACCTTATCATGAAGTAAGTTAAATTTTTTTTACATTTATTACTCGGTTTTAGGGATCTATGCGAACGTGTCAAAATTGGCGAGATCCCCTGCGATCTCGATGTCCTCATCTTCGAGACGGACTCCGCGCTTTTTCGTAGAAGGGCCCGCCACTTACTCCAACAGAACTCACGCATGATCAAGCATGGTCTGGGCCTTGATGAAGCCGATGCCGTCAGTCCACATCCGCCCCAGTGGAGACTTATATAATGTGTTGAATAATAATAACAACAATAAATAAATAAGATAAGAATTCTGAAGATTAATAAATTTATGTTATAAACCTCTGAAAAAGTAAAGAGGAAATGTTGGAGGGAAGAAGGTTTCTTGCTAATCACAGATAATCGGGAGACAAGGAGTCGAAGCGGCTGTAGTAGGCGTTGTGGTAGTCGTTTTTGTGGCATTGATTGACGTGGGTGTCGTCCACAAACCTAAAAATTCAAGGAAAATAAATGAATAATATTGGAATTTTACCAACAAACGGTTCTTCAGTCGAAATGGTAATTTACACATATAGAAGACGGTATAAGAGAGCTTGTTAATGTTTTTTTACAGCTTCTTCAGACGATAATACAAATTTTGAAAGAAATCACAAAAACCAGCTATTAAACCACATTCTCCAACCGTCCCTGAGCTCGCCGTCTAGAAACAAGCGAAAATAAACATAAAATAACTTACTGAGATCAATCCATCGCGATATCAAACAATAAAATTCTCGGCTCCAGCCGCAAAAAAAATATTTTTTCTACCGTATACAAATAAATTCAAATCCCTTTTTGGGTCCCGACGGGAATTAATTTGCAGGTGGCCAAGTGTATTGCTAGGCTTCCAGAAGTGCGTACTTTAAAAATAGAGTTCAGTGGTCAAGACCCCGATTTGATTTGTGATAAAAGGCCACTTCCCCTGCTTATCAGCTGCTGTCTTAAGAGCAATAAATACATTTTAATGTTAAAATCTTAGATTTTCAATGAATTCATTTATAATTTGGCCATGCATTCTTGGACTTTCTCTGGCTTATACTGTATGTTTTACAGCACAAGTAAAGATCATTTGTTTCTAATTTAGCCTGATTGGGATTCCTTGGATTCCCGTCCATTACCTGCATGGTATGATGCTGACAAGTTTGGAATCTTCTGTCATTGGGGTGTGTTCTCAGTCCCTGCATACAAAAGTGAATGGATTTGGTCGTATTGGCATGATAATAATACCGATGTCGTCAATTATATGAATAAAAACTTCCCCGGACTCAGTTATGCTGATCTAGGAGCTAAAGTAATACCAAATTAATCTATGGATTTTAGTTTCTTTAGTTTACTGCTGCTGATTTTAACGCCGAGACTTTTGCCAGTATCATCAAATCTTCTGGGGCCAAGTAGGATTATATTTGAGGGTAAAAACTTTTTTTAGATACTTTGTTATTACCACCAAACATCATGAAGGATACACCCTCTGGCCATCTTCAACTTCATTTAACTGGAATTCCGTAGATCTCGGATCTCATCGTGATCTGGTTGGAGAATTGAAAGAGGCCATAGTCAAGGAGGACATCCATTTTGGAACCTATTTCTCCCAATTTGATTGGTTCCATCCATTGTATTTGAATGACAAAAATGAAGCTACCAGAAAGTACCCAGATCAAGTCTCTTTGGTCCAGATGAAAGAGCTCATCAATAATTACAAACCTGATGTTCTGTGGAGTGATGGCGATTGGGAACGAGGAGACTTCTACTGGAGTTCAAAGGAATTCTTGGCTTGGCTTTTCACTGACAGGTAAACCCTTAATTATAATGGTCGGGCTAAGAGGCCACTTTATTTTCAGACTTGTTCGATTTTAGCCAAGCTTTGAAATATTCGTTTTCTATAATATAAGGCGCGTGCGTTCTACTTTTCTTCGGACTTCCTCGCAGAAAACCCGCATTTCTTGTCTGTGGGCCCACTAGACAAGAAATGCGCAATTCTTGGCTGAGCAGAGAAAAAAAGAAAAAAATCTTCACGGGGAGAGAGCAGAAAATTGCGCAATATTGCGCAATGTTACGCAATTTTAGACAAGAATTGCGCGTTTCTTGTCTAGCGGGCCCACAGACAAGAAATGCGGGTTTTCTGCGAGGAAGTCCGCAGAGAAGTAGAACGCACGCGCCTTATATGAACGCAAAAAATGGAAAATTTTCACTTGGCGTACTGTAGTTCACGTCCATTTTCAGTATCTTTTTAAGTACGCGTCTCATAGACAGGTGGTCTTCACCACAATCTTTGTCGTATTAAAGAACCGGCTTACAAACAGGTTCCAACAACTTTTCCGGAGGATGCAATCGCATTTTGCAACATGGCTGATATTTCGTTTCTTTTCAGCCCGGTGAAGGACACAATTGTAGTGAATGATCGCTGGGGGATCGGAGTCCCTCAACATCATGGAAGTTTTATATCTGGACCGGATAAATTTATGCCAGGGCATTTGATCAAGAAGAAATGGGAGAGTTGTACCACTTTGGACAGAGAGAGTTGGGGTTACAGAAGGAATATGAGGGTATGCTTGAACTCTTTATAAGATGATTGAAGTTAATTTAGAGTTCGGATGTGCTGACGACCAAAGAAGTGATCACTTTATTGACTCAAGTCCTTGCTTGGGGAGGGAATCTTCTTCTGAATATTGGCCCTGATCATCTTGGAAATATTTCCCCAATATTTGAGGATCGCCTCAGGGATATTGGGAGGTTTGTGAATGCCAATAGTGAAGCCATCTTTGAGACCAAACCTTGGATTTATCAGAATGAATCGGAAACTATTTGGTAATACTAAGACATTAATTTTATATTTTTTCCTAGGTACACCAGTAAAGCGAACGACCTTCTCTCCGGAAACGATTACTTTAATCCTCAGATCGAAGCAGTTACAACTGTTTATGCATTCCTCTTGGACTGGGATGACACTGTTCAGTTGAAATTAATAAAACCCACTGATAATGTAAGGGATCATTCAACAAGGTACACTTTCAGATAAAAGTAACTCTGCTGGGAACTAGTATTACACTGAAAACGACTGTGAAAGGAGGGGTGTTTACTGTATTCTTGCCGTCAGAAAAGAAGTTCCCGCATAAAGATGCAATTGTGTTGAAGATTGAGAACGCAAAAACAGATAAAGTAAGAGGATTTAAATTAAATTAAAATTAGTTTTAGTACCTTCCGAATGTTCATGACCACTTTTAAGGCCAAAGAATCCCTTTTGCCATTAAACAGCCAGCCATGTATTTAGAATATCGAATAAACTCACCCAATATTCCCTCTTGTTTTATCCGAGATCACCAGTTTCCGCCAACTTTCTCATCACTCATATCGAATATTTATTCCTGGTTTGTGACGTTCAAAGAGAACTCAAAGAGTCAGGAAGAAAGGCGACATTTGTTATAGCGAATTAAAGGCATATAGTAATCCGAAATAGCACTTTTAAGGTTGCTTTATGTCCATCCGTCAACTCAAAAGATCAGTCAAAAAAAATTTTTTTTATTGGCTGCACTTTCTGTAACCCGATACCCGAGCCGATGTCATGGTTTGTGATTACGTATGAGAGGTGGCTGCAGAACGAGCCTATAAGTGAGAACATTGCCTCAGGGCTCCTGGCATTATTCGCGGATCAAAGCCGAAACAGCTGGTCAGTGGTATTTGTAAATTGGTTTTGAGGCCGGTCCTTGGCTGACCTCGGGCCCAAACTTATTCGGATATCAACTCCAATATTGTCGAGAGCTGTTTTCGAGCGGTGAATTCGGAAAAAAAAGTTTAAATTTTTTTGTCGACCAGTTGGCCCGAGGTGAGAGATTCGGGGGTTTTGTTTAACCGTTCAGGCCTCTTATTATATGTCAGAGAGACGCTCTTCAAACCAGCCGGAAGAATAAAAGATACCTTTCAAGTGGACGGTGATTGCGGGGACCCACTACTTGCCTCAGGGTCCAAGTCATGGAACGTGGTCGCAGTACCGATTTGAAGATTTTCTCGGCAAAGTAAGTCATCAAACCTTGTGAAAATCGACATTTGATATATTTAGAAACCTTTTTTGTGGATATTGGATTAGTCAGCCCATTTAAGAACCATTTTTTTGTTTTCTCATCCAAAAAGATTAACAGTGATATCCGATACCACTTTCCCTTTGTTTACCCTGCTAATTGATACTCATTATCATTAATCTTTTTGTTTTTAGACAGGAAAGTGAAAAGCCAGAGACCTTACCCAAGCCTAAAGTTCAATCGAAATCCAGGGATAGATCGCCAACAAAGTTATTGAAACGACTTCTGAAGCCATTATCACCAGAAAGAAAAGCAGAAAAGGCAAATAAAGATGACAAATCAAAAGAAAAATCGCCACAAAAGGAAACAAAAGAGCAGTAAGTGGCTACTGAAAAAGTTTTTGATTTTTTTTTGATAGTTTGATGTTATATAGTACTTTCTTTGCTCGCTTTTTACGAAACATCTCGCCTTTTTTTCTCCGGTTTTATGACTATTTGATTATCCTTCTTCTCTGAGGAGTCTTGAGTAATTAAAACGAGCTTCGGGTTAACAATAAACACATTCCGAGTGCGTTTATAAGTAGAGCAGCGCGGCTCTTTACAAGTAAGTTTTTTTGTATTCCCATAAATCGGCTTAGCGCCTCTGTAAAGTCGTATACGCAATAAAATTTTGTGAATGAAAAGAGTTTGGGCTGGGAGAAGTGGGATTTTTGGGAAAAATTATTTTTACGCTCATTACGGCGCAACTCAAAGGACGTTTATGTTGCTTTAGCTGTCGAGATCTGTTATCTTCGTCATTATTTTGCTTACTTTACCTTCCGGTGCCATCTATTGTCACCTTTTTTGTCATCCTTTGTCAATCCAATCCGTCTTGACAAAGCTCACACCGTCCATAGAATCTCCCTTTTTTCACCAAATTTATTGAACCCTCAGGCTATAGTGTCTCACAAGTCCGGGCCCTTTGTGCGTCCCTCTCTTGGCCTTATCAAATATCATTTATTTGATTAAGCCGTCGCTTTGATTGAGTCCAGATGTTGTGCGGTCATTCCGAACATGATCTCTCTTCTCGGAAATAAAAGTTTCGCACCTGCGAAGACATGCCCGAGGTCTGGGCGGTGGTCGCGAACTTGGTGGGCCTTGTCTTCACGACTCTACTCGGTCTGCTTTCTTTTTTGGTTATGTGAGTCTTACTTTGAATGGGCTCTTGTGGACGTTGAATGGAGATGACTGTTTCAGGCCCATTCTTGTCGAGGATACTGTTCAAGAGGCCAAGTCAGAGAAGGAGTCCCACAAAAGTGACAGCGAAACGAACTGCTCGCAGGACTTGGTGATCAAGAAAGGGGCTTTGCTGGAGAGGATTTCTGTCACAGTTATGGAAAGGTAAGTTTTCATCGGAAATGGGTTCATTTGAATTTTTACGAATCCTTTCCGAATCCGGGTGCAGATCTCAAAAAATGAAAATATTTTTGTTTATCCTCCGCCGTTCGCATAGATAGATGTCACTATTTTCTGCGCATCTTTCCTTGCCTTCGATCGGGTTTGAATTCGATATTTAACGAGTTTGTTTCCGGTCATTGGAGATGTTTTGTCGCGTTTAAGGGTTTCCAGTTTTATCGCATCACCTGGCTACAGCAGCCTTTTCTTTTCTTCAAGACTTCTTTAGCGATTCAGAAGCCGGCAGAGAGCCTAAGGCGAATTAAGCATGGAACGGGATTGATTGCGTTGCAACCACTTCAAAATTAAACTCTTTTTGTATTCGGAAAGAAATGAATTGACGGCATTTTTGGAGTCGCCCTCTCCCTGTTCTCAGCTATTTGCGCTTCAGCTCAGCGACGTTTCACTTATCAAAGAAATTGCGGGGAAGCCTGCAAGTGGAACGATCTCGGAGACATCTTCTCCTTTAGGGAGTCTTTTGAATAACAGACTCGGTTAATTGAAGTCTCGACCTTATATTATATTAGACACATTAGTCGTTAAAGCTGCTGCTAATTAGTGTGTAATGGAACGAAGACCGATTGGGGCATCAAGAACCTCACTTCATAGATATCGGAGTCTACTGTAGGTTGATTTTTTCCGAACAGATACCAAATTAGTCTTTAGTCATCGTTATGCAACTATGACAACATTATGGCCCATAAACAAACATTTGTAATTAATTTATGTGTCTTTAGCGATGTCGATCGGAGTCCGGCATTGAAGGCAAACGAGTTTTTGTTCGTGGGCAATCGTCCGTTGATGAAGACTCACGCAACTTTCACGTTAGATCGACCAAGAAAACTCGCCCTCACAACGGTCAAGGTAATTCGATCTATTTCTATTGCCTATCCGGGTTAAATGTCCAGTTTGTTTTCTTTGACTTGTTGGGGGTAAGAGGTTACATATTGAGTATATTTGTTCTACCATCAAATTTAATTTCAGCCCAAAAGCCCGGGCCTAGTCCTGGCTTCGTTGAGTTGCGATCGGTTGAGTGAGGCGAGCTCCTCAGTGGAATCGTTCCGGTCAGAGCCTTCAAAAAGCGTTGAGAACAAGGTCAGCGACGAGTCGGAAGAGGAGGACCGGACACCCACCCCCAGGGCTTCCTCTGGACTTCCCAAATTCCCAGCTCCAGAATTGGAGGAAAAGAAAATGGAGGATAAAGAAGACGAGATGGTGCAATCAGTCAATGGAAAGACCAAGAAAATGGCTGAGAAATTGAGTCGCTCCTTCTTCGATTTGACCATGGGATCTCAGGACAGATTGGCCAAGTGGAAAAGCAAACTGAAAGAGTATGGAAACCAACGGAATAAGGTGCTGATGTAAGTAAAATGGGGCTTGTTTTTATGGCAATCCACTTAATGTTGATTGAAATTACTCCAAAGTAATCGGACTTTCGTAAAATCCCTGACATCCCATTCCATCCATCTAGCCGGCCAGTGGTACATAATGATCTCGAGCACCCGATCTTGATCTGGCTATCCATCGCGCTGTCTTCTTCCCTCCCCGGCGCCTTTATTTTCGCATAATGGCCACTCGCCGAGGTTTTCTTTAGAGCAAACAGTCGCCCCCCCCCTTTCCTTCTGATCGGCTCTTTATTTCCTTACAATAGCTCTCCAAAGATGACCAAAAAATGGTGGAAATGGATGTAAGTTGTTGCTGGCGTCAGGTTACGTTCATTTTTTGTAATCGGATCTGCTAAACGAATGGATGTCTCAAGGCTATTAGTTCAAAAAAGAGTAATACAAAGCGAACGGATGCTTGACGCTTCAGTCATTTGCAAGTTTTGCACCTTGAAGGGATCATGGATTAGACAGGGGCTCATTGCGTAATCTGCACTGGCTAATTAAGCATTCCCAACTAAGTGGTTGGAAAGTGACTAAGCCGTTTTTTATGCCTTCTTCTTATGTTGTCTTTGCAGAAAAGGCGCTTCCATGGATTCGGATCACAAACATGACGTCAACACTATGCCAATCCAATCCCGGCGACCAATTCAGTCCAGTCTGGCACCGCCTCGACCTCTTCATTCTTCCCAGTCCGCCCAGAATGCTCTGATGGCTGGCGCCAGCAATACGCTTCCTCATCTTCATAAAAGGTCAGTTTTTAAGGAAGATGGGAATTAGGGGTTTAATGGAGGGATGGGGAACATAAACCAAGAACTATTTATTTGGGAAATGTTTGTATTGCCAAGTCCGTGGCCTTTAATGGCCGCCAGATCGGGGGATGAGCTGAACGCCTTAAGAAGACGGCCATCTGGTCGGGCAGGGAGCGGGCAAAACGAGGAGACTCCATACATAGATAAAAGGCGACAAACTTGCGCGTCCGATCTTTTGACACGCCATTAAATGGGCCAGGCCACATCTGTCTCGATCTGACGATGAAGGGGCGAGAATTCGATCCAGGGATTGTTTTGTTAGGTAATTGGAGTAGTCCTCCATTTCCTGCCTCCCTATGCAGATTTGCATGGGGAAGGGGGAGAGTGCGTGACCTTGCTCGATCTGGTCGTAAAATAAGTTTTTGCAGGCCATCCATAAAATAAATACATCGCTCAGAGAGTATTTATGGTATGGGAGGCATGATTAAGGATCCGAGGGTTGCTTTACAGGCCTTTCCGGAGTTTAAAAGGGTTTTAATTCTATTTCAAATAACTTTTCTGTTTTCTTTTACAAAAATGATGACTTTAGGGTATAAAGCTAATATTATTTGTAGATATTTTTTCTGACCGTATTCACTTATTGTTAGCTTCCTGACACCTCTTCGCATTGTTTGTTTGATTCTTTTTTATAAAATCATCTTCTCTCTTGTATCCCAATCTCCGGAAAGCGATACGAAAAGAGCCCGATCCTGTATAATAAACTTATCACCATGTCTTTCTTATCATCTCTTCGACCTTGCTTTGCCGATCGGGGGAACTTTTACCTCTCCGAAAAGGGGTAGAGCAGGGAAAAGGGATGAGTAACCTCTTGACAGTGCCATTAGCGGCGGTATTCCTTTGCGTCTCTTTTTAGCCTCCAACTTTCGAATCGATCCCTTTTTTCGATTTGAGGATTTATTTTTATGGATTTAACATATCAGCGTCCTCTCTTTTGGAGGGTGTGGTTACAAAGGTTGTGCTTGGGGTGTGAGTGTCATAAATACGTGAACAAACATGTCAAAGTTTAGCCTACCTTTGCTTCATTTCTTTTCGGTTCAGCAGTATTAAACCTATTAAATTGGGGCTCTTCAAACTTTTCGTGTATTATATTTGATCTCTGCAAACGATTTGGAAGTGGCGAGGCGGTTTAATATTTACAAGTTCCGAATCACCGAAAGGGAAACCTTTACAGAAAATACTCGCCGTCTTTAAGGAGTAGCGCTGATCTCCGGAGGCGACCTTAAGACGGCGCTGTTCAGAGATTCTAATCTCCGAATAACAGGAAATGCCCCTCCGATGGGTCTCCAAGTTGTCATTGGAGGAGAGGCTCGGCTTTGTTTATTTGGCTAGCGATCCGACCGGAGCTAATCTCTCCATTTTCGGCTCCTTTCCGGGGGTTTCTTAATCGAATAAAATTCTGGAAAGGACATGTTCTGGAGAACTTTCCCCTATCCCACAGCGACCGGCTCTCCCCGATCCCCCGAAGACTACTTTTCGAGTTCTCCGTCATACATTTGACATTACTTTTGGAGGCTTCTATGACATTATTTAACCCGCAAAATGACATTTGCACCCGTTTTACGATTGCTGAAGTCATTTTGTTTTGATTGTTGGATCTTATTTTAGTTTTTCAAACAGCTTGTTTTCAGCGCTTCCGTTAGAGAGGACGACATCCACATGGAGCATCGGACTTTGAAGCCGATCGGACGCCTCACTCCGGACCATCTTCACGATCAACACATGCTCAGTCTCCACGAATTAGTCCAGTCCATTGAGGGATTCAATGAGACCGAGAGGAAGCCGCGTCGTCCATTGGGAATGTCCATGTCGATTGCTAACGAATCCAGTGAGAGATTACCTCCACCGGCAAGGATCCTTCCGTGGTCCGGGATCAAACCTCAGGTAAGAAGGGTACTTTCATCTCCCGTGTCACCGAGTATTGGCCATTCCATTGCGACACCGGGGTCAGGTGTTTTTATCCTTCGGCTGAACTCAGTGTCAGTCCGAGCAAGCGGCCGAAAGGTCATTTGTCTTGTCAGCGGCCCATAAATTGTGGCGCAATGGACTGGTTAGATACGTTTTGTCGGGTAATTCGGCCATTTTAAATATTTAAATTCGATTCCAGGACAATGGAATTGTTCGGCCGATCGCTTTTCGGCCGCTCCAATCGAATGTGCTGAAGCAGAATCGGAATTCGAATAGTCCGGATGTAAAGTCGGCATTCAATCTGCAGAACAAACAGAGTTTAAAGTGAGTCATTGTAATTTAGTTTACTGTGGTATTCAGTTTCAATTTACTCTTGTTTTTTTTTGCAGAGACCATTCCCGAAGTATTGGCAATCTTTCATCGACCATCCCCAGTCGGCCCCAGCCCTATCAGCCCTCCACCAGGTATATATTTTATTGTCTCCTCCTCCTCTTTTTCGTCCAATTTCTCAAAATTCGGAATATCCGTCAAAAGAAATATAACATAAATCATAAAAATGATGGTCATTCTCCCATTGTTCTGACCACATTCCCTTGTCATTTTCATGAAACCAACTGCCTGATTTCAGCGGCCAGCTGTTCAGTGGCAAGTCCATTGGTTCGCTGCCTCAGGCAACCCACGATGAGAATGATTACGACACCGTGTCCGACTACATAGATCGAAAACGTTCAGGTGAGTCATTCCCGGCCTTCCATTGGCCATGAGACGGGCCTTTTCCCCGTTTCGGAGCCGGAAACCGAGAAGAAATGGTCCGAATAATAAACCCCCACTTCTCGCCAAAGGTCTGGTCTCATTAAGATGACTAATTAATACCAGGGATGATTAATTAGAACTGAAATTAATTGTTTTAGATGAAGGCCCCAATTACTCCGCTCTGTATCATAATCATCATCATGGACCCCGATCTCAAAGTCATGCGGGGCGGCGGGCACAAACGACCTCTTTCTTTTGTAATCCCCAACATCCAACGGGATCTACATCATCTCAGTTTACGGTCAGTTCGGCATCTTCCAGTTCGTCGACGAATTCACCGTCTCAGACGGCTCTGAAGAAGTCCGTGTCGGAGAATCCGACCAGGAATGGAGTCCATGTCACTCCATCGCCAAGTGATTCAGGGATTGTGGACTACGAGGTAACCTCAATACAATTTATTTACATAACGATGGTCACGGAAGCTCTCGGCGTTTATTTTTGTTGTTGGGTCGAATGTCAGTGTAAAAAATGGCGGCACTGGATTTTAAAAATTCCATTGCCAAAACAGCTTGAAAATTTGGGAATCCCACTTCAGGTTTTGGGAAATCTCTGCAGGAAAGTGTTCACTGATTTTTCAAAATCACTGCCGACTCATTCTTGCACCGAAATTCGCCCCAGAAACGAAACTAAAAGCCGAGAACTTCTGTGCCCATCTTTGCAAAAATTGTGTGCAAACTTTTTTCTCTTTCTCCTTTTCTTAGCAATTCAACAAAAATTCTAAATTTCAGACCTTAATCCGAGACAAGGAGAACGAATTGACTTCAGTTCGCCAAGCTATGGAGCAGAACGAAGAGGTTTTGATTCGTGTATATCAGGATAAAGAACGACAATATAAGGAACAGATCGGTGAACTAGGCCAGAAACTTCATTTAGCTCAACAAAATGAGAAGATCTTACGTCAACAGCTCCGACAATCAGAGGAAAGACGTCAGATTATGCAAGATTCTGTTCAGAAATTGAATGATGAAAAGATGATAATGCAGCGTCGTTGTGGCCAAATTGAGAGGGAATTACAACAATTGAAGACAAGACTAGATACTCATTGTGCATGCGATAACTGCTCGAGAAAACCGAATAATCAGAAACCAGTCCCCGCCCCCAGATCACTCAATAATTCTGGAGATTCTGAGCTTAGGAATGAAGTCGATGACCTTAAAGGGGAAGTGAATACCCTCAAGGCCCAATTAAATCAACAGATCCAATTCTTCACGGAGGAGAGAAAACGATGGGAAACCGATCGAAATGTAAGTGGATTACCGTGTAAGGAGTTGCTGTTTAGGGGAACAAAACAACGCATTTCCCATCGGCCCGGAAACCCTTGGTCTCTACGGATCGCCTTATCTAAAACCACTCTCAGCAACGGTGTTCAATGTTTGAATTATTCAGTGCCATTATTTTTTAAAAGATAAAGTTTATTACATTATTATCTTGAGAAAATAATAATACTTTTTAAATAGATTTGATAAATTTATGTATAATATTTTATCTGAACGATGATTCCTAATTTTCTTGGCTATCTTCGGAGGACGATGGTATGTATGGAAGGCTTTTGTCGCTGTCGATACTCATTCGATGAAGTTTTTTTACAACTTTCTTTGACTGCTTCTCGATGTTCCTTTGAATTTGATCAAGCCGGGACTTCTTGTTTTTGACATCTCGCAGGATGGTGGTCGACTTTTTTCTGAGGTCGGAAAACAATCCACGCGTCATTCCGCGCAGGTGTCTAGCTCTTGGCATTATAGTAGAAGCTGTTTGGGGACTAAAAATTAATCTTTTATTGTACGCGCCCCTATAACCTCCATTGGTGTCAGGTGGCATTCACTGATTATGACTGGACCTATACCGTTTGTAACTGGTGTTTCCTTTATCGACTTGAAATCTTTTTGATGCAAAAAGTAAAAAAAAATCGCCTGGTTTATAATAGATTTATTTCCATGCAATTTAATGAATTTATATCTGATTTATGATATTATGGATCTGTTTCTTGTGTTCATTGAGATGTGAAATCAGAGAATCGTGATCTCCGTTTACTGGGATTACCTCCAGATCATCACAATAAAATCCCCAGCCGTTGTCGATCACTGATCTGACCATATTTTGTGTGAGATCTCTTCTAAAATATAGTAAAATTAACATAACCCATAAAAATACAATAATTCTCTAAAGCTCTTACCGTATCGCTGAATTAATTTCGCTTTTTCCAAGGTCTTTTGCCTTGAATAATATGATTTTAAGTCCAGAATTACTTATTGTATGGGATTTCAGCATCTTGCATAACTTCATCGATCTGATCAGCAGCTCTTTTCGATTATCGAAGTGTTCAAATTGAGTCTAAAAGGATTTGATTTTGATGACCTTCTTACTGTAAGATAACTTTTAATAGCCGATTCGTTTAATTTGTGATTATCCAGGGCCCAGGAGTCAACGGCCATAACGATCACGGAGATTTGAGAGTTAACATGGTGCATGATTGCGATTTCCCATGCCAAAATTCCTCCTAGGGAATGTCCAAGTAAAAAAAATGGAAGATTTCCTTTTTTGACGTGATAAAGGATCTTAAAAATATGTTTATTTCAGCAAAAAAAGCTAAACATTCTTTTAAAAAATATCTTTATACTTACCGTTTTGTGATAAAACTTGGCCAATCCGATTAGATCATCAGCCTCGATGGTGTCATCGTATCCAATTCCATAAATATTACAATCCTCTGGCCAAAAACTGAGTAAAGAATAGTATGGATACACAGTCCCTCCAATGGCATGGATACAATAGACTGATTTCGTAGCCTCAGGGCTTTCCCGAATTACAGTTATATACTTTCTAGATTGCTTTTCGATCAACGTCACCATATCTGATATTGATTTAGTCTGTGCTAATGAAGATAGCGCAATATGGATGCCAAAAGTCTCTTCGATCAGAGACTGGAGTCTAATTAGGGTCAAGGAATGGCCGCCGAGACAAAAGAAGTTATCCGCGGGCTCTATCTGAATGCTTTCGCCTAAAATGGACTTCCAGATTTCGGTTAATTGACCATAAACTTGGTTATCAACACTGATGACGTTTGCGATTACATCTTGTTTTATCATCATTTGAAGTCGTTTCGAGTCAACTTTCCCATTCGTATTCAACGGGATCTTGCCAACTTCCATCAATCTATTTGGAATCTGATATTCGGCCAATTCTTCTCTCAATTTTTCCTTCCAACCCACCCAATTTTTCCCATCTTCCACCACCAAAATAATATTCTCATCGCTGATTTCCAACCAAAATGGATGCCTAAATATCTTCACGATGATATTTCTGATTTCTTGGAGGTCGATTCGAATGCCTCGGATCTTTTTAGTCTCATCCAACCTCCCCAAATACAGTAATCTCTTGTCTGTCATCTCAAAAACAAGGTCTCCGGTTCGGAACCCCCTTCTGTTGGTGCCAAATGCATTGTTCACAAAACCAGCAGTTCCATTTATATACCCTCGGGCTGTTTGGGATCCCAGAATCCAGAGTTCTCCAATCGAACCAGGATTCTGAATTTGGGGGAGTTTAGAAAATGGAGTCGCGATTACAAATGGACATGTTGATGTGCCTAAAACATAATTAAATTGAAATCTCATGATTGTCAATAGGTATGTGACACTAACAGAAGACTTACCAATAATTCTCCCGTCTTCGATTCCCTGTTCATAATGATTTACGGCCGTCCAAATTGTGGTCTCAGTAGGTCCATAAATCTGACTTAACCTATTCCCAGTACTGTAAAATGCGGTTAATTTCTCAGTCAAGGGAGTTTCGCCTCCAACAATCAACCAGTCAGTGTTCAGCCTTCTAATCTTCTCATCATTTAGAGAATTCAACATGGCCGAGGTGAAGAAGAGATGGGTAAAGTGGTCGGAACTGTCGATGAAGTCAGTCGGCGAATCTTTTTGAACCAATTTCCCTCCAAAACAAAGGGATCCGAACAGATTAAAAAGGGAGACATCGAAAGTAAAGCTGACTGTACATCCAATTACAGTATCCTTAGTCAGTTTAAAGTCATCCCTTGCTCTCTGCAGGAAACTATTCAGCTGTCCATGTTCTATTTGGACTGCTTTCGGGACACCAGTAGAACCAGAAGTATATAAAACATAGGCCAATTGACTGGGGATGATATGTGGATGTTTACTGTAGGTTTTGTGGAAGTAATCATGAGGATGATACCTCGTTCTGATTGTAGGTACCGTAATCTCCAACGATATTTTTGTTGTAATGAGGACATTAGCGTTGAGAAGTGCAACTTTTTCGTTGATTCTTCTGGCAGGTTCACTTAAATTCATCGGACAGAAGGCAGCTCCCGTATAAAGTACAGTAAGAATCCATTCGGGCATAAGACTGCTCTCAATCCACAATGGAATCACGTCTTCTGCCCCAATTTCCCTTCCCGTAATCCCCTTGAAATGAGCTTTTAAATACTCTGAATTTCTTCGTATCTTTTCCCTCAATTCCCCATATAAACAATGGTCGTCATGATATTGGAGGGCGATTCTGTTCTTGTCCTGTCTCAAAAACATTGATACCACATCTTCGAAGGGACCTTCCTCTTCGATAATCTCCACATCAACCATTCTATTTCCTCTTAATTCAACGATAAATTCGTCGGCAAAGATCTCTATTACATCCAAGTGAATATAAAGAGGATTCCATTCCAATGTGATTTTAATATTCGCATCATCCAATTCATCAACCGTACAAGAAAAGGGAAAGATGTTACTGTTGTTGACTTGGGTTACGGTGCATTTTATTCCGGGGCCCAGATTAATTTCCGGGAATTCTAGCCTATGCCGGTAGTTGAAGAAGGTCTAAAAATAAAATATATCGTTGTATTTACATAGAGAACATTCTAAACTAACCTGGAATATCGTATATTCCCCAGTGCTTGCTCCTCGCACTTGGGCAACAGCTTTGTGATACGGAACCTGAGCAAAATTCTCAGCCAACTTCAACGCCTTGTCCACTTGTCTGAGGCAATTCTCAAAGGAAATTTCGATTTCTTTAACGTCCACAGCAATAACCCAGTTATTTAGGAAGTATCCTATCAATCCGGCCGTCTCTTTGTATTCTCTTCCTGCATTGGGGACTCCAATTACAAGTTTCTTGTTATCCTCGGTCTTAAATCTATTTAAAACCATCAAAAATTTGGTCAAAAATACTTTGAAGAGACTTGTCGAATGATTCGCAGCTTTTTCTTTCAAAAGCTTTGTTATTTCCGATGATAATGTTACTTCTTTTCTTGTCGTCCCATCTTTGTTCGCTGATAACCGATGGTTCCAAATGATGGTCCCTTCCGATGGCAATGTCTTCAAATAATTACAGTAGTCCTTTTCTTTTTCCAAATTATAATTTTCTCTCTGATGGAGAGAATAATCGATGTAATTGACAGAAAGTAGCCCAAGATCTTCTCCTCTGAATATTTTTGAGAATTCTGAAGCAAAAACAGAGACACTCCAGCCATCTGTGATGATGTGTTGTTGATTTACAAGCACAAAATCATCTCCAATTATAAACCTGAAGGCATTTAGAGACAGATCGAATTTAAAATCTTGTTCTTCGCATATCAGCTCATCCAAATTTCTACTTTCGAGTATTAAACTTCGATTAAAACCAATCTCCGGATCCAAAATTTCTTGCTTTAATCCACCATTTGTCTCAAAAAATACAGTTCGTAGCTGACTTTGTCGTTTCAGAAGAGAGAACAATGTTTTTTGAAGTTTAACATTATCCAAGGGAGCTTCAAATCGAATAAAAAACATGATATTATATTTCTGTGGATCTGTTTTATACAAGAAGTACATCTGTTCTTGTGGGTAACTTAACGGGCCTTCTCTCAGACCCCTCGGTCTTATTTTTGTGACTTCATTTGTATTTCTGGATGAAATTAATTCAAAGAAATCTCTGAACCTTGAGTTCTCCGCCAAATCTTCGTATTTCAAATTTATATTATACTTGGATTGGACTGCCCAGATTATTTGTAATCCATTCAGAGAATTCCCTCCAAGTCCATAAAAGTCATCTTCGTCTTTCAGATCCCTGTTTAGGACTGATCTCCATATTTCCTTTAAAGAAATTTTATCCAAATTTTTACTTGGCTTTTCGACCAGTCGATAATTATTTTGTGTCGAATCGTCAGTTCCTCTAATGAATTCTCGTATTTTAGCTGGATTCTCGTTGGAATAAGCGAGGATTCCATTTTTTTCATCGATCATCATCTCCACCATCCATTCCGCGGCCTTTTGGATGTCGACAGAGTTGTCCTCCAGTAATTTACCCTCTCTTTTCATCATCTCACTCCCCTTTAAAGGCGGCAATTGTAAAGATAATATGTTCCGGATGCCCGGAAAGAGATGGGAATTGATTGCAATTCCATCCAGAAAGTTACTAGCCATCACATACTCCGAAATATACGGTAATCCCGTTACAGAACTCAGGGAAGACGTCAGAATCAGGGTTCCAATCTTGATATTACGATCCGAGAACTCCCTCAATAACTGATAAAGTGCCAGTTTAGGGGAGAGAACCCGGATTTTCTCTTCTTCTCCTCGACATCTATCGCCTAAGGGCTTAACTCCAGCCAGGAAAATACAGTAATCTACATGATTGTAGATGTGGAAGAGGTCTCGGACCGCTGACTGGATGATTTGCTGGTCTGTGAGATCACAATGGATGTAATCGACCTCTCTCTTCTTACTTCTGCTCATCAAAACGATCTCGGGTTTATGAAATCGCCGTTCCAGCTGATGATGGATGGCTTCTCCAAGATTACCGTAACCCACCAACAGGATCCTCGGATTGTTCTTTACGACACTGTCGGATATGTGGCCATCAGTCACTTTGTATCGCAGCTGTTTCAGATTATGATCTATATATCGATAATGGGGAATTCCCTTTCCATTGATCGAATTGGTCTTCAGAAGTTGGATGACGTCATCGATTTCATCAAACGATTCCAAAACTATGTGGAAAATATTGGCGGAAGGATTTTCATCGAGGATTTCGTCGATGACTCCAGCCACCATGTACCCGAATACATTCTCGGCTTCAGTGAAGATGACAATTACAATATCCTTGACCAGTTTGAGATGATCAATCTGCGATGTGAGCTCTCCAATGATTCCTATCGACGACTTCTCGGCTTTTACACAAATAATTGGGAGACTATCGCCGTCATTTCGATTATTTAGCAAGTCATGCACCTGGCTTGAAGTCAAATTATGATCCAGAAAATAAACTTCTGAAGACCGATGTCCTCTAAAGGTGACTGTATTGAAGACCTGATGGTATGCTCGAAATTCTCCTCGATTATATCGGATCTCGAGAGTTCCATTAGCTTTATTTCTATCGATCTCCCGTTGGAATCTGTCGTATAAAATGGTCCTGTCATCACATTTGTAACCATTACAAAATGGTATCCAATGATCAAAATTTTTGCTGATTCCTGATAATTTATGCAAATTTTCGGAGAATCCATGGCTCCAGAGATCTGCCAGAGCCGTCCATAGTCCTTGTCCTGACCCTTGTTTGTATCCTTTATACGATGGTAAAGTTGGAATATGGGTAATTTCATGGGGAAGTAAGCTCTTTAGAATGCTCTCAGGCCCTATTTCCACCACAAACTTGACTTCTGCAAAGTGTTCTTGAAGCGCTTTCAACGCTTTGTCCAGTCTAACGGGATTGACTAGATGATCTGCCAAATAACCGGCATTCCTTGGCTCTTCGATTATTTGGCCATCAAAAGTTGAGATTAGCGGAATTTGTGGAGAATCGAGGTGATAATTTGATAAAATCCTCTCGAAATCAGCCTTAATTGAGTAAATAAACCTTGAATGGAAGCCGTAGTCCCCCTTAAGAACTTTGTAATCCAATCCTTGTTCTTTTAACCATTCAATTTGATTATTTTCATTAGTGGTCACAAAGGTTTTGAAGTCATCACTTAGAACTGCGCTCAATTCGAATCCCTCCAGGTGCATTTCCTTTGTTTTTACAGCGACAATCTTTGTTTTCTCGGTAGTTTTAATCATTTTCCCTCTTTCTTTTATCAATTTTTTACATTTTTTGTCATCAATTGCCTTGGCCAAAGACAAGGCTGTGTACTCGCCCAAACTGTGACCAATTAGAACTGACGGGTCGTCCATTCCAAAATCTTTTAAAAATTTGAATATTCCTTTAGATATCGAATAAATTGATAAAGATGATGCCTCTGGATCCAAAGAATTTGAATATAAATCATCGAAGTAATCTCGGAGATCTGGCCAATCTTCGATTTCTGTTCTCAAAATTTCTGGGTATTCCACTCCCTGATGACACAAATAAATGGCCATTTTGGGATTTTCTTCGACCCTGAACACTTGTTCTTTACCAATATTGTCCAGTTTTTGGATAGCTTCTTCTCTCGATCGCGTTGTTATACACACTCTGTATTGCGCTGCAGTTCTTTGATTAATCAGAGTATTCGAAATTACATGCATCTTGTTATTGTCCACCTCAAAAGTCTTCAAATAAGCTGAAAGACTTGAGGCCATTTTAAGACAACCTTCGGGGGACTCTCCGCTAATAGGCAAGAAGAAAATCTTATTTGATAAGGGTCTTTGTTCGTATTCTGTATCCAATTCTGATCGTTTTGAGAGCACTATGGACCCATTGGTCCCCCCAATTCCAAAGCAATTAATTAGAACATTCAAATTATTTTTGTTCACCTTCTTATCTTCTAATGGTACTTCAAACATAGAATCTTTGATTTCATCGATAATCTCCTCTTCCGACGATATATTTATTTGTTTGGGGATCCTTCCAGTCCTCAAAATCATCAAAGATTTTATAATCGAAGCCATCCCCGAAGCCGCAAAACAATGGCCGAGATTGGCCTTAACCGAGCCTAAGAAGATCTTCCGTTCATTCCTTACGTTGCACTCAGAGAAAGCGTTTTTGAGCGCCCGAATTTCAATAGCATCTCCAACCTGGGTACCTGTTCCATGACATTCAATGTAATCGATTGATTTGGATACATGGTTGATACCGTTGATGGCATTTTTAATACATTCAGATTGTCCTGCTATGCTGGGTGCCATGAAATTACTCTTTTTTTGGCCTCCATCATTGTTTAAGCATACATTTTCTATGATGGCCATCACTTCTTCGTCATCATTTACTTGTTTGAGTAGCAAACTTCCAACAAAACTCCCTCTCAAAGTGCCTGTTGATTGCTTTGAGAATGGTCGACAAGCCTGTTCGGATGCCAAAACACTTCCATTCTCTCTTTCATGGCCCATCATGTCCAAGACGTTAACACTTGTTACAACAACCATATCAATTCCATTACTCAGAAGATTCTTCGCCTGATAGATAGCTGATAAAGCAGAAGAACAGGCGGAATAAACGGAGAAAGAAGGACCTGTAAGATGGAGAATATGAGAGATCCAAACGGAAAGGAAGTCCTTCTGATTGGCCATGTACATTTCCATCAACGATCCTCTCTTCGGATGAATTCTCAGATCAGAATCCGACGCAAATCCACTGCCAAGTTTAACATGATTATGGTACTCAGAGTGGATCTTTGGTTCGCAACAAGTTATCACTCCAATCTTCATGCCTTCCCTTCTCTTCTCATTGTATCCAGCTCTTTCTAACGCAATATAAGAATGTTTGATTGCATATTTTATAGTAATATCTAGAATTTTCAAATCGTTATCCGATATTTCAAACCTCGAAAAATCAAAATTTAAACGGTCAGAAAGGTTACTTGAACAAGCAATATAGTCATTCTCATCTTCGTTGTGTTCGAACAGAGTCTTTCCTTGAAGGAGTTTTTCAAAAAATTCGAATTCGTTTTCGCATTTGGGGATTTCAGCCGAAAATGAGACAATTCCAAGTCTCTGGCCTTTGTCATCATTCTTCATGAATTCTGTAGTTTTCTTAGTATCTTCTTCGATCTTTTCCTCTTCCTTTCTGACCTTCTTCTCAATCTTCTCCTTTACTAGGACTAGCAAATCTTTATAACTCACATTTTCAAACATCTCCACAGGTTCTATTTTCACCTTGAATCGTTTCTGTATGCTCTGCCTCAATTGCTCAACAGATAAAGAGTCGAATCCCAAGCTCATTAATCCCTTGTTCTCTGATATCTTATCCAATCCTCCAATATTCCGAACTACTTCCTGTAGATCTTCTTCAATGTTTTTCCTTTCGTTATTACCATCACCTTCACTTTTTTCTTTATTTTTATTGTCAGCCGTGATCTTAAACTGTCCGTTTCTCCACCAGACTTTCTCCAAGGCATCCCTCAACTCCCTGACTTCAATAAATCCCCATCCCGAGTCTCTGATCTGATCTCTGATCATTTGTTTTCCATAGTCAGCCAGCATTCCAGCCCCTTTTATGGGTCCCAAATTCAATATCAAATAATCAAGACCACTTTCTTCGATTATTTTCTCCATTAAAGAATTGGCCAAGACATAATTAATCTGGCCAAAAGATCCGAATAAAGCGGCGATGGAGGAGATGCTGATAATCTTGGTGATTCCATATTTATGACATAATTTTATCAAATTTCGGGTCCCGTCAACTTTTGGTTTGAATGTTTTTTCGAGACTTTCGAAGGTAACATTACTTATCATAACATTGTCAACCACTCCCGCACAGTTGATTACACAATCAAAGGTCTCGTTTTCGTTCTCATTATTAAGGATCTGATCTAAGGTCTCATAATCATCAATGTTAGCTTCATAGAAGCTGATTCCCTCGGGATATTTCTCTTTTTGTTTTCTTCCGACCATGATTAATATCTCTGGCTGTATCACTGACAATAAAATCTTTCCAATTCCACTGTTGCCCCCAATAATCAAACATTTCTTCATCCTTTTCTTAGATCCATATTCATCTCGGATGGATTCAAATTTTATTTTTGGCGCCAAGAAATCCTCCGAGATTACTGTAATGTTTGTTTGAAGGTTTTCTTTTTTGAAATTAATTGCCACCACTTGGACAATAAAACTGAATGCTTTGGACGTTATTACAACTACATCATCTTCCATTCTGAGTGTCCTGATCAACGCCAGGAGCTCGTTTAAAACATCCTCTTCATTCGGATTCCATCGTATAACATGTCGCCCTGTTAGATCGATTTTGTATTTCGACGAATCCTTATGAACTTCTTCGATTTTGACGTCATTTTCTTTGAAGGGCCATAGTTTGAGCCGCCCTTTCTCTAATTGGGCCACTCTATTAATAACATGATTATCAACTTTTTCAACCAAAAATGAATTTACACTTCCAGTAAATCCAAAATTATTGATTAAGGCTCTCTTTACTGGACGTTTTATATCCTCCCGTGGTATTATGATATTACTGTTTAACTCAATCTTATTAGTAACTTTATCTAGGCCTCTTATTTTAGGTATGGTTTGATGATTCATAACATTGATTACAGAAAAAAGACTGGCCAATCCACTGGCAGCCTCGGAGTGTCCCAAATAACTTTTACTGGCAGTGATTACAACTTTCTCTTCTTCGTTGGTTGTCATTTTCACATATTCATTTACAGCTTCCAATTCAATCCGATCTCCCAAAGAAGTCCCAGTTCCATGGCATTCAATCAAATCCACTTTATCAGCAGTTGCATCCAGCATTGCTGATAATTCTGCCTTCTTATCTGGGATATATAAACCTCCGCTTAAGCCAGCCACATGAATCGATGACACTTTCTTAATTTCAAACAAAGCTTTCGTCGGGTCAGTCGTGATCATTATTAATCCGAAGCCTTCGGATCTCATATATCCATCAGCCTTATCAGAGAAAGAAGCGCATCGATGACTTGGACTTAGAACTCCTGCATTTCTCAACACTTCAGTCGTTTTATCATTTAAAATCAGATTGACAGCCCCCACAATTGCGTGACTACAATGCCCCATCTGGATATTGTCAATGGCCACAGAAAAGGCTGTAGAGAAAGAAGCGCAGGCAGTATCGAGGGTAATAGAAGGGCCTTGAAGATGATAATGATGGGAGATTCTATTGGACAAGGAACTTTGATTGGAACCTGGCATTAAATACCCTGAGGGCTCAACTTCTTTGTAACATCGTTGAGAAAAATCTGAGTTGGAAGATCCGACGAAAACTCCAGTAGTATTGGGAAAGGTCTTCTGACCGAGACTTTGCAAGAGACAATCGGCTGATAAAAGTAATAGTCTTTGAGCCGGATCCATAAAAAGAGCTTCTCTCGGACTCAAATTGAACCTCTCTGGACTGAAATATCGAAAGTCATACTGTAATTTTAGGACGTCTTGATTCAGCGATATTTCTGCGAAATCATCGAAAATTGGTTGAAAAGAATGACAGCTAAATTTACCGTAGTATCCGGTTATGTAAATCGGTTTAAATTTTGTTTTTACATCGGGCAAAAGACGAAAATCCTGGACGCTATCAACGTTATTCTCCCTCACACCATAACGCTTCTCATTTCTCGGCTCATTCGTGATATTACTTTGTAATTTCTCTGGATTTGACAGCTTTAACATTAATTTTGACTTTACTTTTGCCTTTTCATTCTTGTCCCCCATCCTTTTGTCGTTTCCATTCTCTATCTTTTGATAATCTCCTGTGTCGAAACTTGCGAATTTTTTGAGGAATTTCCTTTCTTTGATCATCTTATCCGCATTATCGATGCTTTTACTTTTATCTCTCTTCTTGTCATTCTTTTCATTTTTTGAATCCGATTTTCTTTTCATTTGTCGTGGCACTATTTGAATATCACTCAACTCATCATCAGTTGATATCGCGTTCCTCCTCAGCGGCCTCATTACCGTATTCCTTGACATTCTCACCGCCTTTACGTCCTTTATCAGAATTGAAAGCACTCCATTGGAAAAGGCGGCGATGTTTCCTTCGACCATTTGGGGATCCTTTTTAGTGATTTCTCCATGAAAAGTCCACTCATTCTTGTCATTAACAAGTGGAAGGCGGGCAAAAAGTTCCCCGATTCTAACTGGGACATAACAACAAGGGAACATGGGATCGAAGAGGCCACAACTCAGACTTTGAAGGGCCAAATCAATGGAAATCCAGGGCTTTTTGGGAGCCGCACATTTAGTTCTTATTCTATCTCCAGTCATCAATCTGATATCACATAATAGCCTCAGGCTGGGACCATAATGAAATCCAGCCCTGCTGAGACTATTATAGAAGACCTGAGGGTTTAATCTAACTCCAGGATCGTCCGAAGGGAATTCCGGATCCTCTAAAAACGCCTTAGGCGCAATTAAACAACTGGCAAAAAGTTTGTTTTCATTTTTGAGCTGAAGCCTTTGGCCATCCAAATTGGTGATAAGACCATTAAGATCATCGACATAAAGTTTGGATAGAAGTCTGATGTCAGCCATCTTAAACTCGCTGAACTTGGCATGATCGATAAAACATTTGATGAGAAAGGCGGCGGGGGCGGTGGGGAGATCGAAGAGAACATGATCTCTGATCACTTCGACATCTGTTTCGTTGACTTCTACTATTCTCTTATTTAGAAGCAATTTCGAAGGATTAATTTGTTTGTCTTTCCCTTGGATCTCTTCACTCAATCGTCGCTGCCATTTGGCCTTAATTCTAACACTTAAATGTTGTGCTCTGAGGTCATCAAACACATCTGTTGGCCTTCCTGTCGCTAATTCAAAAGCTTTTTTATCAACATCAAATCCCTTTAATTCGAGTTTAGCCTTGGCCAAATCAAGTGTTTTGTGGCCATTTACACTACTCCCAATGATTAGGTAATGCAGATTCTTGGGATTCAAGGTTTTCTGGACCAACGAACATAGAAGATGACCTAATCCAACTTCCAAAAATACGCATTCTCCTTGACCTATGACATAATTCAAAGATTCCCTGAAGAGAACGGTTGATCGGGCATGGATTTTGATGTACTTGGCGGTGAACTCGACCAAAGGACGGGCTGTCACATTACTAATCACAGGAATGTAACCTTTCTTTACTTTCCTCCAACTAAATATGTTCACGGATTTCAGATATTCATCCCGGATTTGTTTTGAATGAAAAGGAAATTCTGGATTCAATACTTTGGCCACCAATCCCGCCCTCTCGGCCTCTTGGATCACCTTTTCCATGGACTTGGTGGGACCTGATAAAACGATCTGATTATCAGCATTATCTGCAGCAATGCTAATATCCAATTGTTCCAGCGAAACCGCCGACAGAATTTCTCGTTGTGCGGCCACCATTTGGCCTTTTCCTCGAGCCTTGGTCAATCCCTTGGCCCGATGAATTACAAGTTTGGTAGCTTGTTTTAGATCCAAATATCCGGCCATAGTGATCGCCACCAGTTCTCCTAAACTATGGCCAAGCAGATGAGTTGGTTTGAGGCCACAATGAGTCCAAAACTTGGCAATCGAATAGTTCACCGAGAAGATTATGGCTTGCTGCACAGGCAGTTCGAGATTATTGAGTTCTTTTTGTGATATTAACTTCTGAATGGAGATGTTTAAGAGGTCTTCAAAGTATTCCGAGCAAGTCCGAAGTTGTCTGGCCAGGTATGAGATGTCAGAAAACAGATCCCAATTTAGTTCTTGATCCAAAGGAAAGGTCCCCGGGAATAAAAACACCAAATTTGGGAGTGGTTTGTCCTCTTGATTTAATCCTTTTGTCTCCACTTTTGTTCCATTTTCATTTTCATCCGATATTTTGGATAAATGAGAGTCCAAGGACGGAGAAGATGCGGTCTCTTTCAGCTTTTTCTTTCGATTTTGTGGTTGTTCTTTAGCAGTATCACTCGTTAATTGTTGACTTATGTAATCCGTCAATTTTGTTATGTTAAAATACTCGAATAAATTGATAACCGTTAGACAAATTTTAAATTTCTGGCTGAGATTATAAGAAAACGTGTGCATCCCAAGAGAATCCAGCCCCAATTCAAGGAATCCGTCATTATCGGAAATGAATTCTTCCTTCATTTTGAGGAGCTCGCTTAATGACGACCGAATGATTTGATTAATTTCAGTTTTGCCGTCTATTTTATTTTCATCGATGACGTCATTCCCGTGACAATTGCGCGTTTTGTCATCAATTTTCGTCCGACCGACTTCGCTTAACAATTGTGCCAGATCTGGTCGATTCTCGAGCATCTTTTCCCAATCACTCTTGGCCACAATAACTTGATTTATTTGGTTTGTTCCCAATATTTTATCGAATAAGGCCAATGCTTCATCTGTTCTGAATCCAAAGAATCCTTGCTTTTCCAAAATCTTGATCGTTTTTTCATTTGCCGCAAGTCCAGTTTGGTTCCAATTGCCCCAATTAATTGAAATCACACGTTCTGCCTTCTCTGTCATCTTTTTGGCGATAAAATCAAGAAAAGAATTGGCCACAGAGTAATTTGTTTGGCCAACATTTCCAAAAACCGAGCTCACCGATGAATTCAATATGAGATACCCAAGTTTGAAAGGCCTCAACTCTTCCAACAAGCAAACTAATCCATCGCATTTGGCCATTAATGGTTTCTGGAAATTCTCAAAGGTCATTTGGCTAAATAAACAATCGGCAGATACTCCAGCTGAATGAATAACATTAATCTCCCGGATTCCTTTACTGTTTATGTACTGCCTTATTTTATGGACATCTTTTTGAACCGTTAAATCAACCTTTAGATGCTGTATTTTATCAGGAAGTTTGGTTTTCGGTTTGTTTCTGCTGATGATAACAACTTGGTCGACCAAATGATGTTCAACCAGATGCTTGGCCATCTCCAACCCAAGGCCTGAGGATCCTCCAGTAACAACCCAGACTCCACTCACTCTTTTCACATCACTTTCCAAATATAGTCTCCTCAATTTCTCATCGTTTATGTATTTCAAATAACTCGGATTTTCTGCCACAAAACTTTTTATGAAAGACTTCCCAGCGGCTGATAACCAGTTGTCATTATCGAGTACCGATATGCTCACTTCCGACTGTAAGGATGAGAAGACTTTTCCGAGATCGAGAAATAATTGAGATGCGGTCCGAGAGTTGAATTCAGATTCAGAAATAAAAACAATTTGGACAATCTTGGGTTTAAGGTGCAGTAGTTTGATCGACAGGCCTTTGAAGGTTATTTTTGATCGAGTATTGAGGTATTTGTAACTGAGGACGACAGTTCGTCCTTTTGAAAGTATTTTCAAGGTAAAGTCGGGCTTTCTCTCAGCCTTAAATTCTTTCAAAACATACAAAACATTGGAATCTGATAGGAAAGTAATATCAGGATCCTCGGAAGCAGCAGTTTTCTCATCCGTAGGTTGTTGAGACGCCGTTGGGACCTTAGAGTTGGCAATTTGAGAGTTATTTCTACTTTGCTCAATGTATGTCGTCTCCAAAATATCTGGACTCTGCGTGTTTCTGGCTGATGAATATCCACTTTCATTTTGTTTTTTTGTAAAAAAATCTACCAACTGATTGTATGTATTGTACCTCAAAAGGTCACCGGAAGTGATGACCAAATCCAAGGAATTTAGTTCATTAATGAAGCCGATTAGAGCCAACGAATCCAATCCCAATTCAGCAAATGATGTATTGGAATGCCGATTAGGATCAAATTCAGACAAGGTCGCTTTTTCGATGCAAGTCATCACTTTTTCTCTGATATCACTTGAACTTATTCTGGGGGACAAAATTTCGGCTCGATCAGGCGTTGCGATTATATTATTGGTCATATTTTCTTCAACATATTTTATATTATTTTTAGTTTCAAAAGAAATCAATACCCGATTTTTACTTTTAAAAGTGCCATCGTCGAATTCAGTGATCTCACCTTGATGATTTACAATCATAATAGTCAAGTTGGTATCAGTTGGAATATAATTGTCAATGAATAAAATACTATCTATCATAATTTTACACTTGTGATTATATTTTACTCCGACGTAATTGCCTTCTTTGTGGAAATTGTCATCAATTTTTTTGGAAAATGCAAATCCTTTGACATCCACGACGTTTATCCCATCAAACATCATCTCCAAGTTAAACGAATCATCGATTATTGTGACCTCTGACCTCATCCAAACATTATTCTTCAAGACAAATTTAGAATGAAACTTTATTTTTTGGATTTCCAAATTTTCAAATTGAAACAATAATCCTTTTGCGGTCTCAATCACCAGACCAATTCCGACTTCTCTTTCAAAAAGCTTTCCATGTCTCCACTTGCATATAAATCCTTCGTATATCATGGTATCTTCTCTTACTTCGATCACATTTCCAACTATCGGGTGATCAAAATAATTTGTTCTTTCGGATTTCCAAAATGATTTTTCGTCAAATTGATAAGTAGGAAGACCTCTCAGGATTGGGAGAGATAACGGCTCTGGATAAAACACAGCCCAATCCACTGGTAATCTATTTATATAGGTCAAGGATACCATGTCTTGGAAGGACTCAAGGGAACTCAAAACGAACTTATGGCGGGATACTGTAATTTGAATCACTTTGGGAGTCGAAAACAAAGGCCTTAGATCCTTCGTTAGTTGTTTCAAATTTTCGAGTGAATAAACCGTGTTATTAATCGAGATTTCATTCATTTTAATCCCAAATTTGTTTAATTTCCACAGTAATCTTGTCACATTTTCAAATCGGTTTGTCGGAACGTCTTTTGATGACTCAATTTTCGATTGTTCATTCCTGTTTAATACCTTGTACAATATGTTATAGAAGTTTCCTTCGTCCTCCTCATCCACTTCAACGAGTTCACATTTTAAATCATTAAAGTCCATCTTAACTTCCTTAATCTTCTCCAATTTTTTATTTCGAATACAGTAAACTGACCGATTCTCTCTGAAGTGCTTCCGATGCACACCAAAACCAACAGCCATCTCCCTCCAATCACTTCTATTCTCCACAATCTCCTCCATGTTTTTCAAAGCGCTAATTGTTTTGGCTGAGACAGGGATGACTCCAATGTTTTGATTGGTTTTATTCGCTTCTCTCACGTCACACTTGGATAAAATAACACAAGCATTGGTACCGGCGACGCCAAATGAAGAAACTCCACACGAATTACCCGTGAAATTCTTATCTTCCTTGCTGATTTCGATTCTTTTATCCAATTTTATCTGCTTATTTACAGTACCCAGATCAGGTAAACCAAGTACTAACCCGTATTTCAATTGCAATATGGCCTTCATTACACCCACAAGCCCACTCGCAGCCTCCGAGTGACCCATCCACGCTTTGGCAGTGCTCAAATAGACCTTCTCCATTTTGTTGTTCGCATCTCGACTATCAGATATCACTTTATTTAAAGCATTTAGTTCAATCGGATCTCCCAAAGCTGTTCCAGTCCCATGGCATTCCCAAAATCCAATATTCCTCCCTTCCACCATATCCCTTATCAAATCATAATGAGCATTTCCATTGGGTGCCGTCAGTCCAGCCGACCTCCCGTCATGATTCACATTGGTGTCTTCAATGATTGCTTCGTACTCCCTTCCTTCTCTTTCCATCTCCAAGATCATGACTACAATCCCATCTGACCTTCCATAGCCCGAGGCTCTTTCATCGAAGGAATGGCAGATTCCATCGGGCGATAAAAGATTTCCATTGGTCCTTTGCCCAAGGGCTTCTTCTGATAAAATAAGGTTGACTCCAGCAACGATCGCTTTCTGAATCCTCCCAGAACGGAGATTCCTGAGGGCCGAATCAAGAGCCACAAGTGATGAGGAACAGGCCGTGTCAAAGACAACCGAAGCGCCTCGGAAATCGAAGTAATAATTTAGCCGACCTGACAGAAAACTGATGGAATTGCCCAGCATTGAGAGGGCGTTATGGTCTCCGGATAATAGATATTCTGAACCCATCGTGCCAACAAAAACTCCAATCTCATCCCTCTTATTCATTGGCGGTATGGTCGGTTCCCTTTGCTTTGATCCCAGAGGAACTACATCATCCATTTTGGACATCTCCACATCCAATTCATCGCTTTCTAATACCACTCCTTTCCTGTCGTTGGAACGCCCTAACAATGCCTGTTGACTTCCATGCGTGGTTGCAACACTACTGCATCGATTCCCTCCTCCCTGCTCTCCAATCACAACTCCAGTCTTCTCCATGGCTTCATAAACAGAAGTCAAGAGCAATCTTTGCTGGGGATCCATGGACTTGGCTTCGATCTCGGAAATGCCAAACAATTTGTTGTCGAACACGGAGATATCCCCTTCCAGAAATCCTCCTCCTTCTAAAACACGTCCATATTTGCGTCCTTTCAACAAAACATCTCTGGTTGGAATTCGATTTGTGGGTATCCGACGGCTGATTATCTCTTTCGAAGTGAGCAATCTCCAGAAATCATCAATGGATTTAACATTTCCAGGCAATCTGCACGAAGTGGAGATGATCCCGGCTCTTCTTGATAAAATTTTGGACTTATTTTCGGAATAATCGATGGTGTTATTCAATTGAAATGGCAGTTTATTGTTGTATGGCATGGTTCGAAAGATCATGTTCTTTCCAACAACAAATGCTTTCAATTCGCTATCGAATAAAAGATAATCTCCTGTATTATCTTTGACATTCACCATGAATCTGCCAATTATTTGATCATGTGTTTTAAGACGCATAAGATTAGAATCAATTTTGATCCGGCCAAAGAAAGACGGAACCAACAATGTCTTCGGACCATTGTCCACATCGTTTTGTTTTTCTTCATCCGCTTTATTTTTCTTATTCGTCAACAGGGCGTACACCATTCCTTGCCATAACCCATCCAATTTTACATCAAAAAGATCGTTTCTTTCGAATAAAACTTCTCCGTAAATCACATCCCCGCCTTCCACTATCGCCAACTTCTCTATAGATTTAAATAACCCGCGATGTTCATATCCCATATTATCCACGAACTCGTAAAAATCTTGGTGTGAAACAGCTTTTCCATTATCAAAATTAATACGAAAAAGGCGTTCACCGACCTTGAACAATGTCTCTTCTCCCTCTCCTGATTGGCTGACCATTCCTCGTGCCATAATTCTCCCTTCATACGTAATAAAAAGACGGAGCTCATCATCTATCGTAACATCAACGTTCTGGCCCAGATTAATCGGTGAAACCAGAGAAAAGTGATGAAAGTTGGACGGGAAAGGACCAAATTCTGAGAGAGAGCACAGCAAACTGGCTGCTGATACAATCGGTATTCCATGGATAACATGATCAAGGAGATGAGCATGGTGGACAGTGGAAAAACATAGGCGAGATCTAAAAGCAATCATTATCAGAGTTCAGAGAAAATTTTCGTAAGAAATAAATAGTCTATTTTTTTATCAAAATGTCAAATTCAATAATTGATTTTTGACATTTAGTAACACAAAAAAATTTTAAAAACCTCGGACTTCCAACTGATTTTTTTGATATTAGAGTTTATGGCCGTGCCGTGCATCAAAACCATACTTTAGCCTAGCCAAGCTACCAAGTCGGACAAATACAGTTGGGTGCTAAAGCAATCTACGGCTCTGAACTTCCTATGCATCGTTGCAATGGATGTCGACATGTAGGCCCATCTTTAGTTCACAACCTTGCATAGGTCATGCGTTTTTATTCAAATTTGAGTGGAGAATTCCCATTCAGACCCTCTCATTCGTTGTCAACCTCGCTGTTCAGATCGGTCTCATCCAGAATTTATCGTAAGATAAGGTAAGACAATGAAAATTTGTATCTACTGTGTTTAGGAGGAGCGATGGAGAAGTCGACCAGCTCATCGAAGGGTCGGAAGAAGAAGGGTGTTCTCGAAAACTCCAATCGATCCTGCAAGAGCAAGAAGGGAAAGAAGGGCAGAAAGAATCAGCAGAGTTCGACGGATGTGAGAACTCCCACAAAGGGAATCAAGACTGATAGCATCGGACAATCCAACAGGTCCATGAAGAAAAAGAAGAAGAAGGAAAAAGATAAAGATAAGAATAAGGAAAACAAGGAGACCACCAAGGATTGCACTCGCGACGTCACTGTCAAAGCGGATGTAAAGGTGAGTGGCTTGAGGATACGTAATGTTGCGTTGTTTGGGATTAAATTTGTATCTTTTAGCCAGAGAAATCTCCGGATGGATCTGAGAAAAAGGAGAAGGAAAAGGAAGAATTTGGAATTGAAGGTCAAAACATGTGCAGGGTATTTGTCAAGAATGTAGGTGACTGATGTAATAGACGTTTGTTGCAGTACTCTGCCATTGGATTGCATGGACTGAGGAAACAATTCGTTGATATGAAAACGGTTGGTCCCCCAGATCCGAGAAGATCAGCCTTCGAAGCGAATGCTGATAAATGCAGATACAAAGGTAATTTGGGACAAGCATAACTTGACATAGGAACTTTAGACATTCCTTGCTGGGATCGGAGTCGAGTTATACTGAAATGGCCTGAGGGAGCGAGTGATTTCATCCATGCCAATCGGATTAAACACGATTTCTTAAACGTGGACATCATCTGCACTCAAGGTCCGCTCGAGAATACAATCGGAGATTTTTGGAGAATGGTTTGGCAGGAGAAAGTACGTGACTAAGTGACTAATTAACGTCGTCGTCAGGTAAAAAGTATTCTGATGTTGTGTCAAGTGGTAGAACAAGGCAAAACGAAATGCACGCAATATTATCCTGCTGAAGTTGGCCAAGAGATGAGTCACTTTGGTTTGACAATCACCTGCCGAGAAATTGATAACAATGACAAAAACTTCGTGGTCACTAAACTTCATGTTGTGGGACGTAAGTAAAAGTATTGATGATTAATTTTTTGTACTGTTTTAGCTGGAGGAACCGAAAAACTTTCGGTTAGACATCGAAATTGGGTGACTTGGCCAGACAAGGACGTCCCGAAAAGTCCCATGGCCCCATTCCGTCTATTGCAACATATCAGAAGAGAGAAACACCCGGTTATCATCCATTGCAGTGCGGGGGTTGGAAGAACGGGAACCCTCGTGGCCTTGGAACTGCTCTACAGATCACTCCAAAATGGTGTCTTGCCTGACGTCAGATCCCTCGTTCTCGAGCTACGATGGCAAAGAAGTCATTCTGTCCAGACGGAAGATCAATTCTTGTATTTGTTCTTTTCACTCTTCCAATTGTGCGCCGCAAAACATTGGGTTCCCATCGAGGATATCAGAGGTCGGTTAAGATTATGTCATAGAGAAAAATTAATTTTTACAGACTTCTGTGTAGACTATGATAAGTATCTGGAGCTCCTCCGAGTCCACAATTGCAAGAATCTCCCTATGGAATTGACCGAGAACCTCAGGAATGTGACCCTTGGAGCCTTGACTCCGCCAGCTTCAGCTCCCAGTGCAAATAAAGCTGAGCCTTCCCCGAATCAAAATGAACCTAGTGGAACCCCTGCGGCAAGAATCAAAGAAGTCCGGTCGGAGATGTACCCAGTCGATCAGACGGCTACGGCAAATCCGACAAAACCAACGTAAAGGCGGTAAATATTGCAATTCTTCGAAAATAAACGGGCAATAAAAGGTGGGCATAAAAGTTATTTGTAAAGAGTAATAGGTCCTACTTACCTTTTATTTTGTGACATCACGTCTTTTTCGGATAGAGTAAAAGCGACTGAGCTGGAATAGTCGGATCAAGACATTAAATATGGGCCAATTAGGAGAGGGGCGGCTGAAAGCGGACCCAATTTGGAACAAAAAGTTTGGAAAAAGGTCAAGTCTTGCAAGGGTCATTCGTAGATGAGTAGAACGCAAATCCTGTTTTTGTAAATACAAAATTGCCAAATTATTTTTCCCAATTTTTGAATCATGAGTTTCCTTTGAAAAAATTTTTAGTCCCAAATTCGAATATTCCAGTGTGCTTTATGTCGATGAACCAACGAAATCGGTTACAGGTTTATGCTAATATAATTTAATCACCTGCCAATTTAAAACTCTGTAAATGGCCAAAGAAGAATTCTGATAGTGGGAGGTCGGGGATAAAAAGTACAATAAACAGACAGTGTAATGTACAAATGGACGTCACAACCGGTTGTCGGGGAGAGAACAAGATCAAGCTCGATATGATAGGTTCTGGTTATTCGAAACCACAATAAGTTAGGTCCACGTTGAGCGAGAGCAATGGACATTGTACATGATGACAAGGATATGCCGATCACAACAACTCTTGGACTAGAAAGACGGGACTGGCCTAGGCTCGGACTGTCAGCGATTGCAGGCCCTGGGAGACCGTCTGCCAATGCATTTCACTCATATTTATGCCCTGAAGGCCCGTCAGACCGGGCCAATTCTTTTTGTGGACAGCGATCACTTTCTGGATGGTCTCCTGAGCTGCTTGGTTGGGCACCTTCTCTAAGGATTCCGCATTCAATTCGGTTATATCACCGCCAGAACCACATAGGGCCTACAATTTGATTATTGAAGAGTATTTAAAGACGTACCTTAACACAGTCCTCAGCCGCATCACAAATGGAGTTGATCTCGTATCCTCCCTCCAAGGACAACACAATCTTTCCATCCGCATATGCCATCAGAGATTTCGTAAAGTATCCAAATATCTTGGAACTTAATTCATATCTGAAATGATGGTAATGAAGGAATGTTATTTAATGATTGATCAATTTCCTTACCCTCCCAATGCTTGGGGATGACCTCTAGAAGCATCAAATCCAGCAGAAACCAAGATAAACTCAGGTCTGAACGAGTCCAACAACGGCAGCACGATGACCCTCCAGGCTGCCAGATATTCCGGATCGCCCATGATGTCTCCGCTGAAGGGAATGTTGACTGAGAACCCTTTCCCTGCCTCCTTTCCCGTATCCACGACAGCTCCGGTGCCCGGAAAGAAGTTACCATTGTCATGTCGATGTAATGAGATGTATAAAACATTAGGATCAGTCTCGAAACAGAGCTGGGTCCCGTTCCCATGATGAACATCCCAATCCAGAATGGCGATTCTTTTGTTCGGGAAAGTTCGTTGGAGATATTTGGCGGCGATGGCTACATTATTGAAGAAACAGAATCCCATTGCCTGTTCTCTTTCCGCATGATGCCCTGGGGGTCTGATACAAGCAAATCCATTCTTCAGTTTTCCCTCAGCAACTTGAGTCACCAATTCGACCAGGCTTCCAACGGACAATTTGATGGCAAGTTTGCTGGAGTCCGCGTTGAAATAAGTGTCAGCATCCACTCCAATCCCACCACAAGGAAGCTGAAATTTATATTACAGTATCACAAAGGATTCTAAACGCTTGAATCAGAAGTTTCTTTTACCTGAACAAATTTCTCCAAAGCCTGCCCATCCAATCGGAAGCCATTCCCGGTCGAAGCCGCGAAGAAATTGACATGGGCCGAAGAATGGGCCAACTTCAGAAGATCCAAGGGCGCCTTCTTTGAAGGGACCTTTTCACAAACACTCAGAAGTCCGCAATCCCCCAATCTCTTGTAAATGCAACTGACCCGGCCTCCATGTTCAACATGATTGGTGTCGTCGCCACAGACACAGTTGTGGCCACTCATCGCTTCATCATATACAATGCCTGTAATTATTGAATTGTCATATTATGGTGAAGGTATTACAGAAGTAAGGTAGCGCTACGGCTTTACCATGAATTCCGACCTACCAGTCTTGACCCCGCTAGCGCCAGTGCTGAAACTGCTAAACCTCTGAGTGAAAGCACCCATCAGATGTTCTTCTTCGGGCTCCTCCCTAACCAGACTCTTCCTCCGCAACACCAGATCTCTCAACTGTTGTTTCAGAAGACTCGGATATCCACCCATATGTAATTGGCTGGCTGTTCGGAAGTTCAATGGATTAGAGCCCGCGACATTCTTCTCTAGCAATGATTCCAGCATTGCGTTCGAGTTGTAGGGATTTAGATTGTTATTCTTAATTAGCGATGGCATAGAAAGGAAACTGGCAAAGGAGGCTTGCATCAAGAGTGTATTCAGATCATGTTGTAATTGTTCAAAGTTGTTTGAAAGATTCGGCAGAGATGGCGAGGGGAAGACCACATTCGAACCGGACGCCATATTCGATATGGACTGGGCATGGGAAAGGAGATTAGATCCCTCTTGTGGGGTCTTCATCCCCAACTCCATCTGAGTAGACACACTGTCACTGTCACATCTAAACATAAATAATCGAAATGAAAGAGAACCCACCTTTGTAAGGGCTTGTGATGACCAGGAGTAACATTATTATAGGGATGAGGGGGATTGGTGACTGGACTCGATCCCTTATTCAGAAGTCGAGCTCTCAATCTCATCTTCAGATTGGGTTCCGAATTGACTTTCCGTAATTGGAAATCGTTCAATTGATTCGAGTGACCAGCACTTGGCATTCCCGGCGCCCCATAAGGTTCGAATTGGGGAGTTCCATTCAGGATATTGGAGATGCTGGTCTTCTGCGAGAGCAAGGGAGTGTTGTTCACCTGGGCGGCCAACTGACTGAGCAGGTTGACTTCGGAACTGGCCGCGGATCCGGTCGTCGAATTGAGGCCGCTGAAAGCATTAGCGTTGTTATTTGAGATGTTGATGGAAGAGGAAGAAGAACCGATCGAGTTCGTGCTGAACAACCTTTGTTTCTGCTTCTTGGTGGCTATCATCGTCTTCAGACGATCCCGAGTCGTCTGACTGATGGTGGTACCTGATCCCGAGAAGGTTCTCCGATTTCTGATATGGGAAGTGGGATCACGGGCGGCTGGAGCAGGGGCATTGTGAGGGGGGTCGGGCTCATCCAAGGAGGTCTGATTGGAGTTACCAATTCGAGAAGTCGAATTCGAATTATTCGAATTGATTTGAGATGCTAGGAGTTGTAAACTTTGTAGATAATCACTTGGATTGGTGTTCTGAGTGAAGCTCGGGGTTTGGTTTAACTGAAAGAAGTGTATAAAGTGTCATCACATATATGTGCAAAAGTCATCATTCACATATTCTAAACTTTTAATTAAAAGGACAAGAGACTTACTTGACTTAGATAAGCGAGTTGTTGCTCCAGGTCGAACTTGTTGATCGACGAACTGGGCTCATCGTTGTCCATGGTAGGTCATCAAATTGCGTAATCGGAAAGATTCCTAAAGTCATTTTAACTCTGTATTGATTGCAAGGAAAAATAAGCATTTTTGCGTAAAAAAACGGTTCTTGGTTATTGTGAAAGCCAATGCTAACGACATTTCAATTCCTAAAGTTCCAACGAAACAAAACTATATTAAAATAAGGTTCTTTCATGTAAATGCCAATTTCTAGTTATAACTGGTATCCCGCTAGAGTTGGGCGTTATAGAAAAGACAACATTACTTTCCTAGACTACTACAAAACCCCAGAAAGGAAAGTTTCATCACGAGGCCCTTCTAATGCTTTACGCACATTTACAGCCACTCCTAAGATACGACAAACATGTGCTCCTACTCCAAGAAGTGTAATCTCCGAGCTATATTTGTTATGGCCAAAGGACGGAACGTCTGGCCAAATGGGTTTCCCTCGAAAAAGAAATGTTATTAGAATTAATATAAAAAAAAGTTTTGTAAAAATCATGGCCTGGAGGAGGGCGTGCCAGATGTGCGCGAAAAAAGGAGGTCCCCGAATAGAGTGGTCCCCTCACTTGGGGGTCGAAAACACAAGAACAACAACAAAAATAGAGAAACTTTGAGAGAGAGTGCCCTTTCTTTCTCTGCCCTCGAGACTCTCGCACTCTCTCGTCGCGGGTCCATTTGAAACTGCGGAAAAACGGGGGAAGGGAAAAGGGGATGCGATGGAAGGAGAAGGAGACGGCTAAAACTATTTTTAGATCTTTATTTTAGGGACAACAACAGTTATAACCGATAAAAACCAAGTCTTCTATGGACAAAACTCCTCTTAAAGAGTAATGTAAATGCCCCGGCGTCGATTCGCGGCTCCAGTTTATGGTGGTTCTCTTTGGAATGTTTGTGTTGGGTGGGGAGGGAAAAGAGATGGCCAAAAATAGCTTGGCTCGCGGCGTTACATGAGCGCTTTTAGTAAAAGGAAAACTGTTTTATTCGGGAAAGCACGGGAATGACATGGCATCTAAGCACGCAAACTGATAGCACAACGAGACTCTACCAGCTAACGATTTCACTATTTACATCAATAATATAATTAGTAATTATCTTAAAACAAAATCAATTATATTACAACTTATACCGACGATTACACGCCGTATTCTAAGACTTGGCACCTTCTTCTACTCCCTTTCACCGGAAGCCATACCGATTATAAAACATCTACATCCAATAAATTATCCGATGCCTGAAGCTATGCATTACATCCAGCGGGCAGATAATCCTTCACTTTTTCGAATATTTAATCCCAGAAAATACAATGAGGGGTTATAAATAGTTTTGACAAATAATTTAATTGTACCCTGATTACTGTAACATTCAGTCTTCGGACGAAATTCGTTTAGTTTCGGCGATTGTGACGGCATGTTGATGTGTGAAATGATTGCGAATGGCCCTTTGCATGACCTCCATCTGGGTCCTCATCTCTTCTTGGGTATTCACCAGCTTGAGCATGTTGGTGTGCATCTCCAGCATTAACTGAAACAATTCTAGATTAGATATAAAAATGTCAGATCAGAACAGAATAAGGGTATAAACTTGCTCGTGTGGCTTGTTGTGAGGACACATCGTTGCTCTCGTTGAAGTTTCTGATCTTGTTCTTCACCTTTCGAAAACTAAAGACGAACATTATAATGATGTAATGGCCATATGTACCCAAATACAACATTTACTGACCTGTGAATGGCATTTAGAAACTCCCGTTGATGTCGTCTTAACAGTCGGTCCCCCGTATCATTGGAATGGAGATTTTTATAGATATGCCAGGTCTTTTGTAGAACTCTGGCAGCCGCGTTCTTATGTTCCACGGTTAATCTGGAGTCATTCATGAAATTGTTTACATTCCTTTGACCAGATGATAAAACAATCTTTCGAGAGATGACGGCAATCAGGATCGAAGATATTATTGCACCCTGAACTCAATAGATTACGTCTAATTTAAGTCATCAATCGACTGACCGTAAGTCCGACAAAGATCCCGACCAATCTCCCGGCCGTTGTTTTGGGTACCACATCTCCATATCCATTCCCATTGAAAGTTGAGGCGATAAACCACAAAGCATTCGAGTACATCAGCCATTTGGTCTCATCTTCCCTTCCTAATCTCTCACATTGCACAAATGTCCATGCAAATGTGAACCAGAACATCAATAAGAAGAGAGAGAGACATCTCATGGGATGTTGATCTAGCCAAGATTTCATCACAAAGGTAAAGTTCACTTGGATACGATTTAAAGCAGCCAATGTTCTTGTTGATGCATCCTGGGAAAGTTTTCTGAGAAAAGAATGACTTACTTGAAACTGTTTACTATGTAAAACCACAAATCGCCCAGCCAGATACACCCGGCCAAGCATGAATAAGGACAAGAGGAGATCAACCGGGACTTCTTTTACTTCGAATGTGTGATTGCAGGTCCTTGAAGGTTCCACAAACCACCATTCGACGGTTCCAGTTCCCGGATATGGACATAAGGAGCAGAGGATAAACTCGACCACAAATCGGGATATCCTCCTCCAAGTGCACACCACCCTCCAATCATCGGCTCCACAATCTATCAGATCTAACTGCAAGCCATTAATTAGTTTTATCACTAGGAGTACTGTAAGCACGCCAAAAAATAAATTTCGAGCTGCGCCCTAGTCGTAATGGTATTTTATACGATGGAAGGCCTCCAGAACTTACCATAACCTCGTTTACATGGTAATGCACAATCTCGACAAGCAATGCCAAAGTTGAGAAAATGACAAAGGTTCGGAAACATACGGATATGAGGTCATTCTGAAATTATGAAAATTATAGAAAATACAAAAATGAGAATGAAACGAATTGATCTACAGTTGTTGAAATCCTCAAGGAAAAGAGCGGTTGTCCAATTTGCGATGAATAGTAGGCAAAGCAAACATGGTATACTCTAAATTTATATGGTCCGAATCCTCATCAAATTTTAGGAACAAGTAAAGAGGAAGGCAGGGCAATTTCGAAAGAAGAGAGACCCACTCTCACGCCCATGGAGACCGATCTACCCGAGGTGTCGAAGGTGGTAATGCGTCGATTTGCGAATACAATCGTCTCCAAAGGAGTAGATGGACTGCTCAGGGAATATTCCGAGTTGAAATTAGCATGCCCTGGTCCCGATTCCGTTCCTCGGACATCATTCCTCAAAAATCCGGAGAAGAACAGATACAAAGGTAAGGAAAATCTTGCCGGGAGCTGAGAACTTCAGATATCCCTTGCATCGAGGACACTCGTGTCAATTTGAAATGGCCACCCGGCACGACCGAAAACTACATTCATGCCAATTGGGTCAGAGGATTGCCAGGTAATTCGACGTTGACTATAATAAACATCATAGGATTGACGGATCCGAAGACTGGCGCCGAGAAGATGATGATCTGCACTCAAGGACCCACTAAAGAAACGGTACCCGATTTCTGGAGAATGGTCTGGCAGGAGAAGATCAAGGCGATTGTAATGTTATGCAGTGTTGTGGAGAATGGGAAGAAGAAGTGTGAGCAATACTGGCCAGAGAAAAGAGGAGATTCCATGGCCCTTCCTTTCTGCACCGTCACCAATCGAGGTTATGATCGGATTGGGCTCAGAAAGGATCGCGAAAAGGATCTGCTCTATACAACCTTGATTGTGAAAGGTAGACTCAAGTTGTCTACTATTTAATGATAATTTAGCCAAGGGATCTGATGGAACAGACAAGTCCCATTATGTTAACCATGTCTTGTGGAGTGGATGGCCAGACAAAGCTGTTCCTTTGACAGCCTCTGGGGCCTTGGCATTAATCATGAAGACCTGGACATATTCCCCGGCTGTTGTCCATTGCTCTGCTGGTATGAGGTCATCGAACTTCGTAATATCCATTAAAGCTTTTCTCTTAAGTCATCTTCACCTTTCCAGGTGTTGGTCGAACTGGTACAATTGTAGCTCTCGAAGCTTGCCTTCGTCAGCTTTTGTCCGGAGAGGAACTCAGTGTTTACAATATTGTGAAGAATCTCCGAAATCGGAGATACCTTGCTTGTCAGACTGATCTCCAATATCTCTACATACACATGGGTCTTCTAACATACATTACATCTAAGAATGTAAGCCCGTTTTTCTTCTAAACTCTGAGGCCACACAGCTGATTATCCCATTGTGGCCTCTTACAGCTATCTTATCCCTGTTTTAATTACTTTAATTACAGTTGGCTAGTCCCGAACAACTCAAGGATTTCACGGGGACGTACGAGAGGCTGGTGAAACAAAGGATCGCGGCCGGAGAGAAATGAAATGAGAGCACTCACCTTAGTCACCCCCATTATATTCTGAGCACATACTTCCGCATCTAGACCCATAAACAGAACCCCGATAATGGCCAGGATCAGACATCGGTCCGTGATTTTCACTCGGGTGTTCAGTCGTTGAGACCGGATTTTGTAAATCATCTTGACGGCCGCGCCATCGATTGGCACTCCATAACTGAAAAACAAGACATTGTTCGGTGAAATCGGATCGGGTTTAGCCTTTCTTCATGGAATATTCAAGTTCCGGCGAGTCTGATTGGGAGCTCGAGGGCCACACCCGACTCGTTAATTGGAGCCGGGTCAACTCTTTCCCTTATGCATAGAAAGTTGAAAAACGGTGGATTCATGACGATTACTTTTTGTTTTCCCTATTCAAACGTACCGACTGTTATTTCTACTGAGTACATTGTTGTTATTGTTGTTGGGTGTACTGGGTGAAGTCAAAAGCCCATTTTCTGCGACTCGATCGTCGATGGATGACCTCTGGCTTTCCGGACATGACGATACAGCACTGCACAGGCCACCACTTGGACCTTTGGGCGCTGCGGTGTCTTCAATTGTAATTACCGGACCTTGGAAGGGAAGCCCTTTTCCCGCTGAATGTAGTTAATTAAGGTAATACAAAAAATGTTGACATGTTCTTCCTAATGAAAGTATGGGGCTAAAGAGGGCGTTGTGGATAATGACATTTGATATCAACTGCAGTTACAATAGAAGTTCGTCTTTTTGAAAAGAATAAACTTTGGCTTACCTGATGAGTCGAATGAATCATGACTATAATCTATCCGGGTGTAGGCCGGAGGCATTTGACCCAGCTTCTTTCTGGCCGAAAGCAGATTCCGGAACTGCTGTCTAGAGCCATGAAGTCGCAGGAAATCGGCGCTGACCTGGAACGAAACAAAAGATTAAATCCGGAGGCCAAGGATTCGGAAACCTCATGAATCGACGACGCTCTTCGCTCACGTTGTTCGCTGGCCATTGGTTTTAGTGGGCTAGGCTACGAACCGGCCTAATCCCGGGCGTGGCCTTGATGGAAATGGAAGAAGGGGCTCGCGTCTATAGTGTTATAATCCGTCGCTTCTGAACGGAGACGTTTTTTGGGCCGTTGGGAAAGATTGAGGGCTACTTTGCCGAGCCAAGACAGCAGCCGAAAAGTCCTTAATGAGTCCCCAAAACGAATAAAGAGAAAACAGTTAAGTAAAGGGGGGCAGAACAAACTCCATCTTTGGTTTATTTGTATTCTGTTTGTTTTGAAATATTAAACGATAAGGATCGTGCCGAGAAGCGTCATGGAATCTGGCCTGAGGCTATTCCTTTCGAGACGGGTAAGTAGCGGGAATCAAAGAGAGCGGGCACAAACTAACTTTTCTCGACATCGGTAATCTAACTTGGACTTTGCTTCGCAGGCAAGTACAGAGGAATTTGTAAGAAAAATTTGTAATGATGACAATTATCCTATGAAGAGCGTTGTCGATTCTTGACCATCGTATAGTAATATCTAATGACTCACCTTAATAAGGCCATTGGAGTCCGAAGCTCTTGGCCCAGCTCGATCAGCTCCTCCTAAATCGAAACTCTTTCCATTCTTGACTGATGTTACAGACACCCTCGGAGTACGGTAATCTTCTTGTTCGACAGACGGTGCTGATGCGATGGTCGGACCCTAGAGAAGATTAAATTGTAATAGCATTTCGCATTAAGATTGATAATGTTTGTGTCAAATCCCAAATCTTCTTTCGGAGATGTGTTTTAGTCAGGAAAGAAGTTTAGCCAAAATTTATTTATTTCCTTTTTAACAGAAAAAAGCTTTGATTATGGATCCACGTCATGTTTATCCTTTACTGCCCTCTGAAACCAAAATATGGGATTGATCCTTCAAAAATGGTCCTCGACCAAATTCCCATGGCTTTTAGCTGATGAAACATAAAACAAGACATGGAATAGGGCAAAGGAATCAAAAAACCGGCTCTCACGGCCGTATTGCCCTATAAATGTGAAGGACAAAGACTGAATGTTGGACTTACAAGAGAGCCGCGAGTGCGGAACCCCTTCCGCCGATCGATTGCCTGCTGATATGCTGACGAATCCACACTGAAGCCGTGATTCTGCGACAGTTTAGCGGCGCCCGGACTCGCTGAAACAAAGGAAAGTCAGTCAGTTTGCGGGCCCGTACCTAGGCTCACATAGGCCGGCGGACTGGGCGGTGCAGAGATGGTGAGGTCGGTGCGGCGACTGACCCTGACCGGCGAACATCCGGCCCACGGGCTGAAGAGTGGCTATTTAGAAATGAATGAAGCCCTCAGGCAACAACACAAAAGACGGACGAGTTACGCAAACAATTTCGCCAAAAGTGAGAAAGGCAAAAAAACAGGGAAGGGGCTGGTGCGCGACCCTCTAATCCCAATGCCTAGTCCGTCGGTCGTTCGGCCGCATCCTGGCCGTCGTCTTCCCTTAATGAAAAGAGGAGAAAGGGGAGGAAGGAGTCAGTTACTTGTCTTTTTTATTCTTAAATAATTGCCTTCCGAGGCATGTGTTTAGAGCTCGTGAGTCCTAAACCATCAGTACCCAAAATTTCAATGCTCAGCGATTAACAGAACCGGCCCTCGACCCGTCATCCTAATCTGTGCATTCTCCCGTTCTTATTCTTATCGGCCAAGTACTCCCGATCTATGGGCCAAACGTAACACGAAACTTAAGTACATTACATTATTTTATATCGAGTAGTGTGAGAAATTTATGGGCCTTACATTTTACGAGAATAGAACATGAAACGCCCTTGAAGGATTGGTAAATACAGTCGAAACAACTCGGATATTCTTTTATTACTGATTACAACAAAATTGAAACTAAGAGAACATGACAATACAGAGATCGGAGGTCGGTTTCGATTAAATGTTAAACATAAAACTGGAAATTAAATACGAGAAAAAGGAGTAAAAGAGGCCACGATATTCCATAAGATGGCCGTGAAGAGGGGGCATTAGGTATCTCTAGGTATAAGGTGAGAGGGACAAAGACGGCCGGTTTCACGCCATATCATTGCTGTTCTCATGGCTTTCGTTCTGGAAAGAGAGAAGTCAGGCATTTGATTAAATCAGAACAATACCGCCGTTGCCAAGGTCCCGTTTCCAAGGCCGGTGTGTAACCCGTATACGTACACATGTACATACACCTTTTCATACTCCCCTTATTTCCCAGACCAAGTTCATTGGACTTACAAATTCCTCGAGGGCTTCTCTTTCGGCTGCTGCCTCAGGGCTGTCCATGGGCTCCTGATCCATTCGGACAACTTTCTGGCCAGGACCGGATATCGGCTTTAAGCGTCTGGCCGGACCGGGTTCTGCCGTTTTGTATACGCTGTAGGCCTCGTTCAGCTGCGCTGTCAATTCATAATTCTTCGCTTGTAGCTCGTTCACGAGATTCTCCAATTGGCGAATCCTAAATAAAATAAAATAAAATAAATAAAGAAGGCTATGTCCACAAAAAACCTTGTAAAAAGATGTCAAATGATACCTGCTGTCTTTCAAATCCAAAGCAGTTGTATGAGAAAGATTTATCTGTTCCACGGTCTCCTGAAAATTGGCATAAAGACGATTCCTATCCTCGCTGATAAGTCTCATCTGTTCGAGGAGGTTCGAATTGAGATCATTGAATTTGCGAACCGAATCCCCTTCGATGACACGATCTCCATACTTTTTGGTGATTTCTTCCACTTCCTTCTGAGCTGAGACGGCCATTGATGACATGTTAGTCGTAGCAGTACTACTTTGCATGATAGGGTGAGGAACTGCCCGAGGCTGTTGTACCTGATTCGAGAGATACGACGCTCGATTTGTCCCAAGTCCTGGCCTGAATCAACGTAAAAATTGCGGCATTGCCGATACCTACCTCATGATAATCCTGATGGGTCGGTTCTCAAGAGGTCTTATAGATCGTGGATACACAATATTCCCGGTCGGCCTTGTATATTCAGTAGTGACGTATTGCGTTGGCTTTTCTGGCAATGGTTTTCTCCTGGTGTAAGTTGACGACTTCGACCCTAACGGCCTTCCCCTTTTCTTTGGCACATCCCCGCGAGAGGTAGCTGGACTTATTCGTTTGATTGGAGCTGTTGTTGGGAAGCTGTAATCTTCGTCTTCCTCGTCATCTCTGTACGAAAACGACTTGGTGGAATGTCGTTCATATTCGTATTCTTCAGTGCTATCTTTCTCGCTCATATAAGTCGCATTCATTTCCTTCTAAAAAGGAGCTTTAGCGACTATTAAAAATACCTCAATGTCCTCCAATCGTTGCTTTGTCAGCACCGACCGTCCATAACCACCATTGTGAGGTACTGTAACTGTAGAAGCAACATTCTGCTCGGGTTTTGGTGGTGATTGTGCTTGTTCAAGGATCTCTTTTTTGATTAACTTCTTTTCGGCAGATTTCTCTTGCGGAGTCTCTAAAATAACGCGACCCGAAATTAAGAACGGAAGGATATTACTCAAATAAAAGTTTATTTTATGTGGCATTCACGCTCAGAGAGAAGATTAGACGGGATCACTGCCCATGACAATCATCCCAAACGATGAATGTCATACCGACTCGTCGTGAAAAGTATTCGTCATCGCCCAAAACGCCACATAAATACAAACAAACCTAAAATACATACCTGGAACCTCTGATTCTTCAAATTCGTAATTAATCTTTTTGGACGGCATCAACGCGGCCCAAGCTTGCGTGGCCTTCATTCCAGCTGATCTTCGGGGCCGAGTCGATGAAAACGAATCATCCGTCATCTAAACATTGGTTAAAACAACAAATATTAGAAATAAAAGTATATAAAACCGATAAACGGCAATTCAAGTATGCTTTTTGTTGTACGCAATCCATTTATTTACACATTAAAATGTATTCTTTACAAAAATTTGTAGTGATATATATCTTTTCTAATTCTTCCTAAAACTTACTCGTATATTTGATATTGCTCTTCTAGACGCGCCTAGAAGAACCACTGGGCAAGAGGCTGAGGGTCAACTTGGTCGCTACAAAACATTACCTCATCTATGGCACTCAAAACAAACCCATCCGGACCAAATTCGAGCTTAGGATCAGTTCGTTGCGCAAGGACGATGACAGAATACCTGTGGATGTAATTGCACTGAATACATAGAATCTAATCCAATAAACTAACTCTGATCCCTAAAGTGCAAAGGCCTTTCTGGAAGAGGGAACATAGATCTGTGGACGGGGAATGCTTTACATGAAGATACGGACAGTCTTCTTCCGAACACATCATCTTCAGATAGTAATGGCAAACTGGGAGCTGATGAGATTGCAACAAATGGTACCCTAAATCACATTTCTTTCCGTTACGGCACATTCCCTTCATCTGGCTGAAAATAGTTAGACAAAAATGTTAAAATTATAACAAATAAGAGTACCTTGAACATAAAAGCTTCTTTTGATGTTCGGAGCTCGCATTGTGAGAATACTTGCAGAGACTGTCCGCCAAACACTTCTGATCTTTCGCGTACCCAATACATTCGTTTGAGTCCCCGGTTATCTTCTTCCCTCCTACATTAACCAAAGAAAGATTTCCAAATTTCTTTTTAGGAGGAGAGACTTTTGGCGCTTCTGCTTCCTTTCTTCTGACCCACGTATTCCCATTATTCACCAAATATCCTCTGACGGGCTCTTGAATATTGTCATTCTAAAAGTAAAAGTAGAAACGCTCCAAATGTCTTACTGCTCCAAGATTTATCAGTTTATAAACCGGACGGGCCTCTTGTTGAGAAGATAATTGATTGTTCAACATCTTCTCAATCACCGGTAAAACTGCTTTATTGAAGGTACCATCAGGATTTTGGGGTCTGGAACACCCTGCCGGTTTGTCTTTGGACGTGATACGTGCATTGAATACCATCATCATTAATCGGTTGGGAGCTCCGTCATTGCTCTCAAGGAGACTTGAATATGGATTGTATGGATATGATCGCTTGCTCTTTTCTGTCTCTTCGTCGGTCATATCAATCATTTCTAAATATGTAATCAGAGATCATAGACGATAATTACCTGCTGCATCATCAAGTTCAGCCTCAGTCCCTGGCATTTGGAATTTGAAATTGGAAAAGAAGGGATTATTGTCAAAATTCTGATTATGATATTCATGGCCACCATAAACGGGATATCCATCGAAAGAGTAAACACTGCTGTGAGGGACGTAAGAAGTGCTCTAAACTCAAATTGTAGAATGAAATTATAAGCTTACAGGTAAGTACCCGTTTTGATACGATCCGTAATAATTGTCATAATTAAACATTCCCTAAATCACCGCTAAAGTATAGACGATTAGACAAACAATAAGAGTGTGAGACAAACACTTTCAAAACACAAAAACGTAAAAAATAAATGTTTAATTCTTGATATCGGCAACTTTTCTGGGTTCTCGATATTCTGAATGGATATGTTTCACGGTCTCTGCGTTTTCTGGCATCATCCTTTCTGCATTCTGCCCCACTGCGTATACCACTCCTAACTCGGGTTCGACAATACTCAACAGAAACTGAGTTTGTAAATCTCCTACACCAATAACTCTAGCTAAAATGAGGTCTCCAGGCTGAACTGCCTTCCAGAGAGCTGCTCGATCCTTATCAATCTCTCGGATATCCTCCTTTTTCAAAACTGCATTAAACTCATCAGACAAGAGACTGTCGCCAACGCAAAGGATCGAACATTTTGCTGCCCTCAGTCCAACGGATTCTACCTAAATTTCGAAATAAATCAAAATGTTTATTCCCCACCCGCGCTGTAACAATACATCCTTGTTGAGGGACGACGTATTTCGTTTCATCTAATTCTCCACATATCTCGACCAATTTCACATCTTTTCCATTCTAAATCACAGAATTGAAAGAAAATTTAGGACTTACGGGCATTGATTGGGAAGAAACTTTCACCTTACCCACCAAAGCAGCATGGATGTAGCCGTAGATCTCGTAGCATCCGTTCCCCGCGCTGTAGCCATCTTCTATAGGGAAAAGCCGATCACCGGGAACGCATAAATTGTTAGACAAACCCGTGTTCATGATGCAGTCTCCGCTCGAAATGCGACGCGCCAAAAAGAAATCAAGGGAACACTTGACTCGTGCGTCAAGTCTTCCCGAAGTATGTAAAAAAATAATTTCTCAAGCTGGCTAGCCAGCCAGCTAAGTTTTCAGGTCGTTTTTATATGTCCTTTTCTATCTATTCTCAATGACATCTATCATAAAATTTGAGCCCCTATCTGGAGCTTATGACAATGGACCTTTATGTTATTTGTTACAAGTAGATCAAGTCTACATTCTTCTGGATTGTGGATGGAACGAACATTTTGATATGAATTTTATAAATGCCTTGAAACCGAGGATATCGCAGATCAACGCAGTGCTTGTGACGTATGCCGATATTAACCATATAGGAGCCTTGCCTTTCCTTGTAACCAAATGTGGACTCAAATGCCCCATATATGCGACATTGCCCGTTTTGAAGATGGGGAAACTATTCTTATACGACTGGTTGACATCACATGAAAATGCAGAAGACTTTGACTTATTTAATTATGATGATGTGGATACCGTTTTTGATCGGATTCAGTATGTAAAATATGGACAAATTGTAAGTGCATTTACGTTATTTATGAGATTTTGAGATAAACCTGAAAGGTGACAACGGTTTACAAGTGATGCCGTTGGCTGCCGGTCATATGATTGGTGGTGCCATCTGGAGAATCACAAAAATGGGGGACGAAGAGATCGTTTATGCTGTTGATTTTAACCACAGAAAGGAACGACATTTGATGGCGTCTACGTTTGAAGGTAATACCATCATAATTTCTCATAATGTTTAGGCGTTCTGCGACCTCATCTTCTGATCACCGATGCCTACAGTACGGTTGTTCAGAGGAGAAAAACAAGAGATGAAGCCCTGTTCTCTAAGCTAATATCCACTCTCAGAGAAGGCGGTGACGCCATCATTGTCACAGATACAGCTGGGCGGATATTGGAGATTGCCCATTTACTCGAAAAGATCTGGCAACAGTAGGAATAATAGATTATTATATTCGTACCTTAGGAAAGAGACTGGCCTTTCTGGATACAATTTGGTAATGCTGAGTAATGTGGCGTCTTCTGTGATAGATGCAGCCAAGAATCATCTGGAATGGATGTCGGATTCCATTCTAAGAGCATGTGAAACCGGCCAGGACAATCCTTTTGAACTCAGAAGCGTAAAATTTTGCCATTCCCTGAGTGAACTTTTGAGAGTTAGGTCTCCTAAAGTAGTATTGGTCAGTGGTATGGACATGGAGTGTGGGTTATCGCGCGAGTTGTTCTTAGAGAGTTGCGCTGACTCAAAAAATCTTGTTATTTTGACTGGTAAGTAGTACTACTATTATGATTAATATTTATTTGATGATTTTAGGACGATCAAGTGATAATACTCTTGGTTCAAAATTAATTGATATTGTAAACAAAAAGGAGAGATCACATCAAGTTACATTGAATATTAAGAAGAGAATTCGGCTGGAAGGATCTGAACTTGAGGCCTATAAAGCAGCGAAGAAGTTGAAAGAACAAGAAGAAGCGAGGCAGAGGTATGTTTTTAAAGTGTGATATTATTTGCAATGCTTCCAATAGTAATGGAGACGGATTTTACAGGTTGGAGAACGTGAGACGAAATCCTCGAGTCGATAATTCCGAATCTTCAGAAGACAGTGACGATGAAGATGAGAACTTTAATGCGAGCAGAGCACGGTTATTGGATGCCGAGAATGGGGAGAGTAACGGGATAAGAGAACACAACAAGTATGATTTAATGGCCAAATTCGATCAACATCAGAAGACTTCCTTCTTCAAACAAAACCGAAGACAATTCCCAATGTTCCCATATGTCGAAGAGAAACAAAGGGTCGGTGTTTTTTGATAATTTTATCTCAAAAGTAATGTTAGAGAGTAATTTGATGGCTTTTCAGTGGGATGATTACGGGGAAATAATCAGACCAGAAGATTACACGAAGGTAGAAGTCATTACTCCCACAATAAATCCAAAGAATCGATTGAAAAAAGAAGAAATCAAGGAAGACGATGTGGAAGAAGAAGACTTCGAGATGCCTTTGGAGAAATGGCCCACGAAATGTGTGAAATACACCCAGACATTTGAAGTAGGGTAATTTTGTGACTTTTACACCTGATTTAGATATTTTGTAAAGTCGATTTCATCGATCTCGAAGGCCGCGCGGATTCAGAATCTGTTCAGAAGATCATTGGTCAGATAAAACCAAAGCAATTGGTGCTGATTCATGGGAGTGATAATAGCACAAAGGCGTTGGCTGAAGCTTGTGAGAAACAAAAAGCCGTACAAGTATGTAAAATGCGATGCTGGGGGTTACTGTATTCCAATTTTAGGAAAGGATATTTACTCCAAACATAGGAGAGATTATCGATTTGACTATCGAAACTCACATATTCCAAGTAACACTGAGCGATCAACTTATGTCATCACTCGTCTTTCAAATGGTAGGTTGCATTTTGAAAAAATCAGGTGCTGTATTATCGACTTTAGAACAATTTTTGCATTAATCAATAATTCAACTCGGTATCTTTCCAGGTGCGAGAGGTTGAATTAAGTTGGGTAGATGCCAAAATCAAACGAAGAAAAATCAAAAACAGTGTTGATGTGTCGATGAAAGCCGTTGACGAACCAATGGAAGTTGATGGAAAAGAACAAGGTTTGGCCACAAACGAACAGCTCTGCTTAGAGATCCTCCCTTCCAACAACATCCCCTCCCACGAAGCCGTCTTTGTAAACGATCCCAAGCTCTCTGATCTCAAAACTTTCCTTGGCCGAAGTGGATTTTCGGCCGAATTTAGTTCCGGAGAGTTATATGTAAATGATGCCCTGAAGGTGAGCAGAACGGCTGGTCGGTTTATTGTGGAAGGACCCGCATGTGAAGAGTATTACCGAGTGCGGGACATTATTTACACTCAGTTTGCCATTGTTTGATCTTATAGAGGTTGTTTATGGTTGTATTGTGAAGGTTCACTTTCTGTTAAACGTTAATTAAGTTAAGTAAACGGTTATATAAAAATGTCATGATTAATAAATTTTAAAGTAAATTCTCAAAGAATTTTTCCGAATTCAGGTGACCTCAGATTATCTGATCTCAGAATTCGGATGGAATGCAAGTAATTCAGTTCAAAAATGTAAGTTATAAACGTCCATGCCAACTTCAAAAAATTCCGAGGGAATCTTACAGTGAGAAACTAATTTTAAAATTATTCCGTATGTTTTACACATTGATATAAGCCTTAAATTGGGGAACTATTGGGCTGACCTTGGGGCGAGAAGATGAGAAAGGCGCTGATTACGAGAGCTAACGTGTAACTTAGACTCTCGCCGACCTTGTTTTAGACTTTGCCGCAAAACGGATGACTCGGAAGAAAGGACGTGACGCTGGACGTTCTCCGAGTATTATTATTAGTATCAATGTTGTTGTTCATGTTATCAGAGGAGGGACTAGGAGGCGCTTTATTTGTATTTCCCATATCCATTTGATATTTGAAAAGCATATTGAATTTCGTGTTTTCCTTCGAGTCGAAATGGTATTCGAATATTTGAATACCATTTCGATTCTTTTGTTTTTGATGTGATTAACACCTCGAATAGTTTGTGTCGTCTTTCTTTTTGTGACTTAACGTTTTTATTACGACACATGATGACTATTCGCGGTATTAAAATGAATTTTTAGCTTAGTTAGATGGGTTACAAAGAATCAGACAATGTGTTCCGTGATCCCTTTTCGCGTCGTCTGTCCCATTCCAACAATCCGAAGACTTTCTGGGACACTTTTCTGAGTTCAACGGTCTCTGCGCTTTTGGTAAGTCAGCTAAGTTCAACCAAGGAAAGAGTAAGGCAAGTTCGCGCGAGCTCGGTTTCTAAGGATACCTGGCTTCAAAGCCAGCTGAGATGGGGGTCATTGTACGATCCATCCCAATAACCTCCTGGTTCTCCATTTCCTCGAGCGCTGAATAATCGCCGCCGGGTGGGCCAGGCTTCTTTAAAACATTATTTCCATTTCCTTTTCCCGTAATTGACGCACCGTGCTGGCTACAAAACCCTTTCCGTACCTCAGGGCAGGAGCGGGAAGGCATTAATAATTCTTGGATATTTACATTCTTTTTTGGAAATTTGGGTTTGGTGGCAAAGGTTGAGGGATCTAATTCAGACAATTATCGAGTCGCGGGGATACTGCGGGATTAGCGAAAGCGCATTAATTGAGCTGGCAATGAAGGAAACGGCTCACCTTTGTTCCAATTTAATCTACACATAAATTTGCCCTTAGGGAAAGTTGCGACAACACCCGCGACAAATTACGATTCCGCCTGCCTTGGGAGAGGTAGGAAGAAAGTGAACAAAGTCGGACGATTATTTGAGGTAATTCTTATAAGTCGGTCGACCTGAGCTGCCCCCTCCACCCCACCTTCATCTTCTCCTTTCCTGCTTATAGCCAGCCTCTCGACCCCATCTGATGTTTGTTTAATCGCGAGCCAGCCAGCCCTAAATATGCAGGGCAATATATGGAAATGGTGTCTTCTTCCCTTCGTTCCGATGTAACCCGGGCGATTTTTTAGGTCAGGGGAGAAGATTTTCACGCCAAGAAGGAGCCGGGGCATGAACTCGCCCTCGCCTCCACCCTCCCCCGAATAAACATCTAATAAGCATGTCCGAATGAATTCTCCCTTGATGCGCCCTCACTTTACCACTTTACATTCCAACTTTATGATTATTTTACATTTATTTCAGACTTTGGCCTTGGTCTGGAAGATCATTCTGGAGCGGTCTGGAATGACCGACAAATTGGAGGAGGCCAAGGATGCCAAAGAAGAAAAAGAGAAAGAGAAAAGAAAGGAAAAGAAAGCCGACGATGAAGATAAAAATGATGAAACTGGATCAGTAAAATCTTCATCTTCTTCGTCATCATCATCCTCCTCTACGTCGAGTACAGACTCCTTCAAATCAGCCGAAAAGGCAGATTCCTCAAAAGGAGTAGGCCATCTGTTGGAGACTGATGTGATCCCGGAGATCCAGACAATTGGAGTCCAAAGGGATGCTCAAGAAGAATGGGGAGAGCCGAGTTACCTCCAATTCGAAGAGAACCCGGCCTTATATGGACGACTCGACTCGATCACCGAGGTAAGGGCGGCATTGACCTTTTAGGGGCACTGTGCCGCGCTTCGAGACTCTCGATCTAAGTGGGGAAGGAAAGGAATTGGGATCGCTCTGTTTTTTAGAGGTCCGTTTGAGGTTATCTTCACTTAGCGCTAGCATTTGAAATTTTCATTCTGCGTATTTTATATATTATTATATCATACAATTTGCGGATGTTTGAATATTTTTAAAGTTGGTTCTTGAATATTTGGTATTTTAACCCCATCCAAGGCTTCGAAAACTTTAATGGTTGTTTTCCGTTGATAATACCAACCCCGAACAGAACGCATCTTGCCTCGAATTTTTTTTTCATTCTCCATTTCTTATCTGAGAGCCACATTATTACTCTCATAACTTGTTATTATGCAATTCCAGGAGGACAGCGACGACGTTCGAAGCCAGAGCAGCGAATCCTCCCAACGGATTCCGTTGTCTTCTGAAGTCGCGGCGGAAGTGACAAGACGTCTGAATACGATTTTATCTCAACAACAATCTGATCCCGAGGAGTCGCCGAGGATCGTTGAATTAAGTTCGGACTCATCGGAAGTTACACCTAAAGTCGAGAAGCTGGTGGTCGATAAATTGGAAGAGTTCTCAGAACTAAAACCGAACCCTGAGATCGAGGCGGTTCCGTGGGGTCGAGAAGATCGTTCAGAATCTGTTTCCACTCGAGATTCCATGGTTTCTGTGATTCAAGTCTCCAAAGAGATAAAATCTCCAGAATCGGTAGGTTCTCTTTCTCGTTTGGTAAATACCGAAAACAGGAAGAAATGGGGATGAGTCACTTCTCACCTCCCCATCTACCTGAAGGCATATTGGCTATTCCTACAGGCGAAGGAAATGATTAACTCTATATATTTTGACGAAAATGTTGATTTATCTTTTTCTCTGGGTTAAGAATTTTTGTGTATGGTTTAATGTCTAGTCACTGTAGTACAAAATAACATATTTTCCTCGTAACGGATCATAATTTATCCCAAGGACGGGCATGAGCCTTTGAAAGCGCGAGAACACCTCATGTTTACTCCTTTTTTACTGCCCTCCACTACTTTTTAAGCCCTTTAACAGAGCTCTTTTCCAGATGGACGCCGACCTGGACCGGGACCAGACCGAGATGCTAGTCTCGAATGCGGACCAGTTCTCCTGTTTCACTCCGTAAGTCTCGAAGATGACTGATAAGAGAATCAACAAGGCGTCCTTGAAGGGGCGAGGGCCTTTTTTATTTTCTATTTTTATGGCGCTGAGGCAGGAAAGATGACACCCACGTTTACATTGCGCTCTCTTGCGCGGCCTCCCGGAGGGGTTCGGCTGATCTGAGGGGTTTAGGCTCAGGTGTTGCAAACGGAAGTTCAAATTTATGGGAGAGGGTTTGTGAGAAGGGTTGAGGTAATGGGCCCATTGGAAACTTGAAGCTGGGACCCGAAAAAAACATGTTTATAAATTTTGTGCTTTCTTAGTTAAAATTTTTTGCTGCAAATTTTCGAAAATTTGTTAGGTAAGCGAAAAATAAGAGTCATCTTTTAGAACAGTGATTTCGATTTCAAAAAAAAATATTTGCAATCCATCGACTTACTGTATTTATCATCGATTTTTTGCCCACAATTTGTCGTAGAATTTTTTCGATGACAACTGTTTTTTAAAAATGTTCGAACTCTTAACTTTACTGAAGATCAACGGAGGATGGACGGTTAGGTCAGCGCTGACTTGGTGCGCCTGACAAACCGTCCATCCTCCATTTATCTCTGATTGCCCCTCGCAGTAACACCCCTTGTTTATTTCCTTACCCTTTTTTTACTTTCCGCTTTCCCTTGCCTCCAAATTTTTTTGGAGCTTGAATCTGAAGGTCATCTGAAACCCGAAAACGGGCGTTGGCTTAAAATATTTGAATAAGAAATTGCAGAGAGGAAGGACGTTGCGTCTCCAATACCTCCATGTCAATCACATTGGATCAGAGTAAGGACTCTCTGCTGGATCAATCGGTGTGCTCCAATCCCCAAGATGAAAGTGTAATTGTGCAACAGAATCTGCAGCAGTTGAAAGAAAGGTAAGACCATTTAATTTTCATAGATATCAGGTAGAGAAAATAGATTCTTCCGTAAGCTGCTCGACTTTTAATTGTTTGATTTGGAGAATGCAAAACTGATAAGACCAGAAAAGAAATAACTCTTGAATCTCTTGATAAAAATTATCAAAAATTTTTACGAAATATTGGGGATTACAATAAAATTTTTAGTAATCAAAGTGACGACGAGGATCTTCCCCCTCCGCCGACAGAAAATAAAGCAGAAGAAGTCACAAAGACACAAATTACGACGACGATAACAACTGCAGAAACCGGCAATACTCACACTGGTTCTGCTACACCTACTACTACAACAAAGACAGAAACGAAAACTCAGCATCGATGTGGGCCTGAAAGATTGGCCAGTATGGTGTATGGCTATGGAGAAAAGTCCCCGTTGTTATGGAAGAGTCTGAACCCAGAAAAGGACGAGAATAAGGAGCCTGCAAAGACCCTGGAAGAACCTTATCTCAAGGATTCTTATGTTAAAACATCATATTCGAGTTCATTCAGACCTCCGCCAGTATTCGGAGCTTCTTTGGCAAGTCACGGTGAGTCTGTGGTAGTTGTAATTGCAAGAGCTATCGAAACATATTAGGATTGGAAAAAAATTTCGTTACGTAATTTCTCGATACCCTTTTCTACTGTAGTTGAATGATCAACAATTTTTTCTTACGCAACCAAAATAATGACTATTCTTTCTGACCATCGCCCGACCTCGCTCCGTTCTTGCGGGCCATTTCCCAATCAGATTCGGCGCTGACATTAAGCCGGGACGGTCGATCTCTCATAAGCGGACGTTTAGCGCCGCGCCTGAATCAAGGTCCTGACTCAGGTGGAGAAGGCGAGGGCTTCCGGGGGTGTGGATCTCCCAGATTTCTCCTCCTTCGCACCGAAATAGAGCTCTCCGCGTCCTATTCTCGCCGACTGACCATTTGGTTGTTCGCCGCTCCTTGCCCTCGACCATCCGCTGCCTCCGCCCTTTCCTTTTATGTTTTCTTTCCGCCCCGAGGGCAGGTGGAGGTGAGAAGAGTACACGTTTCCCTCAAACTCATTCCTTTCCTTCTCACCCAACCATGAACATATATCCTGACCGTTAAATAGCAACATGAGATAGCCTCTCGTGTTTTCAATGTCGATATTTATAAGCTTTAGGCGCATCTCCATGCGTTTTGAATACGTGAAACGTGTTTTCAGTCCATTCGGTTTATTATTTTCATTCAACATTCTATTCGCTAGACAATTTCTAATGCTGTTTGTGTTATGATTGACCATTATTCTTTCAGACAACATTATAATGGACGATCCGCCCCTCGAACGGCCACCACCACCCCCTAAGGTAAGTCAACAACAGGGCTCGGGGCTGCCCTTTATTGGTTCGAGCGCGTGAGAGCTAATCCCCCTACCTTCGCTTCGACTAATGGGTTCGCGGGAGGTTGAAGGTAGATGGGAGGGGTTGCGCTCCCCTCTCGGCTCTTTTCTTGTTTTCCTCTGACCCCAAAATATTTTACTGAAATGTTTTGGAAGTGTATGCCTTGACGTTTCGAGTGTGTCAGATCCGGCGTTCTTTTTGTTGTCCTTGAGTCATAGCAACGGCCGGAGGGAAATTGAGGGTTTCTGAGCAAAACGTAGGCGAATTGGAAGACCTCTTTTATGATGATTACGTTTATGACACACCGTGTAAAACGTTGAAGAATACTTATGTATAAGCAAATTCCGGAAGAAACCTCTGTGTTTTTGCAATAAAAATTTTGGAATGTCTACTCCCAATCATCTTCTAGTACGTGAGGCCTCTGACTGAAATCGATGTTCATGTCTTCAAAAGCCCTGAGGACATGAGTCAACGTTGACTTAACAAAAGTACTGATCGCCCGATTGTTAAATTTGTTTGGGGCGTGTGTTTTCTTTGGGAAGAATCCCCAATTCTGAATTCAGATGCCTCTGCATCTGATCGCTTTTTGTCGAATCTGTCGTCTTCCTCACCCCTGGGGTTCAGATGCCCGACCGTAGCTGCTCCTTGATCGCCCGCGACTGGTTTTAACCCCTTTAACGATTTTTTGAATTTTATTGTCGGCGTTAAATTAATCGTAATCTAATTGATGGTTTGACAAGTCTCTCGGATGTTTGAGTTGGACCTGGGGCTGGGCTGAAGATGTTGCACAAACAGAGTCAGCGCTGACTCACAACCTCAGGGCCTTTCGGTGAGACGAAGCCAGCGCTTAGAGCGCCTCTCTTCTGCCGACCGAATAGGTCGTTTAACCGGTCATTTGCGCGGTCTTCGCACTCTAGATATCTCGCGGTATGTCTGATGTGTGGTATGTCTCTTTGTTGGTATCTTTTCTCCATTTTGTTGGCATACTACTTGAACGAAGTTCACTTGACATGGTTTCAACCTCCCTTCTTTTTGTAAGCCTTTCAAGTTTTCTATTTTACAGAGCTATGCGGACAGTACTGGCTACCGAACCGACGACGAATTGATGTCCGAGCGGAATAGATCGCGGGCTACCGTCCGCGAAATCCCCATCCATCGCTCGCTGAGTGCATTTGGCCCTGCTGCCGCAGCCAATTCAAGTCTTGGCGGAATGTCATCGTACGCTCCATATAATCAAGGTGGAACAACCACGCATTGGACAACCACAAAGTACGATCCAATCACTGGTCAGCCTCAACAAGAGGAGTATTACCGCAGAGAAGTAAGTTTCTCATTGGTTTGTAGTCTATTTCGAATAAAAACGCATCCTATCTGTTACTTTCAGGTGTTGACTCGAACTCTCGTAACCCGATCGACCGAGGCTTTGTCAGCTCCCCAGCCTCTGAGCCGCTCCTCCCCGGTTGATCTCCGACCATTACCATCTCTACCTCCCCCACGAGATGACATCACTGTGGAATATCGAATGAAATACCTCAAGAATGTCGAGGAGGAGGAACGTCGCATCAAGGAAGACCAAGAACAACGAAAACGCGAAGAAGATGAGAGACGGAAACGGATCGAAGAACAGCGTCGCATTTGGGAAATCAAAGAAAGCGAACATCTGGAGCGTTTGAGGAGAGAACGAGAGAAGATTGAGGATCAATTCCAACAAGACATTCTAGCTAGAGAAGCGGCCGAAAGGAATCGGATCGAGAGAGATCGTCAACTTCGAGAAGCTGACGAACAACGTCGACGCGAGGAATGGGAACGTCTTGAACAACAACGACGTCTACTGGAGGAATCAGAACTTGAGAAGAGGAGGCGTTTAGAGAGAATTGAGAAAGAACGACTAGAGAGAGAGCGTTTAGAAGCGGAGAGACTGGAAAGAGAACGTCTTGAGAGGGAACGGCAGGAATTTGAAAGAATGGAACAACAAAGAATTGAGAGAGAACGGGTGGAGAAAGAACGCAGAGAAATAGAGCGGTTAGAGATCGAAAGAATCGAACGAATCAAGAGAGAACAGAGAGAAAAAGAAGAGCAGGAACGTCAGAGGCAAAAGGAAGAACAAGAACGTCTTGAAAAGGAACGACAAGAAGCCGAACGAATAGCCAGAGAACGGATGGAACTTGAACGACGTGAAAGAGAACTTCTGGAACAAGTCCGACGAGAAGCCGAAGAGAGGGAACGTCAAAGAAGAGAAGACGAACTTCGTGAAGCACAGCGACGAGCTGAGGAAGCTAGAGACAAAGAGATCTTGGACAGAGCTCGTCGAGAAGCTCAGGAACGAGAGAGAATCCGGCTTCTGACAGAACGGGAAGAACAGGAAAAATTGGAACGACTGCGAAGAAATCAAGAACGTAAGAAAATGTTACAGTAACCTTAAGGCAAAAATTTAGAACTTGAAAATGAAAAGTTGGAAGCGGAGAAACGTGAACAACAACGTCTTGAAGACGAACGGCGGGAAAGGGAATTCCTAGAGGAGCAACGGCGACTCCAGGAACGACGAGAGAAGGAGCGGATTGAAGAAGAATTAAGAGAACGGCAACGTCAAGAAGAAGAAAGGCAAGCGGCCGAACGCAGAAGACGCGAACGCTTGGAAGCTCAGGAAAGAGAACGGCAAAGACAGCTCGAGGAAGCCATGGAACGGCAGAGACTGGCTCCATTGGAACGATCGGCCGCTGAACGTGAACGCCAGAGGCAGCAAGAAAGGGAAATCGAGTTAAGAAGAGCCGAATTAGAACGTCGAGCAAGAGAGATCAAGGATCAAGAGAGGCTCAGACAAGAACAACGCGAAGCTGAACGGTAAGAATTTTCGAAATGAAAACTTTACAAAACGTTATGGTGTACTCTTTCTCTATTACAAATTTCAGATTGGCCGAAGAGCAGAGACTCAAAGATCTTGCTGACCAAGAACGCCGTAATGCCGAACGCCGTGATCGAGAACGTGCCGAAGCTGCTGCTCGTGAGGAACAAAGAAGAATTGAGGATAGAAGAAGTCGCGAGCATCTGGAACAGATTCATCGTGAAAAGACCGAGAAAGAACGATGGGAAATCGAACGCAGAAAACTTCTGGAAGAACATGAAGCCATGGAACGACGTCGGCAGGCGCTAACTTCCAAGGAAACTCTTGAGAAACTGACACGACAGCCATACTATTCACGGGAGAACCTCTCGGCTCTCGATCTTGGTGGTTCCCAACCTGAAGTCACAACTAAAGTGGAACGTCAGGTCATTGAAAGAGTTGACCGAACACTCTGGACTGGCGAAGAAACTACCCGTTATCCTCTTACGCAATACCCTCATTCATCCCATGACACCCACGACGATCTACTGGGCCCTTCCCGAGAACGACGTTATGACATCAACAATACGAGCAGAGATGACGGCCGTGGAGCCACTAACCGGACATCTAAATTTAAAGCCCGAATGGAGAAAGCTAAAAGAGATTTCTTGAGTGATGCTCCTAGTGGACAAGGTAATAAAGAACAAGCGACAATGCTATATGTTTATATACAAAACGTTCAACTTTCTACTTTTTAGAATACGAGACCCGCCAAATGGAATACCGTGGTCCTTTGCTTCAAAAGTTCAATTCGGGAGAGCTAAAGAGCCGCATTGAAAACCCACCGCCATATCCCCATGTCGGGCCGAGTCCATACGACTATGTAAGTGAAGTTCTGTAGCTCTGAGCGCCGCACCAGCACATCCGTCTTTCGTGTAAATAAATGTAGATACGACCCCCTATTTGGCTTTGAATGTCGCTTATTTTCTCTGTTAGGAGTATCACCGGTTGCTTGAGAAGACCGAAAGGCAGTTGGCCAGCTATCGGCAGCGTCTGAACAAGTCCGCGGATGCAGCCCATGGCGAGATCGGCCGCCAAGGCCTTCTGGAGACGGACATCGATCGACTGAAGAGGGAATCGGTGAGAAAGAGTGATCCTTCCTTTCCTTTGCTCCTGGCTCAGTTTCCGGCTTCCTTTATTAACCTTTCTCCTTCTTTCCACTAGTTTCGAGTGCACTGGTCCTCTGTGATTTCCCGTTTCTTTAGACCGAAGACATTAGCCGATCCAAGTCAGTTCTCGACTACAGTATACATCAAAGTCGTCGTGATGTTCCTGATGGTGCCCCGGAAACATCACATCTCCGGTCAAAGAGTGCTGATTATCTTATGGACAAGAAGTAAGTAAAAAAATTAAAGGTTCACTATACTTTGTAATTACAGACTACGCGAAGATGCCGCTGCTCCAGAAAACGAACTTCAAAAGAACGCTGATGGTCTTCATCGTGACAGTGCAGCGCGTCTTACGGCCACGGAATACTCCGAGAGCGAGAGATTCCGTAAATCAATGGACAAACTGATCAGCGTCACTCCTTCATGGTACCAAGACAATCTTCGTTCTCAGCCCCCAGCTCACACTCCAACTGATTTGGGTTACAGTAGTCGTCCATATTCCCGCCAGCACTTCGAAAGTTCTCCCAGCCAAGGATATGACCGTCATCCTAGTGGAAGTGCCATCAGGGCAACATCTCCCATCGGTGGAATCTCGTTCCCTCCGGGCATGTTCGATCGATACAAAGGGGAGATCGAGGATATGCGTCGCTCGAGGTCGTCGCTCCATCAAGCCGGTGTTTCAAGCCCTCAGGAGCACACCAAGGTCTGTGTGTTGTAACGTGCTGTGATGGACCTTCCCCTCTCCTACTTTCGTTTTTTTCTCTTGTGTTGCCACCTTCCTTTACATCGTATCTCTTTGTATCCTGCCAACCCATCCCCTGCCTTCTTTTTGGTTACTATTTCCATTTACGTTGTACAGTGCTTTTATTCCGTGGTATAATAAACCCTCAAAGTTTGGTGTTGAGTTGGTGCTGCGGCTGTGTATTGTGCTTTCCCCTGTGCACTATGAGACTTAAACTTTACATTCTTATTTAAGGTGCCATATAACGCCCCATCTACCGGATATAGTCGAGAGGTCAGTTTTTAATTACCCAATAATGCGTAATGAACAAAGTAGACCATTTTTGGTAAAAAAAATAAGAAATTTCGAATGAAAAAACGTTTTTACTGCAGGAGTATGCGCGAACCAATGTCCGAACAATCAACACTGGAACAGACAGAGTACAGGCTGGGTATACTGTATCTACAGTACCCTCCAGCTGGAATCTGTACCAGAATCCGAATTCTCGAGTGATTGAAGTTGCGGATACATTCGTTGGACAGACAGACCGTGCTGATGCCAGGTTTGGGGGCAAAATAACCATCGAAGAAGTGCTGGACGCCATCTTCCAAGACACAAACCCGGCCGATATTCCGCCGGATCCAAGTTATTCCAATTATCCGCCACCAAGAAACATCGATGGCCCAGGAATCTTTACTCCAAATCAACACTTGATGGAGCAAGTAGCACAAGATCCACACAATGCAGAATATCTGCTACGAGTAAGTCATCAACAATTGTTTTTTAAACGATTTTCATCTTCAGAATGAACCTCTTATTGTGCAATGTCGTCGATGCAACAAGTCATCACATATAAGTCATGCTAGAAACAGTTATGTCAGTTGCAAGCATTGCTACACTTACTATTGTTCACGAGCATGTCGTGTGGAAGACTGGGATAGACATAAGGAACGATGTTCTTTCGCGAGAATCACAACTCTATGCAAAGAAGTCATCGTAAAGGTCAGAAATGACCCGGAGACGCAATATCACATGTCCAAAATAGCGCGCGATGGGTACAGAAAAGAAGGTCGAGGCTCCGTCAATATAAGGATTCTGTAAGTTACCCTGGTTTCTATGACTGTTTCCAATTCAGATCTGCCCATTCCGCCCAAATGTACCTCAAATACGGCTGGAAGTCACTGTTGGCCTATGAGGACCCAGAAAACTTGTTGTTCTACTATCCAATTCAACAACTAATCCATCAACGGAAAGAACCAAGTCTAATCCAATTATGTAGGAAATACAATCCAGATGAAAAGTTCATCCTGAGTGTGAGTATCATCGCGGATATCGAGCAATGTCCTCAAACACCACCTCCGGAGGGTCAGCTGTCCGACCCGTACGCAGCTATAAACAAACCAATCCGCAATCCCGCCCTCAGGCAGTATGATCGACATGGGGCACTAGTTCCCACCGATGTCTGAAGGTTCGCGAAATAATGTCACAACATACTTTCCTCACCCATATCTACAGTCTTTATCCTGCCGGAGATATTGTAAACCTCTCTTATAATCCTTGTAATCACAAAGCACTCTCCCCCTGATATTGTTGACATTTTCAGTTGACCAAATCCAGCAGTTGTTTCTAGTCATTCTCGAGGTGTCAATTACAGGTCTCCGGAATACATGCACATATCCTCCCGACCAATTTGAGCTTTTCCTCGCATTTAATTGTCTTAAGAGAACCCTGCCCTTTAAGTGACACTGCCATTTTATCGCTCTCAAATCCATTTTATTCGCTTCGAGTTGGAGAGCAATAAAGCATAAAAGAGAATCTAAAGATACCAAAGGACAGTCTTGATCCCTGCTTCCATAAAAGGCATATCTTGAGAGTAGTTTAATGAGAATAAATACAAGAACATCACAACCATAACCATAAAACAATCACCATGCGTGGAGTTTGCCTCAGGCATCATAATCATCATCCGTCGCATTTGGCTGGTACTGCGCTGGGAGAACGTTCGGCATTGACGAGACCGGCGTCATGTAAACATTCGGTGGAAGAGATTGTTGGATTGCACTTGGATCAATTGCCTGGACTTGAGGAATGAATTCGGGATTCTGGGGAATACCATACTGGTAACTGGAGGTAGGAACTGTGCCGGGGATCTGGGCTGCTTGTTTCTCTGCTTCCTCCTTTCGAGCCTAAAAGTATGATTATAATCAAGTATCAACGTCACACATCAAAATGCATAAATATTATATCATTGGAAGAGGAAATTCAAATAAAGAGTAAATGCAGCTCCTAACAAGCCGGCCAGATCAGTTGAACATACTTAGACAAATTATAAGATTGACATGACTTATGGAACGAACCGCAGTGAGGCGGGCACTTGAGACTGTTGCGGAGGCGATGAAGCGGAAAACTGAGACCTTAGGGAGTTTAGGCCAAGGGCCAGCCAGGGCCGAGCGGGAAATGACTTGCGCTTATGCCAACCGAGTAAAGATAAAAGTTCCCATAACAGGGTCCAGATTAAGCAATTGGTGGCCCATTCTTTGACGCCGCGTCACAAAAATTCAAATCCAAATCCGGCCACGGCCGAGTTTGGCACTCGTCTGGCCCCTTTAAAACATGTGTTTCCCCTTTTGGACCAAGAGGTTTAGGCCCCCCGATTTGGGCACTGGTCAGGTTAGACAGATTAGCGGGCGGAAGAGACGAGGGCTGTCAATTGCAAGAAGAAACGACCTGTTTTCGGGATGGGGGAAGAATCCCCCAAATCCCTGTCATCGACACAATAGCCGGCCGAAAACAAGATTTAACCGAGCGCGTTCGAGTTCCCTTATACGTCTTCGCTAGTTTCAGCCCAGGGTCCGTCACGCCGTGCCTACAGGAAAATGAGTAATCTGATTGACTTCCATCGACATCGCACATGGAGTAAGTGGTCCCGATTTTATTATTACGCTCTTTGGTCATTATGTAAAGTGACGCCATTAACATTTATCTAGGGTCCTCTCCCGCAACAAGTAATATGAGTCGGCTTTTCTGTCATTAGGTCGGATTTTGGTACTTTTACCATATATTTAGGAATATAAAACGTGGTAAAACTCATGAAAGGTTAACCCAAAATCTCAATGCTATATAAACATAAAAGTCGTGGGTTTCCTGGTCCCGTTGTTTACTTCCTTGACACATAACTCTTGACTTAACAAATCTCATAATTGCTTCTTTTTTGCGGTTGTCGTCTCAATCAAGTGACATGTGCAAGTTGTGACAATTGGCTCCGTCTTAAGTGCATTTATATTATTATACACGTTCTAAAGTTCATTCATCTCCACTTCCTACGAATTTGTCTAAACGGTCTGCCGTTTACATCTTGTGATTACTTCTCTCCCCACCAAATATTATGAACAAAGTAAGGTCGGGGGATTCTTAGTTTTAGCTTATAAAACTCTAACTCTCTCTTTTTCTTCAGCCCAGAGATTTACGAACATTAGAGATTAATATAATATCAGAAGAAATGTTATATATTAAAAAAACTTACCTTGGCAATAAGTTCCTGTTGAAGAAGATAGAGCTGCTCCTCGGGGATTCCGCACTTGTCTAGCCTGGAGTTTTTCCGTTTCAATCTTTTCTCGGCAGCGATCTTACACTCGTCTAGGACAGAGTCTGCAGCTTCAATGTAGTCGGCCGGGAATCCCAGATTTTGGAGGGCTGAAAAGAAACGGGTTAAAACACTACCAAGGAAATTCGGAAACAAGGGACGGGCGAAGAAAGCAGCCAATCGCTGCTAATCTAGGTCCCTCGCAAAACGATCCCGTCATCAACGATTCGCGTTCGTTGATAGTATGGCAATTACCCTGTTAGACACTAGCCGTCGCGCCCGGTCGACATTAGTTCCCAGAGATCCGCGGCAGTCCGGGACATTAGTTAGTCCGCACGTCAGGCCTAACAAATAAAGGAAACGCGCATTCCTGCCCATTTTCTTGGTCTTTTGCCTTAACGCGGCTCATATAAAACCATTCAAACATTTGCATACATTATGATAATGTGACCCCGACTTGTCCATGTGCCCAGTTTCTAGTCCGTCCCACCGGAACCACTCTATAAAACCTCGAAAAGTTGGTCGTCCAGGCTTTTATAGGATTTCGGTTACACAGGTCAACCAGATGACGGGCTAGGGTTATATTAACCAGCCACCAAACATATTTTTCCCACTTCCTTTAAAGAGGATAGCCTTCAAGGAACGAACCCTCAGGGCTTGTGCACGCAGATCGGAAGACGGCTAGGACATTTCGTACTCACAAAACCCTTTTCAAATTTGGGAAATCTTTGACTCTGTTGGGGCCAGGAAATGCCAATTAGAGCGGGGAAACAAAGGTTAGCCAATAGGCGGAGGATCTGCTCATCCGTTGTAAAAATGCATCATCATATTATTTTCTGATTAGTAAAATTACCGATCTAAAACTTACCTTTTTGCACGTGTTCGTGATAAATAGTCTTTCTTTGGTCATCTGATGAGATTCTCTGCGCTTCTCTCGCGACATGTTTCACAAACTCCACACAACAAGCATTCAGTAGTTCTCTCGATTCATTAGCAATACGAACCTCGGGGAGAACGTCCTTTATGATCATATTTAGGCCCTTCTGGGGCAGTCCAACCTCGTCGTCTTCTGCCATATTTTACTGAAATATTCGTGATGATTATTCTTTTAATCGTATTTTACTGGGAGTAATTCAACGTCACACATAGAAGAATGCATTACGAATCATAGATTGAGGCCCTAAAAGGCAAAAGTCACAAACTGCGGCTCCCAAAAGATATCACGCTAACGAGTTGGCGAATGGAAAAACTCTTCCGGCGGAAAGACGACCGAGGACGCTGCACGATCCCGGTTTAAAACCCGCCAATGTGTGCTATTGGTGCTGTGATCGCCCCTGTGGGACCGACCGTCGTCCCGACTAGCCGAGTTTATAAAAAACAGAGGAAGCGCACGCTGTTTGTCGTGCTGAAAATGGGGCCCAATGACGCTGCAAAAAGCCAGATTCTAGGGGAACCGGATCTGTGCCGTTTCAGTGTGCACGGCATCTCTAACAAGAACTAACTCAAGTTATGGGGGTGGTGGCCAGCCTCATGAAGCCATTGTAGTCTCCATTTAACTGCCAGAATACTCCGTTTCTTCTAACATCTGAACCATTCCTATTTTCAGAAGACTCGATGAACAGCTCGTCTTCTGGAGCGATATTACACTCAACAGAGACGCCGATCATTATTCCCTCCATCAAACAGCTACCTCTCGATGTCAAACTCACAGTGGTCGCCTACTGCTATATACTACCAGTGATATGTGTGGTCGGAATAATCGGGAATGCCATGAATGTGGTCACGCTTGCCAGCAGAAAACTACGAGCAGTCTCTTATATGTATCTACGGGCCTTGGCAATAGCAGACTTATTGTGCATGTTGTTCGTCCTATCATTCGTATCTTGTGAAGTTCTAGTCTACAATGGATACTCATTGAATGGGTCATATTGGTATGGATTCTATCAGTCACATATCATCTTATCATTTATTAACTGGGCGTTAGCAACGGGTGTTTTTATCGTGGTAGCGTTGAGTCTGGAGCGATACGTATCCATCGTTTTCCCCATGCACTTCCGGCAATGGAACTCTCCATCGCGAGCGAGAAGAGCAATTTGCGCGGCCTACATGATTCCAGCAATGTTTTACCTGCCTTATGCAGTCGGCCGATATTCGGTTGAGACCAAAACGATGTCCGATGGAACTGTCGTGTATATGCAAAGCGACAGTGACATATCAAAAACACTATACTGGCAAGTGAGTACCCTAGGGAATCGCGATGACTAGATTTTCGGCGTCATTTATTCAACTGTGTAATTCTTCTTTGCAGATCTACAAATGGAGCCGAGAAGCGTTCTTGAGATTCCTCCCAATTATTGTCCTAACAATCCTCAACGCTCAGATAATGATGGCTTTCAGAAAGAGACAACAAATGTTTGCTCGACTGAAGAACAGAGACCAAAACAGTCAAGTGCGTGACGATACCCTTCTTTACATCTTAGGCGGAATTGTGGCCATGTTTTTTGTTTGCAACATTCCAGCAGCCATAAATCTATTATTCATCAATGAGACGGTCAAAAAGCGAGTGGACTATCAAATATTTCGGGCCATCGCCAACCTTCTGGAGATCACAAATCATGCCGCTCAGTTTTATATTTTCTGTGTATGCTCAACAGACTACCGGGCCACCTTTCTACTAAAGTTTCCCTGCTTTAAAGTGAGTGCTATATCTAAACAAATGCAAATAATAAGTGGATCTCATTCTAACATCACTTTTTAGGCTTACTACACTAATCGCGAGAAACTGCGGTCTTTCATCAGAAGGCCTCAGGCCAAAAACGACAACGGAAAAAGCGCGCCCCCTCCGAGTATGGCCATGGGAATCTCATCGATAAAGCGCAGCAGTACTTTGGAAGGGACCACATGTCAACACAAAGAACCCGAGACTGTCGACATCCACCTGGCTAGCGGAGAGGATGACATTAGCGACGAGGCGGACAGCCTGCTCAACGATGAGAACAAGAACAAAGAAAGCACTTATCTCTGATCAACTTATACCGGTGAAAATCTCATAAATTGCTCAAAACATAATCAGAATGTCACTACCAATATAATTTTGTGGGAACTCTAATAAAGACTCCGCGGTATTTGCCCATGCACAAACTGTTCAAAAATTAAAACTACGCAAAAAATCGCCAAACAAGAATTAAAGTCAGACACGGAATTGTTGCCATAATCGGCAATACAAGGTAAATACAACGGAAACCCTTCCTAGGGATGCCCTATGAAAAAATAATAAAAATATAGGCCATGAAAGTAGTCAAGTTTATGTCACGCGCAGAAACCACCACCAGAATTTATGCTCTCCATTATCCATCTCGAGAAAATTGTGTTACACTTATCAAAAGAGCTGAAGATCTAGAAAAACTTCTCGTGAACTCATTCTAAAATCAGCTAAATTCAAACGGAAAATAAATAAAAACCGTGCTTTGTAAAATTAAAAGTAACAACTCATGCGACGCTCACAATATACAAAACAGCTCAATTTGATAATTATATAATAAAATACAAGTGGAAAGCATATAACGAACATGCCCATAACGAGATCCTAACGTACGTCAACGTTCAATTGTGCAAAAAGTAGTATAAATCGGACTCGACTCCGATTTACAAATTTTCTGGAGAACAAAATGATAGAGAGAAACTTGACCCAATAATGGCGAAACAGTTGGCGCCAAAATCTTCTCTTTGAAAAAATTGCAAAAGCGAGAAAAGAAAGCGGGGTTCGAATCGGCCGTCTAACTACTACTTGGCGTCACATGAGTGTTGATCGGAGCCCGATTTATGCGCGTATTTCTTCTTGAGGATATTAATGTTATTCTCGACAATTTTAACATTTTTATTTATTATGTTTGATTAGAATCATCTTCTAGCCTACTCAGTTCATGGATTCTTTAACGGAATAAGGATGGCACACAACAACGAAGATAAGAAAGATAACATAACCTCTAACCCCACCCTTTCCTTTCACCCAACTACATCCACATCACGACCAAATCTGCATAACAATACGTTTTCCTCGAAGGTATGTGAATTTATGCATGCTGATGTCTCCTTTTAGATCGCGGAAACTTTTTTAACAGCTGGTCATGCTTTTCAAAAATTGGGTGACTTAACAGTCGGCTTAAATGCAGTTAACGTTGATCATGAAGAGAAGTAAGTGATCATATGGCCATAATCGATTTATTTTAGCCGCTGGACTGAAAAGGACATCGACAATTTGCGCGACGCTATAACACGGTTCGCCAATGAGCTGGATAATATATCCGGATCGCTTTTGACAAGATCAAAGTGAGTTTTATTTCTATTATTGTTAATTATTCTTTAGGAAAATGATACGAACCGACATCAAACGTCGGACATTGCAAATGGGGACAGAGATTGGAGGTGCGACACTGTCAGGCGGGCGGACGATATTGAAACCAGTGTCGCAAACGGATCCATATCTTCAGCAGTCGGTGCTTTCCTTAAATCCGGCCACTTCAAAGAGTTCTCTGGCCACGACCTCGAGTATATCAACATCCCTCAACAACATCGAACAGAAACCTTCCACCAGTGGTAATCAGAATGCGCTTGAAAGTCGGTTGACACCAGCAAACGGAGCAACTTCGTCTGTTTCCTCTTCTTCTCCTTCCACGTCAGGTAGTTGAAGTTTCCATGTGCAACACAACAAGAGAAAGAGTATTTGTGGTTTATATTGTATTTTTAGCTATTTCAACGTCATTAACTTCAAGTGCTTCGCACCTTAAACATCCAGTTATCAAAAAAGTATACGTGAACAGTGGCAATCAACCGTTAGCAGCTTTGCGACGGCAAGCGGCACCGATTTACCGTAATCAAACACCGAGCATAAGTTCGGTAAGCCTATTTATTGGAGAATATTTGTTTACATATGACTTTATGAGTAGACTCATTTCCGTGTTTCCCATTGCATTTTTAGGGAAACATTCGACTGATTGGTCAGAATATAAATCCAGGCCGAAAACTATTGATTTCTCAGAATAATTACGTTCGTGTGGTTGCACCGCAGGACACAGATCGGCAACGGCCACTCGCTGTATCAGGGCGTGGCCGATTTCAACTCCCAAATGGCTTCGCGAACGAAGAAATCGTGTACACTTCAGCAGGACCTCAGGACACCAGAAATATGAAACGACCTCTAACCGAGAGCTCTCAGGTACCCAGTAAAGCGCCTAAACTCGAGACTGCTGAAACCTAAGCATTCCTCGGTTGCAATTTCTTTGGAAGTTTGAGTTTAGAATTTGCTGATTCCAGCTTCTTTATTTATGAAAGATATACTTTATATGGAATCCTAGCGTTTTTCTAAACTTCCGCTTCCGCCTAGACAATGGCATGTAGTAATATGTAGATTGATGTAGAAAACGTTCTTCTCTGAACGATTGTTGTCCGTTTAACCCGATTCTCTTCCAAAGACTCGTCTGCATATTTTTTTGTTGAGATTTCTCTACTCATTTTTGCCTTTTATTAACCAAGAATTCCATTGTTGTCTTTATATTGAAATGAATCTAATTCAGGGAGTAAAAAAATTTAAATCAATGCCTGTAGGGCTTCACCGGCGGAATTTCGAGTACCATAACATATCTGAACTTTTCGGCCCGATTCGCAGAGCAAAAGCATCATTGTGGAAAATCGCGCAAAATTTCAGCGTTCCAGGGGACAACTCTGTGTTGTCGATGTTGTGCTGGTTAAGGTTTCAAAATTCTTTCGTCTATACAAATTTTACTGCAACACAGTAAGGGTTTTACAAGCCACCTTCCGAATTTTTCCGCTTTTGCCGTACAGAATGACGGAAATTTCAAATCAGTATCTTCTGTGACATAAAAAATTATGGACCGATTGTAGAGATGACGCAAAAAAGTCGTAGCGCACCATGCTTCAATGTATTTTACTCGGAATTGGGTATACGAGGGTACCATATTGGGATCGTTATAACTTTCGTCCGTAATGGACGTTTTGTCCCCACTTTTTATTTTCTTGTCTCCCGAACGGTTTTGTCCCCAGGCCGTTTAGAGAATTTTTGGTACTACAACATATGTGACTTGTCGTTTTTTGCTTACAATGCAAAAACACCGTATGTTGGCCGTTTATTGCACTTTTTTCGATTTATCAGCACTTTAAGCGAAAAAATAAGAATTCCGCTCAACCTTATGGACTCCGATACCATACAGGGTAAAAATTTTGAAATCTTCGGATTTTAAATTTCCTCATTATAGCAATACGTTTTAATCCGGCTTATTGTATTTCTAGTTTGCAATAATTCAAAAGACGCCCGAATCGTTAACCATTAAGTTACCATCTCTTATCAGTGTGTCTCCACTTAATGGCTGCGTGGCAACTTGGAAACTTAAAGGAGAAGTAGTGTCCAGTAAGTAAGGAGACCGTCCGAGGATAATCACGGAACCAGCGATGAACAACATGCTGAAGGTGATTAACATAAACCTGTCGGTTACCATAGCCACATAACACCATAGATCACTGATCTGTAAAGGGTCGTTTGATCAAACCTTTGTGTTATCTGATACCTTATCCTTCTTTTGTTTATTTCGGTAATAGTTCTCGATGAAACTAATGTTGTCGATCATTCTCCTGATGATGTCTGGGTGCATTCCTCGACGTTGTGCCAACTCTGAGAGTCGAAGCTCGGTATCGGTGACTGAGATCAGATAAGGACTTGGTCGTCTTGACCCCATACTGGAGGGAGATTGACAATCTGAACTAATATTAGTGAGATTCCAATAAAACCGTACCAGAGACACTTCCTTCTGATTTCTGTTCATCATCGTCATCCTCAGGGGGCTCCATAAACAATAATTTGGGCAGTACTTTGACAAAAACAATGTACATCCAGTCTGGCATTTTGTGCAAAGAACCATCTCGGCGATACCAATTGACAGTCACAACGGAAATTATGATGGAAAAAGATACCAAGAACATTGTGAACAAAATGTATTGACCAATCAATGGAATCACCAACGATGTTGGCGGGATTAACTCGATTAAAACAAGATAAAACACAGTCAATGTAACCAGCACTGATATGGAATGCGTAATTTTGTGTTCAATGGCCGGTATGTAAAACACAAATAATGTTAACCATGCTGCAACAAAAATATCTTATAACGCAGTATTCCCGTACCAATCAAAGCACATGGCGTGACCAGATTTACAGTATAAAACAGAGTCTTCCTTCTCAAACTGATCTCATATGTGATGTCAATGTAAAACTCTTGTCCACAGCATCCAGGATATAACTGTTCGTGTCGTTTACTGTTCAATGTCAGCAGATCCCATTCGAGACTTCTAAAATCAAACATAATATTGGAGATGAAAACCCACGGGTAAAAGTAGGATAAATCCATCCCTCTCTCGACATATTGAAACTCCTTTCCTTCGTCGTCTTTTCTTGTTTCGATCAGACTGGCATTACTCTAAAGTGATACAATCAAAAATTTTTTGTGATACTTACTGTAAGTTGAACCATATTCAACAAGAACCCATTGTACGACCAACCTCCAAACTTCATCGAACAACTCTGCTTATCGTAGGGGAAGTATTCGATGTCAATTTGGCAGAAGGATTTGTAAATACTTGGAGGCTTCCACACCACGAGCCCTGTATAATATACGATAGCATCGCTGGTTACGGAAATATGAGGCTCACCGTCAGCACTGCAAGATAGTTATGTAATTTGACGTAACCTATGTTATGTCACATATAAACATATTACATAATTTTGGATAATTGTAAAACATCTTACTTATTGTAGAGAATTATATCCGGAATCCAAATCTGATCGGATGGAATATGAATCTTTTTCAGATTATCGAATTTTGAAGGATCCCAGACTAATTTGTAATCGTACCATCGCATTTCCAGCCATAAATTTGTGGTCAAGACTTGATTTATCTCGTCCTACAATTTAAAATTTACTTTTCCCGGCTTCCGATTTTCTCTCGAAACGAAAGATTTTTTAATGAAATATCTCGTCGATTATACCGTATTGCCTGCAGCAACAGGAGCGATATTTTTTAGATGGTTTTACGCGTTCTTGTCTAATATATTGTGGTATTTACATATTGTACCTTGTGTATGTTGTAAACTTGAAGATGTCGTCTAAATCGCCGTACATTGGAAGTAGAATCAACCTAATCTCGAAGTCCGAGATTCGCTATGAAGGAACTCTCTTTGCCGTGGATAGTCAGGCTTCCACCATTTCGTTGTCCAAGGGTGAGTTTTATATCTTTTGTTTGTGGCATTGTTTTAGGTTGGGTATGACAGGGGTTTTTATTGTTTATGTTTTTAGTTCGTTCGTTTGGCACCGAAGATCGACCATCCAGTCGTCCAGTGAAGGCTCGAGAAGAAGTGTTTGAGTATGTTATTTTCAAGGCCACCGACATCAAGGATCTCGTCGTGATGGAGGACATCAGTCCTAGTGAGTTGACTGTGTTTGATCCAGCCATTGTATCCATGGCGAAGTCTTCTCGTCCATCGCATGCTCCACAGCATCATGAGCGCAACGGTGGGTTCAATTATAGCAATCAACGCCATCGTCAACCCAACAACTATCCAAACATTGGAGGATACAACAACTACAACTCCAAATCCCAGTCTCTTCATGTTGCCTTTAAAGAGAAGCTCCAATTCGATAGCGATTACGACTTTGTCAAGGCCAACGAACAATTTGAAAAGACTTTGAATGGATCCAATGGATCTGCTAGTGATGATAAGAAGGAAGCTCAAGATGGTAGGGGTTTTTTATTCGATATATGAAAAAAAAAAATTTAGATAAAGCTGAGAATGAGGAGCATTCGATGGAGAGTGTTCAAAAAGACGAGGAGGGAAAGTCCTTTTACAATAAGGACAGTTTCTTCGACGAGATCTCCTGTGAAGCCCTCGAGAAAGCCGAAGGGTAAGATTCCAGATGGAACATAGAATTAAATTTGTTTCTAGCAAGTACAGTCGTCCCAATTGGAGAAAAGAGCGCCAAACCAACCAGGAGACCTTTGGCCCCAACGCCGTCCGTAATCAGAACCAGTATCATCAGCGTCGCATGCCCCAGAATCGCTACATGAACACCCGTCCCGGAAACCGCTTCTACGGCAACTGTGCTCTCCCCAGCCACTCCTTCCACCCTAAGACCCGCAATTCCAACTATATTCGTATCTAAAGTAGTGTTATTATTTTGTTTCCTCTTAGCTTAGTACCTTTCAGACTCTTATTATTGTTGATTTTAAGCAGATAAATTGTATTTTGTTTATTTTTTGACTTATTGCCTTATTGGGTTTGAGCCTAAAGTAGGGACGAACTTTCTTCTACGCCAAAGTTTCAGTTCGTTCTGGCTTTTTCGTCCAAGCTCGGTAAAGGCGGACTTACTACGTCAATTATTCTGATCAGCGATGCTCCAAATTGCACCATGACAGGTTGACTTGTGTTGCTAACTGGTCTAACACTTTTGTTGTAGCTGTATAAGAGATCTTCGTAAAGTTGGTTAGCATGCTTGCTGAGATGTGCAAGTGGAATTAACAGAGCGATGATTACTGTAAAAAGGTACACAAAAGTAAGTTTGAGACTCACGCAGCGTTAGCGAATGTAGCATTTGGTCACATTAAGCATCGGAAAGTTAATATTTTATAGACTTTTAAAATAATTTGACTTCCCAAGTCTTTAGGAGTCCCGACAGCTGACATTAAAAAAGCTGAGGAGGAGGGAAGAACCGGGCAAATCGGGGCTTAAATATTACTGGAAATTAAAATTGGAATATGTGAAATTGCTGTCCTTCAGGGCGAATTCGATAGTATCGGCGCTGAGAGGTTTGGTTGCGAGCTGGACGCCTAATGGCGAAATTGATTCGGCTAAATACGGGGATCTGGCAATGATCAGCAAGGTCCCCAAAACGAAAACAAAAGTGAATATGTAAAGCATCAGGTTGTCCATTACCATGGCCACAAATGACCAGAGATCGCTGATCTGCAATTATCCGTAAAAGAAATTGCACAGAATCAATTTACAGTAAAGTCATCGCATACCTTATCCCTTTTCTGTTTGTCTTTGTAATAATTCGCGATGAAATTGACATTGTCAATCATCCGCCTTATGGTATCTGGATGCATTCCTCTTAGTTGGGCGAGTTGGGACAGACGTAGCTCAGTCTCAGCCATTTGAGTTACATTCTCAAAGAACGGACTATCCGGACTCTCGGCGTTAAACAAATCTGAAAATTAGTATAAAAATAATGTACTAAAAAATTTATGTAAACATAACTGGACTCGACTTACCTGATATGGAGACCTCACTCAAACTTCCTTCTTCACTATGGACTTCATCTTCCTCCGGTTTTTCCATTCTCAACATCCATGGGAGATATCTGACGAAGACGACGTACAGCCATGGAGGCATTGTATGTAGTGTGCCGTCTCGACGATACCAGTTAACTGTTACTACCGACAAAATAATCGAGAAAGAAACCAGAAACATGGTGAACAGTATATATTGCCCGATCAATGGAATCACCAAAGAGGTAGGTGGGATTAACTCGATTAAAACAAGATAAAAGACAGTCAAGGTAACCAGGACGGAGATCGAATGCGTAATTTTGTGTTCAATTGCTGGGATATAGAATACGAAGATTGTCAAGAACGCTGTAATTATGTAATCAGGAAAATAAAAAGCCCGTAATTTTGCGATTCAGTCTCCGTACCCCCTTACCGATCATGGCGCACGGTAAAACCAGGTTCACTGTATAAAATAAAGTCTTTCGTCTGATGGTTATATGAAATGTAATGTCGATATAATAGTCAGGGCCACAGCAACCAGGATAAAGCTCTTCATGGCGTGCACTGGACACTTCCAGCAGGTCCCATTCATTACTCCTATAAATTTATTTCAAACTTATATGTACATGAGATGACTCACGGATAATACGATGATAAGTCCATTCCCTGCTCCAGGAACTGTGAATGTTTTCCTTTTCGGTCTAACTGGTTCCGAATGTCCTCCGGATGTTCCTAAAGCACAATCATTCAAATTGAAAAATGGCCCTTACCGTCAGTTGGATGACGTCCATCAAAAACCCGTGGTATGACCAACCTCCAAATTTCATCTCACAATGTTGCTGATCATAAGGAAAGTATTCAATATCAATGGGACAAAAGGATTTGTAGATACTGGGCGGCTTCCATACAACCAGTCCTGTGTAATAAACAATGGCGTCACTGGTTACAGAAATATGGGGTTCTCCATCAGCATTATTATACAGTAAGATGTCTGGAATCCAAATCTGATCCGACGGAATGTGTACTTTCTTGATTCCTCCGAACTTTTCTGGGTCCCACAGCAATTTGTAATCATACCATTGCATTTCAAGCCATAGGCTGGTAGTTAGGACCTGGTTTACTTCGTCCTAAACTACAAAACTAACTCTTACTGTAGACCTACCACATCAATTATCCTTATCAAAGACGCTCCAAATTTAACTCTCAAGGGTTCGGTGGTATTTCTGACCGGTCGAACACTTCTGTTGTAGAAGTAGAGAAGATCTTCATACAATTGGTCAGCATATCTGCTTGATTCGGATACGTAGATGACAATTACAAAAATAAGACCTAAGAAGTTATTGATTGAAAAACTGGGACTTACATTTGGTTGGAATCATACTTCCTTGACCTACGGGCACAGGGCCATTGTTTCTGGAAATCCGTCGGAAACGCGATCCCTCACCAGATTGACCAATTTATTGCCCTATCAAAAGATTTATCCCGAATTGGATAGACAGCTGTTTGGTAGGTGGCAATTCTTTGATTAGCCGATACGATTGATGTTATGTTTACACGAAACGCTTCTTCAAGGATCGTGCTGATCCGTCTTCGTCACTTTTTACTTGGCTCTGCACACAAGCATGGAACACTAAAACATTTTTTTTTTTCGTTCAAGTGCTGAAAATTTCCGTGCTGGTGCCTTGACATCGTGAATCTCCTATTCAGAATAATGTTTAAATTGGCGTATAAATTTTAATTTGAAGTTTGTATCTGCTAAATTTGTCAAGAAATAAGTTTGCATCATTTCCATAGCGCCTTTTCAATTCCTTATCGAATTCGTCACAGATTTTCAGTTTTATGCATCTCTCGCTTCTTGAACTCAAACTCCCAAATAATCAGCCAGAATTGTTATTTTGTTTTCTTTGCTCTTAAACAATCCAAGTTTCAAATGAGGACACAATGCTATTAAAGGATGGATTAGTAAAAAAGCCAGCCGTTGGCCAAGAATAATATCGGGTGATAGTATCCCTAACGAAAGACTGACAGGTGCGCAAGTTCTTTGGTAGAATATAGGGAGAAAGAACAACACCATGAGAGTTGTGGCTTCTGCAGATTTGTACTTAGTATAGAACAAACAACAGATGTTACATTTTCTTTAATGAATGACATAATAAGACAAAGTATAGCAAAAGAGCGATGGTTTGGGCGTTCGAAGGGGTGGTGGTCCAGTTTAGAAACATTTGCGGTGAACGATGGATGGGCCGGATTCGTCGTACTCTTGCTTGGAGATCCACATCTACAATAACAAAATATAAGAATAAAATATTACTTAAGAAGGGTAAAAAAACAAATTGAAAAAAACAAACCTGTTGGAAGGTGGACAGGGAAGCGAGGATGGAGCCTCCAATCCAGACGGAGTATTTGCGCTCTGGTGGGGCGATGATCTTGATCTTCATGGTGGATGGGGCCAAGGCGGTGATTTCCTTCTGCATACGGTCAGCAATACCTGGGTACATGGTGGTACCTCCGGAGAGGACGGTGTTGGCGTACAAGTCCTTACGGATATCAATGTCACACTTCATGATGGAGTTGTAGGTGGTCTCGTGGATACCGGCAGATTCCATACCCAAGAAAGAAGGCTGGAAGAGAGCCTCAGGGCAACGGAAGCGCTCGTTTCCGACGGTGATGACCTGTCCGTCAGGAAGTTCATAGGACTTCTCGAGGGAAGAAGAGGAGGCAGCGGTGGCCATCTCCTGTTCGAAGTCGAGGGCGACGTAGCAAAGCTTCTCCTTGATGTCACGCACGATTTCACGCTCAGCGGTGGTGGTGAAAGAGTAACCACGCTCAGTGAGGATCTTCATCAAGTAATCGGTCAAGTCACGGCCAGCCAAGTCGAGACGGAGGATGGCGTGGGGAAGAGCGTAACCCTCATAGATGGGGACGGTGTGGGTAACACCTGAAAAGTCATATAAGCTCACAATCAGATTCACTTACCATCTCCGGAGTCGAGGACGACACCAGTGGTACGACCGGAGGCGTACAGGGAAAGGACGGCTTGGATGGCGACGTACATGGCGGGGGTGTTGAAGGTCTCGAACATGATCTGGGTCATCTTTTCTCTGTTAGCCTTGGGGTTGAGGGGAGCCTCAGTCAAGAGGACGGGGTGCTCTTCTGGGGCAACACGGAGTTCGTTGTAGAAGGTGTGATGCCAGATCTTCTCCATATCATCCCAGTTGGTGACGATACCGTGCTCAATGGGGTACTTCAAGGTGAGGATACCTCTCTTGGACTGGGCCTCGTCTCCGACATAGGAGTCCTTCTGTCCCATACCGACCATGACACCTTGATGACGGGGTCTTCCGACAATGGAGGGGAAGACGGCACGTGGGGCATCATCTCCGGCGAAACCGGCTTTGCACATACCGGAGCCATTGTCCACAACAAGAGCGGCAACTTCTTCGTCACACATTCTGGTTTGTTAGTTCGGCTGGGGGCCACAAGGGTGTGTCAACCTGGAATTAAAAAATACACTGTTCATTTGCGTTTTATGATCACGGAAGAAACGCGAAAAGTAATATTAAAAGCTGACTGTTGAAAGTCTCATAAATGCAGCTAAAAACAATATTCTCGACTAAATAAAGCTCCAGAGAGTTTTCGAAATATGGGGAAGGGCCAAAACGAAGGAAAATTCAGAAGAACGGGGTGAATCACCGAATGAAGCACACGCCTTCGCAATGAAAATATTCAACTTCGAGGCTCGGTAATGAGATCAGATTTTTTTTCATCCAAAAAACGGGAAACTGGAGAAAATCGGATTCGGGAAAAATATAAAAATACATTTTGAAAACGAAATGCCAACGCCCGCGGTTTTCGAAATTCATTTTTTATATTGCGCAAGCCGATTCTTGCGTACGAGTACAAGGAAAAAGACAAATTAGACGGAAACCCGGGAAAAGAAGTGACGGAAACAAAATATTTCGCTAAAAAGTTTGTTCACAATGTCCAAATCGGGGAGGTTGACTGCTGGCGTTGAATGAGTCACCAGCCGTTTTCAGCGGACGTCCAACCGCTGTCAACCTACCAAAATGTGATCGAATATTCGCGAAGGCCGGCTAACCTTTGAGGAAAGAGCGCGCGCGTCTTTATGGGTGAGGGCAAGGACTTCTCCCTTTCCTGATACATTCCTCAGCACGGGCCTAAAATGCGGTTATCAGGCAGCGATCGGGGTGCGGCCGTGCCCCAGGGCTGGGAATATGAATCGAGATAGGAAAGCGACCAAGGGACGGAGAAGGAACGGTGTCGGCGCTCCCGATCTTTCATTAAAAATGCAGACGTGGCAATGTGAGAATACAAAAAACATTCGCTTTTCCCTCGCCGCCGCCTCGAAAATGAGTTGTGGAACGACGGCGACGGACTGACCTCAGAGTGCGCAACGTTCGTGGTCAATGCAAGGTGAACTTTTTTGTGTGCGACTTCACTTCCTTCATGCGCTGAGCGGGGGTAAGGGGAAGGCAAGGGGGGATGTGGCGACCACTTACTTCTCTGGTACAAAAATCGGGGTTAATCGCTTCTCCTAACGTCAGTGCGAACAGAACGAAAAGAATGTCTTCGATCATGAATAAAGTCGAGGATGGAAGGCCATCTCAATAGCAGCTAGTCAGTCGGGAATGGTGAGCGGGTGGAATGCCGCGGCTTGTTTTCCGCGCAGCAGGATCATCCTAAACGGATTACCTATGCAGCAATGACCTCGATACGAAAAGGAATTTGCATGCAACCCCAAGAAGGGTTGCGAAAAAGGGGGATAAATCTTGGTATACGCCTCTCGCCCATCCCAACTGACCCGTTCTGACAGCTGGATGGGGCTGATGTCCATTCCGGCCGCGGGTTTGGGGTCCGGACAAAAGAGGAAGCGCCGGCCGACCTTAAGCGTCAGTCCTGATCTGGGGAACAGTCCCAACTCCCAGCGACCAAAAGACGACGGGCAGCCGAGAACTAAAGGGCTGATTCATCGAAGACAGCGATAGGGCACGCCCCCATCCCTCAACGCTTCGCTCGATTTCTAAAATTCGAAAATCACACAAAAAATAAGATCGCGCCCTTTCGGTGATGATTAGCGTTTCGATGACTAAGGCAGGGTCCATATCCTTTTGGGGATGTTTTCTGATTACAAGTTGTGAATATTAACTAACTTTTTCGCGTAAAATGGTGGTATGTCAACGAGGTTGATGAGAGTCAAGTGAATTTTTCGAAATAGTGATTAAAAATTATTCAAATTTGGAATTGCTAATGTGCGGGCCATCTATAAGGAAATACAACAAAGCTACGACTAGACATTACCAACCACTGGAGACCTTGACCATTCATGGTCGATGGGTGCAGGCCATAGATGAATGCCACCGATCTGGGTCCAGGCCCAAGGAGTGAATAGGCCCTCGGGCTTGACACAAGAAAGCGAGGACACAACCCACCTCTTGAGATTGAAAGTGAGTAGGCGGATGAAGTCTTGGCCCATCGGGCCCAGATCCACTCTCCCCGTCGGAGGCCCCACCCCTCCACAACTGTTCCCTCTCCACCTACACCACAGGCCGCCGACGCTTTTCTTCGAATCCCGGCGGTTGTGGATCTCTTTTCAACGGGCCGGATCTATGGGCCTCGATCGAGAGCGCCCGGTTTTTTTTGATCAGTCTGTCAGAGGAGGGGTTTTGCACGAATGTAGTGGTCATTCGAGCCTTGGCCCATCGATCGCGCGTTTCTTGACCAGTCTCTGAAAAGTGCGCGTATTATATTAATCAAAATTAATACGCCAAACAAATTTTTCGTGAAATGTAATCAATATCCCCCCTTTTCCAAAAAATGCAAAAAAGGGATTCAGCGAAGCGGCCGAAAGATTGAATCCGAAATTATATCAAATAAACTATAAACAAATGCGACTGAAAAAACGGAAACAGATTCGACACTGGGTTGAGGGGAGAAATAACCGAAAAATATGGTGATCCGGGTCTTGGCACTGCATTTTATATGTCCTCCGGGTTTCCTCTCTCACTTTTTCTGTTAACTGAAGGCGGAGCGCCCTCGATCTATTAAACGGATCGGCACACCCACTGCAAAGCGGCCGAGGGACTGGCGATTCTTGAGAATTGGCCTCTTCCAGGGATTGATTCGCTCGATTCAAACAGACCCCGGAGGCAATTAAAAACACGTAAAAAACAGTTAACGCTTGCCGCTTCTTGAACTCTTCAAACAATTGCAATAAAATGTATACTGTAGTTGCTCAATGGGCAAAAATGCTTCAATGTCTCAGAATTTCATACTCATTGTAAAGAATGAAGTAAACAAAGATCACCATGTTCATTAACGTCTTAAGATTTGCTTTCTTTTGCACTTCCTGGAATAAACTATTTACAAGAGCGTACCAATGTTACTCCTCTTTCTTGACGTGTGAAGTGGAAGGAAAAGAAATGCACACACACGATCCCTACAATCATTTTGTCATCATGCGCGTATTGTTTGCAAGCATCCTTTTAGCTTTTTACTCCTATGATGATTTCCCTTATCAGTGCTGACTTTCCCTTTCTTTTTGTGAACAAGCCCAATTAGGAAGGAATTCGAATCACCTTTTCTGTGAATCTAAACCATAATCAAGTAATATCAGTCTGTCGGGAAAATAATAAGCGCAATGTCGCTTCGCCGATCGCGTCGCTGAAGTGAAAAGCAATTTTATTTTGCCGTGACACAATTCGTTTTCTTGGCGTCGATGTAATTTGCGATGCGACAGAGTCCTCAGTTTTTTCCCGACAGACTGATGTCATCTTTTGCATGTCCTTGCAAAAAGTGTAAACCAATATTTTACTTACCTTTAATTTTTGGTTTTGATGATTTTACGATTTTTGCTTTTTAAAATTTTGTTCTGGACAAATTGTATAACTTTTGGTCTCTCCCCGGACCCAGATATGTCCAAGATTTAATCGGCACGTTTTCATGGCCTGATTTTCTATTTTGGCCACCTACATTTGCCCCATCAATCAAGCTCATGCTCAACAAAGGGACAATTCTCTCCTTCGTAGAATTGACCTCATCGTCATGCAGAGGCGGACAGGCGCTCTCTAACTTCTTGGAAGTCTGCACTATCGAGCCAAGGAGCATGGACCGACTTTCTTTTTCTCTGCCGTTTCCCCGATCAGTCCACGTCTCTCCTCGGGGATTCGACGAATCCAATCGGATCACTAATCCCGGGCCCTTTCCCTGTGTAAAGTCTTCCCCTTTCCCCGGGCCATAACTTTATTCCGAGAACAAAACTGGAACCCTCGGTCCCTCGATCGCTCCGAGGAGGCATCTGTGCAGGTTTTCTTTAAACGTCCGCATCCCCCGCAAACAAAACAACTGTCAATGGTTGTTTCAGGGCATCCGAAAGATAAAAGAAAAAGCCCTGGCAATTTGGAGGTCCTACAAAAATGGACCGACGTCCAAAGCCTGGCAGGTATAAATAGCCTCGAAGGCATTTGTTCCGGGGTCACTTGCCGCTTGGTTTCGTGAAGATCGGGGATAATAATAAAGTTGTGCGACTCCCTATATTTCCATTTAGGATTGGCGCGTACGAATTTATGCTCGTCACCATGATGGTTCTCTGTCGTTAATCGGGTTTTGCTTCACCTTAAACCGATAAACCCGGAGTGACAGCTCTTTTATAGGCAATAGCGCGGTTTACATTGTATTTATGCATTTTTTGTTTTCACTTTTAGTAAGTTTAGTATATTTTATAACCTTATTTTAACTGCCCATGGAGTCATCCTTTCCATAAAGCATAAAAAATCGACTTGATCTTTAGATTTTTAACTTTTTCATTGCAAAAAGAGGGCGCGAGTGATCGGGATGTTCAGCCCATCCGGCCATAGCCCCATAAAGTCCTCCAGTTATGATTTTCAGTCACAAATCGACCTGAGTCATCGCCGCTGTGCTGTGAATCATATCCCCATTTCCCCCAGAAACATCCTGCCGTCCCGGGCAAGTTGTACGTCAATGATTCATTAGCTTAGACTTTGTATAGTGCGACACGAACAAAAAGCGAAAAAACAAATAATTTTAAAAAAATTTAGGGCTTAGGAGTCATTACAAAACACCACAATTTTTTGGTGGTATCGGAAATGTGGTCGAGCATAAAACATGGCGATTCATCTTTTGCGGTGCGGGATTCAATATTTAACATGATAAGAGGCTAAGTGCTGCACACTGTTAACTTTTTCCAACATCTCGGTGCTCCTAGCTGCATATTACACTCGAGATAATCGCTCTGTCAATGACTCAAGTATAATATCGCTCGCCCTTAAACCCCTTAAACGAATATCTTTTGAACCGAACGCTGATGACCTTTGGAAACTGAGCAGCGACGACCTTGCGGGCAGAGCAAAACATACATTGCGCGATTTCATCCGTTACTCTCGACCTTTTCCGATTAAGTGAACATCATCCAAATTATACATCTATGTGTTCGAGGAGCTCCGGTTCATGCCACTTTCACCCTCCGAAATCGAAGACTGACTTCGTTCCAAAAAAACATTCGTTGAGTGACCGGAATTAATTTGTCGTTGTATCCTGTCTACAGAAACAAGACGGAATTAAATCCGCGTTTCTAGAGTCACAGCTGCTTTTCCGGGTCTCGCGGGCATTTTCCGGGCGGAAGAATAACGCGGCCAAAAGCGGATGACATCCATTACGTTGAGTGACATAAATCTCATCGCTTCAGATGAATATCTAGTACAATCATCCCTTTTTTACTCGCATAGATAAACGAAAACAACCGCAAGTCGATGAGTCATTGCACCCTGACCCTTGCGAGCGTCTATTTCTTCATCCATCCGCCGACCATAGGTCCCCAAAACGGCCTGGAACGGGTGCGCGTTCAAAAAAACGCGCGTCGTTCTTCTTTTTCACCCAGTCGACCAGCTGTGCCCGCCAGAGAAGCAAAGAGTGGGCGGGCAGAACGGCCAGCCTCGGAGAGAGACAGAGTCGCACACAGATTCTGAGGCGAGGGATTCAGGCGAACGGCGGCCGGCGAAGAGGGGCCTTCCGGGACTTTTCTACTGGCTGTGCGACTGGGCACTGGGCATTCTGGTGCCAGTGACGGCCAGTTCTTCAGTTGTTTCTGCGACGGATATTGCCAACGCCTTGAATTTTGCGCAGGTATCTTTCGCGCAAAGGAGAATATTCTTGCGGAATGCCAAAATCGTTTTGGGACAGCGCCCGCCATTCTAGGCCCACAGCGCGTCTTTTCGCTTACGAATCACCTTTTCATCTTTTTTTTGGAACTGGCTCAGCTTTTGCGCGCTGTAGAGGACTGATGACCTTGTACTCGGACCAGAGGAATTATTTTCGGCTGCTGATGAGTTTATTTTTGATTATTCACCCCATCGTGGTCATTTTTTATCCTTTGGTCAAGTTCCATCTAGTTTATCCATTTTGACAGTGAAAAGCGTTCCGGTTGAATTTTTTTGAAAGATTTATATTATTCATGGACTTTGTCGTGTTTTTTTTTAACGTCTTGATTCGATTTCTTTTGGTCGAAATAATATCTTTTTCTCTTTCCAGGTTTACACCAGTACAACAGCTGAATCATGTGTGACGAAGAAGTTGCCGCTCTTGTTGTGGACAATGGCTCCGGTATGTGCAAAGCCGGTTTCGCCGGAGATGATGCCCCACGTGCCGTCTTCCCCTCCATTGTCGGAAGACCCCGTCATCAAGGTGTCATGGTCGGTATGGGACAGAAGGACTCCTATGTCGGAGACGAGGCCCAGTCCAAGAGAGGTATCCTCACCTTGAAGTACCCCATTGAGCACGGTATCGTCACCAACTGGGATGATATGGAGAAGATCTGGCATCACACCTTCTACAACGAACTCCGTGTTGCCCCAGAAGAGCACCCCGTCCTCTTGACTGAGGCTCCCCTCAACCCCAAGGCTAACAGAGAAAAGATGACCCAGATCATGTTCGAGACCTTCAACACCCCCGCCATGTACGTCGCCATCCAAGCCGTCCTTTCCCTGTACGCCTCCGGTCGTACCACTGGTGTCGTCCTCGACTCCGGAGATGGTAAGTGAATCTGATTGTGAGCTTATATGACTTTTCAGGTGTTACCCACACCGTCCCCATCTATGAGGGTTACGCTCTTCCCCACGCCATCCTGCGTCTCGACTTGGCTGGCCGTGACTTGACCGATTACTTGATGAAGATCCTCACTGAGCGTGGTTACTCTTTCACCACCACTGCTGAGCGTGAAATCGTCCGTGACATCAAGGAGAAGCTTTGCTACGTCGCCCTCGACTTCGAACAGGAGATGGCCACCGCTGCCTCCTCTTCTTCCCTCGAGAAGTCCTATGAACTTCCTGACGGACAGGTCATCACCGTCGGAAACGAGCGCTTCCGTTGCCCTGAGGCTCTCTTCCAGCCTTCTTTCTTGGGTATGGAATCTGCCGGTATCCACGAGACCACCTACAACTCCATCATGAAGTGTGACATTGATATCCGTAAGGACTTGTACGCCAACACCGTCCTCTCCGGAGGTACCACCATGTACCCAGGTATTGCTGACCGTATGCAGAAGGAAATCACCGCCTTGGCCCCATCCACCATGAAGATCAAGATCATCGCCCCACCAGAGCGCAAATACTCCGTCTGGATTGGAGGCTCCATCCTCGCTTCCCTGTCCACCTTCCAACAGGTTTGTTTTTTTCAATTTGTTTTTTTACCCTTCTTAAGTAATATTTTATTCTTATATTTTGTTATTGTAGATGTGGATCTCCAAGCAAGAGTACGACGAATCCGGCCCATCCATCGTTCACCGCAAATGTTTCTAAACATCTTCCATCGATTGCCGAAAAAAACCATCGCCCTTTTGCTATACTTGTCTTATTACTTCGTCATACATTAAAATGTAACATCTTTGACTTGTTGTTCATTAAGTAAAAACTGGCCTTAACTATCGGAACTTCTGGGTGGTTAATTAATTATCATACAAATTGAGCGGTTAGTTTATAATTACTATTACGTTACAGTGAGGGACCTGATCCATTAGCAAAAAATGTATCATTTTGCATCCGGGAAGTATCAAAAATGTGGCAAAATGCCTCCCTCGCCAACTAAAAAAACTCCGTTTTGAACTGCGGCCTGTCCCTCACAAAAAGAATGGCCGCACTTTTGAAATCGGAGTTTTTTTCACTTGGCGAGGGAGGGATTTTGCTGCATTTTTGACACTTCGCGAATGCAAAACGATACGTTTTTTGCCACTGGATCAGGTCCGCCACTGTATAGTTTTGAGAAATAATTTACGTCGAATTGACGGAATTTGGCCAGGCAACTGGCCAACTAGTTTTCGACCAAACTTCGGCTAGCCCTAGGTTTAGTAGGGTGCTGACCCTTCAAAATGTTATCGGATTTTTGATATCTCTTCTCCAAAGCGAGATATCGCAATTAGCGGGAAAAATAAGACGGGCCGGGTGGCCACCCTTGCCCATAAACAGGCCGAAAAAACGTGCATGTTAACGTGTTGCTGACCGCTCCTGGGGCCAATGCGCTATCTGAAAGTTTGCTGAAAGTTGGCTGAAAATGGTAGGGCGCAACTCGGAAAACTTGGACGGGCGCAGCTCGCGTCTTGGGTGCTCCGGCGAGTCGTTTCGTCAAAATGTTTGCATCGCACTTGGAGTACTTCTTCTGTATAGTTATCAGGGAAGTTTGTTTGCTGTGATAGAGATATAATATTATGATAATCGTTTATTTTCACTTCTGTACGTTTTTCGTGTTTGAAGACGAAGTATAAAATGCGTGCCGATTATTAGACGGATAGTTATTGCAGTTGTATTGGATAGCTTTGTATTTGCAGGATTTCTTCTTGGTTAATTACCTTGTAGGGTAATTGGGTGGGCTTCAGCCCTCCACCTGTAACCACCACAGCCATCTGGAGAATATGCGTCGCTTGTTTGGACCGGCAGGATGTTTCTGGTTAAGCTTTCTTCGCGGGCTTCGGTTGGGATGGGCCCAACATGGTCGTCTTCCAGTTATCAACGGAATTCGATGGCATCATTCTCATACCAAGAAAACGCGAAAATCAAGATCGGCGGTGGTGGAGCAGCGGCCAAAAGAGCTCGAAAAATACTCCGAGACTATCAGTTCCCAGAAATCAGAGCTGACGAGTGTCAGCAACAGTTCATAAGTGGTTGGGGACCGGGCGGACAAAAGGTCAACACCGCCCAGAATGCAGTCCAACTAAAACATATCCCCACTAACGTTTCGGTGAAGGTAAGTCAACTCTTTTGTATTCTTATCCAGTTTTAGGTACATGAAAGTCGGCTTTTAAGTGAGAACGTATCCATTGCATTTGAACGTCTGAAATACGCCGTTGACAAGCATCTAAATAAGGATGATTGTTATATGAAAAAATTCGATCAAATTGCAAAGGAATACGAGCAGAAGAGGAAGAGTCAGAGGAAGAAAAGACGAGAGGCTAAACAAATCCCAGACGTCGACTGATTTGCCTACCCGCTAAAACGCTTATATTTATTTTTGAACCCCAAGGGAAATTAATCAGTATATTTTCAGTAAATGTTACATTTATTTGATGGATTATCCATGAATGATAAGTGAAAGGCTTAAAAACCTAGAGATATTCTACAGGTTACCCTTGTATTTGAGAAGATGCGCAGCTTCTTCATCGAGGAAGTAATGGACCGGCTGGCCGCTATTCAAAGAGACTAGCCCTGCTGGATATTCTTTGCTGCCTTCATCAATAATTTCCTTCAACACCTTGGCCTTTCCTTTTCCAGTAGAAATAAAGGCAACATGCCTGGCATTATTTAGGAGAGGTAGGGTCACCGTGATTCGTCTGGGTGGAGGCTTAGGAGAGTCGGTGATTACGTCAGTCCATTTATTAGACTGAAATAATATATTTATACCGGAGTGTACCTTACCTTCAATAAGTCATGCCCCGGGAACAACGAGCATGTATGACCATCTGGGCCCATTCCTAAGAAAAGAATATCTAAGGTCGGATAGATGTCACTGGATTGACTCCATTCTTGTAATGTTCGGTTGAGTTGATTACAAGCTTCTTCTCCTGGGAAAATCGAAATTTAACGTTTGGATTACACACCTGATTCATTTCCTGTTTTGGCAACAACTGCAAACTGATCTTCCGAAAACACATCCTTCAGTCCATCCAGATAATATTTAGTGTTATTCTCAGGGTCTTCCAAAGAGACAAGGCGTTCATCCACTGGGAAAAGTCGGATTGACGAACGTTTGTCGTTGGGGATGACATCTCTCAATATTGGAATTAAGGTTTTGGGCATGGATCCTCCGGAATAACCGATTACAAAAGGTTTTCCATCTCCCCTAACTTCATATTCAATTAACGCGGTTCGAAGTAGGTCAGACAAGCCTCTAGCCAAATCAAAGCTATCCGTAGCTACATGAATTTGTCTTACAGGCATCTTTAATAATTTTTTGTGCAATTATGTAACTAGAAATATAAACGACAAATAACGAATAGAGAAAAACGAAAACAATAGGAACAGTTTATAACAAGTAACACAACAAAGGTAATAACTGTGACGAGTATGCACTCTTAAATTTCGATTTCCTTCTGTTTACATTCTTGAATAACTTCTTCTGATATTTGCATCGCCGTTTTTGGATCTATCAAAGAGCTAACTTCATGAGGAGTGGAGGCTTCGTATGCCAACAAGATCGTCGTATCTGAGAGTGGAATGATGGCTTTGGCTAATATCTTCACGCAATTGGCCAATCTAGCGATCACTTGTCTCGTTTCTGGCCCGCAACTCTGAAATGAATACGGCATTTAGTGACTCTAATTTAAAATATGATGCAGTTAAATTAGCTCAAGAGCTCCTGGGCGCGTTTGTTTGCGCGTTTACGCATACAACAAGTCCTAGGCGTGTTTATAAAGCAGGTCACAAATCTCTCCGAATATAAATAACCCAGGAATGATTAAGATGGTGTGACAACAAAAGGTATTATAAATGCTCGGCAATATCGGCAGACACATCACTGAGTATCTTCGCTATGAATTCCAAACTCATCTTGTTGTTTCTTGCGTGCTTGATGCTTGCCTCTATTTCTGAGGCCCAATTTCTTCCTTATTATGGGTACGGTCTTGGCTATGGCTACAATGCCTTGGCATACGGCAATCCCTACTACGGCTATGGAGCCTATGGAAAGCGGGCAGCAGGATTCTCACCCAACGACCAGAAATTACAATGATTCATTCGGTTGCGGATTTTAAAATGCATATTACTCATAATAAAGACTCTAACGGAATTCGTTGTTGTCTTGTATCAAAATTGTTTTCTATTTTCTCAAATATTCTTGATGCGACTTGATAAACAGACAATGTGACTAATTATTTTTTCGATAGAAAGCAAGACCTGATCAAAAGGAACGTTCAAAAATCATAGTAAAGGTAAAGAAAAAATAATGAAAATCATTAAATGCAATTGGAGCAAAAATAAAAAATCTTTAATCCTCACAGAGTCACCGCTCCACAATGGTATTTTCCTAACACGATAAGAACACAAAGGGTTCGAAATGAAAAAAAAAATCGAAAAAAAGTTGTAGTATAGTGGGGGAAGGTAATGCGCCACTCTCGCTCCAAAACAAGGTTATTTTCGGTAATAAAGGGAGGTATTTTGTGGTATTCGGAATGCCTCGCCTAGAAAATTAGAAAAAAACTCCACCGGATCCTCCCCCGCATTGTAAGACTTGTCGCCTGAAGATGACGTCATTCTATCATCCTTATAAACTCCATTTGTACCTTGTGGGTCTATCCAGGAAAGATTTTTTGAGGCGCTGCCATGTTCGACAAATTATTTTTGTTTACCTACAGAAAGAATTTAAAATAAAACAATAGATAACCCGAGGAACAAATGACAATAAGAAAACCAGCAAACATCGAAGAAGAGTTTGACGGAATTAAATTGACGCAATACGGGAATTTAATCCGTTGGCCAAATCTATCTGAGTTCCAGAACAAATTCCGGAAATATTTAAAGCGAACACAGCTTCAGACTCAATAGTTTCCCCAAATTCTGCTACAGCAATCCAAATTAAAGTCCAGAAATGAGCCGTGTTGTTATTTTCTTCTGCATTGCCCTCCTCCTCACAATCTGCGTAGAGAACATCTCAGCTCAATGGCTTTATGGATGGCCGGGATACTACGGATACTACGGTTATCCCGCTTACTATGTCTACGGGAAGAGAGAAGCCGGATTCAAACCTCAGGACCAAATACCTCAATAGATATGCAAATTTTTACCCCCTTTTTTAATACAATAAACTACGAACTTTTAAAACCTTTTCATTTAAAATAGAACAAACCTCGGTATGATGAATGTATCCACCTCCTTCTTGCTCCGTTTCTTCCATTGAACGGACAGTCGAAATCCAAACAGTTCCATTACACCCCAAGACAAGCGAAGCGCCCATTGGAAGGTTGAAGAAATGAGACTTTCTTCGTTTGATTAGGTAATAAGGAACATGAACAAGCACTCCTTGTCCGAGTTTACCATACTTCATTGATCGGGTGTGGAGACCAACAAAACCTTGAGAATATGTTCGTTGAACTTCAGCCTAAACATACTTTCAGAATTCCAAAGAAAAATGACCTACACTGACAAGATCTCCGACAGTTAAATAATCGGTCATCAGAAGTTGATCCTCGGACGATTTCCTCCTTAATTCACCTCCTGGTAAATTCACGCTAGATAATAATAACACTGCATATTGAGTGGAGTTGATGTCTACTATCCATCTGGACGATTGTACCTCCACAATACGGCCAACAACAACATCTCCAACTTCCCCATTATATCTAAAATTATCGTCTTAGCCGAAGCTTCACCAATCCGTTGCACTCGTGCTAAAACATACCGAGATTTTAGTGTTCTCACGCGAAGTAATTTGTTAACTCTGTGGGTAACACCAGCTACCGAAGAGACGATTCCTCCGTTATCATCTGTATAAGTTCCATGCCCTCTAAAAAAATTGTTAATCACGCATAAAACATGTTACCTGATCAAATCTGCATTAGTATGTAAAACCGCTCCAGGAAAAGCAAGTGTCGCTTCATCTGAATCTAGATTTTGATCTTTAATTACATTCCTTGAGGTCTCGATGGTAATGTGATCAAATAAAAACGGTGGTTTCTCTTCCATCCTTAAGGAATAAAATACATACAAACTAAAAAAGTACATGTAATGTCGACATTACAATTAAGTGATAAATTTTTGCAAAAATCAACAGTTTAATAACACAACAACGTATAACAATCAACAAGGATCACTCGGCGCCACTCATTTCTGAGTCTGGTTGTTGGAGGGTATGTAAAAGTGAGGAAACGGCAGCATCCTCCTCCGTCAAGGGCATTGACGGCCTTACGCCAGACAATGATACGGGTTTTGGCTGAAGGGGCTGAAATGAAGGTATCGATGGAGAAGTCCTTGAATTATTTGGCAGCTTCGGTGTCAGATCATCCATTGTAATGGCAGTAACATTCTGTGATTGGAAGAGCTCCTTCTTCACTAGAAACCGTTGGGGTTCACTTCCTGTTCGAAACGGTGTTACCGTATATTCTCGGCGAATATTAACCTTATTAGGAGGCGGATTAATCGACTGTCGAGCGAACATTGGCATCTAAACACTAAACTTAAAAACACGAAAAAAATAAAGCTGACCTTTGGAGAGCTGTTTCCGTTTACGGACATCCATTGGATATCCCGAATTTGCTTTGATGGACCATAAGATCCGTTCTCAGCCATCGCCCGTTTTCGCCCATTAGTCATTGAATTTTGCCTGATCAAAGACCCGTTTTGCAGCGCATTAAGCCCTGTAGCAGGCATTAATCTATAATTGTTTTGGGATTTCTGTGGAAGGGATCTAGTAAGATCCGCATTCACTGGAATCCGGTTCAATGGCTGGGCTGGAGTCCGCCTGGCCTGATGCGAGTACGGCCTCATATAAGTTCTAGAACTTGAGAACAGAAATAGTTAGACAATACTTACGCTTGTTTAAGTTTGGATGCATTTTCCAAATTGGCAGTAAACTTCCTAACCGATTCGTCGACCGAATCCATAGAACATGTTTCATCGTATCTGTGTATCATTTTAAATAATCTTATCGAACTCTTACAGATTTATCTGTTTGTCTATCCTATTGAGTTGCAATGCCAGATTCGTCAAATGATCAAAGGTAAACGTAGCGGCATAAAAAACGTCAGAAATCTTAAATTTATACTTTCGTACCAGTAAAACTACCTGCGTTGGTGACCCTGGCTCTGTCATTTTTCCCTGTACTTTCCCATTTATGAGGTCCTCGGGTAACGTAACAATAAATTGTCAACTTGCGAAACAAAAAGAATTTGTATTTCTATTGGCGAGTCGCGCCCGAGGAGCTAGCTGCGCTATATAAATACTAGCGAACTGCGCCGAACCTTGAGAAGTAAAGTAAGGCAAAAAAGGTGTCTATCTGGCTGTACAGGATTACTACAATAGCCTTGTGGTTTTGAAGATATTTACACCTTTATTTTTTTACACCGTTACACGGATATTTTTTTACACCGTATTTCAATATTTTTTCCAAGAGGAATGGAGCCACGATCAGAAGGAAATACGAGAAATCCGATCATTAATGCTACCGTATCTGGTGATGACGGGGGAGACGAAAGCATGGACCAATCTTTACAGCAAGAAGACGACGGCAGTCCTTTACTAAACGATATGGAAGAAGAACTAAGTGATCTGGAAGATCTTTTGGAGAAGGACGTTGATCTGCAAAAGTATCCAGAAGGCGCTTCTGTTAGGTAGGCTTTATTTCACCTTCTTTATATTGTCTAGAAAGAAGACCGTCTTGGAGATCAGGCCTAACGACTTTTCCCACATCCTTCCAGACGGATGGATTGAGATCACGCATGATTGTGGGCTTCCTGTTTACTTGGTTTGTTATCGTACTTTCGCATTAACCAAAAAAATTTTTATAGCACCGGAAGACTCGTGTCTGCACGTTTGCTCGACCTTATTTTATAGGTCCAAACTCAGTGAGGAAGCATCTGATTCCTATTCCTTCAATTCCTTGCTTGAATATGAAAAAACAACTTGAAGAGATAAAGACCAGAGATGAGAAATGCCCATTCAGGCCTACTCCCAAAGTAGAGATGGTTACGGTGGGCGACCGGGAACAATATTTGAATGGCGACGAGTTGAATGATTACGCGAAGAGTGTTTTTAAATTCAAAACAATAGATGTTGTTAGGTTCTCCAAGTGGTCGGAAACCCGGAATTTTCATCGAAACAGGAAACGGAAGCTTCATGAAGATGCTATGCCAGCGTCAGGTAAGAGTCGGCGCGTTTGCGAAGGCATCTTCCTTAACGAATATGTTTAGGCCTTAACAACGACGTCAAACTAATCACAGTGCCAGAGCTTAATGAATCCGCCAAACCTTCTCAACGGACCTTTTGTTTGAATCCGATCAACAAAACCTCAGTAACAATCTTACATGAATATGTTCAGAAGGTTCTAAAGAGCGTAGTTGTGTATGACTTCACTGAATTGAGGTTGGTTGTGCGTACGGATAATGAGAAAATTTACTCTTTAGTAGTGCAACAAACCCTTATCGATGTGTATCCAAGCTGAAACAATCCAATGCTCTTCAGCAAATACGACAACAAAAAAGTATTGAAGCCAAACTCACTCTTCTAAAAGAACGATACGAAAAGGAAATGAATCTCCATTCGAGCGAGGTCATTCGAAGTGACCCATCAGAAGTTGGGGATGAGACTTTACTGCTTGGCGTTGGATTCGGGAAAAGTAAAAAGGCAGCAAAGATGGCTGCTGCCGAAAAAGTTCTGCTAGGACTAATCCCTGGTCTTACATTCAATAACGAGCATATTGCTGTAAATCAAGAAGACGGAGATCCATCGCAACCAGAACCTGCTGAACTCTTCGAATTACTTGAAATCACCGATACGAGAGTTCCCGATTTATGTCAGAAGACTGGTCGACCGCAGCCTTATATGATACTTCAAGAACTTGTCAGAAGAAACGTCTCACTGGAGGATACGAGGATTGAGATGACAACTGAACAAAAAGGCCATCAAAGACATCAATTCACAATGAAGTTGGGACAAGACCACACAGTCTCAGTCACGGGAGGTAACAAGAAGGATGCCAAGCAGAGGGCGTCACAGATAATGCTGCAGAAGTTGTTTCCGAATGCTCAGAACTTTTCGGATATCCTAAAACTATACGATGACATGAGTTTTACATTACAAAAGGAAGCTCAGAAGATAAAACGACAAATGTCATCCAATCCTGAAGGCAGAGAGCCCGAACAAAGAGGATGTTCTGAAGCATTGGGTGTTCAGTTGAGAGAAGCGATGAAGATGTTGGACAAGAAGAGTTCTGGAGATGATCCAGTCATCTGCAGACCCCCGGTAGATCACACTGCTCCGGCTTTGTTTAAAGAGGAATGCGGGCAATTCGGTAAACTATGTGAACGATATCGGCATCTGTTCAAAGACAATAACCTTCTAGAATCGATTATTCAGTAGGCGGATTATTATTTACATTTCCGTGACTTCCTCAAAGAATGTAAATAGTTTTTGTTGTTGTGTTATTAATTATAAACATATCTGATATTATTCGGCGTTTTCCACGGAATCCCACATGTTACCGTACTTGAGGTCCGTGTAGGCCTTTCGATTATATCCTTCGGGAACTACTCGTCGTATATCGAATGGTTGAAAGTATTGTTTTAAATGAAAGTCTGGCTCTTTTACTGCTCCATCGGTCACCGGATATAATGCCTCGTAATGCCGATCGGCCCCAGAGCCGTGAATTGCGTATGCGTTGAAACTGGTGACTTCTATGAATTAAATAATTTATCAATATAACAAGTCCCTACCTCCAGGGAGATAAGCCAAAGGAATCTCTGCTGTGCAATTCCAGACATCCATATCAAATTGGTTGGTCACTTCCAGATCAATGTCTTCGCCTTTGTTTATACAATGACGGTATCCATCAAATAACAGTACCAACCAATGTCCATGAGGACCTACTTCGACTTCCAGATAATGCCCTTTGTCATTCATGAAGAACAACTCCACAACCTCATAATCATACAACTAAAGGAACGTTATGAATGATGAAATTTAAATTACATTAGACACGTAACCAGTCCCTTCATTTGGAGGTTCCGGATCATCAAATAACGGTGCTTGAATCTGAACTCGGATCACTCTTTTGTGGGGCCTTCTGGGGATCTTCTCAAAGTGCCATCTCATCGAAATCCTTATCGGATCGTGATCCAGATCTTGATTGTCCCAAGTTTTATTAATAACAAACTCAGCTCCTTTTAACAAATGCTAAAAATGTATAAAAATAAAAACACCTGCGCTACTACCAGCGGAAAGTCGCCGGACTGAAATCGGCGACACGCACTGTGACAAAAAAAAATTCAGCTTGCACAGTGCAATTTCTTGCTTCTTGCACCATGCAATAGGCTTTTTTGGGCTGTCGCTCGCACTCTGACCTTTTTCGCACAGTGCAAACACCAAAAATCAGTCCGGCGACTTTCCGGAAGGAGTATTCCTTACCTGATTCAGTTTCACATCTTCATCTCGTACAATTTCCCCACGGGCGGGTATTAATTCAATCGGAGGAAATCTATTTGCCATTATACAAGAATTAACTGTAAAAAGCAACAAAGTAAAGAGCATAGTGTAATAATTCGTGAGCTGTCTTAAGTCAAGAGTCTTAGGCACTTGACCCAACCCAAGGAGAAGACATAGTCCCTTGGCCCTGTTTAAGATAGCTGTCGAAAAATAGATCTGAAAAAAGAAACATTCTTTACTGGAACCGAGCCAGTGATATAAAGCCAGAATAAACAACGTTGAATTTATAGTAACAATTACATAAATAAATATAAAACAATTCAGGTATTAATGCCGCCGAAGGACACCCTGACTTGAGATTGTGGTCTCTTAATGTGGAAGTTGTCGCAGATTTCCTTTACACTCACTTCACGATCTAACAGATCCTTTACTTTACTTCGAAGTTCGGTTTCTCCCATTATCTTGGATAAAACATAAATGGCGCGATGTGCGTAATTCTGCATGGTTGAGTAATTGATCTGAAAATGAAAAAGTTGAGAATTATGTGAATCACGTACTCCATATTTTATCGCAGTTCCTTTACAACTGCCTTCATTCAGAAGTACTTCTTCGATCGCTTTGAATTTCACATCGTCCTCCACAATATGGCATTTCTCAGATGGAACTTTGTTAACTCTCATCTCGATCGACTTCCAAATGCCAGCCCTCATCACTAAATAATGATTAAAGGTCCAAAAACAACTTACAATCCGGGTATTCCTTCCAAAACTGAGGAATAATAACTCCATATCTCGCATACTTCTTTCCATCCACAACTTTTCCGAGGTTTGAATAACAATTCTGTTTCTTCGTTCGATTTCCACTCTTCTTCTTCGATACTGATGTGTCGAGCTCCCCGAATTCCTCTTCTTCATCTTCGTCCGTGTTTTGTTCTTTCTCTGAGGTAACGGGCTGAGGCTCTGGTTCAACGTGAACATCCAATGGCTCCAGTTCTGCATCCGGCTTGTTCTCCATGTACTGGAGATCGAATCTTGGAATTCTAAACCAAAATAGAAAACAACCGTGACTTACTCAATGTTGGTATCTCCAAAATGCAACAAGCCCATGCGGTCATAGATCTCTGTGAGAAGAGCACCGAGATCAGTCCAATCGACGTCATTAGAAACCGCAGCAGCACCTCTAGGAAGATTTCTGAAGAGCACATCCTTCAGAGCCTCAATTAACTTGGCTTTTACCTCATCTCCAAACCAAGAATCTTTCACAACTTTTTCAATCAAATCGTTAGTCTTTTTGTTATCTACACATCGAGCATGATCAACCAAAGCGGTGGTTTGCCGATCTTTCCAACGCCATTCATTGGGGAGTTGATTGTTCGTTAGGAGGTAGGTAAGTCTGGGATCATCGTTCTCTTCTTCCTCTTCCAAATCTCCGGCTTGAGAATTGTCGGAATCCTTTAAAAACTAAATTATTTAATCGTAACTTGACTTACTTTTACTTCTGAAGTATCACCACCCATTCCGGAATTCACACGATGGTATGAAATTAAATTTCAAGCTGTACACTAGAAAAACTAAGCATCTACAATAATTCATTTAAAAAAAGGCGCGCATTAAAGCTTTACAAAACAAATAAGATGTAATATCTTGCCCAATATTAAACTCGGTCCTAAATTTACTAGCTATCTTTTTGCTCGTAATTACTAGCAAAATCTTCTAAAAAACTTCGGAAAGAAATATTTCTTGGTACCAACCATGGTGCAACAAAAAATTGCAAAATTTATTTATTTTAGTCCCACTACGAAAACATTTGTTCTGGATTTTAGATTTGAATTTCGTAGACTTGGCAAAATTTAAAACTTCGGGAATAATAACTTCGGAGGCCTCCGAACTTCGGTTCTGAGTGTGTATAGTAGCTCACAGACAAATCAGCAAACCTATGATCATGGAATCTATCGATGGACGACAATCTGAAGATCAAAACTCCAGATTTCAAAGGTTCTCCGTTGCCAGTCAAAAACTTCGTCAATTTCAGCGTGAGTAAACTGGAAATAGCCAAATTTTTTTGTAGAAGCCATAGCTCAAACGTCGGATATAGATTTGGCGGATGTTTTGAAGGAATCCATCAACCATTTAGTAGCTACCGATGCTTACGGAACTCGTGACGAAGCGTTGGATTCTGCCAGACAAAGGTAATTGTAATATTGTAATACAATATTTTTTCTAATGTGCAATATAGGTGCAAGAAACTATTCAAAAGCGATCTATTGGGTTCTGTGAAGAGATATGGAGAGCGGGAGTTTTGTCGGAAGGCTAATGTTGATATCACTAAAGATCTTGGAAGCCAGAACGCTTTTTTCAACTTGGTCTCTAACTACGAACCTGAATACTTGAGACTTGCCATTGAGGTGTTGTTGGATACTCAATTCGAATCTTTAGCCCATTTTCGGAGAGAGTTCAGGAATGTGGCCAAAAAAAGGTTGTTTACATCTCCGAAGATCGTCGCAAATCCCAAGCTGGCTATCGGAACAGTTACGTACGTTTTATTGTATATGATTGCAGTTCAATTTTAGAAAAATATACTCCGAAGATGGTAAGAACGTGGCATACATTCATTTCCTGGTTCTTTCCTGCCAGTTGATTGTGTTAATGGAACAGCTTGTTATTGAGCGAGTCATCTTGAACATCACTGCTATGTTTAGCAATAAGTCTGCTTTTTCAGTAAGTATTCGAATTGCTTAAGAAGACGATTTTTAGTCGACTGCTGATATCATTCGTGAACTTAGCAAAAACTTTATCCCCGGTTCTATTTTGTTGCCAAAGTTCTTCGAAAATGTTGGTTTCCGTTACGGCTTTGAGCAGACCGAACTGCACACTTACAATTATCATGTTGACGACCTTTTTGCAAATCTTAGTAATGGGATAATACTATCCCGACTTGTGGAAAATATTCACTTTTCGAAGACGGGAAAGTTGAAACCAATTGGAGGAATCAGCCCAGAAGATGATCGCTTGAGGAAGATTTCAAACATCAGGAACGCCATTGCGTATGCAATGGAAGTAGGATTGATTCCGGAAGGTTTGTTTTTACCAAGACGTCTTTAGTTTTTCATTTATCTGGTACATTGATGCATTTCAGACGCCAAGTTCAATGCCGCCGCCGTTCATGCTGGAGAGAAGAAGGAGATTTTGAAACTTCTTTGCCTCTTATTTGATGTTGAGCGTAATGAAGAAACTGTGAGAAGAACTTACAACAATACGTTTGTGGATTGGAGTATGATCAGAAACAATCGATCACATGCAACTTTAACTAATCCGTCCCGAGATGCGAATATTCTTACTTCCACACCGATGTGTCCTAAACAAAGGAGTCCATTGGAGCCTCTTGACCTCAATGAAAGTGAGATTCCAAGTTTTAGGAATCGACCAGATGAACTCCAGCTTCGTAAAAAAGTTCATGAACAAACTCAAACAAGTTTTGACGGAGACGAGTCCCGGAATACAACTGTAAGGAAAATCGAAGTCGACGAGAATACAAGGTGGTCAAATAATTTTGAAGAAGTAAACGAGACGATCATTCTTCGGGCCAAGACGGTTATTACACAAGAGTGCCAGACTTCATGTGAGGCCCCAAAAGAAATGTTTGTTAAGGAAGGAGCGCCGTACGAAGATGACGCTACTCCACAGAACGCTGTAAATGTGACCCTATCTGAAAAATTTTCTGTTGGAATTGAGGGGAGTTATCAGAGATATAATGCACCAACTTTGGCTGATGAGTTAAATGAATATGTGGAGTCAGATGCTACGATTCATGCCCAAAACAATTCGGACGAAGAGAAGGGTGAGGTTCTACAAGAGTCGCCACGGTCCACCGCCGGGCGAAGTGCTGAAAATTTTGAGAAGATTCAGCCCGTTTGTGAAGAACCAGTCGGCCAAATTGATGTTGAAATTCGAAGTATCAATCAAGAAAAACCCTTATCTCAATCCATCGAAACACCTACAACCGTGGAAGAAGATTCAGACAGAGGGAACGACGAAATTCTGGAGGGATGTGTCAATCCTCATCAACTAAGTTACGTGGAAGAGCCCTTGACTGACGAGGATTCCGCTGGAGATGATAACGAGAATAAAGGTAATGCTTTTACTTGAAAATGGACCATTTATTTCAGATGATCCCGATTTCTCAGCCGAAGTGAGCAAGTACTTAAATCAGTCGGTAAACGAATCGTTGATATTGGATGCAAGTCCGAAGACAGAGTTGATCGAGGAATCCGCCGGAATACAAAACACTTATAAACGGGGTATGTATGACTGTTTGTTATTTAAAACAGGTTTTGCGAGAAACTTGGGCTTTTAGATTTCAGATGCTTTGTGCACAAAAAAGGAGATGTTACAGTAGGGATGTGAAATATCTACCATAGATCGCTAGTTGTATATTAAACTAGGCAGGTCAAATTTTAAATTTTTGGGTTACTTTAGGTATATTGTAACGTCTTTAGATTTTTCGTTTCTCCTTGATTAGCTGCCCGATTGACTTCAGACCTTTTTAAGGTCATACAGGGTAGGCCACTCAAAATTACCAAGCTTAGTTTAGGTGCAAAAATTACTAAATTTTTGCCGACTTTCGATCTAAAAATCTCGGTTGTTTCTGCAAAGCGCGAGCTAGGATTCTCGCATATATCTTAGAAAAAATTATTCTAAATTTTTGCCAAGTTTCATCAAAATCTGAGCGTCGCACTTGGAGTACTTCCCCTGTTAGTAAAAAAATTTAACATTATAAGTTTTCTCAAAAATTTTGCATGCTTTTACATCCTTTTGTATATGGTAGGTATTTCACATCCCTACTGTAACATTTTGTTTTTTGCGCACAGCTAGCTCGACTCTCTGGAAAAACCTGGTTTGAATAGCATTGGTTTGTGATAACGTTGATGCATCATCTTTCAGACTTTTTCAATTTACCCATATTGAAAGAAGAAAACTCGAATGAGTTGATGGAACATGATCTTCCAGAAGTATCGAAGAGGATTTCGGACCAATTTAACCTGAATACGGATTCGTCAATTTCTGATCACAGTTTCCGGATTGATACCTTGGAGAAGAAAGAAGAACAAAAACTCGAGGCGGATGGACAGTCGTTGAATAATCAGAGTGATGAGAACAGCCAAAAATATAATGTACAGGAGGCCAATCAAGATGATGAGTTCAAGGAATCGAATACGACTGAAGCTGAGAGATCTGTAGACTCCTGCCGGCTGTTAACTTTCAACGAGAAAACTGAGAAAGATGAGAGCAACAGAAATATGTCTGATGATAAGGCACATGAGGGTTCCCGTTATTTTTCTGCTATTGGATCTACTTTGTTAAACGAAATCAATTCGGAGTTCAAGAAAGTTGATCCCAGTTCCTCTGAAAAGAGCACTGCATCCACATCAGCTGCAAGGACTTTGAACTTATTTGGCGACGAAGAAACAGAAGTGTTTAAAGGAAATGGCATGCAAGAAAGGAGGCAAAGAATTCTTGATTTTGATGACGAAGGTGAAGACGAAGCGTCTCCATTGAATACGGATGCCCGTGAGGTGAGACTTTTGGAGGAGTCTATGGATTCCAGCGGGTTCTCCGAGAAAACAACTAAGAAATTACTTGCTCAGGTTCAGTTCGAAATGAGAATGGCTAGTAACAATCGACTCGCCGCGGATGCTTTGCTTTCTATGATGAAGAAGAATATGCCGGATAAAAAAAACAAACCAGAATACAGTAAAGAACAAGCCACAATGATTATTCAGGTAGGTATTGGAGTTGAAAGACGATTTTTGAGAAGCTGAATCTATGAAGCGGTATGTGCAAGAATTTGACCCTATGCTTTTGTTATATCATCGCCTACATACTTTACATCACCGATGTGAATGTTTTTTCGAAAAGCATATTACTATGACGGAAATAATAGGTGTACAATTTTTGGTTAATTGTGACCTATAGTGTGAAAAACGGGCGCGGGAATGTCGGGCAAAGTTGCAAACATGGGTAATCGAGTACAAGGATCGCTTCCTTAATTGGCTCCAGCCTCCTCATGTTACTGTATGCTATAATATGTAGTAACCTGAGGAGTTTGGAGATAATTAGGAGAATGTTCTTTGTGCTATATTACCCATGTCTGCAATCAACATTCCCGCTTTGATATGACATCGAAAAAACGTAGGGTCAAATTCTTGCCCACCCCTTGCTTCAAGGAGGGTGCAATAAGTAATGCCCTTTTTTGCACCATGAAGAAGTAGTCATCACCTTGTTTTGGCTACAGTCGGGATTTGGCAAGTGCCGCGGTGATACCCTCAGAGGAATCCGTTATTTCGAAATTCCATCATCGCTTGCCTGAGAAGACTGTGCCCGTCTCGAAGAGGGTCATTATTTATTGGGCAACCTAGTAATTAATTTTTTGAGATAGCTTGGAATTTAAACTGTTTTAGGCATGGTGGAGAGGAGTTCAATATAGAAGATCCAATTTAGAATTGTTGGATTCTCTAAGAGAGCGAATTAAAGCCGCGAAAGAAAGAAGGCATGGACAATATGACTTCCAAAATCATCGGTCTATGAATTTGCAGACCCGAGTCACCAAGTATATCCCGATGTTGGTTTCCTCGTCTTTGTATGAGAGAGTTGTGGCCGCCTCTTTTATGAGTAAGTTCTCTGTTTCTGATATTTTTTACATTAGATAATTAATGTAATAAATTATCATTTTAGATAGAATAATCGAAGATTACCCATCAATAATCGATGTTTTTGTGGAAAGAAATGGAGTTACGGCCCTTGTGGAGTCGAGTAATCTTCTGATCCGAAGTGCCGCGGACATTGTTGTACAGACACAGCTGTCATTACTTGTGAATAATATTGTCGTAAGTTTTCGCTTCTCCTTTTATACACATTCTAGACTAAAAGTGAGATTGGAAAGATTGAAGGAGATGTTGTTGGACTAACAAATTTATTGGTGAAACACCTGAAAAAGTATCGACCTCATTCTAGTGTTGTGGATCGAGAAGTCGGCGAGATTTTTAAGAATACCGCCGGCTCCCTTTTCTTATTGGCGGGAAGTTCGGCCGCGATTGAAGTTGTAAGTATTCCCGTTGACAGTAATCATGTGTTCTTTTTTTTGATATGGTAAGCTTCTTTTTAGATGAGAGATCAGAAAATCAAGTATTACATCGAAAAGGTGATGAATATCCGCTTTCCCCACGACGATTTCTCCATGTCTCGCTTTCAATTGAGACAAGTCTTGAAGAAGATAGACAACTCTATTAACTGAACATGTATATTATAATTCTCTTTATGTTAATTAAAGAACATATCCGCTTGCTGGTGTTTCTCCACAAACTTAGCCCGATTGTAAACTTCCTGGATGTTGTTATAGAATCTTTCGATGACATCTGCGATCGTCTGGGTGCTGCTTGCCAGTATTGGTTTTATGGCTTCGGTCTCCAATCTATAATTTCATCTTATCGATGTTTTACAAGGTGCGGCCGAAAAAATGCAACTTTTGTCATTTTAATTGCCCGATCTGCATCAGCGATTTGAAGTAAAAGTCAATTTTTTCCGCCGGACGCTGTATATGAACTTGCCTATCGGACCAGGGGTTTTTGGGATGATCGTACATATATTCGGGGTCATGTTGGAAGAAATTGAAGACCGGAAAGGATCTGCTCTCACAGAACTCTCCCTTGAATCCGAATTTGCACTCACAATGCGCCATGTTTTCTTCCTCCACACATTTACCTCCATTCAGACATCTTCCTGGGGTACATCGATCCTCATCATCCTCGATATCTGAATCTCTTTTTGTCTTTCAGTCGGACTTACTATTAGACATGCACCCTATGGCAATTACAGCTAACAATAAAAGAGATCTCATCGTCATGGATTGGAAAGAAATGAAAAGATATTCGTATTCAAAGTCGTATTTATGTGATACGATGGCCTTGAATTCAGGATTCGGCGGCAATTTCTCTATCATTAAACCGATTTCAATTTCATTTCCACTCTTTATTCGATACCCGTAATATTAAGAGTCAATTAATCATTCGATTTCATCTCTTTAAATACCTGAATATCGGTATAGAACAGGATATTCGGGTGCCAAGATTGGTGAATGTGGCCATATTTCTTGTGACAATCTCTCTGAAGGGCGCTGATAATGACACTAGAGGCCATATTTGGGGGAAACATCGACCGATCGGATGGAATAACAACTCATACAGTTCTATCGGCAACTGGGGATCGTTCACAACGCTGATCGACATCCCTGAAAAGATCTCCTCATTGTCGATTAAGACCTCGCGGAATCACTCTGTTACTGCTTGACTATTTAGCATGGACCACAATTAGAAAGTTTCAAATAAAAAAAAAGATTATAACGCTAACGTCATCATGAACTAGTTGTTCCTCATTTCATTCAGAGAGCGAGCGACACCTATTGTGACACATGATGATGGGAAAAGTCAACCTTAATGTAACGGCGGTCAAATTCCGACGACAAGAACTCCCATTTATCTTTCCCAAATAAACATTTGGGACTTTAAATTTAATCTTAATCTCGGCACTATCCAGCGCTTCACAAAACCATTAAAAAATTAAAATGGCCGGCCAAAGCTGACAAAATACGAAAACCGGGAGCAAGGTGACTTGTGCGAGTTAAAATATCGAAGTAAAGTTCTACAGAAAGAGGTAGTAAAAATTGAAAAATTAGGAAATTAAGACCTGGGGGTCTAGTTTTATATATTCGGAGGGGAAAAGGAGAGCGGCCGCGGGGGAACGACCGGTTTGACCTCGGATTTTAAAGGGCATACCATCGATGCCAAATTACAGAAGAGGAATTTGGGTGCAGAGGACCGTAAACTTTAGAGAATCAGGGCTTCCGGACTCGGGGAAATAAAAATTTCGATTCATAAAACCAAAGACATTGCGCGTAAAGTTCGGGAATTCGAGTTCCGGGCAAACTTAAACCAGCGAGTTATGAGGGAGGGAGTGTAAGAACAGCTAATCCCCTTCCATATTACTCCGTATTATACTTGATCCGAGCCCATTCACTCGGAACTTTCAATCGTTCCGGATTCGGAATCGCCGTTGGGAGCCGCTCTCCATCCAATTATCAGCTAATCAACGCGAATTCCATTGATGACTACCAGATTCAGTCGACGAAAAGAGAGCTCCCGATCCAAAAAAAAGTCTTGAAAAACAAAATTCCCGTTCCCTAAGGGCACTGGTCAGTCGGCGGATAACTCTGACTGCACTGATTGAACTCATTTCGGATGCAAGACGACAAAAAAACTTGTCAGATGACACATTTTCTGAACATTCCTCCGAGTAAACAAAGAGAGACAAAGAGCCTTTTGACTACTTTAATAACTTCTTCGTCAATTCCTCCTGGATATTCGACCCAATCATCTCGACATACACCGGAGGTTGTTATAACTGAGACAACACAACTAAAAAGTTTTAAAAAGTAAATAAATCTACTCAAACCAAGAGGAATACGTTGTTTTACAACTTTTAAGGTGGTTGGAGTAATTATTGGTTTAAAACTGGTGTTGTGGTGGTTGCCTGCTGAATTTATCAAACATTCGGTTACGGTGCTTTGAAAAATAAAAACTTTATTTTTAACAACGTAATATTGGAATGAAAAATTGAAGGGAATGAAAAAACAATAAACAGCGAGCTATCGGTAAGTTATGGCTGTTCAAGCAGTGACTTTGGCTTCTTTTACACCTCGTATAGCCTAAAAAAAGGTCAAAATTATGTCACCCACAGTCAGCTTACGTCCAAGGAGATTGTGTCAGGGACAGTCTCCAGAGACTGTAGACTCGATGCAGCTGTCCGTTGACCCCATTGAAGACTAATATCATCATCATTTCCACGAAGATATGAAGTAATGAATCCAGAGTTAAAGCTAAAAAAAGGTCAGTAAATATACTACTTCTGCTTACCTATCCCCAGCTCCTGAGGCAGAAATAAACTTTTCAAACTGTGGACATTCCTTCGATCGAATCTCAATTACGTCTGGATTCACTTCTGACCTGGAAAATAAGACAACACCGGCTTCTCCAAGTGTAATCAAAAATTTGTGGATATTCCCGGGGAAAAGTCCCTTTGTTAATGAAATCCTCTGAGCAAAATAATCGGCAAGGTACTCGGATTTGGAAAATGCAGATTCTATAAAAATGGTATTTGCAAAAAGTTCATACCGTCAATTTGAGGAATATTGAAGATGTCACAGTATCTCTTAAATTCATTTTTATTTGGAGAAAATCCCCAAAGTTGATTCAAAATATCTTTATCGAGTCTATCCACTTTTGAAATGTCGGTTGGATCAAACCACACTAAAATTTATGTTATAGATGACATCATCATCCACCTTTCTTCTGGAACTCATGAGAGATTGAACAGACTTCTCTAAAGGTGTCCTGATTAATATTCCCATCGGAAACGACACAGTCCACGTCTTCAAAAAAATGCCTTCGTTTTAAGACCTATAACACATACAGACTTCTTTGATGACTATACCTCTTTGGGTGTTATCTGTCTAATAATTGGCTCGATTGATGAGTAACCATGAGCAATATTCCCGTTCACATTAACCGAGAGGTAAGACGCCGTAGGGGCCGCCTTGGAGACAATTAATTGATCTTCCGGCTAAGCATCAGAACATTAAATTATTTGAAAAACAGTTAATTGTCAAGATCTTACAGTACTCACCACAAAATAGAGGCCCATTTGTTTGAGAAAAGAGCCGGCTGAGTCATTTCCGATGGCACTGATAAAGGACACCTCATTCCCCAATCTGTGAAAACATTCTGCATGATTCCTGCCCACACCGCCAGCACGACAATGCAGTGTTCCGGGATAGGAACCGCCATCGTTCTGGAAAGAATCAAATAAAATTTGCTACAAAACAGGGGATAAAAAGGCGGAAAGTGGGAGGGGGATTAAAAAGACATAAGCAAAAGCACGGTCGTTCCATTGTGAATCAGTTCAGCGGGAAAAGAGGACGCGCAGTCAGCCCCTGCCCGCCTTTTATTTGCCAAATCAACTTTAAATGAATTGGAATTGGGGCCGAGAGTCTCGAAATGCATGTTGCCCATTATCGCGTCTGGATCTACTCGGCTAATCTGGCCGTCATCCTCATCCAGGTGAGAAATTCATGATATTTTGCAAGCAAAGTCGTATTTTAAACTATCCTTGTATTTCTAACTCAATTTCTTGATATCAATAATTCCTAAAATCAATGTAAATGGTATGTCTCATCCTTCACAGGCCTTTTTGCATTTATTTTTACACCGAAACTTCAGTTGTGGTTTATTTACGCCTCATCAAATCTGCTCTATGACCCGTATTTGCGACTTTTACCCTTGAATGAAAGCTCTATTTTGATCTACGCAATCACTACCGTAATCCCCTTACAAGTAAGTCTCCTCATTCGTTTCATGGACTATTCAGTTCATAGCATGTTTCTGCGGATTGGTCGGAGTTTATTTCTCCAAGAGAACGTTGGTTCGACTTTATTGGACATTGATGATCCCCTTGATTATAATGGACACAGTCGCAGCGTTTATCTGGATCCACACCTTCAACGATCTTCACACCAACATCGGGGTCTATTTGAATGAGATGTCTCAAGCGGAGGGTCAAATTGGAGATTGGACCGAATGGTGCAATTCTTGGAATGGTTTCTTGAAAACCAACAAGTGTTGTGCTCCTAAGACGGTTGAAGAGAGCTGCTGGGATGGTGAGAGCATTCCATACATTCATTCCTATTATTATACTTTAGGTCTTCAATGTGATTCGGCTCTTCCTTCTTGTCATCTGTCCCTCCTCGCCTGGTTGCACGGACAAACAGATGGATTAGCAGGGATACTGTATTTCCTATTGTATCCATTAAAATTAACAGTAGTCTTTGTTCTCCGGTAAGTTTTCTATCACTGAACGACATTACCACCTATTTAGAGAAGATGTAATGGAGCTTGTAACCGAAATCTTCTACAGCAACCACAAAGGGGAATACAAGTAAGTCGAGCAACAACTACTGAATTTGAATTTAGCCATTGGTGGGAACTAGATGAACTGGACAAATTGGAAACGTCTTCGGAAGACCGAACCCCCAGCCCCAGAATCCCGAACGGACGCAATTTTTATGAGAAGCCACCTACCTGAGGTTGGATCGGAGAAATAACTTCGAAGTCGAGAATAGAAGCGCCGACACAGAGCTGTACAAAAGTTTATATTACCTATTCATATCACATCACGTACAACTTTAGGTATTTCCTCAGCTTTATCTTTAGTCTCTTGGCCGTAGATTGTGGCCACCTTCTGCTTCACAAATTCTTTGGCCAATTTGCTGGCCATCCTCACATTGTTCTCAAGCAAAGCCACATCTTAAAGTGTTAGTCAGATATCTTCTACATGAACTGCTTAATCAACCATATCACATATCTCTATGAAAGTCCCCATCTCATAGTCAACTAACTTGTTCGCTTACTTATTTTTAACGACGCTGAGTTCGTGAGTTCGTCGACTCTCTTCAACAGAAATGGCGTCAAATCCTTGTTTATGATCTGTGATTCTCTGAAGTGCAAAATAAAGCAATGTTCTCCCTTATTTCATATATATTATAATTTGCGATTACTTACTGCGCTTCTTTCAATGCCTGCTCAACTGCATTCCCAATTAATTCCCCATCTTTCGTTAATTCCTCAGGCAGTGGACATGCAATGAGAGTTCCATGGTGAAGATTGAGACGATCAGTAATCTCTAAACAGCGATAAAACGTACGAAAGACCTTACTCAATATATCAGATATCAATGGGATTGAAGTGGTGTTAAATGGAGCCTTAAATGGTGTTCGACTGACAAAAAATCCGGGGAAATACGGTTGAGAGTCCAATACAATGACATTAACCCCGTTTGTTTCCTAGTAGTGCTATGCCGTTTATAAAGACGACTTACAAGCACTTCCAATGTCTTCCGAATGTCCAAGATAGATTTGGCTCCAGCGCAAACAACTGCAACGGGGGTTCTCCCAAGTTCCACTAGATCAGCACTAACGTCAAACGCTTAAATAACTTGTAAACAAGCAAAAAAAGTCCCCACATTCCCCAGCTCCTCGATGAACACCTCCAATCCCGCCAGTAGCAAAAATTCTGATTCCAGCCCAATGAGCAATCTTCATTGTGGCTGCCACGGTGGTTCCTCCAGTCGTTTTCTAAAGAAAAATAATGGCAAGTATAATTTCTCACCTCAGCCAACACCGTAGGAATATCTCTTGTCGATACCTTAACAGCTCTAGTATTGGGTGATGCCAGATGGGAAAGTTGTTCATCATTTAAGCCGACACACAATTGACCATCCAACAAGGCGATTGTGGCTGGAGTAACCCCTTCATCTCTTGCGATCTTTTCTAACGCATTCGCTACTCTGTTATTGATGTTTCATTATAATTACAATAGTTAAATTACTTTAAATTTCGTGGGTATGGAAGTCCATGGGTGATTACCGTACTCTCCAACGCTATTACAGGTTCATTGTTTTGCAATGCCTTCTTAACACCCGAACCAAATTTGATGAATTTGGAAAAGGACCTGATTCCAGATCTTCTCATGGCCAACATTCTAATTTAAAATATTAGACTGTTATCAAAGGCAAGTAGTTTAGTGACGAATACATCTTCAGCAACAAATAAGTTAAAACATTTCATAATGTATTTACACAATAATACACCGTTCAAATCAACAATAACAACCTAATATTCAGCGTTTTAGATTCCATCCAGGAACTTTATCCAAGTCCTTAACCTGACCAGTATCTTTCTTGGATCCTAACGTTGCTGCTGTTTGACTGAGGGTTCGGTATTGCACACCATAATCAGCCATCTCAAAGAGCTGGTCCATCTCCTAAAGAAGAACTTTTATGAATGGTATTTATTAACTTACCTTCCGGACGACCTCCGATCTGTCAGGGACAAACCTAAGCGGAGGAACGTTTGTTCCATAGCATTGAACAGTCAACTCTCTTCTCAGGTCAAACGAAAGCTCGCTTAATTTCTCTTGTATTACCTAAATTAAAAATAAGAAACAAAAAGCAAGTCCATACCACATCCGTTTCATCGCCTCGACAAACCCAGTATACCTGAATCTCTGCCATAGCTTTGGGAACCTTTACTCCAGAGATCTGAATCTTCAGTTCAGCCAATTCATCGTTATCCGCAATAATATAAGCCAATTTCTCTTCATATAAGAGACTCAATTGTATCATTTTCTTCGGATCCAGGTGTCTAATTTTTCCTTGGCTTTTCGCTGATAAGAAAATTTTCTGGAAATATAATGAATCCACAATTTCACTCACCATGTTCTCTATTCCAGTATTCACACCAAACATATGATCCATCGTCCTTGTGAACTTCCTTCCAATTGCGACTTGACCATGCGAGGCATCATAAGTGTGGACACCTCCTTTCCGTCCCGGCTTAAACCATTTTGGCGTTGACCTGCCTAGAAATGTTGCTGATAACCTCATTTTACAAAAAAATAAAATATAATTTATTTTTGTCGATTTAGGCAGAATGCCAAAACGCTTGTTTTCCACGCAAGGCTTAGCTAAGTTAGCGCTTGCGGATGACTTTGAATACCGGGTGGTTCAGCTGAAGCTTCCATCCTTATTTCAAGTATTTCTCCGCGAATAATGCACCAATTTCTATAAAATTTATATCAAATTGAAGCTCAGGTGCTCCATTTCTTGTCCACCAAGTATGACAGGCCCAAGTTCACGGAGGCTCCCGTACTGACCCTTGACATTTTCATTCCAAATTTTGAAGCCCGAAATCGGTGAAACTTACTGTTAGAAAATTTTTGCAATGATTTTCGATTGAGTTTCTCGGACTTAGAAATTTTTTGGATTTCCGGCAAAGACAAAGTCGCCAAATTTGATGAAATTTTTTTAAAAAAAGTAAGGTTCACAGAAGTACCAAGTGCCTAACAAGCATATTTCAATCCGGCGAGGTACCAAATCGAACGAATGAAAAGGAAAGCTCTTTCCTCTGGCAATCAAGGCTTCACAACTTGTTATTTATCTTCGGGGTGGATGTCGTCATGCATGTAGACAGTCTCGCCCATTTGTTCGCATTTTTTTTAATTTTGATTAACGAAGCCTGTTACCCCAGAACACAAGAGCAATGCCTTGAAGATTAATTACGAGTATTCCGTTCACTGCCGTCAATTTTTTCAGCCACTTCTAGATAGCTTATTTAGCCAAAGACTCGAATATTTTCCAAGTACGAGAACTCAACTGAAAATCATTGCAAAAATTTCCTAAGTTTCACCGATTTCGGGCTTCAAAATTTGGAATGAAAATGTCTAGGGTCAGTATGGGAGCCTCCGTGAACTTGGGCCTGTCATACTTGGTGGACAAGATATGGGGCACCTGAGCTTCAATTTGATATAAATTTTATAGAAATTGGTGTATTATTGGCGGAGAAATACTTGAAATAAGGATTGAAGCTTCGGCTGAACCACCCTGTACTATGTTGAGACCCACGTTTGTTCAAGTAAACACAAAATATTTCTGGCTCTATCTGTCCCAATTGATTATAAACGTCATTCAAGCAGCCATGTGCTAAATGTAACAGGTTTGGTTTCCGAGGACTGCAGCACCAGTGCTGTAACTCGTTGTTTATTACAACGAAACCATCCTGTCGAGAAGGCGAAACCGAGACCCTGCCAATGTTGACAATGCCACGCGACTGCAAAAAACAGTTCCTTCACATCCAAATAAAACAGCTTTAGTAACAAATGTTTCAATTGACAAATCAAACCAACAATATAACAAAGGCCAAGATTTAGATGATACCAATTTTGTTAGCGACATCAAGAGCATCGAAGTCGGGACCCAGTCTAATGAAAGCTTTCTTGGTGTGATTGGGTGTGATCAAGGTGTTAACCTAAAAATAATAGTGTAAAGGCATAAAATTATTTTACAGATGACGAATAATGTTATTGAAGCAAACTTCTTTACCTTTTGGGCCTCAATGTTGTACAGCTTCCTGACAGCAGTCTTGATTTGACGTTTGTTCGACTGGACGTCAACGATGAACACCAAGGTGTTGTTATCTTCGATCTTCTTCATGGCGGACTCGGTGGTCAATGGACGCTTCACGATTCCGTAGGCATCCAATCGTGGCCGAGATGGAACGGACTTCCTTGGGTATTTCGGAGTTTTTCTCAAAGTCAAGGTGTTGGGGCGATTGAATCGGGCCGAGGTTCTGACCTTCTTGACGGTCTTGGTGTTAACACCTTTCAAGGCTTTCTTCTTGGCATCAACGGCCTTTTCGGCCTTGGTTCCTAAAAACAGAACAATATTAAATAAAAAAGGACATTCTTTTACCTTTTGGAGCGGCCTTCTTAGCCTTAGGAGCCGACTTGGCAGCAGTTTTTGATGGAGCCATTACCCTAAAATACAAATATTTGTTAAAATCACGACTTAGTTACAACTTTACACGCAATTTTACAAATTCCGTAAAAAATAAAGGACGAGAAAATAAAATGAATAAAATTCCTACCGTATTTCTGACAAAAGCATTAATCGTGGCGGGACGCAGACAAAGTCGGGATGCGTTTCACTTATTTTTTTTATTCGAGAATTTTTTTAATATGCTGGGCACGGCCATGGCCACTAATTATTTATAAATGTCTAAAAAATTAGCGTGTAAATTCGACAAGGGTATGTTGTTATTGATGTTGATATTTTCGTCTAGGAATAATGTCAGACAGCACTGTGCAGAACAGCAGAATTGAGTTCAGCGGATTGTCAGATGTCAATGTCTCACAACCTTCGTCTTCTCAACGTCAAAGTCGACGGGAATCAGATGGTATGTTTTTTTCATGTCGTAGAATGTCGGCTAAGAAGGTTAATGTTGTACTTTTCACATCAAATGTTTAGATTCCGAAATATGCGAATTGAAGCATGGCGCAAGTCAAGTAATAGATCTGTTTATTCCTGTATCGTTATGCATGCTGGCGGTTATATTGTCAATGAGATCCATTGGCTATTTCAGTCGTTCTGATGGTGTGTATATGTAAGTGTAAAAAAAAATAATTATTCGTATTTTAGGATTTACACGCCGTTTACAAAACCTACTGAAAGTGCGGGTGAATTGTTTATTATGTCAATCGGAAATGCCTTAACCTTACTGTGTGTGGTTATTGTTATGACTGTTGGACTCTATCTTTTATACAAATTCAGATATTATAAAGTCGGTACCAAATTAAATAATGAGGATAAATATTTAGGTAATTCATGGATGGCTATGTCTCAGTACTGTGATGTTACTCGGGTTTTTCTCAGCAATGTATTTTGAGTAAGTTTTCCCAATTATAATCCTTTTATCCTACTGCCTAAATTTTCAGAGAACTCTTGAAAAACTTTAACGTGGCCATAGATTATTTTACTTTCATATTTATTGTTTGGAATTTTGCTGTCATGGGGATTATATGTGTCCATTGGAAAGGTCCTTTTAGGCTTCAACAGGTAAATCGATTTTGATCATGATATTATCAAACTATTTTTTTCTGGTCTAAAAATGCTTATCTTTAGGGATACCTGATAATCATGTCTGCGTTGATGGCATTGGTGTTTATTAAGCATCTTCCTGAATGGTCTGTTTGGACAGTTCTCGCGGCCTTGGCCATCTGGGATCTTGTGGCTGTCCTTTGTCCCCTCGGTCCCCTCAGGGCATTAGTGGAAACAGCCCAGGAACGGAATGAACCAATCTTTCCGGCATTGATATATTCGTGTATGTTTCCTTTGGATGTATAGTCAATATTATTTAGCCACTGTGATGTACTCTGCCGTCATCCCAGTGTCCACTTTCTTCATGGGATTGGAATCAGAAGAAGACAATGGTAACAATGTAGTAGAGGTCCCGCAGAATATCCAACCGTTGTCAGACCGAGGACAAAGGGTTGCTCCGTTGAGAGGACGTCCTCAGAATCAAGAACAAATACCTCAGATTCAGATTGATGGACCTTCGAACAACTCGCAGGCCAATACTAGTCATCATCACCATGTTCATCATGAAGACGAGGAGAAAGGAATCAAACTTGGATTAGGAGATTTCATTTTCTACAGTGTTTTGGTAGGTAAAGCTTGTAGTTATGGAGATTGGAACACTACAATTGCCTGTTATATCTCGATTCTCCTCGGCTTATCCTTCACTTTGATGTTGTTGGCAATATTCCGGAAGGCCTTACCTGCTCTTCCAATTTCCATTTTTGCTGGAATTGTATTTTATTTTGCGAGTTTTGGTATTATCACTCCCTTTGTGACAGAGATATCTATACGGCAATGTCTAGTTTAAGGTCTTTGATGTTTTCATTGCCTATGTTTTATCCAAGTATTTATTTCCAGAGTGTCGGATCTCTTTCCTCATATCTTCGTTCTGTTGGTTCTCCACTTTCTGAGCTTTGTATTTATATTTATTGCAATTTTTTTGGGATTACTGTAAAGTATTGACATCTGCGTCGACTTTTTTGAAACCATTTGAAGTAATTGAAAATATGATTAATTAGCCCCAGAAAAGTTTTCGGGTACTCGCAATAACGAACGTATTAAATCGAAACTCTGTCGAAGGGTTTAAAGAAAGGTGTAATGTAAAACACACGGAAAGAAGGGAAAGGGAGTGATCAGATCGATGGTAACTGAGTAAGTTACTGCCGTTGTAACGGATGCAAGAAATAGTTGGACATTTGTACTTTGAATAATGCTTGTCACACCCAATGACAATCTATTTATTTAGTCTTACATATGTATATACCTGTACAAGTTAGATACAGCAGACGGATCTGCACAAACCGAGTTGGGGATGAGGATATAAGTAGTGTTGTATTGGCTCTTCGTGATCCATTCGTATTGTCTACGGTACCCGCAATAAATATGGTTGCTGTTGGATTTGAACTAGCCCATAGTGGCCAGACCGCCCGTTTGTGGTTGTATGCTTAGACTTTGGAGGACATCCTGGGGAACATGTTCTCGAAGAATCGAGTTCTCGGCTTCCAAATGAACTACCTGAAGAAAGACGGATAAGATTGGAACGGAAGAATTCGAAGGTCATTTGACGAAACGACCAACAGTCAAGCACAATTATCCCCCACGTGGCTGGATGCAAAGGGAAGAAAGTACAGGGTGGGGCATCTTTGTGGCCCGATTTGAATTGGCTATAACTTCTTTAGTTTTTGGCCAAATTTTAAAATTCTTTTTTTCCCTGAATCGTCAGCCAACCCCATTTTGTTTGATACCAAATATGTTATACATAGTAAGTGTATATCTACAGTTATTGGATTTATTCTTGGAGTTCATTTTTTCGGTCGTTTTTCGGTTGTTTTTTCGGTCTTTCCCGGTGTGTCCAGAAATGGAGTACGGTCCGGAAGAAAAATACGGTGGAATTTACCCTCCCGAAAATCGACGATGAGAATAAGAACAAAAAGTGAAGATCAACCTCCAGAGTTCGTCGAATGGTCCATGGTGAAGGCATTCCCTCGGTTCTGGCCAAACTTCGTGTACTCATATGCGGATTTTCTCGGAATTTTGACAAAACTTCTTCAATTTTCAAATCCGTTCATACCCATCTTTCCTGCTTTTTTTGTTTCCTGTTAACGCTGGCAGTCTCAAGAAACTTATTCCACGAACGTCGAATTGTCTTGCGATCTGGAGGTTAGGCATTACGTCCGTATTTCATGCGGTATCCCCATTTGAAAATTTAACGCCGAACCGTACTTTCTATACCAAACCACAGACCAAGCCTTTTCTTCCACACCGGACTCCATTTTCGGACACACCGGGAAAGGCCGAAAAAACAACCGAAAAACAACCAAAAAAATGAACTTCAAGAATAAATCCAATAACTGTAGATGACGCTCACCTATGTATAACATATTTGGTATCAAACAAAATGGGGTTGGCTGACGATTCAGGGAAAAAAAGAATTTTAAAATTTGGCCAAAAACTAAAGAAGTTATAGTCAATTCAAATCGGGCCACAAAGATGCCCCACCCTGTATTAATTAATGAGAAATAATACCGTAAGGTCGAATGAACACATCGAGGAAAAGATAATGCAGATGTGTACGACAATCTGATAGTGTAGTAAAGTCCTTACCGTAGTCTCAAGTTCCATGATTCTGGAGCGAAGGTTCTCCACTTCTTCCCGAACTGCGAACATCAGATGGGTTTTCACTAGATCCTACAACAACAAATCATTAATCATACCGTAATCGTCTTGAGTAAACAAGAAGATCTTTCAAATTCTCAATCGATAAGACCTTAAAACAACTCTCCCTACCGCGAAATGTTGGCCAAAGTCTTTCTCCGAACTCCACATTATATAATATTATACAAGAAGGCGACGATAAAACAAAACTGGTTGTTTTTGCAAGAGGGAATAATCACATAAGTGAACAAAAGACCAATTTAAAGGAGAAATTGTAAAGGGCGTGGCTTCTGACCCCGGCATAGTATCTTTAAAGATTACATTATATGGTGGCAAGGTCACTCGGTTACGGTAATTAGATCCAAAACAAGTTTTTCACAAAACGTGACATTCTTGTTGACATTTGGGAAGCTGAAGGTAGCTCGGTTTACCGCCAGCCCACTACTCCACTACTGCTTATCAGTCAAGGCAGGCGTGGGACTGTAATCGGAGGTCAGTCGTTCAGACGCCATTGTTCAGTGTAAGATTCCCCGAAATTAAGATTGTAATGTCAACATAAAGACTCAACGAATACGTGAAAAGAGTAAAGGTGATATTATATAACTTTGCCTTGTCAAGTATGTGTCAAAAGTTTATCTCTGACTTAAATTTAGACTTTTCAAACCCTTCCTATTAATTGTAAGTTCCATACTCAGAAAGTTGATCATCCAATTACCTACATCTAATCCAATTACAACCTCAGTTTGGATGTTTACATCCCAATCAAAGCCTTTTCCTTCAATTGGCATCGACCTTGAGTAGGTGGAGTAATGAAATGGTATGATAAATCATGATTGGAAGGTCCAGGGTGATGCAACTAATCGACCGTACATTTGAACACCCGAACTACGAATCTTTGGTCGATTCAGCAATGAAAAGAGGCGGAGCAAACAGATTTACAATAGCAAAACAAAGAGTTGGAGAAGATGGGAGAGTGGGAGAGAAGACAAGAAAAGAATTGATTTTGGAAAAGAGAGCTGATGAAAAAGGAAACCCGGGTTATGGAGGAAGTAAATGTGATGAAAAACACTCACCATGGCTTGCTCGATCTTAGAGTCGATAGCCACAATCTGTTGGCCAGTGGATTGTTGAGGAGGAGCCGTTGGATTAGTGGAATTCGCCGACGGAATGGTGTTGGTGGGAATGGCATGGTTACTGAAAACAAAAGATCTTCGATTTCGAGTTAGAACTGCTCGAGGAGAGACCGAGCCATTCGAACAAGTGGCCAGGGGAGACACATGGAGTTGTTCTGGATTAAAGGAGTGACGCCGACGAGCCAAGGCTATTCGATTGTTCATGATCATCAGAACCGAGTAGTAGAATATAATCAGACCCGCAAACAATGTCACGTTTCCGATAACTAGGTCATATGGCAAGCGCAGTGGCAGCAAAATAGTAAGGCCCTTCCACTGCCCGATTCTTGGGTACCGTCGCAGAATCGACGGAATCAGATGACGAAACACCCACAGGCCGGATCGGGCAGTCTTCAAAGGAACGGGTTCCTCGCCGAATGTAAGGGGGCCTTTTGAACTTTTTTACAAAAACTAACACTGTTGCTTCCCAATGGAGCCCGCTCTCGCCTCTATCAATATATTATTCTTGTTTTGATCGGCCTTCCAGGTACCTCCCCTCAGTCTTTGAAGGGTTTTCACAACTTTTCCGATCAAAGGGATTATGCATGAGCCCCGTTCCCCATCCATATTTAGCCACAATCACAAAGTAAACAAAAACGGCCTCCGGGCAGACACTTACCCTGGGGCAAAAAGCGACTCTCCATTCAGCCAGCTCCGAAGTTTGGACTCCCGGAATAACATTATATTAGACTCGAGGTCAAGGAGGAAGAAAGATCAGGAGAATCCTGAATCCGAACTTGTCAAATTAACAGCGTGACGTCATCAGCGGATTACAAAAGCACTCGGTATAAATAAAAAAATATACTGTCAGTCGATTAAGGAAATCGAATATCAGGAACTTCCATAGGCCTACACTTACATGGTACTTCCGGATAAATAAAAAACTTCTTAAGGAATGGCCCATTATTTATAATAAAATGGTTATTGTTTTGTTTTGAGTCCCTCAACAAAAGAAACGGAGATAACAAATGCCGGATCTGGCTGTTGCTATGTTCCTCTTTGCTCCTTCCCCGATCTTTTGTTTTTCTTTATCTCCAAAAGACCAAAAATTGAGTCTGGCCAAAAGAACAAGGAAATAATATTATTTTACATAGTCGCTGACAACCACCAGGCCCTTCTTTCCTCCCATTACTCTTCAAAACACCTCAAATCCCTTTCGACTCGAGACGTTTGGAAATAGTTAGGAATTCCCTCGACTTTATTGTTTACTCTTTCCCTCGCCCCCTGCTTGTTACTTTATCCATAAACAGAAAATGTTTTCCTTCAGACGTTCCCTGGCTCAGGTTTCATCGATTTCATGACTTTTGAAGCAGCAGATATTTAATATAGGCTGTCCGTAGGCCGTACTCTTATGCTTTGAGAGTAGATTTGATTTTAAGAAGAGCAAATCTACTGTCTCTGATATATAATCCTATCTGATTACCCTTCTATGACCTCAAAAAATCGTCCTTGAGTTGTTTTAAAAAGACAGAAACTACACTCAAATACAGTAGTTGTACCCATCTCTCGTCTTACCATGATGACGTAATCCGGTTCCGAGTTTCATCACGATACCAATTACTGAACAGCGATTCCAATAACGGATCAATGTCGTCCTTGAGCAAGGTGAAGGTGGCTGTGGCTGGATTAGCGACCAACATGGTCATCAAAGGAGAGGCATGAGACATTGTACTATCAATCACAGTACTAATAGACCCTTCCGTGCCCACAACTTGTTCACTTTTGAATGAGGAGGAGAGATTAGAGCCACGAGTTCACAAAAAGTTGTTTATCATGATCTAAAATCGGAACCTTGAGGCGATGTTCGTTTCGTAGCTCGTAAGACACGTCCCATCAAGTATTTGCAGATCGTCTTTAAGGCTCGAATATAAACAAAGTAGACCCAAACACGCCTAATTATGTCTCGAAGATGAGGAAGTCAAAGAGCAAAACATAAGTTCAACAAGTTAAGATTACTGAAAAACACATTTACTTGGTTATTGCGCAACTAATTGTAAATAGCTTTTGCAGAATAGCTACCATAAAATAAATAATAAATAAGTAACACAAGACCATGTTGCAAACTACGAAGGCTAACAGGACTCCAGAGCAACATAACAATTGAAGAGCTCTCCAAAACACTACAGTAGACCCTCCCTTTACAACCCATCCGTCTCCTCGTCGTCAATCTCCTTATGTCTATTTCCACAACCCTTGATACCCTCAGGCCATGGACTACCTTTGGTCCCATTTATCAATCCCTAAGGCCTTAATTGCTGGACCCAGCTGTTTTGGATGACTTTTCTTACCTGTTCGAGGTCACATGCACCGTACCATCGGTTGCGTAAGAAGTCGCCGACAACGATCTCTCTAATCCATACTGATGCAACATCTCGGAAGGAGTAATTCGCCCACTTAGGGGACCCGAGACTGGAAGAAACAAATCAAAACTGATAAGGAAAACTCACAGAACTCGGGTGAAGTCGGCAGTTTGGATTTCTCATCGCCGAAGGACTCGTTTACGAGGGTCCTGTCTTCGTTTACGGTATCACCCAGAATTCGGATATTTGCCGGGAACTGTAAAGATGACTGCGTTTGATGCAGGAAAAGGAAAACGTAATAAAAGAAAGCGTACTTTGAACGGGCTATTGTTTTCTTGTTCGCCTTCATCCAATTCCGAAACCAAGGATCGGCTGGACATGGGCTCGGGCGTGGCTAGCGGGGCCCTGGGCGCAGTCTGCGACATGGCCTGAGGGCGATTGGGGCCGGTTGGAAAGCCCAAATCTAACGGGAAAGTGTTTGTCCAGCCGGTGTCTAAAAAAATAAATAAATAAATGCCCTGAGGCCCCAATTCGGATCCCTCTTTAAATACCTCGGTTGGCCCCGTTCTCCGAGAGCATTGGCCGTTTAGGTTCCTTGGAGTCGTAGAAATCGAAGGCCTCCCATCGACCACGCTTGTACTTGGACTCGATTGGAACGATCTGGAGTATTGGAGGTTAATGGTAACATCGAAAAAGTTTCTTAATGTAATGGAAAATAAAGTCGGAGGTAGGAATTAGAGGAAAATGTAATGTTACATAATTGTTGGTTAGGAGAACATTACTTTTTGTGCCGGTCCCGGTCAACAAATGCAATAAATAAGGCTGACCAAAACACCTCTCTGGAAAAACAAGAAACCCCTGGGAATTTTTGTTATGACATTTTAAAGACTTTTTTATAAAAGCAATCTTTTCATAACAAAAACAACAAGATCACTGACCTTAAAGCGCGAAGTGGAATGCGCAGTCGTCATCCGACCTGGCTGGCTGATACTGTAATTTAGATGAGGAATGTTGGGCGAGGAGCATTTACTGATATAACAACCTGGAAAAAAGATTTCTTGTTGTTGACAAAGAGAGCGTCTTTATGGTTCAAACCCGGCTGCACCCCCTCTTTATCACTCGCTTTCACGAAAATAAAATCCTTGGCCCTTCAGGTCTTGAGAATAAAGTGATCTCTCCGCTCGATTATATACTTGTAGTGTCCTTTCGCTGTCTTTTTGGGGGTAAATGCCGATTGATAACTAGTATGACGTCATTGGTTTCCGCAGTTCATTGTATAATCAGGGCAAAACATACAACAAAAATACATCAAAATTTCAAAAATACCGAATACCCTTAATAAACTTGTTTTTCGTGGTTAGGTCATTGCGAGCAAACAATTAGCAAGAGAAGTACCACAAGTGCAACGCTCAGATTTTCTTTAAATTTTTCACACACGTTTGGCATAGACTAAATATCAATTCCTGAAAGTTTTAGCTCGCGCTTTACAGGCGCCCCCGAGATATTGAATGATCTTTGTCGCCGAGAGGGTACGCTAAACGTGGAGAGCGGTCAGAAAGAAAAACACTTTTTGGCCATAACTTTGTTAGTTTCGTGCGGAGAAAATTGATTTTTTGTAGAAACACTAGCCTTTACGGTAGGAATAGGTAAGGAACTTTGTCGTGCCGAAATTCGGCAAAAAGTCTCAAATTTTCGCCCACTTTCGATCTAAAAATCTCGGTAGTTTCTGCAAAGCGCGAGCTAGGAGTCTCGGATATATTTTAGAAAAAATTATTATAAAAAAATTTTTTCAAAACTAGAAAAGTTTACCAGAACAATATCTGAAGATTACCATCAAAAAATTAACAAAACTTGCTAATTTTACACAGAAACCCGGCGGTCAACTTACTTCTGGAGAACTGCGCATTGTCAGTAGAGTCATTGTCCGAACTTGAGGTCTCATCAAACGAGTCGGAGTCCTTGTTTTTCTCATCCAGAATCACAAATCTCCCGTCCGTACTACTTGGCAGACGTCGTTCATAGCTTCGGGGCACAGTCAATCTCGAGTTGAAGGTTGTCATTCCTTAGCGACGACTCTCTTCCACACCAATTTTTAGAAGATCTTCCTCTTTCTTTGTGCGCGGAATCGAAAAAAAAGTTTTTTTGCGATGAAAACTCTTTCCATCGACGGATGTTTTTTAAACTCCCCATTCCCATTGTCATTGTGAGAGTATCATACCGAGTAATCGACCGCAAGTGACCTGCTGCGCTCAGTCGACCGAAAGTTCAAAAAAACCCTGAGGGAATCTACTGATGGAATACACATTTTGGTCAATAAAAGACCATCAATTAAAAGTCATTGGTCGGTGGAATCATGCGAAAGTCGCCCAAATTGAGTGCAAACTCTCCGTTTCATTCAATGAGTCATCAATTTTACCCCATTTTATGATTTCTCGAATACGATAAGTGAAATTATAATTGCGAAAACGAATCGTGTTCTCTTCCATTATATGACCTTACATTAGTGTCTACAGAAAGGTTGCGATGACTTCGACCGTTTACTTTCAAGGTTGTTCTGACAGTTTAAAACACCCAATTAATGGGGGAATGACCAGACGGGCCAATTCCACCTGTAATTAACGGAAGACATCATTCAACGAACGGTTTGTTTAAAGTTTTCGATTAACCCGGATGAAATCTCGCAATAACAAAACAATAATAATAAAAAACTCACCTCTCAAGGCAACTTGATCTATCATCTCCCAAAAAGCACAAATAGATCCATTTTTGACAATAAAAGAGAACAATCCTACTCCACAATAGGATCGTCATCATTCTGTTGCGTAACATGTCACTCTGGTTCCATTCAAAGCTTTGCTAAGGTCACGTGAATCAATTTAAATTCAAACGTGATCCAGAAACTGATGAGTGATATGTAAAACAATAGCATTTTGGTGGTTAAATGACCATGGTTTGTTACTTTGTTCTATAAAACTTTGTCGAAATATTTGTCAAATCCACAAACAATAAGACAATTAAAAAAAATCCTGTTATTTTTTTTATTTAATGGCAACGAGAGCAACGTTTCTAGGTGAAATTCGATGATCAAAGAGTGAAATCAGCCTTGTCTGGATCCCGTTTTCTTCAAGGTATTGTACCCGATCGTGTAAAATGAGGGTTTCGATGAGAGGAGCAATCAGAAGTCGAAGGGAATAGAATATGGGGACTTGGATTCGACTGATCTCCAGCAATCCTTGTACCTTTTTTCCGATTTCTTCACTTTGTTTCTAAAAGTCAGTATTAAATAGATCTTTGATTACGTACCATTTCATCGAGTATCTTTATTATTTCCGGATGATGAATGGCTGTGGACTTGGCGTATTCCCAGAATTCCATTCTGAATCCATTTTTCACTCCGACCATTCTCTTGTGTCTCCATGAATTACGTCCCAGCAGAACTACAATTAGGTATTCCAATGCTGCTCGAGAACCGTTCACGTAGAATTGGTTGTCGTTCTATAAACATTGAGTGTACCATTGACTCCTTACCTCTCCAATTTTGGTCACAAACGGATCATAACTAAAACAAGCCAATTCTCTTGCAGCATAACTAATCTCCTCATTTTTATATTTTTCACTCAATGGGAATCCTTTGTCTGATGGCCGGAATGTTTCTTTCGTTTCATCTCTGAATAACTTGTCCAATCCACCATTCATTTTGTGATAACAACATCCAAAATGTATGAGTGCTTTGGCTGACTTATTGTTCTTGAAATGTCTGATTATAGTTGGGGCCAGATCTCCGCAAGTGTGGACACCAATCAACAATGCGTCTTTCGTGTCGTCGATCTCATCTTCGGACTTTATAAAGGCAGACACGCGAGCTGGCATTTCTGTTTCTCCTCCAGAAACAATAGAATCTATTTTCTGGGCTCGTTGAACCAGCTGGAAGATCCGGTTAACATTAATAATGAACTCACTTGACCATCTCCTTCTATTGTCTTCACTTTTTTGTTAATTAGTAAGGACAAGACTCTCGACAGATGTCCCAGCCCGGCTCCAATGTCAACGACCTCATTGATGGGGGACTCCTTTTTCTCACTGAACCTAATGATAATATTCACCAAATCCACGATCTTCCCTATCTCGTGAACTTTTTTATTCTTCATCTTTAATCTTTGCTTTGAATTCAGTCCAGCACGGACATCGGTAAAGTCGGAACTCTGAAAAGGTACTTTTTATTTTGTAATCCCTACCGCATTCAAATCCCCATAAAAGGATGACAATTCGGTTAAAGTGACAGGTCGGTAAAAGGGAAGGCTCATCCGAAAAACCACATATTTTAGCGTGATCAACGACAAAGGAGGAGGAGATGACATCTTTAGCCAACATTGTGAACGTGGACTCAGAAGTGTCGGAATAAAATTAGTTGCATCTGTGGCATCAAAATCGTTAAAGTAGTCCCGCCAGCAATTTGGAAGCTTCCCCCAATTATTTTCGACGAAAAAATCAACCATATAACTGTCTGCTAGCCATTTGTATACGTCCAGAATTTTCGGGATTAGCATGACTGAAATTTCAAAGTTAAAACTGGGTCAGTCGATTACGGTCGGATAATCATTTTAAAAGCAATAACCTAAAATAGATGGAATTAAACCCAAAACGAGATGTTTAACTCCTGTCATAACTAATTTATTGTTCTTTCTTGAGATCAAGTGAGATTGATACAGTATCCTTGGTTCGGATGACGCCATTGTCGAGAACTCCAGTAGGTGTCGAGAGATTCTGAATCAAAAAGTGTTCTCCATTTCGCTGGATCCCTTCAAAGGTCCCCTGGACAATGATCTTCTCACATAATTGGATATCAACCTGAATTTAGAACTACATCAATATCCCCCACCTGTTTTCCGTTCAGCTGATTAAGAAAATTCAGATACCTCAGCTTGAGTTCGGAATTGATTGCATGCTGATCAGACATTGTCTAAATTAAGAACAATTATCGTAACATTGCCAATCCTTTAGATAAAGATGATAAAACCCATCCACTTATACTCCAAAAATAAAAACAATACTTATATTCTGAGATCTTTATTCATAATCTGATATGTACACTCAAAGAGCAGACATCCGATTCATCGGTATCTGTTGAGTTTGTGATGGATACGTTTCGTGATAATCGGACTGTCGCGTCATTAACGTTCTCCTATCAATTTCTTCGTACTTCTTCTTGTCAAACAATCTGTAACCGCAAGACAATACTCCCAATAATAAAAGTATGACTATTATGACCAGAATTGCACACACAATCTTGAACAAGACCAGTTCTCTTCGCTCTACCACCCCATCAGGTGGAAAGGTCGACGTCATGTAATTCACAAGGCCAGGAATCAAATTGTTCCAGAATCCAACCTCCGCATAACGATAATCCCGATCCACAATACCCAAACGATCAGTCGGTTGATAAGCATGGTAGGTAAAGTTCATGAACCAGTGGGCCCGAGGTTGATGCGCCGGCCAGATGCCTTGATTTGGGAGATTGGGATCACTACAAGAGATCGCAATGACTTTAAAACAGTGGTAATATTATGCTAATTTTAATTCCTTACTAATTTCTGACAAATTGGCGAACCATCGAGCCAAACAGATAACTCGCATTTCTGTCCGTATTGTACCAAACAACCTCATTCAAATGTTTTGGCATCAACTCCTTTTCTAGAAAAGGGAACCCAAAAAGAAGATAGAGATCACATTCATGGCAACTCCCCATCCAATCCCGGAATGCCTGAGCCGATTCTTTTTCATCGCGATTTTCTCTGGCCTCCGAGAAATTGTAACTATTCACGTACATGAATGTCCGGGAGCCCGCAGCCGAATGTAGATGAGCAGACTGGGCAATGGGAGCTGTATAATAAGCATCGGTGGCCAGCTAAAAATCAGTATTTATAAAACTGTGCCCACCTCAATAAACTTTTGTCTAATGTTCCAGATATCACTCTTGTCGGGCCAATAAGTGTAATAATCAGAAATAGCTGCGATAATAGCCTCCCGATTCATCGTGTAATTATGTCGATAAGCATATTCAATGATGAAACTCCGCATAAAACTCTCGTCCACTTCAAAGTCCGAGAATTCGCCTAAGGGTCTGTTCTCCAATATAGCTTCAACACCGTCATGGATATTCAACCCGGTCAAGTATGGGACCGGCGAAGGGAGATTCGCACCTCCAGTAGGGACTTCGTTCAACATAAGCAGAGGATGAGCACTCAGCTCCCGGTTATCGATGGTAGGCATGAATAGGTACCTATTAAATTCGATAGGGATGGATGGGACGTTAGTTGGAGAGACGGCTTGGATAATATCGTTTGTTGATCTCGTTTGAATACAGTCCCAAACTTGATGAGCAACTGGCTGAACACAACCCAGATATCTGCCAAGTTTTATGGTGTTATTAAAGGCTAAAGCTGGCTTTCCGATCGTTGAATGATAGGAAACTTCAGCCCCGGACATGGCGACGACAGCCTTGAAAAGATCTGAAAGACAAAACAATAATTCCGTGGATAATTAAAATAAACAAAAATCTAAATTCGAACTTACTCTTGGACAAGGGAGACAGCATGTGAATGCCAGCACTGACAGCTCCAGCATCATGTCCCACGATCGAAACGGCGCCTGGGTTCCCTCCAAACGCTGATATATGTTGTTCGATCCATTGCAAAGCGCATCGTTGGTCTTGGATACCATAGTTTCCAGTGTAAGTATCGCCAAGACTCATAAATCCTAAAGAATAAAGTTATAAACATTTATTGGACACCAAGACATACCAAACGCTCCCAATCTGTAGTTTATGGTGACAACAACAAACCCCCTTGAAGCAAGAACATGACCAGGCCATTCATTTGCCGATCCTGTTTGAAAATTACCTCCATGGAAGAAGGCGATAACAGGGTAATTACGAGAGGAAGTCTTCGAAGCCTAAATAATAAACAAAACTTAATAATGACAAACTTACGTCCGGTGTAAATATATTCAGATAAAGGCAATCTTCGCTAACTCTGAAAGGATAAAGGTTGTTGATCTTCAAAGAAGGTCGAGTTTCCACTTCCTGAGCACAAGTCGGACCATATTCAAGAGCAGAAAATGGCCCTTCTCCAGGTAATTGGGTCATCAATTGCGGAGGCTACAACAGACAATGCTTAAAAATAAACAATCAACAGTATATATAAGTAAGGAAAACCTCAAGCTCACCTTAAATCTTCGTTGCGATACCGGCGGTTCTGCGTACGGTATACCAAGGAAAGAGTAAACCGTAACATTGTTAAGCGGCGGGACGGGATCTGGATCAAAATGGGATCCGGTGGGCCTCTCGGTCTCCAAGGGATCTTTATCTGCTGTCCATGGTACATTGCGGACGGTTATCCGACGACCGATAACATGACCAATTGACAGCCGTACAATTACTTCGTCCGACGCTGCTCCCTAAAAATCAAAACAATATTGAGATAACAGAAAATAGGCTTGCTTTGACTTAAATAAATTAAAAGTTACCTGTCCAGGCCTTCTAGTGGTCGAGGTCCCAAAAGGATTCCACAAATCAACTGGTCGTCTTTCATTGAATTGACCTATGACCAAGGGGACAAATATAAGCAGTAGAATATGCATATAATGAGTCAGCGGGAACCTTGTTTGTGTCTTTCTGCACCGACGACCTTTTCTCGGGCTGATTGTTTGCTCTCGCGGCCCGGTTCCCTCGGCAACGCCTCATCGCGACTCAAAATGCAAATTTTTGAAAGATGAGTAATATTGAAAAGATGAAAGGTATTCAGTTACCTAAAAAATCATCATTAGTTTTGATAATACCCAAAGCATTGTCCACGATAAATCAGAAGAATGAAATAAAATTATTGGAAAAAGTTCCTTATTCTTAATTTTGACAAAGACAGAATTTAGTACACATTCATATCCGTACGAACGAGTACTTTGCTATCTACAACACACAGACTTCCGGATGCAGATCCTGCAAAAAAATGTTGTTGTGATTCGCTTATAAATTTATCTGTTAAAACTTGTGATACTTCGTCTTTTCCTGCAGTCAATTGATTTCCAAGAAATCGGTCATTATGCAAGATTTTCGACGGGTTCTCGTCGATTTTAGAAGTAATTTTATATTTTAGTCAGGCTTAGATCTTTTCACAATCTAATATTATAATTTTCCGCGGATTGTATCAGATTAAACAATATCAACTGTGACGTGTTTTATGAATTCGTTTAGGTTCTCGTTGCTCTACCACGTGAATTGCAAGGAACGGAGGGTGTGTGGTATATCCTGTGAAGTCGGCAGTAATGTCTCGTCGAGATGTGTAAGTTTACATTTAGGAACACCTAAATTAATGTTTTTGATAATAAAATGTTTGAGTATACTTCTCAAATTTTAAGGCAAACGAACGAAGCCAATGAGTTCCAAAAGTTTATGCGTTTCTTTTGCATGAGGTTTGTGCAGGCGGTAGTTCACTCCCGGATGGATGTCCCCATGGATCAGCCTTGCATCCCCGCTCCAGATAACATCGAATGGTTTAATTTCAAGCAGGATGAGTTCGGGGAAGTCTCTGCATACCTAAAGACAACAGTCAAGAAGTAAGACTGTCTTTATGCTATTTTATTTTTGTTTAGATATCCTCCTTTGATCCCAGCATTAGCTATTGAATTCTTCTTGCACACAGCCGGTGGAGATAATCTTCCTTTGGAGTCATGGTAAGTTTTTTATACCTAAATCTTTTTGTTTCGTAATACCTTATTAAATGGGGAATGTTTTCAGGGTTGTGAGAGTGTTATCCATGGAGGTGGATGAAAATGTAAACATTTATCAGACTCTTTATCACCAATTGGGGACATTGTTAAAGTCTGTATGTGCAGCAGCCAGAGTAACACCAACAGCTCGGCATTATGTGAGGAATCAAAGCGACAAAACCTACGTTCTGTGTTATCGAGTAAGTTATATAATATTAAACTTGACTGTTTAGGTATCGGATATGGAGCCAGATGTTGAATTGCTTGGTCCTGAGCGGAAGTCCATGAGACTGGGAAATTACCCGTCTCCCTTTGGTCTAGTCCAATTAGATTTCTGTTACCGAACTAGGATGGAGCTCTCTCTTCCTCCGTTTATTGAAGATAGTCATCATCAACACCTCTCGGACGATAAATGCGGGATATTTGTTAAGGCCTCCATCCCGATCAGTAAGCCTTCTGGTCCAAAGCAGCGTTTAATTTTGTTTAATGACGCCAAGCCCAAAGCCAAGAATTGGTTCAATCCTTTGAGTGAGGTAAGAAGTTTCAATATAATTTTGCAAAACTTTTCGCTTTTTGTTGAATCCGGATATCTTTAATATTAGGAGTTGCCCTTTATTGCTGATATGAGCCGACCAAGGAATCCATCTTCAAGTTCAGCTGGGTCAGATCACGGGATTCCGGCAATTTATCAGAATCTTCCGGCCGAATTATTGGCAGCAATGCCCGCGGATATTAAGAGCCCACGATTATCAGAATGCGAAGCCACACCAAATTCATTGGAGTCAGTAAATGTAAGTAGTTTAGGAATCTCAAATTATTTTTGATTTCAGAGTCAAAAGAAGGAATTCCCGTTTAGTTCCTTGGCTAGATCCGTAAATTCTGAAGATAATAATGGTGTTAAAGCTAAGGACCTTAACGTATCGAATGAAATCCAATCAATTACAAGTAGCTCCTCCGGTTCTAAACGATTCGATAGCGAGACTTCGTCATCAGCGTCGTCCTCCCTTCGGGATATGGTGAGGAATAAACAACGGATCCAGGATGAATTATTTGGATTCATCGACGAGGATGAAGATTATTCAATCCCCTCTGTTTCTTCTCCTTCCACAATTTTACCTGCCCTGTCCAATGACGTTGATGACTTTGGGGACGACTTAAATCTATTTGTCAAGGAGATGTCTTCGGCCCCTTCATCTATCAAATCATTCGATCTAGATGAACTTAAACTTCTGGATCAACAAATTGAACATTTCAAAGGGAAAACGAATGGCTTCGACAACTTTGTTAAGTCAATGAAAGTATGACAGAAATGGATAGGAAGGAGAGGCACTTGTAGATATGACATATGCTCATTACACATTTTGTTATCGGGTCATTTCATTTTTATACTCTTAATAGTTGTTTATAAATGTAAATACACTAAAATGAGGTCATTTGAATGGCGAGAAGCTTGGCGGTCCATATAGGATGTTGTTCCCTGCATTCTTTAGGTAACTACAACATAAGAACTCCCTGAATTGTTTGTTGAATTGACAAAAGAAGTTATCCTCACAGTCGTCGACTGATCCAGCTCGACAACTTCGGCCCAAAATGATGGTTGGACAGGCTGGATCTGATCACAAAATCTTGTAATCGAGAGATACATACCTTCACTGTGTCCTAAATTCAAATTTGCGACGATTTTGAATGTTCGGCCGTTCTCGTTCGAATCTGAACTTGAAGAGGCATCTTCAGAAATTTGATCATCTTGATGTAGACAGCATAAGGTTCTATTCAAAGGATCATTCCATCCTTTCAGACATTTAGATGGTGCTGGACAATCGCTCTTTCGACTCCTGGTACAATGCATTATCAGCCCTGTTTTCGGATACTTCATTGGATTGAAGTCCTCGGGACATTTTAGTTCTTCTTTATGGGATTTTGTCCTCACGGTCTTTGGGCGATGTGTCGATTTGCTGAAAGTTGTGGTTGTCCTTTCGATTTTCGTTGGCTTCTGAGTCTGTTGCGTTATTACTTTTGTTTCCTCAAAGGTACTTTTATCTTCTTTACTGAATTCCAGCGACGCCTTTGATGTGGTTTCTAAAAGTTTTTGATTTTACTAATTGAAATTACCTATCTGTTCACTTTTCTCTCGACTTTCGGATGAGATTTTCTTGTCCTCCACACTCTCGCTCTTGCTTCTACCCTTATTGTCGATTGCAATAATCTTGGCGGTAGTGGTTGTTTGCAACCTGGACATGGGTCTTGCAACGAATTCCGCTGAATTGGGAGGAGTGCAGCAGAATCCATTGGCTGAGTTGGGTTCACTGTTTTGACAAACATAACCATGACTGGAAAAGATAACAAATAATTTTCACTGTCAACTTACTTGCAAACAGTAACACCCACAGTACATTTTTGAGGCATGTTTGTTGCAATATTGATGTAAGGCCGAGTATTACGAGGACAGTTTGCTAAAAAAGTATGCAATAATTGTTTATACAATAGATCGGTTATGCTACACAAGCATAAAGTTAAAATAAAAAATAGCATACCAACCAGCGCCTGCGAACAGCAGAATCCCCAAGAAGATCCTACGATGGTGGGAGAACACGCATAACCAGAAGGACAGGCAGCATCATAGCTATGGGGATTACATTTGATGGTGCTGGCAGTCAACGGATGGATACAAGGCCTCTGTCCCGATGGGCAGATTCCTAAAGTAAGACGGCACGTTAATCAATATATAAAAATAAACCTTCGATTCGACCACAACAATAACTGAGGATATTCTGAGGTGTGGAGGTGCATAAGTAATCGGATGGGCATTCATCTTTCTCTCGATTCATGGGATCGCATTCTCTCGGACGACCGGTGAAAGGGACAATGTAAGTCCGATATCCGGGACAGGGATCTGGGTTAGTGGGTTAGTATAATAGGTTAGGGTTAGTAATCAGAATATTACATGTAGTAATTAAATTCTTTAGTGAAATCAGTAGTCACGCTTACCAAAGGTCGTTTTACCACAACAAACTTGTCTTCGGAAAAGTTTATCGTATCTGCAGAGATACCCGTGGGGACATTGATCTCTGGATTCGCAAAGATACGGTTTCTCAAAGTCATCATCAAGATATAGTGGGGTTTCTCCGACTTCACAAGCTAAAATTTTAGGACGCAACGGTTCATCACTTTTTGGTTCTTACCTGTCGTCTCACACTTTGATCTGCAGTCCTTAATGGTTCCGAATCGATTCTGCACTTCATCTACGGTACTTTCCAATTCATCGCATCCGGTTACGGTATAAGGACGACATCTTAGTCTGGTAGTGTCAAAATAATATAGAGTTATCGCGGGTTTGGCACAATTCATAAGATTATTTGTTTTCGGTTTCCGTGAACAGTATGAGTCTAAATACGAAACATGTTATACATAAATTGCATTTACACTTCGTTGGACAACAATACTTGACCGGATTCCCAAAGTGATTCAATCCGACTATTGGAACACACTCATAGTTAAGACGACATTCTGCATCCAGGCGGCACCATTTGATATTCCCATCCGGATTTCTTTGAGGATCCACACCGTTTGGACAAAGCTCTAAGAATAAATTAAGAATTATTTGAATAGGACTGCTAAAATTTAAAAGGCTATTATACCTTGCCTAACTCCGTATCTAGTTGAGACTGAGGGATTCAGTTGATTTATCGATTCGCCATAAATCTCCTCACAGATACCGTAATCCATAAGATACAGCAGCCATAAAATGCACGGAAGTGCCATTAATTGTCCTGATTTCCTGTCATGAATATTTTTTGATCGGAGGGGGAAAGGAATGTGTTGTGGACGTCTGGTGGAGACCAATATGGGCTTCCCTTCGTATTTTGCGCATGTCCACTTGACCTGAGGCGATTTCCTGCGCGGAGTAAAAAAAATACTCATCGTCGAAAATATTTTTTGTCGAAGAGCAATTGCTTTAGAAAGATGTCATTTATAATTTTCAAATATTGTATAGCACTTTCAAATGATTTATTGCACTATGTAATTACGCAAAGCTATTAATATGTACTAGGTGATCATGACGTGGAAGCCGCATCGACCTGGACCTGAGGAATGGGGACCTTCGTATTCTCCGTGACTATCGGACAACCCTCGTCTTCAGTAAGACGTCGTTGGCTCCTTCTTTTAATCGAGTCAAGGCTATGGGGACCAAGACGGACATTGTGTTTACTGCCAAACTAAAACATGTTAATTCAAAGGAAAATATAAAGCGGGAGATAAAAGATTTTCTGAAAAATTTTTGAAATTTTTCTGTTTTTACTTTTTTTTTAAAAAAAAAGTAAATTTTGAAAAATTTCCGGAAATTTTCGATTTCGGAGAGTCAAAAAACATTCTTACTCCGAACGACAAATTTTTGGAAAGTTGGATCAAAAATGGCTCGCCAAAAGGTCGATCCGCAAAGTTGAAACAAAAATGGCTCGCCCATTTTGGCTGGTGAGTAGGATGCCGTTTTTACTCACCTGCACGCCAATTTATTTTCTTCAAAACTATTTTTGCGAGCTGCGCCCGGGAATTCCAGATGTGTCAAATTTCTCTCTCCCGGAAGAAACGTTTTGATTTTTTTGAAGTTGTGAACCTATTTTCTCCACGAAGATGGGCTGAAAAGTGATCAAGTAAGTTAGCATTAGCAAGAGGAGATGTACTTTTTTCATTTGACACCAAAAATTTTCCTTTTATTTCAGAGAAAGGTACAAATTTTTCCAATTCGTAAAGCTTCATGACCATGGATAATGTAAGTGCGCTTATCGCGTTTTTTGTTCCGTTATTGGAGTTAACAGTTCTAGGCTGGCGAGTTCTAGAGGACACCTCACTTTAGTTTTGTTATATACTCTATCTATCAAACGCCACCAATTTCGATTTCTAGGTGTCATGTACAATATCGAAATCCGCTCAGATCTGCCGGATTTTTGCCACGAATGCGTTCTAAACTGAGGTAATAACGTAATAAGGCTCAAATAACGTTGTTACAATAACTTGAAGATAGTTTGCATAGGTTTTACTTTAGTATAACATACTTTTGGAAAGTTAGTATAGTATTTGAAACTTTTACGTCGTTATTCCTCAAAATTTATGGGGTTTCATACATGGAGAATATACATGAGAGTGGGGTCTCCTCTAAACGTTTCCCGACTTAGAATCTTGACGTCGTAGCAAAAAAGGAGATAATCTCACTTACATTATCCATGGTCATGAAGCTTTACGAATTGGAAAAATTTTGTACCTTTCTCTGAAATAAAATGGAAATTTTTGATGTCAAATGAAAAACGTACATCTCTTGCCAATGCTAACTTACTTGATCACTTTCCATCCCATCTTCGTGGAGAACATAGCTTCACAACATCGCACAAACGTAAAAATAATTTTTTCGGAAGAGAAAAACTTGACACATCAGGGAAAGACTTGGCATCAACCTTGCAACCTGCAGTGCGGGGCCAAAAAGAGGAATAAAGTAAAAACAAGCTCTGACTTTCGGCGACTCCGAGCGGGGAGTAAGATCCGGTCCTACTCCCGACCTTGAAGTCGGAAAGCCAGAAACAAAATTGACTTTTTTTTGCATTTTCCTTGAAGTAAACTGAAAATTTACTTTTTTTTTAAAAAAAAAAGTAAAAACAGAAAAATTTCAAAAATTTTTCAGAAAATCTTTTATCTCCCGCTTTATATGTTAAAAATAATGGCAAAAGATATGCGAATTCTTTTTATTCAACATCGCTTACCCTCTCGAAAACTGTCAACTCATCGGTCTTGAGGACAAAACAATAGTTCAACAACAAAAACGAGACCACCAACAAGCATATCGCGAAAATGACGGCGGCGACGACCGGCCCCATGTAGTCCGTGAACAGGAAGTCCTGTTTGGGCATTATCTCCTTCTTGGCGCTCTGAAACAGAAAATAATTTCCTGGCCACTAAATACGAAGTCTTGGGATGAGCGGCGCGCGACGCCGCTCCTCCCAAGATGGACTCGGAAGACGAACAAGCCCATAAAACCCGGATGGCGTGAATCCCGACACTCGGCCAGCCCCCAGGTAAATACATTTCGAGGCTGGTCTCCATGGCGCCATGGGAACCCGGCCCGTAGGCAACAGAGCACACCTGGCCCGAAAAAACATTTGCACCGTGCAAATGCAAACCAATACTAATTGTGGTATTTCTGTTCATTCAAGAGTTATTAAATTAATCAAATAATATAGAAGCAAAATTATTTACAGCACCCGTATAATAGTATGAAGAGGTCAAACACGATCAGAAATCACCAATCATTGAAGCAGGTAACCAGTTTCCAGATGTCCTCGATGTCGTCTTAAGGCCATTTTGTAGAACACAACGCCTATTTGAGGGCCAATGCTCTTTGAGGAAACGGCTTCTTCCTCCACTTTACACTTGAATGCATTCTCAACCATTTCGGCCACAACTTCAGACGCAAGAAAACTGAAGACAATTATTATTTCCATCTTTAATGGGTCGGTTTGGCCTAGCCATTCCATCAGAACACTATTAGGGAGCTTATACAAACATGTTCTTCTAGCTCTGCTGAACTCGATGTAGGTCTCGGAATCCAGGGTTCGGATATATTCTACTATTCTTTCCATTCGTTGATTCTTTTCCACATCTTCCACTGGTTCATCGATTCCTTTGAGAACCAAATCAAGATGAACGCAATCAGGAAGTAATAATGACAATGCATCTTTGAATGAAGCCAATCTGAGAATATATGACTTTAAACTTATAATTATCTTACTTAATCTGATCTACACCGGCCAAACTTCCGAAATCAAATGAAAAGATCTCCTCCTTCTCCTTCAAGTAGCGAAAGAATCTAGACAGCAGTACTGTCTTCTTTCTCAGACACCACAACACATCACAAAGTTCGACTTTCCTTCTCCTAAAAAGGTTTATTTAAAGAATTTAATCCTTACCCTTCCTCAGAGGCACGTTGACCAGCGACGTTGAGCAGATTTCTCAGCTCTGTGTTTGCCAGACTTGTCACAAACGCAACAGCGTCTTGTTCAGGGCTATGGTGATCGCCATTAGAGAACATAATCATGGAGATGGTCGATTCCACCGAATTAAACTCATTCCGGTCATATACGTCATCTGAAAGATGGTCGTAAATGATCTCGTCCATGCTCAGAGTACTCTATTTTTACCGCCATCTTTTTGCGAAAAATAAAATTTTATTTTCCAGAAAATTCGTCAGCGCTTACAATTTCGGTAAGATAAAACAACAAATAAGTTTTATAGGAGATAATGTAAGAATATCCGGTATAATCGTCCTGTTTCATCCGTTATCCAACAATTGGCCATATCAAGCCTACACGTGTACACATACGAAGTCATAATGACATGTTTCTTGGAAAAAGAGAAGACTTGACTCTAATGAAACATTTGACACAAGAGCTGAAAAATTGTATTTTGATTCAACCAAGCAATTACCACAATCACAAACAGTCTTTCTAAATTGCTTGTGGGGCGAACGGCTCAGGAAAGGCGGTGTTTCGATCGCCCGACCTTTCGTCAGCCCATTTCTTTCATTTATCGCTCTCTTTTTTCTCCATGCATATTGAACTTAATTCATTTTAGTTTAGTTACGTTCACCGAGAATGTCCAGTCTTGAGTCTCTAAAGAAATATTCCATCGTTGTCGCGGATACCGGTGACTATCAGGGTAAGGTTTAGACCTGCTGTGAATAAAATGGTGTCTTTTTAATACATTTGTTTGAATAGTTGGGTAGCGTGATGATAAAAATGTAGTTTATAACTATAGCGATCAAGGAGTTCCAACCGACTGATGCAACTACCAACCCAAGTTTGATCTTGGCCGCCTCCAAAGTTGATTCTTACAAACCATTAATCCAAAAGGCTGTTCAGTACGCCAAAGAGAAAGCTTCAGGGAAGTCCAAAGAAGAGATCAGAGCCTTAGCCGTTGATAAACTGTTTGTTTTATTCGGAAAGGAAATCCTCCAGATCATTCCTGGCCGAGTCTCCACGGAAGTCGATGCCAGGTGGGTTCAAAAGTCAAGTATAATATTGTTAAAGACTTTCTTTCGACAAGGAAGCCTCGGTTAGTAAAGCCTTGTCCTTGATCAAACTGTATGAAGAGGAAGGAATCAAAAAGGAAAGAATCCTGATCAAATTGGCATCGACTTGGGAGGGAATTGAAGCCGCGCGGGAATTGGAATCCAAGCATGGCATCCACTGTAATATGACTCTTCTCTTCAATTATGAACAAGCCATTGCGTGTGCTCAAGCCAATGTCACCCTGATCTCTCCATTCGTCGGCCGTATTTATGATTGGTATGTTAAGAGTACTGGAAAGAAAGATTACACAAGATCGGATGACCCAGGAGTCGAGAGTGTAACCAAGATCTACCATTACTACAAGAAGTTTGGACACAAGACCCAAGTTATGGCTGCTTCCTTCAGAAATACTGAGGAGATCAAGGGATTAACAGGGTGTGATTTGTTGACTATCAGCCCGGCTCTATTGGGACAATTGGCGAAGGATTCCGAAATTCTTGAACCGGTTCTGACTGCAGAGAAAGGTAAGACCAAAGCAGGGCCGTGCGATGGATGCTCTTTTTTATGTTATACATCCGTTCTAAACCATTTGATTTCAGCCAAGAAAGCCAACCTCAATGAAGTTAAGGTCACCGAGCAAGTCTTCCGTTTCCAACTGAATGAGGACGCCATGGCCACAGAAAAGTTGGCCGAGGGAATTCGAAAATTCGCTGCGGACGCCATTATTCTTGAGAAACTGATCGATGACCAGCTCTAGATAGATTTCTATAAATATTTCTTATCATATTTTTGTTGATAAACTGTTTTCTAATGATAAGACAAGCGAGTTCCTTAAGAATGCCCTTTCTGCCCATCATGGACGGACACGCTGTTTTTATTCCCGATACACCGTCAATTATGTTCCTAATCTTGTCAAAAACGTGGCCATCGCACGACATATACGGGTTTCGTTTACTGGAGAAGCTTGGAAAATTGCAAGAACATGCTGAAGCGCGGATTTTGAGGTCAAAATTTATGGAAAGTTGATACAGCATTACTTTCTTGTCGAAGTAATTTCGTCGGTTTTTTCACGGAACAGAGTATTATCTTTCCTCAAGAATAAAGTGGGAGTTCCAGGACAATCTCATTGGCTCATTACGTGATTTGACCTTTTTCAATCTATCAATCTGTCGAGAAACATCGACATGCTTTTTACAATAGTTAGAAAGATTCGATAGAAGTGGTCGAATATCGTGAACGTAATTTTTATACGACAATTATAAAATTTTCAGTTTGAAAATTTGAAAAAAATCATCGTATAAGATGTCACCTCTCATTTTGAAAATTCAAAAATCGGGGCACTCTTCGTAAAAGCGGATCCGCGGATTCTTCGCCTGAAACGCTTGAAAGGTTTTCCTGCCTGACTTATGAGCGGATCCCAAACCTTCGCTGTTTCAAAAGTTGGCCAACACCTATCTCTTCGTAATAATAACTTGTAATCGTCGTTGGTCCTGCTTTCATTGGCTTCGTTTGGCCCCGGTCCCGAAGCGAAAATGCCTTTTCTTCAGGTGCTTTTGGCGCTTTAAAAATCTCACGTAAAATTTCGGAGCCGGCTGTCAAAAGTGCTGAAGCGCGGATGTTTTGTTACGGAGCGCTCGTTTCTTTGGAATCAGCACGAATCCTTGCCAGGCGCTCGTTTTCGTGGCCGTTGATAGCCCTGTTTTGGGCAAAAGCGTGGGGTTTTTCTGGAGAGAACCCAGGAAAATTGACGAAATTTATTTATTTTTTGGCTGGTATCTTTGGAATGGGAAAAAAGTGTATTCTAATTTTGAAATAGCGTGTTTTTATGTTTTTGTCCACTGAATGGCCAATTTCAGATGAGTCAGATTTGTTCTTTGAATGGATTTAGGGGAGCCGATGGCTCGTGTTCCTTATCAGATGGGGATCAGAAAACCGTCCTTATTCTTCAAGGGCCTTCAGCGATTGGCCATGACAACGAGAAGACCTATCGACATATTGGCCACATTAACCTTCATTCCACTACCTTCCAACAGGATGAACCCCGGATTGGAGATTTGTTGTTACTCAAATTACTTGAAAACTGCATCGACCGGAAGTTATATCCCCGAACTGAGATCTTGATTCATTCCGATGTGCAGGATATTTATAATAATGGCATTGACTGGAGATCTTTTAACGGGGCCAGTCTTTGTTTATTGGACGCTGCGATTCGGATGAATTACTTCTTCGCCGCCGTCCTGGTTGCCAATATTTTTGATGAAGATGTCCGGAAGATTGAAGTTGTGGTCAACCCCGAATCACGACTGCTTCCCAAAGCCAAAAACATGTTTCTCTTTGTTTTTAAGCCTTCTTTAATTGAGCCGGAATTGATTGGAGAGTCATCTTTTGGAGATTTTAGCTTTGATGAATTGGAAATAGCCCTCGAATTGGGGAAGAAACATTCCCTAAAGTCCCTTGATTATATTCGACATGAGATATCTCTGAAGTTGAACAAGAACCTTTAACTTTCGCGCCTTCCGTGATGTTGTTATTTTATTGTTGAGTTTGGTTTTTTGTAATAAATTTTGTTTTCAGATCCCACTTACAATGGCATCTCAGAACGGGGACTTTCCGCAGCTACACTCTTTGTTGGACCAACGTAATGACTCCGAAGCTCGCTTATTATGCCAAAAGATTTTGGGTTCCTTGGGTAATCATACACAACTTGAAGAAATAAGACATCGACCTCAAGCAATTTACGGTAAGACACTCTTTTACATTTTATATTTTGTATTTTAGTATGGGGTCTTGGACTGACTTTCGTCACTTTGATAAGTTTATGTGCAATGGTGGGAATATTGTTCATGAGATGTTTAAAGAAGAGCGTGTTCAATAAATTTATTACCTTCTTCGTTAGTCTGGGAGTTGGATCGCTTAGTGGTTCGGCGGTTTTCCATCTTTTGCCCCAGGTAAACGGATTAACATAGATTTGTTTTATGTCTCGTCGTGTTTATTCTGTCTTTTTCAGGCTTTCGGATTAGTGGATGAATTCAACCCGAACGCCAATCATGAATACCTTTACAAGGCTCTTGCGGCCATTATCGGAATCTACTTGTTCTTCTTTTGTGACAAGGCTATTAAAATCATCTTAGAGACAAGAAAGGTTTGCGAGTGTTTTGTTAGTGTGATTGTTTGTTTAGAAGAGAAAGGCCGAGATTGAACTCCCTACTCGAAATGGGGCGAAGTATGATAACAACGATGTGAACTCTGGCAGGTCTTCTGACGCTTTGATTTCCAATGGTAAACCTCACAATCATGTCGACAAACATTTGGCCCACGTGCGCCGTCAGGATAGTGAGGCTGAAGAGAGTATGCACAGACAAGTAAGTGGTACCTTGCATTGCTAAATCTGGTTTTAGGCACATGCTGTTTGCGTACATGATCATGACATGGAATACAAACAAGGAGATTCCGTTATCGCGACAGTCGCGTGGATGATCATTTTTGGAGATGGCTTGCACAATCTGATTGATGGGATCAGCATTGGAGCTGCCTTTTCGGAATCTCTTCTTTCTGGAGTCAGTGTTTCTGTAGCTGTTTTGTGCGAGGAATTCCCTCACGAACTCGGAGATGTGGCTATTTTGGTATCGGCTGGTATGACTTTGCGTCAGGCCTTGGTCTACAACTTGCTTAGTGCAATGTCTTGTTATATCGGCTTTTTCATCGGTGTTCTGCTGGGAAACGTGGACGATTCTTTCGCGTCGTACGCATTTGGGTTTGCTGGTGGAATGTTCTTGTATATTTCGTTGGCTTGTATGATGCCGGAGATGAAGAATGCAATGGAGGAGGCCTTGAATATATCCTTGTCTTACAGTCTGGAGGTCCTGTTTTTCCAGGCCTCAGGCATGGTTTGTGGTCTTTGCTTGATGGCTTGCATGGCTAGATACGGCGGTCAAATCTCTTTCGAGTAACGAATATTCATTTTTCGTATATATCTCTTCTACTCGCATTTGATGTCTATTTCTCTAGCTAGAATATCAAAATGCAACTATATTCTAAGTCATAGGAATCATGATTGTGCAATTGTAAACGGTTTTGACCCTCCGGTCCCACATTGCCTTCTTCTGGAGCTTTAAGTTGGTATCTTCTCTCTCTCCCTCTTCTCATCTCAAACTAGGTCTGCGATGTTTGTTACGGTCTAATTTTACAAGCATAATAACTTTGCTTTCAACGACATAATGGTTATCATTCTCGCATTTGTGTTGCCATCCCTCCAGTAACAAAGATTGTCCATTACATACGGTTATTTTGTTAAAAGTTGTTTTATTCATGTTCAGATAAAAAGGACGTTAATAATTCTTGATGAAAGTATTGAAACTTGAGTTTGATTGGTCAAGGGGAAACAGAAAGTGACCATCACACACAACCATCAAGGGGCTCGGATGTTATTATAAAAAAGTTATCAAAATGAATTTGCGTTCCCTTTATACATGTGTGGAATTATTTTGGGTCCCGCGGGTCTGTCTTTTGGTGCTAGGCGGCGTCCCCCTCCCTTTTTTTCTTCCTCGCTCTCTCGTCCATCGCTCTGTCCTTTTGAGTTTTATTTGTGTAGAAGTTGGGGTCATGTGTGATAGCAGCAACTGTCCATTACGGCATTTAATTTACAATTGTGAATCGCTTTCCATAATGTCTTGAGGGGATTTATTGCGGACTTTGCGATACCCCTTCTTTCCCCTTCCTCTCTGCGCGACTCCATCCAGGACTTTCGTTCCCTTCACATCGCTTTATATTTTGTTTTAAAGAGCGAGCAGATTGTCTGGTATGGCGACGCTTCACGTTACTTAGACTTAAATAACATCTCTTTGTCAAATCATGGCTTGCGATCAATTCCAAGAACATCCCGCTAATGTCCAAGTAAGTGAGTCTAGTGGATTATTCAAAATTTAGGAAAAAAATTGGAATGTAGATAATTGGACAAACGAAGTGTTCAAGTTCGAACGGGATACGCTGATTAAAAATAAACTTGGGCTGATTGTGAATAAAAGGTGAGACTTAAAACAGGATCATCATCCCGGTTCAGATATGAAATTGTGCAGAGAATCGATGCCGGTGCCTTTGGCGCTACTTATATCGGCGAGGACTTGCACAACAACAGGCAACGAGTGGCTGTAAAATTTGACACTGGCAGGCCAGAATATAAAAAATGTAAGTCAAGATGACAATAGCAGAAATATTACGCTCCATTTGTAGCTAAACGGGACGAAAATCATCTAAAATACGAGTTCGAGGTATATAAATCAGCTTTGGTAAGTTACTGAACGATTTCATTATAGGAGGTGATTTATAAATTTGGCTTTTTCAAGCTTCAGAATTCAGTCCAAAGTCAAGTTTGGACTAATTACGGCGGATCTTGCCCAAAGTAAGCGTAAAATTTTACTCGAAAGAATGCCGAATTCAGTCCAAACCATGAATTTTCGGTGCCGCTTTTGGCTGGATTGAAAAACAAAATTTACAAATCACTTCCCATATATTCTCTCTGCTTAGTATGAAGACGGATACGAAGCGATCGAAGGCTATGCCCAGGTCTATTGGTTCGGTTATCAATATAAACACAACATCCTTGTCATGGAATTGTTGGGCGCTTCTGTGGCATCCTTATTTAACTTCTGTGATAGGAAATTTGGATGGCAAACTATACTTTCTTTAGCACAGCAGATGCTCCAACGAATTCGACATCTCCATTACAGAGGGTTTATCCATCGAGATATTAAACCCGAAAATTTTTTGATGGGTCTTGATCAGAAGGAGACCACTTGTTACTTGATTGACTTCGGGCTGGCCCGACGATATCGCTATCGGAACTCAGAAGACCGTACTCTGAAGCATATACCCTTCAGAAGAGGGCGTTCTTTTATTGGCACAGCCAAATATGCATCCATAAACAGTCATCGGAATATGGAATTGGCGAGGAGAGATGACATCGAGAGTTTGGGCTATGTCATCATCGAATTAATTAACGGAAATCTGCCCTGGAAGAATATTTGCCGACGGCATCAGATTAATAAACAGCAGACCTATCAACGGATACGGATCTCCAAAGAGCAGGCCAATTGGAAGGAGATTTGCCCATCTATGGCCGAATTTATGAAGTACAGTAAAGAGCTCAACTTCTCGGAAGAGCCTGACTACGACAAGATTCTATTCATGTTGAGGAAAGGACTGTCGGAACAGCCTTGCAACGAATTTGAAATTCTGGGCCCCAAATGTGACAATTGCAAAGCACAGGAGCAGAAATCAGCCAAAGATAACGTCGACGCCGTTGATGCGCTGACAAGTCTAATCGCGGCAACATCGCTTAACACGGGATGTCCCACCGTTCGGGGAGTGTACAACGTTCCAACATCCTCCCAATCGAATGTTGAACCATGCCATCAGAATGTCCATTCAGATGTTATAAAGACCAATCTGAGTGCTCAGACAGAATTAAGAACATCTGTATCCCCTGCCTCGTCAATGAAAACTCGAGAAGAGGAAGAAACGGAGTCCGTATCCAGCTGTCAGAACTGCAGACAGCATCAGCGACAATACTTTGACCAAGAATCAGTTGGAGGGCTCAAATTGAGCTGGCAGATTTGGAGGGACAGCAATCCCGAAAATAGGTTTGAATATGATAACAGATTCGGGTATGTTTATATTATTTTTTATCTGAATTTGCTTCTTGGCACTATTTATTTTGATTATCTTTTCAGATGGACCTTGCCCATGGCGCCTCAACCAGGGCAATTGCCGCCCATCGTTCCTCCCTACCCTCCACCTAACATTAAGAAAACGGCTTGGGTGAACGTCTACACGATCCCTCCCCCATCATTTCCGTTTCCTCCTCCTTCTCAGCTCTACGCCCCTATAAATATTTGTCCCCCATTTTTTCCTGCCGGTATAATTCCGTCGCACTTTAATGGGCCTCCCCCATTCCCACCACCGTTCTGTGTGGTACCCCGTCATCCGGGTACTCCCTTCGTGCCGACTTAATCTATTTGGTACTGCAGTCGACATGTTCTCCCCAATAAAATACTATATTACCCTTGTACAGAATAAATTAATTTATTGATATTCATGAGCTAGTTAACATGCGTGAGGTTAGATCATAACACTTCCACTTCCGAGTCTTGATCGCGGTCCATGAGATGAGCCAGGTCCGTAATATTCACTTTGCGTTCCCTGGAGGTGACTGTCCGGATACGACGATTCTGAAGGTCATAACGACGGCGTCGCATTTTGCAGCAGCAGAACACCAAAAGCGGTGAGATGATCGCTCCAACAACAAAACCAACAATCGAAGCAATGATCACTTCGCCATTTTGAACACAAGGATTCTCCTAAAACAGCAAAAATAAGGTAAATAAAAATAATAAAAGTGTATTCAACAGAAAATTCACATAAACGATTTAGAAGCACACTAAAAGAACCAACAATTAATTATATTGCACTTACCACGACTTGATCCCAATAACTCAAGCTCTCATTGTACAGATTCCCAGAAACCCCTTTGAAATCGTCGACCTCTTTGGCAAAGGAAGTTTGCAGCCATTTTATGAGATCTTCCGTAGATTTGGTAGAAGTCAAATTTGTTGAGTCCAATGTGAAATTCTTAGATTTGCCCCAATTCTCGCCAACAGAACTGTGGATAGTGTTTAGTGAAGTGGAAGATGAGGATTTAGTAGAGTTAGAAGCTTGGGAAATTGAGAACAGTAAGAGAATCGAGACAGTCTTGAGCAACATTTTCGCCTGCGCAATGCCGGAATAAAAACATCGAAAAAAATTTGTCATCGAAAAAATCCAATAAAGAAATCGTCATGACTAGTTTTATAAAACCCGGTCACCGTTGGACGTAAGATTTGTAGGTGTCGTGACCTATGGAGTTAAAAACGGAGCAAGGAGAAGCAGGCACGGCGGCGATATTATGCTAGGAATCTCTGATACGTTCTCACTTAATGTGCTGCGTTTGCATAAATTAACTATTTTCGGACATGGCAATTTGTTTCTTCTGCGCTGTACAGAGCACACAATAAGCAATAACTACGCAATTTGCGAATGGTTCTTTCCATTATACCGTTCGGAACACGGCTTATCCTGTTTTGAGCTCTGCAAATTGCGAGACATAAAAGTTGGTATGGCCGAAATGCCTGGCTGAGCATCATGGCCGAAAAAATTTCAATTTACCCGGAACCCTTCTTACATACTGTGTGGCTTGGTGAATTTTGTAGTGAGCCTGTTTATTAGTGAGCCTGTTAGACTACAATTCAAAATATCACCTGGATCATAAGAGGAAGCGTCATCATGGCCATTATATACAGCTGTATTAGTGCCAAATATCACTAAACCAGGGCTATAAAAGCGGCCTGAAATTGGAGCACATCGGAAATTAAAAAAACCGTTATGTCCCATTAAGCAAGATAAAGAAAATTAAACACGGGCCTCTGTGAGGGCCGGCATTTCCTCAGCATGACATTACCCGACCCACGGAATTGTACGGAGGCTCTAATTGTGTCCACGCACTGGGCACTGATTTTGATTTTCATTGTTCACTTGTTGTTATCCATCTTGTTCTTGGTGATTCTCTTCTTTCTAGTCGCGAATGGCTCACTGTTCAGATTTTTTGCAATCGTCCATCCCAATCTTAAGGTAAGGTGACATTGATTACACTGGTTATAAAAAATGTTTAGATACTGCTACAGTTGTCAGCATTTTTTGGTGTCCTCCACTCCATTTTTGTCATTATCTTGCGATCGAGCAGCTTGGTGAGTATTGCTTTGGTTACAATTCTTACATTCCTTTAGGCCTTGCGTAAAAAGAAACAAAAATCCGAATTTAGACAGCAGCCTTTCGAAATCTGCCCGAATGTGATTATCAATGGAGGCCAGTTCATTGCCTTTCTCTCAAATTGCCCATTTATTACTGTGTCTTCAGCTTTACAGTAATCCACTTCAGTTTATTCATCGAGAGAGCTTACGCAACTTGTTTCCTAAAATACTATCAGAGTGGGCACAGATGGCTGGGCAGTTTCCTAACTTCCTTTATTGTAAATCTTTAAGAATTTTTAAATTTACAAAATTTGTTAGATGTAACACTTAAGAAGTCTTTAATGTTCGCAGGTTCATGGAATGTTTAATTTCCTCATTTAGATCTTAATTACATCGGTTTCAATAGCTATTTTATATTGCAAGGAAGATCTGGAGACACCAAGAAGTTACTGTTTGTCGACAACTATGAGTACTGCCCCAAGGCTACAATTTACAATGGTTTGTGCCGGAATTTTAGATTTAATTGTAACAGTGGGTGACGCCGTTGTTTACAAGGTGAATGTTCGAAGAAAGTAAGTGTTGTTTGTTTACCTGAAGCATGTCTGAATACCAGTGCGAAAACATGCGAACACAACCCGGAAGTCTATAATTGTAGCTTGAAGCACCGTTTCTCGGAGTATTCGTTGAATCGGTCCTATCAGATGCGGGAGAACAAGATGAGTCTTCTGATCATCCTCCCCTTGTCCGTCGTTCATTCAACCTTCTTCTTGTCCTATCTGTTCATATCGTTTGTAGCCCGGTCGTTGATCGTGTACACAGAACCCGTTACACACGTTGTTGTAATCGAGATGATGCAGACGGTAAGTGGAATTTGTATTGCAATTTTCCAAAGTAAATATTTTGTTGTTGACACAATATTTATACAGTGCTTGCGTCATAGCCGAACTCTTAAAATTGCTGCAACTTTTTTGGTTGTCATAGAAATGTGTCATATTTGGCACCAATATGCACTAGTGCACTAAAAATTTAAAAACCATCGCCCATATATGGGGTTTTTCAATCTTTTTCCAAATTGTGGAAATTTCTCGAAATAATTTTTTGACGCAAGAATAAAATATAATTTTATCCAGCACTGTATGATACATGTATATCCAGCACTGTATAATACAGTATTATAATACATAGAAGAAATAATATTGTGGCTTAAGAAAATTGGATAAGAAAACTTTAATAAAGATGAAAAGTAATCACAAAACGGGTCTGCAAGCCCCAGTTACCGTAATCCTGTTTCGTTTTGCAGGCGGTGTGCACGTATCTGGTTGTGATTGCAATAGCACTGAATGCTCTTTGGATGCGAACAGAGAAACAATTAACCGTCGTCCAGAACCAAGGGAATGGCGGCGACGTTCACTTTCAACAGCTGAGAATTCAATTTGAACAAGTAGTTCCCCTCAGGCGTTAGGCTGTTTTAATCAAATTTTTTTTGTCATTTCGATGATAAATTCACTTATTCAGAGATCTCGTATAAAATATTTGGATTCCAACTTTGGTTCGTTTTTTAGCCATGACAACTTGCTTGATGATCCTTCTGTTTCCATGCATCTTCACCTTCCTTTTCTTTTAAGATGACATAACCCTTGCTCTTCTGTTTTTCGAACCTTGAGCGCTTTTTGTTCTTTCCCCCATAATTTCTTCACCGTAAACACGTCTGTCATCTTATCTTTTACAACTCCACGGCCAATGTCGTCGCTCGGTTACTATGGCAATTACCACGAAATTTAATTCCAAAGTGCATAAATCATTGGTTTGCTCGCCGCTTTGGCGTCAAAAAGAGAAACCCAATGGACAAAATGATCAACGTCTCTTAACTGAACTCTTGAGGAGACCATAAAGTATTGTTATCGATATGTGCTTGCATGATTCTACATATAGATTAGGGAGCAACAAGAGCACTTGGACGATTAGAGAACTTGAGGTATTAATGCGTAAACTATAGATTTTTTTGTATATCGTCACTAAGGATTCAGAAACAAACCCCTACGCACATAGAGTGTATATTTTGGAGAGACATTAAGGGGAATATTAAAGTCCCCGGGAGAACCCAGACTTGTACGGGCCATTAGTCTGCTGCGAATAACTGTGCTTGAAAGAGCACTTTATCGTCGGAGAGCGCAGAGATTATAGAGATTGTGTGTCGGGAAGAGAGGGCAGACCGCGAAAGAACCATGACCCGCGACTAGTTTGGCGGAGATGCAGAAGAGAGTGCTATAAACAATAAAGTTTATCAGATGGGGAAGAATTTGGTGTTCTCTGAACCGGGTGTTCTCTGGTTCTCCCCAACCCCTGCCCCCATCCCTCCTCGTTTTCGGTCTTGAGCAGACCCGCCAGCGAATAGAAACAGGACGCACAGAGAGTGTAATTTCTCTGGAGGGCAGACATACAGCCAGAGGGACTCTTGACGTGGACTTTTCCCTTCCCCATTTCTCACGCAGACTCCACTCCCGAGCATTCTGTCCTTTGGTTATTTCGTGCTTTTTTGGGATCGAAGATGGCTTCGGACCATGCTTCCGAACGCACAGAACCATTGATAATATCAGCCGGTGATACGGCGTCGTTATCGATGGATTGGCGTCGGTGTTTGGATGGGGAAGGTCGGGGAAGAACTGAGTCTTCGATCTCTCTTATTACAGTCGAACATTTATTGCTGCATCAAGTGTTAAGCTGGATTATTTTGTTCTTGTGTGGACTTCATTGTTTGCAAATATCTCTTTCCATAACGAATTAATGCCCTTTCTTTTCTGAATGTCCTTTTGATGATTGTTCCTATGACGAGGGTCCGCCGATTCCCTTCGAACCTCATGGTCTTTGTGCCTCTCTTACTCTGGTTCTCTATCGTCTGATCGCTTCTTTTGTTATTGTTTTATCCTTGCCAAACTCCGCCCACTTTTCTCCTTGATGACCATGTTTTAGTCATGATGACTTGTTTTCCAAACTCGACATCAACGTGTTTAAATTAAAATACGGTAATTTCGAGCGGATCACGTGTCTTCCAAAGGATACAAAGGCTGTTTGGTCTCTGTTTTGTAGTATTGTTTGTCATCCTCTTTGTGGAAAAGATACTTTCTATGCTTGCTTTGGTTACGTATTTTACAATCATTTGCAAGCCGTAGTAATCGGTGATTTCGCATTTGTTTCAACGAATTTGAAGATTGAAAACTTTCTCGGTGCACTCGCGAAACGCCGTTTTCGAAGCCGGCCTCATGGGGCTGGCTGATAGGCAGACGAAGGGAGCGAGAGAGCGAGCGAAAAAAGGAGAAAGTATGTTTATATTCGACTTGCACACGTGTTTGTCTTCATCAACCAACCATCCCGGCCCCGTACCTTGTTTCTGGTTCTTTGCACTACTCACTTGACCCTCCTTCGCTGATCGATAAGAGAATTATTTTTTGTTGACAGACCGCGTGACTAATGCCCTCAGGGCTGTGGAATTGCACGACGTTCGTAGTGTGTTAACAATTACCTTTCAGAGAGACGGGAGAGTGGGCAAGAAACAGTCTGAAGAGACTTAAAACTTCTAGGAAAGGCTAGAATATGGACCAGAGTCTTCAAGGGAAGGAGAACGGACTCGGTCTGGATTCGGTGATCCAAGGGGCGTTGGCCGCAGGCATCCCCATTCCCCAAGTCATTCAATTCATCCAGAGTTCTTTCCAAAACAATCAGCTCCAATCCTTTGCCCAGACTCCAAATCAGCAATTATTGGCAGCTGTCACAAATCCAGCACAGCTTCTGAATTCGAGTAATGCCTCGAATGTCTCTGGATTGGGGCAATGTGAGTTTATCTTTATTTTTTTTTTTCATTTTTTGGAGACCTTCTATCTGTTCGAATTCGTCAATATTGATTGCGCAAATTGCTGACAATTCTTGTCTACAGAACGAATTCAAAGTTTGTGTAGACATCGGGGGTTTCTTTGGAATCGTGGTTTGTGATAGTTTATCGATATTTACAACACCATTCATGTGATTTTTACAGTGAACGCCCATTCCAATCTCAACTTCAATCTCCAGGCGTTGAATCAAGCCCAACATCAAGTGCATGTAGCCTCATCTCAAGCTCCTCAATCCTCATTAAATTCAACGATAAATGGAGCCGAGAACGGTTCCTTGCCTTGGCCCATCTTCCAGCCCGCAGTTCATGTTCCTCACTTTGATATGAGCACCTATCAGAAGGTGAATCTAGATGCCCAAGCCTCAGCTCTGCCCAGTGGAATGGATCTCCCGCTTCATGATATGAACACGTTAAGGTTTTTCTTCAATTTTGGTGTTCATCATGCACGTCAAATCCTTCTTCGTGAACATTTTCAACTTCAACCCGGCCAAAATCATCAACAGCCAACCAATAGTAATGTGTCAGTAGCCTCTCAGTTGGGGCAGCAAGGGCAGTTGATGTCCAGTTTGTCCAACCAGGATCTTTTGTATCAACAGATGCTTTTAAAGTGAGTTTAACTTGCATATAGAGTTCTCGGGGTTCGTTATAATCTACTTTTCTTTCAGAAATAGCCAAGATTTGACATCGGGGAAACCAGTTGGAACCCCGTTGCCAGGCTCAACCAGTGCCGTAACCGATCCCCGATCGGCATTTCAATTGCAAAAGGATTTAGCTAATAGTATAGTAAGTTGTTGTAAAAATACAATTTATTCAAATTTTAGTTAAACAAGTCTCAAGGCCTTCAGATCAAAAACGAACCCATGGAGAACTTATTAATTCAGAATTCATTACTCGGAACTGTCTCAGGTGAGTCTGCGCTTAGCACTGATATCAATTTTAACTTTCAGCAAGAGGAGTGAACACATCAGCACCTCAAAGCACCCCTCTAGCCATCTTGCAACGTCAACAACAAGCTGCTCAACAAGGTCATCAAACACATAACCAACAGAGAAATCATAATCAAGAGCCCGAAGTGAGTAGGGGGTGTAGATAACTTCAGCAGGGCTCAACCCGGGCCGTCCTTAGTTTAGAAGATTTTCCTGACGCTAGACGAGGTTGTCGTTGCAGGTGCTTCGCCCGCAGCCCGTCTCCTTGAGCGATCTGACAGGCTCGGTGCAGATCCAACAGCTTCTCCAACAACAGAATCTCGGTGGGATTGGTCTGAGTTTCCAGCAACCAAACAAGACCCTCACGGCTCAGGTACCCGTTGACCCTGCGCCCCGACCCTCCGTCCCAAGCCGGGATCAAGACACGGGCGGAGTCGCCTTGACGACCTCGGCTGGCTCTACTTTTCCTCAGGTGTGCCGGGGATTTAATTGGGACAGTTGATTGCATCATCATGAATGTTTGTTCGATCATCTCTCTTCCTATAGCATGATGATGCAATCAAATATTACCGTAATCATTTTATCCGTATCATCCTTTCCTTTTCAGAAAGATGCCCAAGATCAAGCAGATCGGATGAAGCCGACTGCAATTGTGCGCGGAGCCGTGGCCGATGTAGCCAGTCGTAGTCAGAACAGTCCCCCTAAAGGAAATGAGGCCAATTCATCGAATCAGACGCCCAACAACCATTCGAATGGGACCCCTTCCCAGTCTTCAGCAATGTCTTCTAGTCAAGATACAGCTGCTGTGGCTGTAGCGAATGCTCTGGTCAGTCAATTTGGAGGAGTAAATGGTCAAGTGCCTTCACTGGCAGCTCAATTGAGTGCAGCAATGGTTGCGTCGACCTTTATGAATCCCTCCAAATTGCCTGCAACGAGTGCCGCGAGCTCGAATCCTCTGGTCAACGACAATCCCGATGCTCATTTATTGGCGGGAACTTCTCCTTATGCCAAATTCGTGAGTCTATTTCGATGTTTGCCAGTCCTGACACAATGTTTTATTTTTATTTATTTAATTTTCAGCCAGCCTTAGCCCAAAGCGCAACGCGTTCTCTAACCAGTGGGAACTCTGGATTAACCGGGGAAAGTAATAACCATTCAAATAACTCAGAACTGAGTGAAATTAAACCCGAATCAATACTCCAAACTTCCGAACAACACTTCACCGAGGCCTTTAAGAGATCTCTGCAGCAACAAATGCACGGGAAGAATGGAAAGGGAGGATCACCCAAAGGTGAACCGGCTGAGTCCCCCGACAGAGTTCAACGAAAATCCGGGGTGAATCTGATGAGTTTGGAGAAGGAGGCAGAGAAAAAGAAAAGCGCCGATAAACCTGTAAGTCTAATTTTGTATGACTTTTGTGTTGATAAATTGTAATGTGATCGTTTCCAGATTCCATCGATGATTAATTACGTGAACTCTTGTTTGACGCAGATTAAGAGCCAAGTGCAAAGTCAGGGAGTTGGTCTCCCGATAGATCACAATGGTCGACCAATCGACTACTCTTCTCGTCCCATTGATCCCATCTTTCGTCAGGCACGAGAGAAGTTGGAGAAGGATCGGGATTTCTCGATGATCCGCCGGGGATCCCCCAGCCTCCACCCACCCACCACTACCCAATCTCCAGTCGATTCTTGTCCAATTGGAATCAGCGATTCGAGATCCAGAAGCGAACAGCCTCAGGACATTCAACAGAAAGTGGCGACTCTCAGTCCAGCCAACAGTCAGAGACCTCGTTCCACCCAGCCGGGAGCTGAAGGCGCCTTGCAGAACAACAATGAGGATGGGCCTTCGGAGAGCAAGAAGATAAAGGTTGATGCCCCTTCCTCCGAGTCTTCCTGAGGCCATTCACACTCTCATCTCACTCCATGCTCCCCTGAGGGCATTCCGAATACCTCCCCTCGATCACTGATATGGGCATGATTTGCTTTCGAACGTCCTGGCTGAACGCACTTGGAAAGTTCTATTTTCTGTACATTCGAGTTCTCCTTCACTAATTCTATTAAGTTTGTCCCGGTTTTTATATCTTAATTTTATTGTCAATAAAGTATTATTACTAAACACTGACTTTTTTGTAAATGGGAAACCAACTTCGATAGAGACTACTTTTACTACAGTTTGCACAAATCAAGAAAAAAATCTGATGAAGGTTAAAAAGACGTCGTCTTTTTTTAAAGGCGACTAGTATCTAGCGGGTGATGAGTTCCGTGATTTCAAGGCCCCCACCAATCCCTTATGGGGTCTTTCTGCTGTACAACTTCGTTGATGAATGGGTAAACGATCTGGTTGAAAGGTGCGACCACAATGTTCACAGCCAACTAGTTGGAGCTGGGCGGCCTCATACATGGCTGCATTTGTGGCATCATGATTCACCTGACCATCGGCTAAAATGTAAATATTTAATTTATTCAATCCAATTATAAGCTGAAAAACTACAGTAGCCTTACCATGTCTGACAATCTCTGGCTGAACGGGTTCAGTTCTCCGTTGATGTTTGGGGAGTTTCTGGTTCTCCAACCTCCATTTCTGAAGACATTGAGGTTGATGAATATCAATTGACTTGGTCCCAAACATCCGACCGCAGATATAACAGTAGACGAAGGATCGTTTGGCACGCGCAGGTTCAGTGACAATCTGACCGAACGGCTGGAAAGGCGTTCCTTAACTTTACTGATACTATTACATACCATTTTTGGAGGGCAAAACAAATGTACAAACACCAAAAGAGTCGTTCACGGGACTGCGGCGGTACGTCGAATGTTCCTGAATAGAAGTCGGGGCCGTTCTCCGGAACAATCCAGGCGTTTAAATTGGGGCCAAAATAAATTCGGGGATATTGTTTACGCCCAATATAACTGATGTAATTACTGGAATGACGGCAAGTCGGGGAGAAAGATGAAGTCTTTCGGATCACCTTGACGACAATGAAGAAACCATTCATTGCCTCGGGGAATAATAAGACCGTTCCTTTCGGAACTTTCAGGAGTTCTTTTTCCATTTTATTTATGACCTTATACACGTTATTTTCCTGTTGACAACAAATGTATGGCCCAGAGAAACCGTCGAGGCAGCAAAATTAGGTAGTATGCTATGCCGACATACCAACATAAGAGCAAATTTATGCCCCACTTTCTATGACATTGCGCCAATGGGAAGGGAATGAATGACATAAATAAAAACCTTGTCATCCATTGTTTGTTCTCATCTCCCGACATTGAATACCTCTCGAATTAAAAAGGGTCTCTGAGATCACAATAGAGCCTTCTCTCATAGACTTAAAGTATGATTTGATATTATTTATGTTAACCGACTATACATTCAAATCTGTTTGTTTTCCGAATTTATTTCGCTGACTATTCCCTGTTCTTATCACTCTTCTCTATATGATATACGAGACCATCGTTGCACCAGTGTTAGCGGCTTCCCTGGGCATCGGAATCATATGTGGCCAGATGGGATTGTTGGGTCTGTCGGCCAATGTTGGATACAACCTTGGATTTTACGGATTCGGATCTCAATTTAAGGCTTTTTGTAAGGCAAAAATAAAGTATTTTGAATCAAGTAAGTGATTTTTAGTAGTCTCCCTGATTTTCTCATTACTGGCGACAAAACAACTCCCTCGAATGTCGAGTTCTGGTCTCTGTTCAGCCGTAATTGGAGGTAGCACAACATCCTCATTTGCATTTTATGCAATGAGACGATCAATTGTAATAGGAGCAACAATTGGACCTCCCATTTCAGCCTTGATTTACTGGTTTCTAATTGAAACAAGGAGCGAAAGTCTCAAGAAATTACTCTTCTGGAGTTACAACAAGGTCCGAGGGAATCCAGATGTTAAATGGGAAATGTAAAAACCATAGAATGAATACTCATATTTTGCGGTCAAAAAACTTTTTTATTGACTAAAAGAGCGTGTATACGGAGTATATTGCAGTCAATGTAGCTGCTGTAAAACTAATAAAAAGATTACATAAGTTTAAATTTGGTTAACCAAGTAAAAGGATTACTGTCTAGAAAGAGTTAAGACTTCAAAATTCATCTGATTGGTTAAGTAAAAACGATTAAAAACATATCGATGACTGATATATTTAAATTTAAAAGACTGATATATAGTCTAATTTTTTAGATTTTTTGAAGACAAATGTGAAGAGATAATCTTCTAGAACAATTCTTTTACCTTATGTGAAGACCTAAACTTAATGAGTGCTTTACTGGAACCGCGATGACTCAGATCAACTAATTTTTATCGTATCTTGGTTATTCAACCTTCAAGTTAAAACATTTTTAAAATAAATCCTTTTCTTTGTTCAAGAGAAACCTCCCATCAACCCTTGCACTCAATAAGTGTTAGATCGAATAGATTGAGAAAAGATGGATTATTTATTTAGAACCGACTTTGAGCGTTAGGTACAAAAGACGGAGTTGGAGAAGAGAACGGAGGAGGAGACAGGGGTGCTGGCTTTACCTGGACGACATTCTTCGTTGGCCTTGCCTTGACTGTCTTGACAACAATAACCTCATCCTGGTGTTCGTTCTTTATCTTCTTGATCTCAGCTGGTCTCTTGAAGGTCGATGACGGACCATCATCCGTTGCTGGTCTCTTGACCGTCGGTCTTGGTGATCCCGCTGCCTCTATGGGCTTCGGAACGGCTGCTTGAGTTGGATTCTGAAGCCTCTGATCTAATGAAAGGGGTACTTCGTTGAACAGAGATGGTTCATCTGGAGAACCGATCTTCACAACTTGCGCTGGAGCCTGTGCAGTTGTCTTCTTTTCAGTTGATGCCTGTGTCGAAACTGCTTTCTTCTTCGCAACATAATCCTTCTGCAAAAAAATCACCATAAAAAATTATTACACCCAGTCAATTTTATCAGAGCCAAGGAAATTTAGAATTAAAATTCAAGATGGAAAAATTTTATCCACGACTTCGATTATAAAGATTTCCTACCTTTAAATATCCAATTAACACACGTTTTTGATACTCCAACTGTGTGCAGAAGTTAATGCAGAACTGAAGCTCCTTAAGAAGACGTTCCTCGAAGGCAGCACCTTCTCGAATCTTCTTCTGTAAATCTCCGTTGGCCTTCTCCAGAGTCTCTATATCGATCTCCAAAGAACGTTTACCATTAACCATCTGCAATAACAATAACAAATATCTTAAATAATACAAGCAAATAAAATGAAGTAACTCCTTACATTAGCCAACTTTTTCTGATAAATCATAATGTCAGAATCAGCAGTGGGGTGCTGTTCCTGAAGAAATTGCAGGTACTTCATCTGCTGAACAGCATTTCCCAACTTCTTTTCGAGATCTTCCTGTTTGAGTTCCAATTCGGCGATTTTCCTGTCCTTTTGCTCTATTTGATTATATAATTCTTTCCCTTCCCTTTCTTGCTTTTCATTTTGAGCCTTAAGCTTATCCAATTCCTCAATACGTTCCTTCAGTTGCGCTTGAACCTTCTTGAGTTCACTGCTCTTCTCTTTGACTATCTTCTTATTTTTCTCAGCTAGTTCCTCTTTCTCCTTCAATTCTTTCTTCAGTCTTTCAACCTTTTTCTCCTTCTTTTCTATCTTTGCTCTTAACTGCCCCACTTCATCTTTCAGTGTTGCCTTGTCCGTCTTCAATGAAGTATTTTTAGCCTCTAATGCCACAATTTTTTTGGTCTAAAATTTAGTAAACTTTAGGTAAATCGTTGTGAATCATAATAAAATTAAATTCCTTGGACTCACTTTCTCTTTGTCGGCTTCCTTTAACTTTCTTTGGTCTTCGTTTATGTAAGGACGTATTGACTTGGCCCCACTTTTTGTTGACTGAAAACGGAAGGTTAGTCGAGTCCAACCTCTCCCACCTACCTGAACAGGCCTCCGTTGCGCCGCTGAATCTCCAGAATTCTGAGGAAGACTGGGAGCATTCTCCTTCTGTCCGGGACTGTTCATCCCTGGGAGGTCTGGACGATACGCAGCATTCTGAAATACAGAAATTAAACCCGAAGAATGATAAAAAACTTACCTTTAATTCTGGTCTGCTTCGATAATCATCTGCGGCTCTTGGAGGCTTGTTGCAGCCAACCCGAGGGATATCACCCGGTTTGAAGATGAGTAGATTGTGATGTTGTGGCCGTTGTTTTTCCGGACGCAGCTCATTTTTGTTTCGCTTCTTTCCTTTGTCAGGCAAAATGTAACTCTTGATTATTGGCCTGGCTTCATCGTCGGATATAGGCTCCATTAAGTGGACCTGGAATAATAAATATCTAAAATAATAACCAAGAAAACGAAAAGTTACAAATAAAAACGCGATCAATACAGTCGGGAAGCGCGCGCCTCTCAAGATTTGGCAGATAACCTTTGACCCTTGGACACGGGCCAGTAAAAAGATAAAAGACTTTTTGGAAGGAACGGACCTTTTCTCTCTTCCCAAAAAGGAATATTGGCGCCAAAAACTGGAAAAGAACGGCCTTCCGTTGTGCGAGAGAGAGAAAAGAGAATGTCAAAAAAATGTTCGCAACTTTTTTGCTATTAATCAAGTTAATAAGTAAGACGAGGAATAATGAGTTAATTCCTCAAGAAAGGGCACCTATAAAAACACGTATTTGACGATGGCTTTACCTTTTAAGTCTTCATCTCACAAGCAAAGCAGCTTCTATATTACGCGCAATCGCACCATGCGCATAAATCGTGTTTATACCCAATAAATCATGGGCATAATCAACTTATATGGATTGATAAAAAAGCGCCGCGCGTAAAACCTTACTAAATTTATTTGCATAAGAGATTGGTCGGCATATGGAAATAGCAAAAAAATACCCCCGGTTAAATTTCTTCACATTTTCCTTTGCAGAAAACAGGTGAGGAATTGAAAAAAAAAACTAATTCGAATAAAGTAAACAAACCAATCCACGAAGTCACGTAAAAATGCCATTAACAAACAAATTTTCTACAATCGTTAAAATGTTTTCGTATTTTACAATTATTTAAAAATTTTAGGCGTTGCATTAAACCAAAACCATTGGCGACATAGCAAAATAATCAATCTTCACGGGCTTCGCTTTGTCCTCTTAAAAGGAGCTCTTACATTCCACGTGATTGATCTGTTTCGAAACATGGAAAAAAAGACATGGCCTAGAAGCCCGGAGATTTAATTTTCGACGTTATTTAAAGGCATGACATTGTCAGATACACTAATACGATCTACATATCACAGACGTAATTAACCTAACAGGGGAAGTACCCCAAGTGCGACGCTCAGATTTTGATGAAATTTGGCACAAATTTAGAATAATTTTTCTATAGTATATACGAGAATCCTAGCTCGGGTTTGTAGAAACAGTCGAGATTTTTTTATCGAAAATCTGAGACTTCTTGACGAATTTCGACACGAAAAGTTTCGTACCTATTTATACCGTAAAGTGTAATATTTCTACAAAAAATCTATTTTTTCCACACGAAACTGGCAAAGTTATGGCCAAAAAGTGCTTTTCTCTCTGACCGCTCTTCGCGTTTAGCGTACTCTCTCGGCGGTAAAGATAATACCTCGGTGGCCCTTGCAAAGCGCGAGCTGAAAAAAGTTGGAATAACATGATTAATGACCAGCGCGGTACGAGAGTGTAATTCCCAGCCAACACCGGAATAAATCCGGAAAATCGATTCCAACGATTTCAAAACCGCATCCCAAAACTGAATCACCCTGATCGGTAAGTAGAAAGCTTGGAAAAGAAAATCGATCAGCCTGTCTCTCTCCGCGGCCTGATAACAATCGCGCCAGTTGCTGGGAATATAAATAAAAGGATGGGCGAAAATGCCCTCTAAATTCGCCTTTTCTTTAGAGCATTATTGGCCAGTCTAAATTACTTGCGGTCCCACAAAATGATACAGCAACAATAAAAACCAAAGATTTGTAACCGTGTATAAATATGAACGAGAAGAATAAATCATCATCAGTATCATTGACTACGAAGAAACGAGTTCGAAACGATGGCATAGCAACGAACAAACAAAATTTAATGACTTCTTAAACAACAGTATAAACAACAACTTAAAACGTAACAACAAATTTTAGAATTTCGCTATGAAAGGTTAGAATGGAATGGAGATCAGAAGGCGAAGACATCCTCTTCCTCAATAGTCTCGTCCAGGTTTTTTTTCTTCATTTTAATTGGTGTCATAGATCTGGCACGCTCAACTTTTTTGGTCGGAGTCTGAGCCTTGGGTGTGGAAGGCGCCTTCTTCATCAAATTATTTCTCGAATTCTCTCTGTTTAAGACCTTTATAGGAGTTTTCGGAAGATCGTCCTTTTCTTGATTCTGCTTCTCTGAAAAAAAACTGAATAAAACTGACAAGGGAAAACTAGCAAAAAATTTCGCGTTTTTTCCAATTTTTGACCTAAAAATCTCTGTCGTTCCCGCAAAACGCGAACTAGGAGTCTCGCATATGCGAAAAAATATTTTAAACCTGCGCCAGGTTTCATTAAAATCTGAGCGTCGCATTTTAATTACTTCCCTGAGAGTAAATAAAACAAGTCATTATAATAATATTCCTTACTGTTCAAATCATGCAATAGTTTTCTTTCTTTAAGCAGTTTCTTTTCCTCCTCAAGTTTTCTTCTGTTCTCTTTTTCTTGCTCCTCCTTCTGTTTCTTCACTTCTTCTTTTTTCATCCTTCTCTCTTCGTCCATCTTCCTTTCCTCGTTTTTTCTCTTCTCAACTTCTTGTTTCTTCATTTCCTCTTTCCGTTTCTTTTCTTCCTCTTCTTTTCTGATTCTTCTTTCCTCAGCCGCCTTCTGTCGTTTCTTTTTCTTTTCTTCCAACACCTTAAGTTCTTGTTGCTTCTTTAACTCCTCTTCAATCCGGCTTCTTTTCCTTTTGTCTTCTTCCTCCGCTTTTCTTTGTTTTTCCAATTCTTTCCTCTTTCTTTCTTCTTCAAGTTGTCGTTTTTTCTCTTCCATTTTCTTCAATTCTTGTTCCTTTCGCTCTTCTTCTTCAGCATTCTTAACTCTTTCCAATTCTTCTCGTCTTTTCTTTTCCTCTTCCAGCTGTTGTCTTTCTACTTCAAGTTTCTTTTTCTCTTCTTCTTTCCGTTTCTTTTCTTCCTCTTCTTTTCTGATTCGTCTTTCCTCAGCCGCCTTCTGCCGTTTCTTTTCTTCCAACATCTTAAGTTCTTGTTGCTTCTTTAACTCTTCTTCAATCCTCTCTTCTTCCTCCGCTTTTCTTTGTTCTTCCAATTCTTTCCTCTTTCGTTCTTCTTCAAGTTCACGTTTTTCCTCTTCCTTTTTCTTCAATTCTTGTTCCTTTCGCTCTTCTTCCTCAGCATTCTTAACTCTTTCCAACGCTTCTAGTCTTTTCTTTTCCTCTTCCAGCTTTTGTCTTTCTACTTCAAGTTTCCTTTTCTCTTCTTCTTGTCGTTTTAGTTCTTCTTCCTCTTCTCTCTTCAATCTCCGCTCTTCTTCCCTCTTCTGTTCCTCTGCTGCCTCGATTCTAAAATACAGTATTAAATTTTATTCTTCATCAAGGAAAATATAAATCAAGAATTAATTAACGTTCTAAAAAATATTAAAACTACCTTAATCTTTCCTGTTCCACACGAATATTCTCCGCTTCTTCAGCAGCGATCCGTTCCTTCTCTTGCCGTTCCACCTCGGCTAGCTGTTGTGCCCTTCTAGCCCTATGTTCGGCTTCGCACTGCTCCAACGTCAATTCCAACCTCTCCATTTTTGCCTGCAGCTCACCTATAACAGAACTAATCACTCTAAATTACTAAAAACGGTTTGAGAGTTGAGTAACCTACAAACTTCAGAACGAGCTTGTTCATACAGAGACTCTTGATGGTGAACTGCCCTACGCCAATATTCGAGCTCTTTGTAAGCGGCCTCTATTTTTTCAGACAACTTTTCTTCAACATCGTCCAGAGCTTTCAACGACTTCTCAACTTCCAATACATGTTTTGGCTTCTCATTATTACCTAAAAAATAAAAAGAATTTTGAAGCACTTACGTCTCTTGGCCAATTCGGTCCTTTCTGTAAAGTTGCGGGCATTCTGTTGAAACTTCTTGTGGAAAAGAGCAAGCTCTTCATTCTTACGCTCAAAGTTATCAAGAACATCGTTTACTAAAACCACATCATAAAAACAACGTTTGTAAACTTACCGTATTGGAGAATTTTCTCGGAATCTTCGAATCGGTCGCCGACTTGGGCCAGACGTTTCTCGGATAATTTTATTCTAGAAAAGTTATAGCAAACGCAAGTGCCGAATAGGTCCGCTGGGCAAAAAGCTCCGCAAAAAATTTAACTTAGTGCGATCTGGATGAAAGATTACTAATTTACAGTTCTACTTAAGACAAACAAGTAAAAGTTAGAAAAAAATGGATGGGATTTTATTGATCAGCATGATCGACTAGCCTCCAGACCTCACCTAGCTTAGGAAACCTTTTTCGGACCTTCTTGACCAGTGGACCTTTTCGTACCGACCGAGCAAGACGCATTCTCGGAAGTAACAGAAAGGTCAAAACATACATCTCTTCGGCATATTTGAGAACATCCTCACATTGCTGGTTATGCGCTTCCAACTCCATAGAAATAAAAAAGTTCTCGGTAAAAGTTTTATTTTCCAAATCCTCCGCGGTCAAAGCCATATACTCCTGTTCGCGAAGATCACATACTTCGGTCGAGCACTCCATGTTTAATTTTACTCCAAAAAAGATCACTCAATTGGCTTCATGCAAATTGGACAGAGTGAAGTTCGACTGTTTTTATTTCAAATGTTTTCGTTGCGAAACCGCAACGGTTTGGCACTAAAAGTAAATTTTGAATTTGATTATCGGAAAATAAATAAAAAAACAAAATGTTTTTTGGAAAAGATGCACAATGTGATTAAAGAAAAAATTTAGAGAGTACTGCTAAAACACCGCGTACCTTGCGAAGCCGGTCAGGTATTCACATAACCCCGAATATAAATATATAAATTGAAGATGACTTTTTTGTAAAAATGGTATTAAGCCAGTCTTGAAAACTGAATAGTACCGTTCTATCACCATTTATGATTTTTTATACATGCTGATTTTTGAAAAGAACACAAATTTCACACCGAAGACTGCGCTGATTCTGATTAAGAAGGCATCTGCCAAGAACAGAATTTTGCGCCGGTTCCAAAAATCCAATGCAATTTTGGACTTTGGGATGAAAACTGGACAATATTTGAAGTGCCCGTCTGCACAGTGGAATATCAATTGCTTACAGTAACCTGCTCGGGTTGGCGCCAATTGCGGAGACGTTCCTTGAACCAAATTACATATGTATATCTGCAACTTTCCCCCAACGTTCCCGCGTGTATTTCGCAGGTTAGAGGCCGTGGATGACCCACAATTAAATTTTTTTTGCGTCATGATGAAATATTTTCCGGAAAAAACAGAGATGTTATAAACAATGTAAGTGATGATATCAGGTTAAAAAACATGATTCTAGCGCACCACTTGTGTTTCAGACCTGGCAAAGTCTCTTTTAAATCACGCCTAGGTTTAATAATTTCAAGTTGCATTTTATGCTTTTCGTGTCTGGTGTACTAGAGACTCTCCAGAGCCTGCTAAATTATGATTTGTTGCTTAATTTTTGTTTCGTTTTCGGAAAATCTGAAAATTATCATAACAAAGACGTTTTGTCACAGGAACGTTCGTCCAAACACCTGGCGGTTTCGATCACATATGCGCGATGCTTTCTGGACTTTAATTACGGTAGTTTAGATTCCTTTCCGGCTGAGACAAATGATTTTTGGAGTTAATTTCTGGTTTGATATTGCGCGAAACAAATGTAACCGAGCCCCGCTCGGGTCTCGCCCATTCAGAATTCATGAGTTCGAGACCAATGAGATGGAGGGGCGTTTACTGTCATTTCTCGTTAATCTTTAAGTACCCGTCCTGAAGTCTGTGCCTGAGGCGAAGTTTGTTGTTCAAGGTCGTTTCGTACTGTCCTTATTATTTTCCTTATTATTTCTCATCACAGTACTAATAAACGGTACCTTCAGATTAGTATTGTGCAGATGGATCTCTTCCATTATCCTCAGAGATCGAACGTAGAACCTTTAAACGCCATAGGCCAAGTAATCGAGTCCCTTTCCGTACCCACAACTGATGCAAAACCAGTAAGAATTTCAGTTTTGATTTTGTTGTATAATTTTACGCAGTTTATTGATAATTTTAAGCCAAGCGACTGTGTTTGTGGTTCTTGTGGTCTCAGAATTTTCGACCAATTCATGTTAAAAGTAAGCACTGGTCCTGATCTCATCCTTGATACTTACCTTTGTCCAGGTCCAATCGCTTGTCTTTCACGAATCTTGTGCCCGATGTTTCAAATGTGGAATGCAGCTGGATGAAACATGTTACGAACGAAATGGATTACTTTACTGTAGATTGCATTACGCAAAGTAAAAAGCAATATTAAATTGTGATTATCAACTTTCAGAAGTTATTGTGCTGGATGTCAGATGCCAATAGAATCTTCAGACATGGTCTACAAACTGAAGGTAAGAGATGTAACGACTGTTCTATGTATTTATTCAGAGCGAGATGGTGTTTCATGTGCAATGCCATCTTTGTGTTCAATGCGGAAAGTCTTTGTCCCCAGGCGACCAGATCATGGTCGATGATGAATCAAGAACAGTGTCCTGTGCCCATCATTACAATGGTCCAAGTAAGTGTTCAGACATGTTACAGACTCTTTCAGAAGACGACCCAGACTCCAAGGGCATGGCGATGAATCTCCCGGCCATTCCACAATATCCCTTCGAGATGTACACCTTCGGAGAAATGTACTCTGAAGACGGGAAGTACATGAAACGGAGAGGACCCAGGACCACCATCAAGCAGAGTCAGGTAATTAATATCCGATGATTATGGGATGCGCGAAAGTGAGATGCGATTAGCCATCTGGTAATCGCGTGTTTTCTCTCCTCTCGGGGAATAAGGGATGACTTCGAAACGAGATCGTTTCAGTTGGATGTCCTCAATCGAATATTCTCCACATCTCCCAAGCCCTCCAAACATGTCAGAGCGAAGTTGGCACATGAGACAGGACTCAGTATGAGGGTGATCCAGGTAGGAATTATATTATCCATATCCCAATCTTTATATTAGGTATGGTTTCAAAACAGACGGTCAAAAGAGAGAAGACTCAAGCATTTGTGCAACTTCCTAAGGCATTATGAAGAGAAAGGGATCTGCCCTCCGTCCATCAGCTTCTCTGGCAAGTCTACTTTTCCATTACTTAAAAATACTGTAATCCATCTGTAAAAGTGTTTTCTCTTTTACCAATCAATTTTCTACCCAATTGATTGCAACGGCCACCTACCTTTTTAATGGCTCCATTTCAGAAGACCACACACTAAAGTCCCCATATTCTCCGACTCAATTCAACGACGAAGATGAAAACCAATGATTTTTTGGTCGACCGGTATTCAGTAGAGGAAAGAGTATTCATTTAGACATCCAAGCTGACACAGCCAGTCATCGGGTCGTTTAATTGGGCCCATCGAGAACGCGGTCCATTAAAAGTGGCTAATTAACTTTGATTTATGAATTCGGATGTTATACTAGACACGTAAAGGATTATAGTAATTTTTTTATTCTAAAATTTTCACGTCCTGATACGTATAGAGCTATGCCTTTCATAGAAAATTTATTTGTGGAGATCAACTTTACAATCATTTTACTCATGGTCGACTTCATCAATTACAGACAGATTTACACGATCGTATGCGTTCAGGAAGGGGTTTTCATCTCCGATTCTAAAAAATTAAGTAAATATGATCCGGGGATTGCCTTACCTTGTCTGTTCATTTGCTTTACTGCTCTCGAAGACCAATTCTTCGAATCCTTTATTATCTTCGAATACCCTTCTTTTGATACGATCGTTCTTGATCGTGCTCAATCCCGTACTTCTCCCTAATAAACTCTTCGGACTCATGATTATCCTTGACGGCATTCTTCTTGGGACTTCTGGCGAGGCATCATTGTCATATGCGAACCAATTCCGAAGGAACTGAAGTAGAGAAATACTATGAAAATAGACAATACTTACCAGATACAAGGACGAATCTCGGCCCCTCCTGCTTGACGAATTGGAAATAAAGCTGGTGAACTGCTCTGCTTGTTGTTCTCTCATTTCTTGGATTGATTTCGCCCTGATGTATCGTCGATGAAGTGTGCGGATAATGGCATAAATGGAGATGAGGAAGACGTAGAGATAAATTACAAAGCCGGTAATGGCAAAAAACAAAATGCTCAACATAAAAAGCCGAGTCAACGATGAACGATTGCATGTCTCCTAAAGTTTACGCAAAAATTATACAACCTTAATTCAACCATGATAACAGGTCATGTTTTAATTTGCTAAATAAAAAAAGCACTCACAATCCATAAATTTGCTATTTCCTCCATCGCTCAGACTGATAAACAAGATACTTAGAAGATGTAGCAATACAGTTTTTCGAAATCTTTGAGATCAAAATTGCAAGAATACTATAAACATCCAGGTGTTCCAGATAACGATGCAAAATGATAAACTAACAGTTAGACTGCAGCTCGGCAAACCAGTTAGTTCAACAACACAAAGTGTTATAACTTTCGTTAGTCCATGAAGATTGGAATTCCGAAGTCCGGTTGATTCTACTTGAACCGTAATGCCAAAATTTAAAATTCCGCCACATCCATCGACTCTCGAAGGGAATTTTGTTACGCAATTTCTCATCATGTCCAGAAGTACAATACATATATCGTTAATTTTTCATTATAATCGCACCTTACGTTCAAAGTCTCTCAAATAAATAAAGTTTAGTATCAAATTGCGTGCAAATTTAAAATGATTTGTGTTCCTAGTGTAATATAACGGCGGCTTGGGCCAAAGTGCCAAATGAAAGTAATTGGATCGCATTCGTTGCGGACGCCGATCTACGAAACATATTATTGGCAATGGATAAGAGCACGGAGACTGATGATATCTTTATCGCCCAAGAGTTTTATGGGACAATTCGGTGAGTTCGGTGAGGGTCAACAAAAGGAAGGGGAAGATGCAGATCTAATCGGAATGCAAACAGCAACGTATTGGTCGGGCGGTGACCCGGGGTGCCCTTTTTTGTGGGTAATCTGAGTGCCTTTCCCTTATTTGCACCAAAAAAGGCCAAGACGGCGAAAAAAGGAGGGACAGGTGGGGATTGCGGTCTCGAGGTTGCAGCGGGAGAGGTAGTTTTGAGGTCAGTACCTTCTTTTCGCGGAAAAAATAATTGCATAAAGGCAGTTCCGTTTCAAACCTTCTTTATTATAAGTCTTGTTGCGCAAACTTTTGAAATGTGATGTTAGGTAATGGCGGTGATTTATATCATTTTATATCACCTAGTTGAACATCTAGAGATTCAAAGTTGCTACTTTATTATGTTTAAAAGCATTCCGTGTCTAATGTGTTCCATAGATTTGGATCGTTGGGGGTCCTAGAACTTGGAAAATTTATGGCCTCAGGGGTTTTTCTTTCCTCATGTGTTCGGAATTAATTGAAAAGGATGAATTAATTAAGGAGTTCATAATTTTTTCATCCAGAACCGTGTTCATTCCAACGTGCCAACTTCAGAATAGCGTCTCTTTTGATGGAATTACTCTCTTGAGGATTCCGCCGACAATTTTCTCCTTCCTTTTTTGGATACTTTATCAAAATAGTTTTTGTTTTTAGTCGAATGCCTCGTTACAACACGACTGATACTAAAAATGTCGACACAAATGAGTTGGATCCGTGTTTAGCAGCTAAAATAAGACTGGCAGGAAATGGAAAATGCAGGTAAACGCAAAATAATTTAATCCAAAACAATTTGTTTCTTCTAGATCAAGTACAACATGGGTGCTGATAACGTCCCTGATCCTTTTGCTGACCTCCATCTTCATCCTGCTCTTTGTTTTGGTGACCTGGTTTCCTAAAGAGGTTGGTTTAATCGTAAGATTGCCTCAAGTTCGAGCTTTTTGTTGTGACTTGACGTTGTTTAGTATCCCCGTTTGAGTTTGCCAGAGCCGACCCGTGTCCAACATGACCGTATTTTGACGCCCATGAAGATCCATCGGGATCCCGATGAGGTCTTTGGCAGAGTAATCCCCACAGAACCGGATAAATTGCTTGAGGCGTATAATGGCAAAGTGTGTTTAACGCGTTGTATAATAGGTTGTAATGGTGGTTGTAGATTTATTGGAACCAATATCCAGAAACGAGAAGATCTCCAATACAAGGAGAGGTGGAATTAAAAAGAGCGCAAGGAAATCAGAGAATCAACTCAGTCGCCGACGGGGATGCTGTGTCAAGTCATGGAGTAGCAGACTCAAAAAATAATCTTTTTGGAAATACAACTGAGATGACAGTCGTCGGCAAAACAATGTCATCTACAATAATAAACAAGGTCACATCAACTAAGCCTCCGGCAATTGAAGTGACGGAGAATTCTTTCACAACGTCTGCAGCAAGCCCTGTGGTTTACAAGTCATCAGTTTTGGATAACATGCCGGATTCTGAAATCTCTACCGTTTTTCGTTTGGATCCCTATCCAAAACAGCAATTAAATTTGGCTAAATCTACGATGTCACCCCCACTTGAGGTCAAACAAATCTCCGAGAGTTCTGACAGCGAAGACATGCTTGAGCCTTTTGTAAATACAAACTTATACGGACCATATCAGTTTATCAAAACAGATTATGTCGGCGAGGTATTTGATATTTGCTTAATGTTCGCTTGGCTTTTTTTATCCATGGTTTATCAGTCTGTCGGGAAAATAACGGCGGATCGTCGCGCCTCGGAATCGCCCATCATCGCTTTGCGACTGCAAGCCGCGGCTTGGGATTTGGTGCGCGATAGCGGCGAGGTGAGACATTTTGCTGCGACAATCCGCCGTTATTTTCCCGACAGACTGATATCATAGAGAATTATCGAAACAAATGTGAACTTCTTACAGACATGCTCGGATTACTTGGAGGCTGGAAATACCGAATCTGGGGTGTATAAACTCAAATTAAATGGGGTCGGAGAGTTTTACGCTTTATGTATAATGGAAAATAATGAGGCTTGGATGGTACTACAACAACGTCAAGATGGACAAGAAGTGTTTTACAATAAGACTTTCGAAGATTACTCGCTCGGATTTGGGGATCAAGCCTCGGATCATTGGCTCGGATTGGAGAAAGTGAGAGCATTGCTGAATAACTATAAAGTGGAGATGAGAATGGAGGCGAGGGGGGACAGATGTGATCGGAAAAAGGGCTCGCTTTATCTAGTGGGGCGTTACAACTTCAGCGTAAGCACTTTTTACTCGTTTTGGACATCTCAATAACTTGTCCTATTCTAGATCTCAACAAGGAAAGAGGGTTACAGACTAGGAATCTACAGAATTCTGTCAGGCAATTTCACCGATCCCTATTCAGATATCAGCAATTCGAATGGGGCCGAATTCGCCACGATTGACAAGAACCCGAATTCTATGAATTGCGCTGAACTCAGGAAATTGGGGTCAGTTTTATTAGATTAATTTGAATATTCATAATTTATCATAACTTCAGCGCCTGGTGGCATCCTCCAAGTTGCTCGTTTATTACCCTAAATGGTGCCTACAATGTCAACAAATGCCACAGTTGGTCTGGAATGCAGATCTATGCGCGGGAACGGTCTCGTCAAGGCTCCCATTACAAACAATCACATCATCGACCGCGATTTACAAGATTAGCGTTGAAAGTAACGGGAAAAGTGTAGGAATATTGCACTTGGAAGCGAATTTTGTGATGTAATAATAGTAATAAATACCCGAAGATTTTTTATAGGAAATTAAATCTAAATAAATATTTGAAACGCGTGTAACTTCTATGCATAAACCTCAGTGCCAGGCCGACCCTGGCACAAATGAGGATGCCCGTGGTGAACATCGCCAAAATCAGGCTGGCCACCCAATCAAAATTATAACACAGGATTCGTGAGCGCCATATCCGATAACAGGCCCTGGTCCCTTTGAAGAGCCAGGAAAGAGAGACGAATAACCGTTTACTGAAGTGTTCATGACGTAATAAGCGACGACGGTGCGCACAAATCAAGACCACTTACATGACAAATCGACCCAATACTGTCGTCCCATAGCCTTTATATAATAATTATAGGCGGGCGCACACTTGCGGGCAACCACTTTGCGGGCAGCCGACCATTTTCCGGCATCCCGGAACATTTGCGGGCAGGTTGACGTTTACGGGCAGCCCACATTTGCGGCAACAGGAAGAAATAATGCAAGTCAAAAAATTTAAAAAGTTTCTGTGAGCCCTTATTGTTGTGGACATTATATACCCAACCGAAAAATACATGTTTGCAATCGTGTCGAACCAGGTTTTGGAACTTTTATGCTCATTTGAACCGCAATGATTTGTAGTTTCGGAATCAGAAAAAATATCACTGGAAATTTATTCAAAAGTTAGGCAAAAACTTAACTTGATGACAAAAATCATGAATATAAAAAAATTTCCAGTCGTGTTATAGGCTTGGACAAGTTTATAAAAAAAGGTTTCCGGGTACTAAAAACAAGCTTTGATGTCTGTTTGTTTGGTTCTTATGATATAAAACGCGAGCCTCACACCCGGTTACGGTAACGTTTCAATTTTTTTACAGAAAATTACTTATTGGATGCTAGACATTAATATTTGAAAATTTCGTTTGACTTGAGCAAGCTTGAGATTCACATCGCGTCTTAGAAAATGCTGGTTGTCCTATAAACATGTAATGTCCATCTTCCAGAGGGGAAAGTTTGATCCGTGCTAAGGAATGTATCAATCAAGTCGCTCTCGAAAAGTCCTTCGAAAGTTTCATCGGCTCCAGACCCCGGGGTTTCTAAGCTACCGGCATAAAAAAAAAGCTTTTGACACGTTGTAATAAGCATGCACATGATAATTATTTTTATTAAACAAATCGCTGTTATTACGGTAAAGTTTGTCGCATAAGTAAATCCTTTGAAGAGGGACATTACTTATTGGACAACCATAGTTTTAATTTTTTTTTTGGTTGAAAGCAATTACTTATGCAGCCCCTGATTTTAATACCAGTTTCATTTTTTTCATTTGGTTTATTGTCCGGAATGGCAATAAAATCGAAGCCTGGAATTTGTCGGATTCGAGTCCATTTCCTTTTTTCTCCGGAAATTGGCCAAGTTTTAGAGGTTTTTTCTCTTTATTTTGGAGACATTAGATGAGTCGAGAGAGCCTTTCGAGTGGAGGGAATGCCACCGAAAAGATTTGTTTTCTCCCCTCCAGGTGAATCCCCCTTCTCTTCGCCTCTCATTTGCACATACTCCAGCTTAAAATGCTTTTTTAAAAGATCCGTATTGTTTCCATTGTTGGGGGTTCCATTTGTAGGGTCATATCGGGATTCATGTGGACTTTAATGCAGTGTAAATTCTTTCCTGATATTTGATATGACTCTTTTCATTTCGATTGCGTAACAATATGCCGGAATATAAAGTTAGAACATTGATATTACTAGGCGACTTACGACTAGAATAGCCTCATAATCCGGGAACTATTCTTTACTTATTCTTTTGTTTTGGCCCAGAATCGGGGAAATGGTGAGGGTCAGAGGAATGGGGAACACGGAGAAGAAGGTTGGGAAGGACGCGCAGGTATTCATCCCAGTCTTTTATTCGAATAGTTTCTTTTCCTCTAAATTTGGAGCCATTAAGTGATCTTTTGTCGCACGTTTTAAAGCATAATTGAGCGGGTAATTGTTATTTTTTGTGTAATTTTGAACGTTTTGCAGTTAGTATGCCTGAGTCATTATCATTATGGCGGAAATTCTCGAGAAGCAAAGTGAAATCCTCCCCAAATTACCTGAGATTGATCCTCTTCTTTGTCTTCGGACTCTATGTGACCAGTAAAGTTGTGGATGTGATCGGATTTGTAATGCAAACCGAAGAATCTTACCCGGAAGCAGCCCCAGGCATGGACAGTATGAATGTGGTGGCCAAGGAATGTTCGGCTACAACCAAGATCTGTTATAATGTAGTGGATTACAGTTCAGAGTAGGCCTAATTAAGAGAGAAACAGTTTGTTTTCAGCGTGCTCGGGTTGAATGTAAACCGAGTAATTTATTTGAACGGGATGGAGAAGGAAGTGGATACGATGGTCGCCCTTATTCCATTGCCCGGCCGCACTTTCCATGATTCTGATACCAGATTTTGGTCTGTCAATCATACAGTAATCCAGTCACAGTACGTTGCCCTTATTTGTATCGCTCCTTTTGTGGTTGGGAGTGTCCCTTCAATGAATTCGGATTACGGTAACGCCTCGGTTCTGATGGTGGGTTTGGGTGGTGGGAGTGCCGACATGTTTTATCACACCATCAGACCTCAGGTAAATTAAAAAATCATTAGAATACGCTGTTCTAGTGGAATATCACAGTTTATGAGATTGATCCGACGGTTGTAAAACTGGCGAACAAATGGTTTGGAGTTGTTGACGACGACTTTAGAAGGACGGTAATCCAAGATGGAGTTATTGCCATTAACGAATCTGCCAGTAAAGGTAACTGATCTCTTAAGTGTTAGGTACAACTAATACAGGTCTGAAATACGATGTGATTGTGCTGGATGCTTGTGATGAAGATGGTCAGATACCCTGTCCAGCGAAAACTTTTCTCCAACCACATCTGTTGAATAATGTCAAGAGTATGTTAACGATCAAAGGTTGTTTGATAGTGAATGTTCTTCTCCTCAATAATCCTGATAAGAATCTGGGCACGGTGGAGAAAACTCTTTTGAACTTCTTCCCATTGTGTGTTAATCTACGACCAGATCAAGAGACCAACGTTATCTTTATCTGTTTGCCATACCGGATACAAAAAAGTAATCTGGAGAATACGAAGAAACAATGGGAATCCGAGGCTTCACAGCTCATGAGGAGATTCGATTTCCGCTTCCACACCTTCATGGACGTTATGGTCAATTAATTTAATTCTGGATAACGGGTCTCTCAATTCTATATTATTAGGTTTACATTTTCCTAATCTCACATTGATAATATTTCTAATTATGTAAAAATATTTCTTTTCAAATTTTGTAATTTTATAATATTAATCGACTGCTTGTATATACAATGAAATTTGACTAGGGCTATAAACAAAACATCCGGTTTCCTCAATAACTTAAAATTTGACGGTTCCATTCTTTTTCTGCGTGATGGCATCCAAAATCGCCTTTCGTTTTGCATGATACCGTGCCTGGAGGGCCTCTAATTCAGCATCCATCTCCTTATCCAGCATTTGTTTTTGTCGTAACAACTCATCAGTACTCAATTCCGCTAACTAAAATCATAAATAAAGGTCTCATACCTGTCAAACCTTATAATTTTTATTGTACTTACATATCTATAATCCGGGTCTGGATCATTTAACGATTTGCGTATTAAATTGGTTACTGTATGATGATACTGGTCACTTTTGTGTTGAGGTTTCAGGTTGTTTTGAGCACTTTCATAAGGGGGAAGAGAAGGTTTGGTATCAGAGACATTCAATTCGTTGGCAAAAGCATTGTTTAGAGATTCGTATTTTTGGGAAGCCGTGAAGAAATCGTCACTTCGGCCTAAACCAATATAAAAATAAAGTATATTGCCTACTATCAACAGTTTTGTGCTGAATGAGAGTGCTGTCTCCAAAATCGAGACCCGTATTTTGATAGCTCTTTATGGTATCTGGTGACTTAATTAAAGTAGAAGACGAATCGCTTTGAAGGGAATATTCTGTGAGCGCATTCTTCTGCAAAAAATAACATTATTGGGCAACTTTCCAGCTTACCGAGTCTTGAAGCAGACATTGAGCAGCAACATCCTGGGCATCAGCGATCATACCCTTAACTGCCTCAGGGCCTTTAGAATTAAGAATAAACTCGTGATTTAGCAGCTTCTCTGCGACTGTCCGTTCTTCCGGATTTTTGACAAGACACTGAGCAATGAAGTCATTGAATAATGGGGACCATTCCTCCGGATTTTTCAACATTGGTGGGGGTTTCGTTGGAATCATGAAAATTGCCTAAACATGAGTAAACATTACTAATGTAATCGCCTACCCTCATCGGATGAATTTCCGCATGTGGAGGTCTTCCTTCGGCCATCTCAATCGCCGTAATTCCCAGGGACCAAATATCGGCCTTTGTGTCGTATCCAATTTCTTGGATCAACTCCGGTGCCATCCAAAAAGGTGTTCCAATTACAGTATTCCTCTTCGCCATGGTATCAGTCAACTGGCCAGCCACTCCAAAGTCAGCTAATTTTGCATTCCCGTCCATGTTCAAAAGAATATTCCCCGCCTTGATGTCCCGATGGATCTTCTTGAGACTGTGAAGGTAGCTGAGACCTTTAATAGTATCCTTTAGGACAGCACACACTTCATCCTCAGTTAGGGTTCTCCTCCGAAGTCTCATTATATCCGAGATGGAACCGGCACCACAATATTCCATGACAATCTAAAAAGAATAATCATAAAACAATCATTGAAAAGCCATACCCATAAATCAGAGTTCTTAAAGTAGGATCCAAAGTATTTGACAACGAAAGGACTGTTACATTCTTGCATAATTGTGATTTCCTTAATGATTTCTTGGAGATCTGTGTCCACGGGTACCTTCTTCACAGCCAACACTTGCCCACTATCTTTATGAATGGCTTTATGGACCGATCCGTAAGACCTAAATGAAAATATTAGCAACCAATAGCAATCTCACCCTTCACCGACTTTACTAACCACATCAAATACATCTTCCGGGGACTTGTTAAGATCAGCTGATGAGAGCTTGAAATGAGTGCAACAGTCTGACGACGTTTCACTTATTTTCTGTGTCACCGGTACATCCAGCTTCTCCTCAACTACCTGTGCATACTCCATATGAGCAATCGGGTCCTCTAAAACAATAATAAGTTATATTAATCCAGAAACCTCAAAGTGCACGATACAAAATACAATAAGTACGACTACTAAAGGTGATTAATAACAAACATAAGAGAAGAACTGAAAAAACGAAAGCTTTACACAGGCTGCTCTATAAAACAAAAGTAACACTTGTTGCACATGATACTCAAGTACGGGTGGGTAAAACAAGCAAAAAGCGAAATGATTCACCGTATATAGGCGGGTACTCGTGGACTCGATCACCATTGAAAGACACCAGTTGGCCCATTCAAGTGATTGTTAATAAGGTTAAAGCTGAAAAAAGAACAGACAGTTAGAGGATCGATAAGATCCCTAAATCACCAAGTCATTCTGTAACAGGCACAACGCAAAAAACGTCCAAGTTTATAATTAAAACCTTTCTCTTCTAATATAAACCTCATGAAGTGGACGAAAGATTAATTGCTTTTCGGCGACTTTACACATGGCTCCAGAAAGTATGTCATCTTGGCAGACGTCATAAAATGGCAAAAGCCAAGGAGGTTCTCTAAACAATTTAATAGCAGCTAAAATAACATGAAATTACTAAGATGCTCGAGCTCGAGAAACAATCTTCATAAATTCTAAACCGTAAAAAGAAACCACTTTCGGTAAGTCAATTGTGACACTTCGTCACAACAGAAAATATTTTTCTCGAACTCGAGAAAATTTTTGGTTCTGCAGGACCGGTTCTGTTCTTGAAACCACTATTAGCATTTTCACAAAGTGCCTGGACATCATTTCGCTTTCGCACAGTGCATCTTGAACCTTTGTCGCCAACGCACTGTGAAATTTCCCGTTTTCGCACCGTGCAAACCTCAAAAAAGCCGATTGCACTGTGCACATTCTCGCGGAGGCGCAGTTGAGAAAAGCTTACGTCGCAGCGATATTTCAAATGCACAGTGCAAAACCAAAAAAAGGTCAATGCACGGTGCGAAAAATCGGGGGCCTTTGTGCACAGTGCGATTCGCGACAAATATCCAGGCACTTTGTGAAAATGCTAATAGTTAGCCATGGAGTCCATAATCGAAAATCAGCGAACATTGCATGAGGAGAGAGAACGATGTCTTGATATTGTTGTAAAGGAATTTATGGCTGATAAAAAAACTGTAAGTCTGCGAAGGTTTAGTTCAATTTTTTTGATGGTTTGTATAATTTCACAATAAGTCTAGATGTGCTTGTTTTAGCAAAGGGAGCGAGTCAATTCAGATCAGCGGTGCCGTTCGTATTTTGAGCGTTTTAATAATGCTTCGGAACAGTTAATTGATATCTACAAAGATGTGACTGGAGAAAGGGCGAGAGAAATAGATCAGCTTGGAGGTCCGAATGAATTCGCAGAGTTTTATTCAAGGCTGAAGTTGTTGAAGGAAGTTCACAGAAGGAATCCGGACGAAGAAGCCAACTGCTTGACATTGGAATTTGAAAAGAAAATCCAATTTATTCAGAATCCGGACCGCGTGGAAAAGGAAATTGTCAAGTTCTCCGACGAGGAAGGCTATGGTAAATACCTCGACATGCATTTAATATTTGAGCAGTACAGAAATCTCAAATGTGTTAATGTATGTATTTTTTATCGTATGTTAGAAAAGAGAAACCTCTTTAGGCTGTCATTTGCGTTTTTCGTGTTTTCAGAAGTTGAATTACATTACATTCATTGACAAATTCGATAAATTTGAAGAAATACCCCGCGAAACTGCAAAAAAATCTGGTGCTTATAAAGAATACTTGGCAAAGTTGTTGGAATATATCCTCGATTTTATCTCCAGGGCGAAGCCGTTAACTGATGTTGCCGGGATCAGAAAGAGAGCTGAAAAGGTAAGATTTGAATATATATTCACCTTTATTTCGCTTTTAGGAGTTTGAAATTTTGTGGGCAGAAGGGAAATTGGAAGGATGGAATAAGGAAAAGCCGGCTTTGGCAAACCCTGGTGTACCGTTAGACCTGGATGGATTTGAATCCGCCGAGCAATTGGAAGCCTTGGGCGGAGATCGAATAAAATCGGCTTTGATTGCATTAGGATTAAAATGTGGAGGGTAAGTTTTATAGATTTAATAGTTCTTGGTTATTTTTTGAAGACGTTAGAAAGAAGTGGTCGATGGAAGAAAAAATTAAAAATTCTCTTTGTAGGACCCCAAAAGAAAGGGCGATACGGCTATTCTCGGTCAAGTCTTTGTCACCGGAAGAATTGGAGAAGGAAAAACCCAAGAAATCAGCAGAACAACTGAAAGAAGAACGGCGTGTCCAATATTTGGCCAAGACTGAATTTGAACTCAAGAAGTAGGTAAAACGGAAGAAATTGGCCTAATTTACTCTGGTGACGTTGTTTTTTACTTTTTATGATAAGCCTTAGTAAAACTTCTCTTATTTTTAGGTTAGCCGAACTGTTGTCTGATGAAAGACAAGCCACCAAAGAGAATGTCGAAAGGAAACAAGCCAGGATTGTTGGGGAAGAGGAAGAAGTCGATGACCAAGAGGAAGATGTCCCTGATGATGTAGAGGACGATGATGTGCCTTATAATCCGAAGAATTTACCGCTGGGATGGGATGGGAAACCGATTCCGTATTGGTTGTATAAATTACATGGTCTCAATATCAGTTACACTTGCGAAATTTGTGGAAATCAAGTTTACAAAGGCCCGAAGGCATTCCAAAGACATTTTACGGTAAGTATTTGTAATTTTTAATACAGTTTAACGATCAAAACAACAACTTCGTTATGTTTTGTAAATGAAAACCGATAATATGTACTGCAACTTTCACTTACGTTTTAACTCTTTCATTTTTTGGTCTCACACGTTCGCTCACAAGAAGTGTAAAGACAAGGAGAAAAACATTCGAAACGTAAAAGGCACATTCGAAACTATCTGTGCCTTGATTGTTACACGATGTTATCTTAACGTTCTTCTGTTATCACTTATTTAAAACATGGTCTCTCCACGCTTTTAATTATTTGCTCGTAGGAATGGCGCCATTCCCATGGCATGAGATGTCTCGGAATCCCCAACACGGCCCATTTTGCTAACATCACCAAGATCCAAGATGCTCTCGATCTGTGGAACAAGATGAGTCAGGAAAAGGAATCTTCGAAATGGGATCCCAACATTGATGAGGAATACGAGGACTCCAAGGGGAATATCCTCAATCGACGAACATACGAAGATCTTAAGAGACAGAACCTCCTCTAATAAACTCCTTATTTATTGTTTGTTTTGTGGGGCAAGCGGCTTTGAAGGACCGAATAATCTCTTATAACAGTCTCCTGATATTACTGTTAAGTACTCTGTTATCACTGTATGTACGAGTAAATGTTTTGTTTCGTGGCTGTCTTTTGCGTTCCTTTCGATTTTAGGTTGATGCAACCTTTTCGACGTCCATTTTTAACACGTGAATCTCTTCGTGTATACTTTTTTATTTCAGATTGGAAGCGTTTTTGGTTTGATAACTGTTCCCTCAGTCTATGATGACCCGGCGGGGACTCTGCCCATTTACACCTTTCACGGGTCTCAATTTTAATTTCTAAAGGAATTTTCATCAATTCCCTCAAAGGTTACATAATTCCCTGGGGCAGGGAAGACGCAAAACGCCGTCCGCTATCGTTTTTAGTGGTCCCACACTCTCATGAGACCATCTCTGTTTTAACTCCGCCCTCAAGTCCGATAAAAGCAACCAGCTAGCTAGCAGACCTCGAAAGTTGGTTATAGCCGTTGAATCGGAAATGGGTGGAGTTCCCAAAAGTTTTTAAGGTTCGCTTTATATGGACAACCTTATTTTAGACCGCCCAAACATAACATGCACATATTCCCTCACTGCGCCACATTTTCTCCACGTCTCTTTTTTCCACGTCCTTTTTTTTAACTTCCGAACGGGAATCAGAAAAAGAATCCCGGAATATTCAGAAGAAAGGGGAGAAAAAGTCGATAGACGTCGGGTCGGTGTCCTTGGGGCTCTGGCGCTCTCAGGCGACCACGGGTCAGTCAACCAACCTATTGCTGTTCGTTTTTCTGTTGATATCCTTTTTCTTGACCATTTCTCCGCTCTTTTCATGTTTCCATTACAAAAAACCCCGAATTTTGCGAATTTTTAGGTATAAAAATTTGTTATTTTCGCTACTTTTGATGTATTTATGCGAGATTATTCTTATCTGAGCATCACGAATGAGGTAATTTAACTATTTTGGCCAGAACTTCCACTTCCTTGGGGTTCCAGTCGATTTTATTGTTTTTCCCGCCGGCTCGTTCCCTTTTTTGTCCATTTTGCGGCGTTTTTACACGAAACTCCCGACCTTTTGAATCCAGGTTTTGACATTCTCGAAACGTTTGCAGGCCACATCCACTGAACGCAAAAAATGTCGGCCAAAGCCCTGAGTGAGTACACCGGCAAAGAATTGCTCTATCGGCATCTTAACCATCTCGATTTCGTCGTCAAACCCCAGGCTGTCCCCCTCGACGAATTCAACGACTTCGACGACAAAGCCAAGGGTTGCCGTTGGATCCAACAAGGAGAAAAAGGAGTTGTCAAACCAGATCAGCTTATCAAAAGACGAGGAAAGCATGGCTTGGTCAAGCTGGGATCCGTCCCCGAATTGAAGGCTTGGTTTAATGAAAAGAAAGGGCAATATGTGACCGTGAGTTAAATCCTGTTTGCCATAGGTTTTATATTATCTCCCTGACGCGTTATCATAATTCTAACGAATTTTATCTGATTTCTTCATTTTTCTTCAAATTTCCGGATTTCAGTTTTCTTTCAATTTTCCGGATTTTTACGCAAATTCCGATTTAGTGATGCAATCGTCTACAAACTCCTTTTCGGCGATTTTTGCTGACTAATATATGATCAGGAAATCAAAAATAAAATTTGTTTCTTCCATATTATCACCTAAAACAATATTATTTTAGGTTGGCAAAACCACCGGGCGCCTCTCCAGATTTATTGTCGAGCCTCTGTGCAAACACGAGGATTCAGAAGAGTTTTATTTGGCCATTTACAGTCGACGTGAAGAGGATATTATCTTGTTCTACGAACAAGGAGGCGTTGATGTTGGAGATATTGATGCTAAGGTAAGTTATATGAATGAAGGCTAAGACATATTCTTTTAACTCAACATTTTAGGCACGCAAACTTGTGGTTGGAGTGGAATTGAACGAAGATGAGCAGACCTTTTCCGATGTCCAATTAGACGCCTTAATCGGGTCTAATGTCAAGGCAGCCGATAAGAAGCAAGATCTTTTAAACTTTATCATTTGTTTGGATAGAATTGTTGTTTATTATTCTTTTCTAGGCTTTTAACCGTCTTTATCCGAGAGTTGTACAACTTGTACAAGCGCCTGTACTTTACTTACCTCGAGATTAATCCCCTGGTTCTCACTGGAGGAAAGATTCATGTACTCGATCTTGCTGCCAAACTCGATGAAACCGCTTTTTTCTTGTGTTCAGAGCTCTGGAAGACTCGTTCTGATGAGCCAGTTGAATTCCCAGCTCCTTTTGGCCGAGATCTTTCAAAGGAAGAGAAATATATCGCCGATTTGGACGCCAAGACTGGTGCTTCTTTAAAGTTGACCATTCTCAACAGACAAGGTCGTATCTGGACAATGGTGGCTGGTGGAGGAGCTTCGGTTGTTTTTACGTAAGTGTGAAGTTTAATGGTTTTTCCTTTGGGAGTTCAAAGTAAAGATGAATATTTTTAGTGATACTGTTTGTGACCTCGGTGGAGCAACTGAGTTGGCTAACTACGGAGAATATTCTGGCGATCCAAGCGAATCGCAGACTTTTGAATATGCGAAGACAATTCTGACCATGATGACAGAAGGAGAGATCCATCCTAAGGGCAAGGTTCTCATCATCGGTGGCTCTATTGCCAACTTCACCAATGTTGCTGCCACTTTCAAGGTAGGCATTGTGTATTCAGATATTATATTTCTTTTCAGGGCATCATTCGAGCTTTGGAGACGTTTGCCGATCTCCTGAAGCAACACAGTGTGAGCGTTTATGTACGCCGTGGAGGGCCCAACTACCAAGAAGGTCTTCGAATGATGAAAGAAGCCGGTCAGAAGGTTGGAATCCCAATCCACGTTTTTGGACCCGAGACCCATATGACGGCCATTGTTGGAGCTGCTCTTGGTGTTCGTCCTCTTCCTGAAGTTGCTCATGCCCCCAAGACCACTGGAACTTTTCTTCTTCAGCCCGGAACTAACACTGCCGGTATGGTGAGAACTCCAGAGACTTCTCAACTCTCGACCAATGAATTGACCGGACAGTCTACTCAGACTGCTGCATTGAACACGGCGAACGCTACGCTCAGTAATGTTCAAGGACGGCTTTCAGCTCTGTTTGATCAAAACACCAAAGCCATTATCTGGGGTCAACAAACGAAGGCCATCCAAGGAATGCTTGACTTTGATTATGTCTGCAGTCGGAACTCGCCTTCAGTTGTCGCATCTACTTATCCTTTCACGGGGGATCACAAACAGAAGTTCTACTTTGGTCAGAAGGAAGTCCTTATTCCTGCCTACAAGTCGATGAAGAACGCCTTCACTTCTCATCCAGATGCCTCTGTTATGGTAACATTTGCTTCACTCAGGTCCGTCTATGACACTGTTATGGAAGCTCTCGATTTCCCTCAGCTTAAAGTCATCGCAATCATTGCTGAAGGAGTTCCAGAGAATCAGACGAGGCGCATCTTGACCAAAGCCATTCAAAAGGGAATCGTCATCATTGGTCCCGCTACTGTTGGTGGAATCAAACCAGGATGTTTCAAGATTGGGAACACCGGAGGAATGATGGACAATATATTGGCTTCGAAACTCTACCGTCCAGGATCAGTCGCTTACGTCTCCAGATCAGGTGGAATGTCGAATGAGTTGAACAATATTTTGGCTCATAACACCAACGGAGTTTTTGAGGGTGTTGCCATTGGTGGTGATCGGTACCCTGGATCTACTTACACAGACCACGTTCTCCGTTATCAGAACGATGACCGTATCAAGATGATTGTATTACTCGGAGAAGTCGGAGGGGAGGAAGAATACAAGATTGTAAGAGCTCTTGAGTCCAAGAAGATCACGAAACCAGTAGTTGCATGGTGTATTGGAACCTGTGCTGATCACATCACTTCCGATGTCCAATTTGGTCATGCTGGAGCCTCTGCGAATGCTTCTTCGGAGACTGCTGCCGCGAAGAATGCCGCCTTGAGGAAGGCCGGAGCTGTTGTTCCCTCATCATTCGATGATTTTGGAAAGTGCATCAGAGAAGTGTATGAAGATCTGGTCAAGAAAGGAGTGATCGTCCCCCTTCCCGAACGTCCTCCGCCGCCAGTTCCCATGGATTATGCCTGGGCCCGCGAACTTGGCCTTATCAGAAAGCCAGCTTCATTTATGACTTCCATCTGTGATGAACGAGGAGAAGAACTTCTGTATGCCGGCGTCCCAATCTCAAGAGTATTGGAAGAAGACATCGGAGTTGGTGGAGTCTTGTCGCTACTCTGGTTCCAGAAGCGTCTTCCCGATTACGCCAACAAGTTCATTGAGATCTGCCTTATGTTGACTGCTGATCACGGTCCGGCTGTTTCTGGAGCTCACAACACCATCGTCTGTGCTCGTGCTGGCAAGGATCTGATCTCTTCTCTGGTTTCTGGTCTATTGACAATTGGAGATCGATTCGGTGGAGCCTTGGATGGGGCGGCGAAAACGTTTTCTGATGCCGTGGATAAGGGTTTGAGTCCCATGCAATTTGTAAATGAACAACGACGTCTTGGAAAACTTATCCCTGGAATTGGACATCGAGTCAAGTCGGTTAGTTTTTTTAATCGGATTCTATGGTTTAGCTATTGAATCTAAACTGTTTTTATTTTAGATTAACAACCCTGATAAACGTGTCGAAATTTTGAAGAAGTTTGCTCTGGACCGTGCCCGTTTTCAACAAGAAACTCCTCTTTTGGACTATGCGCTGAAGGTAGAAGCTATCACCACATCCAAGAAGCCCAACCTCATTCTCAATGTTGATGGTGCAATTGGAGTAATCTTTGTCGACATCCTCCGACAGTCTGGCATGTTCACAGCCCAGGAAGCCAGTGAAACGATCGAGATTGGGGCATTGAATGGTCTCTTTGTTCTTGGCCGTTCTCTTGGATTTATAGGCCATTATCTGGATCAACGTCGTCTCAAACAAGGCTTGTATCGTCACCCATGGGACGACATCAGCTATGTTCTTCCGGAAGACCACTCCTAATCTGAACCTGCTAATATTATTTTTGTAGTTTTTATACCATCCCTTTTAGTTTAAACGAGTATTAACTGTGAACTAGGACCGCTTTAACCACTATTGTCCTCAAATTTATATTGTTTGCCATTACCTTTAAACTCTGCGAAATAAAATTCTCACTTAAACAGGAGACCATCTCATTATGTCATTCCAAACCTACGGAAATCTGCACAGTTCACAAATGTAATACCAAAAATTTATTTTATCTACAGGCAGTAGTTATGGCCACAAAAGGCTTCAATTCTAATCATAAGCAATTCGAGTATTTTTGATTGAAAGCGAAGGTTTGAACGGTTGGTACCGTGTAAATCAGTGGACTTCTTCTCTTCTAGAAATCCTGACTGATCTGGAAGATCCGGATCTAGATCGATCCCCAAGTTCAGCTGAAGGCCGAAGGAAATGCTCATCTCCAGGACGTCTGAATGAAGATCTTAGGGGCTCCAAAGGAGAAGGGGCTCGGTAATCAGCTCCAGAAGAACTGTACTCTCGTTTCGAAGACCGAGAAGCAGAGCGGGAATATGATTCAGTGATGGGGACACTGTGAGTGACAAGTGGAGGGGGAGTGGATCCTCGGAACTCTTCTCGGAACGCTGATCGCCGACTCTCATGATGACTGCCAGATCCGTCTCTGGAATGGTGGGTGAATTCGTTGTTGAATCCATTACGATGGGCATCGCTCTGATTGTACGCCGACCCGTGATAGTCTCCGTTTCTGGATTGGGAGCGGTAGCCTGAAAGAAGAACGGTTAATCCGGGATCACAAATAATATTTCGTGGTGAAGAAGAAGAAGAAGATCGTTAACTAAAGATCACTTCAAAAAAGCAGGAGTTAAGTGGGCCTTTTGATGGTGCCGATACCGTAGCAGTCATATTCATCGTGAGCGGACAGTCGACTGCATCTTCGTCCGCATATTCTGTCGCAACAATAATAACAGTCTCGGCATCTGTCATCAACTAAACAATCTCGGCGGGAGTTTTCCATCAAATCATATTTCTCGGCATATCTTAGATCCGGAGTCGAATAAAAGTTGGCGTTCCTAGCTGGCTGAATTCGAATATTTCTTGCTCTCGGCTTGAAAAGATTTCTGATAAAGGCGCAACATTTTCCTCTCTGTCTAATTCCTAAAATCGGGTAAACAAGGTCTAACTACGATCTAGGAAGGGAAAGCAACAAATGCAGACTGAAACAAAAAAGGATGACAAATTGCGTAATTAAATAAAAAATCATAAAAATCCAATAAGACAACAGTCAAACTGACGTAAACCTACCGTCGCCACGATCATACGAAGCCCGTCCAGAATCATTGCGATCTCTGACATAAGAGCTAGCTCTGGATCCGACTCTGGCGGATCCCCCCTCAATTGGGATAGTCCTTTCCCTTCCTTCAATTGCAGCATAAGGCTTCTTGGCTTCAACATTCAATCGTCCCGAACTGTCGATGGAACTGGTGATATCTTGGGGATGAACATCTGGGGGAAGTTGGTATTTGCGAACGAAATACATCTTGGTGTAATTATCAGAATCCTTCACATCTTCATGCCTTCCTTCGATCAGAAGAGTATCATCCAATGTCTTTACTTGCAGCTCTTCAGGTCTGAATTGATAGGCATCAATCTCAACAGAAAAGCGGTTGCGGTCATTGTGAATTTTGGTCCGGACATCTAGGCCATCCTTGAAGATAGGCTCGGCCCAGCGTGGATATAGATCTCTCCAGAAGGGATCATCTCTCCAATTGCTGTCAAAACGATCCAAATGTGATGAAAACTGTAATTTCAGATCATTAAACCGATCCTCATCTAATCGGTCAAGTCTATTGTCCTCATAATCGAGTCCATTTCGAAGTCTATTGTCAAAGGCCGCCTTCTCGTTCGACTGGTAATACTTATCCGCTATTCGGTTATCAAATGGTCTATAATTTGGTTCAGCCGGGAAATCTAAGACCGGGCTAGAGGAGGTAATCTTCTGGTAGACCTTCTTCTCGTATACATCCTGGTCTCGGAAATGAACACTCGGCATGGTTATGGAGTTAGATGCGCTCAATCAAAAAAATAAGGCCCCCGCTGTTCGAAGGTGGAAGGGAAGACTGTGCAAACACCCGAAGACTTGAATCAATTGAGGCCTCGGAAATGGGAGAAATGGCAATTGTGTTTGGGGAGAGGACAGTCCTATTGTGAATCATCGTCAACATATTGGGAACGCCTTACACCCCGTCAGAAATGGTTTAATTTTATCAAAACGGGGTTCACGGGGCCAATTATAAATGGTACGGGTTAGATGAAAGGAGCGCTTGTTTGACAATAGACCCTTTCGAAATCTCAAATCGTTTGGCTCCAACTTTGCTTGTATTTGTATTGGTTTCAAAACAGTCTCAAAAAAACACAAATCCAATTCGTTGAGTAATATTATAATTCCGTCATGTTGCGGAGCAAAAAATGTTTTAAATATTTATACTAACAATTTCATCTAACCAAACCACCCACTGCACTCACCTTAGGCATGATTTGATCCATCCGAGGCCAATCCGAAGGCCAATCTCTCCACCATTTGTCGGAATCCCGGCGAAACTGAAACGATGGCTGTGTGAATCTGACCCGTTTCATGGCGCCTCAGGTCGTTTGGGGGACCAGGGTCTATTCCACTCAACTTCCCCTTCCCGATCCGTCCTCCTCCAAATGGAGAGCCGGATCGAAGCTCTTTTGAGCCGATTTCCGGGATTACATAACTCACTTCGGCTACAGCATTCAGAAGTCGATCCATCCCGAGAGTCACTCGCTTAGCAAGAAGAGCTCGATGACTCTCCAATATAAGTCTAGACAATTTCTATCGATGTTTATTGGGGGAATAACGATCCTCAATTAAATTCCAGGGTCGATTCCCAATCCTTTTACCTGAGGTTATGAATGTCAAACTTGGATTATTTTCCCACCCGTTCCCTGTTCTGTTTGTATTTGGTCTCAAGGGTCGATTCTAGTAGGAAGAGAGTACTTACACGGCTGACGAGTTCACGAGGTCGTGGCCAGTCTCTGGGCCAATCTTCCCATTCTCTTTCCAGTCGGTCTCTCCAGGTATCTCTCCAGAAGGGGTCCCGGTCAAACCAGTCATCGTCATAATGTCTTCTTGCCAACGCCATTTTTTTGTGTTCTGAAGTATTCTTTTTTTGTGTTCTGAAATACAATATACCATAAACTTTTAAAGCAGCTTCCGCGAAAAAAGTTTACAAACTTTCAAAAGTCAATTGATCATTAAATATTTTATGGAAAAAGTCGAGGGAATCAAAAGTCAACACCGTTTCGAAGAGTTATATCCTGAAACTGGTCTCCTGATTATAACATTCAATCCAATGATCTGCAGGCTCATTTCCCTCCATTTTCCCTGTTTTCACCCAAATTACACCTATCCAACAGCAAACAAAACAGCCTTCGACCCTTCTGAACCGAGAAAAATATAGAAAATTCGACGGGGAGGCATTCCTATATAGCAGTAAACATGACCGACCCATTAACCGCCTTAAGGGCGGAGTTAAATCGGTAAGATCTGAGTCATCTTTAACGTTTAATTAACGTCTCCCCGTACAGTTCCGTCTTTGTGTAGAACTTTAAAAAAGAGAGGAAATATGCGGCGTTTAAATAGCTTGACTGAAACGACTCAGCTAATACATTTTGATTGCATGGAGGTTATTAATCACCATCCTTTGTCAAACTCCAAGAATCGCAACGGTGTCCATGGCCTTAGAATTTTATTTTTATTATAATCAATTGTTTGCAAACATCCTCTGGAAGTTTCGAGTAACCTTTTAACATCCCTTTTTATTCGTTTTCCAAAAGTTCAGTACAGTCGGCGGGGTCCCCAGTATAAATGGAAAGTAGAAAAATTAATCAAATCAACGAAAAGACATCAATTTTAATTACCTGAGCGGAAATTACTTTTTTGTATTTTTAAATGGAATTTATGTGTCACAGCTTCATACAGCTGATCATCCCGACCAAGGGCCCCTAGGGGTGGCAAACGGGCCTCGTCGTTCCGATTTCAGGCCTGGGGCCGGCCTGGCTAAAATCAGTTATCGATTCAATTTTTACCGACAATTCGAACCAAAAAGATGATCATAAAATACGACCTTTTCACCGTTTGTCATCCTTGAAGCTTTATAAAAACCGTTATAACAAGCCTTAAACAAATGAAACATGCAGGATCTCACAGAGAAGGAAAGTCGGAGGCTATAACTTCCGGCGGAGGCGGCGCAGAGACTTCGTTTATGGAAAATGAGGATGGTGACAACGCATGAAATCGGGTTTCGTGGCCAGAAACCGCGATTTCTTGTCTGTTAGGCCTCTAGGCAAGACATGTGCAATTCTTGACTGAGCAGAGAAAAAAGGAAGAAAATCGTCACGGGGAGACAGCAGAAAATTGCACATTATTGCGCGATGGTTGACAAGGACGTTTTAATGACGAATACAAGTTTTGTAAGATTTCCCGCTAGAAGTCGGCCGCTAGATGACTGAAAAGTTCAGGATGTTTCCTATTTTGAGGGCGGAATATCTCGAAGATTGAAACATATCACACATACTGTTGAAGCTCTAATGGATAGCTAAACGTCTACTCTTTCTAATTCACCGTATACCAAATCGTTAAATTCTGGATGGTCGGGTGAAGAAATCGTATATTCAGACCACTTTTTTGGTACGAAGTGTCACAAAAATCCAATCGATAATGGCGTGGATACAGATCTAATTCCGCTTTTCTAGAAAAAAATTCTTGAGAGCGAATGTTTAGTTCGTGGTTATATATATAGCCACGAACTTACCGTTCGAAACGATGCGGACCTATGAATTTTCTCTCCAAGCTCCAAGTGAAGAAGCAGATGGAAAAGCTGAAGTTCCCGAATGGTTGAATGCTGAGATCTGCCAAGTCAACGCCAAACATTCCTCGAACGAATTGGGAAGAATAAATTTGAAGTTGGCAGCAGGAGAATTAAATGTGGAATGTCTTGTAGGTTATTTATTTATATTTACTTTGTCCTTAGCAACAGCCACTTACCTCAAGACCAGAATTTAATGCTCAAGTCCAACGAAGCACGCCGATGAAACAGGATCAGCCCGAGAATTTCCAAGATAATTTTGATGTTGATTGTTTCTTCCCCAGCCGAAACGATCACGCTGATCCCGAGATAGCCGCCATAAATAAGGGATTTGCTCAGAGTATCGGCCAACGGATCTATCTTCTTCTTAGAAATACTGTATCGAATGAAGAAAGGTAAAATTCACATTCAGAAGACGGTTTTATTTTATTTTCTTTTAGAAAAGTCATCAAGAGTGCTATGAATTCGGCGCTGCATGAACTCGAATCATCCTTATATTAACTGCGTTTAATTTCTTAATCATTGTTACTTATAAATATGATTCACTCCCTATACCAATATAATCGTATGTAAATTCTCGGGGGAGAAGGTATTTTATCCTGCAAGAGAATTTAAAGTAGCCTAAGTGGACTGGTTGTTTGAGTCTTCTCTCACTTTCTGACATTGTGAAATGAGGCATATTCCGGTGACGGCCACTGTTATTTGTTTATCTTTTGTTCGAAATAGCTAACTTTCTGGTCGAGTTGCTCATTTTGCAAGTTTTTGAGAGGGTCCGGAGGGATTGTGTGTTAATAGGGTTGGTCCTGTCATTTCGAGGGAATTCCGACAGATAACAGGTAATCTTTGTTGCCATGCCGACGCTGAAGAGGTCACAGAGACGAGCTAATTATCCTTTCGCGTCAACATAATTGTTAGGCTGTCAGAGCTTGTTTCATAGGGAGGAGACTACCTGGGGTGGAGAGACTTACTTTTTTATACTGGAAACTATCACTCGCGCCATAAAGTCCCGGCACATCTATCACGGATGTCGCGCGAAAGTGCATGTTGCTAGTGCAAAAACGCGCGTCCCGACTTTTCGGGTCAACGCAGAATTGATTTCGGGAGCGTAGGGCAGGTGGATGCCCAAAAAAAGGTTGTAGGAAGTGCCTACGAGGCCTGGCAAAGCCGTTGGATGATCGGCGGTCGCTCGATGAAGGATCGGCGGAGACTTGGCGAAGATTTGTAATATGTCAACTTTTTTAATTTGGGCTTTTACTAACATTAGCTTTCTTTACCCTGAGTTATTGTAACATGTAAAATGCCAAAATTTGCGGCGAAAAACGAAGATCCGTAAGTTTTATCTAGATTTGCTAGTACATGCAAAATATCCCAACATAGGTGATCAGTTATCCTAGGTACCGATCAATCTGATTACTTCTACTAACTAAGTCTTCTTCTAGCCATGCATGCAACGACGAACCGACGTGATCCATCGTATCGTCGACTCGAACTGTCGCTGCCCCGAAAAGTCGTAGCGCCCAAAAAGCGGAGAATCGCCGCGGCGGGTGCGAAAAAACCCACTGGGCAAAATTGTCGGGTCTTTATGACGCGAGTAGTATATATGTTCTGGTGTTAAGAAAGGACGTAGCAAGATACGTCAATGTGGGATACATAGGAGTTGAGGGTTTTTTCTCCATTTCAGTCGTCCTCAATCATTGTCTCTTATGTGGAGCGAGGGGGGAAATGAATGTGGAAGGTCTGCCTGTTAGCCAAGCTCCTTTCAAGGTCGTTTTTTGCGGACGCGTGTTGATCCCCATTTTTGCGGGTAAAAAATAACGGATTCGGTTTGAAAACGCTACCTTTTGAGAGACGCACAGGATATCAGCAGTCATGGAATAGGAGGATATGGTCGCCACGATCCAGGATTTGAACCCATCCATCATTCAAATGGCCAAAAATCAGGTAAAAAAGGTGAAATTCCTATTAAACCTTGACTTTAACAAACAAATTGATGTCAGCAGTGGTATTACAATGAGCGCCCTTTTCTGTGATTGATATTATTTTTTCTGATGACTCAGCCCAAACGTCTTTTACGGGTCTCTTTTTTCTCAAAACTTTAAGGTTATTTTGTAACGAAAATTGCTCAGGCTTTGATATCAAACAGGTCGTCGTGGCCAAATCAGACCTCTAACCTCGGGCCCGATGACTTGGGAGCTTCGGTAGGACATTAAATATATTAAATTTGGAATATTTTGGTGCAACAATGAGCAGAAATTGATTGCGAAAAGCCAGTGCACTTAATTTTTATTTTTCAACAATTTTCCAAAATCTGCACTGCTTTTCCCAAATTTTCGAGCCCTTTATGTCTATAATATATTTGTATATTAAACGTGCTATTTTAGTCTCAGAAAGGAAGACGAGTCTCATCTGTCGGCCAAGACTACTATCCCCATTCATCGTTGGTTCGGAGAGCTCGATTAATACGTCGATCCACCACCAATCAGTACTGTGAACATCTGAAGCAGCTGCAAAAGCAAGATGACAATCTCATAAAACAGATATTTATTATCAAGTTGAAGCCCTTCAGCCAGATCAATGACTTTGACAAGAGTTTCTCGAATGGGACCACTTATGAAATGGTCCCAACCATCGACTTTTCATATCCTCCAATAGGAAATAATGTTTCCAGATTCCAGCCCGCCATTTTTTATCCAGACTTTATGAAGTATTCGAATATGAGAAGGGAAGACCTCGAGTCATATCCCGTAGTTCTGACCGATGAAAAGGGAGAAAGGTATATTAATTTTTTTGATTGCTTGTATTCGACACTATTTTAGAACGTTTGCCTATTGCTACAAATTCATTGGGAAGAGAAAACATTCCACTTGTCGAGAGGCTCGGGATGAAGGTAATTTATAGCCTCACCACTTTTGTATGTTATGATGTCCAGAGAAATGTGCGGGAAAGTAGGCATGGCTCCGAGGATGGTGCGATAATTTTCGTTTTCTTTGTCAAGAGTCACGATTTCTTGGCTGGAGAGCTCCAAAATTGAAAAAAAAATATGAAAATAAAATAAAATATTTACCTAACTAGGGAAGTGACTGACAAGTGAGCGCCAAGAAATCGGCAAAAACTCAGGCACGTTTCTCTGAACAATCTGTAGAAATTTTTTGAATCATAATTTCCTTTGGTTTACGTGAATTGTCACCATTTTTGCAAGTAATTTTTAAAACTTTATTGGATATTCCAGAGCGTTGTTCCGTCCTTGTTCTTATCTCCCATGTACCAAATGAATGTCTTTTTCATCAATTGGCTACAGACTTCGTCAACAATTTACACAAAGACTCCAGTAAACTGTTCTCGATGAGTAAAGATCTTTTGGAACTGAGAATGGCGGATTCCAACGAAGCCATTAAGAAGTCGAGATATGTTGTGGGTCGAGTCGAGAGTAGATGGACCAAGAATTTATGTAGTCTTGTGGAGCAGATCGGGGTCGAGAATTGTGTCTTTGGATTTCTCTGTCTACTCGCTGAGAAGCGGATTTTGATTACTGGGTCAAATGTAAGCGGACTTTAATCATTACCGCATATTTAATAAAAGGTTTCCGATGTCTCACGAGCAGTCCAATCCTTTGTGCGTCTGTTGGCCCCACTCGAATGGCCTTACACTCTGGTCCCAGTGGTCCCCGACTCCCAATCTGAACTTTGTTATAATCCAACACCTTATATTTGTGGAATCATGAGATACAATCTGAACAAACTACGGGATTTATTGTGTCCTTTGCCTGGCGATACTGAGGTAAGTCCACTTTCATCATCTACATCATCTTTCAGGATGAGATTGTTATAATTGATGTGGAACGCGGGATTGTTTTACCTTGTCTGCCTTTGCAAAATCTAAATGATAATGACATGAAAAACAGGGCCCTGCTCAATTGGACACACAGCATGGGCTTCCCCAAGACGATTGTGATGGACCTTCTTTCTTCACTAAAGTCCGTATTCCCCATCAAAACACCTTTGAAGGCTGATGAGAAGATTGAAAAGGTTCGTACTTTTTCTACGAATGACCCTTAATTAAAAACACTATTTTCCAGAAGATCATGGTATGGTATGCGAGGATCTTCGGGCATTATACTGTATTTGGTAACTCATTGTTGTCAACCCGAAACCGCAAAAGATTGGCTATGGCCCATCCATCTCCAGAAACCAGAGAAATGCTGCAATGGTTCACAGAAACGGGAATCCTTCAGTCTTTCTTCTTCAACCAGGTAAGAACATAACATCCAATTGCTACCTTTCATTTGGGGCAGATTTCTTTCGGGGGCACATCGGCTATCGGCCCGATATCTATATCCAATATAGCAAAATTTTTTATATCGCTAGCCAACGGGGCCCCGTTGGCCCGCGGGGGTTAATGTTCACATGCCATGACCAAGCTCGCGACCGAGGTCAAACGTGGATGTCCAAAATGTTCTCAGAATAGTGACACTTCCGGAATAGCGGAAAAATCAAAGATAAGGCTTAGACCTATCATCTGAATGGATTGATCGTTATTAACATCCAAAATTTTTTTATAATAATTTTTTTTTCTGATTGTTAATTTTTTTATGTAGTAGTGTTAAAAAGTAATTTTGACATTTTTCTAAAAATATTCGATTTAGGGGTTTTCGAGGGTGCTGATTTCGAAAATCATGTTCATTTTTTCTGCACTTTACTAGCTCGCGACCTAGGTTGTGACTGAGGTCAAAGTTGCCTGAAATTACCCGAAAATGGTCTCAATGCTTGACTATGACGGTCACGACCTAGGCCTAGGTCACGATTAATGTCCAAAATCCTCTGAAAATAATGTTACTAGTTGTTCAAAAAAATCTTGGTGACCACCTGACCTAAATAGAGTGTCTTGACCATCACAGTCAAGCATGGAGACCATTTTCGGGCAATTTTAGGCAACCTCTTTGACCTCGGTCACGCCCAATCAGAAAAAAATTTAAAAAATTTCCGAGGTCAATCTATTCAGATGGTTCAGATGATAGGTCTAAGCATTATCTTTGATTTTTCCCCGGTTCCGTCACTATTCCGCCATTCCGGAAGTGTCAAAATTCCGGAAATATCGCGGTGCCTTAGGCAACTACCTTGACCTTGGTCACGACCTATACCTGGAGCTTTTTTGCTTAATGGACCTTTTTGTCCCTAGCGGTTATTATATGAAATCCAAAAAAAATGTTTTTGTTTGGAAAGCCGGAATTTTTTTTTGCCTGTCATGCCAGCTCAATGGCTAACGATGCAAACAATTTTGCGATATTGGGTATAAATATTGGGCCAAGACATCTGCCCCAAATGAAAGTTTGCGCATCCAATTTGAAATATTGCTTTAGACCCAACGAAACAGCTTTTCGTCAGCGATAGATCGGTTTGAGAAGATACGAAAGAAATACGCCCCTCCGGTGGACAAGAATGGGAAAAGGAAAAAGGCCCGATCACTGGTTTGGCGGATATTCCATCATTAATATTATATCATACGAGGACACATTGTACAAATGGCAAAGAGATCTCAACTGTGATTCATCCTATACTTGTTGGCCGTGTCCTTACCGTTACCCCGGTACTGGTATTCTGGAGCTCGATTGCAAATTCGGTTCTGATTACACAGCAGCTGCGCGGCTCTAGAGAAGGATACCTTATTATTTATTTTATTTTACATATGACCTTACTGTAAAGTTCCATAATTATGCGTAATATTAAATAATGTTGTATTGCCCAGCGTTCTTTACCTTTTTTGAAATGAATCGGACCCCGATATCGACAATTAATTAAAACTTGTAAGGCTGCAGAGATCTCCATTTCTTCTACTATACAGTGCTAGTTAGTTCTTTGCAACTCTGTCAGAACGGCCTATCTGACCCAAAATTTGTCGTTTTTCGATTCTGGAACAATCTTAACCAGGAGAGGTAAAAAAGCCGGAGTATTCCCGGCTGTTTAATCGACGTTATTGAAGCCTCAGGCAACGTAATTAAACATTAGTTATTGCCATTCAGTAATTATGCTATTAAAAAACCAAGTTTGTAAGTGAGGTTACAATTTTGTCTTTCAACTTTTGAAGTTTTTAATTTTTTTCAAAATTGTGGAAACTTCCCGCAATAATTTTTTGACGCAAGATTTATAGTGCACTACTGCATATGGCTTCGTGGAAACTGGACAGAGTGAAATTGGACAGAGTGAAATTGGACAGAAATAATTTGGACAGAGCGTGGAAATTGGACAGAGTGAAATTGGACAGAGTGAAACTCGACAGATTTTTTTCACTGCAAAAAATAATTATTTGATGGTTCAATATTGACATTTCGTACGATTGCAGTGAAAATCTGTCCAATTTCACTCTGTCCAATTTCACTCTGTCCAATTTCACCCTGTCCAATTTCCACGCTCTGTCCAAATTATTTCTGTCCAATTTCACTCTGTCGAATTTCACTCTGTCCAATTTCCACGAAGCCCTGCATATTGATGCCAAATATGACCATTTCTATTGACAAACAAGCAAGTTACAGCAATTTTAAAAGTGCGGTTATAATTTTGACCAGCACCGTATAATCACTGCAAATTTCACACGTCAATCTTATAGCAGGCACTCGCTTTACATGCCGACCATCAAAAAATATTTGAAAAAATCGGTACCCGATTCTTTTCAAAAAAGTACAGAACGCTGTGTAATGTGGGTGTTGTTTTCGTGATGAGAGAAAATTCGCGGATCAGTGTTCTTTTTTGCAATTTTTGACGAAATTTTGCACGGCTGGTTGTGAATAATTTGCTCTTTATACAGATCCTGCAGAAAGTATGAATCCCGAACCTGGATTTTCATTCGAATCGAATTTTATGAAACCCGCCGAGTTCGAACATCAAGAAGAAGGGGAACCACCCGTGAGTTTAGGTACTTGCCAAATTATCCTTTTAGATCGACGATATGACTTCGTACGAGTCAACGGATGGTGAAGATTGCAGTGAGTTTTGCAGAAAGAAGGTAAATTTTGTTCTTTGCCTAAATAAAAACTTTTAGCGTCTGAAATTTCTGCAGTCAAGTTCGACAACACGTATGGACGAAATTGACAAATCATTGGCCAATGAGTACGAAACGGATTTCGAGGTGGTTGTCCATTATTTTCATGGAAAGAAGCCACAGGATGAAGTGGAATATTTCTCCGTCGAATATCTACGATGTCGTTGTAAGGTTTTGTGTGTAATTTTCGAATTTACTTGTTTTAGATCAGGCTCACTCTGTCGCAGCACCTCCGCGAAGGCTAGGAATTATACTTCGAAATGCAAAGAAATTGCGTGAACCTGTGAGGTCTGGAATTTGTTACGTGAATAACATCCCATGGAGATTGACTTTGATTCCGCGTTCTACTGGATGCAAGGACAAGAACGAGCCTGTTATGGGAATCTTTGTCCAATGTTGCGTGGACTCGTATTCTGAGTGGGTGACGGTGATATAATAATTTATTTTAGCCTTTGGAAATGCAATGCTCAAGCCGAGATTATATTAAAGGGAAATACAGATTTTAAACGGAGGACCAGTCATTACTACACCCCAAAGGAAAGTGATTGGGGATATTCGAGCTTTATCACCTTGAAAGTGAGCACAATCTTATGTAGTTTAAAGCTAGTTAATAGATTGTTTCAAAGGCTTCCCGCCACTTCAAAAAATTCCAGAACTTGATTGAAGGTATACAAAACAAAAGTTCTCCTTTTACATAGAAAGTTGGCATAAAATGCAAGTTTAAGCGGCTTGTTGGAATTGTTTACTGTTATGGCAAGAGGAACTCGATATATTCAGGGTTGACCTCGTAGTGATACTCATGCACATTAATGTCAAAAAACGTTATTTCTTAGTGCTTCCAATAGCTGCGACTATAGGGACAATCTTTGCCAGAGCCAAATTTTAGATTTTGAGCAATAAAATTTTTTTGACCCGCCCTTGTGGCAAATTGGTTACTGCGCCATAGAGATTACTTACAACCATACCATTTCTTGAATATTGAGAAGGTACAAAAGACTCTAGACGCAACGGTTTACTTTTTCTTCCTTCTAGTTGTTAAGGTACCACTTCGTTATTACTTAAAGTGGCATTGGTTGAAATTTAACAAAAAATTATATTTTAGGCATGGCGTGAACCCTTTAAATCAACCTTATATTATTTACAGGAACTTTTCAATGACAAAGAAGGTTATTTGAAGGCAGGGGCTGTTGGAGTCGAAGTAATTTTGAATAACGTTGAAGCCACTGGAATTATGTAAGAATTTCGATCTTATCATAATATTGGTTTAGGGGATTGTCTCAATTCAGAGAAAAAATCAGCAAATACCGGAAGATCTCCGAAATGCAAAGAGATAAAGGATTTACTGATAAAGCGATTGAATGTATTACGCAGGGGATTGAACTCTGCGAGCGTTATTCGGATATCCAATCGTTGAGGGAGCTTCTTCAGTACAAAAACGATCTGATAAACCATAAATTGGAGGAGTCAATCAAACGAATTGAGTCTGGAACTGTGAAAGCTACCATTGATGCTAGCTGTATCGTGAAGGGTAAGGTCGTTCCCATGTCACCAATTTTTTTATAGGTTCGGTTCCGAATGAAGCAGGGAAACTGATTAACAAGACTGCTAGGGCTTTGACAGAACGGAAGAAAAAATCTGCCGTGGTCAAAACAAGTGTAAGTTAAAGATCTGTTTGGAAAGTTGTTTAGAATGTAAAGTCTTCACCACTGAAATGCACGGAATGTGTCCAGAAAGCTCCTGCTGTCAACAAGGTAAACCAGAAATCTTCGAGTACGCCCCGAGAGGGTTCACGTCCAGAGGTTCCATTATGTAAACCTTCTACTTCCAAGTCGCCTTCACTCAATTCTCTGGTTAATGAAGTTTCTCAACGAATGAGAGATAATCCCCCAGTGGACGCAGATGCTGGTTGCGGATCAGCGATGGCGCAACCACGAAACAATGAAAAGGAAAACTCCAAAAATACGTCGTCGATGTGTGTGGACTTAGATAGGGGAGACCCTGTAGTTATCATAGATCTAATCCTCCATCCTCCTGAACTAGGACATGCAACGGAGCATATCATGCTCAAACACGAAGTCTCCGAGATTTTGTCAGTTGAAGAAATCATAGAGGATGTTGTCGGTCGATATGTTGAGGTATGTCTGATGAAGGGATCAGTTGATAACGAAGGTATTAAGTCGTTTCTAACTGGGAAAGTACTCCAAGTGCGAAGCTCAGATTTCCTTTAAAATTTTTACACACGTTTGGCATAGACTAAATATCAATTCCTGAAAGTTTTGGCTCGCGCTTTGCAGGCGCCGCCGGGATATTGAATGATCTTTGTCGCCGAGGGAGTACGCTAAACGTGGAGAACGGTCAGAAAGAAAAAACTTTTGTCCATGATCTATAAAAATCTCGGGTTTTTCTGCACAGTGCGAGATAGGAGTATCGCATATATTTCAGAAAAAATTATTCTAAATTTGTACCAAGTTTCATCAAAATGTGAGCGTCGCACTTGAGGTACTTACCCTGTAATTTTATTTCTTAGAAACGAAGTGAGATATTTTATTAACTTTTTAAAAAACTTTTCCATTTTTGGAGTTTACGACCAAGATCCGAGTTAAAAAATAATCGACTTCAACTTTTGAAAAATGGGAAAAAGTTTTTATTCAACCGAATATTTATAACAGGAATGGCAAGATGATCCTAACATGAAGCGATTTATCCCAGAATTGAAGAGAGTTGCATATGGGGACGAATTCGCTAAACTAATGTCGAATATCTTGGACAATATCAATAGAAAACACTTGGAGAGATTGAGTAAAGATGAGTATGATACAGATCAAGACATCTTAATGTTGTACCAACAAAGCACCATTGCCAAGTCTTCCGAAGAAAAGAAGCATGTCCGTGAGGAGATTTTGAAGTGTCTTTCCAAGAAAAAGAAGGTAAGTGTAGACCGTCTGACCTTAAAGTTATATTTTTATGTTAGCTGAGGGAAATTGCAACAAATTTTTTTCAACCGGAAAAGAAGGAATCAAGCGCCCTTGCAATTCCTGCCGATATTTACTGTGATAAATGCCGAGAGAAAGTTAAGGTTTGTTTTGTTCTATCTTATACTGAATGTCGTTTCAGGATATTTTCAAAGATTACGGCAAAAGATTTCATCGAAAGCTGATACAATTTTTAAAATTCGTTCGGAACTACTACTACTCAACTGAATTTACAACGGCTTACTCGTCCATCCTCCGTGGTGTAAAAGATAGTGTTTGCAAAAAAGGAATGGATGCGGATTGTAGGTTCTCATTTAAAATTTTATTTTTCTTTAGGTAAAATTGAGGAATTCCCAATAAAAGTTGAAGCTGCTTTGCAGTATTTTGAGAGATGGGATCCACTCTCGGGCAATCCTCTCGAGCTTCTGATCCATTTCCATTATATCTTGGACGTCGTCTTTCTGCCTATCGATTCGTTTCTTCCCCAATTCAACAGAATGACCAAAGATTTAAAAGCTCAGAACCAAACTCTTATTAAGGAGTTTGAAAAAGAGAAACTGATGACCGAAGAAATTAAAGATCGGCTTCAAATTTTGAAAGAGGAACATGGGAAAGTAGAAAGTTCTACTAGGCATTTAAAGGAGGAGAACAAGAAGTACAAGAAGAAGGAAAAGAGTTTCATTTCAGAGATTGAGAAGTATCGAAAAAGGTTGCAATCTGCGTAAGTTGGGGCTTCAGCAAGAATTTTGGGCACGGGTACCCAGTAGGCTGTTCACCAGGGTTCTGACGGGGGTATATATCCATGAAGCTGGGTATTTTCGGGTGTTTATGGGAATTTTCAAAGTACCTTTCAATTCAAAAAACGTAAAAAATAGTGGAATTTGGTCATAAAAATCAATGACTGTTGAAATTTCGTCTTAATTTGTGTTTTTTTGCCGTTCAAAATTTGGGAGTGGCCCACCCTATAATATCACTTTTCTCCAAGATTCTATTTGACGAAATGCCGCATTGATTAAATCTCGGTCAAGAAATAGCTTCAAGTATGCTGGATTGACGTGCTGTTTGTTACGCAATTTTATGGTTGAGGGAAAATTGACTGTTGGTAATATGCATAATAAACAAAACCATTTTAGGGAGGATCATTTGAAAGTTGCTCATCACGAATTGGACGAAACCAAGGGTAAACTCAGTCATTTACAGAAGGAATTGGCAGAAAAATCAAAATCAGAGCAAAGCCTGAAGGATTCCAAGAAAAGGTTGCAATCGGAAGTGAAGGAGAATCAATCAACCATCAAACAGCTCAGGGATCAGCTGGAAAAATCTAAAGAATGTTGTAAAAAACTTGAGCAGGTATGTTAAAGAGGGTGAATATCTTCTGGTTACTAACGGAAATCACTTCACATTTGCAGAAGAAGGTTGCCAATCCCGTGTGCAACAAACCAAGTGAATCCAGTAGAATAAAACAATTGGAAAAAGAATTAGATGAATACAAGTTGAAGGAGAAGATAAACGAACTGGAGAAGGCCTTGGTGGTCGCTGATCTCTCTCTGAAGTTGATTCAGAAAAGAAAAAAGGAAGGGTAAGTAAGGCATACCTTCGGTAAGTTTTATTATTCAGATCTCTGTCATATGAAAACTCCCGAGAATTGGACACCCAAGAACTTTGTTGGTCCAGTTATGAAGAAGAAGTTGTTAGATATATGGAAGAGATGAAGGCCTCGCATGAGAATCCCGACCTTCCTCCGAGTAATCTTCGAATGCCGGTGGCTCCCAGTTTACTGAAAATTCCTCCAGTGATCGTCGTCCAAAAGGTGGTAGAAGTAAAGCCCGTCTATCTATCGAGGGAAGATGTCGCTAAATTTTCCCCTGGTTCCTCCATAAATTTTCCTTTTTAATCAAGATTGTTGTTGTATATTTTTGAATAAATTGTTTTGTCTTTTGTGTGGTGTTTTAAAACTTGTTCCGTTTTTTCTACTGTTGCCAAAGGTCTTTTCGTATATTGTGTATCCCCTCATAAGCTAAATTGTCTCTAGTTTAGTCAAGATCAATGCGAGGGAGTACTTAGAAAACCTTAAATGGATTTACCCAGCTGAACGGATTTAATTCTCCAAATGACTCGAGTGGGAGGGAAAGGGTGGATGGAACTGAAGGGCTTAGGAACTTACAAGTGTTGTTTCTTATCACCCTCCTCCGGCCACTCGAATCTCAAACTGTGATCCCATTTGGAGTAGTCTTACGTAACTCCTCAACTACGTCGGAGGCCACTCCACGGGCGTGAAGTCTCCGTTTTGTAAGATATTTGTTTTCCTGCATTACTCGCTAAAATATGTATGTGCCTTACTGGAATCGATGGCTTCAAACTCAGTTTTGTCGTATTAGACATTTCGCAGGAGTTGCAGAGTGATGAACAGTTTACGATGTTTACAGACGTCGGTTGTTTATCACATATGAGGGCATTTTCCGAATGATTACAACTCTCTGTTCGCCGCCTTTGCCCTCCGGTCACCACCCGATCCGGGTTTAATGGGCCGGCAATTTGGATCGGGTTGGACTGCCCCCCCCCCCTCCCAGATTTTAATTAGTTTTGGACGGAAATTGAATTTTTTGTCTATGGATGACATCTTTGCATTGTGACACGTTTCACTTGTTGTTATTCTAATTATTTTTGTCAGTAATATTCATATGCAAATTGCAATTTGTAACCATGTGGGCTTTTAATTATGATGCCGGCAACAACAGTTTTTTACTTTTATAAAGATAATTTTTACTTAACACATTTTACGTGATCAGGAAAAACACGATGGATTCAGATGGATTTGTCCCATATATTCTACCCACGGTGTATTTGAGAATTTATTTTCACTCACAGTCAGCACCCACACAAATAACATTTATAAATGGGAGTGGTTTTTTACGCCTCAACATTATAACAATTCATAAATAATAAGACCCCAATCAAATGAATAAGTCATGCCCAGAAACACAATCTGGTTCCAGGCCTTGTAATTGGCCAAAAAATTCACTTACAGCCACCATTAGTTTGGTTCGTTTCACCTTTTGACGCATATTATGAGCAAATCAATTAGCTCCGGGATAAAGATTAACACCATGGTGTCGCTCTGTAAGGTCATTTTCCCGTGAAATTTTCAGTTTTTGGTGCGGAAAAAGGGTTGTACTGGATATTTTTGCCGGATTTATTAATGCAAATTACTTTTTGACAGGTTGATTTCGCTCGGTTATATGTTTATTTGCATTTGAGACAGGTAATAAGCAGGGGTATTTTAAATGTATAATTTAAGTATCCAGTTTCCATGACAGACTTGCGTAAAATCTCATAAATATTAAATCGACGTTCTCCGGAGCGCACAGTGATTAGCTTGACTTGAAGCGATGACTCGGATTGTGCTCTTCTGAATTACTGTATCGTAATGTGCAGGCCCGATTTTAATTATTAATAGCCCTCCTTGAGTGGTTTTAATTGGTTTTCCGTTTAATTTCGAGGCGCAATGCCCTCAGGCGGTGCTAAATTTAAATTGGAGCGGAAACCAAAAACTTTTCCTTTGTTTTGACAGCGATGACGACGACCTTGGCCGGGATATGACCGCATGGCCTCGGGGGAGCGATGGGTCGGGCATTATCGCTCCTTTTTTACATCGTACCTTGAGGTCGTAAAGAGCGAATCCCCCGCTTCATGGAACCCGAGATGTCCTTTTACATTGGCGGAATGCCGATGGGAATGCCTCGGCAGGGATCGGAAATATCCGCATCGGTTACTGTAACGATGATGCCAGTTGTTTACGGTAATTTGCGGTAAATTCTCAAATGTTTTCTCCTCGACTTTGCAGATTAAGTGATGGCGATGAGAACACCCTGATCCCCTCCCTCATTTGTTGTGGCCATGTTTTAACCGTCGTTAGTTCCCAATCAATCACTCCCTCCACCTGTTTTTCCTCTTCTTTCCCCGTACTCTCTCAGTCCCACCTTCTGTCGTGTTCGGATGCTTCAGATTCCATTTCGTAATGTGCAGCACCCACCTCTTTTGTCATACTCCATTACCGTACTCTCAAATCAGCGTCATGGCTATTCCCGTTTAGGCCCCGCCCCTTTTTCGTAAAGTTTCTGGGTGGGGGCAGTTCCTTGTTTTTAAATGCAAATTCCTCAATGAGTTGAGATAATGATCGAATATTTGGTGAGGCAGTTATAGTGTACTAACTAAGAGTAATAAAAAATTTGTTCTCTGGTTTTATAACTTTACAATTTGACATTTTGTGTCTATTTTGGAAGATCTAGAAGAACAATCTCTTATCTGGTTGTCATAACTCTTGTTGCACTCTGTAAGACACGTCATTTGACATGTAATTCCGTTTATCTCCGATGATCGCTTTCTCTATTATCCTTTATATTTGCATTCCCGGCCCCGGAAGAGTTCGTATTTCCAAGATTGTAGCCTTTCTTTTCTAGTAATTTTAATTTCAGGCCTTGGCAATATGAAATTGTTAAAAGTTGTTGTACTGTTAGTGGCACTGTTGGGCTTTGTCTTCTCCCCCGTCCACTCGCGACCCACCAATTCGATGACGAGGATTCAGGTGAGTGTAATTATAGATAACTCAGGGTTCTCCCCTCCTTTCGTTATTTCCTTAAACCCTAGAATTCTTTTGCAAAACAAATTTCCGCAGTACAAATATTTTGATAGTTAACTTTACTCAAGTCGTCCGCTTTTCCATCGGATCCAGTTTTGGAGATAACGGCCCAAACGGCCACTATCCCCTTGGCCTGACATCATTTGAGGTGCTTCGAAATGCAGTGAAAACGAAAATTTCAAAGTTTCTGGTTCTGAAACGCTTTCCATGGACTGAGCGCTACTTTTTTCAAGCAATTTGCATATCCGCCACCCAGATTTAGATTTTTTGAGGACGAAAGACCGAAACGGGGGCTGTTACAAAACACAGAGAATAGCTTATTTTCTTGAATTTTGTTAATTTCTTACCTTAAATGTTAATAAAACAGAATAATATCATTATTGCAGGAAGTGTTCAGAACTTTAATGGGATCGAAGCCAATGGTGGCACATCGAGGCAAGAAGAACGAGATCAGGAACCCGGACACCCCTCCCGAGGAATACGAGAACAATCTGAGATTACTCTGGCTCCTCAACCAACAAAGTTTATTGGCGCCCGAGGCTGATTGAGCCGAGAATCTACTAACTTCTAGCTCACTGGTTCTACACCAACATCCTCCAGTCACCAACAACTCTTTTGGTCGTCAATATCTCAGCAACATACCATCCTAAGTGCTTGTTTTTTGCGATTACTGCCATCTGCAGTAACAAGATGCACTTGTATTTTGGGTCTCTAATTTCTCTGTTCTCTCCGTTTTTCGGTTGATCTCTGTTCACCTCTTTCTCTGCACTCTCCTTAATCTCCATTGCCTCTAGCCTTTTCTCACAATCAGCCAAATAGTCCAAGAATTACTCAATTGATTGCGCCTGCTAATGGCCAATATTTTTGCCCGGTTTTGTGACCAAATTTGGTCACGGGATTGCCCAGAAATTATTTATTTTGTTCTCTTATTTTACGTTTATGTTCAATTAAATATTAAAATATTATTTTAATGTTTCAGTCATCCCCGAAGCGATGCCCAATCGGGAATGGACATCGTTTCACGGATGAGGTCAGAGACTTTGTTCTTTCACCTTGACTTGGGATGGAGCATCTGGTTGTGAGAGGGCGTGAGCTCGTTGAAACGCTGGCACTTCCGATAAATTATCATTTATTTCGTTGATCAGTTTGAATTCACTCAAATCCATATTGAATTTCCTGAAAAGAACCGAAACAATAATGGAAAAATAACGACAATTTTTTAAAGCGGCTCACTTTTTGGCGTTAAATAACTGAGGTATCAGACACACATCGGCGAGGGAGATCCTATCCCCTACACAGAATTGACCGGCGGTTTGTGAAAGTCGTCTCTCCAGAAGTCCCAAGCCTTTTCGAATGAAAAAATCAGCAAATTTGTGGGAATCACCTCCGTTTTCGTTGATGAATCTGACTGTGGCTATGTTTTGTAGTGGCTGAATGCCGGCTATTAGCTAAAAACAGGATTTTTTTAGGGCTATGACAAAACAGGCGTAATGTGTCTTGCCGCCTTCGTCCTAAGCGTCTAAACTATGCCTACTTGTTGGCATAGTCGGTGGGGTGATTTCGGCGACGTGCAATGTGCAGAAAAAGTCAGGGCGGGCGAATTTTCAAATTAAGAATCCTTTCAGTGATTTTCACTGTTTCTTACAACTATGTATAACGATAATCGTAGAACCAACCGCGATTTTTGAAAAACATTCACCTCGTGGTCGAAACTCCAAAAATTAACAAATTGCAAAAAATCCAAAGATATTATTTTCGACGTTACGTCATCATAACAATGCATTTGCTTCATCGCCCAAGAATTACCACCCCAAAACATCTCATTCACCCACTCAAACCCATCACCCGAGAAAGGGACCATCCGAATGCGGCCACCCGAGTTTGCACCACCCATAATTTCTTGACGCCCCATTTTAGGCGCATTACACAGATTATTCCATTTTTCTCCGATTTTGTCCAATTTACGATTTTTTTAAAGCGTATATTGCGCTTACATTCAGACATAGAGCACGAATAACAGCTCTTTGGTAGGAATCTCCCCCCAATAATTTTGGTGTCATCGGATATTCTTCTTCTAGAAATTCAATGATGGCCATGCTTTCCGTCAAGATTTGTCTTCCATGGATAAAAACAGGAACTTGCCCTGAGGGGTTTATACTCAAGAACTGGGTCGACTGCTTAAGACATCGATTAAAAATACTGTAAAAACAAGATACCTGCTGATCTATGAGAACGTGCCGGCTTTCATACTGTATTCCCTTGAATTCCAAAGCATTTCTGACTCGCCAGGAACATGAACTTGCCCATCTCCCGTAAAGAATCGGACGAAGATTTGCCATCGTTCTTGTAAACTCGTAAGACTGAGCTGTCTGTCACGTGTAAGTGTTCTTTTATGGGTAAAGTCATCGGGAACGTGTATTTTTATAACAGATGGGAAGTGGAAAATAAATTTTTTATCATGATCCAGCGATCATTTTCTTTAGTAAGCAGGGAAAACAAGGAAAACGTAGTCTATCTGGGGAAGATAAGTGGGTAAAGAGATCTGTACTTAATCTGCAAAAGAAAGACCTAACCCACAAGTACCTGTGTGGTAAATAGCAAACAAGGAGAAAGTAAGATATATACCTCGAAGATGTTGATCATTGACCCAAAAATGAGTGATAGACGGCAAAAACAAAATAGACGCGCCCCCGTTTATATTCGTATTACCCTGCATAAGATGCGTTCAATTTTTGTTTGTTTCTTTCCCTGCCTGTTGATACGAAAAGTCACGTCCTACCAATCAAAAATCGGAACTTGAAAATCTGAATCAAAGAGCTGCAACAAAACACAAAAACCATGTGTATTCGTTTAATTAGAAGATCACAATCGATAATTTACAGATAATGTACATCAATACCTCTCTCTCTATATATATATATATATACATACAACAGGGTTAGACTATTTGGAATGTTTTTTGAGGAGCTGTTTAACTTCTTTCTTGGCGTTCTCCTCGAGCAGATTGATGGGTTCAAGGGAATCAGCGGTCTTCAAGGTCTTAATCATGTCTTCTTTCTTCCCGAGAGCCAGTTGAGTCTTGGCCAAATAAAGCAGATTCTCGATCCATTCGTTGGGCTTAACCTCTTCGACCTTTTTGAACTTCTCCAAAGCATCTTGCATCGTGCCTTCCGGGGGATTCCCGTAAAGAACAGCAGCAAGATTTTTCTCAACCCAACTCAGATTGGCGATAGAAAAGCAGAGACGGCCATAAAGGTGGGCCAGAATGTAGTCATCCGGCACGATCTCGAGGCCTTTGTCCAGATACTCCTTGAATTGGTTCCCCATTTGAATCTTCTCTCGATTCCCGAGCCTTCCGCGATCCGAGAGAGCACCGGTCACAATGGCCGCCCACCGCACACATTCAAAGTCCTTGGGATCAATCTCATGCCCTGCGGCACAATGTTTATGCGCCTCAAAAAGGAGTTCCTTCTCTCGGGAGTGCTTGATTCCATCCTCGCAGGCTTTCATGTAGAGAACACGGCCCAGACGCCAAAGAACTCCCACGTTCTCGGAACCTCCTTTTTTGAACTTCTATAATTAAATAGGCCAATAATTAACAATATCAGAAAAATTAAAAGAAGCGGACATGACCTCATTAAAGCATTCCTCGAACAATGCGAGTTTTCCCCAAAAAATTTCTCCGAAAGCGACAGGAACTATGCAAGAAGGAAACAAAATTTAAGCTCACACACCTCTAATAACTGTTGATAAACTTCATCGTATTTGTGGGCTTCGAACATGAGATCAAGTTCTTCAAACTCATCTTCTTGGATTTCTTGTTTTGGCAGATTCTCCGCTTGTTGTGCGGCTATCTCGACGTTATTGGACATGTTTCAGATCCTGAAATGAGATCCTAAACCACGTGTCTAAAAAAAATCCGCGTCCACGCCTTTCTCAAAAAACACATAGAACTGGGTAACAAAACATCGGAGAACAGCTGATCAGAACGAGCGCCTATAAATAACGGGAAAATGATACAAATTTATGTAAACCCCCGTTTGTATAGTTGATGCCCTTATCACAAAATTATTCGTATAACGAGAAAACAGCGCCACCAAACGCCCGCAGATTAGCTGGAAACAGGTCCAGATAAGAGATTACAGCAGGCTATTATATCGCTTCCGGCGAAATCTTTGACACAATGACATTTCCTCCGTTCGATCGCTTTTTGTTTCGGAAATCAACGAAAAATGCGGACGAAAACGGTTTTAACTATAACTTGTATTCACCTTGACCTTTTATATGCAGGAACTCGCAATCGTATCACCTCGCTTTACAACAAAATCAAGTTATAGGACAATATTCGAGGTCATTCGGTTCCCGGGTCTAGTATAATATAATCTCAACTCTCGCTTTGTTAATTTAAAAAAGTTTGTAAACCAGGAGAAAAGATCGAAACAAACAGCGAACTCCGGAAATCTACACAGCTCTGTAGATAAATGCCCAGGACCGGAGGTGGCCGATTTTTGTCGGGCCGGACCATTTCCAGGCCGGGCCCGTTGTCTTGAAATGCCAAGCGTTGGCATTCAATGTTTTCGCGTCGGGAAAATCTTTTGATGCGAAAGAATATGTTATAATATAAGGTACTAGGTCCAAAATTAGAACACACATTATAATGCATAGCAGATTTTAGTACCGCAGAAGCCGTAAGATCAACTGCAATTTTGCCCTACACCCAGCACCAGGGGTGGTCAGTGGGCCGGGCCGAGCCTGAAAAAAAGCCTAGACGGGCCGGGCCGTGGGCCGGAAATCGAAAAAAACGGCCCGATGACCAACCCTGCCCAGCACAGAACCATTTTTTGGCTAACAAATTGCAAAGTTGCTGTAAGCCCAGGGCGCACCTCGCACATTGTAGGCCGCCAAATGATGACTATTCGAACCTTTGCGATCTTTTATAGTTTCCGTTGAAAACAGCCAGGAAAAATCTTAAAATAACGTTCCAGTTCATTCTTTTATAAAGGTGAATATCGAAATGGAAGTGAAATATTACAAATAGCCTCCAAAACACGAAATCATTGTGAAATAAACAAAACTATCGAAATATTCGTTGTAAACTGTCCGTCGAAAGGTTTAATGTGATCGGAACATTGAGAAAAACAGGAACGACTGGGATCCGACCAACTTTAACTGGAACCTTCTAGTAAGAAATACCTGCCAATAAGCAGATATAGATAAAATATATTCAAAGATGTTCTAAACTCAAGAACGGCCAAGACTAGTATAATATAGTTTATCCGAGAGAACATAAATCTGTTTTGTGGTTATTCTTGGCCCATTTCTCCAGGATTTCAAAGTGGAATTCCGGTTTTTTATTTCCTTCGGATGGATGCCTCCGGCGATCTTCTAGAAGCGTTTTTTGTCGCAGCTTCCGAAGAAAGTTTGTTAAAGTGATAAGGATTAATCGGAGCGATCAAGGTCGTGCCATGTGTTTTGACAGATTTGATGCCCCAATTATTGTCATCGGATGGGTTCGACGCCTTCAGTTGAAGATTGTAGGGATTCTCAGCGATGGTCTCTCATCTCATTCCGTTCTTTTTATTTATCATCGTAGTGGCCAAGAAGGGGCCTGCTGATACTCCGATTGATATCACAAAAGAGCATTCGCCCGAAGCACAATGTCATTTCTCGGTCCATGAGAAAACTCACGACGGCCCTGAGGTCACGGGTAAGCGAAGATCGTCTTCTTATTTTGTTTTACAGTCAAACAGAAATCACAGTCTTGCGCAACCCTTGTTTATTTCTAGAACTTTGCTCTTTCAGGCACAAATCTCCATCAGGAACTCTACTACAAGATCCAATGTAAATCGGAGAAGGGCTATTGTTTGTTTGTGTCGAATTGTACAGTAAGCACGGGGAATGAGAAGCCCTATGAGATCATCGATGGCAATGGATGCACCACTGAACCAAGTCTCTTCGAGCACGTGAAGGTGAGATTGTAATACAATAGGGCTGTTAATTTGATAAAATTTTCAAAACGACGTTATATTGGCGTCATTTTGGCTGAGTCAAATTTAGCCAAAATGACGTCAGATATACGAAGCTTCGACACGCGAGTTTAACATGGACTGTGATGAAAACTGTTAATGATATCGTTTCCATTTTAAAAGTGGTATGTACCCACAATATTTTTACGAAAATGTATGTTAAAGTCTTGGCTTTTTTAGTATCTGGACGACTCCACCGCCGGGATTTACAATCCTTTCCCCATCAGATTCAGAAATCAGAACTCCGCTGTCAGATTTCAATGTTCTACTAAACTCCGGCTCCGAGAGACCGAGGGGTATTGTGAAAGGCCAGCCTGTACGGCGAACGAGTACAGTGAGGGGGCGAACTTCCATAAACATGAGTGATCATAAGGGTAAAAAAATAAATTGGAGATGCTTTATCTATCGGATACTGTATATATTAGAGAAACAATTGCCAACAAGATGTTTGAATCCAGTTTATGCAAAAAAGAAGGGAGATCAAGCCTTCAAGGCCATACGGACGGCTTTGGCAGTAGGACGGTAGACGGAGAAGGAGCAGTTTAAGTCATCCGAGACATTCATCGTGGCCGCGGCATTGTCAAACTGACCACAATAATGCGGGGCTGAGAAGATGGTGACCAGACGGCGATTGGCAAAGAACTCGTAGCCATCTTGGACCACCTGAATCACTAATCAGCAGAGCTTCTTTCAACCCACCTGATGGGCTCGCGCCACAAGATCGATGTCAAGTTTGGTGCAGATGTCGACCACCACATCCTGACCGAAGACGTACGAAACTCCACGGGTGTTTGCCTGCCATCCCTTGGCCCACTGATCGGGATCGGCCCACAGAAGATCGATGCCCATACTGGGATTGGGGGGATCTTGAGGACGGGGAAGATTGCGCAACTGATCCAGGCTGGTCAGTTGAGGAGACAATCCCCCATGCATGCAGAGGATCTTGCCGCCAATCAATCCACACAAAGGCATCCAATTGAACGTATCCTGGAACGAGTTCCAAAGTCTGATCGACTTGTATCGTCGGTTGCATTCCTCAAAGAATCCGTAGACTCGGTTGATGGCTGGACATTCGTGGTTTCCACGGAGCATGAAGAAGTTCTCCGGGTACTTGATCTTGTAGCAGAACATCAGACAGATTGTCTCAATGTTCTGACGACCACGATCAACGTAATCTAACAAACAGGTTGCATAATTTGGTTGCCTTACCTCCCAAGAAGAGATAATTTTGCTCGGGTGGGAATCCGTTCTTGTCGAACACACGGAGAAGGTCGGAGTACTGTAATAGTGAAATATAATCTAAACGAAAGTATTCGTACCTGACCGTGAATGTCTCCGCACACAACAAGAGGAGGATCGACTTCGATGAGGGAGGACTGGGAAATGAAAACCTCCTTGGCAATCTGACAGAGCTGCGAGAGCTCCTGTTCGCTGACTTGGGTGGTCAGACGACCCCCGGTCATCCCGACATTCAGCAGACGCGCGATCATATTATCCACATCAAAGGCGGCCATCTTGAGTCGACTGGCTGGACTGGATGTAGATCGGCCTAGGCTTCTTCTCCACTATCACTCTTTCTCTGGCTGGAGTCGGCCGACAATCGGACAGCGTCACGACAAGAAATGAGAGTCGACCGATCTCCGGCGTGGTTTTTATAGTGCGGGTTTTATTTTATGCAAATTTTACAACTTATTTTTTCTTCCTTCGAGAGGAGCCTAGTAAGTAATTGAAAGGCAACAGTCCATTATGGGCGGAATTTAAAACAGACTCGGGGCCAGCAACCGGACCGATTTGCGAAATGGCCGCTTACCCGCCGGACATGAGTCCGGTTGACTATATTTTTTTCGGTTGGAGGTCATTCTTGTACTACGCGCCACAAAAGTTTAGAGTCGTTAAGGAGTCGCTGTGCCAAGAAAATGACCGATTTCCCCCAAAAAAAAGCTGCGGCTTAAGTCAATTTGGAGCCCTGTATCACCGCCAAGGGAAGTCACTTCGAAACTGGCTGCACATACGATTTTAAAAAAGCTCCATGTTAAGCGTAAAATTTTTTATATCGCCATAATAACGGTTAGTGGTATTTGCATCACAGTCTTATCATGTCTAATAAATATATAGTATAACGTTAGAGGGAATGTTTTGTCTTTAACTTCTGTTGGCTTCGTTGATTATTTGAAGAATGTTAATGAAGAGATTGATTACATCCATGTAGATACTGATACACGCCAGAATGTAATCCTCTTCAGAGTGATGATGCATTACTGCGTCGATGTCGAAAACCAGATAGACCGAGAAGAGGATGGCTCCAAAGATGCTCATGAAGAAGTTAAAAGACGTTGACATTAGTAAAATCTGAAGTATTAACAATTATTGTTACATAAAACCTCACCTGCAGCATGCATCCCACCAGAAATACCATGGATACTGTGGCCATAAGAGCGTATCCCTTTCTGAAGTCGTGCTTTGTCTGCAAGGTGTAACAGAACAATGAAAACACAACGGCTGCAGTTACCACCATTGCTTGTAAAACAACTTCCGCTGCATAAAAGGTCACTGTAAATAAAGTATATCATCTAAAACATATCATCATACCTATAGCAGATACTGTTAAGGCCTGCATTACAGTCCATAAGCCGAGCAACCCATAGTTAACCGGGACATTGTGGGCATGGTAGAACATGGCAAAGAGAACTCCGATCGATGAGAATGATAATGTCAGTATAATCCATGGTCTAAAATGATTAGCGGCGTTACTACAAGATGATGTCTGGCCGTTCTTTCCTTAAATTTTACGAAGCCATTCTACGAACAATATTTTCTTTGTGTAACTCTGCTGGAAGCCGCTTCTGACATTGTACTATCTTCAAACTTATAAATTCCCATGTTTTTTGTCCTCGAACACCTAAAAGTTCCCATATCTGACTTCAAGAGAACCGAGTTTCGGGAGGATTTGTTGATGAACCTAACTAGATTCGAAGCCCCATCCCACCCCCTCAACTTCAGACTGCCTAAGGGCATGTCCTGAGAAAGAAAATGGGTTCCTCCTTCAGAAGTCCGTAGGGAACAGTCTTAACTCAATTCCAATGACCATTTTCAGTTCAATCAAAATGAGAGAAGAACATACTAAGGTAGAGCCGGATTATCTCGACGTTTTATGAATGATTTCTGCCAACTTTTAGAACATGTTTTATGAATCTGAAATGGCAATTTTAAATGACGGTTATATGCCTTGGGACAAATACAATATAATCTGGTTCCTTAAGAACGAATTTATGCAAAGGTTCTTGTTAAAGCTGTTTCCGTATTTATTGGAAGGGTGTCTCAAAAAACAATCCAATTTTATGGATAATTTGATGATTCTCGGAGGTCTTCTCCTATTTGTTTACTTAAACCTTCCCGTGTTCAAAAGCCCTTCCTTTGTTTAGGAACGGCTCCTTTCCCCCGAGGTTATTTTATTATTATAATCGGGGATCAAATTTCGCCTAATGGTTGTATTTTATATTCATAGGTAAACATCTACATTTTTTCTTCGCGTGTCCTCGGGAATTCGTGTCAATCAAGAGAGATTGTCATGTGCCGCCTTAGCCGCACTCTCACATGACAACTCTGAGTTTAAAAACCTTTCAGATAAAATGGACTCTTTGACAGCGAGTGGACGGAGTTCCCAGAATCCGAGTAGAAGCAGTAGTCCCCATCGTCTAATCGATCCTTCGCAACATTTGCATCTTCCATTTATACCTTCACGGAAATCAAGTGACAGCAGTGGGAAATACACGCCGACATTCAGTTTCGGCAGAAGAAATCAAAACTCCATGGGGACATGTTCGGAAAGGGATGGAATCTTCCGGGCAGGTAAGGCAAACAATTGCACATTAACCACCAACTTCCCGAATAATATGACCAAATCTCGGCCAACAACGCCTTTATACATAAAAAAAGTCTGTATACCCCTGCGAAATTGATTCCGTATAATTATGAATAATTTACCTTTTAAAAAATTCTGTTGTGATCAGAAATGCAATATTTGAGTGCTGAATCCCAAAAATCCGTGCTCCAGCACCTTCCAGAAACAAGCCTGAGGGGATTAAGTTTGTTAAAGGTCTTAATCTCCACTTTAATCTAGAAAAAATACTGGCTGGGCTAAGCGATTTTAGACTTCTGGGCCCAATGTTTATGAATTTCATCATACGAGTTTGATTTTATTTGCTCCTCCCTTCCCGTGCACACCCTCGCACCACACTCACTTCAAATAATATCCCAGACTTTCTTATACCAGTGAACTATCTCTCATATATTTCCTTGACTAATGGTCCGTTCTCCCACATCGAAGATAGGTAGAGTTGTCGTCTTATTTCTCATTTTCGTTAACTTTAACGGCCTTCAAATTAGACACAAAACTTAGTCAATATTTTCTCTTTCAGATCGCCCACGTCTGCCAGTTCGTATGATGAGAAGAGTAAAAGTCGCCGCCTTACCCGGAACCAGCAATTCAGACGAAAACAGTCGAGCCACCACTCCAAATCTTGAATTTCTCAACGAAAACTATACCAAAAATGAGATCGAGGACTACCGCCAACTCTTCTGCATGTTCGATACCGATGGTTCCGGCGCTATTGGGAACGAGGAACTAAAAGAAGCTATTATCAGCATTGGATTACAAGCCGACGACCAAGAGATCGATGCCTTAATACGCGAAGTTGATGAAGATGGGAACGGAGAAATCGACTTTGCAGAATTCTGCCACTGTATGAAGAAAAGTCAGAGTTTAGTTAAATCAACGAACGAAGAGTTGATCAAACAATGCTTTAATGTATTCGATCAGGATGGAAACGGAGTGATAACAGCTAATGAATTCATGGTACGTACTTAAAACACTTATAGAGCAGTGTCAGTTCCATATGACTATAGTGATGTTATCTTTAGTACATTGCCAAAGAAATCGGAGGATTCTCGGATGAACTAGCTGAATATGTGTTTCACGAGCTAGACGTCTCGGCAAACGGACACTTAAGTACTGATCAATTCGCTGCCATAGTAGAAGACTACCTATTAACGGACCAACGAAAGATATTCGATGAAGACAAGTAATATTACCTACGCCATATGCCTAACTAACTTCTCTTTACTCATCTTGAGTGTATCACATAAACAGTGTTTCTATTTTCACCCCATTAGCCGATTTAAGTAAAATAAGAATGACTTACTGATGTTGCACAAATCCTCGAACAGTTGGAGTCAGATAAACAGCGCCGCATAGGACGACAGTGACCACAAATTGGAAACTCAAGATGCCCAGAACCTTCCTTAAAAATCCTAAACAACAAAGTACGATAAATGAACAAGAACCTTACCCATTCGAATGTTTACATCAGTTAAGGCAACCGCTTCTTTTCCATCCCGAGGTTGGCTATTATTTCCCATCAAGAACTTAAGCCCAGCACCGGTTTCGGCCTGCGCATAAGTTGGAAGTCTACCTGTCTCCACATCACTGTCAGAATCAGATTCATTTAGCAATGGAACATTCTGCGCTGTGATACCGGCCATTCTAACCTAAACTTTCAATCAAAATTTTAATCGTGAGACAAAAATCTCCAATCTCTATAAACGAACGATTATTCTACTAAAATACATCTGCAAACAATCATGACACGATGACGTGACTCTTTCATGAAGAGAAACAACAAAAAATAAATAAGACTTAAAAATCAATAAAATCCTGGAAGATAATATCAAAAAACCTTCAATCGCGTTTCCTTCTGAAACCAAGGTATTAAAAAGGGCAGTTACTTTACTTTTAATTTACATGGCTTGCCGGCGTCGAAAAAAAAGATTGCTCGTTTTTTATTGGCTCTCATTATGCCAGAAATGTGTAGCATCAGTTGTTCTCGTGATAGGACGCAGTCATGAAGACGATGGGACTGTACCGTAAAGGGGAAATTTGAAAAGATCTTCCCGCGTTTGCTTTTTTAAATTTATTTTTTGCGGGAATCAGACTCGTTCGATTCGACAATGATGAAGATTTTAGACAATATATATTCCGGCATTTGCTTTTCCTTCAAAAATCCATTGATATTGAGCTTGAAACTGGAACAAATTGATTTTGACAAAACGCCAACATTTTCGGATATTCTTTTTTCCTTACTCTATTGTTTACAGACATGGATCAGAAGTCCTCAAATCCACCGGTTGTACAACGTGTTCAGACTGTTCCAGCCGAGCCTGGCTCCAGATATTATGTTGGGGGAAGGGTAAGATACCTTCTACAGCACCTCTAATTAGAATGTTAAACCTTCATAAGACAGCCATCCGATTTTTTAACGCTTATCGTTATAAAATTTGTAGCAAATTGCTGTTCCTCAACGTCGAATCGTCCCCACAACTCAAGTAATCACTCAACGACATCCCCAATTCCAACACGTCGTGGCTCCTCGACCCCAGTCTCGAATGTTTACTCCTCCACCCGTCTCAAATCCAGTAAAATACGTACAATCAACGGACCCGTCAAGAGCTAGGTATCCCCGGAATACCGATAAGAGCCGAGGTCTTCGGCATTTTAGTAGTCGAGTGTGTGAAAAGGTTAAAGAGAAAGTCCAGACTAATTACAATGAAGTAAGATTTATTTGTGATCCGGTTATTACAAGCTGTTTCCTATGGTGCTGACCTGACTCGTTTAGGTAGCAGATGAATTAGTTACCGAGTATTTCGAGTCCATGGCGTATCCTCCAACAAGTCATGAGAAGCAGATGTATGACTCAAAGAATATAAGACGGAGAGTGTACGATGCTCTGAATGTATTGATGGCCATGAATATCATTGAGAAGGAGAAGAAAGAAATTCGATGGGTGGGTTTACCGACTTCTTCAGTAGCAGAGAGACGACGTTTGGAAGACGAGAGAAATAAGAGGAAGGAGAGGATTAGACAAAAGACCGAGCAGATGAAGGAGTATATCATCCAGGTAGTTAATTGTTTTATGTGACTCTCTGTTTAGTTAGTAGCATACAAATCCTTGGTTAATCGAAATCGGGAAAACGAAAGGAAACTTGGGCGACCGTCAGAACAATCCATTTTATACTTGCCTTTCATCATCATAAATACGGAACGGAAGACTTATATTGATTGTGCAATCTCTCAAGACAAGTAAGAAAAGGATTTAAAGCAAAGTTATTCTTTAGAACTGAATACGCAATGACTTTCGATCGACCGTTTGAGATCCACGACGACATCGAAGTTCTGAAGAGACTGGGTTTGACTTACGGACTTGAGGCCGGAGCTGTTTCAGGAGAGAAGATCGAAGGAATTAAAGCTTGCCTGCCTCCTGCCCTAAGGGTGTACGTCGATTCAATCATTGAGGATAAAAACGATTGTAAGTTGAAAGATCCTTAAAATAATTCTGTCAGCTCTCGATAAAAGTTTGGAACAAGATGAGGAAGAAGAGCCGGAGGAATTGCAGCAGCCATTACCCGCACCATCTCAAAACACGGGTCCAAGTCCAGCTAAGATCCAAAGATACGTTGCAAGACCTGTCAAGGATTCGCCACAATCTTATGTCTCCGTCCAATCAACCATTCAAAGGCAGTCCGTAGTCAGCTCTAGATCTCCAACTATTCAAAGGAGTTATGTCCAACGACCTCTGACTTCAGTGTCATCTGTAAGTTAAAATAAATCCAAATCTGATTTGCTGTTGTGCATTGCAGAGATACGTTCAACCATCACAAAGTGCGTCCTTCCAGGCGGCCACAAGGACACATGGTCGGCAGGTATATGTTGTACAAAGTAGCCCCCAGAATCAGCGATATGTATACACACGACATCCAGTTAATTATGGATATGTAAGTGAAAGGTTTCTCCTGGTTTCATTTTCCTTATTTAGATACAACCGAGCTCTCAAGTGGTCTCGGAACCAGCAACCTTCCAAGAAGAAGAGTTCGACTTTGAGGAGAGTGAGGACGTCTACAATCAGCCACAATGAATATAACCTCCTTTTTTACGATCTTCATTCTTATCTTTTCTTATCAGAATTTACTTCGTTTGCCTTAGCTTCCTTACAACATCATTAAATTTACAGTTAGCTTTCCTGGTCGTATATTATCACATTTATTAAAGAGATTTAATAAGGGTTTAAATAGTTCAAGCTTTTCCATACATGGGTTCACATATTTAAGACTAAATAATATGTGCCGTTAAATGGAAACAGCGTTCTGAAGCATCCTCTCACTCGAGGGCTTCAAGCTTTCAAACTCTTCGGGATATTGGGCAGCCAGTGTTGTCCTTACACCCATAAGGATTTGGCCAAGGAGATTCTGGCCTTTCCATTTGGCCTGGTTTGCTACATCAGGGTCACTCATATTAAGTCCGACTCCCCATCGTCTATCTCTAGGTGCGGCTTCCACAAGGGTTGCATTCCCCGTCTTGAACAATTCCCGTCGTAGTTCTGTATTCTGGTCAAATTTGGCCATGACTCCTTTTCTCATTACCTAAAAGATACGAATAATAATAAAACAACCTACCTCGACAGATATGTCATCCCATTTTTTAGCGTCGAAGTTTCTGAAATCTGCGGTAATCCGCTTTGCTGTCTTTGGACAAGGCTCCTTCAAAATACTTTCCGCTGCTTCTTTGTCACCGTGAAATAGCGCCTTGTGATACATATAATAATGTTCTGAAGTTGGGAATTCGTGTCCTATAAAGTACTTCGATCACACCTCACACAATGTCACATACCCTCCAATTCAAACTTCTGTGGACATGGGAAATGATTGCTGAAGACATACTTGTTGGTGTAAAATGCCACAAAATAATCTCCGTCCTTATTCTTGTACACTGGAGGTGTTTCGAATTTTCCATTCGTGGCTTTTGCAGAGGAAGACCGTCGTAGCGATGAACTACTTATCGAGGGCGAGGTAAGCTTCTTGAATTTGGGAGATTCTTCATCAAAACGCCGTTTTTTGAACTAAAACTGATGAATATCATGTAAATTAAAAACTTCACCTCAAAAAAGAATGGACAACACATATAAAGACAGCTCATCTCAGCATGTCAGACCGTCTCTCAACTCATAATATTCAAAGTAGGAGCGTTGGATGCCTCAGATAACAATATCACAACGGGAGACCAACAAAAAACACACTTTTCCTTCAAAAATAATATTCAAAAGACGACTCGCTAATCCCAAAAGTCGGCTTAATCTCACCCAAAAAACAATCTGGACAAGCTGACGCAATAAACCGACGAACAAATAATAGTAATTGCCAAATTTAATGATAATTCTTTGGAATTTGATTTCTTACAAACCTTAAAGATACCGAAAGTAAGAAAAAATGAGAACGCCTTATTGACGTCATCATCGTCACTTCCCAACAAACCATGAATAAGGGGTCAAACATACCGTGGCCCAATCATCGTCGTTATCTGCTTTCCTCTTTTGGTAAGACTTGTCTTCTTCTTCTTCTCTTTCTTCTTCAAGATCATACACAATCGGTTTCCTCACATGTCGTCTAATTTTATCAGCTAAAGCTGCACTCCGAGTCCGTATTCCACTTATTTCAATGTCGTTTGACGACTCCCTAAAAATGATAAATAACCAAAGCAGTTTGAACTCACGTTTTAGCTTTGGATTCTAGGTCAACACTAGAAGAAGAAGGACTAAAACATCTTGATAAGATATAATGACACAGAATAAAAATTTGGCAAACACAATAATTTTACCTAGTATCGCATGAAATCCGTTTCCGGGTTGACATCGGGTTCACTTTAATATCTGGGCGCCGAGCTCTAAACGAGAGCGAACTAAAAAATAACCCTCTGACTCACCTGTTTGTCTTCGCGTCTATTTTCTCGTTCTGTTTGCATATTGTTTGAATGTACCCCTTCAAATTGATCATCGAGGAAAACACAGATAAAGGCCTAGTTACAAAAACAAACGATAAAATGCACAAGCTAAAACGTTTCGCTAAAAAACTTTGCAAGAAAATATAAAAATATTTTTATGGCGCAATAAATCGGCGAGCTGCGGCCCAGCTTTTATACAATTGCAAATTCAAAATTATATTATCAAGTTACGTCTGCAAACCAAGTTTTATCCATCCCAAATATCAAAGTCATGTCTAAATTACAGCTTTATTTATCTTTTCTGGTTTCCCTTCCCTCCATCTTCCTTCTTGGTTACCAACCAATGAGTCCAAATAAGTGCCTTTCGTACACTTTTGACAATATAAGGCGTGTGCGCTAGTAATTCGCACAACAACAGACAAAAAAACACGATTTCCTGTCTCGTTACTGTAGTTGCAAAATCTAACACATTGCGCAATTTCTCTCTCCGTAAAAAATTTCAGCCTTTCTCTGCCGCATACTCCTTTTTGTGATCTTTTCTGCGAGACAGGAAATCGTATTTTTTGCCTGTTATTCCGCGCAAATTACTAACACATACGTCTTATATCCTCAGAAATTTGAAAGTCTTGAAACAAATGATCAAATGCCTTTTGCACTTTCGCCAAACAATTACTGAAATCACGTTGCAATTTCCAAGGAATCGAATCGGATAAAGAGGACCCGACACAGGAAGGACTCCAAGTCATCGTATTCGGAGGACACTACTTTATTGTGGAACCGCCTAGATTTGAATGTGAAATCCCACTTATTGAATTTACGAAAAGTTTGGTTCGCTATGAAAGAATATCAGATTAGAAAAAATTGCGTGTCAACCCAGGGACATTGTGATGATGTAACTTGCTCGTTTCTAAAAAATCGGATTTTTTTTGATCGGCCGATTTCCGACCTGTGGCAATAAGCCAATGGCGCGGTCATCCCAAAATCAGACAGAAAGGGCATTACATAAGCTAATATAGTGTTGTTGTCATCTTTTCGTGATGACAGTTCAGAGCCCGAGACGTCTCGATTTGATTCCGTTCCCTTTTTTGAATATTGCTCTCTTTACTCTTTATGAGGCCAGCATCCCGCAGTTTCTCTTATCAAAACCAAAAAATACAGGAAAAGAGAGGGGAAAAGGTTGCCCTCAGGCGAAGAGAGGCGACAGATGTCTCATGGTGTTAATCGCTTCGATTTCCTTACCAGATTTGCGCAGTCGGTGGATCAGGTACCTCAATTTCATATAAATTGCAATAAATGTTTTCAAATTTAGTGCATCCGACCTTACAGTTTATTAGACATCCCAAGAGGATGGCAATGGAAGTTGTATTGGTTTAGTGTCCATATTCATGTCGCCCTCACCTCCATATTGATGGTTTTGGGGATTTCTTGTTTCTGTACGGGTGTCCAACAGTCTTTTTTATACGAAGAAATAAACTGTGGAGATGGGGTCAGCATAACGGCACCTATTGCCAACATTGTAAGTGGTGATTTCTTTCATTGAAACCTTTCAGTTTGTGGTTTATTACTCTCTTATGGCCGTAAAACAACAAAACAATTATTGGAGTGTGTTTGAACAGTTTGTGATTACAGTTGTCGTCTTTATATTAAACATCTTCTTCTTGATGGATCAGTTGTTTATGGGAATTCGGTGGAGTCGGACCACATCAAGAGATGACCAGAACTGGCCCTTGCATTTTATGGTGGTCGACTTCTTACTTGTGACTGTTCTCTCTGCAATTGGTGAGTTAATCTGCGTTATATTGATCTTCTGATACTTAGAGATAACCTGCGGCATTGTCATTGTATTGTACACATTATTGATTACAAATTGGGCGTCTTGGCAACAAAGAGCCCAAAGGAATATTGCCTTGGCCAATCAACGGAGGAGGTCGTAAAATTTTTTGTTCAATGTATTTATAAAGTATTTTAAGTGACTGGTAGTTTTTTTTTCTTGAGCTCAGTTAAGAATCGAGAGATCGGATGTGCTGGCAAATCCCTGTGACCATGTATAAAAGATGTCTACCCCAATTTAAAAAAAAAGTTATTAGTAGGCCCGCTCTTCTTTTCCCCTTATCGCGAGACGTCTGTATCAAAAACTAATTAGATTGAAAAAACAATAACAGACGTTATCCTGATTCTACGCGGTATCTTCTACATGAATCCGTATAAAACAATGTTTTGCACCAAATTCTGCAGACTTGATTATAAAAATTGATCTAATTCCTGGTCTTAATTCCCTGCTTCCGTCCCAGTTTGATTAAAGCATTCCTTGGCCGCCCATCTTAATCTTGTTGATCCACATCCGTCATTTCCTCTGTAGGAGGTGACAAGTTTTTGTATTCACGTATATTAAAATGCCAAGGCCCACCTTTGCTTTTTACAACAAATCTTGTACCAAGCCTGTAATACGGGGATTCTGTACGTGTCGGCCTTGGTTTCTTTGGAAGGATTATGTAATTTTAGAGTTATAACGGACGTCGACTGGCTGAGAAGGTCATGTGTTTAGTGTTCCGTAATGTTCTTATGGTTACGTCGTATGAATTAAACTTTGTAATCAGTAGAGTGCTTTTCTATTCACTCAAGGAAACCATAAACTTGAGGATTACATTGAATTGCGTTTATAATAGACATACATTCCTTTGATTGGCTTCGATGACGGAGGAAATGCTTCCCAAAAAACCATCTCCTTAACTTGAAACGAGGACACAAATTAAACTCAGCAGATTTTTTAATTAAAATGAGGCAAACATATCTAACAGCAGCCTTATTCTAGCCTCAAATATGACTGGAGTAATCTCTGGGACAGTGGATTCGGTCGGTGATTCAGTTTGTGTCATTTATTTTGAGACGGTATCACTTTAGAGCGCCTCTCCGTATCTTACAGTTATCATTGCAAATCTCGTTAGGCAATAAGCATTACTTTGAATGGCAAAAAATACGTGAATAACAATCAAAAAGTTCCTTGGTCCACTTAATGGACCCAATGTAATCTTTAATTCAATCTTCTGAACTCGCGGAATTTCACGTATTGCCGAAGGGCATGTTCCGCTGTTCCTGTACTCCGAGACGTTTCTTGAGCCTTTTTTTACAGTTACTTGGGGGTTCTGAGTAAGTTTAACATTTGTTTTGGGGTTATTATTTTTTGTTTATTAAGATTTATTTCTATTTTTGAACGAATGATAATTTACAAAATTAATTAATGCAATTTTTTGTACGTCTCGAGTAGAAGAAAGGCGAAAGTAGCAAAGCCCTTTTGATCATGCCAGGTTTGCAACTATGATCTCTTGTTGGGTACTAGCCAATAATGTAGGTATTTTTCGGGTCTTCCGTACTGTGGGTTACTGTCACTCAATTATATATAATGTTGTAGCCACTAATAAATGGCTTACACCTATATCAGCAAAATTTCTGGTTTTTTCACCATACCGAAGTACGGGGTGGTTCCGCCGGTGCTTTCAACCTTATTTCAAGCAATGCACCAATTTCTATTAAATTTACTGAATTGTCCACCCGAAACTATCAACCTCATTTCAGGTATTTCTCTCCAATTTCAATAAGATTTATATCAAATTGAAGTGAGACACCCCATTTCTTGTAAACCAAGTATGATATGTCTACGTTCACGGATGCAGCCGTACTGACTGTTGACATGTCGGTTCCGAAGTTTGGAGCCCGAAATCGGTGAAACAGAATTTTTTTGCAATGATTTTCAATTGAGTTTCTCGGACTCAAACAATTTCTAGAAAAAATTTCGCTGAAAAAATTAAAAAATTAATGTTTACGTCCGTACAAAGTGCGTTAAAGGCATATTTCTGCTACGCGAGGTACCAAGTCTGACGAAAGAGAACGAAAGCTGTTGTCTCGGGCAAACTAGGCCTCAAAACTTGCTGTGCATCTTCGGGGTGGATGTCTTCATGCAAGTAGACAGTCTTGCCCATCTGTTCGAATTTTTAAAGAGTTCGGTTAACTAAGCCAGTTACCCAGAAAAAGCCTTGAAGAATAATTATGACTATTCCGTTGACCGTCGTCACTTTTTTCTGCTGCTTATAAGAGTTTCATTCAGCCAAGGCTCAAAAATTTTCCAAGCCCGAGGAACTCAATCGGAAAACATTGAAAAAATTTTCTAGTTTCACCGATTCCGAGCACCAAAAATTGGAATGAAAATGTCAAAGATCAGTGTGCCTCCATGGACGTAGACCAGCCATATTTGGTGAACAAGAAATGGAGTGTATCAGCTTTCGATGATATTAATTTGAGACAGATTGGTGCATTATTTCACCCGAAACGAAGTTGGTGGTTTCGAGTGGCCCACCCTGTAATGTAAATGTATTTTTTGTTTACTGCAGGATATATGTTATTTTTGGGAACGCCAAGCTGCTTTATCTTTTTATTTTGATCCTCTCTGCATAATTGGGTGTAATATCTGTCTGTGGGAGGAACCATTACTGTACACACTGATTTACGGTGTATAAAAAATTGAGATCATGCTTACATTAAGTTTGAGGGATTAGACAACGCGGATTAAAATGTAAAAACAGAAGTATACAGTGGCGGTCAAAAAAAACGGCCACCCCAAGATGATGCGCTCTAACGCAGAAGAGAGTGGTCGTAGGAAAGTAAATATGGTATCATTGTAAAGCTTATGGAATACTAAGACGTGTGACTATACGCTTGTGGTACTGTAGTGCTGGCCTAGCACGTACTGGAGCAAGATGTTGTTTTGGCCTGGTCAAAAAAAATGGCCACCCATAATTATTTTGCTTTAAACGCGGTGTATGTTAGAAATTGCCGCAATATGGGACTGGACTAGGATAGCTATATCAATACGCACCAATTCCAGTATTTCTTACTTTGCACATATGCCCTCAGGCATCAGTCAAGGTTGATGACTTTGTTCATGGTTAAGGCCCGGCAAAAATTTTTCTTTGGGTTTGTGCCGTTGTTTTGATAATCCGAAGCAATACTGTAGACGGTATTGATCGTATTCGTGTGTAAAACTGCCCACTTTTGCCAAAATTGCACCTCTTTTGATAAAAAAAACTCAAAAAATGAAATTTTTTGACCTAATTTTCTCCAAAAATCCGTTTTGGAGGCCGCCAAACGATGAATGTAGAACCTTAAACAGTTTTTATTTGTACAAGAACATCATGGACATTTGTTTTAACACGGCACCGGTTAAAGGAAATGACCGTCCGAAATGACAGATACCGTTTTGTTACAGTTTTCGACTTCAGGAAATAGTCATAAACTTTCTCAAGGTCTGCAACCCGAATTTTTACTTTAGAGGCTCATATTTATCTTTAAATGATTAAGTGGTATCTCAACTACGCCACAAATGCGATACTATATTCTAATTTCTATTCAACGAGGTTTCGGAACCGGACAAAATTCATGATTACTTCCTGAAGTCGAAAACTGTAACAAAACGGTATCTGTCGTTTCGGACGGTCGTTTCCTTTAACCGGTGCCGTGTTAAAACAAATGTCCATGATGTTCTTGTACAAATAAAAACTGTTTGGATAATTGTTAAGCCGTCCCCAAATTTATACCATTCTGTCCCCAAACTTCCCCATTCTGTCCCCAACGACCTGTCCCCAAATAGGAGTTCGGAATCTGTCCCCAAAATATTCCGAATATGTCCCCAAACACAAAAATTAGTGTAGGGTCCATGTTTCGGGGTAGTAATAACACTTCGGGCTAAAAAATTTGAAAATTCAAATTGGTGATTACGTAATAAGCAAAAGTTCAAAACTTTTGGGTAAAAATCGGATATAGGGGTAATCGAGGATGCTGATTTTGAAAATGATATTCATTTTTCATGATTTTAACTTTTTTCTTAAGTAGTAGTGTAAAGTAGTAATTTTTGAAAATTTTAGATGAGATGTCGAGTTATAGGTAATCGAGGATGCTGATTTTGAAAATGATATTCATTTTTCAGGATTTTAACTTTTTTCTTAAGTAGTAGTGTAAAGTAGTAATTTTTGAGATTTTTTGAATTGGTTGGTTTTGGGTGCTGATTTCAGAATAAGATTCCTGATGAGTTGTGCTGTAAAGTTGTGATTTCTTTGTTTTTATTTTATTTTTTTGATGAATAGTTAGTTAAGGGCAAGGCATGTGTTATTGTTGATTCAAAAACTGTGTTCATCTTCTGTAGTTTTTATTCACCTCCAATCTGTTGGCAGAAGAATTTTTGCTCAGAATTTTCTGTCAAACCTGGCATGGCGGCAGGCTATCCCAAGCCAAACAATTTTATAGCAGAAAAATTTCTGTCAAGCCCCGCCCATTTTGGCGCGCTCGACGAAGAGCAGAAGCAATGCCGTTAATGACTCGAAGTAATAATCGCATGAAAAACAATCCTGTTGGATAATTGTTCAGTCTAGAATTTATCACAATAAAAATTTAAAATATTTTACAAATATTTTCAACTCCTTAAGGTCCGTGTGATATCACCTAAAACAATATCTGCCTAATTGCAATAAATCGATAGAGAGAACGTTGAAACAGCAAATAACTTACGTAAATTTAACCTATTCTTGTACGGACAACGCCACAAAATAGTACGGTTGTTTTTTTTTATGACAAAAAATTTTTAAAATATAACTATGTTGTCTAAAGAGAAGTATTTTTAAATTTCAAAAAGTTTTTTTGCTAATTTAAGTTCTTTGAGCAACATCGTGTTATTATCTAACAGGATTGTTTTTCATGTGATTATTACTTCGAGTCATCAACGGCATTGGTTCTGCTCTTCATCGAGCGCGCCAAAATGGGCGGAGTTTGACAGAAATTTTTCTGCTATAAAATTGTTTGGCTTGGGATAGCCTGCCGCCATGCCAGGTTTGACATCTTCTGCCAACAGATTGGAGGTGAATAAAAACTACAGAAGATGAACACAGTTTTTGAATCAACAATAACACATGCCTTGCCCTTAACTAACTATTCATCAAAAAAATAAAATAAAAACAAAGAAATCACAACTTTACAGCACAACTCATCAGGAATCTTATTCTGGAATCAGCACCCAAAACCAACCAATTCAAAAAATCTCAAAAATTACTACTTTACACTACTACTTAAGAAAAAAGTTAAAATCCTGAAAAATGAATATCATTTTCAAAATCAGCATCCTCGATTACCTATAACTCGACATCTCATCTAAAATTTTCAAAAATTACTACTTTACACTACTACTTAAGAAAAAAGTTAAAATCATGAAAAATGAATATCATTTTCAAAATCAGCATCCTCGATTACCCCTATATCCGATTTTTACCCAAAAGTTTTGAACTTTTGCTTATTACGTAATCACCAATTTGAATTTTCAAATTTTTTAGCCCGAAGTGTTATTACTACCCCGAAACATGGACCCTACACTAATTTTTGTGTTTGGGGACATATTCGGAATATTTTGGGGACAGATTCCGAACTCCTATTTGGGGACAGGTCGTTGGGGACAGAATGGGGAAATTTGGGGACAGAATGGTATAAATTTGGGGACAGCCATTGCGTTGTCCAAACTGTTTAAGGTTCTACATTCATCGTTTGGCGGCCTCCAAAACGGATTTTTGGAGAAAATTAGGTCAAAAAATTTCATTTTTTGAGTTTTTTTATCAAAAAAGGCGCAATTTTGGCAAAAGTGGGCAGTCTTACACACGAATACGATCAATACCGTCTACAGTATTGCTTCGGATTATCAAAACAACGGCACAAACCCAAAGAAAAATTTTTGCCGGGCCTTAACCATGAACAAAGTCATCAACCTTGACTGATGCCTGAGGGCATATGTGCAAAGTAAGAAATACTGGAATTGGTGCGTATTGATATAGCTATCCTAGTCCAGTCCCATATTGCGGCAATTTCTAACATACACCGCGTTTAAAGCAAAATAATTATGGGTGGCCATTTTTTTTGACCAGGCCAAAACAACATCTTGCTCCAGTACGTGCTAGGCCAGCACTACAGTACCACAAGCGTATAGTCACACGTCTTAGTATTCCATAAGCTTTACAATGATACCATATTTATCTTTCTACGACCACTCTCTTCTGCGTTAGAGCGCATCATCTTGGGGTGGCCGTTTTTTTTGACCGCCACTGTAAATTACACACATTTACACTTGGATTTGATATACCCGGAGATGTCGCGGGCTCAGATCCTGGTAAAATACTTTCCACGGAGCCCCTGCGGGGATTAAAGACCAAGGCCTAAACATGTACATAAATACACGTATCCTTTCGGTTTTCTTATATCCGGATATATGAAATCCACAGGGATTTTTGGCCAAAAACTGTAAATGCCGTCGTACCTTGACACGGATTAAGTGACTTGTTCCTTCATATTTTCGTGAAGTAGATTTCGAGATCAGATGTTTGTATTGTACACGTTTCGTATGTTCGTTTCTTTCAATTCTTTTTTAAATCTTTTCCTTTGCCCCCAATAAATCGTTGTAAAATCCCCCGAATATATGTCGTTGCGATCATCCTAAATGCTCGTTTTGCATTGCTTGTAAGGCGCTTACAAAGTACATGTAAAAGATGCTTAAAAAGTAATTTTCTTTTTTTCAGAAAATGGCCCAAAAGGGTGGGACTGGCCAATTAATACCGATAGATGAGGAATTCCATCTTGTCTTGTACAAGAAAGTAAGTCCACTTTTTTATTAATTAGCCTTTTCCCATTTCTTTTGACATCTCGAGGTCCAAAAAAAAGTTTTTTATCCCCATTGTAATTGTGATCAAGTGATGCATATTACACGTGCCCTACAGGGTGTTCGAGCTCCATGTAATTGTATTTGTGATGTCTTGGAAATGTGTAATTGTCTGTTTTTCGGTAATTCGATTTGTTCCGAGAACGGGATATTCTTTTTCTTTCATCCAGACAATAAATTTCCCGGGTTTCTTGTACGATGCAACAAAAAGCTCGTCTAGAAGTTTCGGGGTGTCTACTGCTGAGTAATCTTGGGCGGTAAGACCTTTTAATTACCATTTTAATTAACCACCAGGGGGTTATCTCCGTTCAGGAGTATGACCGGAAAGATGACCCCAAAAGAACGTGCTCTTCTGTTCCTCTTGTGCAATGGCTGGCTCCCTATTTTGTCTGGCCAATTTTTGCTGGTTTCCCTCAATTATACATGTCCCGCATCAACAGCTCTGTACTTTCATGGTCGCTGTCATTTTATTTGTAAATATTATTTTTTGGGTGAAAAGTTGGCCCCTCTTTGGCCGAAGAAGAGGTCTACAGAAGCCTAATTAATTTAGAATTAACTCAATAATAAACGCGCCCCGAGGGTAAACAACACTGCAGATGATACGGTTCCTGCCATCATCCTCTCAGGGCATTAGTAATCATTTATTTTTTATTTATTTGACCTTACTGTAATTATAACGGGGTGAACTCTTAAACGGCCTGAGGCGCATGGTCTTCGATCCCCAGAAATTTAACGAGATCATAAGAAGTGTATCTTGACTTCTCATTTGCTGTTTGTTTCCCAATTTACATTTGTAAATTACAACGAATTCTCAGAGATTCGGCACGTTTTGCTGCAAGAACCGAGGTACTTCCCCGAATTGCTGCGTATATTTTAAGCAGACTGTCTGATTTTATGCAGAATTAGAGACAAGAGTGCAAAATTAATGCCAGGCTGAGCGAGGGATGCGAAGAATGAAGTCCCTGATGCCTCCAAAGACCTTTAATCAAGATTATTTGCCTGGCTGTCTGTTTTTTACGTTCCTTTTCCTTCGGTTTAATTATTGTAATCTTTTTTGGTACTTTGGGAAAACAAAATAATTACTGTTTATTATTTTGCTATGCTTTTCACAGTCATTTTGTTGACTCATTTCAAGTATTATCTTGAATGCCATTTGAGTATTTATAAATTAAAGTTACGTCCCCCACATTCCAGATGTTCTCTTCAGCTTTCTAAGTGCATTTACAGAAATTTACGGTAAAAAAATGATGTCATTTGCAACATCGCCTGACCTCAAAGTCGGATCTTTTTTATTTTTTTTTTTCATTGAATTATTAAAAAGTTGGAGGTTGCCAAATAATTTTTGCCGAAAGTCCGTATTAGGTATCAAAGTGCAGTCTGGGTCCCTGGAATTGGCCGTGTTCTGATTACGTCGACCGTAGATCCTTTGTGGCCATATACATAATGGGAGGGAGGGATTACAGAAAATGTTATCTCGCAATTCTTTGTGTTTCTGTTCTCCTCTTTCAAGCAGAAGAGGGATGGATAACTTGTTCTAGATTTGTTTTTGTCAAATATGGAGAGAAGATGACGCCTTTGATGTTTTTAAGCTCATCTCCGAGGTGTTTGGCCATCCCATCTTATTGTGCCAAAACATTTTTTAATTGGTCGCCTGCCTGTTTTCATAGGCTTGTATATTGAAAATAATCCATCTTCTGATTGAATTATAGTTTATTTCGATTAAAATAATGTAATGGCTACTGACTGTCGGTCTGATCTATTAATAGAAGATGTCCATGACATCTTTAACCAAGAACGATAGGGTTTTAAATAATAATTTGTGTATCCAATTTGATTGGGACATGCTTAGGCACGATCCCATTGTCCCGAATCTTATATTTAATATAGCTCATACACCAATGCCATCGTTTCCTTAGTTTTCCGAAGTACTTGCAATATTTACATCCCTAAGGCGATGTTCTTTATCGGCAATTCCCGAAATAATTTTTTTTTATAAATTCAGAGGGTGTAATTTGTTTAATCTAACGGTTTTGATGTTGTCTCGGTCCGTTGCCTATTAGTGTCTGGTATTAGAATATTTTACGTACAGTTAGTCTGTTACATGTCACAGTGTTATAGACTGTGAGAGAAGTCAGTAGAGGGTTCTCCTGAAGTTGATATATCCAAGTATCTAACAACTTTAAGCTGATTAGTTTAAATATCTTTTGCGTACGTCGATCTGCTATTATTATAAATGACTTTAATGACATTTCCCCCCACCTTCAGCGCCATTCTATCCAATGTCATGTGAAATCTTGTTCTCGGAACCCGTAACGTTCTACTGGAATTGCCCAACTTTACCTGTTGCACTTATTCGATTACTCCAAACCCATTAGGCCGGCTTTCCAGTCACGAAACTTTTATTTAATAAGCGCCCTGGCTGTTTGTTTCTTTCTATATGCAATGCTTGAGAAACATGTTGCTATGTATTACTGTTTTCAGCTACTCCAAACACGGTCGGAGAGCATGAACGCGACTTCTGAGGATCTGTTGATTGACCCGTTGATCCTCAATGAATCCCAGCCCGAGTTGCGGGCAATGATTGCCCATCAAGCAACCACTTGTCTGTTCACAATCTTCGGGAATATGTTGATGATTTTTGTGATATTGCGCAATAACAGAGTGATGAGGAAGAAAAGGATCACTCCTGTCCAGATGTTAATGTTGCACATGTGTTCGAGTGATCTTCTATTCGCTCTTTTAACCATCTTCCCGACCATGATTATGACAATTACTGTCCCAAACTTTTATGGCCCTGATTTCCTGTGTAAATTTGTCAAATGTCTACAGGTTTGTTTCTTCGAAAATGTTCTTTAATGAATTTTAAAATTATAAATTTTTTTTGTTATTTTAGGTTCTTCCAATGTACTCAAGTTCTTTCATGTTGGTGGCCATCAGTGCTGACAGATATTACGTAAGCATTTGGCAATTACAATATTTCCTTGGCATATGTATCTACCTAACTTTCAAATAATTTTCCAGGCGATTTGCCGTCCTCTGGCCAATATTCGATCCGGTCGATATAATCGTCCTGCCTTGTATGCAGCCATCGCCTGGTGTTCGGCATTGTTATTCTCGACTCCCCAATTTCTGATATTCGGGAAGAACGAATACAATGACTGTGTGGGGCTCTACACGGAGACCTGGCAATACCCGGCCTATGTGATCTGCTTCAATGTGGTGGTTTGGCTGATTCCCACCACGATTGCCGGTTGTTTGTATACGTGTGTGTGCCGGGCTGTCTGGAAGTCTATGGCCTTCGAGAAACGACCCAGTAATGCGGGATACGACCAAAAATCAAGGTATGTTGGTAATCCAATTCCCTTCAATTAAGTTCCAGTATTCGGATGAAATACAAAAAACACAAACTGTTCCACGCCGACGAACATTTACAACTCCAGACAACCAAATTACTTGAGCAAGAGGACCATACCCGGAGGGCCTCCCGACATAGCACAACTCTTGTGCATCACTCCGGATTAAGGATACAGCGTGAGGAGTTGGACAGGAAGAGGGTGCAGACCGTCAAGCTTACTCTTACAATTGTGGCCGCCAACTTCATTCTTTGGGCCCCTTTTAATATCATCAGTGTGATCGATGCATTGACCCCCACTTTCTTGAGTAAGCCGAAAACATCACTTTTCAGACAATCCAAAAAGTTATGCTTGATGCAATCAAATAGCAATACTTATCTATATTTACGTTTTCCAGGTCCAGTCTTTGCCACTTACATTATGTTCTTCGGCAATCTAAACAGCTCTGTTAATCCCTGGATTTGGTTTTTCTTCAACCGAGACATGGTGAAGATCGCATTGTCGCCGTTCTTCGAAGAAAGGTCAGTTCAACAGGGAAGATCCCCTTCTCCCCAGCTGTTGACCACCTTCCATCAATCCAGAAGTCGGTCCAATTCGGCCAACAATCTCCCAAGACCTTTGAGTTGTCCGCCGAATCCCTGAAATCTGACTTCTGGAGTTGTCTGGAGTGCTTGTTGTCCCACATTCCATGCCTATTATCTTTGTATGCAATTTGGCTTCACTTTCACTAATCCATGACACTTGTTGTTTCTGTAGTTGTACTGCCACGTTTGATTGTTGCTTACTGTAAAGTTGTTGCACCAAGGAACTGAGAAGAAAAAAGTGGTTAAGAAAGTTATTTTAGAAAACTAAAGGGTAAGATACCATCCAATTCGCTCTCCGAACCCTCAGAAAACCAGACAATGCCGGTCAAGAAGAACGGGGAAATGTTCTCCCATGCTTCCACTGTGACTGCTTGCAAGTGATGGCAATTGCCGTTGAAGACGTTTAGGATGACAAAACCAACCCTAATTGCTATTGTCTCATGTTATTTATTTAATATATTCATTTCCGCCTTGTAAACACCGATAAAAATAAGGGGTTGAAATGATTCTGAATTATGATTACTAGATTGAAATAATGAGTTTATTTCTGTATTGGATAACAACAAACAATCGAGGATTACATAGGAACGTGCGAAAACAAGTACGAGACTGATTCTCCGTTGTGCGTTCGTCTTATGGACTCGGCCAGAATCATTGAAATGTCGATGCATTGGATCTTGGGACATCGTTTGATGTTCTCCTCTTGAGGAATCGTGTTGGTGACCACGACGGCCTCGAAACACGACCTATTCAGACGATCCAAAGCAGGCCCTGAGAACACTCCATGGACACAAACCTGAAAAAATAAAATCATCATACATACAGCAATATAAACAAACGACATACAGCATAAACTTTCTGTGCCCCAGCTTCGATCAATTTATCCCCAGCCAGGCAGATTGTGCCACAAGTATCAGCCATGTCATCCACCAGGATCGCGACTCTGTCCTTCACGTTCCCCACCAAGGTCATATTCTCCACTTCATTGGCTCTCTTCCTCTCTTTATGGATCAACGCAAAGTCCACATTCAATCGATCTGCAATCGAGGTAACCCTCTTGGCTCCTCCAGCATCTGGAGAGACAATGACGGCTTGACCGTAATCAGGGATATGCTCCTTGATATACTTAAGGATGGCCGGTTCGGCATATAAATTGTCCACGGGGATGTCGAAGAAACCCTTCAAATTATATAAGACTATTATTTCCAGAAGATACAGTATACCTAAAGCAGAAAACTAGAAGCAAAGAAAAGTACCTGGATTTGAGAAGCATGGAGATCCATAGTGATAATGTGATCCGCTCCGGCCACACTCAGCATGTTTGCCACAAGCTTGGCCGAGATGGGAGCTCTGCTCTTGTCCTTCTTATCTTGTCGGGCATAAGGAAAACAAGGGATAACAGCGGCTACACGAGAAGCAGACGCAATCTTACAGGCATTGATCATAATCAGCATCTCCATCAGATGATCGTTCACCTCACCAGATCCACTTTGAATAATGTAGACGTCTTCCCCGCGGACTGATTCCCCGATCTCAACGTTCGTTTCTTTGTTCGAGAACTTCTTCAGAGAGGCCTTGGAGACATCCAATTGAAGACGTTCGCAGATTCTAGAGGTAAGGTCCTTGTGGGAACTACCACTGAACACTTTGATGTTAGGCATCACTGGAGATGTAGCCAAAGAAGTTAGGTCCAAACTGGAAACGATAAAATAAGTATGACAAGCGTCGCGCTTGAATTACACATGACCCAACAACGAGGGTAAGTTTACACTTCTCTCGGTCGTAAACTTAAAAAGGAAAACTCACTCGGAGAACGTGGTGATCTCAGAGAATTGGCGCTAAACCAAGATAAAAGCAGGAGTCAGTCTGAAAAAAGAAAGCGTTAGGGTCTCCCCGCAACATTTTTATAGGCACTGAAAGAAAACAAATTTCGGGCCAGCAATCTCTCATCTGATGCGCGCATTAAAACGTCGGGGGAAAAAATTATCTGGAGTTTACAATGGGGAACTCTGCACCTTTATGTACAGTAAACTATAATAGGTTACCAGTTTGTAAAAAATTAGGGGAAAATACTTTTCAAAGTATGCAATGCTATTTTAGATGGCTCAGGGACAACAATTATTAAATAATTCTATAAAATACGAATAACGCTATTTTTAGTCATCGTCTGCAAAAAATTTCTAAAAAAATCTTATGGGCTCTGGCTGGGACAATAAAAGGGGCCAGTTTTTGTATTTTTAATCCTTTTTGAAAGGCGAGAAAATATTGTAGAATAGAAACAATCTTACTCTGCACGCACGATTCAACAATAAATATTTATTTATGTTTCTTATTCTTGAAATATTCCTGCAGAATATTATTTATCTGAAGTCGAGTGTCCGTTCTGGCCAAACGTTTCAAGGAGATCTCGTCCATTTCCTTTGTTCTCCTTCTCTCGGCCGTTGACAACAAAAAATCTGGCGAATAATTAGCCCGCAGAGCATTAGTCCAATCACCTCCATTAAAGAAGACGTCGGTTACGATGTTGTGAAAGACGGGGAATGACACCTTGGACGGAGATCCCTCATGAAGTCTGAAAATAGATTCCAAAACTATGATTCTTACTTGAAACACTCCTTGAAAGGCAGGTGGGCACTGACGAGATTACTCGATTTGGCATAGAGATCACATGTTTTGTCATCATTGCTGATGGGAAGGATAACACCCGCATAATTTAAGGGTCCTCGAAGAGCATTTACTGCATGTTTTGTCACATAAATCATATCACCACAATTGTGGTAAGGGTTGTACTGATGTAATTTGGGGAGATTAAGACATCCCTTAAATCTACGAAAAATTTTTGATAAAAACTTTCTGAGATCATCATTCTCCATATTGCAGTTGATCATTTCGACGGGGAAACAGAGACGAGGACATCCATAATTGGCCTAAAATACATCAATTACAGTACTTCCCACTTGCTTCTAGTAATTCTCGTGTTTTATAAGTGAATTTGTCAAAGTTGTTGTAGCTGAGTCGTGGAAGATATTGCAGATCCAATATCAATTTCGGTGGTTGGAGAAGTTTAGAGTCCCATTGTCGCCTCAGTGAGCTCATGAAATAATCTATAACTTAATCTAGGCGCTCATCGATTCTTACTTTTCTCATCAAATACACCAATACCGTACCCATGTTCACCTTTTTCGTTTTTAGCCTGAATTTTTTTTTACGTAAGAGGTGCGGATGAATTACCATTTCACGAGCTTTTTCATGTTGTAAAGACACATTTTTCGCATTTCTGAGATTAAATCCGTCCTTTATATACAAAAAATCCCAAAATTTGAGTCGCTCCATGGTGGTCTTCATCTCAAGCATTCTGTAAACTGACAATAACTCTCTAACCAAATGATGCGTTCGCTCGATTCCTCCATTCTTACCGTGCCCAATCATTCTTCGTAAAGGTCCTCTGTTCGTGTTGAGTATAGTAGATGTAAAGCTGAAGATAAGGCATTCTTACTGTAGTTTTATTTACCTTATACTCTTCGTTTACGCGGTAAATTAAGCGTTTTTTGTGTGGGAATTGCCTCCAGATGTTCATGTCTTATCTAAACGACGATCTTTATTGTCTGAGTGAATGGATAACTTCTTCTAATTATTTATGTTTTCAATTGGATACAGAGAGTAGAAGAAAAGTCCGTAATTCGAATAATTCAATAAATTCATTGGCCAATCTGTTCGGATGCAAAGGAATGTAGCTCGTGGCCCACTTTTTTGAGGAAACGACGCCGTTTAAGTCAAAGAAAAAAGAAGAACAGAGAGAGAACAGGGAGAATGCAGAGACGACAGAGAAATCGCGGCGCCGGGGTCTGATCGGAAGAAGGAAAACCAGCGAAAAAAGACAAGAATTTGGTTTTGACATGAATCTGGAGATGGAGCTGATGTTATGAATAAGATGGAGAAGGGTTCCCGGATGGGCGAAGGCCAGCTGCTCCAGCATCTTCTTCAGGAAGCCGCCTCCATCCCTCAGGGCCTGGATCAAGATTCAGAGCAAGGTAAGGCTGGGGAAATCAGAGCTGATCTTATCTCTGCAGATCACGAGGACTTCTCAACCGACCATCAACTCCAGAGTATGATAGAAAACTATCAAAATCATGTTCTCAAGCAGAATCAAGGGCCAATTGTCGGTCGTGCCGGCAATTCCCATTATCATAATTCCCGGGCAGGAAGCAGTGAAGGGCCAGCCAAACATAGGTGAGACGTTAGGACAGGATAAAACTTTGCTTTTAAGGATATTTAAGCCGAACAACCCGCCAATCCCAACCATCAGTCATTCACAGCCATGTTTGTTTGTGACAGACCATCAAACTGAGTAAGTCCCCAGTTAAGTTATATTTACTGTTGTGTTAAGTGATTCGGTTGGAAGTCAGTACGCATCCTCGGATCCTAGAGAAGCCAACGATAACAAAAACGATGTAGATGCCCTGAAGACAGAAAACGCATTTTTGAAACAACAAATTGAGAGTCTCAAAAAGAAGAATGCCGCGTTTAAGAAGCTTGAAATGGCATACGAACGAATCGAAAATGAGTTCAATCAAATGGTTTCAAGACGGGATAAACAAGAAAAATTAGAGCAGACAGTGAGAGGAAAAATGGAGCAAACAATACAACGATTGGCAAATGAAAACGAACTCCTCCAAAGACAATTGGAAAAGCTGAATTTAATTGTGGCCCAACATCATCAAGTAGATCCTCAACACGCGACCTCAATGAATGATTTGATTGCGCAATGTAAGCCTTCAATATAATAATGAGAATATTAGAAAATTTAGATAAAGAACTCATGGAGATCAAGACTCGTCAACAAATTGAGATCGACGCTCAGAATGCAACGCTCATCGAACAACGAAATCATATTGAGATGCTCGAAAAGGCTTTGAAGAACGCTCAAGAAAGGCTCAGGGATCGAGAGCGAGCTGCAGTGGATGCTGTGGCACTCGTGGACAAGTGTACTCATCAGCAGAAGCTACTACAGGAAGCTTTGGATGATAAACAAAAACTCCAAGATGAGCATAACAAACAGCAAATTCAACTTGAGATGGAACTAACACAGCTAAAAATGCAGTTAGCCAAGGAGAATGGAGGGCCAAGAAAACCTGTCAGAGTGGGCGATGGAGATGTCATGGTAGTAGTGCAACAAAAAGAAGATCGAATAACACAGCTAGAGCAAAACTTAACTGATCTCCAGAAGCGTTATACAGAAACACTTCACAAAAATGAATCAAGGAGCGATACAAACGAACTGATCGAGAAAATAAAAATATTGGAAAAAGAGAAGATGGAAAGGGAAAAAAAAATTCAGAATTTGATGGATGAGAAACAAAGAATTCATGGACAATGGGCAGATGAGAGAAGATCGCTCGACCACAGAGTCAGAAACTTGGAGCAAGACCTCAGACATATTAAAGGAGGAGCCCCTTTTGCAGGATACAATGGATTCTGCTCGGATAGTGACAATTCATACAGTAGTTTCCGACAACAATCAAGCTACAGTAATGGAGGATCTATCTTAATGAAGCAGAAAATGAATGCAGACAGTGTAATCTCTAAAGTTGATGATCTAAAGATTAAGGCAAGCGAAAACAGACGGAACCCTCCCCAATTTAACGGCCGAGCCAGCAAAACAAGGTAAGAACAAGTTGAGCACATTGTACACACTGTTACAGCAAACCTGTCACACACTCGCGAAGCGCTTCTTCCGAACATCACCGTCATTCTTCTGCATCCTCGGACGGTCATCCCATGATTACAAACACCATTTCATTAATCAACCCAATTGTTAATCACGGCTCTGGAGCCTCATCTTCGGCAGATTCAACTACAAATTCCTTAGAATCTAATAACCCCAACCTGCCATCTCCCTCTCAGTACAGCCCCACCGGCACATCAAACCGTTTAGCGTCCAAAATGCCGAGTAATTACATCGAAAGTCTACCAATTAACACTCGTCGACGGATCGGACATTATGTGGACCAGATAAAAGTATCGAAACGAACGGCAATTGCACTTGGAACAACAGGTTACCGAAGACCAGCATGGAATACGAGTTCAGAGGAGAAGAGAAGTATAGACGAATCAGACGAAGCAGCGAATGAGAAGGGGAATTTGAAGACCGTCGTCGAAATTAACAGTCAAAACGGGAAGAACACCAACAGGGACACAGACATTTAAATCAGAGATTCTTCGTTATGTATAAAGTTAAAACGGAGTTAACTAATTTCTATCATAAACTTTTACGTTCATTGTTCATTTTTTATTATGACTTCAGAAGTTTTGTTTCTTATCAAATCCAGTCCTACCGTGCAGCTAAGTATCCCTAATCGTGAATGTAAATCATGACTAAACAAACGAAGCAAAACTCACAATAAATGTCATCTGCTCGTAAAAAAGTATTCTTTTTGATGGGCAATTTAAATATCCTTCAGCACTAACCAAGAATTTTCCAAAAATGTTAGGCCCAAAGCTTGACCGCAGGCCTAACCTCCCGATGTTATTCACATGAATTTGTATACTTGGAGAACGACCAAAACAAAAATAATGAGCTTGGTGTTTAGTTATAGACAGCCAGATTTATATGCTTAGATTGCCATAATTACAATGAAAATAAGATAACTTAGTAGGCCTTTAGGTTAAATTCGAAGGTGGCAGGGGGCTGGGCTTCAGAGTTGCTGGAGGAAGAGCCGTCTGAAGTAGACCCTCCGGCGGCGGACAATTCCACAATTTCTTCTTTTTCAGTTGGTCTCAGATCTCGGAGAAGAATGATTCCACCATTGGAAAGGGCTTTCAAGGGCTGATAACGGGAATTTTCAGCTAAGGCCAAAGTCTTCAGTTGAGGGCGTATCACTCTACTGGGGTTTGTGAGGTGAAAGAAGTTGGGTTCAGGCTCCTTCCTGCAAGAAAACAATAAAATTCTTAATAACTTTGAGCAGCTTTAGAGACCCCATCCACTCTACATTCGAAGTGCGTGTTAGTACGAATAAAGTATGGGGGTTCCCCTTTAATTTTTCGTGAATTATTTTTTTGAAACGTCCCAAACGTAGTCCGCAATTTGATGAGCGCCGTCCAGAACTCCTCGAAACAAAAATGCAGAACATTTCCTCAAACTGTGACGTTCAATTTTCTTGTTCTTCGGTTTTCGTAATCGTTTGACCAAAAACGGACTATAGCGCAACTTTCTCCCGGTGATCAACCAGATCCTTTACTTTTTGGACTCTCTATTTATCAACTTTCCAATACATTTTTTGTTGCAAGCCCAAAAAATTCAGGCCATATGTGCCGTTCCCTAGAGGAATCATCGTTTTATTGCAGCTTTCCACACACCTCCGGGTCTTTTCTATTTATTATCACTTGTAACTTACTTTTCCTCGACCTTCTCCTTCTTGGTTGTCTCTTCGTCGATCTCCATTTTCTCTAATTCATCAGTTTTTGGGGCCTCCTTTGAACCGGTAGAAGTAGTATCCTTGGAAGTAGTTATGTTGGTAAGATCCTTTTCCTTATCCGCGCTGCGTTTATGTTGTTTCTTTTTGTTGGTAATAGAGAGCACGGCGGTCTCGACCTTTTCGCTTTCCTCCTTCTTCTTTTCCTCCAATGGTGGTGGGTATGCAAACAACGATGGCTTGGCATTACAACGGAACTGAGTCTTCGGCATCTGGAAACAAATCAGTCAATTAACATCACACCGTAAGCGTGAAGTTCAACGACCACATACCTGTAATGTATTGTTCAATCCGATCAAACAAGTTGGGCGGAAAGCAAGGGAGGCAAAGTGGGAAAACGAATGCCAGTACCAATGCTGAAGGAAGACGAAGGACCCAACGACGGAAGGCATATCCGAATGTCCATTCCTGTTATGCAAGGAGATGGTCACATTGCGACCTCCAGCGTCCAAAATACCGTGCGCCAAGATGGCTCCAAACTGAAAACAGGAAAAATAATCAAATCGGACGTAAAATTGTAAGACAACAAACCTTGGTTATTGAGTCTTCTCCCTTCTCCACAATCATTTTCATAATTGTTTTCCTGAACTCGGCAACTTTCGGGCATGCTGCCTCGGTCTGTTGAATCAAAACAAAGGACAACGCAATAACCGCACCTTGCCGAACAAAGTTCTCTTTGGCTGACAATAAAGGCTCCAAGACACTAATAGCTCCCTGAAATTATATCACTATTATTCGACTCCAAGTTCACGTGGATATATAAAAGCAAACACAAAGTTGGACAGGTCGAAAAGGCGTGGGAACACCTTATAGTTACATCAATTTTAGCCGGATCTGATGTGTAGTGGAAAGGTCGTATAATGTTCTATACGTGACCTCACTTGTTTATTCACAAATGTTCGTCGCGCTCGTACCTTTTGCCTCATGGATTTCATCAACACTGGTGAATGAATGGGCGTGGTGCACCGCAATTTTGCAGTAGCCACTAATCACGGACTTTATGTGCGGGCCTGGCTGTTTCATTGATTTATCCGCCTCAAGGGGTGGAAAAAACTCAAAAAAGGAGACCCCCGTTCATGGCTCAAAGTCATTCTCGGGAAATGCCTTTGGCGGTCGTAGAGTTAATGTGCCAATAACTAATTCCTAGATTAAGCCTTTCAGGCAGGCCGTGCTAGAAGTCAGCCTCAAATCACAGGCTTCTCTGACCTTTCAGCGCCGCTCATTTTCTCACATAAACTAGGATTTATGCGTTTTTAATAAGCATTCTTATCACCATCAGCCGCCCTTCATCATAACAATTGGCCATCACGGTTATTGGCCAGTCATTCAAGCCTCCCATAACCCATTTCCTTTTCTCGTTCCCAAAAATTTTGCGGATATGAGTTATCTTCCTATACTTACCTTATGACCCGTTCCAGCACAAGAAAGGCCCAAAGCTATGGCGGCACCGTAACGAACATGGCCATTAAAGTGCTCGACCAGCATGCCAGTGTAACTGAGGCATTGCTCCGGATCGCTGAAAATAAGAGATTTAGTTTTAGGCCAAACGTTCATAGAACTCATATCTCGGCGCGCTGTATTCTTCCAAAATACAAGAAATAAATAGTGGCTAAGAGCTCAAATCTTAACAAGATTTGAGAGCGTCGGACACAAAGAAACTCCTTTAGGTGCATCACCGGTGACGGGGCAATTCTTTTCCGGTCCGTTGCTTAGCGTTCCAGTCTCAAGCGACAGAATGGGGCCTATGAAGAAGCCTGAGGGAATCTTAAGGCGCGAGGATTTCGTGGGTTCAGACAAAGAATCCCGAGGCAATGAACGCCCCGCTTTAAGACAAAACGTGGAGTTCAAAAGCGATGCTGGGTGAGATGAGGGCAGACCGATCTTTCTTCTTGCCTCTCGCGTCCCCATTCATGAAGCCGTTCAGAAATCTGAGAGCGGCTTCCATTTTTTCTCACAAATCTTCCAGATCAAAGTCTCGTAGTAACAAAATCTTTTTCGTGTCCTATGACGTTTTTACATTAAGCAGAAAGTTGCGTTTTGAAGTACAGTCATCGCTCTTCGATCATTTTTCATATTTTCATATTCAAGTAACTTCCTGGCCGCGTCTGGCCTTCCCTTCGCTTATCAAATCTTCGAATTCTTCACTCACAATGCGTTCCGGGGGAGTGGAGCCGGAGGAATGTTTTTTGGGCGTGAAAACCCATTTTTCGTGCAAAACCGCTCTTTAATAACCAAAATTTTCATTTTTATTATGATTTCAGAGCCACCAGTTTAGTCCTGGCCGACCTTGGAATGGAGAAAAGATGGTGATTTAAAAGTTTCAAGGCCGCCGGTTTGCCCAGATCCCATCCGATTCCAGAACAAAAAGATCAGATCTGACGATTCTCAGACCAATTACTTTTCAATATTATGGCTAGTTCTCGACTTCGCTATTCAGAAATCCATTCTTGCGGTCACTTGATGTGATTATGGATCCAATCCAAGCTAACAAACATAATGTTGCAGCCCTTCTTGTGTTGCCATTCTTTTGTGCCGTTGGCTTCTTTGGTAACCTCATGGTTTGTATCGCGATCGGAATGGACCGACGGCTTCAAAATGTGACCAACTATTTCCTATTATCTTTAGCGATGGCAGATCTACTTGTATGTAGCATTGTCATGCCTTTGGCCATATTGGTTGAAGTTCAACAAGGGATGTGGAAGTGGAGTTTCTGGCTTTGCTTTGTTTATACATACGCCGATGTATTTTTATGTTCTGCGAGTATTGTACACATATCAGTGATTTCATTGGATAGATACTTGGGTATCTCTCGGCCGCTCAAGAATCGCAATAAGTCCAGGACCGTGGTCGCTATTAAAATATGTTTTGTATGGATTGGAACCATAATTATATCCAGCCCATTAGCTGTCCTTGCCTTCCATGACCCCTCTACTATACTGCATGACAATGTATGCACTATTAGAAGCCAACATTACATGATATATGGCTCCATCTTGGCATTTCTGATCCCATTTATTATCATGACTGTCACGTTCACAAAGACCACCCAATTGTTAAACAAACAAGCAAGCACATTGGCTCTCAAACCAGTTGATGGGTTTAATCAAGGACTCAGACGAACCATCATGAGCAAAAAGAGAACGGCCAAGACCCGGTAAGCCCATTCAACAACATTAAATTCGCCAATTCCAGACAAATCGGCGGCGCGAGCTCCGCCTCAATAAACGGAGCCGAGTCGGTCAATGGCACCCAGAGGAAAGGACAAAGAAAAGGAGCATTGGAAATGTCACCCTTGGCAAAGACATCAATTACGAACAGACAAGATTCAATTAAAAACAAAAATATCTCGGATTCTGAGAGGAAAGCCCAAGAAAACGAAGCCGATCCACTCATCGATCAATTCAAAATAAACAACGACAATGATGATCAATATAAAGAATCAAGGAAAACTATCAGCGAAAAGATCCAAAGGAGATCAACAAGGATAACAACTCAATTCAACCGATTTCGAAATCACCTTCAGATTATTCGAAAAAAGAACCAAGAGATAACGACAAGCACTGAGCTAGCCAACGAACACAAGGCGAGCCGAGTGTTAGCAGTGGTTTTTACTTGTTTCTTTACATGCTGGACTCCGTTTTTCATCATGAATTTCACTCTGGGATTCTGTGGAAGCACCTGTTCTGTGCCTCCCAGAATTGGGTCGATTATTCTCTGGCTAGGCTATTTGAGTAGCACTTTGAACCCAGTAATCTACACAATTTTCAACAGACGTTTCCGAGAAGCGTTTATCAAGATCATCAAGTGCAAATGTCTATCTTCTGGAGTAGAGAATACATACACCAGAAGTCAAGTATACCTCGCGACGGACCCCACATGGTAAGCATTGAAGGGCCCAGCTGAACAAAAAACGCTTCGGCCCCGAAAACATGCTTTTCGTTTTATCTCTATATTCATTAACCATAGACAATTTAGGTCATGTATGGAGAAATCGTATCAACACAAAGAAAGTGTGGCTGCCCTCAACGGAAATAATTCACTTAGTACGACAACAACTCTCTGTGTGCCCAATAAAAATGACCAAAAACAAAGACACCAACTGCGAACACAACATAGCCATGATGAGGTGACAATTCAGAGACGTTTGAGTGTCGACTACCCGAAAACACGACGAAACTCGGATACTAATAGTCCACAGTAAGTCAAACCTTAGCCCAATTTCTTTCTGCGATTTGGCTTAATAACTTCTTTTTAGGAGAACGCCTTCCTATATTTCCTACCGGTCATAATTCTGTTATACAAAACGCTAACCTAATAAATTTATAAAACCACTCACTTGCTCAATACGAATCCAACGGCAATGACTGCAAACCTCTTAACATCGTGGTTGGGGTCGGCTGCCACTTTGGATAAAAGTCTTCTGACCACATCAGCCTTCCCAGAACCAGCATAAGCCATAGCCAACATACAAACTCCAGTCTGTCGCAGAATGGCGTTCGATTTGTTTTCCAACAACTCTTCAGCCCACGGCTCAGCTTCTTCCATTCTTCCGTAGGCCAACATGGCAATTCCAGTTCTCAATCCTCTCTGGATCTTGTCGTGTTGGGTTTCAGTTACATATGTCTTCATGTCATTAAAGGCTTGCTGGTTCATTGAAGCCGCCATAACCAAGCCCATAGCAGTTCCTGCCGCCTCGCCAGTGACAGCATCATCTTGGTAAAGGGTGTCACGTAGTTGTTGATAGATAGCTTCGTCATGAGTAGCCAATGCCGCCAACCCCAAACCAAGACAGGCTCCGTGTCTAACGGATGCAGTAGCGGCCTTTGTCAGTTGATCTCGGAGGTAGGTGATAGCATCAGGTGATCCGTGATTGGCATGGATCAGACCATAGGCATAAAGAGATCCTCCCTCCTTGTATCCGAACTGATCGACATCTCCTTTGGGAAGATATGGGTCGAGCAATTTCAAAGCGTTTGATTCGTGTCCCTGAAATTAAAAGGCGTAAAAAATAAAATAAAACTGAAATATAATCCTCATACAAAGCTTACTCTATGGATTAATCCCAAAGTAGCCACAGCATTGAACTTATTCCAATTCGTAGCCTTAGAAATCCATTCGAGGTTGTCTCTTAAAAAGTCATCACAAGTAGTTCCGACATGCATAAGTCCATTTGCAATCACAGTACCGTTGTGAGTAGAAGCCGTACGAACCGAATCCTTTATTTGCTTCAGAATAAGCATATCGGTGTGATTGTTTTTGATCAAGAACTGCATGTGATGCTTAATTGTTTCCTCTCCTCTCAGAATTCTCTTTAGTCTATCGGTCAAAGAATCATATCTAAAAAATAAAAGCAGTCACAGGTAAATTTTAATTCCTGACATATTATTTAACAAAACTCACGATGCAGTTGTTGATGTGGCATCCTCACTGGAGGTATCTGAAGAGGTACTTTCCTCTGTCGCCTCATTTCCATTAGATTCAGAGGTTTCCTGCTTAGACTCAGGAATTAAAGCCTTTTCGATCTCCCGGATAAATTGCTGACTGGCATTTTCGTACAAATCGAAAGCAATTTGGAAGGCCAACAGTTCGTTCTACATGGCAATAAAATTATATAAACGCCATATCTTACATTATTAGCCAACAGTCTCCTCAGAATTCCAGAAACATCTTCCGGTTTCTCCAATTTGATCAAGCATTGACACATGCTCACGAAGTCTGGCTCTTTCATTTCCGAGAACAAACGGAAGACAGAATCAAGCGCCTGGCCTCTAAACTTGCGATCTAATTGAGATTCCAAGATCTTTCCAACGGTCTCGGTGAGAACCGAAGTTTGGTCTTCCGCAGCCTTAACAGCACGTTCCATCATGTCGATCCTTCTGGTATCCAAAGCGAGACCAATCACAAAACGATACTCGCGATTGGCCAACGTCTTTTCAAAGATACGATTGATCAAGGCCTCTAATGAAGAATTCACCATTACCCCGGTCCGTCTGGACACCTTGTACTCATCCAGAGCTTGCTCCACAATCTTATCCACATACTAAACAACAATACTATAATCAAGGGCAAATATTACCAGATCATCTTGAGGTCCAAGAAGCAAAGAGGCTTTTCTGGGGGTCAGACTAAACAATTCTCCGGCATTCAAAGCCAATTGGAGAGCTGAGTTGTAATCTCCAAGACAATAAGCCACCTTCGATGCTAAAAGGAAAGCTCGCTGTCGTTCTTTAAAGCTGTTATCTTCAGCTAGACGTTCAATAATAGATAGATAATCTGCAACTTCAAACCAAGTAGAAGTCAGAATATCCCAATCATCGAAGGCATTTATAATAAATTCCTTCTCCTGAGAAGAGGTTTTCTCACTGGCCAAGGCGAGCATAAATGGAGCTGAAAAGTCATATCATCAGACTGAAATAATAATGTTCGTTTCGAAAATGAAACGACTTACTTGGATCCTGAGGTCCCCCAACACGGTTCTTCCATTGTTGCAACAAGAAGGTGGTCATCACTTCTAAAAAGAAAGATTTTTACACGAAGTATTTTACAACACGAATTTATGCAGACTTGTCTTCATGGAAAGAAAAATTAAAATTAATTTCCACTAGCCAAGTGGAAATCAAAAAAATTTCTCATCGTTTTTTGTTTGTTTTCGTGGTGGGATATGAGGTGCTGGACAAAATTATAACCGCACTTTAAAAACTACTGTAATTTTTTTGGTTGTCAGTATAAATGTGTATTTGGCACCAATATGAACTAGTGTACTAGTCCTTCCGGATAGTCGCCGGACTGAAATCGGCGACGCGTACTGTGAGAAAACAAAAGTTCTCTTTGCACCTTGAAATAGGCTCTTTTCGGCTGTCACTTGCAACATTTTGTCCAGCACTATACGACGGTGTTCCATGCACTTAAAAAATTATTTGCGCACTTGAGGATCAGCGACAGACGGTACAGATTATTAAAGAGCAACTTTTGGGGTGTCCCTTGCACAGTGCAGAAGATGATTGCATTGTTTCATGCATTGATATCAGAAAATCTTCTTTTTTTATACAGCATAATCATTTTTTGCAATGCTCTAAAAGGTTAAAGCAGGCTCTCGTCAACGCAGATGGGCTGTTATGTAGCGGGTTACAATTCACGCGGTAGCAGGCACTCTACTATATAGTACCATGTCTTCAAAACGTGTTTTTAAGAGTACTACGCACAACAAAAACACCATTAGCGCCTAAAGGCCAAATTTTCACTTTTTTCACAGTGTATCTAGTAGTACTATACAGTACTATGAAGAGAAAAAAATTAACTTGATTTATGAAAACAGCACCCTCGAAAACCCCTGAATCAAGTACTCTTATTGTTAGAAAGATTTCAAAGGATTACTTTTTAACAGTACTACATGATAAAAACAGTGTATGATGCAAGAGTTTCTCAAATTGCGTAACATTGCGCAAATTTCTGCTCTCTCCCCGTGAAGATTTTTTTCTGCTCAGAATATCCTAAAAGACAAGAAATGGTGGTCTCTGGCCACGAAACCCGATTTGATTTGTACTATGTCACCATCCTTATGTTTGAGATCTGCCCATAATGGCATCTGCTCTTAATTAATGGTCGGGCACGGTTTATCTGCTTTACAAAATAAATAGAATCGAGATATAATATATGTTAAAATAAGTGAGACTAGAGGAATATCACAAGTGTCCTGTCAAATTGAACAACTGATCCATATAACTCTTGGTATTATGAACATAGTTTGAAGCCAACAGAACACGAGGATGAGAAGTTTGTAACCTCTTCATATTAAGATTATGCACGGCCGTCGATTCTTCATAGGTTGTTCCACCGATTATAAATACAACGATATTTTCCGACCGATTTCTGTAAATAAAATACGAGGTAACTGGGACTGCTGTCGTAATTACCCTTGTCGGGTCGTCTCAACCACCGGGTACTTCTGTTCAGACAACCTTTCTCTCGCGATTCCCTCGATTAGTCGACAAATCAATGGTTCATGCTGGGTGAAAACATTCTCTACGCCTTTCAATCCTTTGATGAATTTCTTGGTCATCTCCATGGCACTTTGGTCTCCAAAAAGATCATTTTGTCTTTTCTTTAGGCCGGCAAAATTAACAAGTGTCCTGATTGATGCAATCTCCTTAGCTGACGCACCTCTTTTCTTCAACAAGTTAGTTAAAGATTCCATTGAATTCTGGATGTTCTCATATCGAAGTTGATATAACATGACAAGACGTAATGCATTCTAAAGAATAAAATAAAGAAAACAAACTATACCCCACCAAATCAGATGTCTTGGGATTTTCCAGAAGTGTTTTCAGCTGCTGTAAATGAGAAGAATGATCTCCGGTCGCCACCAAACTTTGTTCCAGCTCGGATATCTCAAGTAAGTTCTCCGCCGCCACCAGTCGACTCAACTCGCCAACGATTTGTACATGTTTTGTTACCGTACCTAAAGCTCATTCCATTCACCATTCCAAGCTTACCAGATATTTTCTTGAATTGAGGATATTGGTCGACAAATCTTTTCATATCGCTAATGGATTCTAATTTCTGATGAGTCTGCGCCTTCTTCTGATAATCATTCATCAAAGCCTTGATATTTTGGCCAATATCTCCAAAGTTCATGTATTTATTCTAAAAAATGTTAGGCGTTACTTTATAGAAACGTTACCTTGGCGTAGAACTCATCATGTTGAGCGCTTAAAACAAGGTTTTTGGGACCTTCATCGTTGGATTGCATGACAACTCTGTTGTTGGTTATTCCAATCAACTCATGGACCATGGCTTCGTAAGTCCATTGATTAAGAAGAGGAGTTATTGGATCTTCCGACCTATCAATAATCAACAAAGTTGTATTCTCTGTGCATCCCTCGAAAAGACCATCTTCTCTCACAATCAGCTTACTCAGCTCTTCCCCAAGTCTCTGGGCATCTCGAGACGTTCTTTGGTATCTGATCGAAGGCTTAGTTCTAAACGATAGCATCAAACTAGCCAAGCCGTGAAGGCAACGTCGGAACAATATCGTGGATAGATTGAATGCGTTCTCATAACAATCGCGAATACCAAGTACACCAAGGTGAGGTGCGAGAGGAATCATATCTGCATAGAATTCTTGTATCTCTCTAACCTAAAAATCAAATAAGCGTAATGAATTGTGCTTACCGTTTCGTGTTCATCTGCTTCAGCAATTAGTTTGACATCAGCTTTAGAGATAATATTGGAAAAATCTAAAAACATCGATGTGAATAAAGTAAACTGGAACGTAATAGTTTTAAAACTGTAATAAACACTCACAAATATAATACTGCACATATTTCGGAGATCTTAACTCTTCTACCAAAAGCTGGATATTTTCCGGAGTTGGCCGAACAAAAACTATACATTTCAAATATCTAATCGGTTCCCGGAGAGAGTTGGCATCGATTCGTTCAAATAAATACACCTCTTTCTGCATCATTTCTGTTTGAGCAAAAGAGCAAGAGACTAGACTAGTCTTAAACAAGGATTATATATCATTTTACATCTAAAATCTGGACAAAAAGATAAAAATAAACAAACCGTCTCCTTGTCCATAAGTAACACCTTCATGCCAGGGCCGGCTAGCCGGATCATTTCGTTGATGTATTGCTGACATGCTAGCAGATAATTCATGTTATCTACATCAATTACAAACTCGAAGAATAAAATGATTTTCCAGAGAACGTGTATTTATCGTCCCGATGCGATATTTTTCCGATATTTTGGCGGCGTGGCATTTTGTTCAAAAAACATGAAACGAAATTCTACAAAATTTCGACGGAAATGTTTTTCTTCGAAAACGATAATTTTTCTTATTTTGTGTTGGTAGTTTTACTTTTTGATGTATTTATAGTTTCTTATGTCTGTGTCATCTACTGTTGATCTGTTTACTTTTATGGGATTATAGATTGTTTTACGAGAAGAGAAGAATGATTCATAATTCCGCTTCATTAGTCCAGGATTCCTGTTTATCGTTGACTGCGAGAAGATGTCTGTCCGTTGTCGTAAAATGGTCCTCCAAGTGTGTTTATATTCCCGTTTCTCATAAAAAATTGGGCCTTTCTCTTAGGTTTGGTCACTTTCTATTACAATACATCTGAGGGGAATTTTACAAGCGGTGTTTTGATTTGGTTGAATAACACACCTAAATCGAGATCTGTTGCAAATATCGTTGAATTGCTTAAGTCTCTGGGCTGGAATATTTTGAATTCGAACTAGTGATTGGACGTTTTTTATATGATAATCTGAACAAGACGCCTAGAATATTTTGCTATCCTTCGCCAAATGTTGGTCATTTATTTATAACATGTTCACGTGGTCGGAAGAGCGATGGAGATGTTTGTATTCTCCGTTTCCTTATTTGTTTGGATAATAGAGACGCTCGTCTTTTGTCGGAGTGACCACAGGTTTTCGAATAATGTTGTACTTGGTAGAATAAGACGTTCTTTCACTTTCTTGTCTACTTTACGTTTTTGGGGAGCTTAATTGATGTTTTCATTAGCATATAGTGTTCGAACTGTATTTCAGAGCTCCTTAATCGCTAGCCCATTTTTCCGTCCCAACAGTTTGTTAAGCTGCTCAATAAAAGAAGATTTAGTCGTCGCTTTCATCCCTGACTGATTCCGTTTGGGAAATTAGACTTGACAGAACAGAATACGTATTAATAAAAAATTATTTTGTTTCACTGCGCTTTCTCCTCATCTCTGCAGCGCCTCTCAAGATGAATATTGAACAATCTTTATCGGCGTTTGTTTGTGGATCGCAGTAACACCTGGAAGCGAGAGGGTCATTTAGTGATTGTATATTATCTCCTCTGTTTTTTGAAACCCCATGTGCTCCCCGGAATATATTTGTATTCCCCTGTCTCTGTCTCGAATCTCTGTTGATTTTGCGAGTTTGGTTGACCGAGGCCATCAAGATGCCTCGAGAGACACCTTGACGGAAGGATCAGCAATTCTTCGATTTCAGATATTCCAAAACTCGCTAGAAGGCCATCGCGCGCAAGGTGGGGGGGATTTAACGCGAATCGGACACTTCGATCTCGTCGGGTTACCTCTTTCCGAGGGGGGTTTGGGTTCGGAGCTATTCGAGTAACACAATCTCGCTATCTGAACTCGTTTGCTAATTTCTTCCGTTTTAGATAGCCAATCTTGGATATTTTGGGAATTTCAGGACGATTGGAACTTTTGGTTCTTGGTGAAATTTACTCTAACGAAGATCTACTCCAAACATGACCGCCACAAGGTCGGACCCCATATTTTGGGAAGTTGGCGGATATAAGGCGAATATAAAACGAATAAAGGATGGATCTGACCATCTTGATGAATTCTCCAAGATGATTAAAGAGAGAGCGGAGATTGAACAGAAATATGGGAAAGCTCTGCAGGCATGGCAATCCAAATGGCTCACTTATGTGGACCAAACATTAAGTGACTCTGTAATAAAGAGTCTCTGGTCTGATTTGATGGACGAATCGAAGGAGTTGGCAAAAGTCCATCTTCAAATTCGAGAGAGATGTCAGGACGAATTATTGAAGACAATTCAACTGTTTAGGAAGGAGAATTACCATCAATCGACGATTCGAGGTTTTCGAGAGGCCAAAGAAATCGACGAAGAATTTGAGAAGGTAACGTTTAATTTCATTTTGAAGAGTTTACCAGTCCCGGCTTATTTATATTTTTTTTGTTAAATAGTGGCATAGGTTTTTTGGGTGTGAAAATGGTCCATTCGACTCATTTCGAAATTTCCTTTTTCTTTTTTCTATTTTTTAACTAGCGTTTATAGTTATTTTTTTATTTACCTTAGTAGCTTACAGGCCCAGCGACCATGGAAAAAGCTCTTCGAGAAAATGGAGTCGTGCAAAAAGGCTTATTACACGGCTTGTCGGACCGAAAAGTCAACTGCGATACAGCTGGTTAACCTCAAAGGAGACGCATCAACAGCTAATGAGAGCACTGACAAATTGAAAGAAAGGCTTACCAGATGCGAGGAAGAAGTTAATAAGACTAGAACGGCATATAAAAACGCATTGACCGAGCTCAGCGGATATTCTGCGGTTTACAATGAGAACATGGCATTTGTGTTCGAGAAGTGTCAGCTGATGGAAGTGAAGAGAGCCAGATTCCTCCTAGAAATGCTTTCCGGATTTCAACAAATTTTGATCGACCTTTTGAATCCTCCCAGGTATGTTTCTTCATTATTTTTATGCGTTTAGATGAATTATTCTTCAAATGCGTTGATTTTTAGACTTGTCCAAGTCCATGACAATTTGGCCAACAGGTTCACATCAACCGGAGAGAATCGGATTAAAGAAGACTTGCAGAAGTGGTCTGCTCTTTTTGGCGTAGCATCGCCTTTAATTGTCCCGACATACGAAGAATATACTCCGGAAATGAGACAAATAACCAGTAATGGAACAGGAAAGGGATCCGAAGGAAGAGACGAAAGCGGAGGGGTCATTCTAATGAAACAAAAGATTACCTCAGATGAATTGCCTGGAACTCCCACTATTGCTCACAGTCTGGAAAGACAATCTGCCCTCCAGAAGTATCCCGAGAACCGGAGATCCACACTTTCGCAGCAGATATCGCAGACAAGTCATGTACAGAAGAAGCTCAGGAAAGACCTGAATGAATCTCCTAAAATGGCCAGAGCGAACAGCACTGACACGCAGGTGGGACCTCTTTTTTTACAGTTATTGAGCTCTGGGTTTGAGAGATTACTTTAATCAAAAATGTTTTTGTTTAACGCCTATATTAAGGCTGAAGTATTAGCCCAGTTATGGTTGGATCATAATATAAAATAGAGCTGGGTTTGTGAATCGGGCATTGTTTGTAATGACCTAACAATAAGTATGATTATTTAAGGTGAATATGCGAGAAAGTGAAGGTTCATCGATCCGTTCGTTTCATGCCTCCAGAAGTCTCGACTGTTCGTCTGCTGATAGATATTCCTTGTCCCGCAAGTCTGAGAGTATTGAAGAAGAGATCACTATCCTTGATCGAACATTGACCAAATCGTCCAGCCCTTGCTATGATAAACAAGAAGAGAATCAAGAGATAGAATCAAGACATGTTGTGGAGAATCCATTCGCAGATCCCTTCCCTATGCCCACACCCAACAGAGCATTAATGCAGGCATCTGGAGATGCCTTTTCCCCGATTAAAAGACATCAGAAGAATGGATTGGGAGCTTCCTTAACTTCAATGTTAGCGTTGGAAAAGAAGCAGACTGACAATACACAAGATATCATTAACAACGCGTATCAACGACCGTCACCTCGGGCACAGAGTGATAGTGGAAATAGCAATGGATCTAACGAGAGTGAGAACCAGCAGATGCCCAGAGGACCGGCTAAAGTGTTATATGACTATTGCCCCATAGAAGACGACGAAATTCCCTTGGCCAAAGGTAGGTTTCTTCATGTTACGTGATTATTATATAAATAATAAATAATATTTGTTTTCTAGGCGAGGTCCTCGAAGTTCTCCATGGCCCTGATGATCTGGGATGGTGTTACGGTCGGAAAGGAGTGCTCCAAGGGCTGTTCCCTGCCAGCTATGTTTCCCCGATGTGACATTATTATCTATATGGACTATCCCGGGTCTCTAAATCACCGATTATTTTTTTTCAATTCCTTTGCTCACTCCGATTGCAAAATTTTGATAAAGTGACTAATTTATCTTTAGTATGGAAGTATAAAATGCTCTATTTATAATAAACTTTTATTTTTTTCTCCATCTTTATGAATTCCTATGTTCTTGAGCATGTTTAACGTATCCAGAGGAGCTTAAATTTTTTAAACCAACTTTTTGAAGGTAAAAAAGATGAATAATTTAGTACGACGGGGTGTCCAATTTGTCAGGCGACTGGAATTATCCCGGTTGTATTCTAACAAATTGGGGCAACTGGAAGGCAAACAAATGGCCATATATTACACATGCAAAGTCTGTGACACCAGGAACGTGAGTAGTGTTAATGCAGCATAATTATAATAGAGATGATAGCATACTAGGACGGAACTAATTAAAAATATTCAGGGGCCGAAACACTTCTCTAAAGTCTCATATGAGGAAGGAGTAGTACTGGTGCAATGTGAGAGCTGCCAGAATCATCACATAATCGCTGATAATCTCGGCTGGTTCTCGGATCTGGAGGGACTCAAAAATATCGAGGAAATAATGGATCGTAAAGGAGAAAGGGTTCAAAAGTTATCCACAAAAGATCTTGTCTCCGAGTTTATTGTTAATAAAACTTAAAAGTGCAATTTTCTGTTTGGTGGGATTCTCCGAAGCATTTATTATACATGTTTGTCATATTTAATATTAAAATCCCCGGACTTGGCGCCTTTTAGTCCAAGATACTGGAAGACGTCGAAACAATAGCCTCTGTCATGTATACATAACCACAGTTATACGCAGACCGAACCCTGGCCCGATTTCTTGCCATACGATGAAATTAATTAGATTATTACTTGGAAAACTTGAACCAGAAAACCAACAAAAAAGTTTTCATTTGGCGGAATGGGGTGGGGCGGATCCTTTCCTCGGCTTCAATCCATTCGGATATTTTTCAAACGACATGAATGGCATCAGAAGGAAATGGGGATGCCAATCAGCCCCACCTTACACTTGGTCACTGTAAAAAGTCCCCAACTTGGCGCGTTTCTGAATGATTTGAGGCCTCATTAAAATAATCCGAGTCCTAATTATGCAGGGAAGTGTCTTGGTTTATTGGAAGAGGTCTTGTTCTTTTTATTTTGTCGGCTCCCGTTTTTGACACTTACTTTGCCATGACTCGCGGTTCTTTTTATTACTCCCAGATACACCGGATGTTGTCATAACACGATCATAGTAACGCTTCACTCGCCTCGGACTAAAGCATCCTTTACTGGACTATTTCGGAGGGCGTAGTAATACTATCGTAAATGTAATTTTTACGTGTTTCAGGGCCTTTATCATAGATAGTCGTGACTTCAAGGAACGGAACGTTTACAAGCTGAGGGAGAGAAAGTAAATTACTTAATCCTCCCTGGGGATAGACAAGTTTAGGATATAAGAACTTGGCTTGGATCATGTCTTGCTGAAAACCGTGACTTAATTATTACAAAAGTTTCCACTCGGTCACAAAATGCGGTTACCCAGAAGTAATGCGTTTTTTTTGTAGCAATCGTTTTGGTTTTTTTACTTCCTTGCCGACCTCCTTATCACTCTTTGGATCTTCTTTACAATGGAGTGGACCAAGTGATGTCTACAGAACTAAACTTTTATTATATTACATACAATTAGTTGAAATTCCTCTAACCGTCTTTTTTACAGTGTACAGAGGAGGTTGCAGACCGAGGAATGCAAAGCGGTTCAAAAAACATTTAAAATTGTCTCCGGCACTTCCCTTTTATTACTGTCACGTTATGACTGTTTCGGGGGTAATCTAATTAATTAATTGACTCTCTTTTTGGCCCTTCTTTTGGAATAAAATTCTTCAAAAAATTTTATTAACACTTTTCCCTGAGGGCCCATCGTTTCTATACTTTTCGTGCGTTTTTGTTGGTCCTTGCAGCCAAGCATTGGCTACTTATGTTATACAATTTAGATTGTATTTCAGCCCGGTCAGACCTCCAAGATTAAAGAACCCTTCTTATCATGTCACCGAGTACTTGAATAGCCTAAAATGGAGGGAGTTTCTTCAATGAGCATGGCTGTAGTCCCTGGCCAAAGCCGGACCTACAATACCAATGTGGCGGAAGAGTCGACGCCTTGGGGCAATATGTCCGAAGAAATGTTTTTTGCCAGTCTCCCCAAGTATGATATGTTGCCGCTGGCTAATTGGGAGAATAATCATGTTGTTATGTATGCTCTGGTAAGTGTTGCGTAATAATAGACTACATTTTTATCTTCAGACGTCCTTTTCAAAGTTGTTTTCTGCAGTAATATACTGCGAACGGAGGGTGAACTTGGGGTTCCAAATCCTGCCCTCAGGGCACACGAGTCTAAAAATAAAAACAAAATTTTTTTCAGTTGTACGCGGCGTTGTTTTTGGTTGGAGTATGCGGGAATATCTCAGTAATCACGTTGATAAGACATGTTCACACTGGGATTACCATGGACAACACCATGGTATATGTGTTGTTCTTGTGTTGTGTGGACTTGGCCAGCATCATCCCTTTGCCCATGGCCATTGTCGACCAATTACTCGGGTTTTGGATGTTTGGTGAGTAGATTGTAAAATACAAACCTTAATTAGCGGACAAGAATTACCTAACAATAAGATAGTATACAATTAGTCGTCATCTTCAGGTACGTTTTTCTGCAAATTATACCGTTGTTTGGAACATGTCGGAAGGGCACTGTCAACCTTTGTTTTGGCGGCCATGTCATTTGACCGGTTCCTCCGAGTCTGTTATCCCCATAAGAAGATAACCAGATGCACCGTATTCAATCAGCTGTTCGTATTAAGCGCCTTCACTTTCCTTTTATTGTCACCATTAATTATCAGAGCGAGTAGTGAGGAGATTGTTCTAAAGGAAGTTTTACTGGAAAACCCTTACCGATTGGCACGGGTTCGTATCTACAAATGTGTTGACCATCTGGAGGGAACGCCTCTGGCGGTGTTTATCATGTATATGTTCTTGGTCGGGTTCTTCTTCCCTGTCGTCATGATCTTCTTTTTCTACGCATTTATGGTCAGAAGGTTGATTGTAAGGTCACGGTCAATCAAGACCTCGCAAGTAAGTTATCATTGTGAGTTAAAGGATGATTATTATCATATGTTGTGCTTCCCCATGGTTTTTTAGCTCCCAGTCGCACGTGTAGCTGGCTACACAATTGCAATTTCGGTTTTCTTTGTCCTTTGTTGGTCTCCTTATTGGATTGCAATGTTATATCTGAATTTATACCGTTATACGTGGAACGAGGACCAGGTTGAACAGATCCATGCATCGGAAAGATTCATTTACATAATGTATGGGATCCATGCTCTGCCCTATGTAAACTCGGCTTCCAACTGGCTGTTGTATGGTGAGCTTAAAAGAAAGAGAAAATAAAATGCCCTTAAAAAAGTTAAAAAGCTTTTTCATTGTCTCAAAATTGAGTTAAAGAACGCACATTTGGCAAACTGGGTTAAGAAAACAAAGTAAAGTTGCCACAATTCAATTTGACATAAACAGAAACACTGTAAACGTATAAACTTTCACAGTAAAATTCACAGTAAAATGTTTGATTGCAGGTCTCTTGAATAGCCAATTGATGAGGCGTTCTAATGAATCCAAAAGACAGTGTTCCAGTTCTCATCGTATGTCAAGAGCCGTTTTCAATCAACCCAATCCAATCTCTCAGCCGCTGACCACAAAAGTAGATGATACTACGCCCACAAATGGAGCCGAAGAAAGCTCTCTCATATCACATCGACCTCAGGATGCGCTTCTTTAAATGGGTAATCGAGTCATTAACACAAACAAATCATTCCCATATTATGATGCAACGAATAAACTTCCAAGAGCCTCTTGACCTTCGATTATCAGTTGTTTTAAAAGGTCCAAACCACTGCAGAAGGGCTGAAAATGTGGCTTGAATGGTTATATTTGTTGGTTCTTGCCATCCCCCTGAAGGCAGTACCTGACGAGGACCGTATTTTCCAGCTCCCTGACCTCAAATTTACCCCCAACTTCAAGCAATACAGTGGCTATCTCACTGTGGAGTCAGGAAATCAGCTGTTTTACTGGCTGACGTCATCCCCAAACCAATCCGCACCTTTGGTTTTATGGTAAGTTTAACTGGGATACTGTACTTAAAATTATGCTGATTTTCTCAGGCTGAATGGAGGTCCTGGTTGCAGTTCGATGGCTGGTCTTATGTCGGAATTTGGTCCATTTCAAGTGAAACAAGGTGGACTTGTCCACAATAAATACGCCTGGAATGAAGTAGGTTTCACTAAGAAGAAAACATCGGCAGTTTGCTCATATCTTGTATTTAGATGCCCCTGCTGGTGTTGGCTTTTCCATCCTGAAGAGCTCCAATTGGACTACATCAGACGAAGTTGTGGCCAAAGAAAACAAACAGGCCATGACTAAATTCTTTCAAAAATTCCCTGAATTAAAGAAAAATCGATTATTCCTGGCTGGGGAAAGTTACGGTGGGACTTATATCCCGATGTTGGGGGATCTTGTCTTGAAAGACAAGCCCACCTTTCCAAATTTTGAGGTAAGCATTTACAGCCTCCTGCAGAGATTGACTTCAGGGCATTCTTATCGGCAATGGATGTGTGCATGAGAAACTGAGAATCAATTCCCAAATCCCATTCAACTTTTATCATGGTCTGATAGCAGAAAAGTAAGAACTTTTTATAGATCCATGGTTGTTTAGAGATATTGAGATCGCTCTCAATAGATGTTGTAAAAGGAAATCTTTGGACACCTGTGACTGGCATCACATCACCAAACAAGGCTCTGAGGAATGCAAAGAGATTGTGGCAAGACTGGATGAATCTAATTTCTATTCCGGATTAGATCCATACTTGTTGGATTATGCATGTTATCCAGATGATACGGAAGGACCAGCAGCTTCTGAATTCAAAAATACAGCGTTTTCTCATCGTCGTGTTTTGTCTAAGGTAGGTGATTAATTTTATTTTATAAAGAGACAATTTTAGAACATAACACTCAAAAATTGTCATCACGAGAACGAATACGTACCGTATCTAAATCGAAAAGATGTTCAAAGTGCAATTCATGTGAATCAAGTTTTCTCTTCATGCAGGTAAGGCTTTCTCTCTGACGATATGTGGTATCATTCATGTTTCTATTTTCCTTTTTTTTATCTCCTTATTTGGTTATGTCACTTATTGCGCAATACCTAGCTCAATATATTATACATGTATGCCCCATTACACGACAGTTTTTTTTTATTTTTGGCGGATATTTCGCAATGTGCGAAGAATCGATATCCTCCATTTCCTCCTCATTTTATCCTGCAGAATGAGTCATTGACTCGGCGATTTGAGTCAAAGAAATTGTAGGCAGATAACGGATGCAAATGTTAGGAAGTCAAACACAAACTCATAGACGCATTTTTAGCCGCAGTATCGCAGAAAACTACATTGTTCAGTATGAAGACATGACCCCTTTCATCCGCCGTCTCATTGATGGCAAAAAGAGAATCCTTATGTTCAATGGAGACATGGATTCTGTATGCACTCATGTTCACAACCTGAAGTTTATTGATCAATTAGGAGAGGAATTCATTCAAAGGTCTACCTGGAAGTTAGAGAACAGAGTCCCCAAGACTGCCGGCGTGTGGACATCGTTCAATGGTAAGGAGATCTGGCTGTGTATGTTTATGAAAGAGGGCTCCGAAGAGAGTTCGAGAGTCAACCTTTCTTTCGGTCAGTTCAAAGTCCAAGGCTTTACGAGATTGGCTCAGGGGGTTTAAGCGAAAGAGAATACCTCGATCCCGAGGCTTTAATGAGTGAACAGATTGACCCGTCGGAAAATGAGAAGAGTTGGGGGATGAGGGCGAGGAGAAAGGGAGTGGACCCAAGAAACGGAGAGAGAACGCCGGTCCCGGGAACCGCACGGCACCGCTCGCCCTCGGTTCTCGACCCCCAGCGAATCGTTCCGCGCTCCGCAAAAGCACACGGTGATTCCACCCCGCCTCGTACCACCTGCTCTGTTTTTTGTGACCGCCGAAAATAATAATACCAAACTTTTTTTCCTGCAAATTATATACGACACAATCGTGCGCTTCGAGGATGCTCTTCTTTAGAAAAGGGTAAACAAACAAAACAAGAAAGCTTACAAATTCAAAAATTGCAATTAACATGTCAATGAATGACGCTGAAGCATTTTACACTAAAAAGTATGCATATTTTGTGTGGGTTCAACGATTAGTCTCGCCTCTAAAAATAACGCGTGGATATCCGACTCTGAAAATTCTCAAGAATTTTGCACTTTGAAGATTAACGCCGTCAGCAGTCTTCTTTTATGCTAACAAAAAGGTCAATGCACTCTGAGACAATGTACTTTCCCGTCAATAAGTAACGAACTAATTCCAATTCTAGGTATCGACTTAGTCACAGTCAATGGTGGCGGTCATTTCGTATCGTCGCCCTACGAGAAACCCCGAGAAGCCCTGCAGATATTTGTAAACTTCATCCAAAACTCCAACTACAGCACGACCGTATAAGAGATCATTCGTTTACTTTTAACTAATAGGAATGTTTCATAGGTACAAAATTAAATAAATCCACAGTGTAATTGTATCTTGGACTGACAAAAAGGGAATTCAGCGAATGTAAACCCGGTGATGGCCACAGAACTGCACCACCTCGGCCACATGCGCTAAGTCCCCTAAAAATTAAAGTCCTAAGGTCAGGACAATGCAAAATAAGCACTGGTAATAACGGTAGTAACAAAATCATATCCTCGTGAGATCAACAAAATAATATTGAACCGATCCAACCGACCCCAGTCCGTCTAAGACCTAGATCACAGCTTCTGCTTGGCAGCAGCTGAAAGTCACATCCAGGCCGGGAATCAGATGAGGCGAATGGCGGCGGTAGGGTGCTGGCTGGACGGGAGGGCGTTGGCGACGGCTGGCAGTGCGGGGGGTAAAGGGCAGAGGCGATGGAAGGATGAGTGAGCGCGGTGAACGCCCCTTTGTCGTGTTGTGGACGCGCTCAACGCAAAAGGCGGGCGGTTTAAAAGAGGCCGGGGCTGAGCAGAGAGGACCGTTCGGACCTTGTCCATTCCAAAAAACAGGCAGATTAAGACTCCTCCCCTCGAGCAATTCACATGCTCTCTTCTTTTTATTTATTCGATATGACTCAGCACCGAGGAACGGCATAATTGATTGTTAGGAAACAGAAATTATACGATACTACCGGACATTAATTTTTGACCACCCATATCCCGGGTGAAAATAACTCAATCACTTTGAAACTTGCCTCATTACAGGCAGAGCCTTCCACGAAAAAACTTTTTTATCTCTCTTTCCCGCGAGTTATGCAAATTTTTCTAAAATCGGTGAACAAAACTTTTTGACTTTTACCATGCCGTTTAGTTATCTTAAAATACTCTTTAGGGATCTAGAAGGACGGTGAGCACAATCATCATGCAAAGATTCAAAACTTTTGTGTACTCGTAACCAGAGATTGCCACGGTCAAAATTTCGGCTCCGGCTCTTAGCTCCCAGAGCCGGAGCCGAGGCGAAATTTACAGCTCCGGCTCCCGGTTCCCATGAAAAATTTGAAAAGGTCTCCGGCTCCCGTGCAAAAAAAAATTTAAAAAAAATATTTTTCCAAAAATAAACGTTATTAATTAATGCCAGAGACCATACACCCAACGTTTTTGCAGCCAAGTCGTATGCAACACATCCTTCCCAGTATTTTTCAAGCAATTTGGTTTAACAAGATCATGAAATTTTTACTTTTCTGAACGCTGAGAAGCCTGGCTCCGGCTCGGAGCCGGAGCCAAGAGCCGGCTCCGGAGCCGTGGCAATCTCTGCTCGTAACTCGACGTATTGAGCCATCTTTCCTGCGATTAGAATAGTTGAAATAGTTTACCGGGCTTTTGGCAAAACGTAGGAATCCTTGGCATTCCGCAACAAGAACTCATCAAACATGGTGCTTGTAAAAGAGACCTGCTGTATACAAGAAAAATTCGCTTACCATGGCTAACGGGTGTCCCGAAATACTTTAATCCTTATTATAAAACCCCGGTTACTATAATTAAAGAAACGAAAATAATTGAAATCACAATCAAAAATCACCAAAAACAAATGCTGCAGTATCCTGTCAGAAACGCTACATGAATTTATGTGGTCTTAAAATAGTTGCGGGTTACTTTACAAAAAATAAAGACTGACAACAAGAGCGATGACGTTGCTCTTGCAACGTTCTCGTACGTGTCTTATAGCGTTTACAAAGACCAGTGATAAGAATATTGTTTATGTTTACGCTTTTTTTCTCTTTGTCAAGAGTTCAAAACCCTGGAGAGGTGGATAACATAATCACATGCAGCAAAACTCGGGTCTTAAATTATTTTTTCTAACTTGAAGTAACGTGGTTTTCTTATTTTTGCTCAGAAGTTTGTTTCCCGCGTGGCCCCTTAAAGCCAATTAATTTTAATAGTCACGCCTGATTGCAAATTACAATCACAATATAAAAATGTCGTCTTCCCGATGTACAGGTTGGGCCACTCGAACCTTCCGTCCTCTTTTTTTAGATTTCTCCGCCGATTTTCATTGAATTTTAGGAAAAATATTCTGAATTGACTTTACTATGCCTTCGAAAAACCGACTGTCTAATTAGGAATGAATAAATATTTCGCAACATTAAAAAATTTCCGATAACATTTGAGCGTATAAAATGTCCCTTTTATATAAAAATTCCGTCTTTTCTTCTAAAAAAGTGTCATTCGCAGGAAATTTCGAGGATTACAAGACCGGAGGCGAGGAATGTCGGCTTTTGACATTCCTTTACACGAATTTATATCTCCGATTCTCTTATCAATCCTTATTTCAAGCAAAAAACTAATTTTTTGCAGGTTTTATTATGTTCTGACCTCAAGAATTGAACTTGTTATATTTTTGCGGGTTTTCCACCCTCTGGACCTGAGGATGGACTTTTTTTAGTAGTTTTTGAGTAACATCTCTGATTTCCTTGTGACTCAGTGTCTTTCGACGATCAATCATGGCCAGAACTCTGAACAAACGGGTCTTGAGTCTTCCTTGGCCATTGCTTTTTTCGCTTGTTCGAGGATTTTCCCGGCCCTTTTCTTTTTCATTTCGAATTGCTTGATTTTGGGTTGTAGAGATGACTTCGGCCTGGGTAACTTTGGCTACGAATGATGGCTATGCTGTCGGTGCTCTTGTCTTGGCCCAATCTTTGAAAGCGGTTGGAACCAAACATAAGATTCATATTTTATACACAAGTGGAGTTTCCAATGAATTGAGGTGGGTGTTTTTCGGTTGCCTTGTTTAGAATCGAAATAGATTAATAGGTAAATGTGATGTAATTTGTGTTTGATTTGAAATTATATAGTGTTTTAGAGAGAAATTTCAAACTACGTTTGATGATAGCACCTTGGTCGACGTGTTGAACAGCAATGACTCTACCAACCTCGCTTTAATTGGCCGTCCCGATCTCGGAGTTACCTTCACCAAACTTCATTGCTGGAGATTAACCCAATACGAAAAGGCCGTCTTTCTGGATGCGGATACGTTGGTCTTAAAGAACTCGGACGAGCTCTTTGAACGGCCTGAATTCGCAGCTGCTGCGGATATTGGATGGCCTGACTACTTTAACTCGGGTGTGTTCGTATTCGTTCCATCAGAGGAGACCTATAAGAAGTTGGTTGCTTTTGGAGTGGAGCATGGCACTTTCGATGGAGGAGATCAAGGACTTCTCAACCAATTCTTTGCTGGGTGGAGGGATTGGAGCTCAGCTCATCGTTTGCCTTTTATCTACAATGTGACTTCTGGTGCCATTTACAGTTATGCGGCTGCGTTAAAGAAGTGAGTTTTTTTTCTTTTGTGAATTGTTTTATTACGCTATTTTCAGGTTGGCTTCTGATATCAAAATTGTGCATTTCCTGGGTGCCCGGAAGCCCTGGCATCAGGCTGGCGGTCAAGTTCACATTTCTGAACATCTGGCGTATTGGCAACAATTGTACCGTGACCATGTCCAATCGTCCCTTCCGCCTCATCTTGTTGTAGGTTTCGATGATGTGACTCCCCTTGAATCTAACGATACCTACCCGACATCTACTAATCAGCTTGAAGAGACACAGCTTACAGTTAGGGTAACATAATTAACAGTTTGAAATGTTATAATGTGCTGTGTAGATGTTGTTTTTATGTTTTTATAGGGTAGGATTAGTCTTTGTGGCCCACCTTTGTCCGTTACTCACCTTTTCCCTTCTCTTGTCCTTGTTGTATTTAGTTTAAACTACGGTTTAAGCTGTTTGGGAGTGGATTCCCACCGCCGAGATCTCTACTTCATAAAGGACATGGACGTCGGAGACACCGAATGCATGATCATGGCTCACAACATCATGAACATTACTCTCCTCCTCAGCAACATTATGAGCATTTTGGGAGAGACCCTGGACGCAACGAAGTTTATATTTCGGGACCGCAGAAACGACCACAGTTTGAGCCGCCCCAAGAAGTACGTCATACTGAGCCCCACTACCAGGAAGCACAACATATCCGTCCTCCAACTCCTCAGCAACATCGCGTACATGTTCACGGGAACGAGCCATTCCAGCATGATACCCAGCATGAAGTTTTTTATCGACACGAACCTCAAAAGCAAGAGATCTGCGTGCCTCCTGAGAGCGATGATGTTTCTCAACCTCAACAAGATTACAGCGAGCATCGCCAATCGCATAGTGAAGTAACTCGTGTGCTTGAAACGTCAAGTAAAGATTGCAATCCACAATCTTATCCCGAAGGACAAGGTGCCGTTTTTCTGCACCCGTACCCGGTTGAATTTGAGTCTCGGGATGACAGAAATGAAGTCGACTCTCAAACTCCCTTCTCGAGCGCATATGTTGCGTCGTCAGAAGGTGGGACTATCACTGCCAAAGGGGTAATATTTCCCTTTTCTTTCGAACCAAACTTCCTGCCATTATAGGTCACTGACCCGACCAGTCGAAGCCTTCGAAAGAGCCTTTCCAATAGTTCCATATCTTCCTTCGCCTCCTCTACGGTGCTTTTGTGTTCTTTTCTTAGACGTTTGTATTTGTTACTTAGAATTGGTGTTAGTCGATTAGATGAAATTTGACTGTGTTTGCTGTGTCAGATGTAAACATAATTTGGAATATATACTTTTTGAGATTTTCATTGAGGTTTTTAAGATTTATTTGGGTTTTGAGTGGTGTTGGGGTTACACTTTTTGCATAGTGATTTTATTATTACATCTATTTTTAGTCGTCGGCTGACGAAAGCAAATGGGAACGTCATTATGAAGAATGGGACCGCGGAGCCATTGATTACACTGGTCGCGATGCCTTTGAGAACATCCAGAAACAGTTCGAAAAAGCGCTCAACGAATGAGATCGTCTGTTTATTTTTTATCTTTTATCTTCGGAATTTTGTGAATCTTTCAGTCTCGTATTATTTTGTATCTTTTTATCTTAATTTCTATGAATCTAGTCCACACTAGAGATGGTGCCTTATCTCCGCAGTTTTTCGATCCGATTGTTTTGAATAAACCAGATATATCAAATCGTTGTGTAATAATCGGGCCATGATCAAGAGACGATTCGAGATAATATCGTGCAGAAATTGGTGGCTCCGCGCGAGTTCTTTCCTCCCGATTCCCCAGTTCAAGGTTATTTTCTTTTTTCTCCAGGTCGCCAGTTACCCTTACTCTGCCCACAAAGAGGAGTCACCTTCCATCTGTTCTCGACTGTCTCCGGAATATGTCTGCATGGGTCAATTTTCTCTCCTATTTTGATTTCCTGGCAGCTACGAGCATTGGATCGGCTCTTTTTCTAGCTCCGGATAAAGTTGGAGATTTTGTCTTTGTAAGTTTTGCCTTCCCAAACGCAACATAACCTTGCATTAATTTACGTATTTCAGCAAAGAGAGACGGATGGAGTTCATTGGCACTTGATCAGATGTGTGGGAGGCCAGATTCTCTCCTCGGCTTCGTTTCTTCGGTATCGCCAGCGGACCAGAGAAACGAGGACTTCCTGTTATTTGGTTCGGATCCTTGCCTGGGCCCTGACTTTACTTATGGTCTTTCACGCCCGCTCGGTCCATCCCAAGCTTCTTCAGCCAGAGGTAGGTCCTTGCCAAGTCTTTGTGAATGTATTTAGTTCGTTAAAATCATCATTTACTTTGGATTTGCGTGCATCGGATTGTGTGTCGTGACATTGGTGGCCACTGGATGGCCGATTGGAGATAAAGTCTACAAAGAAAAGTGGTTTGGCAACTTCTTGTATCAGCTGGATGCCTTGGCCTCGGTGTCGATTGGAATTGCCTGGATCGCTTGTCCCCATTGGCTGTTGCATCGTCAGGTATTAGATTAAATTACTTCCTTATATTGCATATCGTCTAGTCGGGGCTTAATGAGTGTCGTATTTCAGGTAAACATCACCATGGACGAGTCCCACGAGATCTGTGGCCGTTTTATGGGGGTCTTCTTTGTGTCGTCCTACATTCTCAGTACTCACGCGTTGCATTGGAGGGATCTCAGCGATCGTGCATTGGCTGCCGAAGCCCGTGCCGTCTGTTGTTTCTTCATCTTAAGTGCTCAGATTTGGTCTCAGTACGCCTACGAGAGGGATTGGAGTGGATCTCATTGGGTCGGAATCTCACTGTTCTCCATCTGGACTGTTGTTTCGTTCTCTTATCGTATCTATTTGTATTGGACGCTGCCTCAGAATCAGAAGTCGAAGAAACAGTAAACATTCTCAAGTTTCTTTAAAGGGTACTGTATTTTTATCTCATGTTTTAAAGATTGTCATTTATTAATGTAATAAAGCGATGAGAAAGATTAGAAGGTTGACGAGAAAGGCAGTATGCTGAGGTCTGGTGCCTCCATTCAAGGCATTCTGAGGTGAGTGATTGGCGGAGAAAGTGGGCGTTGGAAGAGTTGTCGTCATCTTAGACTCAAAGACATAAAGGTGTGACTGATCTACATCCTGCCAGTAATCAACTGTGAACTCGTGCACTTCTTCAGTTGTCGTTGTCAATTCCGTTGTGAATTCTGTGGTCGATTCGGTTGTTGTAGAAGTTGGCAGCATCCTTGTTGTCAAAGCAATATTTCTCATGGCCCATTCGCATTCTGGAGGTAGAACGTTTCCTCGGGACAATTGCAGAATCTTTTGGTACGATCTTTGGATTGCGTTGTTTACGAGCTTCCACACCTAACATGATATGAAATTACGTTGGTTATATATTATAATTGTCCTCAAATCCGTTTTTTGAATTTTTTGATCACTTACTTCTGTGGCGTTATCTGACTTGCATTTGAACCCGACCTTGACATAACATTCGCTGTGATCATTCATCTTCCTAAATCATACCGTAATTTAAACTTGGAGATGTTGAAAAAACTCGTTTTTATGCGGCCCTAACAAGTTATTTTAGTTCATATATGTTTGAATAATCGTTTGATTACCTGCAAAATGAATCGAGGGAATTTGTAAGCGCTATATTCAATTTGGGACAGAACTTATTGACCTCGTCATGGTGTCTTTTTTCACAGCCAATAAATTCTCCAAAGTCTAAAAATGGGTCAAATTAACTTTCTATTCAGAGACGGCAAGGCTCACTTTTCGGATATGTTCTACTTGTTTCGCAAATCGCGTACCATTGCTCGACTTTGATGAGTTGTAAAGTTTTGGCTCGGGATTCCGAGCACGAGGACAAACAATGCTCGAACTTTCGCATTGAACTGAAAAAGCAAACGTTTTTTATTACTGTGGGTTTAGCTTACTGACAAACCCATGCCAGCTTCCGTTGCGCAACGAGATTTGTTCGACTTTTGGCGAGAATGGCATGAAACGGAGCCAACAATCGACTGTCAACATCCGCTGATTGACCGACAATCGATACGAAAGAACCTCTGAGGGCATTTGAGCAACTTTTTACACACGCCATCCCTGATGGTGAATGGACCACTAAAAAGTTTGCATGTTTTAAGAGTGAATCAAAAAAATAAAATAAAAACGGATTCGAAAGATTACTCATAAACAAGGCCAACTTGACGGCGGAGACAAGGGGTGACTCCAGGCCAATCAGGCCTTTCATGGGCGCGGGAACTTCCGAATTGATCCGCCAGTCCACGAACTCATGCCGGTCCACAGAAGGCGGTGGTGGAGAGCTCTGCAATTAATAAAAGAACTAAAACCCTCAAGATAGCCTCGGGCACAGAACAATCGAGTCGTGGATAGTAATTACTCTTTTTATGTTAACAAAAAATATAGACAGGATGACGTCATCTAATGTTATACCGTTATATCAACAATCACGTAGTGCCTCCCCCGAATTACTATGACAATGACTACGCCACGCGGAACGACCGTTAATGAACTTGCCTAAGGAAATTAACGCTCGAACAAGGCCAATTGAAGGACAAGGAAAAAAGTTGTAAAAAGAGTTTTCTTTGGCGAATAAAGTCAGAAAGTGGCGGGTGTGTGGCTGGCAGGCTTGGCCTAAATCGGGGAGGACCACCAGATAATTATAGAGAAGGTGAAAGAAAACAAAAAAAGTTCAAACACAATCCACTAATATGAGAATAATAACAACTCCAGCATCCGCCCATTTCCGGCATAATTAGTTCTTGGAATTTATGTGCCAACAATAGTGGGCCTAATACAATTATGAGCTTCCAGCACATGAATGGATGGACTGTGTAAACAAAAATCTTGATAAAGTATCCAAGGAAGATGTAGTTGTGGAAGACAGCAGAAGGAAGTTGTCATAAAAACAACATTATGTCATAATACAACGAAAACAAAAGAGAACCGGCAACTGAACAAAGCGTTAGTTATCTGGCGACCACAAAGGTGTCAACAAAAAGTTCACATTCTTTTTTACTCTAGTTCATGTTGAACTTTCCGTTATTTCAGAGAATAAATTTCTTTGAAATGGTCGTTTTTTAGAATGTCGAGGATTTAATGGGGATGGCCCCGAGGTATTCGAATAGCCAAAAAAATCCCACGAGATTGAAAGTCGTGGAGTTTCTATGGAACTATAGCATCTTCGGGAAATGTCATCGTATCCTTCCCTTCCCCTAAGGCATAAAAAAGAAAAGAAAAAAGAGAATGAAGACCACAGGAATGGACAGGTCTTCGTCACTCACCATGTCGCAGGTCGCCTCCTTCACACCTGACTACACCAAGGGCGGGTCATGGTTGTTATTCTTTTGCTGGTCTTTGGCGTCAGACTGGGCTCCAAATGGAAGAGGATTTCCTTTCAGAGTATTCTGCAAACTCGGATTATGTGGGTTGTAAACACAATGCAATAGTCAAGAGGAAGTACAGGGTGTTCCGAAAATATCGTCAAGGTATCCAAAAAATTCATTTTGTGGGATAAAGAAGAACATGGACTGTGTTTGGACCAAAAAATATATACTCTCCGCCAACATGGAAAGTAGTGCATTCGGCGGAGACTTTTGTGGTACTTTTTGGTCATCACACCGCGGTGTCGTGCACAGATCTTAAACGCTGTAATGGATAAACTTCTTTGGTTTCTCGCACTGATTGCTCTGCCGGAGCAAGGGGAGCCATCCGGCATAAAAAATTGTTGCCTTTGATGAAAGATTGGGTTTTGCAGTCCGCTTGCCCCATTCCCGCATTTTTTACACTTCTCAAAACTGTAAAAATTACCTCCGCCGAATTCTCCGCCAGACTTTAAGCATAAGAAAAGAAACTTAAAAACAAGATAAACGATAACGTTAAGTGACTAGCCAAAGATTCCTTTTTGCCTAAGCCACAAAACGGCCTCCGCCGGTAAAAAAAGTCTCCGCAGAGCCCGCCTGGTCTTTTTATAATTATTATTATATTTTATTTCAACTTTATTGCAATAAGTTCTGTAATAAGTATGACATGCTCAAGTGCTAAGAAAGGTTCACTCTTTTAGGGATGGCGATAAATTAAACTGCAAAAATAATAAGATGAATAAAACCCATTTCTCGGCCGGATATTATGATATATAGCCTGAAGGGACGTCGCAAATCAAACGAAAACATATCCAATACATGCACGTTTTCCGGCCTTTAAAAAGAATTACATAAACGATTCAAGAAGAGAGAGGCCAAGGAGGTGAGGACGTAATAAGAAAAGAATCCATGACAACATGGGACCCGACTGATCGTCGCCCTTCCTTCAAGCACGAAGAGGCAAGCTTGGGAAAAGTAAATTTAGAACAAGTGAGGGTCGACTTGACAACTTCCTCTCACAACGGAAGTCTGAAACATTTGATTAAATCAGACTGTCTCAGGAATCGTTCCGTTTATATATTTATTTTACTTCAGATGAAATTAAAAGGAGGCCGTTAACGAAGCTACTCAATTACTTGGCCTGCTGACGACTTTGGAGGATTTCCTTTCGAGTCGCGTCTTGCAGTAGATTCGTGTCTATTCCATCAGTGGGAAGATGAATATAACGGACAACAGAACCTCGAACAAAACAATTCTTGACGGAGATCATGTGAGGGAACTTCTCCTGATCTTGGACTGTGATGTCAATAAGCTTGACATTTAGATACTGATCCACAGAATGCAAAGTTCCGCAAATACTAAAATTCATTTACTTATTACAGAAGACATCCAGAAGCGCGCTCCATGATTTAAAAAAAACTTACCTGAGATCATTCTTGAGTTCAACAATAACTTCCCTCCCCACCAGTGATTTGAAAAAAGAGAAAAACAACTAAAATGATTCAAATTTACCCATTTATCATGGGACTTACCATTGAAAAAAGGGGAATTGAATGAGACGATGAGAAGATAACTGAAAATATTCTAGAAAAAACTAACTTCAGGAAGTATAAATTTGATAAAAACAAAAACGCAACCGCCAATTATACAGGAGGGATTTATTCATCACCTTTCCACCAGTTCATTTCAACATACGATGGAATTACCGAATTAGAAGTTACAACAGCCAAAAGAACTGCTTTTCCAACTTGACCTGCTACTCGTGACAATGAAAGGACATCAAGGGGGTAAATACTATCTTCAGATCTTTTACAATACACCATAAACCTTGAGTGTTCTTCTCCTGGGGACTTCTCGTACGCCAAGTAATCACATCCAAATTTTTGCCCTGAGGTCAAATAAAATCCCTTTCTCCAGAGATCTCTAAACACCGTTAATCGAGCGCGATAATCAATGTCATCAGGGAACGGAATGTCTTCTGCAGATATCATCTCATAACAATCCAGAGGACAGCCTAAAAAGATGAATAACAGAACGAAGAGCACACCGCTTACCATAACATACTCGTATCACATCGTCGGGAACGGTTACTTTTTGATGCTTTAGTTCCTGAAAGACCTTCTCTATTTCTAGCTCATCCACTATAACGTCATTCATTTCCTTCATGTCAGCTTTCTTAATTCTCAGAACTTTAGCCGGGACATTATCCCCCAAAAGTTTCCGTTTCCGATTCTTCAATTCTCTTTTTTTGGCAATATCAACAGCTCTAATTCGAAGTTCCTACAAAAATAATTGTTGCCAATAAACCACAAACGCCAACCTCAAGATTCGTATTACCCGAAGTGGTACTAGAACAAGGCTCGTCAGAAAGTCCATCAAAATTGCGCACTTTTCTCACAGTCACCATGCCTAAAAAATAAAGGAACAATATCCATATGTCTTACCAGCTTCTACTAATACTTGTACCTGTTCAGCTAAGAGGTAAATGGGACAGAAATTCCCATCTGCACTACGTTTCTCTTCATTTAGAGAGCTGCCAACAATTCTGCAATATTCTAGGAGATTTGCAAACCCTAAAACTGAATCGAGACGTTATGATATACTCACCATCACAATCAAAACAGACAAATTCGTTACCAATTATGTCTACATTTACCTTTTTTCCTTCAGAACAAAACATTTTATAAAAAAGTAAATTATGGGAAAAAACTTGACACATAAAAGCTTCTTTGTGTCAAGGTTTCCTCTCAGCGGCAAACTCTTTTTCAAAAAAAAAAACAATAATATATTTTTTTTGATTTTTGCAGATGCGCCACGGCTTGCCCACATTGACCAAAATCGTAGAAAAAAACGTACACGCCCTTCGCAGGTCGCGCCCGACTCTTGAAAAATTCCCGAGAAGTGGACCTCAGAGTTGATGCTCAAAAGGTGCAAAGCGCATATTATCACATAAAACAACCTTGATAATTATTTTCTTTGAATGTCTACCATCTATTTAAGCTATTACTTGTATCGGTACCATTTCTGAATCGGGAGATACGAGGCCCTCAATATCAGCAATTTTGATGTATCTTGTACAACATGTATAAAATCAAACAAATGCAATAAACGAAATGTTCTCTGCTAAGTCCATGTAGACGTCCCAGACGATGCTCCAGAAAAAGTTTCATCTTAATTGGGCCATTTTTTGATACACTTCAACGTTTCCCACTGCAAATAGCGGGGGTGCCTACCTTTGAAGTCCTATTGCTCTGTGAAAAATTATAGATTTCACAGCTTCTTTGTATTAATTGACACCCTTGATGTTCTACTATTAGGTCCTGTACTTTTTACAGCTTAAAAAATTACGAAAAAAAAGTTATGTCAAAATTTGTAAAAAGGTGACAAACAAGTCCCCAAGTACAATATGCCACAACATACGTAAATGTTACAATTTTCAAAATGTTCTCTGCTAAGTCCATAGCCAACCTATCAAAGAGCATATAGGCAAATTTTGACGATTTTGAGGCAATTTTTTGATAAACTTCAACGTTTCCCATTGATTTAGGGTAATATTTCGAATATTTGAAATCCATCGATTAACAATCTTTCATGTGAAGAAAAGGGTCGGTTAACAATTTCCTAGTTCTAAAAACGTCAAAGGATGCTCATGGATGCTTATTATGTTCGTTTTAACACAATATGGTTAATATTGAATATTGATGACTATATGCAGGTGTAATGTGACTTACCACAAAAACTCAGATGTCTGGATTTAGAAAACCCTATCTAAAATTCCACAGAACGGGTATAAAGCCCATATAATCCAAATATAGGCTTTTAAACCGAGGTTTTGAGCATGTTCAACGTTTACCACTAGGCAAGTTCAATATCTGGAAATTACAAATCTCGTAATTTCATTAAAATAGGTTTTAGTGTAAGGTATTGCTGGGTGTCCATAGCATTTTTTAACTGGCCTTGTCAATTGAAGACAAATTCAGCATTGCATCATTCAAAAATATTGAGGTACCCTCGATTGCAGTTGACGTATGCATCAATACCGAAAACAATTGATGGGGGACACAAGGCTCGGTTTGCTTTGAAATATTAGAAGATTGCGTAAGGTACTAATAACGATACATACACTTGTTGCAATTTTAAAGCTTTTTGACAGATTTTGTGAGATTTCACAGGCGAAGTCATAACATTTACCCCTAGGTGCGTGGCAAGTATAGCATTCGCGCGTATGTAAGTCAGAATGGCCGATATTGACGATTAAAGTTTGTGCATTATTATTATCAAACAAAGCCTATTCTGAAGCATCCTTTGATGGCAGCATCAATGTACTATCCATGTTTACCAAAATTCATTAAATTTAATGTACAAGAATAATATTTTTGTGCTAATAATATGTGTGCGTTGATGTAAAATGGGTTTTCTGACAATTCCTATCAATATCGACAGTTCTGCTTTCATTCTAACATTAAAATAAGATTAGAAACGTTTCATCGTATAAAATGTCGCTAATTTTTCTATGGACGTTTTTTTCTACATTTGGGCAAGCCGTGGCGCATCTGCAAAAATTTGCGCATCGCGTCGGATCACGGTGCATTATTTTTTTTCAATTGTATGTTTGTACGTAGCTTATGTGTTTTATGTTGAATATATTAGACGCTTTAATGTGTTTTTTGAAGGAATTTCATTTTGATTTGATCTGACAGGTTCACTCCATCAAAATTTCGTGGACGTCTTTACAATATTTTTTCTTGAAACGGAGTCTATTTTTTTCCCAAAGTGTTTAGGTTTCCCAGCGTTGAGGGAGTAATAACAAGGTTAACATAAAACATTGTGCCGGAGCAGCTGTCAGATTAGAGACCGGGTGGGGAAGAAGTGCATAATTTCCGTTTTCGACGGTTGCCCATTTCCTTTGCGTTGCCGAGAATAGTCGCATCCAAAAAAAGGACGGATGCCTTTGGACCGCTCTTTATGGCCACAAAACTCGATTAAGACAAGGCCCGAGCTGGGCCAAGGGACACGATTTTGAAGACGGGGGTGATTTGGGGTTCGTTAAGGAATTCCTTTTTGCGTGGCCGCCAATTTCTATTCTAAATCGGTTGGGCCGCGCAGCCATAAGGGAAAATTCGATCATTCTGAAGAGTCAAAATGGACGGGCGAGGGGGGGGCGTGAGTGGCCGCAGTTCTTGGGATCGAGGTCATATTATACATGTTTCTGAAATGAGTCAGAAAGAGCGGCGAGATGCCTTTAATGAATTCTGTTTTATGATTGTCGATGGTCTGATAACCTCCTTACCGACTTTTCTCACACTTTTTATCTTTTGTGTGGTAGCTCTTGAGTTCTGTTTCTTTCCCAGGTCATACTTTAGAACGTTATGTTATGATAAGTATGTTTGATGTATTGTTTATTTCCATATTATCGTATCCCGGGATATTCTTTGCCGATTGTTCATGCTTCCACGGAGCCACATAAATTTAAGTTTTTTCTCGAGATCCAATGGTCATTCCGACCTCATTTATGCGAGCCATTGTGCCCGGCGTCTATTCCAGCCTTCTACCCTAATTGAGTCTTCGAAACCTTTTTTCCATTTTCGGCCAAAGGAATGCCCTGAGGGCGATTGCGAATGGAACCCGGTTTCTGACCAACTTTTGATGTTCTCCCAGATTTGAAGAGCTGTCCCAGACTCGAAATGCAATCCGATCGGCGGCGGGAACATAAAACCGGGTCTGTTTGGCCAACAAATCCATAAACCGATCCTCAAAAGCGATCCCCGGTTCTTCTCTGTTAATGACTCTGCGCTCAAGGTGCGCGTCTAATCGAAGGGCATAAGGGAGTTAAAAGAGGGCAGTCGGCGGCTGCGACGGCGTCCTTTTCGCCTCTATGTATGGCCCCACTAACCGCACCGATCGGATCCTTTTCTTGCCTCGGCTTCGCTCTTGTATTGCGTCTTTAAGATATTAGCGTTGCGATGATAAGTTTGTGCCAAATGATTTTTGTTTTTTGTGATATCTGAATATTTTCTTTTGTATGAGCCGCGATTATAGTTACGCTAAGCACATGTAAATATTCTTTTCTATTTTTGTACGCTGAGTCTATGGTGTCAGTCAAATGGATTATTCTGCATATACATATCACTGGGTAATGGTCATTCTACCACCGATTGTCCTCTCCGTCTCCAGATTCTTGTCGTTTTTATGAGCCATATAAAGGCGCCTAAAACCGGGCCCAAACCCGGTCGTTATAAAGTGCCTCCGGCGCGAATTGCACGGAATTTCCGGCGAGCGAGATTTCTCCGGGTAATGGCGCTCGGACCCTCGGGGTGGAATCAAAGTCTCATCGACATTTGTTTCACACTGTTGCGCAATTGTGTATTTTTTGGTGGTCAATTACTGACCGCCAACCACTCAATGACGTTTTGTCGAGGATCTGGAGAGCAAAGTATCTGACTGCGTGCGATGAAATATGGTGAATATGAAGACCGGGGGCCCTCTCGCACCACAGAGGATCGGGTTTCGCGATTTGCATGCACTAAAAGCCGCTTTTTCGATCATAATAATTTGCGGACAACTGGACTCGGACCTTCTTGGCCTGCATTTTTGATTCTCGGCCAGCGTAAGGTGAAGTGAATTGTAAATGTAAGTATATCCGCAAGGTGCACTTAGCAATCCACACGGGATTGGTCTCAGATTTTATGGCCAACATTTGTTATGGGGCGGAAGAGGGATTTTCCCTGTAACATTAACAAAAGCTGTCGATAAACACCAGCTTTTATTTATGTGGGGAATGTCGATAAAATGAAAGAGTCGGGCCTTCGCGTCGATCTGATTTGAATGGGTCTGATCGGCCAATTCCAAAAGGACGCGCACAACTTTTCAGAGCCACTTAATGCGGATTTCGGAGCATTTACAAAATGCCTCCGGTTGTTGTAAACCAATTTTACGACTTTTTCGTTCGCTTAATGTTCCTCCGCTTCGAGTACATCTGCCTCTCCAACCTGATTTCCATATTTTATGGCTAATATCAAGTGGATTAGCGAGATCTTTACGAGGGGATCTACATGGATAATGTTGTGGGTTCTGGGCGATCCTGAACGGATCCTGCCCAATATATTAAAAATGTCTTATATCTTCTTGTTCGCAGGGGTTAATCCAGTTCTCGAGTTTCCACTTAATTAGGGTCAATCTTGTCCTCGTCATCGCCTTTGTTTCACACGCCCAATTTGAGGTCGGACTCCAAAACCGGACCCCCTAAAGGCTGGTATAAATGACTGATGAGGGACGGGACTCCCGAACGGCATCAGCTGCCTTTGTTTTGACCCGTTCGCACCTAATGTCAGCTTCGGGTCTTATTCTAATTCGTTTCAATTAAATTTAAATTCCAGGGAGCTTGGGTCGAAGAGTTTTAGTTTCCAAAGATACCTTGGTTGGTCTGTATAGGTATGTATTCCTTTGTTTTGTAATTTTATGCCGAAGCGTATCCCACCCAAAATTCTGGCGAGGGGGGGGGGTATCTGGGGATGAGGGTCTATTTTTTAGGTCGCAATTGACTAGTTACCTGTAAGAAATTTTACCTTGATCCCCTTGACAACTTTTTCCGACCGCAATCTCCGCGGAATATACGACTAGGAGTAATACCTAGAGCACCGATAAAAAATTATCTTCAAAATTCTTACAATGTGCAACTTGAATGACGGATTTTCTGGATTTTTTCGCGGCGACAAGTTTTGGAATCCCGGAATTTCTTTACGTGTTCCGGTCACATCTTGGAATAATTTGTAATTTATTTCGTTTCCAAAAAAACAAGGGTTGTTTGCTCGTGCCGAAACCGCGAAAACTACTGGTCAAATGCCGGAAATGAATGGCTCGTCTGGGGTTTGGATAAGAAAGCGGAGGTCTGTGAAGCGGCCAAAGAATCCCTTCGAAGATGTATCGCCGCGTAAACACATTCTCTGTAACATTTTTCGGGGTATACCCTGGGGGCTTGGAATTTATTTCAATTTCGAATCGATCCTCGACCACAAAAAATATCCGATGTTTTGATTGATTTGTCCACATGTTCAGTTTAAAACCCCAAGCTGACCGACCGCGGTGTTTTTTAGCGCCGGACATTTGTCAAAGTCTGCCTGGCCGGCTCTGGTTGGTATTGCGGAATGTCAGACGCCTATTCCTCGACCTTGAGGCCTGTCATTAGGATGTCTCCGGACGCTTTGCGCCTTCGATCTTTCTTTTACATAATCCTACAGGGGGACGCGTGATGATTTCGGGAAACCCCGTGGAAAAGGCCGGATACAAAGTCGCCCCAGTTTCACATGAATTCCTGCGATTATGCCAGGATGATGTCTGCTCCAGGCTGACCACTTCGAAAGTTCTGTTGGGAATCCAATTTAAATTCTCCTTACTGGCCTTCTTTTTCGGGTCCTACAAGACTTTTCCCCCTTTTCAGAATAAAGATGGGATGTTTTGTCTTGATCAGTTTTGGATATCCATCTGGAAAATATTTTTTTCAGATTGTTTCATCATTTTACAAGAGGTCCTTTCCCTCGCTTTACTCCGGGCCAATGATATCAAAGAGAACGCCTCGTCTCGCTTGTTTATAACGCCGTCGATTTATTCAAATCTTTTACGATCAACAACTTTATGATATCGCCCGGTCTTTTTTCGTACGGTTCCTTTTGTTTTTTATTATATTGTTTATGGGTTTTCTTTTCGGGAATCGAAATCAGCGGCTTGTTCAGCAGTTTATTATCGGGATCTGTTTGCCGAGTTTTAAGTATCGTTTCCTAAGATTTTTTTTTCAGAATGAATAATAATTTCTATACGTATGGCAAAGAGAATATTTGCTCGGGGGAACTTCTTTTCCCGGCGAAGCGAAGTAGTAGCCATGGCAGAAAGACCAAAGGACCTTCTACATCAACCAAGATTAATGAATGCCCACCATTTATTCCATCCCTGGCCATTAATCGAGATATAGCTACTACATTCTCCACGACGTCTTCGGTCTCTGATGACGAAGTGGAGAAACGTCACCGATCCAAGCGCGCATGTCCCGGGAGAACGGTCTACAGTACATCGGATATTACGTCTGACTCTTCCCAGTTTTCCCATCACCAGTTCGAACGGAATTTCAACTATCCGTGTGATTCCAGTGATGAGTATGATGATCGTCTAGATGCTGTCTCTCCGGTTCAGTTGGACCTTCAACCTGATGTGACGGATGAGAGTGATCTGCCCCCTCCATTGGAACTGATTCCTGGCCGTTATTACGCCAGCGGCCCTTCTAGTCCTCAAATGATGCCGAATAGGCCAGTCAGGGAACCTAAGAAACAGAAATCGACGGAACCTGTATCCATTTTCGACAATAATTTTGATCGATTCAATCGACCTGAGGAATATAATTTACCTGGAGGGTTGGCAAAAATGTTGGGATGTCATGGTAATGTTTGCACGAATTATTGACGCTTTTGCAATGACAATTTATAATATTGTATATTTTTTAGGTATCCTTTTCCTCAAATTTTACGTCGACGTCATTCAAGGCACGATTGAAGTCGTAGTTGATAAAGGAGCGTTCTTTCTGAACCGTTACGATGAGGTCTTCTCCAAAGTTAGAGTTGAAATTCATCAGAATCCAAATTTCAATTCAAGTAATCGGAAGAGAGGGAGGAAAGATCGAAACTTCCCGTGTTACGAGAGTCATGTAGTTGAAGGACACAACCCCAGATACAAACTCAAGTTCCCCATCGAATTGACGGAATCTAATTTTGAAAACCATGACAAGCTCGGGATCAGTGTGTTCACCAGGGATCGAGAAGATGAAGATGGTCGATGGGTGGGCAGCAGACTCGGACAGATGGCCTTCTCGATCAGGAAGTTGTATCTTAAAGGGAGAGATGTAAGTTTAGAATTTATATTCATAGCTATGGGTAGCACGTGCTCGGAAATGTAGTCTGAGAACTTGCAGTATCTCTTTATTTTGTTATGTTATACTATTACGTGAATTCAGGCGGCCAGAGGTCATCGGCATCGATCCTCCAAGATGAAGCTACGCCCGGTGAGTTCCGAGTCTATTTCTTGAATACTTAAACGGCGGTGGAATCTCTGCGGAGCCATTAGAAGTACAATTGGATTCTAGAGGAACATAAATTTTGCATTTATGAATTCCAGCGAAACTAATGAAACACTCAGATTCGTTTTAAATATCTAATTTCAGGTTCTGAACGGCGGTTACTTTTTGTTGGGCCCGGAGAAAGGAGAGTCTACAACGATGTCACAGGATAAGGTAGGTCGAGTCTCTCCAACAACCGGCTTTACATTATGATTAGATGCCTTCCGGAGGGGAAATGCACTCATAACCGGGTTATTTTGATTGAATACTATCGAAGGGGGTTAAAAGACGTCCGTAGAACTATGGTTATACGATAAGCTAGGTCCGTGTCCCACTGTCTGGGCAAGAAATTACCGTTTTTTCAAATACATGTATACCCTCCCATTGCAGATTTTGACCAACAAGTTTTACGACGTTGGCGGTGGAAATTCAATGTTTTCGACTTCATCTTCGACTTACTCGGCGTCGCCAGTCAAGGTAGGCTACTCTCTGCCCTCAGGGGAACATCTTATCTTTATCTGACCAATCTCTGGCTTTCCTTTTTTGGCCACGGATGTTTTATTAGCGGCATTCGAAGGGATTTGAGGCCGTTGAATGACCGGTTCAGCCTGTGCACGCATCGACTTAATGGCTGGATGTACATACATCCATCCGAGGGGATTTACATACCAAGGGGGTGAATGCTGGGGCTAGGCGAAAGTCAATGTCAGGCAGAGGCTCTGTTCTGTTTTGGCGTTGTATTAAGGGGATTTGGGTGAGAGGATTTCATCCTTCAAATCCTTGTAACCGAGTGTAAAAACAAATGCCGAGTGGGGCCGGATTGGCAATGGGGCAGCCGGTCCGGCTCATTTTGCCTTAATTTAGATATTACAGAAGTCCTTTATCAATTCCCTCCCTCGTATCAGAACTCCGACTCTATTTTTAGTAGGTCTCCATCTTCCGCAACGCTGACGCAGATTCTGGTTATGTTTTTAGTCGGGATTAGGGGGCTGGACGGGCTCCGATACTACCTAAGATATGATGCTAACAGGGAGAGGGTTTAGCCATTCGCTTAGAGAAATAGTATTATGGATATTTGGGGTTAACGGATCTTTTAATAACTTCTCTGTCGAGCCTTATAATTTTTGTTTTTTTTATGTGGGGTTGTCGTTTCACCGGTTATTCAATTTCCAGAGTTGCATGTATGCTTTGCGATCCTTTCTTTCCTCTGTTCATGTTATTTTGTTTGTTATCAGCATCACCTTTATTCTTTGCACTCCCACCCTCCAACCGCCCCCTAATCACTCTATTTCTATGATGTAAGCATCTCAATTGCGTCTAATTATGGGCACATTGAGAATGAATCGATAGTGTTAATCAGTATTGTTTTTTGGCGGTGATGTGTCATTTCCCAAAAGGAAAATGGGTCGAACAAGCCTAAGTAAGAAGGGCTGGACCCGCCCTTGCTTCCTCGATGCAAGCTCGATTCCTTAAATTTCCATAAATGGCGTCTCATTCGCTCAGAAGCCGGACACCTGGTTGCTTTTTTCGTTTGACGCACACCTGGACCCCGATAGGACGGGCGAACGGCCGGCAACGGAACATTGGGCCGCTGTCTTGCCCTGGAAAAGCAAAAGAGCTCTCTCATTTAGTGACGCCTGGAATCGAATTAAACGCGGCCTGAAGGGCCATATGTATATCATATCATGACTTCTACTATTATGAACTCGTCTTGGCCTGCGCCTACATCCAGGCGCTGGGCCAAGCCCACACGTCCAACCCCGATCACCTGTCCCACTGCCTATATGCTCCATTCATCGGCGGTGGCGCTGTTATGCGAGGTAATTGGTGCTGTCCATCGGGATGCTTCTGTAGTATCTAAGCTAATCACTGCATGCAAATTACTGCCAACGCGCTTGACGTCAATCACCGTTAATGTTCGCATGCAAAGTTTCTTTATCTGGGCTGTTATCAGTCATCGTCGTGGTCACCTGTTCTTCGTTTATTCTTCCTTTTTGTCCTTAGTTTCTCGCGGTTTCCCAAAACTTTTTGGTCTTCTTGTTATGAGATTGGTGCTGATGACATTCGCTTCTCTTCCGTTTGGCCACTGCTGACAGCCGTGGCCAGGGGGATGTATCAAAATTTCTTCAAGTTTGCCACCTTCAATCATCTGCTTGTTTCAGATGATGGGCGAGGATATTTGCCGCCGACCCTTGATGAAAGAGGCACGGGGTTCGGCCTCGACTTCCACTTTGGCCGATCCCCGCCGTCACTCCCTTCAAATCAACACCAAGTCCCGAAACAATAATATCCGATCCTTGGCCGGTTCCTCCAGGGTTCCCCAATATGTGCCGGCTATGATGCAACAGTCGGCCGCCCTTCCCCTGGAATGCATTGGGATGGCGCCGCGGAAGAAAGTCAGTCTCCCCGTGCGCGCCATCTCCCAAGACCAGCAGTTCAAAAAGAAGAAGGAAAACCTTGACACGATGAACCTCAGCTCCTCGTCCAACTCTTTCAGCTCTACTGGCGCCGAATACAAAAGTCGACATCGGCATACATTACCATACCTGATGACCACAAGTAAGCCCTTTCTTTTACTTAGTCCGTATAAACGACGAAGGGAAAGTAAACCCCTAGGGCTTAAAAAATCTCGGTTAAGACTTTTGACGGCGTCTGGTGGCACTTTATCAAAGTGTCTAATCCTTATTCTATATTTCTCTAAAATGAATAAAAGGGAAATGTGGGCCAAAAAAGGAGGCCGGTTAGGACTTCACCTCTCACCCCGAATACCTTGAACTGGGACCCCGTGTTCGGAGTTTTTTGTTTTTTCCGCCGGAACCACGAAATTCCGTCGACGGCCGAGGTGAAGTAAAGGGAGATTAGATTCGAAGTGCCCGTGGATGAGTGAGTGAGGGGTGAGGAAGGACCTCAAGCACTGCCAATGGAGAAGCGGCCCTTCGGACTGACCTCGCCCAGTTTGGACGCGCCGTTTAGGTGGGAGAAGACGAGTTTATTGAACTCGACTTCTGTCGAGACTCCCAAGTCGACTGAGATATTCTCTGGCTTCTGTTGGGCCTGTCGTTAGCCATTTGACCTGGACGGCACGAGGGATTCATCCTTTTTAAGGATCTTCCTCCACACCTTCCAACCAACCTATTTTCTAGACCCTAATAATTATAATATTTTGCAACGGGTTCCTTGACCATGCCTTTTCACGGTTGGCGGATCCAACGCTCCACCCGTTCACAAGAAGAGCCTGGGGGTTCCAGAATATTGGCTCGTCTCAAGAAATCAGTTATCAAACCTTCTCTAAGTCAAGATGATTTAGCTGACACCTCCGATTTCTCCCAAGCCCCCACCTTGCCGGTTCCCGGCTGTTCTGCCGATCAGGAGATCAACTACGGAATGCTGTATGCCGACACGGCACCCACCCATCATGTCCCACCTCAACGACCAGTCAAGGAGAGCAAGTCGGTCGATCTTCCGAGGAAAACCCTCTCCACACAGCCAAGCGTTTCGGGTGAGATTAACTCAAAAAAATCATCCGCAAATCATCCTTCAGTCAGACGGGTAGCCTCCTTCACTTATTCCAATGATAGTGTCAGCGACAAGAACAATAAAAGGATTCAGCCTTCGGGGAATAGCACCAAGTTCAAGTTGTAAGCTGTGATTAAAATTAGTTGAAATTATTTTCTCTTCTTTCAGACCAACTACGATAAGCAAGATCGGGAACTTCCTCAGGAACCGGGTCGAAAGAGTTGATCTCACTTTAAGCACGAACAGCCTTTGCCCGACCAGCGATGAGGTTAGGTCGTGGCAAGATTCATTCGAAAGCCTTCTCAACAACAAAGTTGGCTTGGAAATGTTCAGACAATTTGTGATAGGAGAAGTCAGTTCCGAAAATTTGGACTTTTATTTGGACGTAGAGGAGTACAAAAAGTGCAAAAACAAGGCCAAATTAAACCAGAAAAGCCAAGCTATCTTCGACGCATACTTCAGAAAAGATGCACCTAGAGAGGTTTGTTTTCAATGAGATTATTAATAAAAATATAAATGAAATGGACACGCTTTTCACTGTCCGAACCAAGAAGAAACCCAATTGGTGTTTAAAGTTACAAACAATCTTCTAGTAAGAAAAACATATGTGTAAAATATGTATAGTTTTTTGCTTTAATAGTCACCGATATCATGTATAATATCGTCAGATTTCACATTGCATGTTTATCGTGTGAATTACTCGGACGTAAGAGTAAAATACGCTACTAGGCGGTTAAAATAATATGCGAAACGTTCACATCAAAATATGCTGCTAAAAATTGATTTATGCACAAAAGGATTCTGATTTGCGGGACACTGAGAAGTTTTTTTGCGGACAGCGGAAAAGTTTTTCCCTGACGACAAAAAATAGTGAAATTATTTGATGATTTTATTCATATTCTTATCCTTTCCAGATTAACCTTGATGCGGAAACCAAAGGACTAACTCTGAATGCCATCGATCAAGGACTGAATCCAGAAACTTACAACCTCGCCCAAAACAAGATATTACAATTGATGACAAAAGATTCCTATCGGCGATTTCTCCAATCAAAACTATACTTAGATCTCCTGAATGCTACAACTCCGCCTCCCTCGGCTTCCCTTCCTGCTTCCTCGCCTTCTCCTCGTACTAGTCCCTCTCCTTTGGAAGATCCGAGCTCAGGCAAGGCTAGTCCAGTCCCCTCCCTCCCTTCTCGACGTCATACTGGTCTCCCTAATGATCCCTCAGTACCTACGATTACTGAGTAACATATCACTGTTACGAGTTAATATATATTGTCTCTAATTGTTTGTAAATAATCGCAGTGGCGGTGTTGTGTATTGAACATGTTACACTAAGGGGTATTCAGAAAGTGCTATTCGTCCGTAAATTGTATACTTATCTGTGTCTCACTGCTATTTTAACGATCATCAAATGATTGCGAACGGCACTTTCTCTCCCATGAATGTAATCGCAATAAAATGGGTCTGTGTGTGAAATCATGTAAGGCGCGTGCGGTATATTTCAAACCTGAGTCGGTTGCAGAAAACCCTCATTCTGTGACTGTAGGCCCTCAAAACAAAGTTTGCGGGGATTCTGTCTAAAACGGAACCAAATGTGAATCTTTTGTTTGACAAGGAAAGTGTTTGGTATGGAGTTTTAGGGACACATCAAAAAATGGTAGAATTATGCTGAACAAGAACATGCAAAAATCAGCCGCCTAATTTTTGTTTGTAAGGGCGAAAACACAAGGGCTCGGCAAAACCTCGTCTCCTGGTTTTCCTTGAAACTACACCATTTGAAAAAGCGTAAAAAACTGGTCTAGAATCACCCTTAATTAGCTGCTAAGATTCTCTTACGTGCTAGTTAGCGGGCATTTTCAAAAAAAAATCCTAATGGGTTTTGGGACCCTTTGCTTCTAACGAGGTCGAATAACCACCCTTCGTATAAAAATATTAGTCGCCTATGACATTGAAAGCTTCAGCCAAGATCAAAAAATAAAAAATTTTTTCCGAGCTTGTAACTCTCACGTCGATGCTCTCAATGAGTGGTTATGCGATGTTTTAGGTCCTGCAGCCCAAAACAAAATTTTTGAAATGTTTTCGCTTTGGGACTTGGGAAAAAGAATTTTTTGGAGAGTTTGAACAAATTTTTGAAATTTTTTCGAAGCGAAAACATTTCAAAAATTTTTTAAATTCACCAAAAAATTCTTTTTTCCCAGTCCCGAAGCGAAAATATTAAACGGTATCGTTGACCCGAAATGTCGTTGACCCAAGTTGTCGCGACCCGAGTTGTCCCTGACCCGAAATGCCGGGACGCGTTTTTCAGGTACTTTCCGTAAATGGGCATTCCTAGTAAAAATATTAAAGCCGTTGAAGTTGCTTTTTTTTTTGTAAATGTAATCCCAGTGTAATACAACAAAAATCTATTTGAAAATTAGAGATTACTTTCTGCGCCTTACGCCGTGCTTTTGAGTCGATCGCCTTTGTTTTCTTGAAAGAAGAGTGAGACTATACTCAAGCACGTCAAGAGTTTGAATCATGCTTCAAGCCTCAAACATTTAAAAAATTTTTAGTTACGAAAACCAATGTCTATACTGACTGACCTGAATCCCTGGTGTGACACATCGGAGAGTTGGTTCACAATACTGTATCAGTATAAAAACAATAAAGGAACTTACAGGGGAAGTACCTCAAGTGTGACGCTCTAAATTCTAAATTTATGCCAAGTTTCATCAAAATCTGAGCGTCACACTTCAAGTACTTCCCTTGTTAGTTTTGTATCATATAGCGGCTTAAAATCAGAGTAAAAAATATGGGTCATCTTAAATAACATCTCATATATCGGGCTTTTTAAAATCGCGGCCTTTCGTGTTGCAAATAGTGGTCAGGTTCTACTTCTTAAGGATACATTTTTATTTGACAAAAGCTACGGAGAGGCCAATTTGTAATCTGTGTAGGTAACTGATACATTAAACGAAAGCCTGAGATCTCAGCTACAAAATGATGTTTATAATATTTCGAAATTCCATCATCGCTTGTCTTTTTTAGAGACTTTACACTTTGCCCCTCGAAGAGGGGCATTATTTGTTAGAATACCTAATAAAATAGAGCTGTTAGTAAGGTAATATGGAATCCGTCATCTATTGGACAACACCAAAGTCTATTGGTTCATATTGCGCAGTCTCCGTTGCTCCGCAATAATCGATCTCATGGTCTCCGAATTGTAATCCAATTTCGGCTTCATCCGACATCGGAAACATTTGATGATTCTCTCCCCCATCTGCATCATCTTCTTCCTGTAGATCTTCATGGTGATCAAGAAAAAGACAGATTGATATAATGGAGAGGTCAAAAGTAATATATTACAGAGCGAGTAAAAGGATGATAGATAGTGATTAAGGACCTTGTTACTGTCTGAAGACCCTACAACGTATTGCACATGGAAATTTGCGTGAAGAAGGTTCAGGAAATGGCCAAATCTTTCTATTATTTGTATGACTAGAAGGAAAAATAAAGTGGCTGAACAAGGGAGATTATGGTTGGGATTGCTGGAATAAGTATCTTGCATCAACCGGGCTACGCTGCAACTTGTAAATATCGACGCCAGCAATGTTGGTAGTAAGAGGAAAACCAATCTGAAAGAAATAAAATTGATTTGCAGAGAGAATCGATAAAAATTCGATTACACGAAATATAAAGAAAACTGACTTCACTATCTTCACTTGCGACTTGTCGAAAACCAACAATAAGAGGTCCTGATCCAGTAGAAAAATAGAAAAGAAGTAAGGCGTCAGAGATATTAATAGAAACACCCACGCTCGTTTAATAAATCCACAGTAATTCGGAAAGAGGGCACAATATCTGTCCAGACTCAGAAGGAACAGAATTATCGACTGAGAGGAGATAAACGATTCCACCATTTCTTTGTGTAATATAACCTAAACAAATACGGGAAAGATTATCATGGCAATCTCAATCCAAAATGACCGTACCTTCGAAACTGGCCATATTTGGGAGAAAACGGAGTCTTCATTAAGTGCAACCAAGGTGTTAAAAGAGTCAACGTCATAGTAAATGTCAATTAAAAATGTATATAATAGAAATCCCGTCGATAAAATAAAATTGCAAAAGGCCAGGTTGGCCAGAATGATGTTTATTCTAAATTTTTTAAAACTTATTTTGCCAATGTGCTTACTTCTGATAGTACCCATGTTTTTTCTTAATAAGACTCATCAAAAACCAAACAAAGTTGAAAACCATGGACGTTGCATAACACACCATATAAGTCCAATTGTTATTCAACCTCATCTTTATGTCTTCCCATTCTACGAACTCGTTTAGAAGATAAATATTACTGCACAATACTTCGTATGACTTCCTCAGACTTACCCGTTGTCAAGGAACTTAATGGATCGATTGCTTCGATTAAACAGTAAATCGCCCATCCAGGTGATGTCATCAATTGTCAAATTCATCATGGCTTCTAATAAAAGTAAGAAATTAATGTCGCTTTATACATTTGGTTTAAAACATGGAAATAAATGGGAAGCGGATAAATGAAATGCACAGCGGGATCACAAAAGGGATATATGGAAGTAAAGGACGTCCGAGATTGAAGTTACGAATCATTAATAATTGCTCCCCATCATGTCAGATGGCATGTGTAATATTAATACGGATATCCAGCCTCTTGTTTTCGACGAAGACTCAAAATTTTCTAGATGACGTGGGAAGAGGGACCGTTACGGAGTATTGAGATCACGCAAGCCACACAGCGAACATCAACCGAAATACAGGTTCCGATTCGTTTTACTCACTCGGACGCTAATAATCGCGCAGCCTCCCCTTTTACTCGCTGCTAATATACCGGCAGGAAATGACAACAGATTTATTCATGGTCATGTTTCATGTAAGTGAGGAAGCAGTTGTAGAAGAATTGGACCACATTCACGTACAGCACACGGTATGTCCGGGGGACGAAGATGAAGTTGACGGTCTGGACTGGGGGCCAAAAACTGGCATCGAACTGAAAATGGGAACTTTCTACAATCCACTTACTGTGACAAGGGTTGGGAACTTGTGGGCATACTCATGGAGGCATTGACGGAGCGTTTTCCCTTCCAAAAACCCCAAATAGGTCATAAACGGGCAGGCGAAAAAAGGGATCACAGCAAAATCAGCCAGAACTCTTTGGAAAACTGTTTTCGGAGAGTTGGGGCCCTTGATCAGGACATCAAGAAGCTTGTACCAACCATGATTCATTGGTCCCAGAAAGAGACCGGCTGAAGACACACATACTTAATTTAAGTTATAACTTTCAAAAGACACAATACCTGCTCTTTTCCAGTCAATAGATCCATTTACAAACTGTTGTTCGACCAAGTCTGCTGCTCCAAATAATGTTGTTGTTGTTATCGTATTCACAAATAACATGTATTTGGAGGTGAGTACTCTGATTACATGTATGTTTAATATGATTACATTACGTACCGTCCAATCATCCTATCCAATTCTGGTCTTAGATAGAGGCACGGATGTTGTGAGAAAAGGCATAAGCAGATAACATGTACAACCGAAATGTTCCCAGATTTGATAACTTTTATTTTTTATAATTTGAGACGACTTTTTTGGAAAATAAAACATTTATAAATTATGTTTTACGTAAGTGAGCACTGTATTGTAAAAGAACATGGCAATCATGACGTAAATAACTCTATACTTGGGCGGAACGATCAGAAAGTTGACGGTCTGGACTGGCGGCCAGAAACAAAGGTCCAACTGAAACATAATACAGCCAAAGCTCTGTACAACGAAGCGGGATCAAAAATTTTATTATTGAAGAATACTTACTTCGAATAACGTTACAAATTTTCTACAATACTCATGGAAGGCTTCCTTTCCAGAGCTCCCTTCTAACATAGCAACAGAACATATAAAAGTGGATGCAAAGAGAGGGGATACGATAATGTCAGCCATCACTTTCTTCCACACGGTTTTGAGTAAACAGCCGGGTATTCGTTTGTCCAAGAACTTGTACCAAATTGTATTCATAGGGCCCAGTAATAGTCCACTGAGTCCAACCTTGCCAAAAAATGGATAAAAATTACGTTTAGAAAATTAAGGAATACGTAATGTACAAAATCATATAAGGATGGGGTCATATATACGCATCAAAACGGGTGTCGGGGCCAGAAACCGCGATTTCTTGTCTGTTAGGCCTCTAGACAAGAAATGCGTAATTCTTGTCTCAAATTGCGTAACATTGCGCAAATATCAGCTCTCTCCTCGTGAAGATTTTTTTTCTTTTTTTCTCTGCTCACATCAGACAAGAATTCCGCATTTCTTGTCTGGAGGCCTAACAGACAAGAAATCGCGGTTTCTGGTCAAGGCACCGGATTTGATTTGTATTTCACCATCCTTACATGGTATAAAAATATTCGTCGAAGATGTCGTGTAATTTACTGTAATCGGTTAAAAGAGTCAAAAAACTTTTTTCTCAAACTCAGGATCAGAAGAAAACCGGGGGTATCGTCAAAAGACAAAAAACATAAAAAAATTTTAATTTTTTTCCAGTGAAAAAGATGACGGCACTTACAAGACTGTGTCAAGTCGACATGACCCTTGATTATTCGCTGTTCCAAAACATCAGCAGCACCAGAAATAATCATAGTCAACGCCGTATTGGAATAAATTACATTTTGTGGCTGGAAACAACGCTTTAGGAATGACAATTTCGGAAATAACATCGACACTTTGCACGGGAAGATACTCATGGAAGGGAAATGCGCAAAGTTAGGGAGTTGAAAGGGGACCCTTGGGACTTTTTTAATTAATTTTAGAACGCGGATAGAACGAATATTGCGGTAAAAAACCAAGGGTAAGGCAAGTGATCAAATCTTTAGGAATAAATTGAAACGTTTTACTAAACTCTGTGGTTTAGATCATCCCAAAAATAGAATTTTTAGTCGGAGATCAAGGTTTTCGACAGTGATCCCTCTCCGGTTTCATGGTATGAAAAGCTCTCGGGATTCAGTGAACCGATTGAGTAATATCCCCATTTGTCTGAAAACAAGCTCATTAGAGGGACATGAAACTTTGAGAGCATCAAAAACAACATCATCGGATCATCTATTCGCTATAAAAGCAGGGGATGGACATGATCATACTTTAAAAATCATGAGATTTCTGATCTTCGCTTTCCTTGTTACTTTGGGTGAGTAATATTTGGTAGTGTTTTAATATTTACTGAACCATCTTTACCATTTTATTTTAGTGCTTTGCCAAGAGATTCCTCAGGCAGGAATTCCCGGCCAATTTGGCAACCCAGCTCTTCCAAGCATCCCAGGTCAACCACCAAATATTAATGGAAATTCAGGCCAACAAGGAATTCCCGGGATCAGCGGACTCCCCGGACTTCTGACCCCTCCACCTGGCTTTAATGGTCAATTGGGAGGGCTCCCTAATGGATTAAATGGACAGCCAGGAATCCCAGCTGGCTCGAATGGAGTTTCCAATCCATTTGCTGTCTCTAGGAAACGCTGATCTGAATTTGGCCAGATGCAAGAAGAGCTCCACGACCTGACATTGTACTCATTGATTCTTTTAAATTCCACATTTGTTTTTTTCCAAACTTTTTTGAAAAAACAAGGCCTTGCAAGGACACTTTCTTCCCCGATATCCATTTTCCAATCCAAACACTTCCCCATTTTATTGTCAAGGGCATTTCTTTACTTTTAATAATAAATATTCAAAACTTGCAAAAAAAATTTATTTGACGAACCATGTTCAAACCGGAGATTAATTTCTCTCGAATTATTTAACCCTTTTGTCGGTGAATAGGGAAACTATGTAAAATTGTATTAACATAACCCAAAATTGGCTGTGGGTTTTCAGAAAAAAATTTTATGGCGGATTTTGTGCTGCCGAACAAAGGTTTTACTATGCTACAGTAACCCAACCGCCAAAATTCGACATCCATTGTAATGTCATGATGCCAAAACCTATATACTACCGATCTTAGCCAATTACGATGCGTTCTTTTTGAGTAATACCCAATTACTGTAAAATCATGCCATTGTAAAATACGGTAGGTTAAATGGTGAATTGGGCGAAAAATGTTTCGGTAATATGCTAGTAGGATGCCTCCGGTCATCTTAAAACAAAAAACTCAAAATCGACTTTTTTCTATGTCCTGATAAGTGACTCCGAAATTTTTTTTTTATTTAAAAATAACAAGAAAAACTTTTTCGTCGTCACCAACATAAGATGATCAGGAAAGTTCAGAATATGTAGCTATCAAGTGTCTTAAATGCGTTTAGAAGTACTCTAAAGGTTTCTATCATTTACCGTGTACCTTATGGGGACATCTTACGCGTTGAAACCTTTCCCAAGTTTGCGTTTTGTCCGTTTCTAAAGGAACTGGGACAATTGAGGAAAAAGACGATTGGGCAAAAATACGATTGGGGAAACCGAAAAGTATTATTTTTCTTCGATGCAAATGTTGAAATTAGGATAATCGAGGGTGCTCATTTCGAAAATGACCTTCATTTTTTTGATTCTTACTTTTTTTCTTAAGTAGTACTGTAAGTAGTAATTTTTGATTTTTTTCATAAATACTCGATTTAGGGGTTTTCGAGGGTGCTGATTTCGAAAATAATGTTCATTTTTTCTGAACTTTACTAGTTTTCCTTAAGTAGTAGTGTTAAAAAGTAACTTTTTGAAATTTTTCTAAAAATACTGGATATAGGGGTTTTCGAGGGTGCTGGTTTCGAAAATCATGTTCATTTTTCCTAGTTGTTACTTTTTTCTTAAGTAGTACTGTTAAGTAGTCATTTTTTGAAAATTTTTCAAAAATACTGAATTTAGGAGTTTTCCAAGGTGCTGGTGTTACATCAGATAGTACTAATTAGTACTAGAGGAAAAGTCAACATGATTTTCGAGACCATTACTACTTAACAGTACTACTTAAGAAAAAAAGTAAGAATCAAAAAAATGAATGTCATTTTCGAAATGAGCACCCTCGATTATCCCAATTTCAACATTTGCATCGAAGAAAAATAATAAATACTTTTCGGTTTCCCTAATCGTACTTTTCCCCAATCGTCCAACTCCGGTTTCTAAAATATGACTACCAGTCGATCCCGTGGCGCATTTATCTCTTCTCACAGGTGACCACTGGCAGTAAGATTGGTACTAAACTGGAAATAGTTCGAAATATTGTAATAAACATAAAACAAAACGCTCTCTAGTACTGCCCAGCTGTTGTACCTCACCCATTTGGCATAAGAATTTTTTTGAGACATATATATTTTTCTCGAAATTAATAACTGACTGAGCGAAGTTATTGTAAGGCCTCTACTAAGCAGCCAACAAGGATTCATTTGTACATAGTTTTATTCACCTATGAAGGGTTAAGGAATGCAATGATTGCTTTTCAAAATTTTATGAAATTAAGGTTGTGTCGAAATGATGTCAACTGACGTTGCCTGCGCCCACATTTTAAAATATATTTCGGCATCGTGCCCTATACACGGAAAGGGGCCGTTGTTTCGAAATGCCTCCTGCCTGTGCCTCTGCTGTTGTTTGGAAGGGTCTAGATGGATGGGGAATGAGGGAGAAGGGAAGGTTGGGAAGGGAGATGTGTCTGGTGGTGAGGAACTAACGCGACTCCGCTCCCCGACGCCTTGTCGTGTCATCTGTGCTCTCTCTTCATTGCGAAATGTCTTCCCGAAGGTTCTCTGTTTTGCTGGTTGGGGGTCTTTCGAAAGGGGGGAGGGGGGCGAGGGGTATAAAAGGCGAGTCCGGCCCTTCTCCCTTCATTTCTCTCTTGTTCCGTCGTTTTCGTCTCTCGATACCCAGTCATGTGGGTCTTTTCGCATACCAAGTCTTCTTGTTACCGTACTCGTTCGTGGTCCCGTACACCTCCGGTTGTAACATGAGTCATCTTCAGATGCTTGGACTTCAAATGGGATTGTGAGTTTCAGTTTCTGAAAGGCGTGGGACTTGTTAAATAGGTGAAAACTGGTTTGTATGGCTAATTGTAAGAAATTATTTCAAGGTTTATTTTTTTTTTCGTAATTTGCAGTCATACTTTTTACTGGAGTTATGGGTTTGTGTTATGGGGTGATGTTGTATATTTATTTATTTGCCGGGATGTTTTGACTATTGTGCTTACCTTTCAGACCCTCGAGACCTCGATTTATAATCGATATTGCTCTCTAAATGCGTGATAGAGTGGTTTAGTCACCTACCTTACCCTCCTACCGTACCGATACGTCTTTTGACTAAAACTGATGCCCTAAAGTGGAATAGGAAAAGAGCGTGGGGACCTCTTCAAAGCCTAAATGGCCTCAGGAATGCTCGATGAGCTCGCCATCTAGCGCGGATGAAACCATCCAGCTAGTCAGCAAGACATAAGAAGTAGCAAGCGATCGCCGGGATGCGAAATGGGATGAAGCGATCATTGTGTTAACTTATTCGAATCAACACGTTTCCTACCTTCATTTAGTTGAGTGCCGATCTTTTTGTGGTTTGCGACGGCTGCTTCTAAGACTGCTCCCGGCTGGTGCCTGTCATCCTGGCCGACGCCGCTGGTTGATTGCGATGTGTAGAATAAACGGAAATGCAATTTGTGAGGCCTGAGTTTCATTGTTTGATGTTGCGCCGACCATCGGATGCTGCTTCCGCAAGGAAACCATGGCAAGGCTCGTAGTCGTTCTTCGATCGATGGAGATTGCGCAACCTGTTCCTTGACCTGAAACCTGACTATCTCTTTGTTCAACTACCAGCCCTTCAGTAAATCTGCTCACTAAAAATAATGTTTTCGGCTGAAGAACGAACCCTCCCCCCGAGCCTTGTCCGTCCGATGGTTACTAGCCGATCCCTTCTCAAAAACTGCCAAACCCGCCGCCTGCTTGGTTAAATTGGACTTTGTCCACAGCTCCATCGATCTCCATCCCTCCCTGGTTACACAACGAAATGGTGCAGACCGGATCGCTGAATGTAGCCTGGCTTGGTTTGGAAACCCTTGGTTAAGACATGTCTGGACTGGTATTCAGAATCCCTTGGAATGGTTAGCAGTAGCCGGAAGTGGGAAGTACTTAGTCTGGAATGGCTTAGTCCAAAAAAGGGGCAATTTCATTTGGAAGGGCATAAAGAAAAGAACTCGTGAGTTCGAGAATAATGTAATTAAGGTCGGGAAAAACGGAAAACACCGGGAATGAACAAAACGACCTTTGGTATGCAAATTGTGCGAATCTTTGTGGGAATAGTCGAACCTACAGTAATCCTACCGTACCTGGAAGAGTTTACGTGATTAGAAGAACACAGAATAAAGGGCAAATAGCAAGCAAAATGGGTGAATGAGTGAACACATCAACAAATTCTTCTCTTTCTTAACGACTATCTGCTTTGGTCTTCTCTGGACTGAATTCCCTGGAATAAAGTGGCAAAGTGATTTGAATCCCCCTGTCCCCGTTGGCTTCTACCCCCGTATTTTGGACTGCCTACCGTCGACTTTATTTTTTGTGTGCATGGGTGAATTTAATTGGGAATATGACGATTTCAAATATTGTTGCCCGCAAAAAGAAGTTGTGAGCTTGGCCTGAGTAATATCTATCTCCAACTCCCCACCAAGAAGGCCTCCGCTGTTTTTACCCTCAAAATCCGAGTTCAAAATATGGTCGAGTTAGAATCCATCCTAAATGAACTTAATCTGAAGTCTGCGTGATGTGTACTAGAAGCGAAAGGGGAATCTACAATAAATTCGAATCTCCTGGATGCTATAATAATAATGAAGATTAGTAAGACCGCGATCAAACCCATTTCGACATCTGAAATTATGTATGCACAAACAATAGAACTAGGTATGTTAATATCGAGTATCCATTATGGAGTTTAAGGCTAGAATACGGATCTACGACCCGATCATGTAACCTGTGCGCGATAAAAAAAAGTTCCTTCCAACGACTTTCAAACTCTTCAAATTTAAATATTCAAATTCGCCTTCGATGACGTATAACTTCAAATGTTTACCAAAGAAATTTTTCAACAGAACAATCTTTAAAATACGAAACTTGTCTCCGACGAAAACCTATCTTTATGTGGGCAAATAAGTCCCTTCAAGGTATGTGATGGGAATAATTGATAATTTAGAATCTTGTAGCCGTGAAAACCCTGGGAATCCATTAAAATAAGGACTCAAAAGATTGGACGCGATGTTTTTTATTCAAAATTAAATTAAATCCTAACAACAATATTGTAACCTTGGGAATAACCTTTTCTACTACTGCTTTTCGACCCTCCTTCTTCTCTGAATAATTGGGAAGCCGTGCGTATGGTAAGGGTGTCATGTTCAATATGAATATCTGTTTTATAGCTATCAGATGACCATGTTTTTTTCACGCGATGTAAACACATTTGTCACGCATTCCGAGCAAGATAACGCCTTCCATTTGTGTCCCACTTACTGCATGCTCCCCTTGATGATGCGCACTGTTTATTTTTGGTGTCATGACTCATTTCGGCTACCGTACTTTGTATCTATTTGCATAACAACCCGCCGCTTGGAGTGTGCCCATTGCATGTTCTCGGTTTCTTGTGATTACTTTGATGACATTTCCTGACCAATTGTCACCTGTCACCTGCCATGCCACTTGTTTTACTGCTACATTCTACTGTAATACGATTAATTTCTCTGAGGCGCTGATCACGAAAGATTTGTCCCCGTCTTCTATCGCTGTCAGGGGTCTGTTTCTACCGTACGTTTGTGAATCTACAATGACAGTCGGGACATCTCTTTTCTCTACTGGATATTGTGCATGGTAACTATTATTTACCTTCGTTTAGCCTCGTTCTGAGATGGGTTTGCCACGGCTATCTGGGCTCTTTGCAAATGTTGATTCCGTGTTTTGATGTCATAATATTATATTGATGATGTTGAATTTCGATTTCTTCTTCTTCCGGGATGTATTCAATGATAACTTTGATCATGTTTTGTTGTGGATGAATCTCTTTTTTTGAAGACCTTCGACGTTTTAACGGCTTTGTTCCGAATCCAAGGTGTGTTTTGGCTGTAATTGTATCATAATCCGTTGTTTTAGCCCCTCGACGTCCCTTGAAGTCGATTTTGTTTTTTGATGACCGTGATATCATAATTCGTGTTCATTCTGACGATGCATATCGGGAAATGGGATAGAGACGAAACAATTTAGCAAAAAAGTGTTAGAACTACTGTTAGAAGTTTTTGAAGAGGGAACTCCGATTCACTGAGAATTTTTTTGATGTCCGATGTAACCAGCCGATGTTTTTATGATGTGGGGAAACTTCTTCGCGTTGACTGATGTTTTATTTTTCCTACTTCTACTTATTCTGCCGACGCGTCCCCTTGATCATCTATAATTTTACTGTACATTTCTGGAAATGCGCTTTGAACCGCTACTGTAACAAATGAAACCGTGGACTATTTCTCGTTGCTCTGCCGATCTGATGACTCTTATATCTGACACCCAATCCAAAGCCCCTCATTGTCCAAGTTATCCCCTGTCAACATTGAGTGAGAGCGACGGCTTAACTCTGTTTCCAGTTATCCATGAGCACACTTGACCCAGAAGATCTTTCATTTATTACTCCTCCCAAATAGAACGCCTGCCTCCAAAAACTCCCAAAGTGTCTACCGTATCTCAGCAGCCATCACATTTAGAAGGCGTATCCCAAATCCAAAGCCAGTATTCTGATCTAAGACCAACCAGTATGTCCGCGACGTAATCGGTTTCTTGCAGAGCAAAAATGGGGTTTCGAATAGACAAGGGCGACTGTCGAACACCCAATTCTGCCACTGAATAGCCTTTCTGCTTGCATGAATTCAAATCAGAGTCATTGCTCAACATTATTCTCCCTACAAGTCGCCGAATCTATGACGGATGTAGGTGTAGAACCTAATTGGTATTTCTAGTTGGCCTCCAAACCTAAAGTCAGAGAACTTGATTCCCTCACACACCCGAACATAGAATGGGACGGACGATGTTCAAGCCTGAAGTCCCTGACTGTATGTAATCACATAAACGGTTTTTATAGTAACCTCCTGAACATGGGCAAAATTCGAAGACGCAAAAAATGGATGACTTTTTGAATCCAAGAAGGGCAAAGCTGTCATTGCGAAGGACCAAGTACACCAAACTTTGGATCCTACTCAAAAATGGGCGTATGTCTGAGAGAATGAAGATACTTACAGTTATGGGGCCATTCAAAATGCATGCGAATCCGGCCGTTGGTTATCCAACTACCATGCCTAATATTCAAAAACAATCCGGGCTGAGGTGTAAAATCTGATACAAACTTCAAATGCTGAGCGTTTTCAACCTTAAAATGCGATGCGAAATGCAACCATCAAACGTTATTGGCTGGTCTTTAATTAATAATGCTATGGGTCGTTGGATCTACTTTCAAAACTGCGGGCAAATGTCTCAATCAAGCAAATCCTCCAAGTTCTACAATCCCGAATGGATGTATAAGATCTGGGCGTATGTATCAAGTGCTCATTTATATTTCCAGTCCTAAATTCTAATTAACCGATGGCAATTTTCAAATATCGCGATGCTAAACGCGCAATCAATCAAACCTGGTCTCCTTTCTTCATTCGGTCCAATATTTAAACAACAATTTCAACGGGATTTCCACGCTTTATGGCAAAAATGGGATGAATTGAGTGGTTGTTTCAAAAGATGAGGAAAATGTTTCCAAAACTAGGCAAACTATTACTTATTTCTTCAAAGAGATGTTCCAAAAGAAGTCAAAACAATGGGTGCCCAACAAGTTTATTAAACCAAACTGCAATTCCATTATTTCGTTCAAATTTCTACTTCAAATTCTACAATCCAAAAGTTCCTTTTATTTCTACAAAAGAATGGAAAAAAGAAGTTTCTGGATGTCAGTCTTCTAAATTCAATTCAACTACCATGTTTCCTGAGAGTTCCCTGCCTAGCTACCGACCTGTCTCTTCCGTTTATTCACTCCAAAACTACTTCTTAAGGACTTATCTAAATGGTTGCTTCTTATTCAACACTGACGCGCCGCGCCTCCGGGGATGACACTTGTCAAGGGTAATGTTTATAATCGAACTTTTCAGCGTTTATAATGGGTAGTGGCAATGCTAGTATAAGTTTTTCGTCTGGAATGGGTTAGCAAACAAGAAAGTGGAGTTAGGAATGTAAAACAACTAGAACTGTCTACCGAGCGAGTCCTCAGAGTCCCCCGAGAAGATAATCCGAGCTGATCCCTAGTCTCAAGTCCCAATATTTCTGGTTACTTAATCATCGCGAGACCCCGGAAGTCGCAAATGGTTCCCTGAAGTTGTGTTTGATCCCCAGCGCTAATGAAATCGAGTTAAATTGATCCCCCGAAGTCCCCTGATGAATAATATAATGGTCCCTCAAATTCAACCGTCCTTTTCCCCCGAAGATTAGATGCCCTTCAAGAGAGTTTCGATGATAAGAAGTGCTATTAGGAATGCGAAGTAAAGAAATGAGAATTCTGCCAGTCTTTCCAAGGGTCCCTTTCGAGATTTCAGAACAAAAAAACAACTTTAAATCGAGCAGATTAGATGAGAAGGTATGGTAAATTGATGTAGATTAATCCTAATCGAATCATTCAGGTGCTCTAGAAAGTCTAAAAACAGCCTTAGGTTATGATCCTGAGCCAACCCTAGAGTCGGGGTAGTTACAAACAGTTTGAAGGTATGTTACAGTAACCCTAGTTAACGTAATAATTCCCTTTAGATCCAAGATTCGATAGACCTAGCCCCAAAAAACCGGGTTCCAACAACTAAATCCAACGAGAAATAACTAGAAATTTAGAATAAATATATTAATTCGACGAAAATACTGTTTCAAATAAGATGTAAAAACAATTCTGGCCGATAAATAAATACTTTCGAGGCACCATTTACTTGTACTTTTATTCGAATTTAAATAGGAAATAAGGAAAGGGTAAGAAAATGAGATTATACGAAGGTAATTGATAACAAAAAATAATATAATAATATCACAATTTAATATTATTTGGTTTACTTGACTGTGTTTCCGTATGTTGTCTCACAATTTCATTATTATTTTTGGGCTTGGATTTATTGATTGGGAATGATATTTGCTATGCATTAGAAAAATTTCTGATTATAAAACGCAAAAATTATTTTTGTCTTTTGATGATGAAAACTTGTTTACTTTTACGGGCATGACAACAAATTATTTTTGATTTTCTGTTGTAGGCAATTTAACCCATGCATTTCTCTATCTCTTTTGTGTATTTATCATAGCTAAGAAGCACAGTAAATTTAAGCTAGGCATCCGACAAATTGTAGAAGCATTAAAATTTTGATTTAGACCTTCAAAACAATCGCACAGTCCGGCAAGCATAAGACTAAAAATTCTAAACAGATTTTTTTGTGGAAAAAATAATCAATGGGAAGGGTTGTTTTCTGACGATAAATTTTTTTGAATTAGAACGCAAAACCATGACTTTTGTAGACTATCCTTAAATTTTAGATTAAAATGCTTTAAAATAATTGATAGGGAACATTTTAATCATATTTAAAATACCGAATTATTTCTATACTTTTTTGATGATGAAAATTTCTTTATCTTTACGAGCATGAATAAAAATTGCATTTTTAATTTTCTGTTATAAGAGTATGTCTTCTATCCAATACTCCATCGTCTTGTCTCTTTTTTAAGCGTAGTAAGTTTTAGGCGTTGCCATAAATACAGTAGGAAAACGGTGACTTTAGATAGAATAGGATAGTATAAAAATAATAACCAAAGAAAAAATTAAATTATGTTTGTCTACCTGTTTTAAGCTTTGTTCGGAACTTAGAAACAAATAACCCACGAATATAGTATAAGTTTAGAATAAGAAAAACTTTTGTGTTAGCTAAATTAGAACTTTTAAATCCTCAAAACGCTTAGATCTGCAGGCAGGCATAGAATAGAACATTAGAGAAAAGAATTTGTTGAGATTAAAACATTAAAAATAATTATAATAGATCAACAGACATGTAAGATAATAAGACAGGACATAGTAAGCTATAGCAACACTAAAATTTTGGGAAAAACGGGAGTGGGCCGTAGAGAGGATGTCCCCGGCCCTGGGGGTGTGTTCCCGACATCTTCGACGGAGAAAACAGTCATAATGCCTCGAGGGCGTGGCCCTTGAGCTTGGACTAGGGTTGAGTGGAGATGTCGTTAGTCTCTCGGCACGGACGGGCGCTCAACTCCGTCTCATTTTATCGCCGGAGAACCGAGTAGTCTACTTTATCGACCCTCCCCTCGCACAAAGACTATTCGGAACCCAATCTGGGTTTTGATTATCGGGTCCCTGTGGGTCTAGGTAAGAACAACACTTTTTGATTCCATTTTAAATATTTTTTGGATTATTTTCGCATTTGAAACATTTTTTCGAATTGGGAAAAATAAACATAAATCTGAATACATTGATGGCGTAGCTATCAATGTAAAATTTTATTGGAGAACACAAGTTAGGGAAAAAATTAGCTGTTACTGTCAATAGGTAGTTAGAGAAATCCAATGTGTTTTGATTTGAGGAAGTTGTAATCTAAAAACTTTAGAGTAATCTGGAGAATTTATATTTCGCATAAGTAAATACTTTAGGAAAATTTCGATAAAGTAGGTCATGCACAAGAAAACTTAAACGAGAATGATAATTTTCGGAAAGTAGAGTTAGTAAGTGATGAGTTAAGTAGTAACGTCTTTTTAATTGAAATAGGTAAATTGTTTTGTAGATTCTTATAAGATAATTTTGGAAATTGACTCACTAAGAAACACGAGCACTTGAATCAACCCGATTTATATCTAGATCAAAATATGTTTTTATTATTTTTTTTAAATTAAATTGTATTTAAGATGAGTAAATAAATATTTGTTCTCCAACTGATCGGCATTATTTGTTTTATGAATAATAAAATGGGAATCAGATTTGTCCTTCGAAGAGTTCTCGACGTTGTTCATGAAAGCGTTTCATCCAATTTTGTTCTCGCACATCTACTGGTAAGTTCAGCCATTGTTGGGCCAAGGGGAAATCGCTGAGATCAGAGGATTGCGGGGGCAGAGGGATAACGTCTGGAGATATCCCTTCCTCTTTTCGCTTTGGCTTCGTCGACTTGTCCAATTTCTTGGAGATCTCCTTGCTCTTCCACATTGCTCCAAACATGGCGCCGTCATGATTCTTTTGGGATTCATCTTCTTTTCCCTACAGAAATATCCCTTTACTAGTTAACCTCTTTTCCTTACCTTGTTTGTACATCTGGAAGTTCCCTGACCACTGAAGAATGTTGCTGGTTGGAATCCGCCCTCCTCAATATCCTCGATCCTCCGTTGCCGTTCCATTTTCTCCTCCACGGTCAAGTCAATAACTTCAAAAGACGTTTCAGTTATCGTCAATAAGACTCACCATGGGTATGTTTCGTGTTCTTGGTCTTCTCCTTCTCCCACTCAGCTTTCATAGATATACTGGCTGATTCGAGGGCCTTCTCCATTCTCTCCCTCACCCGATCTCCCTTCTTTTCATCGTACCTCCGACCATGTGATGATTTATGGGATCTGCTGCTCATTCTGAACACTTATTTTCATAAAGTAAAACTAAAAATCAGTATTGGTCATTGAACATACAAAACTGAATCTTTTCCATTATGTTTAAAAATTTATCGCAACAATTTAAATACTGCTAATAAAACTCGTTTCGGCACAGGGGGCATGTCGGTTTGGTACTCGTTTGGATCCATTTTAACTAAAATACGAACGAATGACATCGTAAAGAGGCTTACCATGCAATCCGAATGGAACTTCTTGAAACATTGGCGGCACTTGAGGTCAGGCATACGGTAATTTCGACTGGATACGGTCATCATACAAATGGAACAGTCTTCGACACCCGCAATCTGTTTCTCCACATTCTTCTTCCATTGGAGAACAGCATCGCAAATTGCTCCATTCTAAAAGATTAAAAAAAAAAACTTTAACTTACTCTAGTATTCACATAACTGAATAAATTCAAGTGTAATTTATGAGTCATTCCCTTCGCTATGATGTTTCTCTTATCGTGAACAATTGTGACTTGAGACAACGGATAGTCATCTGGGAGTTTAATGGTGGTCTCCAGAGTCAATTCCTCCACTTGGTATCTCGCAACGATCTCCTTGGTAGAAGGTCGGGAGCGAACAGAGAATCCAGATTTGGTCTTCACGTTACCGATCTTGTTCAACTCTTCTTCGATCAGAATCGGGGAAAGGGATAAAGCTGTAAATCTGAAAAATAAAAAATAATGATTAACAGTCATACGGCCAGGCGGGCCATTTTCTGGCAATCGGCAGTACAACTAATGATGCAGTCGCTGTTAAATGTACCGTCGAAATGCCAGAAAATGACACGCATGGCTTTTTGAATGTTAAAGAAGTAACCAAACCTCTTCAGATTCTCATTCTTCCAGGGTCCAATCCATTCTCTGACCAATGCCGGTAATGTTTCCAGCGATCGGTAATACAGCCATAGGGAATATTCCTTGTCATCAACCACTCTTTTGCTGTCATCAACGTCAAATGGGATCTTCCAGAAGCTGAATACATCATCCGGCCTCTTCTCGATTATCTCCCTGACTTCATCAACATTCTTATCCAGAGGTAAATGACGAGTAACTGCTTCCAAGACTCCTCCAATAACTTCTGAATTGATTTGAGCACAGAACTCGGCAGATTGTTGACTATCCAATAATTTGACAGTTCGGATTAAGAGATCCCATATAATAAGACAGGGATCTATGTCTGGAGAACGTGGAAATGAGGTCAGTTTGTTGATGACATTATCGAAGAACCTAGACAATTTGTATTCAATCGCATTTCTCTCGCTTTCTTCTTCATCTCCATTGCAAGAAGGAAGAGATTCTGAAGTTTGGAGCATCTTCTTCAACTGATCATCCAGCTCATCCTTGATTGTGAAATGGGTAAGAACAAGACTAAAAATAAAATCAACCTAAATATCGACTTACTTTTGAAGCAAAAATATAGCCAACAGTTGAAGTTCGGCAACTGGGGAAAAGAGAAGATCCACCAGACAGTCAAATATCTCATCGGCCGTTAATAAATTGCGCCCGGAGATATTCTGGGTCATCAAAGGAGACGGATTGTCAATAAACTCGGCCATCTTCAGATCCAAGAACGTATTTCTGATAGTTTTGCAAACCTGCAGTCGAAGAAACGGGGAGAATAAACCATCTGAAGGAAGTATAATACTAAAAACGGCTACTCACAGTTAACTTTGCCTTTCGAATTTCCCACTGACATCCAACAGAACCAAGCGAAGGTGTAAGTCGAGGCCGAGGATCCAAAAAACTCCCTCCATTCCTGGATTTGACTTTCCACCAGTAATTTGTTCTCTAGAACTTCTTCAGAGACCTCAGGAAGACTCTTAAGTTCATTCAACTTATCCCCCAATTTCCTGTCATAACTTGTAAAGAATTCCAAAGAAAGCGACGCCATTACTTCTGAGAGCTGGGACCTCTCCTCTTTTGCCGTAAAATCCTGCATGGCCGTGATCAATCCACATAAAACAAAGTCTCGGAGTTCTTGAGGAAGGTCGGGCAAACGGCCGACTAATTGGACAGCCAAACGAAGGACAGCGCAGGATAACAGGTCTCTATCCAGATCACTCAAAAAATGACGATAATATCGGTGGATAGATCAACTTACCCGGTGGAAGTGAATAACCAAACAGAATCAGTTTTCTCGAACTTCTCCTTGAGTTCGGCCAATAAAACGATGGCCACATCCTCATTTCTGATATTCTCCTTTAATTTCTGAGTTTGCTTCTCCAATGAAACAATGAATGGAAGGAATTCTCTCTTCTCAATTATATCCGGGATATCCAGTATGAAATCGTTATTCAGAACTGCCTCAAGGCCAAGTTTATGGTCCTGACTGAGAGATGATGACATCACCTTGTCGCGGACATGCGACCAATCTGACTTTAATCTTTTCAGACCATACATGAATGTAAATGAAAGTTGTTCTCCAAGATAAACCCCCACCGCAGCTCTGATGATACTCCCTCTATCTTCTTCATTCCAATTCTAAAAGAAACCACAATCAAAATAAACTTGAATTACCTTAAAAAACTCCTCAAATCCCTTCATGTAATTTATCAGCAGCTTCCTCAAGCCATCATTATGCACACTGTCAACGTACACTGTAGACGCGGCATATAACAAAACCAAATGAAGTTTCATGTTTTGGGTGACATGTTCTGCTTCCAAGTTCTTATAAAAAGCAGCCTTAATAAGGGTGTCCTTAAGAATCCTCCGAGTTTCATCCAAATCCTTGGATTTCAGATTACTCGGAGATGCGAATGCAAACGCATGGGCAACAGGCTCCTTCGCCAGGACATGCGAAGCTACCTAAAAAAATAAATGTTAAAATAAAACTACACATTTTTTAAAACATCCCATTACTTACGTAACTATCAAGAGCAAATGACAACTCCAAAATGTCCTTCTTGGATTGTTCGAACAGGTTTAAAATTGTGAAAATTCCGTCAAACCCTTTGGCAACAGTGCCATAAAAGTCATCAATATTATCGAAAGGACATTCGCAATCAAGAACAGAACTAATCAGATGAAGATCGGTCTGATGCTGAGTTAAGAACCAATCCAGAGATTCCTTGTCACCCTCTTCAGGGAATTCTTCGTATTCAGAGTTGACCAAGCGGTGAACAAAGGCACGTGAAAGATCATCCAACAACTTCGACGGAACCTCCTAAAAACTGTATACAAAAACCAAGACCACTTACATCAACTTTAACCACAACATTGATCAATTTGGTTAAAGCAGGGACATTAACCTTCGACGAGAGATCTCTGATGATAGAATAGATATTTTCCGTTTTAGTTTCATTGATCCAACCAAGTAAAGAACTTTTAAATCCATTGATCTTGAAGAGGGTTGGGTTATCCGGGAGTCCGTTTAATATAATTGACAAAATCCTTTCCCGGTCATCACAATTAAATAAAGAAGAAGCTCCTTCTTCTGTCAACAACAAAAGTTTGACTGCATGTTTCATCTTTCTCAACTAAACTTATACGTAGTATATATGATCTAGCAAGGGAGTGTGAATTATAGAAACCTTACATCTATAACACCAAAGAGTTCCTTTCCATCCGCCCTGTTCTTCTCCACGAGATATCTGAAGCCTTCAAATAAAACATCGTTGATCTCTTTCATTTCCTTCATCCTTTCCAGAATACTAGTCTTGAAAAGACCAAAGTCTATTTCTTCCCATTCTTTATAGCATCCACAAGATAAGACCTTGATATAAAGGTCTGAGGATACAGAGTCTCCTTCCAGGATCTCTTTCCCCAAGTAAAAAATAAAGGAATCCAATGTTTTGTCCTCCCGATGATCCCATAATTTCAAGATGAATCCTTCGCTCTTCGGGAGATTGTAAAAGATATTACTCAAAGCCAGATTTATGAAATCCACAACTTTTTTGTTTCCCTTTTCCGAGCTCTGATTAATAATCAACCTCAATGCAATTTCTTCAATCGACTTTCCATTCTCCTTGAGATCTTCCTCTTCCTTGGTCAAATAGATATGCAAAAACTTTACTACGGCCTCTTCCACAGACTCCGCAATATCATCATCGTATTCCTTCTCCAAATACTTTAAATTCAAAATTTCAATAACATCGGCGAAGGATTTTGCCCAATGTAGGAAAACATTTGCGGGCATTTCACTAAAAAGTAAATAAAAAAATGTCCATACGCAGAAATCACAGTGATCAGGTTTCCGAATTCCTTGCAAATACCTCAACACCCTTTTATGTTTGTAAAAATTTTTGTATTGTATGTGATTTTTTAGATTTTTTTCGAAGTTGTTTACGAAAACCATTCTTGGTTTTTCTGATAAAAGCGAAAATTCACAAATCGAGAACTTATAGAAAAAAATACATTTTTACTGTAAAAAAATTAACATGATTCCTCCGAAAACCCCTAAATCCACTAGTAGTGGCCACTATTCTTACAACATTTAGAGAGGTTGAAAAATTGTTACAAATAAAATCGAAAAATTACGTTTTGACATTACTCTGTAAAAAATGTAAAAATCACATAAAATATTTTTCACGAAGATACAAGGACATTTGCAATATCTGTTCATTATGGTCCGCTCACTGTGGTTTCTTATGGATGGACACAAAAAAATAATTGGCAACTTACCCATCAAAGAAAGCCTTGAGCAAAGTCTGAATCCATTCCTTGAGTTCCTTCTGATCCTCCATTCCCTTTATTACAATAATGACCAAAGGGAGAAGACAATGTTCCAAACTTTTGTAATGTCTAAAAGAACTATAAAAATAGTCTTTCCAAACATACGATGCTTTTCGTGACACCATCCGTTGAACAGGAACACAAACAAAGTCCCTGAGGGAAAAATTAACACCTTGGCCATTACCAACAGCATTGGCCATATAAAGATAACAAGAAAATGCGTGTTGAGAGACGCTTTCGTTCGGAGAGTCCATCAGTTTCACTATCTTTCCACATACTTTAGACTTCAGGACATCTTCAAAGGACTCCAGCTTCATGTAAACCAAAAAAACTTTCATCAACTTCCCCTGGATCTAAATTATCGATAGTTAAAATTATTAATTGAACGCACAGCAGGTCCCATTCCAATTAACTTGTCAAATTCTGCCTCCAAAACTTTAAAAATTCCTTGTTTATCATCAAATTTCTCGATTAAATTTTCGATGAATGACAGTGCCTGGCTAATCAAGCGTTCGCACCGTTGATTGTAATTCTCCAAATCCTCAAACCTAAACTCAAATATAATAATTAAACACATTACTCACTTTTGAGGGCCCATTGAATTGTGTCTTCGTTTGACCATCTCCAAACAAATTTCGATTGTCCCCGCCGTAAATTGTTGATAGATCTTTTCTCGTTTCTCCGTTTCAAAACACTGTTCTAGTAGATCAAGAGCACTCTTCTTGACAGCCGTGATATGATCAAATGTTGACAATAGCAGGAACGGTATGACCTAAAACTAACATCATACAATTCACACCACTTACGGTCACGACATCAGCAGCAATCTTTCCCTTGAACGTCTTTATAAACACCGCCAAAGCTTCGTTCGATGCTATTCTAACAGCAGTTGACGGGTCCTAAAAATAGACAGAAAAAATGAGTAACACTTACAAATATTAACTTCGAATATACTCCAACAAAAGCTTTAAAACAATTCGAGGATCCGGGATCTTCGACGACAGTCTCTGCTAGTGACTTAAGCGCCTAAAAGAATAATTAAGACATGCAAACCTACGCGACCTACTTTTTCTCTGGTATTAGCTTCCCGCTTGCCGAATTTTCTAAAAATCACGCGGACCTTAGCATCAAGATCTGCATAATCATCTCGTTCTTCGGCATCACCAAGTCCAAGATTCAAACCCGAGTCCGCCGCGTTAAACCCCAAGAAATTCACGTTGAATCCACTTTTTTGAAGTAATTCTGCTGCTCTAGAACTGCTGGCACCCTGAATGTTGAGGACCGAAAGTAATATAGTTACCTGAGCATTTCCTTTTCTTCTTTGTTTGTCGTCCTTTCCCATTTTTAATAAACTTATCAAACAATCAACTGTTTTTTGCAGTTTCTATTTTGCAGTTTCTTTCAAAATAAAATAAATAATTTTTTCATTGTTAGCCGCGCCCGAAAAACGGCAAAAAGAAGGAACCATCTTATACGAAAGGATCACGCAACCTCTAGTCCGATCGACCAGTCATTCGCTAATTGTGAAAGAGTCTCCCAATCCAAAAGACGTAGATTTAGAGAGGTTGAAAATTTTATTTTAGCTTAGATGTAAAAATATATTTATTTCAAAGTTTGGCTTTTTCTACCAAAAATGATGATGCACCTCAATCCAACGTTGCTGTTGAACTTTCTGACCAATATTTGCTCGATGTGGCGTTTCGTCACAAATAGAATTGATCTTTGGCTGTTTTTCTCTTGGCTAGCCGGGACAAACCCTTACACTTTGTTAGAAGATTTTTTTATGTCATCATAGAAGCAAAATGGCATTCTTAAATGCAAAAATTCATTAACGTATCGACGGTCCTTGCCAATGGGTTTAATCTTGAGAAAAATTAATAAAACCCTCGTCTCTGATTTTACATTATATGCAACATTTTACAGACGAACTTTAAACTTTGTGATGTCATTCGCCGGACCTACGAGCCGTAAATATTTTGGGGCCAGTTTATACGGCATTCGTAAGAGAATTGTGACAAAGGTGCGAATAAAAATAAAAATTATTGGGGATTCAGATGGGCAGGGGGTGATTGATCCATTTGAAGCCAGGCCGAGGTGATGGGAGTGAGGAGACAGCGGGGCTTCTTCGGCCGCTTTTCTCTCCTCACCTGTGCCGTTTAATTGATTTTAGAACGAAGGCCATTCCTTTATCTTCTCTCTTTCTCTTGACCCTAAGATAAGCGAGGTCTGGCCACTCTGGCCGGATCTGTTTTTATTGGGCTCGAGGCATTGTTTTTGGTATCAATTCGTACAAATGTTTGTGTTGGAACCCCAATTTAGAATTAGCTTGTTCAAAAGCACAGTGATTGTCCAGATTTTTTAGATCCTTTGTGATCAAAATGTCTCATTCGACTAAAAAATTATGCTAAATTTTTATAGCTAGTCATAGTCTTCAATTGCATTTTGAATATTCACCTTTTAATGGAAAATCACAATTTTCTTTAAACGTGATCCAGTCACTAATCAGTCTCTGATCCTTACTAAAATCTCATTTCAGTCATTAGATGAACAACATCTGGCGTCGCTTCCGTCGTCTGATTGGCGATGGAGGCGACGGTTTGGTTGATAATCAACCAGATTACGAGGCCAATCGACCAGCCTCACAGTCCTCAGGAAACACATTAGAGCCTCCAAAGCTGAGTATTACAAGATCGAGGGAGACAAGTTCATTGAAAGCTCCAAAACGGAAACCGAGACCAGTGCATAGATCTGCTACGGACACGCAGAAGGCCGATGATGGGCATTGGGAATCAAATTCGGAAGAAGAAAGCTCCACGGCCAGATTATCGAGACGATCTTCAGTTCTCGTAAGTTTAATTTTAGTCATGATCATGGATGTTCTCATAATTTTATTAATCAAATCATCCACTGCAGGTGGATATTATGACCTTGTTCCGTCGATCTTCCAGTTTTGGTCCCAAGAAACGATCCAAATACGAAGAAGAGTAAGTGATTTGTCAAGATACTTTCCTCTTCTTCCACTTTCCGTACACTTAAATTGCCACTTGACTAATAATCCATAACTTTTTTTTGCCTCATCCCATTTGCCCATTATAATATTATTTCGCTGCTATGATCTCCGACGTCTTGAGTCGGACCAAATAATATTTTATTGTTATCAAAGGGGGAGTCTCTTCGAATTGGTTGCGGCTTCTGCTGGCTTGATCTCGTCTCCCTTCCAGCCAGGTGTTTTATGAAGATTCAAAGGGGCCCTAAGGGCAGTTATTTGTAAGAAAAAGCTCAGTCTTTGTGTTGAAAAATGGCCGACAAATGACATTTCATGTTATTTTCACTCTTTGCAATCACAAATTAACCGTAAATACAATTAGAACTTACGGTTTCAGTGACTCAGATATCAGTGATGAGGATGAGGAAAATAATGAAAAGCCTTCAAAGGAAAGGATCATGCAAATGATACGACAGAAAAAGGAGATCATCGAGAAATTGAGATGCCAACAATGGAATATGAAAAGAAAAAGAAGGACTTTAAAGTAATCGAGAGATCAATCTATAATATCTTTATAGAGTAACAAAAAGATATATTTCCAAAAAAGAAGCCGAGGTCGAAAAATGGCATTTATACAGAGTCGGGGCAACTAAGAAGCTCACTCAGTTCATGAGATGGTTCAGCAACGTGAAGATATACTTCATTCCATGGGAATCTAAGATTCGGCGGATTGAGAGTAAGACTAAGTACATTCAGTGTAAATGAAACTTATCTTCAGGTCATTTCGGAACCGTCGTATCTTCGTTTTTCGTATTTCTACGATGGCTGGTCTATGTAAATCTAATTCTGATTTCGATTATTTGTTTCTTCGTTGTTATTCCCGAGGTAAGTGCAAAATGTCATCAAGTTATTTCGTCGTTAACAGTGGCTTGAGGATTCCCGAGGTTTACCGAGTCGAGTTCGACGGACAAAACATATAAAAGAAATGCCACCCAGTATACGAACACATGCGGATGAATGGAAAACAATACTTGACTTTGGAGTATGTAATATTGAAATAATCATTACATAACTTTAGGGTTATTTACAATATTCCTACATATTCTACGGGTACTATAGTAGTGATACTCTAGTACAACGAGGCCCTTTCAAGTATCGAGTACCCCTGGCTTATTTTATAGTCAATCTGTTTATCCTGGGGTTCAGTTTATTTATGATCCTTAAAAAGTAAGTTTTCTTAATAGTAATTACACTTAAAAGGGAGTTTTTACAACTTGAAGGATGCCCCGGACATTTCCAAACGACCACCTCAGGCTCTTTTCGTATTTTGCATAGTTGTTGTACTAGAATAGCTAAACATCGGCACGAACTGTTAGTCTCGGAAATTACCGTATACTGGGGTTACGGCAGATACAATTTTCAGAAAAATTGGGTTCGTGTTTAAAAATCCCAAAGAGTAAAAGGACAAAACCTCGCTGTTTTACGTTCTCGACCATGAGGAACCTTTTCATAAATGACATGGCCGTAGGATGTAGCCTTCGAATATTTCGAAAAATACCAAGGTATAGTATTATACTATTTTGAATAACTTTTTTGCAGAGACCTTGTCTCAACCTTTGAAACCTCGTAAAAATACTTTGACATAGATGTAACAACATATCAAAAATGCGCGAAAAGATGTTTTTGAAAGGTTTCGAAAGTTGAGACAATTTAAATGCCGAAAAGTTATGATCAATATGGTACCTTGGTCATTTTCCAAGAAGTCGAAGGCTACATCCTAGGGCAATGTCAATTATGAAAATGTTCCTCATGGTCGAGAACGTAAAACAGCGAGGTTTTGCCCTTCTACTCCTTGGGGTTTTTGCACACGAACCCAATCTTTTTGAAAATTGTATCTACCGTAACCCCCGTATACGGTTATTTCTGGAACTAAAAAATTTTGCTGATGTTTAGCTATTCTATACAATAACCATTCAACACATCAAAAGATTCTGAGACAGTCGTTTTCTGGAAATGTCCCGCCCTTGTTATGAAAATGTTCAATCTGTAAAAAATTCCTTTTTAAACAGGATGGCTGCCAATGCCCGAGCAAGTAAATTACAAGGCGGGAAAGTAAATCAGTATCCATTTACTTGGAAAGTTGTAAATGGATGGGACTTTTCGATTGGAAACCCGGAAACGGCGGTATCTTTATACAAGGCAAATGTAACAAAATTAAAAGAAGCCATGGAGGAATACAACCAGAAGGCACAGAAGAAAATGAAGTGAGTTTACTCAAACTTTGAGCCAACTTTATTTTAGTTTCACTCGAATACTTATACTGGTCTCGTCGAATCTCGGAATCACGGCCCTTTGTGCCTTGGCCGGATTCTGTATTTGGAAAGCGAGTCAGATTACGGACAAGAATACAATTATCAAGCAAGTAAGTCTATAAATCTTAATATGACTTCTATTAATTAAAGAATGCTGTATCCATCATCGTATCACTGGCGACCCTGGTCCTACCTAATGTATTCGAATTAATAGGTCATGTGGAACATTTTCATCCCCGAAAAGCATTACGAATACATCTAGCAAGGTAAGTAATCGGTAATGCTTCAGTAGTCATCTTTGCAGGGTGTTTTTTCTGTACATCATTGCCTATTATTCCCTATTTGCTTCCCTATTTTACAAACTGAACTCGCTCCAAGCCCAATCGAATATTCTGGATGAAACAGCCATCCAATCATCGAAGCCATTCAGTATTGTCTACAACCCGATGACTGAAAAAAACCAATATGAGGTTGTTAGTCCCATACAATCAGAATCCGAACGCTTTGTGAGAGAAGCCAGAAGAAAGAAATGGAGGAAGAAAGAGGTTGCCGAGACGGAGACGGTCTTCTCCTTGCCCGGGACCCTAACTACATCTGCACCCATCTCAGCTGTTTCACCATGGACTACAGTATTCCCAAACTACGGTCCTTTCGGTGTTGGGCTTTACAATCCGAAAGCCATTGTTGTAACAGACTTAAAAGGCCAAAAAACACACAAAACAATATATGAAAGTAGACCCATAGGTCAATCTGAGGATTGGAAAGGAGGAGAAACACAATCTTTGCATTACGCAAACTCACCAAGAAATCGATTCGAATGGAGATACAGTAAATACAAAGGAGATATATGTTGGGAGACAATTATGGGGCAAGAGATCACCAAATTAGTCATCACCGATCTGATTATGACTATTATTATAATCATGGTCATCGACTTCCTGAGAGGTTTATGGGTCAGATATTGCAATTCATTTTGGTGTTGGAATTTGGAAGAGCAATTCGTAAGTATTAGCAAAACATAGTATATCATATTTTGAACTCAGCCTGAATATGGAGAATTTAAAATCTCAGAGAATGTGTTACACTTGATAAAAGATCAGACTCTGGTCTGGCTTGGAACAATCTTTGTTCCCCTATTGCCATTAATCAACATTATGAAGTTGATAATCATCATGTATATCAGAGGATGGGCAGTCATGACTTGTAATGTCCCGGCCAAGCAAATCTTCAGAGCTTCCAGATCCAACAACTTCTTCTTAATCCTTTTATTGGTGATGTTTCTGGTGTCCACAATTCCAGTTGGTTATGTCATCGCATCCATCCGCCCATCTAGAAGTTGTGGTCCTTTTGCGTAAGTGCCGAATCCATTATATTTAATGTCATGTTTCAGCGGTCTTGATCATTTCTATGACGTCATTGGAGCAGCCCTTAGGAACAACCTCAACAAAAACGTGGTCGGAGCCATTGAGAGTGTAATGTCCCCTGGCATCATTGTCCCCGTATTGCTGTTCTTGTTGTAAGTTGAACAGATCACTCAGAAAATTTCTCCTAGACTTGTCATTTACTTCATGTTCTCCTTGATCAGAGGTCTTAAAGAGGCCAATCATGAGCTGTCTGAACAATTGACGCAAGAGAGAACCGAAGAGAAAAAAAAGATTTTCAAGTTAGCTGGAGGCAAAAGAAAGAGAGAAACCAATGGACTTCAGAGACAAAGCAGCGAGAAGTCGCCCGTTTCTCCAACTGGAGAAAGAGTCAGTCTTCGGAGCAATGGAACGACAAAGGTACAAACAACAATTGATATTACTCTCTTCCTTTTAGTCATTCCAATTTGAGGATCCAAAAGAAAAGCATTCCTTATCCAAATCTCCTGTCAGAACTCCGTTCCTCCCATCCCTACAGTAAGTAACTAGAGGGAGTTAAAAAAATGTCATCTAGGAGTGTTCATGAAGATGATGGTGCAGAAGATGAAGAGGAACCTACGCCTAATAAGAAGCTCTTGAAGAAGGATTCCACTCAGAGCTCAAGTGATCCCATAGATAACGAACCTCCAGACGATCTACCCGAGATAAAATTGAACTGGAAAGACAAACTCATGATCTGGATTGGGATCTCTGATCGCGATAAAATCGAAGCAAGATATCGAATGAGACAATTGGCGCTAGCTTATAAGCAAGAAAGATACGATAAATACCAATCAGAAGAAAGGGAATCTGGACAAGATTCAGATAAAACAAAGTCTGACAAACAGAATGAGACATTGGAAGAAGCCGAATACTCGCAGTCCACCAATGAGGAATATTCGGAAGAGCCTTCAACTCAAGAAAAGAATGTGCGCTGGCCTCAGGGCAGATCCCGGAAGTCTCCTTGGCCCAGCAATGCCCAATTCAGCCAAGAAGACCCACGAGATGTGACGATAATAAACAAGTAAATAACAATACTTTTTATAACGCTGAACAGCTGATTGTGTCGCAAAAGCATATCTAATTTCAGCGGACGCGAATCGCTTCAGCCAGGCCCCTCAAGGCAGAGCTCAATGACTCCTAAGAAAAGAGCGCCCTCCAGGTATTTCCTATTACATGTCCTTTTTATTATGTTGTTGTAGTCAAAAGTCGACACCATGGCTGACGACACCAGAATCGGCAAAAAGAAGTCATTCTATGAATGATCAGAGATTACTTTCACCGTAAGTACTACAACACTAAAATTACTTTTGAAGACCGTATGAAAGGGATTTGGCATCAGAAGCGTCTCCATTACTCGAAAGGAGAAACGAGAGCCTAAGGGATGCAGACAGCAGACTGACTCCCTTCAAAAGATCTCCACCATCAGCAATTCCGAGAAAAGCATACAACGCTGGCTCATTTGATTACACCGGAGAAAGAACACCTGGCATTTATCATGGCCAACAAGCCCGAGAAGAAGGACTTTGGGATAGTGATCTAAAGTAAGAAAGCCGACTATGGTTTTATGTAATGCGCATTTAGTGGTAAACTGGTAACAAGCACAGATGATCCGACGCGACCTCCTTCCGAAGAAGGCTCGTTCCGAGACCCAACACCATCCATAAATGAGACCAGCGGATTGCCCGATGATCTACTCAGCTATGCTAACCCTTACAGCAGGTAACATCCCGTTTTCGGAACTCAATCTCATAATTGTCTTTTCAGTTACGCAGCTGCAATGGCATCTCCGGTAATGGCGGAAGGTCTTTTGCCGTGCCCAGAGCCATACCCAGCATCAATTCCACAGTCAAATTATCCCACTGCCCCTCCTATTTTCCCTCACATTCCGATGATCTCCTACCCCGACTGTCGTCCCTATTCCACTCTCCAACCGGTCGATTATCGTCGATTTACTCCAAACAGAATCATCCCACCACAACCACTGCCAATTACTGGATACAGCGGCTATCCTTCTTATCCCGGATATGGAACTCCAACTTCATACCACTCTGTAACACCGGTATCTCAGACACGATCGGCAAGACAAGGAAGCGTACATTCACAGCCATTCACACCTTCACCTATGATGGACGCTTATTATCCTGCGTAAGCATATTTGGTTATATAAAATATTACTTTACCTACAGCCAAACTTTCACTCCAACCAGAACTCCCCAAATTCATCCAACTTCTCAACAATCTTTTGTGACCCCAGAGTTCATCCCCAATTACATCGATGGTCGCAATAGCTCACCTTCTGGAGGATATCAGAGTGGTAGTCCAATTGTTGTAAGTTTATATTGTACACGACATTATCCGTTTAGGAGAGTCGAAAACCCAGATTCAGAATCTCGTCTTCTCCGCCACATCGTCAACAAGCGGTAAGTCTGCAATTTCACGAACATTTTAATTTCCGAATGCATTCGGAAACTTTCGAAAAAAGAGTCTCTAAAAATGTACTAAATGTAAATATCGATTCGATTGATTGACGCTTTGCAAACTCTGGAAAACGAACAATTATTTATTTTAGGCATACTTATCGGAGCCGGATAGTGGAAGAGGGAGTGGATCTGGCGGGGATATGGCCGTGCGGAGATACGAAATACGACAGCGATCCCTTAAAGGTCAGCAAGGGGCGTCGACGACGACAGATGACTCGACTTCGCCCGAACGAAGTCCTACCCGACAAAGTGTTCCGAATGCAACACATCAAACTACAGTGTGATCTTTCAAGGTATATGGTTCGTTACTGTTATTTTGTTTAAACAATTTTCACTTGTTTTCTTTCGGTCGATAAAATTCTATGAATAAAATTGAAGATATCGGTTAGGCGGGTGGAAACTTAAGTATAAAATAATAGTTGCAAAATTGGGCCCATCCTTCCCGTTCCACCTTCCATTATCTTATTGTTGCTTTTCTCACATCTATTCGCAAAGTTTTGTTTCTTTTGTCTTGGAAATGTTTTTTGCCGAGAACATGGCCATGAAATGTTGTGCGCACTAACCTTTTTACTCATTTGCATTCGCCTTCGATTATGAATTCTCGGAGCGATGCTGCTTATGACTGGGCTGATCGGCTGGACTGGCGGTTCCTTTCTTTATGGACTCTTCATAAAAGATTTGCCTGATCTGAGGGGTGACTAACAACTAGCTACTCGTCTACTTTTGTTTTTAGAAAGGAGAGAAATGTTTTTCTTTTATTTATAAATAATTTACTGTAGTTCGAGTTGTATTGTTTAACTAGTTTCTCTTTAATTGTCATTCTAATTGACCCTTCCTCCGACTACAGTAACCCGCCAACTTCCGCCGCTTAAAGAAATAATTTTCTTAACAAGGCTTCTGAAGGTGCGTCGGCGGCTGGGATTGAATTCTTTTGAAACTAATTGCCCCAATATGGCCCATCATCGTCTTAAAACAAATAAGGCAATTTGGGCGCGTTAAAAGCCCTCAGGGTCCCTCAAACAAAAAATTGGAGCGTGCGTTTCCGTTCTCCAATGCCCGCAGGCATTGAACCAAAAGTGGCCGAAATTGCATTCGCAGCGGCGTTTCGGCTTCAACGAATTTTGATTTGAAGCCCAAATAATTCTTAAGTAGTTTTACGAAATTAAAAGAATGAAATTTAATGGCGGTGTCCCCGGGCGATTGTACTGTAGGAGTAATTATTTGGTTGACAAATGATTAATGAGTGTGCTTCGAGGAGTTGTTTTTGGAAGGCGGAAGAGTGCGAGGTTACGGTAGGACATTTAATTACTTCCACAACAAATGACGAATACTTTTTGGAATCAACCTCAGTCTGGAACAAGGTATTATATTATCTTACTGTTCGCTATCACTATGTCGGGAAAATAACGGCGGGTCGCCCTTTGCGACGGCTGCCGAAGCTGGAGATTTTCACTGCACCCTTTTTCGACGAGATGAAAATACCTTGCTGCGACGACCCGCCGTTATTTTCCCGACAGACTGATACAGTAATTCCCTTTAAACTGGAATAAAAGAAGTGTTTTTGAAAGGTATTCTCATCCAGATCTGTTACTTTTTATTCACCCTTTCCACCTCAAAAGCGGCTTCTCAATTCGCATTCTGAGGGCCAAACGGTGGCCACGATTCCCATTTTCTGGCCTTAAGTTGTAAGATTTATTGGACCCATCCAAAAATAAGATTCAAATTAGGAGCCGTCTTAACGACTTAATGCTTTAATCGGCTTCGCCTCAGGGCCGAGGAAATTATTTTATTCGACTTTACAAATTGGAGTTTACCGTAACAGTAGAAACGTCGGTTCGCGGTCGGATAATCAAATCCAATTCGGTTATGCCTCATCGAATTAGGACCGGATATGATTTCCGCCGGTGTCCTAAGGACCTGAGCGTTTAGTTGTCAGGCTCTGTCACTTATTACAAGGCTGACAAGTTTCTTCGAAGGATGTTTTGTGGCCACAAATTGGAGGGAATCATGTCCGGGTTAATTCGATTAGTGACAGCCTCAGGATCAGCGTTGTAATGTTGAGTTGAGTAGAGTAGTTTGAAGACTTGTAAGTAGGGAATACGAATATGTTTGTCCAGGAATGTGGAGAGGGGAGTCATGTATGGGGCGATCGGGTCGATTACTTTCCTTTCGAGTTGAGCCGGATTAAGGATTACCCATTTCTTTTTGAACCCTCTCTCCATTAAATGATTCTCGGTTAATAGATTGTCCTGGATTTCAGGATGACTGGCTTAATTTCCATTCGAATCTCTCTCACCTTGATCTTGGATGGAGATGAATAATTGTTTAAACAATATCTTTTATGGACTCCTCTAATGTATATTGTCTTAGTGATTGACGTAGACTTCTCAATCCCTTCTCAGCGTTATATAGGCTTATTTGGAGATGGTATTTGCATATTGGTTCTTTTTCTGATTTCCTGATATCTTTCGAATATGTATTCCTTTTGGCCGGGGCTGTTTTTTCTTAAAATTTCATCTAACGATTGCTATAATTTAATTATACGACGGAGCGGAGATTGCGGTCCAGATCCGGGAGCCATAAGGCCAGATTGTTCATAAAATTTGGCTTTATGATATCACAAAGGTCCTGGAATAATATGATTTCAAGTGGCACGTGCTGTAATTGAAGGCCGGTTTATGGGATGGGCCGGTGCGGGCAGGGAGAGGGCAATAATGTGGTATCTGCAGCTCCATTAAGGCTGAATGGACTCTCCAGATGGCTGAGTCTAACGGCCCCTTCACCTCCACCTTGATCACCACTATGCCTGCCGTTAATTTGGGCGATTTAGATCACGGCACATTAATTTGGGCAGCGTCGTTTTATTTAAATGAGTTGAGATGAGGAGAAAGGTAATTGGTGTCTTCGAGGGATCACATTCCCCATCGGAATGTCTTTACAGTACTCCCTTTTTAATTGATTAGCATGCCCTACTTGTAACTTAGAGTCCCCTCTCTTCCTGTCGTCAGGATGTCGTTCATTCAGGAGCAGTCGCTGTGAATGGCTTGTCCGGTTAATTGGGTGATTAGCCTTGTCTCTTTAATTTCGTTCCCACGGGAATTTAAATACTTTTTACCTTGATATGCACCCTTTCACCTGGACCGTTACGAGGCTGCCAATTGGGGTGGATTCTTTTCGAATTCTTTCTCAAATTTTATTGAGCATGAAGGGCTGAATAATTGTTAATGGCTGGTTAGAGCGACCAAATTGCATTCATTTCAGATATTAACCAGGCTGCCTTCTCTCGATCCGTTCAGCGGTTTTATTCGAATTCGATTACTGTCATCACTTTTTGGATCCCCCTTTTGTGGATGCTGATTCAGTTTAATATATTTCCTCTCTTTTCGGGATGAGCCGTTTGTTTTGGACGGTCTCGTAAAAGCCGATCATGGACTGTTTGAGCACAGTAATCCACTAAACCGGAATTCCAAATTCATATAAATTTTATTACCCGGGATTATGTTCTCGGATCGTAAAGGGGCGGCTATGTCAACAATCATGATCGACCCGTGTTTACGACTTGATTGGGCACATGATTAATATAACATGTCCCGATTGACCCTGTTCTGAGTCCACTTAAGCCCCAGCTATCGAATCCTTGATCTTATTCATTAAGGATCTCAAGTGCCGCCTGTTTGATTTGGGCCAATCGACTCGACGGGAGATCGATTGTCTCCATGATGCCCTTGTTTTTATTCGATTGCGTTCCGGAAGTGTAAATGGCTTTAAGGGTGGCTGTTGCTTTTTGTCCCCGACCTCAAATTTCCCCAAGAGAAGGCGGGTTTCCGCCACACTTATTAAGTGCGGTTTGCAGCGGGACAATTGGGGCCGCTGGGGAGTAATAACCCCAAATAAGGGATGATATATTTGTGGAACAACCGATGGCTCACATACGGATGAGAGGGCGATCGTTGTCGTTTCACTTTTTTGTATAAAAAAATGTCCAATACTATAGGGTTAGCAACATAACATTGGGACATAATTTTGGGTTCGGCGGCGGACTCTCTTGACAACTTCCGAAGTCCTTTTTATTTTATGACTTTTAACCAATTTCGGGAATAATCCCCCGTCAAAAATATTGAAATTCATCATCGTCAGCGGAAAATGTAATTCAGGGGACTCGGAAGTGGTGCATTTACTTGGAGATTGTTTCTTTCCCAAAACAATCCACCCAAAAACGGCGCACATTACTCATTACTCACTGATTTTAAGTCAACTCATTTGGGTGGGAAATAATCTTATTCATCGAAATTCAAATGTTCCGTGTCTCTTCAGAAGGAGGGGCTTTTAAGGGTGGGAAGCGTGGCCAAGGAATTATCATTTGAAAGACGGCTCCGTCAAGGGACCTTCAAATGTCATCTGTCGAACTTTTATATGTTCCTCTTTAATTCGGGACTAATGGGAATGAATGACCGGTGTTAGATCCTGCAATGTTTTACTATAGAGATCAGATTATTTACTCAAGGAACCCTGCATTTTTAATCAATGCGATTTTAATGTTTATCTCGAGGGTCGCTTCAAACTCATTTTGGCCTTTTCTTTCTTTTTCTGAAGACACCAATTTGGAGAAAATGAATGTGGAGGCGCAGTTTTTATGTTGTTCATCAATATTTGAGTACGATCTGTTGCCCGCTGTTTGTTGATCCCCTCGAATCTTTTATCAAACACCTCCACTCTTTGATCCTCCGCCTTCTAATCGAATCCTTCATATAAATCCTTATAAAGCGCTGAATTAATCCTCGGAATGACCGGCCAGGGCGATCGGCCAACACATAACTATAGAGAGAGCGGCGGGCCCTCTTGATGGGGTACTGTAGAATGAAGAAGAAGTGGGGCGGACAATTGGCTTAAGGACTTCTCGGAGGGCGGAATCCAATTGGCCGAGTTTTGGGCCAAGTTCGAATGATTCTCTTCTAATGTCAATTGTGGATCATTATTATTAAAAGGGAGGGGGCGAAGGGGATCACGAGGATACACACAAGTCAGAGGTCAAAGGAAAACTTTCTTAATTGATTCCATTCCCACTTACAGTGTTATTTTTAGCTCGTCTGATCACTTTTTTGGTTCTGATAAATTTCATCAAGTCCTTTCTCTCAACCAGTTAATAGTTTTGGGAGGTCGGTGGTTGATAAAGTTTATGTTCGGGGATCATAGAGATAAGAGGCTTAGCTCTCAGCTCAATTAAGGAAGACCAGTTCCGACGTCTACATTACCTTTAGATGTTACACCAATGTTTTTTTTGTGTAAATGCTTTATTTTTTCGCTTTTTGACAATAGTAACGCAGGATCTCGTATCATCATGAAACCATCCCGTGTATCATTCCATTCCTCTTTTCTTACAGCCGTACCATCTCCACGGAGCATCTTTCAATCATTAACAATTAGAATTAATGATGTTTCCCTGAGGCGATGATTCCCGTCCTTAATGAGTAATTGTAATATTCCCTTCTCCTTTCTGACAGATTCAATTTATTTTGAAGAATTATTTTCAAATTGAGGCGAAAAGTTGATTTATTTTTTGTTTGATCATCCCCTCTAGGATACTGTAGCCTCAGAAACGATAAGCGCCTTTCGGGGCGTCAAAACGACTTTAATCAAGTTGGAAATCGGGGTTTGTTCGGGGCCTGCTCCCTCCGAGGATCAATTACAACTCGGATCGATGGACGCCGCAGAGAAAGTATTTAAGTAATTATAAGATTAAGTGCCCCAATTTACTGTAAAATTGAGTTGATGGAAGAAATCGGAGGGATCAGGCATATTATGTTAGACACAAATGGTTTGGAGGTTGCAGAACTTTCAGAGTATGGGTTGAGGCAATGGGAGTACGATGAACAGTAGTCTAGTTGCATGGGTTGGATTTTCTGAAGGATACCCCCTTTTCTGGATTGAATAATCTCCAAAATAAGGTCGTGCATAAGCCCATTAATGGGCTGTCTGTTTACTCTCCTGTATTCCTCATTGTTGTCGATTATTCAATCTGCGGATCTCATCCATTCTCGGCTGATTTCCGGCCTCGAATCTTTAACTCGCTGAGAAAAACCGGGTTTGCGACTCCACCGGAAAACAATTATACCTCCCAAACTCGAATCCCAGGACATTCGTCTTGTTATGGTCTCTTTTAAACAATTTTCTCTACCCGGAATAATATTTAGATTTGATTATTCTGCTACGTTCTGCGTATTTGGGACCGCTTTTCAAACTAAAAGTAATGTCTCAGATTTTGCAAAATTCGTGGATTGTTTTGCGTAAGAGCAAATGTTTCTTCCCACCTCAAATCCATATTTAAAATTTGACGCCGGTTTCATAACCCTGTTGCACAACCGTGTCCATGTCTCCATTTCTCCCCGCGGTAACATCTCCGTCTCCATCTTGACGAGTCGTGTCAAAATATATGTCTATTAATTACTCCAGGCGACGATTATGTTAGTGATTGTGTACTTACAGACATGAACAACAAGTTCACACTCCGAGGCGTGTCAATGGATGCCATGACGCTTGTAGTTGTGTCACTGTTGAAGGAGGATGGATGCAAATTGTCCACGAGCATCATTCATTTATAAGATTGGTTTAGTCGAGCAGATTTTCTGATCTAGGAGTGTGTAATATAATATATTTGGATGGTCATGGGGTTATTGTAGATGAAACCTATTAGTAATCTCTGAATCCTGCTCTCTTTACTCATCGCGCCGCGCATGTTGTAGATCACGGTGGATTAGCCCGATTTTGGATGGATGGGAATGTCCACTTTACAGTACAGACGCCGCCATTTACAGGGGCATTACGAATATAATTGTTTTGGTTGGTGTCATCCCTTTCGTGGCCGGGCTTTCGTTCCAAAATTGGATTAATTGGCCGTGTCTCTTTGTCGCCGTATAAATCAATTCCCCTCAGGACATAATTATTTTACCTTCTCTGCATTCCTAATGACGGGAAGGTGCGGCCGAATAAACAATTATTTATGGCCTGCGCCCATCCATCGACTGGGCCCCTAATCGGATCGACCGGGCGCTGATAAGGGGCGCTGTTTTCATAATTTATTTCCCTGACTCATGACCTACCCCCCTCCAAACCTTGACTTAATTCGGTTCTGTGGAAATGGAATCTCTGTAAATATTGCCATCTTTTTCCCTTCACCCTTTCTTCGGTTAATTGCCCTTCCCATTCAGATTCTTATCCTTAGGGCAACAATCTTTCTATGGGAATTATTTCAGAAACGCTCTGTAGCGATGGCAAGCTTAGGATTATTAATTAAAATGGGCGTGAAAAAATTGCCTCTAAGCGATTTTTTGTGGTCGTACAATTATGAAATAGGGGTTCAAGATCAGTAAAATTCGATTCAGTCATCCTTTTTTCCAGCAACTCCGTGGGCCTCTCTGCAGCCAGTCTGCTCATATTTATCGCGCAGCTGAGTTGAATGCATTAGGAACACCAATTAGGGACCTGACGAATGGCCTTCTGATGTGTATGTAACCAGAGAAGAGGTCGCGTGTTTAACGGGCAATATTGAATTAATACGCGATGAAGAGTCCGGGACTTTTTGAAGGCTTGATGAGGACTCTGTCTTGACAGTCCCCTTCCTTCTTTTTATTTCGTACCAGGTGGGACTGGAACAGCGCCAGCTGATAAGCTAATTGGCGAAATTGGAACGCCGCAATAATAAAACGATAAGGGCTCGATGAGTCGACCTCTCAGCTGATCGACCCGCGGGGCCTCATGATCGGCTCCATGGCTGATTGACGTGCCCTGGGCCGGAAAAGAGCCGGTCCGTCCTTCAAGACAATCGGCTAATCATTATTATCATCAGTTTTTCTCACTTTCCTCGGTTCTTAATAATAATCAAGTTTGCGCGTTTTTGCGCCGTTAATAATCGGCTTTGGTCTTATCATAACTCTTCCTTCTCCCCTCCTCGAGAGTCAACATGTTAGTTTGTTCTATATGTGTTTAAGAAATCGATGTCGAGGTTTATTAAACAGACAAACGAACGGTCTCGGGTCCCTGGGTTAAAGTGTTGCGCTTGTTTCGGGCTCTTCACGCGCCTGATTCGGGGAGGGAGGTGTCTGGTGGGCATGGTGATTTAATACGACATCGATTCCTAGGTGATAGGCGTATATCTTTGTGTGTTTTTTAACCCTTACCATTTTCATTTTCCGCTTCATTAAAGGCCTACCGCCATCCCACTGGTAGTCTAACTGTTCTCACACCTGTCAAAAGTCGGTCCCTTCTGATTTCCGCCAATTACATCTACGGGAACATACGATCGCTTAATTACCATGCGATTGATTTCGATAAAACTATTATTGCGTAATCGTAATCGCTTAATGGCTGCAAATCTAATTCATTTTGGAGACCGTCCTCAGTAAATATTCTGGCCAGATGCCCCTAAATGATTGCATAATTTGGCAGTAAATTCGCGCCGCAAACTTTTTGATCAGTCGGGCATCAAGTTTCAATTGGGATCTCGGGAATTCGATTATTCAAAGAGATGCCGCCATTAAGTCTGTCGATTATAACACCCGTAGTAGACCCTTTTTGTGTAGATCAGGGTGTTTTCTTTTTTAACAGCTCTTTTCCTAAATTACTGTAATTCAAAGTTTGTCTGATATGTCTCAGCTTACTGTACTCTAACGCCTTAACCGCCCATTCCCCCTAACTACATAATATATGAAATTCCTTCGATCTTTTATTAATTTTGTCGGACTTAATAAAAGAATGGCCAGGGGCGTTATTTGGCCTTCCGAGAGTGCAAGAACCGCTAATTGCTCCAAAATATTAAATCTCTTTTGGGCAAAGAGTCGCGCGTTTATTAAAGCGCCCTTAAGTGTCTTCAAATCGAATATTAGGCAATTATACAAGAGTAGAGGGGTTGTTGTTCTTGATATTGGATGATAGACATGTCCATCGTGTTTGGAAATCCTTCACTGTCATTTATTTTCAATAAAGAAGGGGTAGTCTTGGTTGTAATGAGTTTCCCGAATGGTCGTAATGATTAATATTTATGCGTCTTCGAAGATTCTTGTCCAATTAAGCACGGGACGTCATTCAGCTCCCTTTAGCAAATATTTCGACGAAATTTAATCCGAGTGAGAATGCTCTGATTAAGAGAGCCGAAACGACGTCAAAAACCCGCTGGCATCAGGTGCGATGTCCACAAATATCGGAGCTGAATGCCCTCCAAATTAGCCGAATCCACTAATCAGGACAGGTGGCAGGACTTGCGGGACATCCACTGACCATGGCCTCAGGTCATCGCTCGCTTAATGTTACTTTGTACACATTACTTGCAATTACATCATCTCGATTATGTCATCCTCGGAACAGGTCTTTGTCCCCGCCTTTCCTTTTTATAAATACTTTAATGACGATGTCCAACGATTTCCTTCTCCATCCCGGTTCTCTCGGCTATTCCCGGCTAATCCGGTGATGTAGAGGGAGTGTTCCATATCATCTTTTAACACCTTGTGACGCAGATTTGATGGCTTAACGGTTCCTGCAACGTCGTCCCTATAATTTTGTGTATCGTCTCGTCTTCTCCATTTGCCTGCATCTTTCTTAATGAATAATTTCCGTCTCTTCAACCCTTTCTTTCCTCGCCCTGCTCTGCCGTTCTGCGCCCCTTATATCTAAAATTGTCTCTTTTCTGACGTCTCCACCTTTTAATGTACTCTATGAGGCTATTTCAAAAATTTTCTCGCCGTCTCATTCTTATTTAATTCACCTTTTCTCGTTTATGTCAGCCCGAATAATCGGACCAATCACCGACGGAGGCCACGCCCCTTCGGCCAAATTGGCGCACCGCCTCAAAGGAAGGCTAATCCTGTTCAGGAAATCCAGGGAGAGCGAAAATCTTACCTCGACTGACCGTCGGGCGCCTGGGGGCATAATATTAAATTTATTTTAATTACCGGTCGAATTGATCGATTATTTTTATTTTATCTTTATGATGATTTTATGAAATTGATCTTGCGCGATTCTTATCATCTCTCTGTAATTTTAAAGATTTTTTTTAGTTTCCAAACTGGCTGAAATAATGAAACAAGAAGATAAACCTGCCCAGGTTCCCGACTTTGCCTCGATTCAGCAACTTTTGATGGCCATGAATCATATGAATAACCAAGTGCAAAACCCGGATCTCTTTGCTCAACTTTTCGGGAATAGCCCGAAGCCAGAATCTTCCCCCAATTCTGAAGCCACCAAGATCTTTAACAATTTTGGAATCGAATCTTTGACTCAGAATTCGGATAACAAAAAAGATGTGGATAAACAAAGCGAGACCGATACGATCCCGGACGAAGATCCCCAATCCCCATCAGGTATGTTGATCTATGATATAAAGCTTGATTATCTATTATTTCTAAGAAAATTGTCATTGCAGATGCCCAGATCAGCTCTGGATCCCTAAAATTGCCGTCGCTGTCCCCGGATAACACCAATGGCCTTCATTCTTTCAACGGAGGGCTATCTCCCACTGCTTCAGAATTAGATCACGGTCGAAGGAAACAACGGAGATATAGGACAACTTACACTGGATACCAGTTGGATGAGTTGGAGAAGGTGTTCATGACCACCCACTACCCAGACATCTTCACCAGGTGTGTCCTTTCTCCACATTTGGCCTTATTTTTCGCTTTTTATGTTATTATACCTGATCCGTTGTTCCGTGGCCTCTTAGTCACCTACCTCTCCCTAAGTATACATTACATGTCGCGGCATATATGCCCATGTATAATGTGTATTATGCGCAATTTAATCTGAGAGCGGATATTATTCGAAAAGGGGTCCGAAATTTGCAATTATGCATTTTACGCGCTAATTAAGGGCACACCGCCGGCCAGGAATGGTAATTGGAGAAGGTGGCCAGGACAAAGAATTGTTTTCATTGGGGCCAAATATTAAAGTACCGGCGATAAAATTACCGGAACTGCGAGTCGGCCGAAAGCCGCCCTTAGGGTAATTCAATTTGTCCGCCGAAAAGTCAAGAATAGCTAATGGGATTAGAGTGAATACAGTATCTCATGGTTCCGGCCTGTGATCGTAATAGTCGCAGCGATCGCCCGGAGTTATTGCTGAGCAAACAAGGGCCTGGAAGTTACCTGGAGCCAATAAATCAAAGGCATTGAACCGCTCGCGCATTTCGGGGACACCTGCCCCTCCCTCCCCCGCCCGACAATGTTTTTTGGACAACGTTGCGCGGACGGTTGTCGCTCTATTAAGGTAATTAGTTATCCTTGGCGCGCTAATTGTCCTGCCGACTCAGATTTATGGACTCGGCCCGTTTTATGGCAGGTCTGACTTTTCGTTTTGAAATTATGAGCAGCGGGGAAATCGAAGAAAAACTCTTCAGTTATCATAGACTAAAGCAATATTATTTTAGAGAAGAGTTGGCCCAACGACTTGATCTGAAGGAAGCCCGAGTCCAAGTTTGGTTCCAGAATCGTCGTGCCAAACATCGAAAGCAGGAGAGATCAAGCGGCCATCCCTATGCGCCCCCGGGGAGCGCCATAACACATCCTTCGCTCGCTCAGATGGCCTCCTATCCTGCCTGGATGTTGGCCCAACAAGCCAGTTTCCTCGAGAACATGCCCTATTTCAACATGACCGGTCTGAATCAAGAGAACAAGACCTCGGTTCATAGTCCCAATGATGCCGAGAAGGACAACAATAACGGGTTTAGCCAGATCCAGGCTCTTTTCCAGCAACAACAATACGCAAATTACTTCCTGAACTCCCTTTTGATGCAGAAACAGATGAACCCCTCTTCCCCGACCTCTGCCGCCACCCAATCGGCCTTTGTTTTCCCTCCCTCTGCCTCGATGTTAAGTCAAATGAGCGAATCCAGCACTCCGAATACATCGACCCCTTCGACGAATGGATCAAACAATCTTTTGAATGCATTTCTGGCAGCAAATCAAGGAAAGCCGAGTGAAGAAAAGGAAATAAAGGAGATCAAGGAGGTAAAGGAAGTGAACGAAGAGAAGGAAGTCTCCGAAACAGATGAATCCAGATCCAGGACGACTTCTCCAGTCCAGGAATAGTCGGTCCAGTCCACGAATTGATCCCTAGACATCCTCCAACTATGTTATATCTTGTTGTCCATGTCTCCGTCGATCACCCCCACCTGTCTAGATCTTGTTCCGCGTCGAGATTCGGATCTCAGAGTTGTAAGTCTCGCCCAAGTGTCTAATAAACAACAACTTTTAATGCCCCAATCGCCTCTTGTCTACGAGCAAATACGAAATGTTTATTGAGTTATATATATTCCTCCGGTTTTCTGCGCATGTTCTTCTTGTTCCAACCATAATTACTGTAGATGCTTTACTAAAGTACGACTGAATGGCAATACCTTCTTCTCTAGCCTTTGATTTATTTTTATTCGCTTTTATATGTACAAACACATGTACTTTTACTACACGGTAATAAAATTTAAAAGTAATCGAGAATACAGTTTTTGATTCCGATGAAAATGAATATCACTAGGAGGACCATGGAGTTGAATTGGAACCATTCGGCGAAGAAATCCCAGCCGGCCTCGGCGAATACTTCGATCGGGTTCTTCTGGAGTTTGGCATTGGTCATCGTCTAGAATTAAAGTCTTCGTTTTAAGCGTGTTAACAATTTTAGACAGTCTTAAATTGCTTTAGGCAACACGTAGAGTCGCGTCAATACAAACCTTAATTTGGGTGTCATCGATAGATGCGAAGATGACGTCTTCATTACGTCCATCAGATTACTGCCTTAGGGGATAATCGGATTGGAGAAAATGCTTTATTGGATAAAGAAACACCGTAAGCGGATAAAATAAATGTAATCCGAGCACACAGATGTAATCCGATGACGGCCGAGAACAATTTGGAACGGTTATGACTGAAGACATCACAGTACGTCGACTAATCGCCCTGACATAAGCAAACGAACGTGCCGTTGACGTTCCCATACAACGTTCGAAACATGCGTAAAACAAGTGTAAAAGGACAAGAAAAAAAATTTTGCTAATGGGATCAGAACTATGTACATCATAGAGACAAAGAAAGATAAGAAAAAGGATCATCAAAACAGGGAAGTCATCGTAATCTCTTCAAAACATCTACAACAACACATAACAACCTGCGGAGAAACTTTTATGTATTTAAAATGGGATTTCTGGGTAAACGACATCCAAAAAACGAAGTATAGCTACTGGTATGATGCTGTTTTCATCCAGACAAACATGGTTTGCGGGACTGGAATCTGAATGCCACAACAGAAATTTTGTCATCTCCGTGTGAAAATTGAAAAATATCGAAAAAGTCGAAAAGGTGGTATCTTTCGACCGGTCAATCGGAGACTTATAGAAGTGAGGTTCAAAAGTCTTAGAAGCTTGCGTAGATGAATTGTCACTTCATAGGGCATCTTTTAGAGCAATAAAAAAAGTCATGCCATTATGCAAAATTTTTGAGAAAATTTATTATTTTTTAATTTTTTACTACTTGTGCATTTTTCTGCATACTTCCAGAAGTCCTAGAAAAAATATGTCAATACTATACAGAAATTGCTTATTGTTAGAAACATTCACGCTATAACCCTAAAAAGGTCAATCGGGCTACTACACGATGAGAAACGAAAAAACTTTAAATGTTACAGTATACGTAAAGTAAGCCAAAAATTGAAAATTGGACCTGCCCGTTTTAATGTACAAGTAACTAGCTACCTATCGTAGAAATTTCTTCGAGTTTCTCGCAAAACTGGTTTTAACAATAAAAAAATTTTGGAAAAAATTGTGGCCCATTAAAATATTTTAATTTTCAAATCAATGCCAAAGAACCCTAATTGTAACATCCCGTAAATTTTAAGCCAAAAAAAATATTTCATGAGTTTCACAAAAAAAATCCGCATTATCCGGAATTTTCACAACCTTTCATTTGAGGCAGACCGAGTTTCAACCGAATTCTTATGCTCAAGATTGCTCACAGTATTACCTGAACTCAAAAAATTATGTATATGGTAAAATTTTACTGCACACCACTGTTACCAGCTGATTTAACTTCTCGCGAAATCTCTTTTAAAGCCCCGGACAGCACAAAGAAAATATTGATAATTTACTTAAAAAATCATTCATTAAAATTAAAAAAGTTTAAAATTAATAGTGTTCAATTACTGTAAAGATTTACCTAATTCCAGTTGACAATTACAGGTGAAAAGAATGTATTTTGGCGCTGTACTTTTTTCCGTCATCACGGATAACTAACAAAAAAAAATTAACCAAATAAAAGGGATTCTCAGAAAATTAGAACAGGACAAAGTCCCAGAAAATTGGGGATCCGAAGGAACCACCTATTTTCTGGTTTTACTGGTTAATTACCGTAAAGATTTACCTCCTTCCAGTTGACAACTAAAGATGAAACGAAGTCACGAAGAAACGGAATTTTTGCGCCAAAAATAGAGATGATTAAGGTTTTAGCTACCGAAAAAAAGCCTCGAAACGAATGGATTCTGCAGAACTCTGACAAATCGAATCGGAAATTCCAAAATTGAACGTTATAGAAATTTTGCCTCTCTAAAATAACATGATCAAATAACTGGACTGTTATAAAAAAAACTATTTAGATTATACAAAACTAGGTGGAGTAAAAGGAACGGGTCAGAGACCCCAATCCGAATGCTGTTATAGAAGGTGGATCGATGGGGAGTGCGCAAAGATGGAATCGGAAAAGGTCTTGCCCTCAAGGTCGTGGGGATTGCGGTCTGCCTCTTTCGCTGACCACTTTTCAAAAACACTTTTGTAAAAATGCTAAATTTATGGATTCTGGAGAAAGGAGGTAACTGAATACTCGGGTGGTGAAAATTCGGGCGATCGTTTATTCGGATGATGCATTTTCGGTGGGTGAATTCTCGGGTGATGAAGCAAATATCGTTCTGATGGCTAGTATTATAAATACGATACAACACAGTAAAAATTTTACAATTTTTTGCAATTTCGTTCATTTTTGGGATTACGACCATGAAGATTTCATTTTTGAATTCCTGATGGTCAAAACCGAATGAGTGAAATTGCAAAAAATGTCAAAATGTTTACAGAATTATGTCCATCAATAAAAAATTTTCTTCATCACCCGAGAATTCACCCACCCCGGAAATGCATCACCCGAATACGCGATTACCCGAAAGGGCTCACCCAAAGGTAACAATATGTAAAAATTGTGACAATAATTCGACATATGAGTACGGAACTAACAGGGGAAGTACTCCAACTGCGACGCTCAGATTTTGATGAAACTTGGCACAAATTTAGAATAATTTTTTTTAAAGATATATGCGAGAATTCTAGCTCGCGCTTTGCAGAAACAACCGAGATTTTTAGATCAAAAGTCGGCCAAAATTTAGGACTTTTTGCCGAATTTCGGCTCGGAAAGTTTCATGCCTATTTCAACCGTTAAGGATAATGTTTCTACAAAAAATCAAATTTTTCCGCTCGAAACTGCCAAAGTTATGGCCAAAAAGGTGTTTTCTCTCTGACCGCTCTCCACGTTTAGCGAGCTCTCTCGGCGGCAAAAATCGTTCGATATCTCGGCGGCGCCGGCAAAGCGCGAGCTAAAACTTTCAGTAATTGATATTTAGTCCATACCCGACGTGTGTGTAAAATTTAAAACGCGTTTTATTACAAATCGTAGTTTGGCCCGGACATTGTTAAAATCGGTGTCTCAGAATTCAACGAAACTTGGTAGATTTAATAACTGCTAGGCATAGAACATTCGCTTTCTTTAATTTTTCCCAAAATTACCATATGACGGATTACTGTAACTTTCTTCCTCAAAAAAGATGTGCCCTAATCGTGAAAACGAAGCTGTATTTTAGTGCAAATTGAGTTTAGGTGTATGTTTTCGACCATGTTGAACATTTTTGTAATTATCACCAAAAACTAAAAATTACATCTAAGCTATGTTACACTTGAGGCAACATACCATTTCGGGTGTAAAAAATGCAGTTTTGAGGTGACGCAGATTTTGAAACCGGAATATTAAACTTCAAGCCCTGTCTAATAAACCATAAAAATTTCAGAAAAATCAAATGTATAGTTTTTGAGAAATTGGACATTTAATTACTTATGTGCAATATCACCTTGACCCGAAAAAAACTGGCATTCTTGGGGTTTTGACCTGACGCAGATTTTGAAAGTTTCCAATATATTTTTATCATATTTTAGGAGGATTTGGAAAGTTTCAGAGGAAAAAAATGTATAGTTTTTGAGAAATCGACCAAAATACCTTGTTTTAGGTCATCAGATGCCCGAAAAAAACTGGCATTCTTGGGGTTTTGACCTGACGCAGATTTTGAAAGTTTCCAATATATTTTTATCATATTTTAGGAGGATTTGGAAAGTTTCAGAGGAAAAAAATGTATAGTTTTTGAGAAATCGACCAAAATACCTTGTTTTAGGTCATCAGATGCCCGAAAAAAACTGACATTCTTGGGGTTTTGTCCTGACGCAGATTTTGAAAGTTTCTAATACATTTTTATCACATTTTAGGAGGATTTGGAAAGTTTCAGAGGAAAAAAATGTATAGTTTTTGAGAAATCGGCCAAAATACCTTGTTTTAGGTCATCAGAACACAGAATCGTAGCCATCGGCTTACATTTGACAAAAGTTTTGCAGAGAGCTTGAATTTATTAGTGACAATTTGGAGAAAAAAACAGTAACACGCATATATCTCGAAAAAAAAGAGATGCCGAAGAAAATTGGTCGAATTTTCCAGCAACTTGACCTATAACAGGTTCACCTTGGTCGATATCTCAAAAACTATTCACTGTTTTCCTCTGAAACTTTCTATATCCTCCTGAAATGTCATAAAAATGTATCGGAAACTTTGAAAATCTGCGCCTAGCCAAAAACCTAAGAATGCCAGATTTTTTCGGGCATCTGATGACCTAAAACAAGGTATTTTGGCCGATTTCTCAAAAACTATACATTTTTTTCCTCTGAAACTTTCCATGTCCTCCTAAAATATGATAAGAATGCATTGGAAACTTTCAAAATCTGCGTCAGGTCAAAACCCCAAGAATGCCAGTTTTTTCGGGCATCTGATGACCTAAAACAAGGTATTTTGGCCGATTTCTCAAAAACTATACATTTTTTTCCTCTGAAACTTTCCAAATCCTCCTAAAATGTGATAAAAATGTATTAGAAACTTTCAAAATCTGCGTCAGGTCAAAACCCCAAGAATGCCAGTTTTTTTCGGGCATCTGATGACCTAAAACAAGGTATTTTGGCCGATTTCTCAAAAACTATACATTTTTTTCCTCTGAAACTTTCCAAATCCTCCTAAAATGTGATAAAAATGTATTAGAAACTTTCAAAATCTGCGTCAGGTCAAAACCCCAAGAATGCCAGTTTTTTTCGGGCATCTGATGACCTAAAACAAGGTATTTTGGCCGATTTCTCAAAAACTATGCATTTTTTCCTCTGAAACTTTCCAAATCCTCCTAAAATGTGATAAAAATGTAGTGGAAACTTCAAAATCTGCGTCAGGTCAAAACCACAAGAATGCCAGTTTTTTTCGGGTCAAGGTGATATTGCACATGAGTCATTCAATGTCCAATTTCTCAAAAACTATACATTTGATTTTTCTGAAATTTTTATGGTTTATTAGACAAGGCTTGAAGTTTAATATTCCGGTTTCAAAATCTGCGTCACCTCAAAACTGCACTTTTTACACCCGAAATGGTATGTTGCCTCAAGTGTAACATAGCTTAGATGTAATTTTTAGTTTTTGGTGACAATTACAAAAATGTTTTACATGGTCGAGAACATACACCTAAACTCGATTTGCACTAAAACTGAGCTTCGTTTTCTCGATCAGGGCACATCTTTTTTGGGGAAGAAAGTTACAGTAATCCGTCATACGGTAATTTTTGGGCAAAAACAAAGAAAGCGAATGTTCTATGTCTAGTGTTGATTAGATTGACCAAGTTTCGTTAAATTCTGAGACACCGATTTTAACAATGTCCGCCCCCTGTTAGGCTGAGCCACAAAGTGTGGCAAAACGCGTTTTAAAGGCAATCTGAGCGTCGCACTTGGAGTACTTCCCCTGTAAGTAAATTAAATTGTTTTTACTGATAAACTTTTAAAAAAATTTTTTTGCGCAATAAAACATACAAACAACTAGCGTTCGACTGAAAAATAGCCAATGATGAGCTCAACCTCGCGCTGTACTAACTGCAAATTCAGTCCCTCAAGGATGACAAGAAATGAGTACGGCACCAGAGGAAACTCAAGGGTCGGGACTCGATTCGGTATGCTCAGTAATACTTTGGCCATGCAAATTTGGCGTTCCAACCGGACTCAGCGCCGGCTCACGAGGCAAAAACGATTCAAGGCCTGGAATAGGACGATTTACATCTCATTCCGTTGACAAAATAAAAATGTGTCATTTTACTGATATTCATCGTTCCTTTGGTTAATTTTTTCTTTGTTAAAAAACATGCTTGTAAATACGAGTTGCAATCTTTCCGGCAACCCTGTATCATCATTTCAGGTTCAATTAAGATTTTTTGAAATAAACTGAGCTTAGCTTATGTCAAATCCATTAATTTAGTTAATTACCCATCCAGCGTTGTCCTTAATTTTCGGACTCATTAATTAGAGAATTTGTTTCTTTGTCCCGTTACATAATATCCCGGGAAAGGCCTCATCTCGAGAGCTGGCCGAGTAGGGGATCTTGACCTGACTCCCCGAAACGCACTGTAAGGGCGTCGTATTTTGCTTTTTATGCAAATTTTGTTTTCTTTCTTTGGCCAAATTTTTGGCCATACGGCCTGAATTTAGGAACAAAAATGGGGGAAGAGTGTCATTAAAGCGCCGTTCTTTTTTGGGTGATGGCCACTGATTGCGATTTTGGTTTTCAAAAAACACATTTTGCAAATTTTCGAGTACTGTCTCATCCTCAGTCAACATATAGATTTTGCATCAACTTTTTTTGTCATAATTTATGAATTCTTGCGAATAAAGATTTTAAGGTATTCTTAATATGCCAGATGGCTCCGACAATCGGCGCTAATTTGGACGTCGTATTTTATGATTCCAATTAGGACTCGCTTCATCGGGACGACCTTGCCAATCACGAATACCTGTTTCTTATATGTATGTGTTCGGAGCGTCCGAAGTGTTTAAGCGAGTCGTTAAGGCAAGGGGGCGCGTTCTCGGGCGCCATTCCTGTCTCGAAATGCCAAAAAAAATGTCTTGCGAACATCAGTTTGTAATCTCCGCTCATTCCTCATCTGATTTCCAATTATTTGGCAAGTTCGGAGGATTGATGGCCACTTCCTTGGTCAGAGTTTTGGCCCCGATTTTACTCATCCCACCAGGTCTGAATAAGATTTACGTAATCGCGGCTGTCCGCCTGCGCTCCTTTCTTGGTGCGAGTTTGATTCATTTCCCTTCTTTTTCTTGTTGTGACCTGCCTGATTCTAATCTCAGAGTCTATTATGCATGTTTGCATACACATCCCATGCTAATGAGACGCCAATTGTGGCGCCATTTCTTACAGTTTTTGTTTGGGGTGGATCCGGAAGCCTTTTCCCTTTCTCTTGCCCTTGCAGAGCTCATTTGCATAACCAAATTTCGATGGTCAGTCAGTTTTTGAATCTTTGGCCGCAGTATTTGGAATAAAAAGATGTCACTTCTCTTGAATTGCAACAGTCGCTATGACAACGCCCTGACCTTTTGGTATAATATATTTCAAATATAGAGCACATACGACGCTCGTCTTGGAGATTCCTTTAAATCTATTTTATGTCCTATTTTCCCCGTTCGAAGACTAATTTCAGATTTTGCGCGGCACTAAATAAAGACCACCGGAAAGGGATGTAAGCAGCCACTTTTTGGACGAATCCAATGATGCGTTAACTTTCTTGGGTGCTCGCTTCGAATTAATTTAAAGTAAACTAAACATTTAATATTAGCCGCGCAAATGTGTTGCAAAACATTTTTTGACGCCTGGACGTTAACGGCCCTAAGGGCATGGCGATATTGTTTGGTCCTTTATTTATATCCGGAGGTTGAATGTTTTATGTTTTATCTTTTGTTTCAAGCAAGTGACAGGCCTTCAATTAATCATTATCATTTGAAAAAAGCCCCCCCCCCTCCCTCGATCATCTTTTCTTGGCCTTGAGGATAACGTCAAGGGCACGTAAAAAGCCCTCAGGCTCTCAATTGGTAATGGCCTGGTCTCTGTTTATTGTCTCTCTTGAATGCCAGTTTTGTTTTGGATGTTGGAGGGTGTTCCAACTCTAATTAGTGGCCATCTTGACTTAATTGGGCTCCCATTTTTTATTTTCTGACCCTTTATAATAATATTATACTTTTTAAATATATTTTTTCATTTTGCCCATGTTGTTTTAACCTTTTTAACTAATGATCCTCCTGATTTATTTATTAGTTAACGCTTAGATATGTATGTTCTCTTTCGCGTACTCTTTTTTCCGGAACTTCTGTTTGTATTCTAAAATGTCCTGAGGCTGTTACGTGTTCCGAGTGTCTTTACCTAAACTGCGGTCAAAGAAAAGGACCATCACCGGATATATAAAGCGGTCGTTTTGTGCCGTAAAGATCAAAAAGAATAATTTACATGTGACGTAAGATGGCAGAAAATCATCACACGACCAATATACCTCTCTTTTATTGAGTTATAATACTCTTGATATGTTTTGTTTGCTCTTCTTAAACGGTTTGAGTTTCCATGTTTTCTCGGGACTTAAGGTCATAATCTGGGGGCAGCACTCGATAGATCTCTCCCTTTGTGTAGGTAGATTCTCTACTCCGATTTCACTTATGATTGAAAGGTAAGACATCTCTTGAGTCTCTGTTTGTTCTCCTCAACTCTTCTTCTTTTCTTAATTTGCAAGGATTCTCGACACTTTCCTCGAGAAGCGCGGCACGCCCCTGTTTTATGCCCTCAGGCAACGCTTGGGCCTCCCGAAACGTGGAAAGGAAATTGATCTCAATTCAGGTGAAATCCAAGTAGCCTGAAGCGTTGTTATGGAACGGGCTCGATGTTACAAGGTCGTGGCCCTCAGGGTATTTTTGGCCTGCTTACGACTTTGTTGAAATAAAATTGCTTGAAAAAATGAGTCTTAAGTTGCAATCTCAACGCCGTTGGCCTCCTCACCTCTACATCGAACGCTTATATAATCGCACAACCGTCTCGATTACCCTTGTCTTGTGTATCCTCATTCTCCCCGCGTTCCCTCCTTTTTTATCTTTCATACGGACTTTGAGAAGATTGGCCGACTTGAAGTTGCTTTTTACTATAAGTGCAATTGGAACGTCGTTGTAATGAGATTTAAACGCCTTTGACCTCTTGTCCTTTTTCAGGTTTTCAAGTATCCAAAAGTTTGAATGTGGGGATGAAGACGAGTTTCTTAGTCTGGCTATTGGCCAGCTACATGGCTTCGGCAGATGTCACTTTATTTATCAGCAAGACTGAGATGAACAGAACATTAGGTGAAATTTCATTGAGATTACTAATATTAATATTCATTACATTTTTTGATTTTGATTATTTTAGGAGTTTTGGCAGAGATGAATTATGTTGAGAATGGGATTGTCAACGCGTACTCGACCAAGTTCCCATATCGAGTAGCTGCCAACATTAGTCATCTTGTTTTCACCTGGTTCTCTCCCTCCCACGCTGATTATTCGGTTCAAGTTCACGCCGAAGACTTTAATGTCCTGCCTATTATTAATATCCCCACCCATGGAAAAATTCCGCGGGAACGCGAGAGTAAGTGCAACAAGAAACGTTTTGAGAATGTAGATGAAAAGCGACAAATATAATCGTCATCTATTATGCTGTTTTTCAGCATTTTCAATTGAATATCGATGTGCGGGAAGTCGAGCAGGTCAATTCCTGGTGACTTTGTTTCTCAATATCACAACTTCTAATCAGCCATTAACATTCAGTCTCAAACAAGAAAAGATTTGTGTCCTGAAAGACGGGAGAAGAGCAACTGGAGGTAGTCAAATCTAAATTATGCAAACAGTCACAATTACAGGGTCAAATGATCATGATTACAACAATTTGTCCTTAAATGGAGACAGCTACAGTGTTCTCCCGTCCCCCGTCTTGCTCTATTCTACCGCCGCCATATTAATCTGCATAGTTTTGCTGACAATCGGAGCTGTTTGTTTTTACAACAGATCGAAGAGTAAACCATCCAGATTATACGAATCGAGACATGGCAGATCAACGCCCAGTTCTTTCCCGTAAGTTGTCAAATAATTTAATTTTTTGTCCTTTCAGAACAAAAGAGTCAAGTGCCTTTGATTCCCCTTCCCAACCATTTCTTCAGCCTTGCACTTCAACCCCGTTAACCAAGGCATCTACAGCCAAATTAACAAAACTTGAAAATTCAATTGAACCCAAAGTGATATTCGAAAGGAAGACAACGTTAGATGTGAACAAGACCCTTGTGGAGTTGTATGCGGATAGAAATCTATTCCAAGTGATGCCATTCATTGAGATGGAAGGCAAATTTGGAGAGATCAGGTGGGCCATCTGGAGACAGAATCAGGTCGGATTGAGTGGAGATATTGATGACGAAGAAGATGGAGTTAATGAGGAAGTGGCTGTGATTTGTAAAACCTTGAAGAATACAACCGACCGGTCACATTTTGAAAAATTCATCCGGGAAACTCTAGTCTTTCACCAGGCAAGTCAAAGTTTAAAGTTTAGATCGGTTAAGCATCTGTAGTCCAATAAAAGCAGCTTTAGGTACCTGCTCAAATGAATCTTGCGCAAGTCCAAGGGGCTGCCACTTTTGGGCATTTTAATAACCCAGCTTCTGTAACCGATTTCCCTTTGATTTGTTATCGCCACCAAGGATTCGGTTTCCTGAAGAAGTTCTTGCTTACATGTAGAGGAGTTCAAGGACTTAGAGAAAGTTCAGAAGTGAGTGCAAGTTCATCCAAACGGTCAGCCGGGGGTGCTGCCAACCAAACACTGAGAACTCATGATCTTGTCAACATGACGCAACAGATCCTCAAGGCCATCTCACATTTACATAAATTTGGAGTCATTCATAAGGATGTGGCAACAAGGAATTGTTTGATTGCTGAGATCCCGGCCCTGGGAATGAACGAGAGATTGATGGTCCAGCTGTGTGATTCTGCCCTGAGTCGAGATCTATATCCAGAAGATTATTACAGTCCGAAAGGTGATGATACCGACAGTCGGCCTGTCAAATGGATGGCTCCGGAGACGATACGAAGTAATGTTTACAACAGCTCTTCTGATGTTGTGAGTTTTTACACTACTATCATGGAATATAGTAGTTGACTCTGAATAATTACTCTATTTTCAGTGGTCGTTTGGAGTATTTATGTGGGAACTATTCACATGTGGTCAACAACCATTTGTCGACTGTAATCCCGAGGAAATACCATCAATCCTGCAGACAGGAACTCGGTTGGGGCAGCCTTATAACTGCCCGGATGAGATGTATAGTATCATGTACTCGTGCTGGAATCAAGCACCCTTAGAACGACCGACGACGAGTCAGTTGCAGCAGAATGTAGATGAATTTGCACAACAATTAAGACGATACATTTGACTGTATTTATGTAGTATTTCAAAACATAGACGGGTGATCTTCTTGTCAGTCATTGTGATATGTCCAACCCCAGTGAACGCTTTATCTCACATTTAAAATAATAAATGCTTTTTTTCTAACCACACGTCGGTCATGAACTAAGTATCAATTCCTGAAAGTTTTAGCTCGCGCTTTGCGGGCGCCGCCGAGATATCGAACGACTTTTGCCGCCGAGAGAGTACGCTAATCGCGGAGAGCGGTCAGAGAGAAAAACATTTTTTGGCCATAACTTTGCTGGTTTTGTGCGGAAAAAATTGAGTTTTTATAGAAAAATTATTCTTTACGGTATAGGCATGAAAACTTTTCGTGCCGAAATTCGGCAAAAAGTCCTAAATTTTCGCCGACTTTCGATCTAAAAATCTCGGTTGTTTCTACAAAGCGCGAGCTAGGATTCTGGCATATTCTGCACGTCAAAAGTTTGGAACAGGCCAGATCTTCTTTGCGGCTTGAGACGGGAGTTTCATTTCTTTTTTATTCGAAGCTCCATGTATTAAGAACCTCAATGAATACATAGCCATGGAAATCAGAAAGCTCGTTGGAATTTAAAAAAAAATTTTAAAAAATAAGTGCGTCAAAAGTTTGGAACAGCTTTTGGAAGGTGATTATAAACTTCGGGATGGAGGCAGGTATCCTCGCATTTAGTGTTTCTGGATGATGTATGGAATCGGCATGCCAATGGCATACTGATTTTCATCGATAAACCCAAAATGAAAAAAATGCTTATTGAGCCAAAAACTACGGTCAAATTTGCGAAAAAATGAATTTTTTGGTTTGGGTTCTCTATGTTATCGGTGTGTAAGCGTTCTAAGATATTTAATGTGGTCGCACAATTGTACAAGGGCACTCAGATCTTCGCATAGGAACTATATACGCACAGCATAATTTATGAAAATTTTGAGTTTTGCTACGAATCTTTATTTAATGTATTTTATATTTTTTATAGAGCGGCTTGGTGGCTAATTGGCTTTAACACCGTTATCGTTGAATAAAAAGGTGTCTTTAAGAAGCAGAACCTGGCCACTATTTGCAACATCAAGGCCACATCTTTAAAAATAGCGGGTATATGAAATGTTAATATTCACATATTTTTTATCTTCGATTTGAAGCCGCTGCATGGCTCAAAACTAAGTTCCTTTATAGTTATCACACCGATGCAGTAATATAAACCAACTTTCCGATTTATCACACCACAAATCCGGGTCAGATATGAATATTGACTTTGGGGACTAAATTTTTTTTTAATATCCGAAAGATGTGGCCTTGGATGTTGCAAATAGCGTGGGTTTTTGTTTCTTGAAGACACCTTTTTATTCCACGATAACTGTCTTAAAGCCAATTAGCCTCCAAGCCGCTCAATAAAAAATATAAAATACATTAAATAAAGATTCATAGCAAAACTCAAAATTTTCATAAATTATGCTGTGCGTATATAGTTCCTATGCGAAGATATGAGTGCCCTTGTACAATTGTGCGACCACATTAAATATCTTAGAACGCTTACACACCGATAACATAGAGAACCCAAACCAAAAAATTCATTTTTTCGCAAATTTGACCGTAGTTTTTGGCTCAATAAGCATTTTTTTCATTTTGGGTTTATCGATGAAAATCAGTATGCCATTGGCATGCCGATTCCATACATCATCCAGAAACACTAAATGCGAGGATACCTGCCTCCATCCCGAAGTTTATAATCACCTTCCAAAAGCTGTTCCAAACTTTTGACGCACTTATTTTTAAAATTTTTTTTTTTAAATTCCAACGAGCTTTCTGATTTCCATGGCTATGTATTCATTGAGGTTCTTAATACATGGAGCTTCGAATAAAAAAGAAATGAAACTCCCATCTCAAGCCGCAAAGAAGATCTAGCCTGTTCCAAACTTTTGACGTGCAGTATATCTTTTAGAAAAAATTATTCTAAATTTGTGCCAAGTTTCATCAAAATCTGAGCGTCGCACTTCGGGTACTTCCCCTGTAAGTCGGATATTCATCGCGTCGGGTTTTTCAACATTTGCAAAATTGTGAAAATTTCTCGAAATAATAATATTTTGGCATAAGATTTACAGTACACTAATGCATAGTGTTGTTAATTTGACGCCATTTTTCAAAATGACGTGAAATTGACGTCATTTTGGCTAAATTTAAAATTCTGATATACGAAGCTTTTAGACGCGAGTTTAACACAGACTATGATAAATACCGTTAATATCAGTCTTTATGCTTTCAATAAACAATGTGGCAAGTATTGCAATCACAATTCTTTGAACCGAAAAGGACCAAAGCATATTCTGGTCAAACTCGTCATAATTTTTATGACCATGCAAGTTCGCATTCCAAGTTGCAGCAAAGGATTTTTACATTTTTTACAATGACAAAGAAAGCGATAAAATTTATAAGCCTTATGAGAGATTAGAAGAGCAGAACGTTTAGTTTTTATGCATGTAGTCATAAATGCCAAGCTTATTTTTTGATAAAAAATTAAAAAGAAACTTGCCCCATCATCGAAATTTTGTAAGGCCAGATATGCCATCATGGGCAAAAATCGTGATCCGGAACTCCTTTTATCTGTGCGCTGAGGGAGAGGTACTCCAAACATTCCAAGAAACCCCACTATGAAGCTCAGGTTTTGGTTCATGGCACAGCCAGTAGTGTATATGACACCAAGAAATTTAACTACCTGGTAGAAAAAAATCTGCATATAGCTGAACTTTAGAATTTGTCATTTCGATCCAATATCTTTCAGAGGCAAAAGGCTTTAAAAGAGAGTTTTTTACAGATTGAAGCTTCTCATAACAAGGGCCGGACATTTCGAAAAAACGACCAACTTAGAATCTTTCGAGCTCAACATGCAAACCAGAAATTTTTCACAAAAAAATCGCAAATTTCCCTGAAAATAAAAGTTTATTTTTCAAACTCAATTCTGAAATTCATCGGTGGGTTCCGTAGCCTCAGGAATGGGACACTTTTCTTTTCTTTCCTTCTCTTCTCTCTCGAACTTTTTGGCATAGGTATCAAAATCATCGACGAAGATGAGCAAATTCTGCGACATCTCCACAGCATTGTACTTCATAAAATAGAAGAGGATGATGCGCATCACGTAGACGTACTGCTGAAAATAAAACGAGTGTAAAAAATTGGGGAACTGTTATGATTTATAAACGCGAACTGATTTGCCCGCTCCCCACCCACCATTTCATTGCGGATAGCGCAATGTCGCTTCTCCCGGAGGTTCCTCAACATCCTGGGTGCATCCGCTTCTTCTCCATGCTGGATTCTTTCCAGAATTTGGCAAGTAAAAACCAGCACGGCGCTGCGACCTGCGCCCGAGCTGCAATGGACCAACACTTTCCTGTGGCCTTTGATTTGCTTCCAAAGGAAGGGCATCGTGTTCGAAGGCTCGGGGAAGCCCACCGGAGGGAAATTGGACCAGAAAACATGCTTGACTTTTTGCTCGCCCTTAGGGCCGTTAACTTTGAGATGACTGAAATGGAGGGTCGGCTCTTCCACAGGGCTGGCGTCGATCTGAAAACCAAGAATTGTTGATAATAATAGGTCCAACTGGTAAAAGTTCCTTATTTTGGCCACAACTTATAACTTTACGGTAACTGGTCGGAATTAGCCCAAATTTAGCGTGCCCGCTCAATTCATCGTTGTCAATGCCCGGACAGTGGATTTAGCTAGTGAGGCACCTTCTTTTTTACGTACCACCTTACCCTTCAAAAACGGCTGCAGCTTGTGATTTTACACTTTATACGATGAAACATGTCCGGAACTAAACTTATTGCCTCCGTATGGAACTAAATGAGTCGTCACAGCCTTCGTAGGTACCCACAAACTATAGAGCTACTATAGTTGTTCAGTGCCAGCTAGGTCGAAGCGTTTTTTCCTAGCTTTAGTGCCCAAGCTTGGGCGCAGTTCGCGGAGTACCTTTTTTGTGGCCTACTTACTCTGCAATTCGCGACCTTGAACACTCCAAAGTCGTTGGTTTCGCCTACTTTTCCTGGGTAATATCTAGCGCACTTTCTTCCTTCATCACATGGATGCAACTGCACAATCTGAAAACCAAACGAAATAAGCAAAAATTTTAAAAAATATTCAAATTCTTCAAACAAATCGCAAACTTGATGACTAATACAATAAAAACCGACCATTTCGACTCCTTCGTTCTGAACCAAATCCCAAAATTGCGCGGTAGTGTTGAACATGGGCGACTGGGCCAGAATAAAACGCGAATCCACCGCACTCGCGTGATAGTAGCCCCCATCCGACAGTCTGACGCGCGACGCGTCCAGACATGTTCTGAAAAAAGTGCAAATTACAGTATCCCAAGTGCCTCAAATGACTTGAAATTTTGCACAGCAAGTCTCAATGGGCCAACCACTGATTGCTAAAAGTTTGAGCGCCTAGTTCTCGCGGAGAGTCGAGAAATTCAACAATTTTCCCGCTGAGAGACTATGGAAAATTAGGAGAGTCAAAAAAAATTATTTTCAGCTATACCTTTTCGAATTATCCTGAGAAAACAGCAATTTTTTCTAGAAAGATTGTGCTCCCCAATTAGGGTAGAATGCAAATTTTTCACGCTGAAAATCGCAAAAAAAATTTTATGTTTATTTTTTTGATTTTCCGCCGAAAAATCAAAAATTCCTGCACAGTAAGAGCCCAAATCTTGACAAATACTTCAGAAAATTATATTACAAATTTCCCCAAAGTTTAATCAAGAAGATTTGATTCGCAAATTTTTTGAGTCCCACCACGAAAACATGCAGATTTCAAAGCACGCTCTAAACACAAGAAACACCGCGATTTCTCTCACCTTGTAGCGATTCTTGTCCGCATTCGCGGGATCTTGACAAGCCATGGCCATGTGGACCTTTGCCTTGTCTTCGGCCTTGATGTCGTTGAATTCTTTTCGGATCCCGCTCAACTCCTTGTTTAACATGGTCGGAATGAAGTTGAATTTG